AGAGTCCATTTTATCAATATGATTGAAACCAAGCCTCATTCGTTGCTCAACAAGCTGCCCATAATGTCGCTTTAAAACAGCAAAACAGCCAACATCAAGAGGCTGTAAGAGATGCGAAGAATGAGGTGGCATACAGACTGGAATAATATTATTCTCAGTACATATATGGTCAAATTCTGGTGTCAAATGGCTTCCATGGCCATCAAGAATCAACATTCGATATTTTCCAACCGTACGACCATTAATATAGGGAATAAAATGGGTTTTAAGCCATTCTAATCCTATCTGATCTGTAGTCCAGCCATTATCGCTAATATTGATTCGCCAATCATCTGGAAGATCATCAAACCAGCCTTCTCGTACGTTTTTCTTTGCTTTGAAAATCACGTACGAAGGCACAGCCCATCCAGTTGAATTTGTTGCCTCAATTGCAGTCACCCATTCTCGATTTCCAGGCTGTAAAAGCTTCGGCTGAGCATATCGATCGCTTCCAGTAATAACCTTTGCAGTTGCACAGAGTCCCATAGCAAAGCCAGTCTCATCAAAGTTGAATATATCTTCCGGTAAGATGCCGTACTCAGATATAGCAGCTTGTACGCGATCAAAATGTTCTTGTATTATCTTTGGATCTTCGCATTTAGCACGTTCGTAGTTGTATTTCCTTGCGAATTTGGAATCGATCTCTGGACGGCGTTTAATCAGTTTAGTTATCCAATTTTTTCCAACTTGTGGTTTGCCATGTTGTGAAAGTATATAATTAGCCATTTCTCGTACAAGAGAATGCCGGGGGGGTAATCCACGTCGATCTAAATCAAGCACCCATTTGACAAGCGATTCCTCTTCATATTGAGTCAATTTATGGCTGTTGGCGCGTACGAGAGATCTTTGTTGAATACCATTGAGTCTATCTTGTAAAGTTGTCCGGGGGATCTCGTAAATCCTTGCAGCTTGAGCTACACGTTGAATTCGGCCATTCTGTAAATCGGAAATTGCTAATAAGATTCGTCCCTCTTGCTCATCTAAATTTTTCCGGTTTTTATTGCGAATTGGTGGCATATTGACGTGTTGAATAATATAAAATCAATATCGTGTACGCGCTCGGGAAAAAATGCCGGCTCGGTAGTGGTGCCGCTTCGGTGGTGAATTACGTTAGTTATATCTCTTCTAGCTGACTAAGAGAAAGTGGAGATTTTGAAGCGCAATAGAACAGGACGTGCAATGAGATGACTTAGAGTTATTACAAGTCTATCACCATCATGATCTCATTATCTTCATCCGGCGGCGCGACTGCCCTGAACCCAAGTTTCTCATAAAACCGGTACGGCGAGTCCTCATGCTTGACAGTCTTGAGAGGATTCAACGCTGTCTTCCCCTCCGGCGGCGTTGACATGACACCCAACTGCTTTGCTTTTGGGTTATGTTGTTGTATATGCGCAATCGCGAATTCTACACTGCGTCGACCGTACCCAAGATTTTGGTATTGAGCGTCAATCATCAATCACCAGATATAGTACGCCTCATCAGGATCCCAGATTGCCATCATGAGCATGCCGACAAGCGTTTCGTCGGCGTAGATGGCTCGTACCCAAGCGTCTTCAGAGTAAGCAGCTTCGCAGAGAGACCATACGTTTGGGGCAAGATTGCCTATCTGGCCGTCTTTCATCTTTAGATTTGCAACCGCGCGCCAGTTGTCCTCGGTGACCTCGTGGAATGTGATGATTGAGCTTCTGCTTGGAGTGGAGAGGCTCGAAGTGTCGGACATGGTGCTGAGGAGCGATTGAAGAAACGTCGTCGTTTTAAGTTATGGAAAGGTTATGGGATAATGTCCTATAACTTGTTATATTGGCAAGAGGTGAATCTTTGATTTCAGAACCCAACCGTGAACCTTGCATCGGAGGAAGCAGTTTTATATGGGATCGTGTACTTATGACTTGAGTCTTAATTAATCATTCTTACGAATCAGCCAATAGATGTAGTCATCGTCGCTATTCAGCCCTAAGTCACGTAATCATTCTGAATGGGGAAAAAATCATCTTGTTGCCTAAACCAGGTACTCCAGCATATTCAAGAGGTCGATGTGCAAGCCTCAAATAAAGAATCTAGTACTCAACACTACACGAAAAGCCTCTAGGCGACAAATTCATTGACATATAGTATAAACCTATTAACAATCTTCCTATTTTCTAATGTCTAAAACATTCTTGTATAAATCCTCAAAGCCCTCAAACTGCACCAATTTGCATCCTTACTCAGCATTGGAAACCCACATCTCCATGTCACGTCCACTACACTGCATCCCCGTTGACTGCAACCTCCAAAAATCCTAATTCAAAGCTCATATCCATGTCGATCCTGGGCCTTACTGACAACGACGTCGACCTGGAACGCACGTCATCTTCGAGCGCGCTCGTACGTGTTCACACGTCAGTATCCATGTCGTTCGCAAGCCCTTGGTCTTGGAGCCGCTGTTTCTGCGTTGTCATATATGCCCGTTGCCTCTAGGTCAGCTTCGCGGAACTGATCTAACACCTTCGTATCAAGCACAAACTGCGCGATTTGCAGCAGCGCTTGCAAATCTGCCGTACGACAGAAACCCTTGATTCGCGATTCACATGAGTCCACGCTTGTCAGCAGCGGACAGCTGGCACTCCATGAGAATATGATTTGAGTCATTTCGCTACCTTTTAGGTGAGTTACGTGCCTTCGCTTCTCCTAACGCGTGTGGCTGCATCATCACAATCCATTGACTTCCACTCGAAATCCAAGCAAGCTATATCCAAATCGAAAAGCAGTTTCTCACTCTCCGTCAGCAAACAGTGAGGCCATTCCAGAACTCATCACACCTACACCATGCATATCCAAATCTGGATCCCAGATAATGCCCTAGCCATAGCGTTAATCATACTCTCATGATAATTTTTTTGAAGTATGGGTTTGGATGCCGTTGTCCGAAATCCATCGTCTAAGAAAGAGCACAGCCAGATGTCGTCGTTAATGTTAGTATGCCAGAGATACTTCAATCCTCGGCCGTTACACCTCCGTCTGCGGTGCATTTGTCGCCTGAGAAAATCGTCTAAGCAATCCTCGTCCTCGTTTGACATCGAGAGGATATCGTTGGTAGAGGTGAAAAGGCTCATCATGCGGAAAATGAAAAAGCGTCTTAATTTTGGAGCGGACAACTACTAAAGGCAATGACAATGATATCAAGAAAGCTGAGGGGCCAAAAGAAAAAAAAAATGATAAGAATACTATAGCGGAGCGGATGGATACTGAACCTGCACCTATAAAGAGTATTGATATAATGGAAGCTGTGAATTTTGAGTACCTTTTTTATTATGTAGTTATCCCCTTACCTAGGGACGAAGATTATCCCGTACAGCGGGTAATATGTTGTGCTCCAACCACCTAGACCAAAAACCTGCGTGCATACTAGGTAACTTAGATGCTCTAGTATGGTAATATATACCTAGGAGGTAGGATCATGTGGTATGAGGTGAGATTCGTAACAGTATATTAAATCTACTACATACTACGTAGTAGTATTATTGTTCTAAAGACTAAAACAGGAAGACTATAAGAAGATTAACCACATCTAGGAACAGTATGGTAAAATAACTAGCTATGCACATATCAGAAATTATTCCATATTGAAGTTTGGAAGTTAAGCTGAGAGCAATGTCCATGGATACAGAATAGATATGGAGGGGTACCTGAGAAACCACTAAATTTCCCGACGACGAATCTCTATTTAAGAATTTTTCTATTTTCCAATGTGTACAACATACTTGTACATCCGGTTTACTCGGACTTTCGTCGTCTACTTTACTCCACGAGTGCTATCGACCCAAATCCTTGGGTCACCTAGTAGATCATAAGTATAACGTTAACTTTAACACAATCCTAGATTTGACAAGTACGTACTAAGTGGCCTCGCTAAATTCGGTTCCAGAATTCACAATGGGGCCGGTTCAGGTCGCCCTTTTACTACCTAGGTAATTCCCGCCCTGGCTTCCAATTTACTGAAACATCTTATTCATCAAGCATATATAGTCGTGCAACCTACCTGTGTAGGGCGCAGATTAGTTTAATTGGAATTGAAACCTTTCAGCTCGCTTGAGAGTCCCCACCTAGACTCCGCGGAGAATTTTGCTCGGGAACTACTCACCATTTCAGGGATATTGGTATATGGAAAGGATGATATAGGTAGTGTACTCGAGCCTTTTAATATACCTGGGGTGTCTTCTTCCTACAAAGTTAAGGTTACCCAGTGTATTGGTAAAGTCTAAAGCCTTTCGGTTCCCGAGTTTCTGGCGCCCAATAAAGCACTCAATAGTGAAAAAGAAGCGAAGGGGTAGCCAATAAAGAGCATCTCAGAAATCTAATTGGGGTCACAAAATTTCAGCCGCACCAAGCTAAGTCAAATAAACTCCAAGTGACAGATGTACAATCTCGGCTCTTCCCCCTTAACCTACAGACCTAGGATGTGAATGGATAGTAAAGCAATCATGCATGTACATACGTATTGAGTCAGGGATCTGGTTATGGCTGAAACTTGACAGATGTCACGACATGCCGTCTAATATAAATTTCGGTATTGAGGCATCGATGGCACGAGCCTTACATATGACGGACAGGCCAGATCAAAGTCAACTCGTACTCGGCTACGACCCTCGCTCTGAGGAACCAGGTTATCGGGTTCCGCGTCCTTGTACTGATGTACTGCATAGATTACGAGGAAATCACAAGTTGAATCCTTGTATGGAGAAAAACTATGGACCAATTCGCGAAAATATACTTTCTGTCTCACGGAAGATCTCGGGTATAACCTCATGCATGGATATAATCCTCTTATTGTCGGTATTACGTACAAGTCTATGTAAGCAGTTTGTAAAGTCTCAACATCCTTGCCCTATATCAAGACTCTCACAGACTCATAAGGAATCACAACTTGATTCTCTCCAAATTATACTATAATAGGAAGCCTTAAAAGGGGTAGCCAGAAGACGAGGCCAGACTGCGGGGCAACCAGCCCCGTAAAATTAGGGTTCAATGGGGTCCTTACCCACACGGGACGATCCGCAAATCCAGATGTCACAATCTTCATCCTAAAGCGATTTGTCAGACAAAGGGATTCCAAGTTTCTATTATCAATAGCCTGTGTTATTTACTAGTGCAATTATTAGTGTTTTTATACATAGACAGAATCTGTGCCAGGTGAAGTTAATTTATCCGTTCGAGCATACTATGACTTGATCTGGAAGGTCGTTTCGACTTTTCAACATTAATCAAGGGTCTTTGAATCGAGAGATTGAATTATAATAATGTGCTGGAGATTGACAAGACAAAACAACGAGAGACTATCACCATGACGCTCTTAATCTGGAGCGGAAACTTTTGAAAGAGAGACACACTCAAAGAAAGACTCCAATAAACACCACATTAGTCATGTCTAAACGCGCTATGTACATAGCACGAGTTTGATTGTTCGTTAGCTTTCCACAAAAGAAAAAGAACAAAAAAAAAAGAAATTGTTCGGGAAATGAGTTAATCCCCCGACGAATCCTCAAACGGACTACGCGGTCCCACCATCCAATCTTCCATAGCCAACCACTCACTCCAACGAGCTTCAGCTGCTCGAAGTTCTTCTTCCTGTGGGTCACGCAATGGACGCAGGAAGGGGACGGTTTCGTAGGGTAGTATATCGTATTGCGCCTTGGTTTTTAGCCAACCGCCACTCTTTGCTGAGAAGAGGTAGTTTATTCGCTCTTGTGAAAGGATTGCGCCGACGCCCCTGAGCCATCCGTCCCCAAAAAGTTCTTGCATAACGACCGGTGTATCTGTTGCCGTGACGACTAGTCGTCGAATATATGGGATAAGCGAGAATAATTGAGACTCTGATTGTTGCTGGTCCGTTGACCCGGACTGATTCTGGCTATTGGAAGGCGACTCGGCGCGTTGGTAGGGAAGAAGAATGTTGATATGGGCAGCAATTGATTGCGCCAAGGGCCGATGCTGTGCGACATTCACAAAATACTCTATACAACCCTGATAAACCGGGAACCATTCGGAAGGATTGACTTTGCCGTCATCGGTGAAGAGAGTGGTGCTCGGCATTTGGATCGTTGTAGTGGTGGTAGTTTTGGTAGAGGTAGTAGTGCCTGCGCCAGGCTGCATTTCTGATTGCTGAATAGCGTTCTCTTTGCGACTAACTCTGACGACATCGTCATTAGTATGTGAAACGTGAAACTGACAAGCTGAAGAGATCGGACAACAACATACCCATGCGACAATTGGCGATTGGGTTCAGAAACGAACACGCGACGTCTGGTGACAATGCTTCTCAGTCCACGCCAAAGTCGTAATCTCAATCCGAGCTGCGTAGACGTGTCGTAGTTGTAGCTCGTCGACATACAAGCGCTTCATATATAACCTATAGCTGCATAGCGCTATGGTTTAGAAAAGTACAAATAAAAGTGAGGCGTGAACCAGTCACGAAACAGAAGTTAGAGATTAGTTTGAGCTTGACGTTTCAACAACATCGTCATCGAAGGGGTTGGAGCTTCCTCCTTATATGCTCTTCACGTCAAGTCAAGCTGAGAGGGATGACAAGTGGGGGGGACATCGAGAACAAGCCCATTGACCGAAAAGAAAGTAGGATTTGGGCGCACAAATTTCCAAAAATGGCTACTCGAAGCCATCATTTCAGCAATGATGTGATGTCCCATGCTTTTTTCCCCGCTAACTTAGACGAAATCGAAGCTCCCTGAGAACCTAAACTCAAAGCGTCGTGCTCGACAGCAGGGGGGGTAACGTGGAAAAGTGAGCAGAACAAGAAAGTCAGGCACGAATCATGAAGCAGCATCTGGCAAAGAGCGATCAAGCCCGGCGGGGACAAGCGCGAGGAATGAAGCTATCGAGAAACTATCACAGAGAAAGTTAAGTTAATGAGAACCCGACTATTGAGTCAAGCCACAGAGAGTGGATGCACAAGCCACAGCTTTCTCGCCACAGCTTTTTCGCCACAGGTATGGCGGTGCGGAAGCATCAAGCCGCACGTTCCTATTGGCTGCTGCTGGTGACCACACGGAGTGGCCGAGGATCGCCTTTTTTTTTTTTTTTTTTTTCTTTTCGTTTTGCTATTTGTAATTGATCGCGACTAGTTAGGGCTTACAAATGTTAACATAAGGTATTAAGACGATTTAATCTCTTGAATCTCGGCAGCCTGGGTGATTGACAGTCCAAGGCGATTGCTCAGGATCTCGGCGGTGTCCATGTCTCCGGTGTCCAACTTTTAAGTCAACTATGTAAATTCAACATTGTCAGTGTGATTAATCCGAATTGAAACGGACAAGCCATTATAGGCCACGTTATGTAGATCAGAGGTATATCTCCCCAACGGACTGTGTTGGGGTGCATGCAGAATTCTCGCTTATGAACATGCAACAGTCGAGCAATTGTCCTTGTTGCAGATGGATATGGATTAACGGCAGGACTCAAACAGTATATGACGGTGTTTGGTCACGTTCTTCAGCACTGACTCGAAAGTCTTGGTCTGCGTCGGTCAATCCAGGAACATCCCTGCAAGCGCCGAGAGTTAGGGCCCAAGGCTCTGGTCATGACTTAGTCAGACTTTACAGGGATCAATCCCTCGAACAACCTTGAATGTTGAATTATCCAACAAAGTGCGTGCGTACCTATGTATGACTGACACTGCGTGTTGTGAGCTTGTTATCACTGCTTCCATGTTCTTTTTCTCCTTCAGCGCACGGAACTTCTCGGTGCAAATTTCCGCTAAGTCTTGACAGTGCGAGGGGACGGAGGACTCATCCGTGCTGATCAAAATCCGGCTTGCGGCTGAGAGATAAGTGGAATTGGCTCTCAAACCTTCAAGTCATGAGACTGATACCCTGGCACTGTGCCAACATGAGTGACAGATCGTGGGTCCTAGGTTACTTCATATTGACTACAGCCCTTTGATCGGTCTATTTCTGACCCCATAGTAGCAGTAAACACAGTAAGCACCCAGATAGTACATGCAGGAACAGAGTATTCCAAATGCGACCCGGGTAAACGAAGATGAGGTCATGCAGGTCTGGTAAGGGTCAACAGCCCAATTCACGCACGCAAAATCAATAGATCCAACTAGTCAAAAAGACTGAAAGAGACAGCGGGACAAATCAAGCGAAAATCTCAGAAAAAGGATGGGGACCCCTTTTGCGACCAGCCGCACCGGGACTAGCGCTATGGAGCCTTGGAGTTCAGGCATGCGTGGGCGTCGGTCAATCACAGCGTCCCAGATCTCAAATCGTCTCGAAATTCCTAATTTCTTTTGCTGCCAAGGACTGTAGTACGAATATCCATGAATCATTGACTTTGAATTGATAGAGTTTAATAAACTAGGAAATCACACTCAGGCTGACATGAGAGTATCGGGTGACGGGATGATCCTCAGAGATATTGTTAGCCCTGAATCAGATCTAGATCAGATGGAGTAAATATTACGTACCTAGACCAAATGTCACCTAGCGACAATCTTGGGATCTGTACGAAGCGGGTCCATATATTAATCTCCAGTGTCAGATATAAAGATCTTACCTTCCGGCCTTGACTTGAAGTCTGTCCAAACAGACCCGACCAAGTTTCAATACCAACACCACGAACAATCACAATGACATACAAGACCAACTATGAGCTGTGGGTAAGTTGATGTCTTGTGAACCCTCTACTTTGGCCTCATATCTAACACACTCTACAGAACCCCGCACTCACCTCCCGACGACCTTCTCAGATGTCAGATTTCGACGTCGTCCTCGCCCAGACATACCCTCACGTAGCAATGCTACCGTACATGCAATGCCAACACTGCAGCTACGAAGAACCAAAAGAACACCAACCGAGTAGTCCGACCAGCTTCACCACATCATTCTCATCTTCCTATACCGGCTCGGAATATAACGCAGATTCTTTATCATCCACCACAACATCGAGTCCGCATGGATGGTTTTGTCTCGATAATCGGAAACGCTCAAAGATTCGACGTCGACTACGGCAGTTATTGAAACGATCCTAACCGGCTTCTACTCAATGAGTCGTCTCCGTCATGTTACCGGCTTCTTTATGGCTTCGTTGGAAGATCATTTTCCACACATGACTACTCACATCTCCTCTTTTCTGCTCTAAGACCCGCGGTTCTTTTATATAATTTCAGTCTCTGGTTACTTTTTCTTTCGACGATTTCCTTTGTGCGTATATCCGGGGGGAAAAATGGTGGAGTTTACTTTATAAGCGAGGCGTTATTCGGCGGATATTTCAGGATCGGAAGATATCAATGTATAGTTTTAATTTGACCCTAATGCCAACGGGACATATGTAATTCATTTGAGAATTTTGTTCTCACATCTGACTCGTAAAGTTAAATAGATTCATATAGCCTTGGAGTCTTGGAACGAGATGAGAACAGACGCCGGATTTGGAAGGTTGATTATAGGAAAGAGAGTACGGAGTATGCTTCAGTGAAACCGGGTGTGGGGTTAGCTACCCGCCGACCATTTGCATATCGTCTATACGATGTGACACGAGGAAATACGGTCTTGGGAATAACGTCCTTCTCATTCAAGAGTACGCTCTAGAGAGAAAAGAAAGTAGGCACTTCCATTCCTGTCGGCTTCAGATGCAGATACAGGTGAAAGATCGACTCCAAATCCGCCTACCCATTTAGGCAGGTAAGTCACTCATAACAAACGACAAGTCGATATATAGTTGTATTAACCGTTTGCTTTTGTGACATTTCGGCAGGGGTTACATACACTCATGGATCTGCACGGGTGGTTCTACGGTGATACTTATCCAACGGCGGTATCTACGGCGGTACGTATGGCGGCATCTATGATTTACCACAACATACATGATACATCACATGCAAATGCCGCCGTTCTTGGGTTGAGCAAGAAGAAACTTGCATGAAGATATCCTTCCAAGTAACCTCGGACTGGACTGGCACGCCGTCTTGTGGTACAAGCAAGCTGAAGCAACGAACATTTGTTTAGTCACTTTGCCAGACAGACTTAGCTGAGAATCCTAGCTTGCTAAGCATCCAAATTATCAATGATGTATCAATATCAACCTATTTCATACATAATTCCTCAATCGGGCATTAATCGATATACGGATCATAGATCAACGGACATGTCCGTTCAACCAGTCAGAGCCCTGCAAGATCAATCGGGCATGCCGAGTTGGGCCGGCCCCACTATGTCCTGACTAACCCTGAACAAGCTTAGTGTTATTGTTGATGCGGTACGCACTTTTTCGGTTCTTGTGGCTAGTGCGTTTAAGATGTGGCTTGACCGCTATTGATTTGCACGTGTCAGACTCTGTATCCCAAATCCCGGTACAGAGTAGCAAGCCATGTACTCAGTACTCCGTACTCCGTACTGAGCTTACAATTCGGCTAGGGGTTTACTGTCGACTAGTCCCACTAGCCACACAAGACCTCAAAATTGGATCGAGAATGACGTGGCTTGAAATATGCAGGGTCCACCTTAGGCTGTGGCTGAAAAACGAACCTCTCATCGCGACGGAGGAGACCTATGTATTAATCTCAGCTTTAATTCAAGGCAGTCTATTCTCGGTGATAGTTCGGAAAAGGTACCAGATTAGGTTTGATCGAGATCTGTGATATTTCATGTGACAATGTGGAACGACGAAGAACGTGCTCAGCTTACAGCCTTATGGACGGGTTACTACGATCATGGTTTGCGATGTTCCTTATCAATTGCATAGTTCTTGGTATGGATATTCGCAACATCACAGCTTCCTATCACATTATGACGGCAATTATTTCTATCATCGATCTTATCATCCAAAAGAAAAAGAAAAAGAAAAAGAAAGAAAAGAAAAGAAAAGAAAAGAGAATACATAGCAGATCGGTGTTTCTGTGACCTTGCTTGAAATAGTTGAGCCGAAGATGCGCTGAACGGCCGGCCCCGGATCTAGGTCATCATCTCGATCTCTCAACGATATGAAGAACCATCCCCAGTCTAACTCAAAGAATCCAGGGAAAACTCCTTCCGAAACATTTCGCTTGTCAAATTTTTGCCACCGCAAACCGTTTTCACGTCTATCGCTAGAAATTTTAGAGAGTCAAAGTTTGTCGAGAACTGCCTTCGCTATTTCTAACCGTTCAAGGGATAGTAAGCAGACACCGAACGGGGCAATCGGTCGAATGTTCAGATCCATCACCAGACAATCCAGTCTAGTCGCAAAAATTGGTCAGTTTTTACGAATTTGGAGGATGTGCGTGGTAAAATACTTATTGCCATGAGTCATGAATTCATGATCTTACCAATTGAACAAATTTTACGTCCTGTTCATCGGACAATTGACCGTTTGTAGTGACCTCGTTAGCTCGAATGATGGTGTGGGAATGAGGATTATTTGAACCTTCTACTCTTAGTATCTGTGTCTATCTCTTCCTCGAATACTGTCAGACTTTGCAGCACCTCGTACAATTAATGATACAAGCTGCTAAGTGCCGGATCAATGGATATTTGGCCAATATTTGGAAATATTGACGTGTATTTACATTGATAGAATCAAGCAATCATCCCTTTGCTGTAAATTTACCTATGGAGGTAGATACTACCTACCTAGGTAGTGCCGCCCTACGTGGTTTGTATAGTTACCCTAAAACTTGGAGAGAGCTTGCCGGATTAGGCAGCTACATACAAGATTACAACAGGATTTGCGCGCTTACTAGTGATAGTGAATGTGATATTCTTCCTAGTTTGCATGTATCTGATACATATCAGTTCATTCTTGAGAAATTCGTATACTTTGATCCTGAATACAACGTTATGATTTCTCCATGTAGTATGCCAAGGTCCTCTTGTTGCTGAATTTTCAGAATCGACCCTTTTCAGGTCGATGAGAAAGACGATGCATTAGCTTACCCGCAACCTTGATTGATTAGCTATATGCATAAATAGTCTATAGTCTACTAATATCCAACTCGATCGCAACTAGGAATGGATGTATTGCGATATCATCTAATCTATAATAGATAGAAAACATGGTCCTTAGAGTAACTTCCCGAAACAGTATGAAACACGGCTAAATCATCTATTCCTCAGAGTCTGAAGACTTCTAAGCACTCTCACCTCGAATAATAGCTTTCAATGCTTCAACCTGTTCGCGGACAGCGCGCTTGCTCGTACCACCGATCGCATCTTTCAATTCAACAGCTCGCTCATAATCCAAGCATTCGCGAACATCGGGTCCAAATCGGCTGTCGATTCCTTGTAGTTGCTCAAGTGTGAGAGTGTCCATGGGAACATTGTTCTTCTCAGCCAGTGCAACAACACGCCCTGAGATATGATGGCCTTCTCTGAACGGCACGCCCTTGCGAACAAGATAGTCTGCAAACTCCGTGGCGAGCATCTCCGGTGCCAAAGCGGCAAACATCTTTTCTGGGATGACAGTCAAGGTTGAAAGAACACCGGTGGCGATCTGGATACTGTCGCCGACGGTCTTGATGTGGTCGAGAAGTGGCTCGACGCTCTCCTGAAGATCCTTATTATAGGTAGTCGGTAGTCCCTTGATGGTCATCATGAGACCCGCCACATGTCCGAATGCTCGTCCGGCTTTGCCACGGAGAAGCTCAAGACTGTCTGCGTTCTTCTTTTGTGGCATTAGCGAAGAGCCCGTAGAGTATGCGTCCGCGAGGCGGACGAAGCCAAATTCCAGACTGCTGTAGATGATAAGATCTTCAGCCCAGCGGGAGATCTTGAGCATAAACGAGCTTCCCCATTGCATTGTCTCCATGGCAAAATCTCGGTCTGCTACGGTGTTCATAGAATTGATAGTGATACCATCGAAGCCCAGCTCCTTTGCCATACCCTCACGGTCAATTTGGAATGGGTTACCAGCAAGTGCACCCGTACCCAAGGGCGACTTGTTGACTCGCTTAATAACCTCGCGTAACCGACCCAACTCCGACGCAAACGCAACAGCATGCGACAACAGCCAATGAGACCATCGCACCGGCTGTGCCTTCTGCAGGTGTGTATATCCCGGCATCAAATAGTCAATATCCTGCTCTGCGCGAGCTATAGAGACCTTGATGAGGTCCGACAAGAACGCATCCAATTTCCGAAGCTCATCTCTCAACCACAACCGCATATCGGTCGCAATCTGCTCGTTGCGCGAACGACCCGTATGCAATTTACCAGCAATATCCTTGCCAATAATCTCACCCAATCGACGCTCGTTCGCGGTATGAATATCTTCGTCGTTTGCCTTGACCACAAAACTGTTCGTGCTCCATTCTTCGGCAATCTGCTTAAAGCCGCGTTCGATCTCGGAGAATTCGTGCTCGGTCAGGATGCCTCCACGGCTATTTGCGCGTGCGAATGCCAGAGAGCCGAGAATATCCTGTTTCCAGAAAATGCGGTCGTAGGGGAGAGATTCGTTGTATTGCACCATCAATGGATCCAGTCCCTCTAAATTTGACGACAGCTGACGTTAGTTCATAGTACTCTATAGTATCTCAACGGAATATTGAGCAGAATGATTAAATACCAGTGAATCGTCCTCCCCACAACATATTCTCAGCAACAGCCTTTTGAGAACTCATTGCAATAGGTTTCGAATTGAACTATTTTTTTTGTCTCTTCGCACTCGATTTAATGCGCCTTGTGTGTAGTTTGTTCTGTTCAGATCGGGTATGACTCTTAAATTTTTTGGAGGGAATGCGGAGAGCGGAATCGGAGACCCAACAAGATAAGAAAGTGCGCTAGGCCGGATTCGGACCACATCTGTTTTGACTTCATCATTTTCTCCTCAGTAGTATCTCATTTTTTCTTTCGAGCGAAAGTGTTACATGAGCCTTGATAGGGATTCAGTAGCTTATTTATTGGAATTGCCGCACAGAAATATATCCAGGCCTAAACATCCTAGGGATCCGTCAAATCGAACACAGTCAGCTGTTTACAACAAAACCGATTGTTCTACAGTAGAGGGGTATCAAACTACAGAATCCATATAGCCATAGAACATCAAAGAGACAATATGGGCTCCTCTAAGTTGGAACCGCGAAGTTGCGTGGTTGTGACAATGCGTACAACGATAGTTTGGGGATCTCAGATCTGACCAAGCCCTAATTTCCGCATCGGGCAAGTAATGAAACAGAAAGAATTTACACGACCCTCCACAATGTTGCTCATCGCTCGAATTGAGAGATTAACCCATCATGAACTTAGAATGGTATATTCGAGAACAGTTTTAGGATACGAACCTCAATGCGAAATGCTCTATGGTCACACTCAGGCGAGCGAGTCTGCTAGATGTCTGATTAGTTTAATGCAATTCCCAAAACAAAATCCTTCTACAACTTCAGAATACGTGGCGCAGCCTGGACAACTACCTCGAAAAAGCATTTTCATCTTTTCGTACCGCGTCGAAGCCGCCGGGTTATGGGAAATGGTGCAGTGAACTCGAGGAACACTGCCTTGGTGCATATTGACGGGATCAAATTCGATACTTTGGGCACACGCTTGTCTAAACTTATGATGCCCTTTCAGAAGCCGCGACAGATGGATCGGATAATAACGATTTCGATCCGCATTCCCTCAAAGCACTATGCGCATCCGGCATGTTAGTGAACGTGATCACCACCAGCATCCTTAGCAGTAAGTCATTTAATTCGATTTAATGGAACTTGCCATTTATGGTTTGTTCGCTTACGATGAGCCTGGTGGTGCAGGTGGGTGATGCGTACTATCACTAGCCTCATTGTAAGCGGAATTATAAAGATGAGAACTTTTTTACCTCCAGAATCGATCTAGAAATGATAACACTGGATATTTCGGGCGAATTATGATCTCTCGCTAACTTGATGAATAAGAAGCTAATATTTGATGAGTCAATAATATGAGTTAACTACATGTAACTCGTCAATAATGCGCAGTGATTGCACCTTTTCCTCTACCTATTTACTCCTCCTCCTCCTCTCATTGTGTATGTCCAGGCTTGAGAGAGGGAAAGGGCGTTTTCTGCGCAATAAGGGTAACGATATTTGATGGTCTCTAGGAATCTAATTCGCTCATCGAGAAATCGACACAGCAGATTCCATTTTTATACCTAGATTTCTTGCAAGGTTGGATATACTTCGATGTACTATGTCTAAATGATGTATATATTTTCTAATTAGGCATGGAGCAAATCTACCTCGCTTCATGAAAAAAGCATAACCTATTTTTCCTCAAATGAGCTTTATTATCTTCAGTGTATTTTAATTAAATGACACGCATTTCTAGGAGGAAACTTTGAATCCAATCTCAAAAGGATGTCCTGCCATACATCCAGACGGCCTGGGGAAGAGGTTACATGATCAGTAGACCAGGATCAGACAGGTTTTGAGGCATGGCCGGGACGCCTTTCTTTGAGATGTTGAACCTGGATTCTTTGTCGGTGAATAGTAAGTAAACGCAGAAAAATTCGTTCTTGGTCATGAGTGCACCATTAAGAACAGAAAAGTTGAGGGTTTGTCGTAGGGGAATATGCATCGCTATATAAATCGTATGTGGGACGAAGTAACCTCGTTGGAAGAGATGTTAAATACCGGAATCTATCGGGCTTTGGAAAAGGGCCATACATTACATGTATCGTGCCTGAATTGTAATCGAACCTATTAGGTACATACCAGAAATAGCCGCACGAATCAAAAGCGTAACCGGTTTAAGGAAAGGTTTTCAACAGACCAAAGTTAAATCTGCAACGAATCCCAGTGCTTGCTGCCGAGCGAACCGAATACATGTTCTAATACCCAGAAACATCCAAGAGAATTGTCTTGAAATGCTTGACAGCCTCCGCTCGCCCTTATCGAGAAAGAGAGCAGCATACCTAGAAAGTAGTCAATCTGGACAGCAGGCACAGTTTTGAAAATTAGCCTTGTTATGGTTCCATTCATATGGAAGGACGGGGGAAAAGAGGCTAACAATTCAAGGTTTTACTGTACATTAATTACTGGAATGAATTGGTCTGCCCAAGGCGCCATAGCTCGTGTCCAAGATGTCCAGGCAAGCATTGCCGAGCGGCTACCAGCGCTTTGAGGCTGAGAACCTCACTAAAAAGCGCCGTTCCTGACAGGGCCAGGGCTCAGCATCATGCTCGGATGGTGGACCTTAAGTGTCCCACGGCTCCGGCGAATCTAGCTTTCACTAGTCCCAGCTGGCGGTGCCTCAATAGGTCCTGATCCAATGATTTTGACCTTTTGACGAGCACTTCAATTGCCTGGCCGGCATAGCGACCGTGGTCGTTGTACGTATAAAGTTGGGTGCTCTCGTCACCGCGGCCGTATGAGGCCAGGCATCCTGAACCTCCGGAGACTCAGGTACCATCATCACCGCGTCACTCTCTCGGCGGGCACTCGTTTTTGCTGCAAAGGGCTGTGAGACCCTTCTTTTTTGTTCCTGATATACATTCACTTAGATTTTAAACACAATACACATTCGTTATGAAATTCGCGATCCTTGCATCACGGCTTCTCGGAGGCTCCATCGGCTTTCAACAGAATGCCCGAGATGACTCCCTGGATCTGGCAGCGAGAGATAACCGGGCCACCGCATATACCATGGTCCAGACGGTGACAAACTGGGTGTGCACCACCTATACGACTACCATGACGGGTCTGGTAGCAAGTAAGTCTCAACGATGGTTTCCCGGATCGCTGGCATGTATTGGTCTAACATGTTTCATCAGCGTCAACTTCCCAGGGAGCCCCTACCCCTATGGTGACAGTATTCCCATCACCGGGCACTTATACCATCCCAGCTTCCACTGTGACTCTAACAGCACCAACAACAGTCTGTGCTGCGCAAACAACCTCTTTGGTTCCAGGCCCTCACACCGTCGGAGGTGCCACGACTATCGTCCCGTCGCCTACTACAATCACAGTTCCCTATGCTAGTGTTGTAACAGCAGGAGGTACCGTCACCACTGAAATCTTTTCCACTGTCTATACCTGCCCGGGAGCTGGCACTTACACGATTGGCGCAACAACTATCACTGTTCCGGAAACAACAGTCTACGTTTATCCAACGTCGACCTGTTACTATCCAGGCACTTATACAATCCCAGAGAAAACCGTTACAATCACCAAAACTTCGGATATCTACGTCTGTCCCTATTCAACTTCGTCAACCTCGTCCGTATCGGCAACGGCGACAACAACCACGTCAAGTGCCTCGTCAACAAGTTCGACCTCGATGTCCGGATCCACAACATCCAGTTCAAGCTCTCAGAGTTTAATGCCCACAAGTTTACTTTCTAGCTCCTCTGCGTCTGGCTTATCGTCCATTTCTACTCTCAGAAGCACTTCTGTACCTAGCTCGTCCTCACACATGTCGTCTTCCTCGTCTGTAAGGTCCTCCATTTCTCCATCGTCTTCAGCTGCTGCGACTTCCCGTGCCTCTCGGACATGTTCGCGGTCGTCATCGAAATCTCCCACACCAAGCTCTAGTGTCAAAACCAACACGCCGGTGTCTTCTTCAAGTACATCAAAGACATCCCTGTCATCTTCCACGTCTGCTATCCCAAGCTCAAGTGTCAGGGTCACCACTCCCACACCTAGCTCCTCGGTCATCTCCACTACTAGTACTTCCAGAACAACTCAGCCTTCCACGTCTGCGATCCCAAGCTCAAGCGTCAGGGTCACCACTCCCACACCTAGCTCCTCGGTCATCTCCACAACTAGTACTTCCAGAACAACTCAGCCTTCCACGTCTGCGATCCCAAGCTCAAGTGTCAGGGTCACCACTCCCACACCTAGCTCCTCGGTCATCTCCACAACTAGTACTTCCAGAACAACTCAGCCTTCCACGTCTGCGATCCCAAGCTCAAGCGTCAGGGTCACCACTCCCACGCCTAGCTCGTCAGTCTCCTCTACAACTAGCTCGTCAGTATCATCCACAACCAGTGCTTCCAAAACAACTCAGTCTTCCACCTCTTCCACCTCTTCCACCTCTTCCACCTCTTCCACCTCTTCCACCTCTTCCACCTCTTCCACCTCTTCCACCTCTTCCACCTCTTCCACCTCTTCTACCTCTTCCACCTCTTCTACCTCAACTCCCACTCCTACTGGTCCTTGTGGAGGCGGTACTGCCTATGGGTACGCAACAAGCGCCGACAGTCGCGATGACACCTTTATATCACTGAGAATTGGTAACAACTGGGGCTGGGTGCTCAGTGGAGCACTTCCAATGAGTGGCAACCTTTATATGGGTGCTGGAGGCAATGACCTGTCCAAGGGCACTTTGGTGGGCACGTTCGAGATTGCTGTGACAGGAAACCATTTTACCGTTACCTACAGCATTACCAACTCATTTTACTATCTCGAGCAAGTCCACTTCTTTTACGGAACCAGCTACCCAAGTCATATCGCGCCGGGACAGTTCCCCTATGTTAAAAATTTGTCTGGCGAAACGCAGTTCACTTTCGAAGTCCCATATAATTCAGCTGATCATACATTCATCGTCCACGCAGCAATCGGCGCTAGTTGCTAAAAGTGATGAATGAGGTCGTTGTTGGATTTACTCTTGGATATAATAACTTTTTACTTACTCTCAAGCTAGTTTGACATGCACACTCGTTGTCCTTTTTCTCCAGTATTCTGTATTAGAATCATGCTGGCTTCAGATTCCTAGTAATAGTAATAGTAGTAGAGTTGATATACATGCTGTAGCTGCTGACTTACTTCCGATGGGGCGGTTATTTCACATAGATGCTGTCTTGGAGATAGCAGAATATTGGATGATACCATCAAGAGCTGCTCATGTACTCGGATGAAAGATAAAAATACAAAAAATATACAACAGCAAAGATATGATAATGGTCATTTAGTCTATTATTACTTTATTCTTGCTGCTTCTAGGGTGGCTGTAAAGCATTTCTATGGTACCTGATTATCACTACTAATCTTAGACTTCAGATGAACTCAACTGGTTTACTACAGTAGACTGGGAAATGAGCTTGAAACCTGAAACAATTCACGACTTCTGTTCCTAAATGTCTGCTAAGCAAAACTAACTGTACAAGGCCATTAACTATTACTCCCGGACCTTGTAACTGTAACAGTACTGAAACAGTCAGTCATATCGAACACATTGAAAAAAATCTCTAGGAGCCCTCAGTCGCCTCACAGGACCACCTGGAATACAGGCTGTAAAGGACTACGGCAAGTTTACCAGGCCACAATCTTACCACAAATAATATACGTAGCATCGATCTGGTACGCCACATTGAACTCCAAGGATAGCCCCTGGGAAGAAGTGGTAGGCAAGCTAGAAGTAAACTAAAAGAAAGCAGCCAGGATCATCATAGGGGAATTCAAGACCGTCTTAGGAGCAGCACTCGGAATAGAGATATCCCTTCCTGACCCTTCTCTGGTGGGAACCATCAAGAACACATATAGCTATCAATACTAAGAGAGCAAGGACCATCCATGGCTAGACTCTCTAGCAAAACCTGGGCCTTGTTATTTATACTGACGGCAGTGCTATTAATGGGAAAGTCTGGGCATTAGCCGTCTCATATGGCCTCTCAATTACAAGACAAATATTCATAGGAAGAACACTAGAGGTAAATATATTCTTGACGGAACTGGTTGGGATTATATATGGTCCTAGAGATGGTACAGCAAAGGATAGAAAGAGAGGTAATAATCCTCTGCGATAGCCAGGCTGCGATTCAGGCAATCAATGGTACTCAAAAGACAGGCTCATGGATTTTAGGAAGCATTGCGGAAAATGGGACGAGCTCCGGAGCTAGGGTATCCTGGCTATTCGCTAAATCCCGGCACACCAGGGAATTGAGGGTAATGAGCGAGCAGACAGAGCAGCAAAAGAGGCAACTGGATGGGGATTAGTGCGGAATAGTAGGGGAAGACAGATTCCAGTGGACATGGACAGTATTGCCCCAAGACTAGTTGGACTCCAGCAATCTTTGTCAGCGCTCAAGAGAGACTTAAAGACTCTAGCTTATAAACAGTGGAGACAGAACTGTCAACAAAGTCAACGAGGCCGTATTCTTTTCCAGATCGTTGACAAACCATCAAAGAAGAATATAGAGCTTCATGCTAGACTTAGCAGGCCTCCATCATCTATCTTAACACAAATAGGGACAGGCAATATTAGCCTGCTGCATTTCCTATACAAAAGAAATATTCCAGGAATCGATGATGGAGAATGCCAGTACTAATGTAGAGCATGAATAGTCACACATATCTTACTGAGCTGTCCTAGGTTCAAGAAGGAGCGTAACGCATGGAAGAATAAAGGAACATAGTCGTCCGATACAAGGAAGATTCTCTCTAATAGAGAGCATGCCGCCAGATCAGGAAAATTCATGTTGGAAACCAAGCTCCTTGGGCAATTTAGGAGTTTAAATTTAGACCTCCAGCAGAGCGGTGAGTCCTCCAGGGTATAACAGCTACTACACCAGCCGGAGCAGCAGCAATGCACTCTAGCAAGCATACACCAGCTTGTCATTCCATTTTAAATTATTTAGATACATAGGTATTTCATGTATATAGGACCGGAGCTGGCGGTCAGGATTAGGACACATGCCGCATAGCTGCCTCTGGGGCGGCTGGGACAGTTAGATGAAGTAATCAACCAATCAACCAATCAACCGTCTGGCCTGAACTTGCGATAGCCCATATTTTTGACCGTGTAACAAGGTGCTTGGTGTTTGGAGTCTTCAGTCGTTGCCGGTGACGGTATGGGGGTTCCCCTATTAGAAGTGTTAACTGGTAGATGATTTTAAAGATTATTTTCTCCAAGTGTGCAGTGTCCTATCTTCGGTAGTTGCAGCAAGGTCTACCTGGAAAGGGAAAAGGAAGAGGGTGTGAGGGGTAGGAATGCTTCATGTTTCACTGGGTTGGTTGAGGTTCGGTTTCTGGTTCCGATTCCAGTCTTCCTGTTGCCATCGCGAAGGTGATTGCTGCGTGGACAGCCTTCATGATATCTGGATGCCGTCTGTCCGAGTCCGAACGTGATTTCCACCGAGAAAGAAGGCCAGAGACAATAGGAGTTGGGTGGCTCGCGGTCACCTGTGGCAAAGCCTTAACAAGTCCGGTCAATACAAATATTACCTTCCACGAAAATATTCGTTATTCGTGCCGACTCCTAAATTTCGAGTTACAGAAGTGGACACAATGAGGCTTAAAGACGATGTAAGTTGGAGCCTCAAAGACTTGTCAGATTGATTGATTTCGTTTTAGCGGACTGTCTCGCGTTTTCCAAAATATGAAGTTGACTGGCTAAAATGACTTGTAAGGCTGACACTTGTGGAGTTTAAGCTACACATGGCTTAGCGTTTCAGCATCTTCAAAGATATCCAAAATTAGTCCACACATGGCGGAGTCGCGGACAACCTCCAACGCGTCGGACTTGTCGGACAGCCTTATGGTGGTATTGTTCATCTTCTCTTAGAATCCGATAGATGGCAGGGCATAGTACTCCTGACTCCTTTACAAGTGGTTAAGGAGGTATGTACCCCGCTGGTGGCTGCTCTAGTCACCCCCTAATGAGTAATGGCTAATGGCTGGATTAAGCGCTCACATAAAAGTACGCTTGTTGGTAGCTACTCAATCCTTATTTGATCACTTAGAGAGAATTCGCAGCCCAGGCCAGTTCAGCTGAATCTAAGCATAGTAACCACTACATGCGGCTTCCTCCCTGTTATGCAGCATGTCCAATTTTTCCCAGTTTTCAAAATCTATTAGGTGGGAGGCTCCTTGCTAAGTGATGGCAGGTTCTCCCGGTAAATGTATTTCCCTCCGTGAAATGATGCTGTAGGGCCAAATAACGGTATTCATAGATATGTACTAACTTTTCCTTGGGTTAACTCCTAACGCTTTGCGTATTTCCTTATATTGCAGAACGAACTCCCCTTCTCTCTTCGAGATATTTGTCAGTGGCCAAAGGAACATTCTTCAGGATACGTCTTTTTTTTCCTCTGCAAATCCTATTTGTCTGCTGGTGACCATCACCATGAGCGAACCCAAGTCCACCGATGGCGAAACGGTCGTCGAGATCATTAGCGAAGGGACATGGAAAGCCGGACCCAGGGCTTGGTCAATCATCCTCACCTTAGCCTTCGTCAGCCTGATCGTTGCACTGGATGCAACTATTCTGGTAACAGCTCTTCCGGCAAGTTTTTGAGATATGCGTGAACCATTTCTGCTCAGATTCTAAGTACACACAGACAATATCGGAAGATTTGAGAGGCAGCGGCAGTTCAGCCTTTTGGGCGGGCACATCATATCTACTGGCGAGTAGTGTTTTGATGCCCTTCATGGGATCGCTATCCGACATACTAGGACGTCAAGAGATTCTATCTGCGGCCTTGCTTTTCTTCACTGCGGGAAGTATCGCAGTAGGACTGTGCAAAAATATGGACGTCTTGCTACTTGGTCGAGTCCTACAAGGTGTAGGAGGTGCCGGAATAATACCTATGACTCAGATCGTCCTATGCGACATCGTCCCTCTTCGAGTTCGTCCTAAATACGCAACATTTTCGCAAATGGCATGGGCTTTAGGGTCGATAATTGGTCCATTAATTGGTGGTCTCTTGGCGCAATATGTCACCTGGAGGTGGATTTTCTGGCTTAACCTGCCCTTCTGTGGAGTGGGATTGGTGCTTGTGCCCTTGACTCTCCGACTCAAAACGAAAAAAACATCGGTAATGGAAAAGCTGGCGCGCATTGATTGGATCGGCGGTTTCCTGTTCATCAGCAGTATGACGATATTCTTGATGGCTGTTACCTGGGGTGGTGTTGACCATGCGTGGGCTAGCACCGCAACATTGGTTCCTCTGCTTCTAGGTATTGCGGGAACGGTAGTGTCTCTCTTATGGGAGAAATGGGGAGCTGCTCAACCATTCATCAGGCTCGCCATTTCCTCAAATAGGTCTGCTTTGGCTGGTTATTTTTGTGCTATCACACAGGGACTCGCGGTAAGGCCTCTTGCTTCACGCCATATTACCCCCTTTTTTCATACTGACGCTTCGCTTCGCCAATTGCTCTCGGCTTTACATTCAGCTCTACTATATTGCGTTATATTTCACCTCCGTCAAAGGATTCTCGCCAGTTCATACCGGCGTCTGTCTAATCACCGTGAGCAGCATCCTCATGCCGATCGGCGTCATTGTATCGTTGATCATCACTCATACAGGCCACGTTCGATGGGCTCTGTGGTCTGGCTGGGTTTTCATGATCCTTTCATCTGGTCTGCTGATCTTGCTAGACGAATCGATTGCCACGTGGCGCTGGGTTCTGATACTAATGACAATTGGCATAGCACATGGTCTGCTCATCCAAGCACTTATATTCGTGCCGCAGGCCCTAGCTAAGGAGACAGACGAGTCCTACGCAGCCATCATGTACACCTTCGTTCGCACATTCGGACAGACTTTCGGTGTCGCGATTGGTGGTACCATGTTCCAAAACAGATTGAAGCAGCATCTGGCCTCAGCTGGTCTCAATGTTGCTATCGGCACCGATGCTGAGCAGTACGTCAACGTACTGAATACGATGACAGATCAAACGTTGCGAGATAAAATATTGGCGGCTTATGCTGCTAGTTTTCGCAATACTCTTGAGCTTGTTCTCGCACTAACGGTGCTGAGTGCACTCATTTCGTTACTGATCAAGAAGTTCACTGGGCAAGTGCTTGGTGGCAGTAGATGATTCATTAGTTCAGCAGGCGACAACTGTGACAGTACTGAAACAGTACAACATGATATCTGTGACAAGCCAACCCCAAGTAGGGGTACAACATGAGATCTCCTGCCAACGACTCCTGCATGCATAAGAAGGAGGTTTGCTAGAATGAGAGTAGTCTTCCTCGTTCAAGCTTCAGTCCCTGTATGTTAGCAACAGTACCTTTGTCGATGAAGATTGAACACACAAATGACCTTCTGCCATATTGATAATTCCTCCTGCCTAACCATCGGATTAACCTCCTATTACAACAACCAATCGCCAAATTTGGTTTTCTCTTTTCGAAACTTCTTGCTATTTGAGACATCATTGTTATCGAACTCAATTCAATCCATAAGCAATAACCTATTGAATTTAAAAAGGAACGTCTGATTCTGCAGATTCCCAAACTCTGCTACTATTCATAGAATGACTTAACTTAATGCTGCACAAGATGATTCGCCAGACAAGGATCCAAGCTAAATTGACATTTCGACATGCTTTCGGGTTCGATGTTCTATTTTCAGTTCACTGATACAAGCTATCATCAGACGTCAAAGCACCTTGAGTAAGAATGCTGTATCCGCTTAGTGAGAGCTAGCCTCCCTGCTCTTGCTCAGGTTCTAATGCTAGCCACCAACAATGGGATTCTCATCCCGAATTGATGTTTTTCACGCCAGGCACCAAGCACCAATCAACTCCGCTGGCCCCGCTTCGACCTAGATGTATTATCATATTCTCCGTACCTTCAGAACACACCCTACGAGTGATAACATTGCTGTGCCCGCTGTCATTGATGATGTGGAAAAGAAGAAGTGTGTTTTGAAGGCTAGCCTGTTCTAGATAACCAAGTCTGCCCCCTAAAATGACGCCTCACCCTGGCTAGTACAAGGCAGTATGATTGGCCGCGTTATATGCGCTGAAGCGCCAACAAGAAAACCGAAGTCAGCCTCGCCAAATAGCAAACCCTCAGACAGCTCGTCATGATGTTTATGACTTCTATCCTTCCTGAACTCATAATCTGTTCATGACATGTGAGAATTTCGGCGAATCTATAACATACAATGGCTACCAGGACCCGTCAATCGCACGACGATTATATAGTCAGATAGATCTGCGCGCTACCACTCAAGATGGCAGCTGCGAAAGCCATGCTAGATGAAATCCATGACGACCTACCAGTACAAACTACCGATCATAATACGTATATACTTGGAAGGATCAAAGAACATAACATTGTGATTGCCTGCTTACCAAGCGGTGATTATGGACTTGTTTTGGCGAACACAGTTGCGATGCAGCTGATGTCCAGTTTCCACTTGATTTGGTTTGGTCTGATGGTGGGTATTGGAGGAGGAGTACCAAATGATGACGCTGATATTTGGCTTGGGGATGTGGTGGTTAGCAAACCGACAGGCAAATATGGCGGAGTGGTGCAATATGACTACGGCAAGGCAATAAGTGGCGGTGGATTTCAGCGGACTGGCATGCTCAACCGCCCACCACAGATCCTGCTCACAGCGTTATCTAAAATCCAGACAGATCATCTTACAGATGGCAGCTAAGTACCAGAATTTGTTATGACGATTGAACAAAAATTCCCTCAGCAAGCATCCAACTTTGCGCGCCTAGCAATAGGGGATATTCTATTTCTTCCTAATTACCATTACAGTGATGCAAAATCGAAGTCTTGCATTGCGTGCGATCTTTCTAAAACTATTTCCCGAACCGCTCGGAGCCATAACAGACCTCTGGTCTATTATGGAGTGATTGTATCCGCAAATCAGCTCGTGAGGGACAGCCAACTACGGAATTGGCTAAGCCATGACCTGGGCGCATACTGTGTAGAGATGGAGGCGGTGGGACTCATGAATAATTATCCATGCCTAGTTATTTGTGGGATTTGTGACTATGCAGATTCCCACAAAAATAAAGAGTGGCAGGGGTATGCCTCTGCAGTGGCAGTAGCCTATGCCAGAGAGCTCCTTCTCTGTATCTCAATCAGTGATATAGATTGTATGCGGTCTGCAGAGGACGCTGTATCTGGTATGTTTATCAATATCAACTGAGACTGAATTACACATATTTCTGGGTTTTGACTATGCTCTGAAACTAGCAAGATTCAACGTCCCATTTGATTTGATTAGGTTACTGGTAATTGCAAACTTTCTGGGACGACAGAAAGAGCTAGAGCAACTATGGCATCATCTTCAGCTGCAGAATTCAAATTCTCGAACAGTCGCTATCCTTCAAGGATTGGGCGGCATCGGAAAAACCCAGTTAGCAATCTAATTCGCACGTGACCACAAAGATGACTATACTGCAATTTTATGGTTAAGTGGCAAGACTCGCGACACACTACTGCAATCATTAAGCTCCATTCTTCCTCAATTACCGGGTCAATTACTGGGTCAATCTCGGTCCTATTCCGCGACAAATGATGACGAGATAGAGCAAAATGCGAGACAAGTATTAAAGTGGCTCGCGGTACCAGGAAATTCGCGATGGCTTCTAATTTTTGATAATATTGGCCAGTATTCTCCGGGGATAGAAGATGGATACGACATCCAAGAATTCTTCCCAACGGCGGATCATGGATCGATCTTGATTACATCTCGGCTCCAGTCGCTGCCCGAGCTTGGACGGTCTTTCCCCATCCCCATCTTTGATACTGAGGAGTCCCTTTTACTGCTTTGGCAGAGCATGAATCTGCATATTCTGGATACAATCACCGGAGAAGAGGTAGACCAAGGTATCAATTTATCCTTTTATAATCCATCCAACTACGCTAATTATTCATTGTAGATATCAATTATCTGATTAATCGCCTCGGAGGGTTACCATTGGCAATTACTATTGCAGGCGCATTCATGCGTGAAACAGGAACTAGCATTAAGAAGTACATGTAGTACTATCAGAGATCATGGCACGACCTACAAATCCGTGCAAAACCAGAACATCATTACCAACAAGGGAATTTACTACAAACATGGTAAGTTTTATATAATGAGATTCGGAAACGAGACTCTAATGTGGCTGAACTGATGCTTCTGCTTGCTCACTTTAATAACCGAGACATCTAGTATGATTTAGTAAAATACATCGAACATAGTTCACAGCCGTTGATATGGTTTGATAACGTAGTGTCAGATACTCTGGCTTTTAAAAACAACATATGAACTCTAATTCAATTCTCTCTGGTTAAGATTAATGAACAAATTAATAGCTATAGCATACACCCAGTTATATAAGACTGGTGTCTGGACATGGCTCGGACTGAGACCAATAGGCTGAACAGTCCGTGGCATGAGTTAGCACTCGTTGCTGTTGGTGCTATGGTACCCGGCACGGATGAGCAAGATTATTGGCAGCTACAACGGCGATTGCTGGTTCATGCAGACTTTGTGCGTCAGATGGTTAGGAGTGACCACCTGACAGACGATGTCAGTGTCTGGAGTGCATTCCATAGCCTTGGAAATCTCTACTCTGATCAGGGAAAACTAAAGGAGGCAGAGACAATGTATCAGCGAGCATTGGCAGGCTACGAGAAGGCACTAGGGCCAGACCACACATCCACTTCGGATACTGTCAACAATCTTGGAGCTCTCTACGCTGTTCAGGGCAAACTGAAGGACGCAGAGACGATGTATCAGCGAGCATTGGCAGGCTTTGAGAAAGCGTGCGGTCCAGACAATTACCAGACCAAATAGGTTGCAGAGGCGTTGAAAAGATTAAGTAAGAAGCGTAGTAATAGAATAGCTAAACTTTTCCATAGACAGTAAATCACAATTGGAAGAAGCAGTATATTAGTCTATGCGCATTGTTACGTCCACCGCTCTATCGGGCTCTTGGTATTTCTACCTGGTATGTTTCTTAACAGTGCTGTAGTACGCCACTAACCGCATCTGACACAAGTGAACCGAAGACAGTGTAAAAAAAGGTGAAGGCGATTTCGAAACTCTCTGTATACATCTGCATCATTAAGGAGTAGGACCGCTTTCCAGTCGCTAGCTATCTGAAAGGTAGGGGCGGGCTGTACCTCAAGCTCCTCCGCCCTTATCAGTCTAGCTGTGGCAGACGAGACAGATGAACGTACTGTAAAAGAATGATGGCCCTGCCCTTTCCTTACAATAACGTCCTCAAAGGTGACTTCCCTTCGATACTTTCCACGTTTGCTGTTACTCAGTCGTACTCACCGCAGACTTTTTGATCCAAGGAGAATCCGAGCACTATCGGACTACATATCGCGAGATCGCCTTCTTTTATCTCGCGAAAATCAATATCCTTGCTTCGGACACGGGCTTCTGGTTAGCCCTGTTTCACCTGTTAGAAGAGAAAATCAGCTATGTTAAGCTTTTTAATCTTTAGCCTCAGATAGTTCAGGTTCAACCTGTGAAAGATGGCGGCATCAACCATAATTCTTGCATCCACGTGAAGTTTCATCGATGATGGCAGGAAACAAAATGGCAGCCATTGCAAACCTGCCGCGACCAAATTTTTAGATCAGAGTGGTATTCCAGTGGGAAAACAGGCAAGGTCTTAATCTGTTTCACTCTTTAGGAGTACTTGATCTGCAGAGTCTCGGTGGATTTACTAAAAATATCTCCGTCATAATTGAGACAGCGTCCATTGATTTCAAGAATCTCCCGGCCTCCAGTTGTTTTTTCTTACTACAATCGTACCAAATGCATTGAGCCAGACCGGTGGAGGGGCAAGTTGCAAAGACTAGTGACCTGGTTTAAGCAAGGCCTATAAAAGATCCCAGGTGATTTTTCAAGACTCTAAAAGCAAGTTCAGTTGTCCTATCACCGGTGAATATATTTCTTCAGAGTACTGCACAAGCTTGCTTCGATGAAGCATAGCGTCATCAGAGATCGTTTATTGAGAGTGAAAACCTCTTTTTATACTCTCTTAATTTATCTATGAAGCGATATAAATTGCATTCGATCTATTTGCTCAATTAGCGACGGAGCCTGGCTTGAAACCTTGGTAACATACCGCAGGGCGATCAGCATCGAAGTTCGCTTTTCTGATGTCTTTCAGAATCTCTCTCAAGATATCTCTTATCTCTTATTCCCGGAGCATAATCGAATCACAAATATGTATCCGCCTAATTCATTCACGTCCAGAACTAGAGTAGAATCGACAATCTTGTATTTATATCTCGCGGAATCTCATCTACACCATCTTGTACTTTACCTTCGAGGCACGAATTCTCGCTCTATCGTTATTGATCTCGATCCTCTTGTTGCTGATAGGCTCTTTGCCGTCCAAGGTAATTGTGCAGTTTGAATTCCTAGGACTTCCGCAAACAACCATTTCAGCTCTTCTTTTGTGACAAAATTCGAAGAAGTCATATGCGGACTATCAGGGAGGATCGTAGCTTCCATAGATTTAGGGTAGAGCTATAGTTCTTGTGGACTGTTGTCAATTTCTGTGTCCAATGTACTTACTACAATGTTCTGGTATGACAGAGGAAGACTGTCGGCTCTGTACAAGCTGCGAGAAGAGCTGTACCAGCGGGGAAGGTTTTGGCTTCAGCAGAGACTGGAAGTAGCAAATCGCTGACGAGTACTTTGAGAGAATTAGGGACGCTAAGGAGAACTCCTGTCTCGTCTATATTATATACATTCTCTGGGAGAATGGCCGGATTGGCCAGCCCTCGACGCATGAAGGCAAACCAGTGTCGGCTTTCTCCTGGCGGTCAGCCCTCGAGGCTAGGATCTGTGATTTGGAAATTCGAAGATCGTTGGCGCACGATGGTCAGCACGAGCGATCGTAGAAATTTCACTGGAAGCAGCGACAGCTCAACGATGTATAAGAAAACGTGAATTCTCGTAAGCTGCGTACTTGACGAAGCTGTCTATAGATTTTAAACAGCTCATGTTATGTTTAGAAGGTTACTATTATATAAATTAGGGTGGAACACAATAAATAACTGAAGCAAGTAAAAGGCCTGCACTGTTCTTGCAAATAAACTGTGTTATCTGGAAAACTGACTGGGCCAGGGACAATAGGAGTATCAATTGACGTAGCTATCTTCACCCGGTCCTCCTGTTCAACCGTTGTGCTTTTGTGAGCCGTCGTAGTGATTCCTTTCTACCTAGTATAATCAGAGTTTCTGGAATACCAGGACCAGAAGCACCTCCAAGAAGAATCCAGCGAAGATAATGATAAAGCTCTTTCTTGAAGACTATGCCTGGTATGGAATCAAGATTGGCACGGTGCGTAGAGCTATGAGTGGTGACTCTGAATTATCAAGATCCCAATCGTGTTCACTGAGTAGTGTGTATGGGGCCTGACTCAATGTTGCTGCAAAAAAAGCCCGATTTCTATCGAGGAATTGATTTGGTGTTGTGAAATGACTTCCGTCGTATCGAAGTAAGGATGTTACGATATCACGTGTCGACATACTGTATATTTGATTAGCGGACTTAATCTCATTGGTTTTAAGAAATCAAGAGGCTGGTAAATGAAGGGGGCTGGAGGCTGACTCTGGAAAAAGAGGGGTAAAGTGGTATGGGAAGGATTAGCCGAGTGCCATATCAGCAATTCCAGGCTGGCGAGCAGTTCCTGGAAAGGCTGGAATGGATAGAAAGATAAAAAATAAAGACAGAAAACATACAACAGCAGGGATTCGCTGGTGGTCACCCACCCAACTACTAACCAGCCGGCGTGTGGCTTAAGTACGGCTGAGCGGACGGGAAGCCCTGTTTTCCACACCCTATGGTCGTATGTGCTAGACAAGGAGGAATTGGGCATCATATTTTAGATATATCCAATATAAGAATTGGACAAGGCGGTTACTTTTCAAAGAGATGAGCGACAACTTAGAGGAAAGGGCACAATATCAAACAAATGTATCGACTTAGGATCATTGACGTACGAGACTAAGTTCTTAAAACTGAAGTGCCTTAACCTGAGATTCTCATTATGAAATCAGCTCTATTTCCATTATGCCATTACATATATTCTTCATAAAGATGTTCCAAAGTTAATCCTTCCAACCCACTCGTTTCGCCAGAAATTTCACTCCATAAACAAGCCCTAACAGCACTGGGACCTCAATCAATGGACCCACAGTTGCTGCGAGAGCTTGATTGCTATCTGCTCCAAAAGTTGCAACGGCAACGGCAATAGCGAGTTCGAAGTTATTGCTAGCCGCGGTAAAGCTCTGGGTGGCTGCCAGCTTGTACCCAAATCCGAGCTTATATGTGATATAGAGGGTAGTGAAGAAGATAACAGTGAAATAAACAATAAGGGGTGCTGCAACTCGGACGACAGACACAATCTGATGTACCACCTGGCGTCCCTGGGAAGCGAAAAGCACCAAGATCGTAAATAGCAGGCCAATCAATGACAACGGGCTTACCCATCTGATAAAGACTTCATCATACCATCTTGCGGTCGTAAGCCGTCGGAGGGTGAAACGGGTTACTATTGCGGCACCTAGAGGGATCCCAAGGAAAACAGCGACGCTTTTAGCGGCAATCCCGTAATCAAAGTCGATAGGATCCTGGCTGATTACTTCAATAAAGAAAACGGCGAGAGGAGCGAAGAGAACCATCTGAAGGATTGAGTTGATGGCGACGAGAATGGCGCAATATTCGTTGTCGCCTCCTGCTAATCCGGTCCAGATCAAGACCTATTGGAGAAATTAGCATCAGGTGTGAAAGATGTCGTGGATCACTTGGAACAAAAAACATACCATAGCAATACATCGAGCTACTCCAACAAGAACCAGACCCTCTCTTAGCTCTGGTTCATCGGGAAGAAATGCCCAGGCCAACGCCAGCTAGTTTTTTCAGTCAGTCACAAGTGGATACATGAGAATGTGGTGATTGACGTACCATAAAGAATGGAGCTATGATCCAGTTGACGAATATGCTAAAGGCAATCTGCGTCCATATCTGTCGTGTACGGAATACATGATGCAGACCCTCATATCGAACTTTGCAAAGAATGGGATACATCATGACAAGAAGGCCGACGGCTGTTAGACACGAGTTAGTACATCTATCGTTTCTCGCCTAGAGCTTCTATAAGTACTCACCGATTGGAACCGAAACCCCTACAAACTTCCCTTTCTGTAACGCAGGCCCGGTATTGGGGACAAAATTTCCCAATATAATGCCGATAGCCATTGCGAGAAAAATCCATACAGCAAGGAAGCGGTCAAGTAGAGCGAGATCTTTGAACGCAGATTGCTTGCTCTGAAACTCATCCTGTGGGAGGCCGCGCTCTCCTTGTTTTTCCACGTCGCAAACTTGCTTTGTCGATGAGTCAAGAGACTCAGGGCGTAGTTGAGACATATTGATCTCTCTATCACAATCTCGTGGACTATATCAAAAAGATACGTAGATATGCACCGAGGCAAGAGTGCAGAGCGCAGAGAGCTTAAGATGTCGAAAAAGAAGAATACCTAATCCTTAAGCCCATTATTTATATCACTGCTTCCATAGAAGGTAAGGAAAATGAGGTCAGACATAAATAAATATCTAAATATCTGCATGTGTAGTCTGGCATTTGCCTTGTGGCGACGGCAAGGTCCCCAGTCAGATGTCACCGAAGACAGCTGATTGGATTATGTCGGATGACTAAGCGGAAAGGTAACCCTACATTTTCGTCTGACTTTTTCTCTTCTGATGTCCAAGTGTTCTTCGTCCCACCCATCATTGAGATGTGGCTGCGAAGGACTACGGCTTGGATGTGTGAATGCTTCGGTAATCGGTTCTATCTACTTCTTCTTCCCGAAGTTTAATCCACATGTTCATGATGAATGTCACTAAGAAATTTTCATTGGATGGATGTTGAGCCATACCTGGGTGTTTCCTCCACCTTTATCCATCTGAGCCATACTGACCAACCAATCTGACACATTTGTCCGAGATGGTGCATCTTGCTCTCAGCCTTGAAGACAAGCTAGGAAAATGAGACTCTTGGCCCCCGTTGAGTGCCCTGACGATGCAGCTTACATATCATTGCGGTCTCGACTTCTGGTATCTGATTTCTATCTAGCCACCCCGATCTGTCGTGCGATCTGCTAAGATTCCGCCGAGATTTAAGAATTCATTCTGGAAGTGGTAATGGCCGATTTTACTTTGAGTCTTCTATAGCCAACTAACAAATTATTTTACAGAAAGGACAACATCCACGACTGATTTCATTGAATAACGAGTGTCATCATGGCAACTAAGCCTAGCGCATTATTTGTCTGTATCCATAATGCCGGCCGATCTCAAATGGCCGCTGCATACCTCAGTCATCTGGCAGGCAATGCTATAGAAGTCCGCTCCGCTGGCTCAGCCCCAGCCAACACCATCAACCCTATGGTCGTCGGAGCCATGCGCGAAGAAGGCATTGACATTATTGACCAAAAACCGAAAATCTTAACGAGTGAATCTGTCGAGGCTAGTGATGTGGTCATCACTATGGGCTGTGGTGATGTCTGCCCATTCTTTCCGGGCAAGCGTTACCTTGATTGGAAGCTTGATGATCCTGCTGGGCAGGGAATTGAAGCTATCCGCCTTATCCGGGATGAGATTCGGTGCCGGGTTGAGAATCTGATCCAGGAGATGTTGCAGTCTGACTGATGTTGTATGTCGTTAGTGTCCTGTTATGCCTGACTATCCATCACACGACAAAATGCTGGTGTTGCATGCTTTTATACCCACAATTAACTAGGTATGGTTAGGTTGGTCTTAGTCAAAAATAGCATTTGTGTTTGGCATGCACGTGAAAGCATTCTAGTCTATCATTCTATGTTCTTTTTATTCATGTGATGCCCTAAATAGATATGCCTTCCCGCGTCTTGTGGAGTATTAAAAGCGGCTACGGCATCATAATCAACCGATTATGCCTTACTTTTCGCTTCTTTAATCCTTTTCTCCTCCCGTTCGCTGTACCGGTCACCGAAGAGGTCGATTTGAGGACGCATCAGAATCGTATACTTGACAAATTCCTCCATGCAATCTACCAAACGGTCACGATTACTGCTGTATTTGAGTCGCTGGTCTCCCGGTTGCCCTTCATCCGGAAAGTGTGTATATGCCATGGGTATCGAGGATTGATTCGGAATCGTAAACATCCGCATCCAGCGACCAAGGATGCGTAAGGAGTTTACTGCATTGAATGACTGTGAACCACCACACACTTGGGCAATGGCAAGTGTCCGACCTTGCGTTGGACGTACACTTCCAGTACTTAAAGGTATCCAGTCAATTTGGTTCTTGAAAACGGCGGTCTAGTTCTATCAGCTACGGACTTTGGTATAAAGAGGGAGAACTAACCAGATTACCATGCTGCTCAGGCGAAACCCAGAGTTGTCCATCACTCCATGTACTCAATGCACGAAGCTCCTGTACTTTTGCATGACCGTGATCGACATCATTTTTCACCGGTAATCCCTCCGGATCAAAGACGCGCACATCGCATCCTAAACGGAACAGAATCCGACAAGCCTCGAATGCGACGAGCTTTGAGTAAGACCTTCTGCGTAGACTGCCGTATAGTACGAGGATTTTGAGTCTTTTATTTGTTAACCGGAGATTATTCTCTGCCATATCGAGAACCCTGGTCAACTCCAAGGCGCTGACCCAGTCGTCCTCTGCATCGTCACGGATAAATGGGCGATATTTCCGGCGAATATCCATATCGTCTTCGGTCTCCGGAATTGCGAGGGAGAGTGGCCTAACATGTTCGCCATTCGCAGTTGGTTCTGTCTCAGCAACAGCGGGATTTGCCATGGTCGTATAAGCGTGTCGCCAACAATGTCGACCTGAACAGATTGCTGGACTGTGTCTGACTGTGAATGATCTCAAAATAGTATTCATCTGAAAGACGTGCTCTGTTGTATATGTTTGAAAATGCGCTCATACAGACTATAGAATACTAGGCAGATAAATGGCAATGGCAAGAATGAAGAATCGAGGAAGAAACGGAGATATTGTCACTGCTGAGTGATGATTGGTCAAAGTAAAAAAGGATCGTACATGGACCCACTTCTCTCGGCAGCCCTGGTAGCGGCTATTCCGATTGGCTCAACTGGGGTATAATCTGATCTGATAAGATAAGCATGCATTTTGTGTGGTTCATTCGGGATAGGAACAGAAATGAACCAAGTCTTTGGTTTTATCTAATGTTGAGAATAGGAAGATTACAAATATGAAATGAAGGATGGGAAGAGCAGCATTGCTATTGGCTATGACTATGTCGATGAGTATCTAGGCGGTAGCATGCGGTTCATATCACATACCTTAGTGGGAAACGTGGGCGCCAATAGTATATGAGGAATGACATACTAGCCAAGTGTTTTTAATAGAAGATAGATACACGTATGTGTCATATTGTTTCTTTCTGTTACAAGCGGGACAAATGTATGTGGATCTTAAGCTTATACGATAGAGTCCAATCTCGCTATAACGGTGAGGAGGGAGTTCTGTCTTCATTACATCCGAGGCTTCTCTTTCTACCCCGCCTTGAATCAACTAGTTCGTTATCTAACTCACAATTTGCTTTGGTAACTTATCAAAGCATACCTAGAGAATATATCCTTGCCACTTTCCATTTTCCTTACTACTAAACTGAAGATCTTGATTTATTTTAGCATATATACATCGCAGAAATGGCCGATATTTACCAATTAGTACAGGCTTGCTATGGCAACATAGCAAAGAAAATCGTCACTAATCAAGAACAAGATGGCGAGAAGAAGATTGCCATGGCTTTTGGCTACAGCGGAGACGACTTGCTTTCTCTCCCGGAGAAGACAAATCTCGGTCTAAGTTGTGGTAATCCTGTGGCATATGCGAACGTAAAAGAGGTAAGTGATGATGGCTATTCTTTTATCCATGCCCTATTGAAATGCCCTATTCACTGATATTTATTTACCTAGGGTGAGACTGTAGTCGACCTCGGGAGTGGAGGCGGCATTGACGTCTTTCTGGCAGCTCGCAAGGTTGGGCCCGCTGGCAAGGCGATAGGAATAGACATGACCAAGGTGACCAATGCGATTTTTTTCCATAATCCCACAGGCTGATAAAGACTGAACAGAATATGATCGACCTCGCGATCGAGAATGCCAAAGCAGCTGGTCTATCTAATGCGACTTTTATTGAAGCATCAATCACTTCAATTCCTCTCCCGAGTTCCAGCGTTGACTGTATCATCAGCAATTGCGTTATAAATCTCGTTCCAGCAAAGGATAAGGGATCTGTATTCCATGAAATTGCTCGATTGTTGAAACCTGGTGGCAGGCTTGCCATTAGCGACATCTTAGCAAGAAAACCACTTCCCAAAAACATCGTCGAGGATATGGCGCTATATATGGGATGTATTGCGGGTGCCAGTCAGGTTGCTGAATATGAGGAATATCTCCGACAAGCCGGTTTCCAAGGTATGTAATGTGTACGAGCATTTGAAGATTACACCTAGGTAAGCACGACTTACTGAATGCTGACATGCCCTTAGACATATTGCTTGTTGATACGAAATCAAATCTCAATCTCTATAAAGAGTCCTCCTACTTACAACAAAGTACATGTTGCGGCCCCTCAAGTGGCTCAAAGGAACAAAAGGCCGATTCGGCGAATATTGATTACAATGAGTGTGCTGGTAAGTTTAAGACTCTATTAGAATTGTTCAACAGTGATAGTGCTAAGTATCATTCAGGTTCCTTTCAGATTTATGCTGTCAAACCCGCTGTCTAGAATGTTTATACGTGAATTTCCAGTCCTTTTCTGTGTGTTAGACGTCTAAGTATGGCATATGGATTACCACAAGCTCCTGAGGGAGTATAGAAGACTCATCATTCGCATATTAGCAACGGACCTGTAAAATTTAGTGTCTGTCAGAGGTAGGCAAGCTGTCTTTGCACGTTGAGACACCCATCACCTGGGCAATCTACCTATTACGCGAGGTCGATGTTGGCGGAAAAGGTCGGGCGTAATCTGTTTGTCCCCAACATCAGAGACTAGTTGGAAGTCTCCCACAAAAGAAAATGAATATTTTGGAATCCTTTTATTCCTCATTACTACTCTCTTACTTATCAACTTTCCGAATTCCATCATCTGAGGGTGCCTTCTACCAAGACCTGAGTTTAGGTGATTTGGCTTCCCTCAAATAACTGTTACCAATATGCCACAATCCAAAAACAAAAAGTCAGAATACGAGTCCAGGCGGTAAGAAATCTTCACCATCAGTACCCTCAAACGAGCGACAACTTACTGTACAGCTCTCTGCAAAGAGATTCGATCCCTGATCCTGAACTTCTTTCCCAGACGTCTAAAATCCTTCGTCCAACGAGGTCGCATCCCTGTAATCCAAACCAGCTCGACCAAACCTCGGGGAAATCTTTGGGACCGCATCAAGTCGACGAAAAAACCTTCGCTGTGCGCAAAAGCATGGGACTCCCGTACACCCCTTTGGAGGAACTGGATAGGGTGCTCAAGGACTTTTTCAAAAAGGGCCCTGCGTATGCATCATATAAATTCCAGGCTCTTTTCCAGGCTGCGATGTATGTGGAGACAGTTGTGTATGTCGATGAGAGACTGATGCGTACCACGGGATCCATGATCGCTAAATCTGTGTCCTGGGAGTCTTGCAAACTTGCATGTACGCTTGTCCTTCTATTTGCAAGCCCACCGTCGGCTTTCATGCTCAAAACTCTCACATGGCAATCCCGGAATCTTGACGGGTTCCCTACTATGGCAGAGATCTCCAGCACCCCGAGTGTTGATCTTCCCAAACGTTTTGCCCAGGCCAAGAAGGCAGCTATCGATGGGAAGGTTGGAAAAGTCACTGTACTAGGTGTGAGCTTGATCGATGTGGAAATAATTGAAAGGGCCGAGGTTGGTCGTAACGATGTGGACTTTGACTTTACATCCTTTACACACTCTTTTGCCTTGGCAATTGGAAGGGAGGGCTTCAGGGTATATCAATCATGGGGCGAGCATGGCTACCGTCTAGATCAGTTTTTAACGAGAGGTGGTTCGAGAATCCGTTCATGGGAAGAAGGGAAAGCTTTTATGAAAGCATTCAAAAAACTCGCTTCTGCAACGGTATGACAAGCTGATTGAGGCTTCATGTTTGATTCTGGCATTGCTGACTTGAATTAGAAATGGTCCCCGGAGTTGAACAGTGCATATAAAGAGCTATTTGAGGTTGATATTGATTCGATATGCGGCGAATGGCGTGTACAGCCTCCCCTTATCCCTGTTTATCGCCCTTGGGTCAGGGTGTTTGAGATCAACGATGTTCAAGTGAATCACATCAAGAAATTCACCTGGAAAATAATTGAATAGGCCATGTATACTACTGAAGGACTTGCAGACATGTTGGAAGAAAATTAGCTTTTCAATTTATGGCAACAAATAGTACATCAGTCATTAATCTAGCAGTGCTTCACTGTGGGTTCTATGTCAGAGAAATAGTTATGATGATGAGGGCGTAAGATCCGGCAAGTGGTAATACGAACATGCAATGACTCGTCTATATTACATGGTCAAATCCTTTTTCTTGATCTAAGCACTCTCTCGTTTCAGTTCAGCTTTTCCCTTCGCCTGCTTTCTCCACTGCGGACCCCATATGATGACTGCCCACCAGCAGACACTCAACACGATCCAAGTGAGTGCAACAAGAGTACCGGTCCATCCTCTCCCAATAGAGTTGAGCAACGGATTTACTATGGCCGCACCTCCCGCCCCAAGGAGGCATCGAACCAGGTTGAATGCAGCACTCGCAGCAGCAGCGCTTTTGGGGTTGATATCAATGATTAGTGCAGTCAAAGGTTGGACCGCCGCTGAGGTGCAAAGACTCATAAAGAAGAGGAGGACAAGTGCAGCTGGAAGAGGAGGGTGCTTCAATCCCATTACCCATCCATAGGGGAGAATTGCAATGGATGAGATGTAGACACATGTCAGTGAAATCTCAAGGCGGGCTCTCTCGATCGGAAAATTGTCGATATCATGTTGGACATTGTCAACAGTTTCGACACCTAATTTTCGGGCGTGGCGACGGAAGTTGGCGTCCATTATTCGACCGACTATTGGCCTGATAACTATTGGTCCGATACCGATAGGAATATAACATAGACCGACTTGAATTGAATTGTAATTGTACGTTGATGACAATTGTTGCGGTAACCCAGTTAGGATCAGGATATAGCCAGCATAGAGAAAAGCTCCGAAAATGAGAATCAGGAATGACTCCTTTTGAAAGATGATCGTGATAGAAGACAGTATGCCTGGCCGCTGTCTTTTGGACGTGGTTGTGGGTTGGAAATCCTCACGACTATCCTTATCCTTCAACTTGGCTTTCACATATTGTATAACTGGTTTGTTCCATGACTGTGGCGGTACAGACCCGTTACCGACAATGTTGCGGCAGGTTTCTGGAATAAAAATGAGGTATACCAAAAACATCACACCGGCATATATTGCCAGAAACCAAAATATGGCTCTCCACCCCAGGAAATGGTCCAACAAACCTCCAATAATCGGACCAAGTGCCGGCCCAAGTGAAGACCCAAGCGCAGCAAGTCCTATATAACTACCTCGTTGCTGTCTTGTGGCTAAATCAGAAACAACTGCACTTGATAGAGCGGTCGTACCACTGCTACCAGCACTTTGCATACAGCGCAGCACCAGTAGAGCTGCATAATTTGTCTGCAGTGCGAGGCCGATATTAGCTGCAGCAAATATTGTGAAGCAGAGAAGGCTAGCTGGTCTCCGGCCATATCGGTCTGAGTAACCCCCAATAATTGTGGGCGATACACCTTGAAATATCTATCGCAACTGTAAGGAATCGATGTTCGTAGAACGGGGGGAGAGAAACAGTACCAAATACGTTGTGATTGTTAAACTGATATTGGTAAGACTAGTATGCAAATCCTTGGCCAACGTGTTCATGGCTGGATAATAAATGCTGGAAGCAACAGGAGATGAAAAAGCTGCCAAGGAAGCCACATAGACATACAATCCTTTCTCGAATTGCGAGAAGACCGAAAAAGGTGGCGGTGGTAGGTGCTCTTGCGAATTGACCTTCCGTATCTCTCCATTAGCTGGGGCCAGCGCAGAGCCCGATTTCCCTTCAGTTGACTGGCCCATCGTTCATATGTTCATCGATAGGAATAATCTCTGAATGTAACGAAATCAAAATTCTGAGCTGCTGAAGATTCTGTAGTATGGTCAATTTGCAAGATAGCAGTGATGCGGTGAAGATCAGAATCAACTATCCAGTCTGGGTCAAAATTCTTTATTTTCGACATGAGTAAGGATAGTATATAGGTAGGTAGATCTGACTCCTTATATATCACTAATAGATAGACTCCATTCTAGTATGACCCATTGATTAATTGGCTATTGCATCTTCCAGGGAATTGCCGTTACCGGCCCGGTCCGGCTTTGGCTTCCTCCTGAGCCATAACAACGAAAGACTGGACAAGATCGCATTATGATACCAGATAGTAAAAATTTCCAAGACTATATGCACATACAGATATTTGGAGAAATAACTGGTATCCCCCCAAGTATCCGGTTTATCTTCTTCCTTTTTTTTCTTTATTTTTTACTAATGGAATAACCGGTATCACTTTACATGGGTATCATCTCGTCAAACCTTTACCGTCCCTCACCGCCTGAGGAATAACCCTACCTGAGGAATAATTTCAACGGCTTACTGTACAGAATATTTTGAAGCTTTACAACACCACATAATAATTAAATATAGTGAATTTCTGGTGTAGCACTAAATAAGCTATGGCGAATCTAAAAAGCATAAAAGTTAATCGCGAAAACGTGCAGGGGGCCGTATCGCGCGGCCCCTACGGTTTGTAGTAACAACCACCTCATTATCCTCCACATGAGCCTCAGGTTGCACTCTTGGCTTTGCTTGCCTAGAAATTTGCTTTGTAGGCCTTTTTGAAGCCTTTGGAGTTGATATAACATCATTTTGAAGCTGTAAATCAGCTAGCTTAGCCAATTCTTGCTCGTCCTTAAGCCGTTGCTTTTCCGCAGCCTCTTGCTCACGCTGCTCGCGTTTTTCTTGTCGGATTTGAGCTCTTTTAACCTTTTCAGCCTCTCTAGCTTGCTTTTTAAGCTGTTGTTGAAGCTTTTTATCATCTTTATGAGCCTGCTTCTGCGCGGCTTCGTCATTTTTTTGAGAAATAATATCACGAGCTTGCTGAACCTTAGTAGGGCTCATAAAAAGCGCTCCACCATCTTGTTCTGATGGTAAACCTAGTAATAAAGGCTGTTTCTTGTTTTTAGGCTTCTTTGCATTTATGAGAGCTCTTTTCAGGCCTTGATTCTCATTTTGAAGCAAGATAAGCTGAGTAGAAAGATGTGACACCGTTTCTCGAAGCTGTACAGCCTTTTCATCATAAATATTGTTAACAACAGTTTTAACAAGCTTCTCAAGCCGTCTCCAATCTTCTGGAGGAATAATTGAAGCTCCGGATTCGCTTGAGGATGGCCGGCTGGTGATTTTCTTGTTGAATTTGTTGATAACAATCTCCGGATCAAAGGGATATAGACCAGTCGTTCTGAATGCTGAATTGATATTCTTGCTTATAAAAACCTCATTCCAGCTAGCCCAAAAAAGGCGAAAAAAGTCACGTTTAGTGAGCCGGGTGAAGCCTTGGCTATCCCTTATAAAATCATCCAATTGCTTCGTATAAGCGTTAGAAAGAGGCGAGAAAAGAGCGACATCAAGAGGCTGTAAAGTATGTGTTGCATGAGCCGGAAAGATTGCTAATAGAATTCGATTCGAGTCGCAGTATTCAATAAACTTCATTGTAACGTGGGATCCATGCCCATCGAGGATAAGAAGGCGCCATCCCCGGCTTGCTTGAGATTTTGTCTCTTTATCAAAAACATCCACCAACCAGCGATATCCGATATCATTATTAGTCCACCCTGACTCTGAGGCTGCAAAGAAGCATCTCTGTGTTTGGGGATCATAATCTTGAAGCCAAGAATCCTGTATAAAGCCCGATTTTGCCATATAAATAAGACTAGGCGCTAAAGCAGTTCCATTGGCACAGATACAACCAATTGTTGTAATCCATTCTCGATTTCCATCCTGAAGATGCTGCTTATAGCCCCCTTGCTCATATTTGCGCCGAGTAAAGATTCTTTTCCGTTTTGTGCTTACTCCAAGCATGAAGCCCTTCTCATCCATATTATAGATTTGCTCTGGGCCGAGGTTATATTGCTGTATTTTCCGTCCAATAAGCTCAAAATATAAAGCATATTTATATGCCGAATCTGCCTTTTTTCTATCCGAATCAAGGCCCGTTGAATAGCGAGAAATCACCTTATCCGAATGAGCCTTGAGCCAGCGTGAAGCCCAGTTTTTCCCAGGCTCTTTACCAGATATTTCTCTTGCAAAGTTCGCTAACATTGAATTTGTAGGGGGCAGGCCTCGCTCGGTGAGTTGATTTATCCATTTTATAAGCGCTCTTGATTGCGTGGTGGTGAGTATTCGTTGCTTGTCGTATTGCTCTTCTTTTGAGCCTGTAACGCCGTGAAAACGTTTATAAAGGCCCGATTGGCTAACGCCGTATGTTCTTGCAACCAAACTAATATTAGGCTTTTCTCCAGGATCCGCTGAACGTAATGCTGCAAGTGCGAGCTCCATTGAAGCCATATTGGTTGATATATCGCGGTGTGAAATATTCGCGATTTTTCGCGTTTTGGGGTAAATTTATTCCTCAGGTGGGTTTATTCCTCAGGCGGTGAGGGACGGTACTCCAGCAAGGTGCCTCTTCTGAAGCTCGGGATACAAACGGTAACACTGCACTCATCCTGGCCGCGGAAACCCAAAGTAAAGATGCAATAATAGCACTCCTTGAAGAAGGTGCAAATATCCAGGAGATAAATAATTTCGGACGAGGCGCGTTATAAATGGCCTCTTATGAGGGAAACGAAGAAATAAAATATGTAAACTCCTACTTGAGAAACCATCCTCTATTCCAATGGACGGGAGTAGAGACGCTTTGCGGACTGTTATTTGCAAGAGGAATGATTGGGGAGATACACCCTTAAGCGACACCGTAGGAGGCGGCTATATCTCCATAGTCCTTCAAATCCTAGGAACAAAAGTCTATTTTCCCCGGTCGCTGACTGATGACAACGTATACATCTCAGATGACCGCGAGTCAGTTGAGGTAAACGACCTGCTCTTATCGGGATTGGCAGATAGAACTGCCAACGAAAGTCTGGATCGACATACGAAGACTGTCATTTCTCGGGAAATCATCAACGGACGGTAGGAGCTGATGGAAGCTTGTATGAATAAAGAGAAGGAAAGATTTTCTTGGATGGAGAAGTGTTATACTGCAGCATGCTGCTGCAGTTGGGGGTAATACTAAAATTGTAATACTAAAATTGCTATACTAAAATCATGGAATACCTCTGCAATCAGCAAAAAGGTACACTGGTTCCTGCTCATGAAGATATTACCCCTCTGCACCTAGCAGCGAAGCATGAATATCTAGAATTGGTCGAGAAGATCTTGGATTTACTCGACACGCCATACGACGATCAGGGGGCCTTGAATGTCTTGAGCGCCATTGTCAGCATGACTCAGCATGGTGAGATGCCACTGTCCCAAGCAGCCTCAGGAAGTACCAAGCGACTTAGGGATATTGAGAATGTACTGAGGAACCGAGTGAGCACGAATATCGAGCGATTCCCAACCTTCTTTTGCCCTCAACCTACCACCAACCACAAGCCACTTTCAGATTTAGCAGAAGTCGTGTTGGAACTGGCGGCCCAGTTTGAAGAGCCCCAAGATGAGAGAAATACCTTTCTAGTTTCTTGCGCAAAATCCCAGACAGAACCCTGTCATTAAATATGGACGCTCTTAGCTCGAAGGATGAGTGGTACTCCTTACACTTGGCTGTTTACCACCAATGTGCCATCGTGGTCTGGTGGCTTCTCTCCTATGGCGGTTATCTGAACAAGGAAGACATCAATAATGCAATCGACATTGTCAAACAACAGAGAAGGGAAGACAGCGAAAATAAGCCGATAGAGATGATAGGGGATTTGTTATCTAGCCCCCCTCCAATCCTGACACGCCGAGAAGGAAGAGATGATCATCTCCTCCCTGACTTCCAGTTTGAACCGCAGGATTACAAGTCGCTGGAGGAGATTATTTTCGACTTTCATCTGGACGAGGACAGTTACATCGGGTTCCAAATGAAGCGCCGTCCGGTTAATGATATTATACACAATGAAGGACCTCGGAAGATCATGAGGGTGAACAAATACCGTAATTTGAACGTGCTCAAAGATACTCTTGGCACAGCACAACTTGTTCCAAGAGTGAGAACAGGAAAGAAAGGCATTGGTCGACCTGGAGAAAAACGTGAGCCTCAGTCGCAAAGCGTACAGCGGGAAGTACTCGAGACCCCGGACCCTGGAATGATGAAGAAGCCAGAGCTTTCACTCTTAACAATGAGGGCTCAGAAATGAAAATGACTTTATGCTGAGATGATCCATGTTCCGGTAATTAATGTTTGTTTAACACCCTCTCATAGATGAGAGACATTTACTGATGGCATACTTTCTGCTAGTTGAGATGTATTGAGGTACGTATAGTGACCCATGTTTATTACCGATCATGCTAATAGTTAATAGGAATTAATGGTACGAATTTCCAGAGACGAAAATGTCACCAATAAAGATTACTTGCTCTTGGCTCGCCTTGTACGAAGAAGTTGGACCCAGTTGCCTGCTGGTGAGGGTGAACTTCTACCAAGGTTGCTGATGCTGACTGCAGATGCCCTATATCTCTTGGATCCCTTGGATGGATTGGTACATGAGCGAGACAACTAAAATGTCAACGGACCATCCAACAGGACAATTGGAAGGGACCAAATGAAAGCAGCGATAAAGATTCCAACAAAAACATGGACACAAGAAAGCAAGGATCGTCAAAATAAGGTATTTCGGTGAAGCCCAAGGAGCATCCCATCATTCATCAATCCATTACACTGGATTAATACTACTATTTTTCTCGAGAGAACACTTACTACAGAGAGAGTGATCAAACGTTGTCCCAATATACAGCAAAACAAGCATTCACCAGGTCGAAAATGGAGCTGAACGCAATCGAAGATAGGTCAGAAAGGAAGGATCAGGAGACATTAAGATGGAAGCGCAAGAAGCAGCATAATAACCACGCGAACCGCATAATACACATTCAAAGTAAAGACAGCGTACTACCAGAGCAGACAAATGGAAAACAATATTTCAATATCGGAAATTACAATGCTCCAGGGGATCCTGAACATGCTTGTCATGATAAAGAGCGAAAGTCCAGCAAGCGATACTGGCCATGGCTTTGGAGGCAACTCGGAGACCTGGAAGCTAAAGAAAGGATCGATCACTCCTCTGCCAAGGTGTGGAGGTAAGATCCTGAAATAGCCTCGTTTCTGTCGCGAGTAGGATTGCGAGATAAGCCGTGTTCATCAATAAGGGTAAAAATCAAGAACGAGATGCTGACATCGATGGAAAGCATCAGTGCTATTGCACGAAATGCAAGTTGCTGGATGCGTAGGCATAGTAGTCCTGAGAAACTTGGCTGTTGATATTGCGAGTCTTCGTAGAAAAGGTAGGAGGCAGGATGCTCTCAGAGGAAAACAAAGGAAGTGCACGTGAACTATATAAGGGAGTGACTCTAAGCAGAAATGACTCATCTACTATACAAGTTATTTGTCTAGGTGCGCTTCAGAGAGGGAAAATGTTAGTTTAGGTGCATATAGGTAAATTAGTACGGAGTGCTCTAGCTGATGAGATAGTTATACTACTACATTTGACCTATATTGTAAGCGAGACCCCTACTTAGGCAGACATCTGCAGAAAATAATACAAAAGGAGGATGAATCGATTACAGCATGGCTATATTAGTTTTGAGTTTTTAGCAGCTATTTAAAAGTATAATGGTTATATGATGGTACTGGAAGAAAATCCAGGCAGCAGTGTGTCCTTAATCATGCGCATAACAAGTAGATATAATCGCGTCTTAGTAAATGTTATCTTGCTTCTGAAGCAGGCTGACTTGCATGATATACCTAGGTCCATATGACAACTTTCTGTCAGTCACCGACTTGAATGACAGTCCGTTCAATATCTTGGTAGTCTTTGACTAAGAACCTTGCTGGCCTACATTTAGCTTAAAGGACGAGAAATGCAATACAATCAATCAACTCTGATGATTCCAATCAAAAGCTACTAGATACTCATACATAGATAGAATGTAACCAACGCACCCTCTGAGGCGTTGTTAACATGTAGTAGTTTCGGACAAACTACATCGTCCAATCATCCGAAAGCTTTCAAATTTCTTGTCAATTTGCCCATCCTCTCACTCCATATCCCATGATAGATAATGAAGAAGCACTTTGACATGATATAATGAACAAGAAAAGCATGGGACTCCGTTTCCACCGCGATAGAGTAGTCGTGGTGGTGAAATGTTGTTGGTAAGTCGCTGGTAATGCTGTTGCTAATGAACGAACTAAAAACCGCGACAGTTCCTGGCAAATGCACGGCAATGTGTCGACATGGAGTACAAAAGAAGAACGATAATACACCAGTTCGAGACTACAGCAGTGAAGACCCAGTTGGAAGAAGTGGGGAGAAAAAGTTCCTAAACAAAAATGAACTCCGTAACGCCGCGCTGGTAACGAAAAAGTCGAAATGTAAAAACAAAGTCGAAGAGGCGAGATGTTTCATCGATTGAGTTTTGAGTCGGTATCAAGAACATTTGTTGAGTTGTTGTCGTTTAGTCATCATCCTCCACATATGTCGATCCATTAGTCTTGCTGGATCCAAGCCAGGCTTGACGCCACATTGTGGTACTCTCCGAACGCATGGGGCCTCCAGCTGCAATGGTAGAGGGGAGGCCTTCACGATCACGGCGCATTCCTTCTAGAACGGCGACTATGCCACCATGCCGAAGTCGTTCAAGTACAACATTCATGCCTTCCTTACTCCGAAGGATTGCATCTCTAGTACGTGTCACACCAATGAGCTCAATCGTCCGCTGAATACCGGCAGTAGACAGTGATGAAAACAGGCCTCTTTTAGGTGCCTCTTCATCAAGTTCCGAAGACTCTCCGGCTGCTTTCCGGGAACGATTGAGCAGTTTCGATTGACCCAATCGGGAGACGAAGGTTACGGTTGTTCGGACATTCACCTTCTCACCTTCAGGAGGCATATCACGCTCGTAATGCTGTTTTTCGACAACACTCAGAATTCCGGTCCACTCCATGTTTCTCGACTCTGTCTTCATCCATCCTTCTTTAGCGTCAACCACAGTTGTTTCAAGGATATAAGATTGACCCGAGTTATCGCTACCACCAATGCCTTTGGGTAGCAGTTTCAGCAGTGTAGATGGAATCTTGGATTTCTTGAGATGCAATCGTGTCGTGTGCAGTCGCTGGGTGTCCGGATCGACGTAGCGATCAATAACATCTGACGTCAAAACATGTTTGGAGTAAGGATTTGGGTAGCGAAGAAAATAGGCAAGCGAGACCGCGGGAAAGGAGTAGTCGTAGGAAGAGGCAAGCTCGAAGAATTTCATGTTGGCATTGACAGGTGGGTTTGTAGCTGCTACTACTGTTTTGTGAGGGCTGTTTTCAGACAATCATCGACCAGCAGTGTCTCATAGTCCCCTCAATCTTATACAATGGATGTAGACAATGAAACACAAGTAAAACTATGTGTTGGATCGTTAAAAACGATAATGAACAGATGATGTGATGGAGTGTTTTCAAAGTTGTTGAAGTTGTTGGGAGATGGCAAAAAGAGCTCGTGCGGCTATTCCTGTTTAGAGCTAGTGCAAATCTCACGTGGTGGAGTTAGTCATGAGACATTCCGGAGCTCTTATTGGTCAATGGCTCCTCCATCTTTATCTCCGCATTCTATTCCCGCTGCTCAATTCCAACAAACAACCTGAACAGCTTAATCACTCCTGCTAACAAAACATCAGACGAACAACAGGGCAACCATGCAGACAAAGAATTTCATTCGGGCACTCATGCCACTTTCTCAGTTGGGCGCACTAATGCCCTATGATAGGTCACATATACCGTATTGTGGAGAGGGCTAGGGTGATGTCAACATGGTCAGATAAAACTGATCTTTTCAGTCTCATTTCAGCTATCCATCTCTCTTGTACATGTCTGACCTGACTGGAATGAAGCCTCATAGTTGCTAGCAACCCTCTTCAATCCGATTAGTTGAAGCCCTGACTGATCTCCTCTTTTGTCGACACTATGGACGAGAACATATATGGCACAGCCAGGTTTCTCAGGGCAATACATATTGGCCTGCACCAAAAATATTTGGCTCATAGCGAGAGAATCGAGCAACTCTGGCGATCCTTTACACCAGACCAACGCGACCTAATCTTCCGGGCTGGACTAAAAAGTGACCAGGTTCTGCAAACTCCTGACGACAAGTCGCTAGGAGCCTCCTATGCGGTAGTATCAGAAATGAACCTTCATGACATTAAAAGTTCACCTGATTATTTCCTGGATCATTTTGAGTTCCGCGCTACGACGAGCCTGACGGAACAGTACCGTACAGGCTTGGAAGGTGCGTTAGGTGATCACCAGGTCATTATGCGAAGCAAAATTGCCCGAAATCCTGAATTTCTCAAGGAACATAAGCACGAACTCACCTTTTTTATGGACGAAAAAAGATACGGCGAATCGTTCAAGGCTGAAAACCAGGAGAAGTACAAAAAGGTTTTGAATGACTTTGCGTCGGCTGTCCAGGCGGGGCTTTGCGTCCCACGAGGAGTTGGGAACCTCATATTGGAAAGACAGTGCTACATGATCAAACATCTTTGCATTCTAGTTGAGGATATCCTAAGATATGGCGAGTTGATGGATGAAATGGAGAGAGAATCGGAGACACCAGAACAAAAAGCATGGACTGCCCTCTCGACCTATCCCGTGGATATAGACCCGGAATCAGTATGTGTCCAGGATCTCCTCACTGCGGTGTATGATCGAAAATCGTCTTTTGAAGTTTATTGGGGACTCTGTCGATCTAATCCTGTTTTCCTCGCAAATGCAGTCAATGTTTGGTATTCGACTAGGCCTGATCTCGTGGCAGATGAAAAGGGCCGACGTATGCCTCTCGCCTCTGACGAGTACGTCAGCCGTGCTATCTTCGAGGTAATTCACAATTCAATTATTGGAACCGCCGTCTGGGATATTATTACCACCCTTCTCAAGAACTGCCTTGAAGCGTCAGACGACCCAGGGCAGGGTATCCTTTTACAAGAGATATCGAATATTTGCCACCATGAATACGATCGGATACGCAGGGATTTCACGCGTATGGTTCAGGTTGGCCGTGGTGCTAAACACTTCAAACGTCTCTCGAATGTATTCGACAATGCTACGCCTCGCGTTACGTTGAAGAATATCCCGGACCGTCTTCAAAAGGAGGACCAGCAGCTTCATTACATTCTACGTCTTTGCCAGCCCGAGACCGATACCACTCAGGCCGTGCGTTGGATTACCATGTTGGACCAACTACATCACAAGCAACCAATTGAGCTGGATAGGTTGGAGAAAAGGGAATACAATGCGCTGGGTGAAATTGCAACGACAGTGAATATTATCAACGCGTTGATCATATCGCTTAAGCTGCCCTCTGCTAGTCCTAAGAAGGGAGTGACATACGTCTCGAAGTTGAAGGAGTTGATGGCTAGACTTGATCCTTTGAAGTCGCACACTAACCTTCGAAGATTTTCTATCTCCCTCGACGATCTCAAAAACCGGGAATGGCTATCGAAGCCTTGAACATTGTTGATCGATTCAGTGAATTTCATGCCGGCGATCGAATGGTTCCTCTCTACCAAAGTCTCAACGAAGAATACTGAAAGATCTTGAAGTTCAGCTGCAGAATGTGAAGGAAACAGGAAAATTCAAGTCCAAATCCAAATCCAAATCTAAGTCTAAGAAATCGGTAGGGGCTTTCCGTCCGATGAGTCAAGTTCAGCAACAAGGTCAGGCGATCAAGACTCACTCCTCGAATTCGTCTAGATCCAGTACTAGCCGGATCTCAGCATCTGAACCAAGAGCTTCCCCTCCATCGCAAATACCTACTCCACTAGAGAATCCTACGAAATCAAAAACACCTGCTGAGCCGGAAACGCTAATTAAAGCAGACGGATCTGCTGACGCGTCGACACCAACTCAAGTTAAAGTACTCGCTGAAACGAAATCATCTACACAGCCACAGGAGATTACTGAACCATCACTGTCCGATGAACCAGTAGCGTCCGCTCAGGAAACATTAATTGAACCTGAGTTCGAATCATCTTCTCGTGTACCTCCAGTGTCTCCGAAGCCCAAAAAATCTGTTGAAATGGACACGTCAACCGGTGGAAAAGCATCTACCAAATTATCAGTCTCTGATGAACCAGAGATCTCCATCAACCAAGAGCTTCCCACCGAACCTGTTACGCCTGCTGAATTGGAGATTTCAGAACCGAAACCGATTACGGAACTGGAGACGTCTGCAGAACCAGAAACGCCTACTGATATGGCAAACTCTACAGAAGCAGCGGCAGCTTCTGAACACGAACACGAACCATTCGTTGGGCCAGACCCATACGTCCAATTGACGACCTCTACTATAAAGCAGGCAATCTCTGCATTGGACTTTGGTGAAGCTGGAAAGCGACCACTCGATCAGCCAGAAGCACCTACCGAGGTGAAGAGCAACAGTGAGCATGGGACAGCCGATGCAGAACAGACCTCCGCATTGGAGCCAGATGTTGGATTGGAGGCGATTGGGCGTGAAATCTCCACTGAGGCAGAGACATCTGAAGCTTTGGGAGAACGAAGGCCAGATTTGCTTGCTGAATCGGAGACCATTGGACCAGAAATACCAAGACGTTCGGATACGCCAGCATCATACACTGAACCTGGAACACCCGGATCACAGCGATCCATCAAAGCAAACATGGAAAGACCCATCGAACAGGATTCGCCCACCAAGTCCGACGTAACTGAGGAGCTCCCAGAAGTCTTCAAAGTTCAACCCACCACATTAGAAGTCTTCACAGCCTTGTTCTCCGCATTAGAATCAGGATCCAACTCTGACGACGCAGCGCCATCAATCAAATGGCTCGCCTTTGGAACAGCCATGGCCGAAATCGGATTTACCATTGTACCCAATATTGGATCTCTGTACACATTCGTGCCTAGTGAGAATGCTGAAGTGCAAGCGTATTTCACACTACATCGACCATATCGGGAGGTGATTCAAGGTGATTCATTGGTTTATCTTGCAAGTCGGTTGAAGCACTTGTATGGATGGGGGAAAGAGACTTTTGAGGCAGCATGATAGACCGTTCCACTAAAGGTTTTTTGTTTGTACAGTACTCTAAAATAATTGCGCTGACTCATGATAGAATGTTTTGTCGTCTTGGGCGACGTTTTGTGTGAGCTTTCACCAGCATAAAGAATAGACTAGGCTTGAACTTTAACAAATTTTTCGATCATTGAAGCATATAAATTAACATGAGCTAATTCTTAAAAACACTTCCCTGGACACGTTTTGGTCGATAGCTTCCAAACTTGGGATCCAGACTTCATCGCAAGATCTTCAAATCCAATATAGCAGGCATGAAGCCTCTAACCCCATTACTAAGTATACACTTCTCCCTGTCAACAAGTTCATCTACTCGGATGATTTGCTCCGTGCAAAACCCATGATCCAAAGCATACTGTCTACTTACGCTGATCATACCACCACTACTAATAGGCGGCGTAATCCATTCCGACCTTATTTCTTCCTGTGGGTGATGTAACCGTCTTCTGAAATATGCAGTCGTGATACTTCCCTCCATAACCTCACCCAGAGGGTTAACTAGTAACACCTCTATAGGATCACTCGGAGATTTGATCCCAGCTCTCCGTCGCGCTGAATCGTAATGAGCGCGTGACGTACTTTTATACGTAGTGAAATCGGACGGCTTAGTTGGAACGGAATCAACAATCAATCTCCACGGAAACGACGAGTTCAATGATTCAAGCTGATCAAAAGAAGTAGGTAAAAACATGCATCGAAGCGGCCACGCACTTGCTGGATGCACATCCACCGAACATCGCCCTTCCACATCAACCACTATCCGTAGCCTCCATGCTTTACTGCGATCTGGTATAAATTTGTCAAGCGTCTCCACGAATTTCTCCAGGGGTTGCTGTAGGAATGCAGCTGCTTTCAACCATTTGAAGTTTGTAGCGCCTTTGAGGAGGCGGTCCTGATGGAATCGGAGGAGGTAGTAAGGTGAATCGTGTGGTTCCGGGTATCGTTCTTTTGCATATACACTGGTAGCGCTAGGTAAATCAGGATCGTATCTGAGAGAGGATATCAAGGAGAATTCAGTAGTAGTATCCTCAGGTTGATTCGAATTCATGCTTCAGTGATCAGCGAGGTGCCAGCATGGATAGAGTCCCCAAAGAGGAGAACGTATTTCGGCTGCGTGGTAGATTTCAGAGCTTCAATTAATTCATTTTCACTATACAGGAAGCTGATAATCCCTTGAAACTTGGAAAGACGTTCAACAATGATATTGACGTCGTCGATTCTTGAAGCCCAAATTAGAACGTGGGACACGCGCTATTCCAAACACAGCCTAGTTGCCGAATGCTTATATCAACCCTAACCCTTATGTGCACACAGCAACAACTCGCAGCACTGCCAGGTACGTAATACATGTGACGGCTGGGCATGGCTCTGTGTTCCCGCCTCAGTTCACGGATAGGGCTAGGAGCCGTGTAACCCTATTCGCGCCGTATTGGGAAGTGATATCAACATCAGACGTCGGAGCTGGATAGGGAAAGGCGCCTTGCACAGAGATTTACATGAGAGCCAGAGCTTTTACTTCATTTCTTCTTTTTCCCCTTTATTCTTAATATTACCTGTCGATAGGCACCTCTTGTACGAGATAGCTAGCTAGGATAGCGTACTCAAACCAAGCAGATTTGGCAACGTCACAATACATTATTAAGTGGTAGAATACTGCAATATTTCCCACCAAATAGCGCTAGGACTTCACAGATGGAGATTCAGAAATTGTGACTTTCGCTATTTCCCTTAGCAGGCGCCTGCCTAATCAGGCTCAACTATTCTAATACTATGCTGGACATTAGACAGAACCTTGTTGCATAGCACTGATATATGTAGCAGATAGAATGAAATATATGTTGTAATCTCTAGATGTGTCCCTCTAATCTTAGCACTGACCCATAATTAAGAGTTGTTTCTCTGATTTGGCCAAAACGGGCTAACCAACCCCTTTAGGGCTACAGCTGTCAGGTGACTAAGTAGTAAATACTTGCCCTGAATCAAAACATGGTACGAAATGTTGGCGTTATCATGGTAGAACATTCCTATTGCAACATGCTCTTAGTTCTTATACCAATTCTTTTGCATATAACCGTATCACGAACTCTCGAGGCCGAAACGGTGAGCAGAGTTTGAAGCGTTATCCAGTCTCAGGCACATGCTTGGGCAATGATGTGATGGATTTGGGATTTCGATTGGTGGGGTTTGGAAAACTGTTTACTTCTCAGGTATCAAGGTACCGCAGTAAATTTTGTCTTGAACTTTGTCGGTGAGATGAGATACGCCTAAACAAATGAAAATGTTAATAGGTACAGTCACTAAGCTTTTATAGCATACATCGGTACGCCTAGGCATGGGCCAGGAATACACACTCTATCAATATATTGAATGACGAAATATTGATTTGACATGAGCCCGATGTTGGCTGACAGTATCGCAGTACAAAATAATGACCAACCTCTTCGAGAAACCTTGTTGCATCCCTTCCAGTTTTTTTTTGTGTCGAATCCCACTAGTTATACCTTGAATTTGTCTTCGTTTGATAAGGGTGCATATATCAGTCATGCCAAACATTACCTCTGAACTCCCGCATCTGTGACAACGTTACGAGGGATATGTATAATTACTTCGAGAGGGATCACTGAGGGCTAAGCACACAAGGTAGGGTATGGAATGTCAATGTACTGAAACCTATCTCTTCTGCTTCCGCAGCATGGATTCTATATAAGAGACACTCATGTTGTTCCGTAGCAGTACATTAACCATAGCCAGCTGAACCTTGACCATGACCAGCTGAAGTATCCACACTTTTACTACTTTCTGCTCTCGTATCAAACTGACCCTAACCCCTAAGAGATTGGACAGGTGTGTTGGTTGTTACAGCATCAAGCAAGTATACAAAAGCTAGGGGCAAAGGGTCAGTCCTTGGATTAACACATACTCTATCACCGCGTAGTGGAAACTATTCCTTCTCTTTCTTCACCCTCTTCGTCAAATATACGGGGTCCCAAAGCTGGTTTATCTTGAAGTATATACCTCACCGATAGCGCACTTGGAAAAGAAACAACATCACTGTGACTGGATCAGCCCATCACACTCAAGACTGCCGTCACTGCGGTGTCGTTCCACTCGGAGCATGGACCTTCTCTACACAGACATCGCGACTACCAACAACAGAATGTCCTCCGGAATGAAAATAGCAATATCAACGCCGTTCTTCAACTTTTATCCTTGCATACAAGTGGCAGGAGAATGTCCAAAATTCCTTTCGCCGTTCATTTCTAGTGCTGACGATTGTTTTCATTCATGGTGCTGGAAGGATAGCCCTATTAGCTCCAACCTAGATCTCGGGATAAATGCTCCTTTTGTCGAGACAGTCAACTATCACAGATTGGCGACATGCTCGCCTTTGAATACAACAGGTTTTGTACGTTCAGTGAACGCAACTCCTCGGTCGACTTGTCCAGCTGGAGATCTTATTGTACGTCTGGAGTTCGGCTCGAACAATGACACATCTCCAAATGAAGGAAATACCGCATTTGTGTTCGATACCAACTATCCGAATAATTACTTGACAGGATATCAAGTCTAGTAAGGCATCCACCTATTGCAGTATTTGAATCAGTCAGTATCATTTGAGAAGCTGATGTGAAACCAGTTTCGACAATAACCCAGTATTAATGAATCGAGGAACTGGGCCCCATACCTCAATTAAATCTCCAGGATGCCGACACGACCCTAGTAATTCTGTTGGCAAACGGAATTCGATATATAGAGCCCGTCAATGACCCCCTATTTGCAACTCATACCTTTTATGAAGAAATTGACGGAGAACCGTACTACACGTCTGACGACTGTGTCACGGTTATGGGGTGCAGTGATCAGCGCATGATTTGTCTTCCACCGGAATATTGGAATGAGACCGAACGTTTCTGCACCAGGCTGTCTAGTGCACTAGAGTTAAAAAGCAATCTGGATCATCTTCGTCAAGACGGTCACATGAACGATGCTCAGTACTACACGGCAAAACGAATTGCAGGTTCAGTGCGTTATTCAACATTGAACTGGATTGCTGCAAACCGGGGAGACTATTCCTTATTGGCTTCAACCACTACCTTTGATATACAACAAACAGTACTGCTGGAGAATGATCAGTGGCAAGCGGAAATGGTCTACTGGCTTTATACATCCTTTGCCTATATACAACGAAGCATTCTGATGTATGCTGCAAATTACAATACTACCTTGATGTCGAAGCCCACTACGCCATGGGAGCAGAACATGTGTTCCATGCAGCTCCATCAATTATCCCCGGAATATAGGTCGTTCAGCTTCCTGGGAGTAGCACTAATCATTGGCATTGGTTCAATCATTATTGTCATCAACTGGTTTATCGATTCTGCAATCGCACTTATATGGCCTCTGGTACGTCCAAAGAAGTACAGTCAACAAGGCAAGGCTTGCACCAGAGCATGGAATCTGGACAAAAAAGTTCCAGCCACAACGTCTTGCATTTGAAGGCAAGTCACGGGGATCAGGGGGCGACTGGACAATCCCAGATACGCGAATTCCACGGACTGTGACAGAAGAAAAGCTTGGTTACTATGATGATTAGTTAACTACCTCATATAGACCAATGCTTCCTCATTTACTTCTGCATGTGGTGTTAAATGCAATTAATATATTTGTAAGATACTGTTGTTGACTCATGAGAATGTTCACTCAGAAAGTCCTCACTTCCATGAGCCCTATCATTGTAAATGGGCATGTAAGCAAGTCGTACAAATGAAACAGAAGGGTGGAACATTGTAAGATTTCCTTGTCAACAGATATCAAGATACTGGTTTGGTAACATCTCCAACTTTCATTGCAAGAATATCGCCAACGAGAGTTAAGCCATCTGCTTTTAGAGCCCCTGCTTCAAGACCATGCAGTAAAGTATCAGTCACTTCACTGCGGCGCTGAAGTGCAGGGTATATGCAATCGCACAATGAATGCTAAGAAGTCGGCTATCGCGCGCATCTGGGATAGTTCCTTCGCAGCTAGGGCTAACCAATCAGCCTAACGAATGAATTGTGCATTGATAGACCCTTCCTTCAATGAGCAGACTATGTGGTCGTACTATTTTCCGATTTGCGAAAAGTGACTCAGTAAATTGTTTATTGAAAAATCTCTGTGAAGTATACCGGCTCTCCAAAGAGACTCATGGCCCCGGATGCAATGTTCGAATATAATATGAATCAAACGCACAATGTTTGTCTAGTGATAATGTTATGGGGTTCTTGGTGTCGATTTCCGTCCCTTGATGATGCTGGTGTTGTTTGGTACGAACTGGTCGGTGTGCTGGATGATACATGAAATGAAGAGGATAGCGAGGATAGAGAAATCTACAGCTATCTGCTTCCGACTGAATAATAGCACCTATAAAACGATAAATGGAGCGGCACCCTGGCGGATGAACTGCAGCAGAGACGATTGCTGATTGTGGTCATGATTCCATTTTGACAAGGAGCAATTCAAGCTTCGGAAAGAATCTCTCGAAGCCGAAGCTATTTTCAGCACAGTCGTGATTGAAGGTGCTGTCGTTTAAGTTGGTGAAAATGATATAGTCGCTTCTCTTTCCATTCCGTTTCATGTCGACAGCGACCTCTTCTGGTCGTGGGCGACGTCGGCATTCTGGAGGGCATATCTCGAGGTGGGCGACGGAGAAAACGGGGTGTATCTTCCAATGCTGTGGAAGGTCAAATTCATAAGCGAGTCTGCGCACTCGGCGCAATACAGTGTATGGTCCCGCAAATTGCTGACGTAGCTTAGGGCTGAGTTTTGAGTTCTTATCGACAGGGATTTTTGTAGCCTCCCTGAAGATGAATAAGTACTTCATCGCCTGGTGCAAAATATATCCATTGGTGGCTTTTGTCGAAGGAACGGCTGGCATCCATAGCCGCGAAATTGCCAGTTAATCCCTCAGAAGCAATGCGGTAAGCCGAGTCTATGGGTCGACGCGTATTTGTTGAACATGAAGCAACCGTTTCACTTGCGAATGCCCAGGTGGGAAGAAGACACTCTGCACACTTGACAAGGTTAGTCATCATGATACAACAGCAGTCTTCTGAGATCCGTTTGGAGTCTCCTCTAGGCTAGTCCGGGGGCCTGGGCGTGGATAACCTTACCAAGGACACAGAAAAAAATCAGCCATATCTGGCTCACCATAAGATCCACAAATTTCAGTTGCCCATAACGGGGCCATGTCTTCAGTTGAAAGAATCCCTCACAAGTGAATATCGAGGAGGTCGAAGAAGGAAAATGATATCTGCCATTCTAGGCATATACTGAGTTGAGAAGGAAAAGGAACGAACGGCCGTGGATGTTAAATAGTTGTTTAGGTATCATGTGCAAGCCGGAGCAGTAACAGGAGCACAATCGTTCTGTGTGGCTCGCTTATGGTTGAGCTCTATGGGCGTTTGGTTGGAGTGTTTGAATGTTTTGCCCGAATAGTCCCAAGTTGGTGATGATATACTCGATTGACTTATACGCTCAAGTGCACATGATTGGGGAGGTATTCATGTTCTATCTGTTATATCCATGCACTCTCGGAGTAGATCCGAAGCTGTCAGACAGATACCACAAAATACCTAACTCTAAGCCCAAAATAAGAAAATGGACCAGAATGCTTAAGACGGTATACACTGGAATATTGAACATTGCAGTCAAGAGTAAAATTGAGATTTCCTAGGCATACTACCCCTAAATTAAATGGCCGCATGTCACGACAAAGGAAAAGGGAAAAAAAGAAGAAAACAAACAAACAAAGGAGATAGGAAGGAAGAAAGGGAGACATGCCCTTGAAACTCCTCCACGGGTGCAAGCTATAATTCCCTTATGCAGCACATGTCGTATCGTGTCCCATCCTATCCAGACCATGTCCCCATTCCATCCTGCAACCTGAGAAGCTCAGAAACACCGTCATGTTAAACGCCCCGTTCAACGCCATCGTAGTAATCTGGAAAATAGAAAAAAGGTATCATTGCGTCGTAACCATCTGATCCGTTCATAGTCACTCTGATGTATCCCCAACATAAAGTAGAGTCAGGAAGGAGTCTTGACGGAGACTAGCTAAAGTAATCTGCAGGAAGAGAAGAGAGACCAGCAATAGTACCAATGCTGCCAACAGCAGCGCCCACAGCCGCTATTGCTGCGTACTTCATGAACGTGTAAGCTTGATGTGTTTTGACTCGCTTACGGGGGTTCTTCTTGGGGCTGGTCTGCGCAACTTCTTGGAGGGACTGAGTATCAGTACCTTGTGACTGCGTGAGCTCGAGAGCCTGCATATTGGGCCGGGGCTGTGCATCTGCGATACTATCTTGAGTATTGCCAATCTCTTTAGGAGTCTGATTGAGATCAGCGAGATACTCGTCTACCTTGCGTTTCAAATTCATGATAGCTGCAGTGGTGTCTTGAGTATATGCTCCAACCATACCCGAAGCTGGTACTCGAGTTTTAGGTGCGGTCGGAAGCTTCTCGGCCTTTTTCAAAGGTTCGGGGTTCTCAATGCTTGATCGACGCGACGAAATGGTATCGTGAAGCCAACTAGGCCGGCCATCGTCTGGAACTTTGTTGAAGTTGCGTAAATATCCCGATGACCGATGAGGACCGAAAGGGAACGACTCGTTCGCATTGCTGGATCCAAGGCCGCCGGTGTTGTGAAGAGTTGGTTTGAGAAGACCATGCTTGGGGGCTGCGAGGCCACGCGAAAAGTTGCTACAAGGGTGATACACAGGAGCTGGTGCAGGGGCTGCTGGAATGCCCAATGGCTTTGCCATGGCCTTGTCTGACGGGCTAGGGATGCGTGGAGGAGTAGGAATGCGTGGAAAGGAATATTCTGGGAATGTGAAGCCTTGTTGAGGGAATGCAGTGCTGATACGCGACTGCTCTGGCACGGCAGAAGCTGACTCTTTAGTCTGGAATAGCATATTATTCACCTCCTCTAGAGTTGGCATCGGTGGGATGGGTTGAATTTCATCACGAGTAGAGGGTTTGACTTCCCCGCTGCCTGCATTGAGGCCCGCAAATGGTGGAGCCATACTACCCTGAAAGGAAGGAAAAGGAGGTGCCTGGACACCAGCAAGGTCGGCCTCCTGTTCATCCCAGTCACTGCCTTCATAATGGCCGTCATCGCTCGCTTCTGATTCATCATCGAAGACTTTCCTCGTATCTTCGCCTGCCGAGTCATCGGAATCACTACCGTCATCCTCCTCTGCCTCAGATCCAGACTGGTCTTCATCTTCTGACTGAGCAGGTGGGCTGGATGGAGGGTTCGCTGCTTCACTGGTTGTCACACTGGTCTGTTGAACACTAGCAGCATTGCCAGCCTCGAAAGCTTGCTGTTTGGGCAATTGGGAGGTCTTGATCTCAGGCGAGGTGATGGGAGAAGTCAAATCGAGAGGTCGGCTCATATCGCTTCCATAATCCACGTCAGAAGAATCAGAAGCCCATTGCATAGCATTTTGCTGTGCGACTTCTTTATAACTGACAACCTCGACTATATCATCCTCTTCATCAGGGACCCTGAAAGTGTTCACAGTTGGCTTTGTGGGAGACGGTGCAATAGGCTTCTCGTGCCATTCGCAATCCAGACGAACAGCAACAGGACGGAAGGTTTCTGTACAGCTGTCAGTCAGACTGAACAGGACAAACAATGATAATATTTCCATCACTTACGAGTGCCCCGTGATATCTCATTACCAAAGGTCAAGACATCCCCACTCTTGACAGTAACATTCTGTTTAGGAGTGATAGTCACGTCATTGAGTTGAGTTCCGTGAAGGGAGCCGTGGTCACGGATATACACCGCCTAAAGACAGACCAGTTAGCAATGACTGCTTATTAGGGTCAAGCAGTCCAAGCAGCTTACCTTTTTCTCCATTGAGACACTGATCACAGCGTGATCACGGGACATAACTCGAGAATCAAACCAGCCATTATCATGACCTGGAACGAGGTTCTTGGTCTCCGATTTGGACGCTCTACCGATGGGTATAGTCTCGTTGTTCGATGAGAAGGCTAGAGATCTAAACGGAAGGGTATCCGGCGAGTAGACCGGGGTGAGGGTAACGATCACTTTACGTGTGTTAGCCATATCTCAGATGATCCTGAAGCATAGAGTTGAATGATAAAAAGGAGAAGAGCATACCCTGTTCACAAGCCATGATATTTATGCTAGGTGGAAATGCCCCTGGAAAGAGAAATCGGATGGAAAAGACAGTAAATATAGGAAAGTCGACAAAAAGGCAACGGGCTGTCCCTTCCAGATAGATTATAGAAGCTGTGTCACCCCACCTGGCAGCGGTGAATGTCGAGAGTCGTTGCAAATATAACTTGAAAGTAAGTCAAATAATTATGTCGTCAGACACTCGTTCGTGTTCTGAACCGAACTAAGAATTCAGTTGTTGAGCTAGAATAAATGATACTTGTCGGAGAGTATAAGATAGAGGGGTATCCAGCTAGGCAGATAGACCCCGTCAGATATGGGGGGGGGGGGGGGGTAAATGGCCCTGTTTGCTGGCAACTCGACAACTCAGATGGCCAATAGAAGGGTTGTCGTGGTGCAGATGAACGAGGCTGGCAGGTAGCTCTAGGCTAAAAGATGACTCGATACTGGGCCGCGGCGGGGTTTCTCAGTTGGCTTTGTGATCTGATCTGGCTTGACTTGACGTGTAGCGGTGGGCGTGCTCGAGTAATGTATTGTAGGTAAAGCAAAGAGAAAAACTTGATCCACCGACCGAAAAGAGATAGAAATCGATGGGTGACGGTGAGAGGAACAAGGAACAGGAAGTCAGAGAGATGATGGAGGAGGAAAGTCGAGATAAGCGGGTTGGAGTCTCAGCTCCCGATAAGAGCCGACCCCGACCAGCGCCTTCCTCAAACACAATGCGGTACTGTACATAGTACATAGCCCACATAATCCATACATGTACGGAGTACAATTCCTTGTATGCCGGTAATCTGACAGTTTACTTAGGTAAATATAGCACAGAGACTGTATTATTGCGGTAACAGGCTGAAAATACTGGGTAGTACCAGCGGTAACAGGTTCCGTTACCTTCCTGACAGCCAAAATGAGGCATTCACGATGACGCCGACTCTGTCAATAGAAGGTACCACTCTCTTTAACGAGTATTTACATTTACACTCCCTACATACTGTATACTTGGTTATTACTTTCCACACGGTATTTATTGTATTCAGGCCACAAGGCTCGCAACAGACAGCTCGTCATCTGATGCGATAAGGACCCACACTGCTAATCAGCGATAAAGCTCTCTCGGGTCACGCGTCATGACTTCCGCCCACCGCGTTGAGTGGTTTGCTCCATACAACATACAGGAGGACCTGGCTATAACGAACAGAAGGCGTCTCAGGATATAAGTCAATATATGCAGAAGTTGAGTTCGATTTAAGGGTGAAGGGCACCCCCGATGTATTTATTAATCCGTTCTAGGATTAACAAATAGGATGCCCTTCACTTCCATATTAAAATAATTCAACATGAGGTCAGTGGAATACATGAGGCGACCTTCCTTTCGTTATACCCAGGTCCTACTGTAGTCCAAAATTATTTCAATTTCAATTTGCGTATAGTACAAAAACAGGAAGAATTCTTCAGTGCATATCCACCAATCGATCGATCCCTCATATCACAATCATCTCATCGATCGCTCAGTTTGCTGACCATATCCATACGCTGAACAATAACGGAGGAGTCGTCGACTAACGGAACAAGTGAACCGTGGTCGACACACAACAGACATAAAAACGACACGGAGAAGCAGGGAACTAGAAATAAATAAAAAAAAATGAAAGAAAGAGTCGGGTTTGACTCCCAAAGGTATTACACGAAAAAGAACAAGATTAAAAACAGTAGATATGGTGATCAAACTCGGAAGAGAATTGCAGGCAAAGGATCGATGAGATGATGGCACTGTAGGATGACCGAAGATATATAGTCATGAAGAACGATGTCTAGAGGTAAGGAGAAGAGAGAGGAAACAAAGTCTCCAGCGTCTGTGCAAAACTTTTCTTCTAGTGGCCACCACTTACATGCCTGGAGGACCGCTGAAACCAGCACCCATAGTCTGCAGACGTGCTGCTAGTTGAGGATATTTCTCCTGGACTTCGAGCTGTGTGCGGGTGGCCTCGGCATAGGAAATGGCGTTAATCACTTCGCCCTCGGTGCGGGCTAGCTCCGCGGCCCGGGTGAAGTACTTGAGAGCTTCGGCGACCTTACCTTGTTGCAAGAGAAGTTGGGCCATTGTGCCGACAGCGATATCACATTCAGGGTCAACTATTGACAAATTAGTATTTGCAGTCATGTGGCATAAGAGCAAACTCACTGATCAAAGCCTTCTGGCACAGACTCTCGGCCTCCTTGAAATCCTGCTTCCACTGGAAGATACCAAGAGCCTTGTTGATCAGAGGCAAAACATTGATTGCTGTGGGCTTAATCTTGCTCTCCATTTCCACAGCCTTGTCGAACTTCTCAATAGCCCCCTGATAATCCTGCTGGTCGAGGAGGAGCTCACCGTAGTAGTTGTAAACATCCGGCACGTTCTCGAACTTCTTCACCGATCGCTTGAATGTAGCCATGGCGGATGCAACGGAGCCGAGCTTATATTGAGTTACACCGAGCTGGATGTGGGAGTAAATGAACGATGGGTCGAGGTCAATCGACTTTTGGTAATCCTTGGCGGCTTCGGCAAATTCACCGAGGATAAAGTGAAGTTGTGCGCGGTGGTAGTAGATGTCGGGGTCGTCTTTGTTGTGGGCGATGGCGAGCTCAAAATCATCAACAGCACCTTCTTTGTTTCCTGCAAAATTATTAGCACAGATCATGCTAACGCAGAACAAAACCCACCCAGTTCAAGATGCAAGCTAGCACGCTTAATGTAACTCTGGGTCAGTGCTGGTTGGACTTGAATACTCTTATTGAGGTCCTCCAGAGCACCCTGAGCATTACCCTGCAAGTAGGTGAAGGTGGCACGCATATTCAATGCATCACCTTCATATTCGCCCAAATCGCCCAATTCAAGAGCCTTCCCAAACGCTTGAGAAGCCTCATCATATCCTTCAGCCGTCTTCTTCTCCAGCGCCAAATAACCCTTACGTAACTGTCCTTTGCCCGTTTCCTCATCGAGATCCTCGGAGTCAAGACCAGCGGGGATCGGCTTGGGGCGGAAGCTCTGAAGGTAGTTGCCGACAAAGGTTGCACCGGGTAGTCTCTTTCCCTTTGCTTCCATGATTGCTTTGCCTTTCTTCTCTGCAACTTTCTTCAAAAGTCTTTCCAAGGACTCGCGGCTCTGGCGGTTTGTGAATTGATCGATAATACAGCTAGCGGTGAAATCGAGAAGCGCGCTATCATATTTCTCCAGATGCTCGTAAGCAATAGCTCGGCGGTTGAGGGCTTTCAAATATTCGCTGTCCATGGCAAGAGCTGCACTAGTATCCTCAACCACTTTCTCCCATTCGGACAAGACATTCCAGCAAGCGGCACGGTTCGAGTAGAAGACGGGGTCTGGTTTGCACAAGATAGCCTTTCCGTACAGTTCAATGGCGCGGTTGTAGTCCTTCGATCCGTATGCCTTGTTTCCGGCGGCCTTGAGTTTAGCGGCGTATGCTTTCCGTGTCTGGCTAACAGTCAGCGAGTTCTCGGTTCTGCGTGTTCGATAGTATAGCGTACCTCTTCGGACAATGAGTCCACTGTGCTCTCATCCACCTCTGGGATCTCGTCGACATCTTCGACCTTGGCTGATTTGACCTCTGGACTTTGTCGTTAATGCTAATCAAACTTCCCCGTGTGGAGAAAGTAATAGCTCACCCTCAGCAGTCTTGGCTTCTTGCGCCTTCTTCTTCTCCTCCTCAGCCTTCTTCTTTTCCTTTCGTCTTTGATTCTTGCTCTTCTTTGGCTGTGCAGGTTCTTGAGGTCTGTTTGATGAACTTGTTGAAAGATAGTACACTGTTCCACCAGTCACAACCACAGCAATACCAGCAACTGTATAAACAACTGCTTTATTTTCAGATACCCAGTTGGAAATGCGATCCCATACTGATGATGTTGTGGATGGTGAGAGTGATGAGGTGTCTATAACGACATTTTGTGCAGGTGGTGTGCTTGCCATTTTCGACGACGACTTCTCAGAATGTTTGGGGCGACTTGCCAATCAGAACAAAGAGGAAAAGAAAAAAGAAAATAGTACAATTAAAAAACCCCTATGAATTATGAAAAGAGAAAGAAGGTGCCAAAAAAAAAAGATAAAGTATTGGCAATTGATGAGGTGAAGCAACAGGTACAAGGAAAGCTCTGAGGAAAAGTTGTTATGCGCTCAGTCTGGGAATCCGGATTGTTGGCTGACTAAACACTGTCACGCCTCTCTCATTGGCTGCCGATACTCTGCCTCGGAAATGTTCTTTCCCTCAGGAATCAAAACATAAACACGCAATTATATATTCAATCATTTTCAGTTCTTCCTACTTCGGACTTGATGATTTTGGATTAAGTCAGGCTGATCGTCAATCACTGAATCTATGCTTGATCATGAGTCATAGCTGCATTATCACCGCTCGACATGAGTCAAGAGAGTGATGCATGCAGCAATACTAATCACAATCAGGGTCAACAGGCTCATCCGACGACTCTTGGGAAATGACCACATATCAATGGGTATTGAAACTGAACAGATGACCTAAAACTGAGAAATTTGCTTAACCACCGAAACACCCCAAAGTTGAATTGGGCAGCCACAAAAGATGCATATCATATCATACAAGCCGCTCCGACAAGAACTTCACCATATCGCTCAACATGCCCTCGGAATAATTATGCACCAGACCCGGGTATTCCTTCCATTGTATGTTATCGTTACTCCAGCCAAGCGATTTTAGACTGTCGACCATTTGTCGGCCGAAAGTGACCGGGACTGTTTTGTCTTCGATGCCGTGGGCGATGAATAGGGGCGTATTGTCTGGCATGCTGTATGCCGTATCTTGGCCTCTCTCTGAGGAGGCCGGTACGTCGAGTTTCTCTCGTAAGCGATTGATGCCCTCTTTGAACCGTGTTGGTGCTTCGTTTTCGTCTTCTTTGTCGGGCTGGGTTGCATCCATGATCTCTTCGGCAAAAGGTAGCCATCCACACAGCCCAATGCATCCTCCTAGTGGATCTCCTTCCCACAGCAATGCCGAGATTAGTGCTGCGGCGCATCCTTGACTCATCCCTCCAACGACCACACCAGCGGCATCACCGTCCAGAATGTCGATTTCCTTCTGGATCAGTCCATGCATGTATCGCACAGTATCACGGAGACCCGGGATTGGCAGCTCGGCGCGCCATCTCCGCGTTTCCTCGTCCAGCCTGTTGCAGGAATTGTGGTCATCATCTCTGGGCCTGTCATCCGACGCTGTCAATGGCCAGTGCGTGTCGAACCACTGGTTAATGACACTTTCAGTAAAGGCCGTTGCGCGCAACATTGAGGCTGTCGGAAAGACAAATTTTGCATGTGGGAATGCCATATACAAAGTTGTAGATTGTGTCGACCAATACTGGTGCTGACTGTGAGCAGCATATCCAGATCGATTGAAAGGCGGCAAAGGCCTGAAAAGTATCGCGGGACCAAAGGCGGTTGCACTCGAGCCGCGGTCGTGTAGAATGATGAATGTCTGTTTATGAGGGGGGATCTGATTGTTGATGACAAAGGGTTCAGGATATCTGGAGGGCCTCGAGGTTGGCATGGTTGGGTGGCTATTGATCATTTGATGAGTGTCAGTGTGAACATGATATCAGTTTCCACAACAGCAGAAACGTGCTGGAAGTTTGAATCAAAGAAAATAACAGTCTTCTCTTTAAATGCACTGGATTTACTTTTGAGCACAACACTTTGATGGATGCCTCTAGGGAGTATTAGAAAGAGCGTGGGAAAATAAGGAGGGAAGAAAACACCAAATTATTAATAACAGAAAGTGGGATGGTGATTACCTTCCAGAAGTGACTCAATGCAATACAATGCCGATAGAATCAAAATTAGTAGAGGGGCACACTCTATATGAACACTCTCGAGACTCAATTATTGGGATAAAAACAACGTCTTCTCTGGAATACAGCCCTTCTTAGAGATATGATGTGTCGCCATCCTGTTGATAATGCCAGCAGAGTTATGAGCAATGTTTATCAGAGTATCAGTCATATAAATAAGTAAGCTAGGTAACCTTGCCAGTGGGAGTTCTGATTTCAAGTTGGGCAGTTCTAGACCCTTTGTCAAAGGCTATCCATCAACTACTCTTACTGATGGTGCCTTTTTCTTGTTTGCTCCAAGCTGCCAAGGTTACTGCTGTATAACACCCCAATATCAGCTAGAATAGAAATTATTCTTTCTATTATATTCTACCCTGAACTGTTCTTCAACTCTTATTTCCTCTGCTGCTGATTCGGTGAATCAAAATATCCCTCTAGCTCCTTGGGAGCATCCTATTGGATCCCGCTCTGCATGTCGAATCAATCCTTTTCATTTATTCAGTTCCCTCTTTGTTGGCTGCGTGTACAGATTAAAAATATGTAGCGATGCATTGCAGATTGCCATACAGTCTCCTGCAAGCCACCCAACTTGTCGCGCCGGCAGAGACGAGGCTGAGAATCATATACATCCAGCCGGGATGTAACCTGCGAGACCTCGATGATACTGGTCAGTTGGCATCGCATTCGCCCAGTCTAGAAGTCGTCCTGTCAAAGTCGTACAGCGTCATCGCTTGTTTGCCCCCGTGAAGGAGAAATCTCGGTGAGAGAGAGAGAGTCACCTGACTAGATAAAATGTTTCTTCTTCCGGAAGTACCTCCCTGACAACCATCCCGGCTTTCTCCCTCCGCCCACGCCAGACTGATCCTTTTGAAGTCGCTTTGATTGGGACAATTCGAGGAAGCCATTACTTACGGCCGAACGGCTTGCCATGTTCAGAGATACTGAGCGCTGCCTGAACCACCTCAGAGAGACGGAGATGAAGCACAGTCATTATACCATCTTATTCATTGTGTGTTCAGCGCAGTGAGTCATGGTACCATTTGCCAAACCAGAACTGTCTTACCTGGGAGAACTTGCAGAGGATACAGCATCAATCTCATTAAACTCTCTCATCCAGGGGGAGAAGAACAGATCAACATGTTATCTTCTCCCGGGTGACCTACCGTTCCGACTCGTTCAAGCCCGGCCAAGCTACCAAGAGCTCCAATAATCAAAGTGGCTGGCTACAAGCATCCGGTTAGAAGCAGCGACATGGTCGAAGGCGTGAGTTAGTACTCGGAACAAACCGCCCAAGTCCTTGCACTTCGTCCCCTTCACGCAACTGATTTACCATTTATACTCGATACAAACCTCTCGGAAACAGTTCAATCCGACAAAGACTATTCAATCACACTTGAAGAACGAGAAGTACATTTAGGGTTGGTGTGGATCTGGCGTAGAGACCAGCCTCTTCCGTCGAGATTTTGATTCGTCCATTCCGTCTCCGCAATACGCGCTTTCTTCACCCCAGATTCATCTGCAAAACACCAACTCTGTGAGTCTCTTGTGATCTGGACAGGGGCCCCTTCTTTCATAATCCGTGATGGTTGAGTTGTTAGAATAAGGCTAGAAGGCGGGCTCGCCGTGACGAAAGGGATCAACGAGCAGGACGATTACCGTTTTGCTCACCGAGAACATGCAATGCAAGTTCTGGCATCGACCTCCACTATTCTTTTGAAGCAAGATGAGCGGGGACAACTGTTCACTCTCTCTGCACTCCGGAGAAATTGAACCTTGATGATGTGACAGTTGGAGTTTTGTGTCCTGACGAATACAGCCATTTCCTCTGTCATGATCACCGTCCTAGTACAGTGTCCGGTACTCACCAGATGCTGCTCGCAATGATATACACGTGGATCATCTTAATGGCATACCAGATACTCTCGCGAGGTCATTCTTGTATAGGGTGTGCAGAGAAGGACTAATAGCAGGTGAGTTGGCCCCAAGTATTTCATTCTGGAAACGAATGCTCCTCACAACGCATCGAAGGGTCACAGTGAAAGACGGCGGAAACTAAAATCATCTCTCCTTACGCTGACATCTGATGAAGAAGCCCAAACACCCTCGTCGAAACACATATCTCTCAGCGGTCACCACAGCCGATAATACCTGTGGTATTGTGATCCCAAATATATCGTTGGTATGAACCCTAGCCCTTGAATCCTTGAACCTACTATCACCTGCTCTTAGCTGCAAGAGTGGCATATTCCGTGGCATTTGCCTTTGCTGCAACCATTGGCCTCTTTTGCTTTGTTCAATGTTGGATACTCTCACCCCTGACCATCCATCATAAAAGGGTAGCTCTTTAGGGTTAGGGTAAATACACGTCAGGGTTATCGATTTTGAACATATGGTGGCGTGAGAACAAGCTCTTAACTCCGATTCTCCAATATATACGGAGTACAGTAAATTCCTTTGAACCAAAGGAATTCGTCTCAGAATCTCATTCGAAACAAGACACATCATAGAATAGGGGGGTCATCAGTCCAGCCGGATCTGCGGGATGCTAAGGCCCGCCAGCCAAGCTATGTGGGCTGATCACGAGTAAGAGCTAAATTATTTTTGGCGCAGTATAAGAAGACCTCAACATCAAACATTATACGTATCTTCGTCTTGAATAATATATACGAAGACCTCTTTTATAAAACAGAATAATCCGGATGGGGAGGTGACACAAATCTGCACGCTTACTCTCAATTTTCTCGGCATCATGGATCTGCAAGCTTTCATAGATCCAAACCTCCCAGAAGCCGACCTGCTTGTTCTCAAACATTTACACCACGACATTGACAGTTATGAAGACACCAACAATGCATCTTCTTCGTCTAGACAGCAAATTCCAGACAACTCCATCACGAAGAGAAACGTTCCAGCAGCAGTCGAAAATGTCGATGCCCTCATCACACAGCTCGATGCGCTCAACGACCCTTCGCAGTCGTCCTTCGAACCCACCGTTTTCGTAACCTTTGACATGGGCTATCTACGCACAAAGCTGCACCCATATATATACAAGAATTTTCTGGTTCCTTACATCTCAATTGCACGAAAAATCGTCCGAGTCGACACCGACGTCGTGATGTTGACGCATTTACTTCTCTACTTTTCGACCTCCGTGCCCTCCGCGATCTTCCTATACCGACATTTTACCTACCTACACGGCGTATTACATTGGTTAATGCAGAGTTATTATGTCGGCACATACACGCTCATGATGCATCAACACATCCACATGGGAGGAATCCTGACAAAATCCAACCCGTTCATCCACGCCTTCGATGTCCTGTTTCCCTACATCACAAACCCATTAATGGGCCATACCTGGAATTCGTACTACTACCATCATATTAAACACCACCACGTCGAGGGCAACGGACCCGGCGACCTATCGTCAACAATCCGGTATCAGCGAGACTCAATCCCGGATTTTTTACATTATGTCCTGCGATTTATGTTCTTTGTCTGGATTGAGTTGCCGTTGTACTTTTTTCGACATGGGAAGTTTCTCTTGGGATTGAAGGCGTTCTTTTGGGAGTTTAGCACGTATATTACTATTGCGGTATTATACAGCTATGTCGATGCCCGTGCGACTATTTTTGCGTTCATTTTACCGCTGTTCATGCTCAGGATTGGTCTCATGGTTGGTAACTGGGGTCAGCATGCGCTCGTGGATGAGGAAGAGCCAACATCTGATCTACGGAGTAGTATCACCCTGATCGATGTCGCTGTACGTTCCCTTCCCCTTTCCCTCTTTCCCTTCCCACTGCTAACGATATTCAAGTCAAACCGCTTCTGCTTCAACGACGGCTACCACACATCCCACCACCTCAACCCCCGCCGCCACTGGCGCGACCACCCAGCCGCCTTCCTACGCGCAAAAGAAAAGTATGCAACCGAACGAGCCCTCGTCTTCAAAAACATAGATTATATCATGATGACTGTCAAACTCATGCAAAAGGACTACATATATCTGGCGAAATGTCTTGTGCCCATAGGTGAAAAACAGATTCGTATGTCCCTGCAGGAGAGAGCGGAGATGCTGAGGAGTAAAACGAGGAGGTTTTCGGAGGATGAGATTAGGGTTAAATATGGGTTGTAGATATGATATAGACTTGTATATAGTGTGGGCCTGATTGGGCGCGAGCAATATCTATAGTCAAAGAATGATGTCTAAAGGCATGTCATTGTAAAATATTATTATACATCTGCACCTAACCAGTCATCTAACCGGTCAGTCGGAAAACCTAAATAACTATAACTGAAGTATTACTTGCTGGCATAAACGTTTCATCTCTTTTTTTTTTCTGATCTGACCAAGGAAAATGACTGCGCCGATTCATTTCTAAATCATAGATCAACTTTCCTTACCCAACCTTCCCAACGCGTCTATCAAGAAATCAGAAGCATTCATGAGTTCTGTACTTCCATACACAACTCTCTTTCTATGACTTCCCGACGATGCAGCTGCACCGGCACTACTGGCTACAGCTGCACCGCCTCCTGTAGCGCTACCGGCACCACCAGTGCCTGTTTGACCACTCGTACGCGCGACCCAGTCTTGCAAGTTGCCGTATTCTTCCATACTACCACCACCGACAGTAAAGACAATAGCTTCATTGAAGGCCTGACGACGCTGACCAAAGCTTGCGTTGATGCCGGGTGTAGTTGTTGAGCCGGCCTGTTGTTGGCCACGAGCAGCGGACGAAGTAGGCATAGCACCTCGTGCGTTGGCGCTACGAGGGTCAAAGTAAAGGTAATTCTCGGTCTTGGCAATAGCTGAACTTGAAGCTGATTGAGGATCCATAATCGACTCGGTAATTTTTGTGAGAGTGAGATCCTTGTTGACTGGAAGGAAGTTCTTCACGCCAGAGATCAGAGAGTCAAAGTTGGCGCCGAGAGTACCAGAAGTGATGCGATCCGTCAGTCTGTTGGAAAGAGATGAGAAGCCCTTGAATAGGTCGGATGATTGTTGCTGTGGAGAGCCAGTCGAGCTCGTCATCATAGTCATTCGGGTGATTTCTCGTACGCGCTTGACATATGCAATAGAGGTTGTATCCTCATTACCCGCTCGTTGTAGTGCTTCCTCAAAGTTCGTGATCTCGCCTCTCGTCAATTCCGTCTCTGTCGTCAGGAACCAGATGATGAATAACCGGAGCTTATCGGAAGGATCTGTACCCTTACTGGGGTCATTTATCAATTCTAGAATTTGAGCCTTGCTTTGCTTGCTGATGTTCTCCTCGAGTTGGAAGAAGTTATCGAGTTGTCGGTCTTTGATTCCTTGTAGTAGCGCCGTTGCAATGTTCATGTGCATATCCAGTGTGGCTTTGCGTTCGCGCAGTTCTGGCAGGAGTGTAATCGCGGCTTTGAGATGATGCGCGGAAGCACTAGTATCATTTTGGAGATCCTCAATTGATGATGCTCCTGTTTTCTTCGTGATATCATTGGCGTCTTCTTTATATCTCGTCAACTCCGCATCAATATCTTCGGCGACCTGCGGGAAAGGAACATTGGCATTGCGCTTCCAGAAGAAATCCGTCGCATTGAGGTCATAAGCTTTCTTGGTTTTCCCTTTCGAAGGATCAGATTCGTCCACCAGTGTTTCTACCGTAATACGATTGAGGTGCATTTTGAGCACGTCTTGTACCAAGGATTGATATGTCCATCCATGTGACAGCATCGGCACGAGGTCAACATTCCGATCCACGATTATCATTACCGGTCGCGACGACGGTACAGCCACTCCCGGTCGTTTATTGCTCGAAAACAGATTATCCTTGGAATTGAGTATGTGATCGCGAAGTTTGCGATCCAACTTGGTGGCTATAAGCTCGGCAGCACCGCCTTTCGGGCATCTGATGATCGGTATGGCGCCCATGGTGACGCTGACATCGAACAGCCCACTGACAATTTTATCCACAATGTTATCAAGATCCTCATCGCTTGTTTGAGCACTGTTTATTTTCCAGTACGAATCATTACCCAACCCTAGACTGAACAGATCCGGTTCCGCAACGATGAAATTCAAATATTGATCAAAGACTTGTGCTATATGCTCCGCTGTGCCTGTAGTCGCGATCTGCGATGCGAAGTCTTCTAGAAGCTGGCGGGGTACCGACGACAGAAAGTTGACGTAGGCAGGGGAGTATAATCCACGAGATAAATCGGAGGTAATTAGCTGTGTATTCACTGCGGTGGGCTCAACGAGATAGACGACAGGAACATCAGGAATCGGATACCGCGCCGAGTTTATGTTCCTATGAAATGTCAGTGACAACACACGCAGACGTAGTAATGATTTCTTACAAATGAATAGTGACACCCCAGGCCCGCAGGTCATTCACTCGTAGCACACTGCTAATCACGTCTCTTCCCTTGTTGTCGAAAACCAGAACTTTCCATATCGGGTCGCCATCCTCGTTCAGGATGGGAGTAGACTGGGGAATGGTAGCCGGACCTGCGCCGTCAGCGTGGGTGTCTGCGGATGTGTGGACATCATGATTGAGATTCAGAATCTTTTGAATCGATGCTGGGGAGAAATATTTGATCAGTCTCAAGATTCAATGCAAGAAGAGCACATGTAACTCCATAGCAGAATTGACAACTTACCGATTTGGCGGTCCCGCAGCGACATGCCTAGGGAGGCCATCGCGACAGCAGTGTCAACAGAGCTTTCCCTTGACCAATCTCAATTCAAAACAGACAGATCTTATTATGTGACAAAGAATTAATTGATCAGAAGCAATATGCATGAAGATGTCTCAAGAAACGCAACAGCCTGCTCAATATTCGATCGATCTTCTTCCACTTGGCAGCTTCCACTGGCTCAGCGACATATCGCAGGCCGTCCCGCTGCAGCCAATCAGGGGGCATGCAAACAGAGCAAACATCTCCCAGCTTGCGCTTGGAAGATCATGTGCCCCACTAAACCCAAACAGGAGACCCGACCCAACTAATTCTCCCACTCGATTCTTTTCTTCCTTCACCTCACTTCGTCACTTCATCCACCACCACCATCCAACTCACCTCTGTAATGCGATTGATTATGCTGCCATGAAGCAGCTTTTTTCGGGCTCTCTGTATTAGAGCTTTCTTCTCTTTGCTTAATCCAGTTTCTTAAGGCAAGTAAGAGGGCGCTACTTGAAGACGCGTCACTTGGAGAAGCTCTCTCTTCCAACCCGGGAGTGAGTGGGCTTTGCCTGCATCTTGATTTTACTACTAGAGAAAGACAAGGTCGGGTTAGCTGCATACAAAGGGAGCAGGGGAAAGGAGCTAAGGGAAAAGAATTTTCCTACTGTACAAGCCTGTATTGCAAGAACTTCTGCAAGAACTTCTGCTTGATCCCGTGATTTTCAGTCATTTTCTATCTCTCCCTGTCATAAAGAGCGACTTACAGCGGCTACACGATCTGATTGCAACAAGAAAGAAAAGAGCCACCAACGTCTAAACAGACAAAGGCCACATTTGCAGGGCAATTAATCATCTGGCTTAAGCTGGAGTCCGGACATCAACTGTGGAGTCTGTACAGCTGTCTCTGAGTTTTTCCTACGACTGCCTGAAACCCTCTACGAATCCCTGTTGAACCAGACAGAATAGGGCGGCCTTTATTTCCACGAGCCGACCTCCCTTGTCTTTTCCGAGAAATTACGCGCCATCTTAGTTTCGGTGGTAATAAAGATCCACTTGGGTCCTGCTCATTGGACCATCTGTCTCTCTCCTAATTCCACGCTGTGCCCCCTAAGACCCACGCACGGTTAAGCATTATCTCACGTGACCTATACGGATATAATCTGCAACAAACATGGAGCAATCAACATCACAACCAACAGCCCAGGATAATAATGCTCAGTCTGCTGTTGATGAGGCTTCATTTCCTACCGATTACTGGAATAATATCGATGGCATATATCCGGAATTAGATGTTCAACAATCAGACCAACAGATGCAATCCCATCAGCAACAGGCCCCCCAAGGCATTACATGGGATCATCCAATATTTTCACAGACCAACCAGCAGCCTGAGCGACAGGCATCATTTTCTCAGCAGAATGAACATATCCGAGATTTCTACTCCGGGACACCTCAGACATGGGGCCAACCGGCTTCTTCAGCCCAGACGGCAAATGAAGTTTCTGGTCAAGCATACGGACTTTCTCATCAACATCCGTACCCCATGCAGCAGTTCCCTCAGGATCAGGTCTCTTTTAATGCTCGCACGCTAAGTCCTGATAATCTTGCTTATCAATATTCGATACCTGGCCAATACTATCAGCAACCTGGTCTACAGCCTGCAGATCCATATGCTCAGCAACAGCCCCGACATCAGGCGATTGCTCCCCGGCCTCCATCGACTCAGCAGCAGGCCGTTCTGCCCGCAGGTTCCCAGTCTACGCAAGGCCATCAGTATATCATGCCAGCTTCTAATGTGGCAGGCACAGCACAGGCACGCAACTTCAACCAATACGGAGATGCGGCAACTCCAGGCATGAACTTTCAAAGCACGATCGACCCACAGTTCCTTTCTTCACTTCAAGAAGCAGCTGGTGGGCCCTCTCAATCATCCCAGAACCAGTTCTTGTTCTATAACCCTATTGCCTCGTCTTACGACCGCCCCAATGACCCAAAGTACGTACTTTCTCTTCAATTGTTGTTTTGCATGGAGCTAACTATAACCAGGGCATTTCAAGCTTTTCCCGACAACCTGAGCCAACTCAATGCTGAGCAGCTCAATGCTAGACAACAGTTAGCCCCTGGATTAATGGCGCAGCTGCCACAAATAGCACCCTATCCTACCGGTCCTGGCATGCTAGGTAAGCTTTCAACTTCATTAAACTTGCAGATTGATGCATTCTAACACCATTGCTATAGCCCCAAAGCCAGCTGCAGCTCAAGTGATAACCCCACCTAAGAAACGCGGAAGGCCGAGGAAATACCCGCTGAAATCGCCCAGCACGAAAGGGAGATCCGCTTCGGACTCCGAGAGTTCTGATTCAGAGTTGGAAGTCGAGGAACCGGACGAACCTTCACCTCTACCCGCAGTGCGTCCAGCAGATCCAGAGGGAGCTGTTCAATACGATACAATTAAAGCAATCTGGTCGCCACGTAATAAGTATCCTAGCGTGGATAAGATTAAGAATGCCCTTGTTGCGTTCAAGGACGTGGTAAAAACAGTCAGGGATGAATGGAAGTCTCTCAGTCAGGCAATGAAGGACGCCGAGAACCAAAACAACAACGAGATAGCGTCGGAGTTGAGAAACAAAGTGGTTCAGCAACGGAAACTAATCAACACCGTTATCACCGCGACGTTAGACAAAGGCCACCCTGTTATTATTGAAAAGTACGTTCTCTGTCCTTCCCTCCTTCTAACCTCATTAGCACACCATCACTCTTGCATCTATAGAAGTCTGCGCAATGCACACATCTACCATGTAATCATCTCAAAATGGATAGTGAGCGAACTTATAAAGATAGTCAATTGCCAAACAAGGCATTTTTCGAGCACTGATCGTACACACCTGTGTACAGCATCATCTCTACTACAAAAATTCGCAAATAAAGTCTTGAGATCGAGTTGCGTGGGAAATGTACCCCTCCTTGACAGCTGTACCATATTAAAGCAATTGGATAATGGCAGCGGTCTAGCACTTCTTGTCCCCTCTACCACAACAACCACACATTGTTCAAAAAAAAAAAAAAAAAAAAAAATAAGCGTAGCTAACATCTCAATAGATTAGGGGAACACCCAATGGCTGTTGCAGCGTTATACTCTTTTCTGCTTGATCGTCACCAAGCCTCAGACTATGAGGGCGTGCTACTGGTGAACATCCTGACGGTAATATCTCTTCTGATTTGTTGATGTGATTCATGCTAATAAAAGTATATCTAGTTATTATCACGTTTCACGACAATGGACGACGATGTCCTTCTCAAGACTAATGTCTCCAAACTTTTGCCAAGGATCATCAAAAAGGGTATCCAACCGGGCAAAGATCTTGCTCAAAAGATATTGGACAACGCAGCTCAATCAACGAAACGGAAGCAAGAGTCTTCGAGCAGCTCGCCTGGCCGAGATGCAACTCCTGACAAATCGAGTGAAACTTCGTCTGTGACCGGAATCAAGCGGGTCCGCGATGGAGAATCGAATGGTCTTCCAGCCACCAAGAAGATGGTGACGCCAGGTGCAGCAGCAAAAGGTGGTCCTTCTACTAAGGTGACTGTCGGCAACGCTGCCAAAGCCGCGGATGGGAAAGCCACTACCGCACCAGCTGCACGACCTAAAGCCAGCATCGTTCCTCCTAAGCCAACCAGTCTTTTTGGCAGTCTCACCTCTGCATCCAAGAAGCCCGGAACATCCAATGCAGCACGAGCTGCTGCCGCCGCTGCCGCTGCGGCTAAGGAGAAAGGGGGTGCTGTGGCCGAAAAGAAGAATTCACCACAACCAGCATCGGCCAAACCAGCTTTCTCGTTTGGCGACCTTTTGGCAGACCTCAGCAAGAAAGAGGAAGCCAACGCCAAGAAAGCCTCTGATGACCAGCCTCCTGAAACCGAAGAAGAGCGTGAAAAGCGCCTTCGAAAGGAAGCACGACGGAAACTTCGTGTCAGCTGGAAGCCAGACGATTCCCTTACTGAGGTCCGTTTGTTCACCCACGATCCTGAAGAAGTTGGTGGTATGGATGATGGCCTAAAGAGGGATGTGGACGATATTAAAAGTGAAGGTCGTATGCTTAAACTTCATAAAGACCTGGATGTGGACGACGAGGAAGAGGTGGAGCCGCAGGAGGAAGAAATCCATCCTTGGACAAGCCTGCCTACGGCTGAACCGGATGGGTTGAGCAGTGAGGATCGAGCAAACAACTTCATCAAACGAGGTGGAGACAAGGAGCCGGACAGCCCTGAGAAGTTGGCGCAGGAAAGCAGAGAAGCCACTACCTTAATGGTTTTCTATACCTCTGCTGCAGATGTACCAACTTCTCCTAAAGAACCACCAGTGCCTACTGACGAGGAGCCTCCCACAACGCAACTGCCGTTTGGAGAGCCGGATGACAAGATCAAGGTATGTTTACGTCCACACTACTCTCCGATACTTGTATATTAACGTCTCTATCTTAGGCCCGCTCGGCTCGCTACTTTGCCATGGTAAACACACAACCCGCACCGACCGCTGCGCCTGTTGTACCTGCCATACCTGCTGCACCCACTGCGCCAATCCTTCCCGGCGCTCCTCTTGATATTGCCAATCTACTGAAAGTTATTCAAAATGCACCTCAGCAGGCACGATCTACACCACCTCCTGTGCTTCCTCTGCAAGCGGTGCAATCACAGCCGAATCCTCTCGCGAATCTTGAGCAGACCATCAATTTATTCCGACAGCAACAACAACAAGTACAGCCTGTCATTCCCCAGATTCCCCAGATTCCACAAATTCCTCAAATCCCCCAAGTTCCTCAGGTTCCTCAAATTCCTGTTTCCGCTCCATCAGGGCAACCAATTGACTTCCAGAAGATCCTTGCCGTGCTGAATGCTTCGAAGCAGTTAGCCCAACAACAGCAACCAGTCGCTCCACAAATGCCTACTACACAACCAGGAATCGCTCCCAATCTAGCAGCACTGGTTTCCCAACTCAGTGGTAACCAAGCGGGCACCCCAATCTCGCAACCACCACCACAACAACAACAACAACAACAACAACAGCCACCGCCAGCTCAATCTTCCTCTGGTTTTTACGAAGACCCAGAACGGAAACGATACCGTGACATGGGTCGCGGATACGACAACAATGGCTACGGAAGCAACGCCAAACGCCCGCGTATGTACGTTGATCCCGAAGCCAAGAAACATCCCCGCGCAGGATCTGTGCCCTGTCGTTTCTGGCGTGAAGGCAAATGTCTCAAGGGTGAAGATTGCACTTTCCGTCATGACCCTGCTGATTTGGTTTAATCGGTTGACTTCCTTGATACCCTGATCGTTATGTCGTTTCTCTTTTCCGTTCCGCATCATGCGTGGTCATATCACTATTACAGTGAGAGTTTTCATCTAAATCACGGCGTTTATCCAAGCATATCTTCTTCTTCTTCATAGAGGGCTTTCTTTCCTCGGCAATCTCCTTACAGAGTAACAACACCCTGTATAATAATATTTGCAGTACTGGCGTTTTCATTTTTCATATTTTCAGCATTTTTCTTCAGGCCTGTTTTTTAACTTCTAAACTGTACTATTAATATCTTCTTAGTGGGCAAACGGGTGTATACTTACAAGTATAAACAATACATCTGATTACTGCTTCAACATATTTGTTCGTTAGGATCATACACCTACCTAGCTAGATGGTAGAATGCACGTGTATCGGTTGAGAACGGCTCATACAATCATGCAATCCGTAGCGTAGGGCTATGTAGACAGGCATCCCACTTTGCCGCACTCAACATCGACACCACCTGGACATCAGATATGCATGTGTCATCCGACAAGAACATTCACAGCTATATACTCATTATGACAAAATCAGAACGGACACATTTGATCATCGTATGCTGTCATGCGATTTATATCGGAGGTCCTAGCAAAGGCTTGGATGAGGATGAGTGGTACGCGTTCCAAGGTTTACCTCTCTTTCATATGGTTATGACACAACGTTGGGTCTTCCAAGATTATTGGGCCTATACATATAGAACAATTAAGCTCTATCATCTTTTGACAACCCCTAATTCCTACCTGGACAGGATTCAGCCATGAGCCAAAGTTGCTGATATTAGATAGCCTACTGGCTCCGTTCCAAAAAGGCGAAACCCCTACATTTGTGAAGCATATCAGAGCTGGATTGCAAAAATATGAGGGGAGTGGAGGTGCGGGTGTTTTGATTTTTTCTGGGTATGTTGTCTTTCTTGCTCAATGCATATCTCAGAGTAACCCTAATGAATGTATACGTAGAGGTGCAACAAAACGAGACAAGACGGATCTCACAGAAGGACAATCCTATCTGGTAAGTCAGCATCATAGGCACTCAAGGTTCCCTCATCGCTAACAAATCGGACAGAATCTCTCCCGGGATAACAACTTCTTCCAATCTATCACGAAGAATACAGCCAACATGTTTGCCGAAAACCATGCAACAGACTCCTATCAAAACATCCTCTTTTCCCTACTGCTATACCGCCAACATACGAAATCAGCTTATCCGAGGAAAATAACCATCATAACACACGAATTCAAACGAAAACGTTTTCTGGATTTACATCTCCCCGCTATTGGTATCTTACCAATGTCAATGTCAAAGATCGACGTAAATTTTGTAGGTATTAATCCTCCGGAATATATCACACCTGTCGCAGGATTAGTGAAAGGGGAAGAGAAGAGGGGTCCTGGACTGTGGAAGGATGATCTTTATGGTAAGGGGGAGGTGCTGAGTTGGAAACGACGGGGAAGAGGATGGAATCAAGACGAGGAAGAAATGGTTCTTGAGGGCGAAGAGAATGAGGTTGTCAAGAGACTGGTGAAATGGCAGAGAGCTGGCCCGTTTCCTGAGATGGACGATTTGCCCTGGGTATGAGTTCGCTTGCTTTGTATCATTATGCATTCAAAATGGACAGTAATAGCTGGTGAACACAGGCAACCCTGTTAGATAATGCGCTTAGGCACAGGCTAAATCAACTCATTCGTCCACAGCCTCCAGCCTGCTCTGACCTCTTTAGATTTTGACTCGAACTTTGTGATGAACTACTCAACTCATGCTAGGTATCCTAGCCGCGTCTCGCTTCCGCCCGCATACCTCGATAGATGTTGATCAGGGCTGAGGGTAGTATCTCGATCGAGAGTCCCTTCGGCCTGGTTCATGATACAAACCCATCCTGTGGAATATTTGAGCATAGAGTATCAGTAACATGAATAGGGACGAATCACTCGCAGGGTCATCCCAGATGGTCTCGAGCCATATCGTCCTCACTCATCCAGGGTATTCGTCCAGCCTGACTCTTCACATCAGCCTAGAGATCTCTCTTCGACTTTAGGAGAGGTCTCGCGCTCTCTTCTTCAGACTGAGACCAACGGAGCCAGACGAGGTTATCAGAAAATAGGAGGCCTTCAACGGCGGTGGGGCCGCTAATTATTCTCATCGCACTTGTTGTAATTGGCGCTTTTCTTGGAGGAGCAGTAGGGGATACATAGTCGATAAAGAGGTCTAGGTCTGAGTCATGAGTTTTGTTATTTCCAGACAGTATTTTTGTCATAAAATTGCAACTAAATTAGCTCTGAGTCAACCATGCCAGGGGCTTCGCAATCATACTCTTCAACTTCTTCCTCGACCACTTTCACCTCTCATTCCTCTACAAGAACATCAAGATCAGCATCAACCCCAGCAGCAATAACAGACTGTCCCACCAGTAACGGCACAACATACACACCCGGTAACCCTTCCAGCGGAAACAGCATATACCAATTCACAAAAAAAGCGGCGGATACGACAACGGACGGCACAAACCTAGAACAAGCCTCCCTTTCCACATTCAATGGTTGTATAACATAACCCTATGCTCGAACTGGAATTATTGAGCCGAGTCGCGAGTTGGTATTCAGTGTACCAGTGTGGTTCATCTTATGGATACATCGTGCTATGCGAAGAATGGAACGAAGACGGTCAAGTCTATGTATAATGATGTGGTTGTTGCTATGTTGACAGGTTAGGAGTCCTTAGTTGGATAGGTATGATGATGTCTATTAAGAGTTCGCTTGTTTACTGTATATCTTCCGCTACGTCCTACCTAGGTAGATATGAACGAATCAAAAATAAGTTGACTGGTATATTCATAACCCGAAAACATAAAGACATCCCTACAAACGCCATCCATATTGCCATAACCAACGTATTCTAATCAGCAAGCCGATAACTAACCAACGTATCCACCCGATGATTATTCGTACTAAAACTCCTCAATTGCACCTTCTCCCCATTCGTAATCTCCTTTGCATCACTATCCCCCCATTCCACAGGTACATCTGAGTCGGCATCTGCATAGACTAGAACATTGAACGTACAATTCCCGTCAAGAACCGGTAAAAATGTCACCGAGGCCGTGATTTGCCGGAATATAGCCTGAATTTCTTGTTGAATTTGTGCTTCGGTTTTCTCTTGTGTGGGCTCGTCTGCTGCTGCATTTTCTTTGTCTGTGGTGCTTGTTATACCTCCTGTCTTGCGTGCTGAAGCCGCCTGTTTGAATATCTGGACGTCGAATTGCCATCGTTCCACATGTTCACCGGTCTCTTTACTAGTAATAACCACGACAAGTTTTGATATCTTCCCTCCTATCATCCATTTGTTCAATTGAGACATGATCTTCTTGATGTATGCTCTGACTTGGTCGTCGGACGAGACTGTATCGGTTAGACGGTAGGATGGTAGAAGTTGCGGTAGGACTAACCAAGCATATTGAGGCCATATTTTTTAACTCTATACAAGTTAGTGCTTGAGCTTCAGTACATGCCGAAGAGAACTTACGGAGAGAAATCTTCTGCTGGATAGACTCCTCGTTGATAGCTAGCAGATTATCAGTTCAGATACAGCCTTGGTTCGGAGAGGCGTCATACAGAATTGAGTTGATGGAATATTCGAACTGTGGAAGTCGCAGTTAGTCAAAAATTCCCAACACAAAAGGAATGGTAAGCTCACGAATTCAGCGACCAGCTTCGATGATCCTGTGTTTTCCTGTCAGTCCCCGCATTCACCTTTTTTCAATCAATGAGCGGACAACTCACCTTTCAAGGAGAGTTTATGGACCTTGGACTTTTCTTTATCTGCCGACATTTTGAAAGCGATTGGCCTTGCTGAACGGTTGAATTGTTGAAGTTGTACTTGATGTTTGGTTTTGGCAGGTTGTCGATTGTTTACTCAGTCACCCCAGCAATTTGCTCGGCCTGAGGAATCCACACTAGCGCCCGCATCAATATTTTTTTCTCCAACTTCAATATGCCTTTTTAACTAGTTTAAGCATATGCATGGATTAGCAACATCGCATTTCATTCCTATAGATCAATCGTGCAATCAATGCACTTATCCCAATGCGAGGATGCCTGCAAGTGCTCCGATGGCTGAGCACATCACCCGCACGGCGCCCGGTGTCCTCCGGACTACGACTGCGTTCATATGAGATTGTATCTCCTAGTATTCTCCGTCCATTCACAAGCACTGTCCGACGACAAGCACAAGCCTCGAGAAATGTCTCCGACCTGGAAAAACGAATTGCAGAGATCCCAATCGAACGTTTCCGGAACTTCTGCATCGTCGCTCACGTCGATCATGGGAAAAGCACACTCTCAGACCGGCTCCTCGAACTCACGGGTGTCATCGAACCTGGCTCCAATAAACAAGTCCTCGATAAATTAGACGTTGAGAGAGAGCGCGGCATCACCGTCAAAGCGCAAACATGTACAATGCTCTACAACCATAACGGCGAGGATTATCTCCTGCATCTCATTGATACCCCGGGTCACGTTGATTTCCGCGCTGAGGTCTCTCGGAGTTATGCCAGTTGCGGAGGTGCCTTGCTACTTGTCGATGCCAGTCAGGGTGTTCAAGCGCAGACCGTTGCAAATTTCTATCTAGCTTTTGCGCAGGGACTAGAGCTTGTTCCGGTGTTGAATAAAGTGGATTTGCCGTCTGCGGACCCAGAGCGTGCTCTGGAGCAGATGAGGTCCTCATTCGAGCTTGATACCGATAATGCGATCAAGGTATCTGCCAAGACGGGGCTAAATGTCGAGCAGCTACTTCCTACGGTGATTGAGAGAATACCAGCGTAAGCTCCTCCCTTTGAGAGTCAGCGGATGACACTGACTAGATAGATAGACCTGTCGGCGACCATACAAACGCTCTCCGCATGCTACTCGTCGATTCATGGTATTCAACCTACAAAGGCGTCATTCTTCTTGTCCGCGTATTCGACGGCGAGATCCGCGCAGGAGATCAAGTAGTCTCCTTTGCGACCGGACTGAAATACTATGTCGGCGAAGTCGGAATCATGTATCCCGATCAAACTCCTCAATCGGTTCTACGAGCAGGTCAAGTCGGATACATCTACTTCAACCCTGGAATGAAACGAAGCAAAGAAGCCAAGATTGGAGATACATTCACCAAGGTTGGTTATGAGAAGAAAGTTGAGCCTTTGCCGGGATTTGAGGAGCCGAAATCGATGGTGTTTGTGGCGGCGTATCCGAGTGATGCGGATCATTTTGAGCATTTGGAAGATAGTGTCAATCAGTTGATACTGAATGATCGGAGTATTACCGTTCAAAAGGAGTCATCGGAAGCCCTTGGAGCTGGATTTCGATTAGGGTTTTTGGGCACGCTGCATTGTTCTGTTTTTGAGGATCGGCTACGACATGAACATGGTGCTAGTATTCTCATTACGCCGCCTACAGTGCCGGTAAAGGTGATATATAAAGACGGCAAAGAAGTCACGGTTACAAATCCAGCGCATTTCCCCGACGAAGATGAAATCCGTGCCAAGGTGGCTGAACTACGCGAGCCTTATGTTATGGCTACATTGACATTTCCGGATGAATATCTCGGCAAAGTCATTGAGCTCTGCGAGGCGAATCGCGGCATCCAACATACACTCGAATACTTTACATCCTCTCAAGTCATTCTCAAATACGAACTCCCACTCGGCCAACTAGTGGAAGACTTTTTCGGCAAACTCAAGGGCTCAACCAAGGGCTACGCAACCTTGGACTACGAAGAAGCCGGCTGGAAAGCGAGCAACATCGTCAAACTACAACTTCTCGTCAACAAAAAGCCCGTTGACGCTGTAGCACGTATCGTACATTACAGCCAGGTCGAGCGTCTGGGGAAACAATGGGTGACCAAGTTCAAGGAACATGTTGACCGGCAAATGTTTGAAATCATCATCCAGGCAGCTGTGGGACGCAAGGTCGTGGCTCGAGAGACTATCAAGCCGTATAGGAAAGACGTCCTCGCCAAGTTACACGCCTCCGACGTGAGCAGACGGCGCAAGTTGCTCGAAAAGCAGAAAGAGGGACGAAAAAGGCTGAATGCGATTGGCAATGTGGTGATTGATCATAGTGCTTTCCAGGCCTTCTTGTCTAAATAATTGTATATATCTGTATTATAGTTAGCATCTAAGTTAAAGCAGAGTGTAGTTACATAAGATGAGTCTGTTTCACAGATCCGATCAATCTTGAATATGATGATCGCCCGTCAGTGCATGGTCTAGACTCAGACTGTCTGTATCGCTGTATTGTAAATACAGAGAAGGCTAGTCCAGGGGTAAATGACGCCCAGTTACTAACCCTGTAACGGTAAAGCGTCGGCGCCACATGGACCCAGCTGTAACAGGATCAGGTCTTTGATTGGCTCTGGGCTAGGGTCAGCGTAATCTCCCGTTCCCGCTGGTCTCCGCCTTGGATTCTTTTGATGCTCTTTTTAGTTGGATGACTAAGGATGAATATTCAAAGAATTCGTCAGGCTAGATATCCGTATACAGTGTGTAGCCATAGTATACATATGCAAGTCATCGAATTCCTGACAATCAGAGAAGCAAGAGCGCGGACCGCTAAGCGACGTTTCATCTTGGTGTACGAGGTAATACGTGGCTTCGTACTATCAGCCGCTCCAAGACTACCTAATTACCGATCCTCGTGGGGAGTGCGTGGCGGTATGTGTCTGGTACGGTGGAAATTGGGTTCTTCTTCGGTTAATTCGTCACCAAATGTGGCCAGAACCGGTCAAAAGACGTGGAGTTATGTATCAAAGACATGGGTTATGTTTTGACCTTGCCCCTTGTGGCTAATGCGTGTATTCTTAGTGGCTCAGCCCTCTCTTTCCCCACTGGCCCGCCCAGTCCAGTTAAAAAAAGGAAAGACCCAACTTCCATCTCTTTTCATCACCCAACATTAACAACTTCCGCTTCGACTACAACAACATCTCTCAGTCACTCGTTTCCCTCGTACGTTCTTCGTCCATCCACCTCTCGTTAAAGAGGCTTAACATCCGGTCATCAGCCTGCGACAATTTTTATTCCCCGCCGACCGATCGATCGATTTCCTTGTTTCAGAGCTTCTTCATCCCCTGCGTCTCACCTGCGCCGTTGATTTCGTCAGCCTCCAGCGTGTCCACCAAGGGTATCGGCTAGTTGACTTTATTTCATCGCATTGCCTGTTAGAAATGGCCTTCGTCGGCTAAACATCAACTAACGGACAATCAACCGACGATACCCCGTGGTGGGATTTACCTTAGAAGACTTCGACTTCCAGGCTATGGAGGCTTGACGTCTCTAGCCTTCATTTGCACATATACCACACTCGTTATTACCGCTGTAGACCGGCGACGAACCATTTACTCAAGTTACGACCTTGCCTTCTTTGATTTTGTTGTTTGCTTTAATTGATACCTTTTCACGATGAGTTCTACAAACGGTATGTCTACGGTCTCGACTTTTAGGAGATGAAATGTGCTAACGAGTATAGTCCTCCGAGACTTCTCCTCACACCTCACCTTCCGTAGCTGCGTTACATGCGACACAGAACCTGTGTGCAACTGTGCCGCCGGTGAGTCTTGTATCGAATCGAGCCGAACGTGTACGGCATGTCCAACGACGACCTGTATGCCAGCAGCATCCACCTCAGCACCCTCATCTACTTCATCTAGTGGCGGCTCAAACGCCGGAGCTATTGCAGGAGGGGTCATTGGAGGTATCGCTTGCGTCGCCATCGTCGTGTTTCTGATATGGTGGTTTGTGATTCGAAAGAGACGCCAGGCACAAGCTGCTGCTCAGCCTGCCGAGAATTCGGTTCGGCATGAACGCAGCAGATCTATGCAATCGATCGCTTCGACAGTTCTTACTCGGGCTTCGAATGTCATTCAAATCGCGTACATTCCTGGTGTCACCAATCGCTCGTCCCCGGAAACCCCGGGAACTCTGGTTCCTCCCGTCCCTGCTATTCCAAGCACACACGTTTCTACATACAGCGGCGATCAATATCTCTTTACACCACGCGATCTCCGAGATTCGCGTTACACTGCCACCAGTGATCGCCGCAGTATTGCTACTAGTCTGGCACGAAGCAGTGTTGCTACTACGATCTACAGACACGATGCCATTGTCAGTCCAGTTCCCGCTCAGCAGGTTCGCGCTGCCAAAGCCGCCGTGGTCAGCGTTAAGACGGGAAACAATACACCCAGTGATTCGCTTTCGTTGCGTACCGTCGACGCACCCGCCGTGCCAGCCATTACAGAAGCTCAGCTACAGAAAGCTGGCAAGATAAAACCACAGCTCAGTTCCATTGTTGCTCGTTCGGTTGTCGCTCGCCCAGTCAACGTCAAGGGACCGGGATCAAAGACGAAGGTGCCTACAGTCTCAGAAGAAGAAACTCATTCGGATGACTCAGAATCCGCGGCATCACACTCGCGAGCCAAACAGCTGAGCAATCAGAACTCGACATTCGATGACTCGTCTGATGACAGTGATGATGACGAAGTCAATGAAAAGGGACACTCCAACCCAGCAGCAGACAATATACAGATTGCGTTATCGTCGCCTCAAAATGAAGGTCCATTCTCGGATTCCCATGTAGCAGGAACTCCAAGAGTAACTGTGAGCACCGCCACCAGTATCGCGCCATCAGCAGCGACTGAGGCCGTGTCTACCTCTCGTGCCAGCATGGACAGCAACAATGGCTCATCACATCGACAAAGAACCAGCATAGGTTCGGCTCAAATGTTGGATAACGCCATTGCTCATGATGCTGCTACACACCGGTCATCGAGTCCGTTTGACGACCAACACGAAATCAAATAATTGATATCCACATCAGACATATCTCTCTTTTATACCATCTTCTTGTACGTAGTATTTATTACATTTGCCTTTCGTCATGCAGGCGGCTCATTGTTTTACGAGTTGGCTTTGAACTCTATGAGAGTCTTAAACATATCTTCAATATTATTTATGACAATTCATTCATTCTCAATATATATAGTTCGTAGAGTAATCAACTAATATCTCCCATCAAATCATCCATAAACACCCCATCTTCCCTGACCCAAAAAGGAAAACCCCCATTATCCGGCAATTTCCTCAACGCACCCAATACATCCTCACCACCACCCCGGACCCATGTTGTAGCCAAATTACTCGTATCAACCCAAGCCGAAAACTTCCCTCTCTTCACGACATCCTGTCGAATAGCCGCATCACGCTCCCAGTCACTGAACGTAGACGTAGCGGGGTACTCGCGCACATGATCCCGTTGAACGACGAGTCTTAGGTCTGGGAATGTCGAATTCCACGGCGATGGGAGATGGGGTTTGAATGTTGGCGGACCGGACCAGATATGACCATATCCCTCTACGGAGGATGAAGAGCGAGGCGTTATCCCCCATGTCGTATAAACAATCGCACAGCCGAACAGGCTCTGCAAGCGTCTCAACTCGCCTGCAATATTAGAATACAGAACACTCATATAAAACGAAGTGCGTCCTTTGCGACGTCGTTGAATTTCTGTAGCCGGTAAACCGATTTCTTGTGTTCGACTGATTTCGTCGCGGAGTCGGTCTGTCCAGTAGAATGCGCTTGCACTATCGAGGAATATTCCTTGTAAAGGTCGAGAGCGCGTAGTTTGAGAGTGGTTAAGGAGGTAGGTGTCGAGTGCATTTAGGGTTGAGAGTAGTGATGAGGATGTTTGAGGACGAAAAATGTGGACGTATTGGAGCGTGGTGTGGATTAGTGCATTGATCGCCTTGTCGATGGCAGTATTTGAAGACACGTCGGCGTCGCTGAGGGCATGTCGAACGATGCCAGCGATTATATCGTGCAATCTTCGCACGTCAAAACGACCATCAGCATCCAGGAGGATAGCAACACCTCCCCGACCATCGAGTTTGTGCCCATTGAACGTAGAAGGTAATACGCTCATAGCGATGAAATAGTAGAGGAGTTGAGATTTGCCTCCTCCAGAACTGGGGCTTGATATCTCTATAACAGGAAGCTTTCTCTTGCTGCTACTCCCAAAAGCAGCTGATTGGTGAACATGTTGGTTTTGAGTCCCTGCGAAGGGTTGATGAGCACCCAAGGCGACATGCAACAACTCATCGAAATCTTTGATTCCGAAGAATGCATCATCTGTTGAAAACTCTTTTCGTAAATTGCGAAGTAACTATTACATTGTTAGTATAATAGTCACCCATCTACCTAGGTAAAAAGTGATAATGCAAACCTCGTCTAGACTCTCTTCTTTGACTTCATCCAACAGACGCTGTCCGAGCGTGGCGGCGGTGGAGGTCATGTCTCATTGTCATACCGTTGCCTTTTTCAGTCCATAAGGATCACTTATGACACATAATTCATCAGCGACTAGTCATGTTCGTGGAATTGGATTTTTGAGGTGATGTGAGGTTGACAAGGTTGATAACTTGTAAGCGGGTTAGCAGTTTTAGCTCCAAATCACTAACCCTAACCCTAACCCTACATTACTGGAGCTTCAAGTTATTTTCTTGTTTCCTAATAATCTTTTTCATGAACGTAGGTTGTTACACCCTACACACGTCTATGATTTTCATGGGTATTGATAACAGATATTTCTGCAGTATAATAACCGACTTGGATCTGGTAAGTGACTGTCTACGGAGTACACTCTAACGAGAAGATGAAATCTGGATGACTTCTGAATCGTTTATTTTCCTAATTATACGAAGACTGAGTAATAAATCTTAGACGCTAAAGAACAGCAACAGAGTTCTTGCAACTCGTATCCAAGATAAACCCATTCCATCTATGCGGATACAGCTTCTTCATAGTCTCCTCCAGCTGAGACGCATCACCCAGTCGTTTCAACTCTCGTTCAAACGTCAGAATATACTCCCTCGTCCGATCAATCAAGTACGGTCCATCAGACTGAGATGCCCGTTTATGCCCAGGCACAACAATACTCGGCTTCAAAGCGGCAATCTGTTCTAAGGCATCCAGCCAACCTTTTCTCTTCTCTGGCGTATTGGCCTCGGCCAAGAATTGATAACAATCACCATAGACAATATCGCCAGCCACTACAAGACTCAAATCAGGAACGTGCAAGAATGACGACGCATCTGTATCGGAATGCAAGACGTCAATTCCGAAAAGACTATGTCCATCAACGGTGAATTCTCCATTTTCCGGAAGCGGTTCAGGAGCAACTTGTTTATCTGATAGGACCTGACCATCTGGGAAGAATCCTTGCCATACAGGAATTGTTGCAGGAAGTGTTCGTTTTATTTTAGCAGCTACAGAAGCCGTGGCAACGCTTTTAGAGCCGGGAAACTGTTCAAGGATAATAGGGTTACCGAAGAAGTGATCCCCATGCGCATGCGTCGTGTAGATGTATTTCAATGTCGTCCCTGGTGCGAGAGTCTTTCTGATCCATTCTGCGAGTTCCTCTGTCTCTTTGATTGTTGTAGGAGTATCAACCAGAACGGCAGATGTTGGTCCTTGAACCAGAGTACAGGATATCGGTGACCACCATGATTTGGACGGTTCTTGAGAGCCAGTAACTGCAGGAATTGCAGGTGAGACGAACACGTCCACTTGAAGTGAAGCGACCATGATTGTGAATAGACCTTAGGTAGTGCGGATGTAGCAGCAGCAGCGATGCTTGATGTTCCGGTGGGAATTGAAAATTATTATATGTGGCATATCAATGAGAGATTACTCATCAGCCATTATGAATTAGGCCAGCATTATACAATTTAGGTACTCGATACGTTGAATAAAACTTCGGGATAGCATCTCGGTTCCTTCGGTAGACGAATTCGCGGTTTTGTATCACATCAACCATCACCAGACCAACCTCACGATGCAGCATGCTCACGTAATTGATAAAAGCTATACCTAGAACCACTGGATTTAATAGGATGGTTTGGCTCATGCCGGATGGTGAAGGGAGCATAGAGTCATAGACTCCGTTCCGGTTTAAGGGTTCATATCCACTTGATCAGTAATCAGATTTGAGCCTCGATCCACTGAGACTGCAGAACATAATTGAAACCTTGAAAATAGTGATATAGTGTCCGAATTTTGTGACATTCTGCATTGATTACCAACGTCAACGGATGTGTAATCCAGTAACCCGATGTTGGTAGCACAATATCTATTAGGTTCAACGGTCAGTAATCAAATATGTACGTAAAACTCAAATCTGTACATATTTATCTCGGGATGATAAAGAGAGAGAGAGACAATAAGAATCTCGTGGAATTATCATACATAGAACCGACGTTATTTACCTGCTCGAAGTATAAGTAGTTGCATACACCCAACTAATTGATATCATCGTCCATCTTATTCATCCGAAGTACCTAGCCATAACAGCTGAATATCTCCTGAACAGTTCTTCTATCTCTAAACTAGCCATGTCCGGTTCGGTTATTAAGAACGTGGCAGTTGTCGGTGCAAGTGGCAGTGTGGGCAGGTTCGTGGTCAAGGCCCTGCTAGAGGAGAACTTTCAGGTCACTGGAGTCACCCGCGAAACATCAAAGGCAACATTGCCCGAAGGCGTGAGACATGTGAAAACCGACTACTCTGCAGCATCACTTCAAGAAGCATTCAAAGGACAAGATGCGGTCGTCGGCGCAATTGGCAGTATAACTCCTGGAGAGGCATTGACCCTCCAAAAGCCTCTTATCGATGCTGCCATTGCAGCTGGTGTAAAGGTTTTCTTCCCTTCTGAATACGGCATCGACACATCAGACCATGCTTCAAAGGACTATATCCCTTTTCTCGTGGATAAGATCGAGACTCTCGACTACATCAAGACGAAGCAAGACAAGATCTCATGGACAGCCATAGTCTCCGGAGGGATGTTTGACTGGGGCCTCGATATTCCTGGTTTCGGAGGATTGAACATCCCCGCTGGAACTGCCACAATCTTTGATGGTGGTAACATTCCCTATGAGGCGACAACCCTCGCTCAAGTCGGCAGAGCTATAGCCAAATCCTTGAAGAAGCCAGAACTTACCAAGAATCAATACGTCTACGTGAACAGTTTCACAGTGACACAAAACCAGGTTCTAGCAGCCATCGAAAAGGCATCTGGAAAGAAATTCAAGACGTCAGAAAGCACAGTGGAGGAATTGTTCTCAGGCGGAGCTGAGCAGTGGAAGTCTGGAAACCCAATGGGTGTTTTGGCCATGATTGCTGGAGCTGTCTATGGCAAAGGAGGGCTCGCCCAGTTCTCCACGAAGCAAGGACTGTGGAACGAGAAGTTGGGCTTGCCACAGGAAGATTTGAATGAAGTTGTGAAGGCGTATCTAGCTAGAAAGTAGAGTAGTGCCTACATAATCATAAAACCATTAAATATGCTACCATCCACGAAGCAACTCTGACCAGTTTATATGCTTAGCCAAGGTTTCAAAGATCAAATTGGAGAATAGCTTACCCGGTGTATGTTCTAAGTGCTATGATCAACGAAGTATATCCACTGAGAAAATAAAAGGGAAACATGGCAGTTGATGCATGTGTGAGCAGCTTGACTTTAATCTCCACTACTAATCAAGAGACTCAAGTAGTGGGATTCGGCGTCACGGTAAGCCGTGTCATGAGCCGTGTATAATGGTTTCACCGTTTGGTAAGAGACATTATGGTGAAATGGAAAATCGACAGCTGAGTGAAGGAAGTTGGACTTTGAGAAGTGGGATGCCTTAGGGCACGACAGTGGACCGCCATATTGTCTTAAATTGTAATATGATTGGTTCAATTGACTCCATTGAACTAACCCATATAAGGTTAGACCTGTGGAGGAGTTAGCCAATCAATACTCAGATCGGATCTCCAACTTTCCTCCGTCCAGAGCTTCACCGTGCGATTGCAACTCCATAACCACACGCCCAGCACGAATATCACGCATTGACAAACTTCAAAAGAATATGGCACCCTTAGTCCCCATATTCCCGACAGACGACCTCCAATCCCGCGTCCAGATCATTCACCGCGGCTTCAAAGAAAAACGTCGCAAAGGCGAACCAATTGACCTCCACAAATGCGAATTGATGGAAATGGTGCAATATTCATGTAATCCGCCTGAGGAAGGAATTCTACCACCTGGTGTTGTCATGTGTAAGCCTATTGTGAGGTTATTTCGGAGGTATGTCTTGCAGCAGCTCGGATCGCGAGAGAAAGATACTGATTGGTTTTGTGAAGATGCGCCGGTGGTCTCACGGTTGAAACGACGAGTTGGGAGAAGATGAATGCGAATAATGAAGCGAGCTCGAATAAATTAGATACAAGAAAGGAAAAGAAGTCATAACCTCCCTGTCTATATGGTCATAGTGGGCAGGTCTCACCGGATTCAATGTACATTATACTGCATGGGAGGCGTTTATCAATCACAATGTTATATTCTGATAATTCTCCGAATGAATAATGGGTATCTCGCAATAAATAAAACTGAATAAACGCCGCCAGATGCTTCATCACTTTGTAATGGGTTTCAAGTCGACACCCATCGCTCAACCTTCGCAATAACAGAGTCCTTATCAGGCAACTTCTCAGCTTTCTGTGTGCCCGATGTACTCTTCCTCCAGAAACTCCTCTCACAGTTGACAATAGGCGCCAGGTCAAGATTTGCCAGCGAGGATTTGCTATCCTTTTGTCCCGCGCCTCCCCCTTGTGAATCAACCGGTTGCTGAACCTTCTTACTCAACCCTCTAATCGTCTTCTCAAACATCGTCTCGGCACTCTCCGTCTTCCGTCCCCATAATCGTCTCTCGCTCTTCCCTGTCCCAGTAGCATGCGTATCCTTGAATGCAGCCCGCGCCAATTTGCGTAGTGCCTCTTCTCCATGTCGACTATCCTCCATCCCCAGCTCCCGTATCCGCCTAGGATCAGTCTCTCTTTCTGTGAAAACCGGCGTAAATCGATATGTATGTTTGCTTGGAAACTGAGGGAAATGTGCCGGGATGTAATTGATTCGGTTTCGCTCATCTTCACCGCTTAATTCTTCGCTGAGTACGGGTATACCGGTGAATGCGCCAAAAAGGTCATCTTCTTCGGGAGGAGGACTTGGTAAAAGTGTGGGGATCGTCTTTTCAGATTTCAAAGATTTGACGTATGGTGTTAATTCATCGGTGCCGATAAAAGCTCGTTGGAGTGCGAACTCAAAGTCTTGAGGAATAGGCTGTATTCGTCGTGATGCTGTCATCGATTGACGCGCAAATGATGCTAAATGGAGGATATCTAAACCGGTGTTAGAACAAAACCGAGGCCTTCAGCGGTTGTACATACACTCTTCAGTCGCGTGTCGAAAGGCATCAATCGCCGTAGGCTCAGCAATATCATACCCAGTCTCAGTCAATATCTGACCAATCGAGCATTCAAGAAGATGCGCAACGGCACCATCGTCGAGTAATGCAGGCTCTCGAAGTTGTGTCTGGACGGGATGATGGAGCTTGTGATTGTGATGGTAATGTCGTTTTTGTCGTTTTGTAGCTGGCTCATGTATGGGTGACTGCGACGCTGACGAGCGCTTCAGTGGCGGAAGTATACCGTTTCCTTGAGCCATCTTTGTTTTTGACGTCGATGGTTGGTGATGGGTGAGTGAGAGAATACTGATTTTTGAAGTTGTGGTGAGTAACAGACCTCTCTGGCAGCCGCCAATGGATCTTTTATCGCGCACGTGACTTGCGTCATAAATTCTCGATGTAGTCAAATTAATCTGGGTATTCGCTGAGTAGAACTTGAACAGAGCTTGGTATTGTCATATTATTCAATATACTCAGTTACATTGATTGTAATTTAAGGATGTGTAATAATAGACAATGATTGTGTCAAGTAGGATGTCTGCCTGAGGCAGCCTCCGGACAATCTCGGCTAACCCAATCCGAACACATTCTTGGCGCAACATCAGCCAACGTCAAGTCTTCCACTTCCGAGCTTCACATCACCTCACATCCATCTTCAAGCTCTCTACTCACACCGTCACACCTGTTTCAGGAGAGAGACCCTACCCAAAATCTTTCGATTTTGACTCTGTGAACTCATCGACTGGATTTTCGCATCGCAATGGCTGCTGCTATTCCTCCTATCACCGGCGTAAGTTTTGCCATGCAATGGACATTCGGAATCGGAAACCCGCTACTGTCTTGCTCTTCGATGAAGCTGGTGCACGATTGATTATTGATAAGTATATACTAATACTTCTCTAGATGCTCCGCCGGGGCCTTGTCCTTGACCTCAGTACCGCTTTCGGTGAGTCGATTGAACGTGTTTTACCTTGAAGGGAGGTGGCTGTCGTTTTGCACCTGGCTGCCAATTCAGGATATAGAAGGGGATGATTTACGAACACCAGCTTTCAACTGCCCTGAATATTCCAGATAAATGCTGATATACTCCCACCCACAGGTCTCGGAACAACATTCGGCTACCTGTGGTGGTACGGTACGTATTGATAATACTTTCTTGGGGATGTTAAGAGAAGGTGCTAATGACCGCATATAGGATACCACCTCCCCCGCGTCCGAGCCCGTGACAACCACTATGCTCGTCTCGAGCAAGAGCGTGCCGCCGGCCGTGCTTAAACATGCATTCATCCTCTGACAAGTTACAACTATGATCATGTATGCTAAGCCGCAGGAGCCTTGTGTGTGATTACCAGGGAGAGGATTAAAGAATAGAATGAATATTGCTATTGTCTTATCGAGCCAAGTGTTGTACATAACAAGAAAAGAAAGATACAAGATTCGCACACTCTTGAAGATGGGATTCTTGTCTAGTTCCTTATAAGCAGGATGCGGTCTTCAAAAGGTTCTGTGCTCTTCGTCTACATCAGAATTGATTATTTCATTTGTTTATTAAGAATTTCCTTCACCTTTGAGCTTGTTTTCATCACAAATGGTAGAGTAGACTTGATTGCATCATGCGATATAGATCTATTACCGTGTTGTACCTTAAGAGTCTGCGATGGACTGCATATGAGCAGCCAACACAATCGATGTATCAGATGCAGATTGTAAGGCTGAAAATTAAGAATTGCGCATACACAATCCGCGGTCATGAGTCCATAATCATAAGTATAGTATCTAAATGCCCACATGTATCAAGCTTGAAAGCACGAGACGACAAGTCTCATAAACTATAGATATCCTCGCTTAAGAAAGTCAAGTGCAGCAACAAATAATCATCTAAATGCCGCAGCGCCATGGAGAAAAGCAAAGAAACAAGAAACATGATATATCTTCCGTCTCTCTTCATCAAAGTAGAAAGCTCATCGCAAGACACGATCGAATGTAATCCCCTTCACACTCCCGCCTGCCATTGAATTCCTAACATTTTTCTTGAACCCATCCCTATTCAACCTCAAATCCTCTGCAGCCTCCTTATTGAGTGGATCAGAAGCATTCGGTTCTAAAAACAAAAACTGCATTCCCACTATAACCGCATTCAAATTCAAGACCGGTTTCCAATCCTCCCTCAAAATGTTCAAACAGACGTTTCCTTCCAAGTCGATGTTAGGGTGGTATATCTTCTGGGTACATTTCACTTTTGGTGGATCGTGGGGAAAGTTTTGGTTAATGGCGAAGGTGAAGTTGAAACTGCCGCCTTTGTACATTCCTTCGTCCGGCTCGATGGTTAGAGTAAAGTTTAGGATGTCGTCGGGGTTTGGAAAGGACATTTTCATCGTTGAACCGAGGGAGAGTTCTTGTAGATCTATATAGTCACGAGCGTTAGTTCTCCAGACTTGTAGAAACCGTCAAGCGGCGAGATAAGTGGAAGAAGGCTCTTACCTCGCTGAACACGCAACTGAGCAGCAGTAACTTTCTTTTTCTTCGCAGCACCACCATCAGCATTTTCAGCTTGCTGCTGTTTTTGTTTCTGTATCCCAGGTCAGGTTTTGCCGCCGCAATAAAAGTTCTTAAAGTCATACCATAGACCAGATCTTCAACATCTTGGGCGATTACGAAATCTTCTCCTCCCTTCAAAATGTGTAATATCTTGTCCTCTCTTTTACGATAGCACCAGGTATCGTTTGTGCTTGATATTCGATCGTATTTTAGTATCTGCGGGGTTCTCGAGGGCGAAACGTGACAAAGGAAGAAATTTATTGCGAGGGTGTCGAGGCAGGAGAAATGGGTTGAAAGAGCAGCTGCAATGAAAAGTCTTGTCCTTTCCAATCGAAATAGGAATTCAGTTGTACAGGAAGTGTGTTGTGTCGCAGAAACAAAACGTAGTACTGAGAGTAGGGAAGACGATGATGCTGGCGTGCCTCAGGCCAGGCGGGTAAGGCGTTATCGGCTTGTGGGGCAGGAAGGCATCCGATAACGATCTTCCTTTCCTTATCCTTAAGACTCATTGACTAGTCCTAGATTGAGAAGAGATGATATCGCTTCTAGGCCAATGTATGATTTATTTATATCATTGACTTCTTCAATGCGTCAAACGTGCGATCAACTAACACTACCAACAGTAGAACACAGAGATATATGCCTTCAATGGCAATTCTTCGATCTCTGTTAGCACGTCCTGAGGCTTATTATCACAGCGCTACAGCTGTTACTGAAACACGCTCTTAGAACAGCCCTCATCCTCATGAATTGCTTCTCAAATATAGTTCCTGTGTTCCTATTCTTATCCTACGTACTTTGCTCGCCAAGGAATACAACTGAATATCGATATCATCACGATCATGGATGTAAACGAAAAGCAACAAGAAACAAATCAAATATATTTAGCAAACAGACAGGACATGGGAGTCAAATCAAGACACAGGAAAAAAAAGGCAATAAAATGAGCCACAGGCAGGCAAACAGACATCAATCTACAATAGACTACATGTTCAGAATGGAAAAGATCAAAAGACCGTAGGAAGAAAAGCTGAGGGATATTAGAAATGCGTTCTTTTTGGGAAGGACAAACAGCGCCAAATTGGAGCCACTGGTCCACAGCCAGCTGCATACAGCAGCCCCTGCATAGTTTCATGAATATTTATCGTCGGGCACACATGCACATGATACCAGTTCGGCCCAGGAACCAGCATGCGCCAATGAATCGGACCAGTGCAACGGCTGCAGTGGCCCACAGAAGGGCCTGGAAAAAGTGTGTGGTACGAGTAGTGGCTTTGTTCTGTGGAATAGGTCAGTGGCGTGTAAACATATACTGATTTGGTAAACTTACAGTAAATCCAAACTGGTCAACACCATCGCTAGTGATGCAGACAGACAAAAGAGCGTTGGTGAAGATCCAGAAACTGACAAGCTTGGTACGGAAACTCTTGTAAGAGTCCTCCAAGCTGCGCTCTTCTTTTTCAACAGGTGCCACGAATGGTGTCAGGGCGCGCTTGACAGTGGCCTCGAATTGACTGTCAATATCAGCCTGGGGCTTGTCGACTTCTTCAATGACTGCTCCCTTTCCGTCCGCTTCCTTTTGCGTTTGTACTGAAGGTAATGCATCTGCCTTATCGGAACCCTTGGTACCCCAAGAAACATCGTGCCAATTGCTGAATGCGTAGACGTTGAGGATATTGATGAAAGAGGACATGACCAAGAGATAGGCGGGGAACGAAGTGAACATGTGCCATGGGTCCATGTACATGAAGGAAGCGACGAAGTAAAGACCGAAAGTGGCAGCCAAGGCAATGATAATGATACCCGCACCAGAAGACGAGAAGAAAGACTTCAAAAAGCCTCCAACTCCGTGATCAGTGTCGAAATCCATAGGTGCAGAACCCGAGAAGGCGTGGACGACCAAGTACATGGAGTCTACCACGACGTAAAGCTGCACGATACCGAAGAAGATGAATGACATAATATATGTGTGTTTCGAACTGTGTCCGTCAGTAATTGCAATTACGGTTAAGAAGGAAATAAAGCTTACCCTTTGGGACGATTTCCAAGAGCCAAAATGAATTGAAGAAGCAACACACCGAGATAGCCATACTTAACAAGCGTGTTGATAATAGGGGTAGCTTTGTTACCGAAAGGGAAGGCTTCGTTGTTATTAGAGTTGCTAGGCGTACCGACGAGATCCAGGATAACAGAGGTAGTAAGCCAATAAGACGCTGTTTCCGTTAGTAATTCAATTGGCAATCAAAAGAATGTGGCAACTTACCAAGAGCAAACCATGTCAAAATAGTGTTGAAAGTATTGTAAAGCATTTGAAAGTGAAGAACAAGCATACGAAGGATGTTGTGACCGCTCTTGTAGATACGGCTGAAGTGCATAAGACTGTAAATACCGGCAGCGAAAGAACCGTTCAACCAACGACGACGCTGAGAAATAAACTCAGCAGCACCTTCAGGCACATCAGTTTCGGCCTTGGAAGCCTTGACATATGACAAGTGCCATTTGGAGCCGGCCTTGGCCACCAGTTCGAAGCACAAGATACGATCCTCAGCCAAGAACATGTTCTTCTTGAAAATGTTCATGCCCTCAATACCCTTCTTACCCAATTGTTTAGAAAGGGTATGGTCACCGTGGAAGTACTGTTCAAGAGGTCGGCCCATGATAGCACGGAATCGGTAAGCTGAGAAAGCACCGGGCAACACACTGACGTATCCGAAGGAGGATTCCAAGGGCTTGTCGAGAATGTTTGAAATCTTGTACTCGAAGTTCTGGGCTGCGACTAGAGGGTTAACCAAATTCTTCCAACCTTTACCCAACATGGCGTGAATTTCACCACAGGCACCACCGAGATCTTTGTCGTTGTAGAATGCTTCCCACAAGGCGAGAATAGACTTGTGGCCGGGTTTGGTACCGGCATCGAGCAATACGCAAATTTCAGGGTTCAAAATACGTCCAAACGCATTAAAAAGCCAACGGTGAGAATTGATTTTCTTGCTGTTCTTCTGCTTCAAGCAGAAAATCATCTGCACAGGAGGCAAAGTGCTGGGACCGTCGTCCGTGGGACGAATGAGCTGTTGGCTGGGTGTGACAGAAAGCTGGGTAGTATATTCGAACTGTTTGATAACAATCAGTCAAAGATCCAAAATATGAGAGAAGGGGGGGAAGCCTACAATGTGAGCTACGGTTTCCTTTCCGTCGACGTCACGTTTCATGACACCATCCTGGTAGATACCAACGGTAGCGAGAACATCAAGTGTGTCCTTGTCACAAGGATCGATACCGTCAAACACTAGACAAACGACAATCTTCTGCCAAGCGGGACCACCCTTGTTCCAGAACTCAGATTTCTTCAAGTTGACAATGTCGCGAATGTTTTGCATGACACCGTGCAGGGTTCGAGAAGTCAATTGCTTGTCTTCGTTGTAGTATGTGATGGCGATCAACAGTTCGGTATGACGGTTATACATCGCCGGTCGCAAGTTGTAACCGTTGTGGAGGGTGAATTCATTAGGATCACAAGTAGCGGCAGTGTCTAGTGCATCAATTAGCATACGAATTGAGAAACAAGATTAAGGCGAAGCTTACATCGCATGTGAGTGAACTCTTCGCTGCCACCCTCGAGATCATTTCGATACTTGGCCTGAACGGCATTCTGAATAGCACTAGGAACAGGGTAGTCGACACTCAGGACGGAACCCTGTACAAGCTTGACCTTCCTGGTAGCATATCGGCGCAGACCAGTGCCAGCACCGCCAGGAGCTTGTCTCTGACGCCAGGCCTCAGTTGAAGAAGTCTCACTGCGTGCATATGGGGAAGCTACACGGCCAGGGACGCCAAAAGCCGCAGCAGGGTTTTCGGCGCCAGCATCATGGTAAGGAGGAGCTGCTGACTCGGTAGCATAGGACTCGGTCAAACTGTATCTGGAAACAGGGCGCATTGGAGATGCAGAACGGCTGTGGAGAGGGTCTTCAAAAGGACCGTTGAAGGGACCTTGGTTCAACAAGCTTCGAGAGGCATCGTCTTCACCGTATTGCTATGAATATCACTGTTAGCAGGCTCATCGATTAAATCGGCGATAAATTGCACGTACGTTGGTATGTCCCAGCTCGTTCATTCGATGAGCCTCATCAGCACCATAATTTGAGGTTGGTGAGTGAGGATGGCCACCTTGGTAGGCCATGTTGTTTTGTCAAGCAGAACCTCGAAACTATAGTACCGCTCAAAAGAAAAGAATACTAGGATCAACAAGTGGAGGTGACTGGATCGACGGAGGTTTAGACGTCTGATATGTATGGCAGTCGAACGAGTGAAAGAAAAAGTTTAGCGAAGGAGGTTCGTGTTTCTTTCTTTAGATGTGGATTAAGCTGAAAGAAGATTCACGTTGGCGCAGCGAGCGAGCGTAGCCGCCAGGGCTGAGAGAAGTTGGTCGAGCGAACAAAAAAGACAACGCAGCAACCGCTTAAGCCAGTTATACCGTTTTCTCCGCTTCTGAAGGAGAGAACTAGATAACGAGCGTAAGTGTTGAGCAGTAAGGTTGATAATATTGATGGAAATAAAGAAGTTGAACAGGTGTTTGAGAAGAAAGATGAGTAAAAAGAAAAGGTGCGGAGCGAAGGCTGAGTCCTGACACAGGGGAAGGGCGAGACAGCGATGCGTAACGGCCTTACCAAAATACGGGGTGTTCTTAGGAAGGGGCCCTGGCAGTTGTCAGTTTTCCGTACCATGGGCCGTAAGTAATTGTAATATTACTATAATTACATTTGACTTTGATGATGCTTTCTGATTGGTCGATGATCGGACAAGTCAATTGCTGACTGTGGCTCAGTCACGAACCCTTTTTTAGCACTGTTGACAAAACTTTTTATATGTTCTTGACTCCTTACTCTCATCATAAGCACGATATAAGCCTGAATAGAGGTATGTTACGGGAGATGCGGCTGGGATAATTCTGTGAGGCGTCAGTTGACGGGAAGAGACATGCATACCAGCATGTGAGTCGGCCAGCAGACCATTTTTAGACCACGCCACGATAAGTATAGACATTTAAGTTTCTGAGTATGCACATTTTACATAGCTTTAGCATTTCTTACAGAACAAATGCTACAAATTTCCTACGCCTCTACAATGGATGAAAATGAATTTGATATATCTTGAAAGTCCAACCAATGACAGGCGGGTCACAATAACTCCGCCACAAAACGATCACCCATCTGAAACACGGCCATTTGGATGGAAATACATGATAATACTGCTGGTATCGTAATTTTGCGATTTATTGTAATTTTCTTCGTATGTATCTGTAGGATTATGGAGATCAATGGACGAAGTATGGTGCCGAGTCATACGGCATGGTACTTAAATACGAGCCGATACGTATCGTACACAGACTGCTGTACTCTGTAAATTACATCCCAAGTGACACAGTCTCTGGGCAAAAGCAAAACTCCACTTGAGAATTAGCGGCGAATCCCGCCTGAAACAGACCAATCGACCCGTTCGCCACAAGTTTGTATGAGCGCTCTGTCTTTAAGAACTTCATTCAATAAATTTGTCATTCATGATTATTGACTCTGGGTTTCTTTAGACTTCAAGTAGAACGAGGTTGACAGAAGGCAAGAATAGGATCCGTCGGAACGGGCCTCACTAACCATGTTTTTTCGTACCATTATGGAGAAAGGCGGGAAAAGGGACGCTCGATGGACAGCTCTTTCACGTCGCACATGCTCTGCAATAATAGGGGATGGCAATCCAATCAACTCTTGCAATTTCACTTTGTTTTTTGTTTTTTGCTTGTTTTTTCTCGTATCGAAGACAGGAGACAGAAAAAATGTTTACAGCATTCCAGTGGCCAAGTAGAATGATGCGTTGAATACGAATATTACGTCAAACTCACCAGTCATAGACTGTGAATGATGAATCTCCACATTCTTTGTGTTCGTTGACTGGTTACTGGCTGGTTACCTGTATTGAGCGTGTTCGATCTGTACATATGTCAATTTAATACGACTTTGTCTCGTCTCCTTGTGGCTAGTTACTTACTACCTTAGTGATCAAGACGTAGCATACTCTAATTACCTATCGATCCTTTCAGTGTCTCTCTCCATTATTTACATTACTACATACTACTCCGTAGTGGTAATAAGAAAATGAAATACGTACGAGACAATTACGGGTCGTATTATTCGCGGAACAGGCCTGATCCCTTCCATGCCCACTTAGTCTGGTCTAAATATAGCCATCTCCATCGTCTTGTGTACGTACTCTGACAGCCGCAAAAATCATATCGATGATAGAGCTTCTCATCTTCCATTGGGCAAGCATTTGAAAATTTTCATCAAGGAGTTAGGTAGACTATGGCATCAATAAGAGACTCTCTATCTAGCATCTACTGACCGTAGTGACATCTGAGCTTAGCATATAGATGTATCCGGTATCACTTAAGTTCATCTGAGCGCTAGAGGTCAACAATTGCTGTTTTTAATGCACTAACTTGAGTCGTTGACTATTTTCAAGACATTATTTCTTCATACCTCAGGGTTACAATTTGTATTCCTTCGTTTAGAGCCCTCTCACTGAAATATCTTGTTTCATTGTCTCCTTATCCCGTGTTGCCCCATGTTGTTCAGCATTCAGGGCATAGCTGGCAGCGAGTGGCAATCGCCTCGTCACAAAAGTCAGGATTGGGGCACAACTGAAGAGACTGATCAAATATCCAGAATGAATGGTGGATATCTACTCTAAATTCGAAATCTCCAAGGATGTCGAAATAATATATATATAATATCATAGCCCCATGTCATGCTGAAGATTGGCCTCGTCTATGTAGTGGAATGAAGGCCACAACCCTCACTGATCTTTATGCGACGTCGACTTGAAAATTGGTACCTGAGGTATCAATCCTGATCGCACATTTTCATCTGGGCAGGTGACCTCTAGTTAAGCAGACCCAAACAAAGCCGCAATAGCCTCAACGGTCGTATTCCCTCCACTAAACACAATCCCAATATCCCACCCATCCTCACCACCCTCTTCTTCGACCCTCCGCCTAAAATCCTCATCAAACAGACAAACCGCCAACCCAACCACGGCACTAGGCTCAACGACCACCTTCATCCTCTCCAGCACCAACTTCATCGCCTTCTTGATCTGCTCATCACTAACGCTATAGACACCAGCCACTTTCGAGGGGTCTGATATGACCGCCCAATTATTCAATCCTACCGGCGTCCTGAGACCGTCTGCAATAGTCTTTGACGATACAGCCGGCACCCGTTCACCTGCCGCAAGACCTCGCTGACAATCGTTCGCGCCTTGAAACGAAGGCTCGGCGCCAAAAACCAACGTTTTCTTCCCGGCTGGCTTGGATGGTTCCGAAAACCACGTCGCAATACCAGCATTAAGTCCTCCACCTCCAATTGGTGTAAAAACAGCATCTAACGTCTTCCACTCTTTCTCTCCCTGCTGCAGTTCTGCATACTGTTCCTCCATTTCCAACCCCGTAGTCCCCTGGCCCAGAATAATATCCGGGTGATCATAAGGTGGCACAAAGATTGCGCCCGTCTCGCGCTGAATCTCTCTCATAACTGCCGTTCTTTCCGGTTCTGTACTCCCGCTAAACACTACTTTTGCGCCGAGAGATTGCGTAGATGCGATTTTGCTAGGTGTGCTTATTGAAGGCATTACGATATGCGTGGGAATGTTTAATGTTTTGCCGGCTAGTGCTAGGGCTTGGGCATGGTTTCCTATTCAGTTCACCCGTCAGCTTGAATCACTTTCAGTGATGGTGGAACGTTAGAAAAGGGGAAGAATATACCAGAACTATGCGTCACAACCCCCCTCCTCCTAACTTCTTCCTCCCCCAATTCCTCAATAACTCGAATCAGCGCATGAAACGCTCCTCTAGCCTTAAACGCGCCTATCCTCTGCGAATTCTCACACTTGAACCAAAACCGAATCTTGGGCTTCGCAGGCGTTCTATCGCTTCCTTCCCATCCTGTGCCTACCAGATCAGATAAGGATTGTGGTGTCGACGCGATTGTGTCAAGTGTCTGGTTTGTTAGGAGTGGGGTGCGGTGGATGTAGGGTTTTATGATTTTGTGCGCTTCGGCGATGTTGGTACGGTTTAAAGGGAGGTGGTTTGTGGACATTTCGTCGATTGCCTTTTTGTTGTCTTATAAGATGCTTGCTCGATTGGTGAGATGGTGCTTTAATACGTAGTCTTTTATCCTATGGCTTGTTCACGAAAAATAGGCGGGGTTATCGCGGAGATCGCACCGACTGGACATCGGGCCGAACGCTTATCGTTATCGCTACCTAGGTGAGCTACAATTCTAGCAACAATATTATTTATGAAGATATAGATTGAAGAAACAAACACTTTTCATTAGGTATCTACATTACATGACTAAAGACAATCGTAAAAGCTTACTTCTGGTTCTCAGGACGGAGAGAACGGACGGCCTTTCCGGCGCGCCAGATCTCCAAGTTGCGGATCTCCTCCAACTCCTTCTCATAACGCTCGCGGTAGTCGGGCTGTGAGTTGTATTCCAAAGAACGTTGTGTCTCCTTGCCGGTCTTGACGCTGGTGTAGAGCTCGTCAAAGACAGGCTTCAAGGCGTCCTTGAATTTGGGGGACCAGTCAATGGCACCACGACGAGCAGTGGTGGAGCAGGCAGCGTACATCCAGTCCATACCGTTGGCACCAATGAGAGGGTAGAGAGACTGAGTGGCTTCCTCAACAGTCTCGTTGAAGGCCTCAGAGGGAGAGTGACCACGCTCACGGAGAACTTCGTATTGAGCGAGGAACATACCGTGGATACCACCCATGAGGCAACCACGCTCACCGTACAAGTCAGAGTAAACCTCCTTCTCGAAGGTGGTCTCGTAGAGGTAACCGGATCCAACAGCAACACCCATGGCAACGGCCTTCTCCTTGGCCTTGCCAGTCACGTCCTGGAAGACGGCAATGGACGAGTTGATACCACGGCCCTCACGGAAGAGGGAGCGGACGGTACGGCCGGAACCTTTGGGGGCGACGAGGATAACATCGATATCGGTGGGGACATCAACCTTGGTCAAGTCCTTGAAAACGGGAGAGAAACCGTGGGAGAAGTAAAGAGTTTTTCCCTTGGTGAGGAGGGGCTTGACCTGGGGCCAGGTCTCGGATTGGGCGGCATCGGAGAGAAGGTTCATGATGATGGTACCCTTGTTAATGGCAGTCTCGACATCGAACAAGTTCTTTCCGGGAACCCATCCGTCCTGGATGGCCTCCTTCCAGGAGGCACCATCCTTACGGACACCAATGATGACGTTAAGGCCGTTGTCACGGAGGTTGAGACCTTGACCGTGACCCTGGGAGCCGTAGCCAATAAGGGCGAGGGTATCATTCTTGAAGTAGCTTTGAAGCTTGTCACGAGGCCAGTCGGCACGTTCTACACCGATTAGCGAATTGCTCCAATGGGTAGTTCTAGAATTCTAAGCTTACCGTAGACAGTCTCCTTGGTACCAGCAAAGTCAATAGTCTTGATTCCACGGGCGGAAACAGCAGCAGGTGCATGAGAGACGCTGGCAGTAGCTGCAGAAGGGCGAGCTCGAACAGCCGAGACGAATGTGCGACGAGGAACAGCTACCCGGCTGGAAAGGCGCAGAGCGCGAGGGATGGTCTTAGAAGCCATTGTGTGTGTGTACGAGTATATGTAGATATGAAAAGTGAGAAAAAAGAAACCAAAAGTGATGAAAAGATCAATTGATGCACACAATTGACGTGTAGAGCGGAGACAGAAGTGAAGTAAATTGAAGATGGAAAAGTGGTGGGATGAGCAGACCTTTTAAAATGCGAGGCCAGAGCTTTCCCCGAAAAAATGCTGGGGTCAGTCAAGTGACTGCCGGAGTTGGGCTTTTGGTCCGCGGCTCCGATTCTCTGACCGACTCGGGGCCACCGATATCGGAGCTGGCCAATCATGTGTCATCTATCACTATGTCTTTCAACTAGACTCTTTAAGTACGTTAACTTACTTCTTCACAGTATGAGTCACTCAGCATAGAGAGAGTTAGATTATACAATGAATACACTATACCGTATACGGAATAGTAAAAAAGACAAACACTGCAAACAAACAGCCTTAGGTGTCCAAAACTCTGGATAGAGTCTGTCAATCTGATATCTGTAAGGCGGAGAACTTAGAATCGAGGATAACTTCACCACGGAAGCTGGATCACGTGGTTCATTCCGACTGCTTAGTCATTACCCGAACCGCACTACGGTTCGGCTATGTATTTAGCTACGATTCGAATAGGACTCAGAAGGTAGCAAATAGCTACCTTACGAATCGTACCCTACCTTGGAAATCGAAGCTATATTCGTATCTCATTATCACGCTCTCTACCCACTCTCTTACAATATCGGTACAATTAAATGCTGATAGCACGTAGATCTCTAGATAACTACGTAGGGTATGATAGCATACGCAAGGGATATGCCTGGACACGGCATTACCGGAAAACGATCCCAAGCTTCCCCTGCAAGACGTGTACGATGCACACTGCACGGCTACTGACATAGCTGTCGATGAGATGCATCTAGAAATTATATAGAATTAATATACGCATATGCAAGCCATATAGTCGGTGATTGGCCTCGGAAGCGGTCGCATAGGCCATTCCTTCTGAGGATGACTCTGCAGCTGCCGGTCTTAAAACCGCTTCCTTCCGCTCCATCTTGACTTCCCCTCTTGTACACACATTCAATGTTAGGCGATATTAGCAATGTGACTGGTCGCACTCGTTCCATTTAATATTTACCCGCCTTTCGAGTCCGAGCCCGAGTGAACCGAGTCTCGTCAACTCCCGTTGTATTGACAAAAAATTGTTGTGTCTCTTACACAGCAGACCATGAGGTTCACGACGCCATGAACCCGCTTGCCCTCTTCTCTTCGATTCCAAACCTTCCATCCATTGAAACGAGGAAAGCGCTACTTCTTCTCGATTTTCAAAACGATTTCGTTCGTCCAAATGGCCGACTGCCCGTTCGGAAAACTCTCGACTTTATAGATCTGATTCCTGGTCTCGTCCAAAGTTTTCGTCGCACGGGAGAAATTGTGTGGGTACGGACTCAGTATGAGGGGCCTCGGCCCGTCATCGACGATTATGGGAGCGAAATAGTCATAACTTCGGCTGGTCCGTTGGATACAAAGAACCCGAGAAAAGGACGGCGTGGACGACAGGATAGTCGTGCTAATGTTGATGGAAACGTTGAGGTTGATCCCGAAGCCTTTCTTTCGGGCCCGGAGCCTGCTTGTCTTCCACAGACGGCTGGTGTACAGTTCCCGGCGCCTATTCTTGCAGCTATAGATCACGAGCATGATATCATCATTGAGAAATCAGACTACTCGGCGCTACAGTCCCCGGGTCTGGTCTTGTCACTGCGTTCCCGCTTCGTGACTGAGCTGTACATATGTGGAAGTCTATCAAATGTGTCCGTATACGCTACGGCGCTTGAAGCTGCACAGCAAGGGTTCACTATAACATTGATCGAGGATTGCATGGGCTACCGCAGTTTTGCCCGTCACGAAGAAGCCGTTCGACGCCTTGCAGATATTGTCGGCGCCAACGGTATCTCGGTGCAGGAACTACTTGAGGAGGAGGAATGGGAAGAGACACAAGAGATTGCTCATGCCACAAGCCCTGCTCCGGGATCTAACACGAACACTTTGGCTCAACAATCGAGTATGACTCCGCCATCCGGCATCGAGAATGTCTTGGATCATCTTGCTGTGCAAAACTCCCCTGTTACGAAGCGATCTTCAATCGCAGAACAGACTGGTTCCACCCCGTCCACAAACTCAACTGCCCATGTGAGTGGTATGATTGAGGCAGATGACGATCCGTATGATGATGACGACATAGTCTTACCTCCGATAAAATATACTCGAGCCTCGTCAACTCGTGTGACAAGAGAGCAAACTCCCCGTCCAAGCTCTACCAAATTGCGTCGTCACAAGTCAGGAAACTCTCCGTCTTCCTCTCGTCGGCCAGGGTCAGCCGCCTCAGACACAGTTTTTCTCGGGAGAGCTTCTACCTCTCCTGTGCTTACTACTACTAACAAAGTTCTGAATGCTGCTTCTCCCGGCTCCCCTGCTCCTGCCTTACCACCAGTGACAGAGGCAAGTTATGCGAAAAAGAAAAAGAAGATCGCAAAAGACGACCTAGGACCTGACGACACTATCGCCGAGGGCGATTCTCGGATAGTGTATAATCTTGACTTGCCCACGGACGCATTTGAAAAGATACAGGAGGAGGTCAATTGGCAAAAGATGTATCATCTGTCGGGTCAGGTTCCACGCCTTGTGGCTGTCCAGGGTGCCGTTAATACTGATAAATCTTTTCCCATTTACCGACACCCAGCCGATGAGTCTCCCATCCTCGAGCCATTCACCGAAACAGTAACCGCAGTGCGTATCTGCGCGGAAACAATTATTGGTCACCCTTTGAATCATGTGCTGATACAGATGTATCGTGATGGTCAAGATAACATTTCGGAGCACTCCGATAAAACCCTTGATATCGTCCGTGGTTCTTCCATTGTCAATGTCTCGCTAGGTGCTCAGCGAACAATGACTCTGCGGACGAAAAAGACTGCCCCTGCCGATGGAGGTGACGGTCGTCAGAAGCAACAGGTGCCTATGCCGCATGGCTCGATGTTCATACTTGGACCACAGTCAAACACGAGATGGCTTCATGGTATCCGTCCTGATAAGCGACAAGAATCGGAAAAGTCTTTTGAAGAAAAGGCTTACAATGGTGAACGTATCTCGTTGACATTCCGAAATATTGGAACCTTTATCAATCCAGAGCAAGGCACAATATGGGGCCAAGGAGCTGTATCCAAGCGGGCTGATGCAGCACGAAAGGTCATTCACGGAGATCCCGCCGAGGCAGAAAGACTTATTCGGGCATTCGGCTCCGAGAATCGAGAGACGGAGTTTGATTGGGATGCTGTGTACGGCCAAGGATTCGATGTGGTCAACTTTGTAGAACCGATGGTTGCCCGGTTAACCTTGAGTGGTGATCCAATTGCAGATATGCGGGTGAGGCTGTGTTTGACCGAGAACGGTATGCGATATGAAGTTGTTCATCCACCAAAGACGATGGATATGCAACCACTAGTATACACAAGCCCGGACGGGGAAACGATGATTACAGGCGACATCCAGATATTACTCTATCTTGCTTCCTTGGACCCAAACTCTTCCATTGCGAGGCCGGGTGTAGGCCTCGTCCGCGGAGGAAATCACTTGATCGAGATTACAAGATTAGAAACAGCCTGGCATGAGTATGTACTAAGCGGCAGCAAGGCGGAATTTTCTCAGCTGCCTTCTTGGAATGAACGATTACGCGAGACTGAAGTTACATCTGGCCAACATTACATCGCGGGACAAACACTAACCATCGATGACCTCGCTCTATGGCCGATTCTGCATCAGATTGAGAGCCGGAAGGAAATGATCACCGGTTCGGCGCGGTATCCGTATCTTTCGGCTTATTACCACCGAATAGAGAAGAGGGGCTGCGTTCGCGTGGTCATGGATGAAATAGGCCACGAACGAGGACGACCCGGCACCCGTTGATTTCTTCCTATCTTCTTTGTCGATGATTTCCCATTCTCCTCTCTTATCTGATTTAATAACCCGGTCAAAGACAAGTGTAAATCTAGAACGCTGGCCATTGTTGATGCATATACAATGTGCTAATGATGTGATGATATGACGATTTATGAATGACATCCTGTGATATATGTCTCTTGGGGCTTCATGCTAATAGAGCAGTACAACAATATGACTGACTCGCCTTTCATAAAGCGTTCGTTATTGCCTAGATACCATATACATGAAATTATATACCTTGCAGTACTCTAACTCACGCTAACGTGGCTGATATCTCCGGTTGGTCGAAGATAAACAATCTAGAACAAACAAAGTAACAAGAGTCAACATTGGAGACAGGGATCTGCTGCATGGTGTCGCATTTCGACATCCGATAGGGCCACAGGCCCCAGGAAAGTTTCAAGGACAATTGTTCATATTCTCATTTTGTTATTGGCTCGTCACATTTTATCAACTCATAGTTCAGACATCTTCCATCAAGAGTCACGATGGGTGGCTAACTAGGTTTCCTTTTCTGGCAAGTCACCTTCAAGCCAAAACCTATCCCTCCGAGTGTCCGTCTTGACATGAATATCACATTTGGGGCTATGTTCCAAAATTACCTTCTTCGCAGCTTCGGCTTTGGAAACATCTCGGGTAGCGAGGATCAGGCGGGTCAATCCATGTGCTGCCAACTCCCTAGCAGCCTCCAAGCCTAGACCGACATTAGCACCGGTAATGATGTCTGTCTTGTCCTCTGGAGCTGGACTACGAATCATCATTCGATAGTATCAAAAGCTTTGGCGAGTGCGCACAGACGCTTGACCGTTTAGATACTGTTAGCTTGTCGACCAGTGTCAAGCATCTGGAATATATCAAGTCAAAAACAGGTCACAAAGTTCATACCGACCTTGAAACCGAACAATTATCTAATTGATTAGTTCAATCATCTTGGTACCGCTGCTCTCCCCCTCTTCCTTCTCTTAACCCTCCGAGCGGCCGCCAAATCCACAGGAACGCTGAGTCGATTGACATTAGTCACATCAGAAGGCCTCCAATATCATCGAGGAACTAGACAAACCCAGCTCTTTTAAGATAGGAATCACGGATCGCTGCAACGTGAGCAAGCTCCTCAATTTACTCTGGTTACGTGAACTCAGCACCAAAGTCGAAAGCGATATCATTGTCAACGGCGTCAACCCAGGTCTTTGCGCTAGTGCGCTCTATCGATCACATGAGGGCCTTGCAGTTTTCTACAAGATCTTTGCCTGGTCTGCTGAACAGGGTGGATATTGTCTCGCAGGTGCAGCAATAGGGTATGAGAAAAACCAAGGTGCATATATCAGCGAACAAGTCATCAGGAAGTAGGGGCACCGTTGATATCAGCCAGATATGGAAGAGTCTAATATTATACAAATCATCTAATTTTGTCCTGTCAGGTGAAGGCCAAAAGGCACAGCAGAGTTTGTTACAGGAGACACTCTATGTACTTAGAGATGCACTCTCAGGAGTTGACTTGATGGAGGGTTTGGTGAAATAATTTCAGCAAATGCAGATCTTCTAGAAGCCCAGGCAATCGGGTGCGGAGTTCTTGTACACTCCATTTGATACATACTCGTTTCACCCCCTGATACACGATCACGCATGGCTTTCAGACTTACATCCAGGAGAATAGTTGTACAGAGGTCTTGTTCCTGGCTATAGCTTCTCAAACGTAGGAACTCGTTTCTCAAGCCCCGAAAGCACCGCGACAGAAACATCCTTTGCTTGCACAGCAGCACTATTCCATACACCTGTGTACCGTAGCCCTGTAGAAAACATATCATGTCAGCTCTTGACTAAAAGAAATATCATCATCTTCAAGGAAATGGGGGGTCTTACCATCCTTAACGGAATGATCCCTCGAATAATTCAATAACTCCTTCGTCCCCTGCACCGCAACAGGACTTTTTTGCGCCATCAACCCAGCTAACTCAACTGCCATTTCCACTGTCTCCTTCTTCGTCTCATACACACCACTCACAAAGCCAACCTTGAGAGCTTCATCAGCCCCAAACACCCTCGCCGTAAGCGCAACTTCTTTCACCCATCCATAATTCCCCACAGCTTTCGGTAAGCGTGTCAACGTCCCTATATCAGCCGCTAGACCGATATCGACCTCTTTTACAGAAAAGGAAGTGTTCTTTGCGCATAGACGGATGTCAGCTGCTACGCTCATGTCAATCGCTAATCCGTACGCGATTCCGTGCATGGCGACTATAACGGGTTTCTCGCATCGTTCGATACTAGTTATACAATCCTGGAATTCATCGATATGCCGTCGAAGTTGAGTCGCAACCCTGGCTGGATCTACAGGTTTTCCGTTCGCGGGAGCTGGGCTCAGTAGGCCCTGTGAAGCGGCTTTGACGTCTAATCCGGCCGTGAAGGCGCGATCACCAGCTCCCGAGAACACGATTGCCCGGACATCGGGCGAGTCTGATAATGCGTTGAAGACAGTTCGGAGTTCGAGCCACATGGCCTCAAAGAATGAGTTTAATTTGTCGGGACGGTTGGTTTCGACATGAGCGACATATTCGCGCGGGAATGTGACGTTGAAGTATTTGTACGATGGGAGTTTGGAGGCCATGTTGCTATTTCTGATTCAGATGAACCTTGAATCCAAATAGGTATATATCGCTGTTGTCTCGATGGGAGCTTTTATGTTGGATATCCCCAAACATCAATCGAAGGATAGTATATTAACTTAAGCGATTTATATAAGTCTGTACGAGGTATCTTCGAGGAGTCGAGATTTAAGATGCCGTTGCATGTAACATATGCATTACCTTTTAGACTCGTAGCTAGCCGGCTGCCGAGGTTGATGTTAGGCGTGTCGTTGTAGGTTGAATCACGGGTGATTAATTTGCGCGTCTACAGCAAGAATGTAGCAGTGCCTGGTGAAATGCTAGTATAAACTTCTGTAGACTTTTGATGAAGAATTGAGATGTTCTCTGCTTGGATATATTGAGGTTATTGTTGGAGGTGAATTATTTACATGTGAGACTCATCGATCGAGTGCATGGTGTTGTGGTAGAAGTTTGACCAATGAAAAGCCTCCATAGGCCCCACTTGACTTCAGATTTTTGCAACTTCAACCTGTCTCTATCTCACTTCATCAGCATCACACTCACAATCTCTGAGCAATTATGCCTCGTGCTGTGAAAGGTCTCTCACAAATTAAGCACGACTTTCATGAATTAAATTTACTGACATGACTAGGCGTCCTCGTCGAATGCGACCCGTCCGTCAAAGCCATCATCCTCAAATATGATGAAGAGAGACACGACTATATCGTGGAAGACTTGGACGATGACCGCCATCTAGTGATTAAAGAGAGTCAACTTCAGAACTTGAAGGAAAGACTGGGTCAGGTTAGTTTCTCCTCCTTTTGCGCATTGTCGAGATGGTGACTGATCTTTGTCGATATGATAGGAACTCGATCAAAAGGTCATGCAGCCCGAGGAGTCCGAGTCGGAGTGATTTGATTCGTCAGTAATATCGTCGTTTACTTTTCCAAACTTCGATCCATTTCGCCCCAGCGAATCGATTCTCGAAATACGCGATCGTGCTCGGAGTTGGAGGAATGAGCGACGCCCATGCTTGCGACATATATGCCAAGTTATGCTCTGGACAGCTCATCATGCCTTCTGGCCGTTCAATACCGCCAAACTCCCGTAGTGACAGTATTCCTGGCGTCATCATAACCCGCGACCTGTCACAGATCTTTGAGAACAATGGAATTGTCAAGAATCGATAGTGACTGGTGGAAACACGGTCTTTGCAAACTCACGCAATTAATTTGACTTCGCAGTTTCAGGATGAGAACTACGTGATGGGGCCAAAGACTGCCGTTTAAGGTTAATTGCATGGCGAGAGGGATGGTAGTGAAGTGATGTTTCTCATGTTGCATGGACTAGAACACTCTATGACGTCCTGTAATTAGTAGTGTTGTCATGACTTTACCAGAATATTCATGTGCTTTGCTACATCCATACTCTGTACAAGTGGTTGGTATCATGTTATATGACGTAAGCTTCGTCTAGAATGAGACTCCAATTCCTAGGTGATTGTTTTCTGACGCAAAGGAATTTGACAGTACCTTGAGCTCTTTTACCGTGCCAGTATGTATGATCTAGTGTAAATAAGATGTAGCTACAAGCTAGAGCTCTATAGCGACGTTTTCCTCTTTCGGCAAGCTCCCCCCGAACATTGAATTTGTGTAGTAGAGTGGCCCCCACTCAGCCGCCACCCGAGAGTTCTGGAAGTCTCCACTAACCTTATAAGCAAACTCCAGCTTTGTCTTGATGTGTCTGGAGTATTCTACAACCACCAAGTCATTTCATCATTCAACACCCATGGCAGATTCCAGAATACCGAACGATGGGTATATATACCCCCTTCGAGCTCCTGCTCAAGTTGTCCTTTCGTTCTTCAGGAATCATCAGAAACAAAGTGAATCAACAAGCGACCTCAACTCTACGACAACACTCTCAAACAAACAACCATCGAAATGGCTCTCTTCCCTCGCACCGGTGACTTTGCTCCTCTCTTCCGTCTCTTAGACGACTATGACCTTCACCGTTCCGGACGTGGCGGACAATCTCAATCATCCATCACCAGCTTCGCGCCGCGCTTCGACGTCCGCGAGTCCAAGGATGCCTACCACCTCGACGGAGAGCTCCCCGGTATCGCTCAAAAGGACATTGAAATCGAATTCTCCGACCCTCAGACCTTGACCATCAAGGGTCGCGCCGTCCGCGAATACCACTCTGGCAACCTCGACAACGAGGGTGAAAACGCCAACGCTCCCAAGCCCGCTTCTGTCGAGGATGCCAACGATAAGGACAACAAGGCTGTCCAGAAGAGCTCCGACAAGAAGGAAGTCTCCAAGAACAGGGACAACTACAAGTACTGGGTTAGCGAGCGCTCTGTCGGCGAATTCCACCGCTCATTCAACTTCCCAAGCCGCGTTGACCAGGATGGAGTTAAGGCTAACTTGAAGAACGGCATCCTCTCTATTGTCGTTCCCAAGGCTGCTCCTCCTTCCAGCCGCAAGATCAACATCGAGTAAATAAGATCCACTCAATGATTTGACGTTTACTCATTACGTCGATTGACTCGCCTATCACGGGTTAATAACGACTTCCGAGATGTTGCTTTACGATTGATGTTTTGCTTCACACTCATTATGATGTGCTTCTTCATTTTAACATATTCTTGCATTGGCGTGGTGCTTGGTTTGCATGAACTGTACAGCCTCTGTTGTACAATATACGATCCTGATGTCTAATAGTTGCTGATAGTGATTAATCAACACAATCCTTCAAATAATTACTTGTTCCTTATTGTAGAATATAGCGTTTAATCTAGGACTTAGCTGTGGTTTACTGTATGGTAGAACATGGTGAACGATTAAAACTAAGAATGCATTTCGCTTCCATTGAACGCCATACCCCCCCCTTTCGTGATTCTATATGCAAGATCTGTAGACGTATATGGTATAATACGGTTATAATACGGTTATGTACGCGCATCTGTATTTCGTTCAGTCTTCATGCTCATGTCCCTGAGCACTAACGTCCGTCTCATCAATTTCAATTGGCGGATTAGATCCAGTACCAGCCTGGACAAATGTCATCAACAAGGCCAACGCAGCGCCTGTCAAGAACATTGTTCTGAGCGCATCCTGGTATGCCGAAATGGCAGATTCTCTTTCATACCCCTTGAGCTGCCACACCAGAGCAGGACTGCCTAGGAGCCTCCTAATCAATTCCTGTCTGTCGTCAGGGATAACGCCGTCATCATAGCTGCTATCAGAGAACCCTTCTTCGAGACGGCTTTTCAATACCCGCGTGAAAATACCACCACCAATCGCAGACCCAAAGCTGCCCGCGGTAGATCGAAATGTTGATATGAGACTCGTGACGATATAATGTGATGATGGTGTGGTGAGGTGGAGTACATGCGATACTGTGTAGTTCAGAAATGCTCCACATGTAAATCCATTTGCGAAAATACTCATCGCATAGAGAATGACTGATGAGTTTGGAGTAGAAAGAATAGCGACAGACAAGCCGCTAAGCATGAAGAGGATTGAGATCACCAATGATGATCTTCAAAGATGTTAGTCAAGTCGAAGCTGCGAGACCTAGAGACATACATATAGTAGCTTGTAGCCTTTCGAATGTGTATCCAACCCACCAAGAGGCCACCCAGAGCAAAACCAGCATTCGTCGGAATCATAATGACTCCTCCTTCCGCAGGACTCCAACCGCGGACAGCAATGCCGTATACAGGAAGATAGAACAAAATGGCCCATCGCGCCATCATAATACCGGTTGACGATATGCCGGATAAAAGGACGCCGCGAGAACTGAGTACCGATATAGGAACGATAGGTTCGGCAGCGATCGCCGGCGTTGACTCGACTACTAGGAAGACGACAAATAGAGCTAGAGACATGGCAACGTATGCATAGGAGATGCGGGGACTAGAAAGTGAATAGAGCAACAGGACATTTGCTGCAGTCTATGATAACGGGTAAGTCAAGGTATCAGATAGCCTAGCTGACTGAAAACGAACCATTGTTAGAATTCCCAGGTAGTCAATTCGCGAAAGTTTATTTTTGAAAGATTCTGGCTTGGATTCCTGGTCCCGGCCAGTTGGTGGAATTGAAAAGTATAGAATTGGAGCGAGGATAAGACTTGTTGGAGATTGTATAACATATAACGAGCGCTGTATCATAGTGTTAGTCATGAACGGAAGCTGTCTCCAGAAGGTAGTGCATACCCATCCAAATTTCGGGGTTATGGCACCAGCTATGATTGCTCCAGCCGCAATACCCACTGTGACGGTGGTATATACACATCCTACGAGTAGTCCTCGCCGTTTCTTTGAAGACAGTTCCAGAACAATAATTGTTTGTGTTGAGTAGATCAGAGCACCTCCCAACCCAGCAACGACGCGTCCAACGATGAAAACAGGAAATGTCTTAGCAGCGGCAGTGATCAACAAACCGATCGACATGAGAAGGCTCGATAATGCTAATAGGGAGCGAAGGGGGAATATCTGCGACAGACGGCCCCCTACGGGCGTGAGACTGGCGAAGGAGATCTAATAACCACAAATTATTCAGCAAGATGTTGACCTGTTGACTCCTAATAAACTACAGATGTAAACAAACCATGAATGATGATGTCAGCCACGTCGTGTTGGAGAAAGCGTCTAGGTCTGCAGCTATGTCCGATTGCGTTGTGGAGATTGATGTAATATTGGTAGCTTCAGAATGTGAGCATCTCTGTGGCCCAACTCGGTCTCAGATGAAGCGCATACCTTGAATAAATAACAGACACATTATTGCGAGCGCAACCGCCACCGCACGCTTTCTTGAGATATGAGTGGGCGCAACGTCATCGTCACTTTCGTAGCCATTCTGTACAGCTGATGCTGTTATTTCTCCAATGCTGGTTTCCGCGAGCAATGGCGTCTCCTCGGACGCCCGAGCATGTCGAGACTCTTCATCATTGACCATGATGCGCGAGTTATTCCAGCTGATGGCAATTGCGCTCAATGGCAGTGCAGAATCAAGGATAAAAGCCGAAGATATTGAAGTTGCTGAGATACATGGTGGTTGTAGGACGAGCTAGTCTGATTAATAATTCGAGAGGAAGCTGGAAAGTGGATCGGGAAGGATCCTTATCAGTACTACGTTATCGTAAAGCACTAAGCTCATTATGGACTAATGCATCTCGTATATAGATCTAAGCGTCAAGGTATGTCTTTGAAAAATCTCTCGACTCCAGAGAGATCGCACAAACAAGGACACTATGAGAGAATCCAGTTATTTCCCAAAGCTTCCTCCGGAGCTCCGGATTTATATTTGGCGCTTTGCTCTCCCAGAAAGAGACGAGTTTCCATCGGTGAACGGGATGTACCCCTTAGGGATAGGAGAGGGTTTTGGCTGCCGTATCAATATCCTGATGTACTCATGGAAATATTAGCTTTCTGGGGTAACCTATTGAAAGCACAAGCTCATATATTGCTATTCTTCGTCAACGTCGAAGCTTGAAGTGTTGACCTAGCCTGGTTTCGTGATCATGGCTTCCAGAAATATAATTTAGCTTGGAATGTTCCTCGTGCAGCTATTCGCCCATTTAGTTCCTGGTGCGACGTGTTATATCTTGAGAAAAGCGCGTTGCGTGACTTTTATACAGAGCCGTTTGATCAATTAAACAAACTGAATGTGCATATCCGGACATATCTGTTTCTCATGCGCCTTGCTGTATCCGAGCAGTTGTTTCTCGAAAACACACGTGATCTGGTCAAAATCTTCGACAAATTCTCATGGTCTGAGAAACTTTACGTTATTGTCAGCGCGGCGGATGGCGAGCAGGACGATTCCTTACATGCTCACCGATGGTGGGAGATAATGGAGATTGACTGCACACTGCGAAGGCCTTTCGTCTGGAATAGCGTGGACAGGTTGCTTGAAGCGTGGCAAACTATTGACACAAATAACGATGATGAATTTTGGCCGTTAGAGATGGCTACTCGACACTTTCTACAGATATTTTGCCCTGAGCGTATGGAGGATTTTCGCATACAGACGGCTCTGGTTTTCAGAAGATGATCTACGTGCTGTCATGTATGAACAACCCCTCGGCTGTCGCCTAAGACTACAGGTATCTGGATTGAACGACAAATTTTACCATGTCTTGTTCGAGTCTGATGCAGTAGAACCTGGCCATAACGAACAGAAGGCCTCTCAGGACTAAGATCAATATACTCAGAAGTGAGTTCGATGTAGGGATGAAGGGCATCTATAAGACGTTAATCCATTTTAGTAGTAACAAATAGGATGTTCTTCAGTTCCATATCAAAGTAATCTAAGCTGAGGTCAGGGGAAGTAGGGAGCGGCCTCTCTCGTTATAGCCAGGTTATACTGTACTGGCGCTGCCATATTTGCTTACACTCGGAGTTTGTGCTAGTCAATGCCAGATTGGTCGTATCTCATTCGCATCCATAAATCAGACGAGAAAAGCAAGCAAACACAAACACAATCCATTTTGCCCATACATCAAATACTCGAGAACACCTGCACACTTGTCCTAAAGACATCGGTAGACGAATCAACCAACAAATTATCACCACAACTCGAACCAAGAGCCCCATTCCCAATCCACGCTGGCTCCCAATAAAACAATCCCAAGCCATTCTTCGTCTCGGCCACAACGTTCGCCACATCCTTCAGAAAAGTTGTCTGACCAGCAGCTGAGAATGGAATACTTTTTAGATCTGATGGGAAAGCGTATGCTGGGTTAGGACAAGCGTATGGCCAATTCGTCTCTGCAACCACCAAACCTTTACCCCATGTCGAAGCCATATCAGCTAAAGTAGACTTGAGCGATGACAACGTAGCCGAACTAGTGTAGAACGGATAGTAGCTTACACCCATCAAATCAAAGTCTGACGTGAGTAAGGGTCCTTCCGCTAAGACAGTTTTGTAGAAATATGATTGTTCGCTCCACGACCAGCCATTGTCTAGATGGATGAGTATCTTGGGCTTTGTTTGGAGATTTGAATCCTTGATTCCCCATGCGGCCGAGTGAAGTAGTCTAGCGATGTTGTAGTAGTTACTAGTTGAACCGAGCGGCCACAAGAGACCAGCCCTGATTTCATTACCGATGGAGACGATTTCGAGGGGAATAGACTTTTCGGCAAAACTGTTGCATACATCCATTGTATAATTGTATAATTGCCATGTCAGAGTGTCAATGTCGGTCGTAGACCATCCAGATGGAGTTGCCTGCCATGAGTAATCAATATATTAGTTCCTCTCCGAACGATTGGGGTTCTTCATACCTGATGACTGGGATCCGCCCACGTATCACTAAAATGCATATCCAGATAAATTTTCATCCCAGCATTCACCATCCTCTGGGCAAGTTTTACGTTATAATCCAATCCATAAACGCCATCGCTAGGATTTACCCATAATCGCTGCCGGACGGTATTCACACCATTACTAGCGAGAATATTTTCGAGTTTTGCACTGGCGCCATTCACATTCTTGTATGATATCCCTTTCCCTTCTTCCACAAGTAAAGAGGATATGTCGGCACCGCGGTATTGGAGGGCTGCTGAGGCGAGAGAAGCGAATGTTGGTAGGGATAAGAATAAACTGAATAGCTTCATTTTTAAGACTGACAACCGGATTACAGAATTTAATGAGACAGGACAACTTGCTGCGGCAGGTTTGACGGTCTGGCACACTGTCGTCCAAGTTTCCGAATATGGTATCAATTTCCTAAAGTAGTAATTTCCGGACACATTCAAAGACTCCTGTCAACCTTGAAACTTCCCAATGCAAAGAAGAATGCAACTTATATATTCTAGAGAATCTATTTTTGTACGGTTAATTAAAGCATTGAGGCTGCTAAATGACTTGGCGGAGTAGTTTCTTCGTCCACCTTAGGGAGGCCAGTATTGGTGGAAATTGATTTATACGAAACTCGATAAAACAAGTGAACCAATACTGTTATTCATTAATGCAGTGCGGGGGTTATACTACTTAGGTATATAGAAGATGGATATTATTCCCCATTCTAAATTGAGACATTTTCAATAGTTAATAGGTTTTATTACTGGTCAACATTTTGGACAAATCATGACAATGCGCATTGAATCATTCAAGATATTTCCACCAGTATTGCTCCGCAGACCGAGTGAATATTCTAATTATGATTAACTATAAGTAAGGAATATCGTCCCCACTCACCACATCTGTAACAACATCCGCACACACGCGACGTTGAAAACATCTTTGAACCTCTAGTTCAGTAATTCCTGGATCGGAATTTGAAATGCAGGATTAAACAATCGCATGACCAGTTTCCTTTGCGCGACGAGCAGTTCCCACACCGTCGACACCAAGTTCCTGGTCCTTTCCCAACCATGGCTTGAAGGATTCACCAAGTTTACCTTCTCCAAGAAAGTACGCAAACAGACCGAGAACAATCATGACGAAAGCGATCGGATACAAGAAGTGAACCGAGTAGTGGAAAACCTGAATACCAATAATCAAACCCCAGAAATTCATGGTCAACAGCGAAATGTTGAAGAAAGTCGCGGAAGAAATACGCAGCAATATGGGTGCGAGAGTGTAGAAAATGAAGAGAACAAGGGTATAACCGACAATATAGCCGGCGACTTGTCCGTCCCAGACGGCGCCGTTAAATTGACCACGATCAAAGATGGCGCATTGCACGCCGTTGATAAACATGCCCCAAAAACCCATTTGACCAATAACCTCGTACATGGGACGCTTGGAGACCATGTATTCTTCAAACAGGTTGCTGAAGGCGTAGATGGAACTAGCCAGTAGAGCAAATAGATCGCCTTTCAGCTGATTTGCAGCAGGGTAATTGGCGCCTCGAAGGTAATCGGAAGCAATCAAAAGACCCATCCCGCCACAAGCGACAAATACGCCAATGTACTGGGTGATGTGGTACCGAACGTGCAAGAAGATGAAGGAGATGATGACAATAACAATAATAGTCCAGAAACTGAACAGCTCGGCACTCAGCAGCGAGGTGTAACGGTATGCTAGAACCATGAAGTAGTTGCCCTCAACATCCAAGAACGAAAGGATGAAATATCTCCAGCAATCTGTGTAAAGAAGACGAAACCATTTCTTGAAGCCATAGTTGTAGATGGTAATGCTGGAATAAACCAGATTGAGGAGAACATAAACCCATAATGTCTGGAAAGCCGGGATACTGGTGCCTTTCATGGAGAGGAGGGACGAGAACGTGGATGAGCTAATATTGGCCAAAGCGATAATTTGTCTGATCAATGAACCATGGTCAGTCAATGTTTGCGCAGATATCCATATCACTACATACCCAAGTACAATGACAATCCAGAACTCGCGCGTCTTCATATACGTGAAGAGTCGCGCCATCCGTCCCTGCTTCTCCGGCTCCTGCTGGCGGTCGCTATTCTCTGTCGACTCCGCGACAGAGTGCACCTGGTTCTTCTCTTCCCCATAAAGAACCGTGGCCTCAGGCCGTGCATCGGTGACCGCGATCTTCTCGTTTCCGTAGGTATCGGCCATGATGACTGGCTGAATTGAGCGTGGATGTAATGCGATAAAAAACAGACTCCGATAACCAGCACAGAAGATAAATCTATATGTAGCAAACAATAAAAAGGGGGCTTTTCGCCAGCAAATGTGAGCGCAAAGCCCTGAAGTCGCTCACTGCTAAGTAGAAGAGGGGCGCAAAGAGAAGAAGAGAGAAAAGGAAGAAACAAGACAGAAGAAAATGCAGTTAAAGTAGGCGGCGGGGTTCAAGCTAAACTTTTTTTTTCTTTGCTCGAATCAGTTAAAGTCTGGACTCTGGACCATGAATTACGACTCAATTACCGATGAGAATTACAGCTAAAATTCGAGTGGATCCAAAAGCCTTCCATATGGAGGCTGTCATTGGATATAAGGAGCGGAAGTACGCTCTTAGATTTACATTATCCGTATTTACGATACACATTATACACATTTGGCTGTAAGAATAATGGCTATCAGACTCGGTGAGTTGAAAAAGGAATTTTCGATGATATTTATTCTTCATAGTCTGATCTCGGAAAATTCGCAGGGTCCTTCTGCATGGTCAGGGATCAGCATGGAGTATGGTACTAGCTTCCACGTGGGTATGCCAGCTTGTAAGACGGAGTACGCCGCTGTACACCCTAGTAATACCAGTGCTTTTAAGTAGTTATTTTGCTGGATCAATTGTTGGCATAAACAGTCTTTGTAGACTGCCTCTGAGCTTTATAAAACAATGAATATTCATATCAAAGGTATCTGACGAACCACTTGTGCATCCAAGCTATTCTTTATGTTACAGCCTTTGGTGACGTTTAGAAATGACGGCAAGTACAATTAGGACCTTCTACAGCATAAATAGATGAGTCTTCCACCAGGGATATCTTCGAGTCAGATTACCAGTTAATATGACCCGGTTAATCTAACTTCTCGATAACTTTTTTCTGTTCAGCAAAGAAGTCGCATCGAAGATGTACAGCGAACTTGACAATCCCCACTGTGGCGGAAGTTGATCTTGAGAGACCTTCTGCCAGGGCTCTTAACAAACCAACAAATCCATTGATAATATTCTCATCGGCATGAACAAGAGAAGGACCTCTGATCTTGTCACATCTCATGAGTATCCTCAGAGTCGTCCAACAAAATCATGTTGTATTTCCCGATCGGGTAGTTAGGGCTATTCATCTGGAAACCAACCAATCATATCCCACAGATGTACAATGCGATAAGATCGATTATGCCAGGACTTGTATGACTTCTTTGTTGATCCTCAAAATGCTTTATATTTCTCGTTCGGCCTTTTTTGAAGAGTTTGGGCTGGGATTGTAGCTGTTGCGGCCATGTTCCGATCTTCTCTTGATCGATCACCTCGATATCGTGGCATTCGCCTCAGACATACCGTAATGGGATTTTCAGTATCGTGTCTATATAGGAAAAGAGAAGAAAGGACACACCATTCTCTATTTGAAATCACCAATCCCCTAGAATCTCTACGTAGGGAAGCGACAAAACGATTTCAACAACCCAAAACCAAAGATGTCGCGATCTCTCAGTGACCTACCGGTCGACGTCATTCTGTACATGGCGAGTCACTTGCCAGATAGCAGTGTCGCATCCCTACTCCGGACCAACCAAACATTTGCTCATCTACTACTGCCTAGGCTCTACAAAAAAATCCTGAGAGCAGAGCATACGTTCAACGGCACCTGGTTCGCGCGTCGGGAAAATCCGAATCATTGGACAGCCCACGTTAACAAGTGGTCATCGGAGCTGCTTTTGAGCTATTTTCGTCAAGCAAGCATAGATATCCTGCAACGTGGTTTCTCAATATTCAACTTTCTGCACTTGGTTGCGAGAGAAGGCAACCCTCGGCTAGCAGAAATCCTCGTGAATAAAGGCCTTGAGCTTGACATGAAAGATTTTGCGAAAAGAACACCTCTACATATTGCTTTGATACATCATCAAGAAGATACGGCCATTGTGTTTCTGAATGCTGGGGCAGATGTGATGTTATTCAAGGGATATGCTCTTTTACTTGCGGCAGAGAATTGCTCTAGTACAATGGTCGAACGCATCCTTAAGAAGATGGATGCACTGCAACAACCTGTAACTACGTCTCCTACTATGGGATTTCCACAAATCACCTATGTTCAACATGTCAAAAATATTGCTCTCACTGCAGCCACAATACGCCAGGCACGAGGTGTAAAGAATGTTCTTATCCGCCATGGAGCTGATCCCCATTGGCAAACAGACTCGCCATTGTGCATAGGCATGTTTCGAACCTTTGTATTGACGGATTGAGATTAACGCTTTGTACGAGCTTCATATGTTAATGATGCTTCTGCGTCTGTTTCGCAGAAAATGAATAATAGAATGCATAGGTAGTTCTCTGAGATCTACGTCTAATACCAGCGGGTTTTGGCAGTCTTCGTTGTGCATTTTCTAAGATTATATAATTGTAACACAAAACTTATTGCTAATCAATCACTCTCCCCATCCATCTTACATATCCTGTAGATAAACCTAGGTAGAAGATGATAGCAACCACCTTGGAAGGTATGGATTACTCCTTCAAGAACTGACTCATCCATGCCACAAGCGCATTCTTCCCTCTAATCATCGCCAATCGTTCACCAGACTTCGTCTCATCACCACGTACAAGGCAACCATGCACAACGCCAGGGAAATGCTGATAATCAAACGGCACACCCAGCGTAGGCACAGTCTGGAAAGTATACAACTTCAATTCTGGGGAATACACAGGATCAATCTCTGGCGCCAAAACCTGAACCGGAACAGCAATTCCATCAATATCCTCCTTAGTCAATAACGATGGGTGTCCAACACTGATAACATCTACCAACTTCGTCGATTTCGCCCCTAGACGGAAAGAAGCCCAGCCGCCGTAACAATGACCTACAGCACCAAGTTTCTTATATTGCTGACGGAGGGCTTTGGCACATTCGAAAATTTCCGATTCACGCACTTGTCGACCATGTCGAGACATGAATCCGGCTAGGTCGACCTTGTCCCATTGCTCGTTGGCTATTAGTTCGGAGTCGATGACTTCGCCAGCGAAGAAATCGGGGAGGTAGACGGTTGCGCCCACCTCGCGAGCGATTTGATCGGCGAGTAAACGGTTGTTTTTGAAGGTCCAACCAAACATGTCTGCGATGAATAAGATGGCGATGTCAGATGCGGTGCTGTCGCCGGCGATGTAGATATCGGTGTTGGCGAGTTTGCCGGTTTGACCTGTGGGAGTACCGTCCCACTCGAAGCCTTGATAGCAGTTTAGATGCGACATTTTCTTTCTGGATACGCAAACCTCAACTGTCAAGGTATTATCCTGGTATATTTGAAGAAGTGAATTCGGAATTAACGTAGGTCTGGGGGGATTGCTATGGATGAATACTTCGGATTGAAGCTTATTGCTGTTTCCAAGTTATCTCCGTGTTGGTATGCCCGCATGTCTGTAGGAATCTACATCCATGATCAAACCAACTAATGATGTCACACCGCTAGCATTCGAAATTGAGGGGTTGCGCAGTGTACCAAGTGGATTAGGGCTAATATAACCGGACTCCGTATCGATATCTCCATACAGAGTAGCTTGCATATCGGAATTCATAATGGATGGTTACTAAATAGATTCACCAATGATACATGCCCAAAATTTGCACATCTTGGGCCATTCCATTCTTGCGTCTGTGAACACGAACAAATAATATAAATATCTTGGAAACCGAAGTACCCTGCACTCCCCGCATGGTGGCATGGTAAGGGGACGAAACATTATCCGACGTCGTCCGCCGGGTGATCTACAGACTTCAAAGGCGTACCTCTAGCTTTACATTAGTATATAGATAAAACCAACTTATTCCTCTTACTTGCGATTCAGGTAGAGCATTCGATCAGGACTTGTGGTATCTACGAACCCTAACCCTGAATATCCTTGAATATGTAGTATCATCATTTCAACACCAATCCTTTTTCTATCCTATTCAACCTTAAAAATCCTCCTCCTCATCGAAACATGCGGAGTACCGAAAATATCCAAAACCTTGACATCCTCAAACCCAGCTGCCCTATACAACGGTAACCCCGCCGGAGTAGCAACCAAGTAGCAACCCTTGCCGTGTTTAGCTGCTTCCTCGACACCCCAATCGAGTAACATCCTCCCAATTCCCCTTTTTTGATGATTGGGGTGAACACCTAGAGAATCGAGGGCTGCTCCTTCTAGTTAATGGAATTGATCCGAACCAAAACGGTGGAGCGAACACTTACTCCATACACCTTTCGTCCCTTCATCTCCAAATTGTTCCCTTACATCATCCTCAAGTATACGTCTCAACTCCATAAACGGAGCTCTATCCGACCCTTCCTGAGCCAAAGGCGGTAAAATTATTTCCCCATCATCATCATTCTTATCATCACCCCCTGCAACCGGCACCTCCCAAATTGAATACCCTACAATCTTCCCATCCGACGCATCATCAACAGCGACCATGATGCGAGTACTGTTCATCTGAAACTTGACTGATTTGCGCGCTATTCTTGCTTGGCGTACATCCTCTGAGTAGTGCAGGTCTCCCGGGAAGAGGTGTCGCGCAATAGCGTCTACACTTGGTGGGAAGGCGGCTGTTGAGACGTCGACGATGATAGACAGATCGGCTTCTGAGGCTGGGCGGAGATGGATGGCCATTTCGTTGATAATTTTCCGGGCTGGATTTTGAACTTACCGAATGCAAGAGGCGTGCGAGGGAATAACTGGAAAGAAGAAGTTCAAGCAATCTCGCGGGGGTGGGTGAGGCTGAGCCGATAAGCACCGAACAAGGCTGATCTCGCTATCGCTAGCCCTAAAGATAAGCGATAATAAGACAGATGGCTTGTTTGCAAGCACGAGCATCGTCCAGCCCATTTATGGCGATGATTAGAATACATTCAGCACAATATGATGAGGCTCTAGAAAGATGTCATGTGTGCACTAGCTAAGTGGTGAGGTCGAGGGTTGATATCAACACCTTGGCTAAAACGGGCTAGTCCCAACATGGCACCCAGGCAGGCGTCTACGTGAGTCAGGTGATATCCTGTCACAATATATACTTCTATGTCTATACATGTCATAAAAAGACGGACTATAGAGAGTCATGACCTTCGGCCGCTTTGCATACATGTATATTTTGCACCCAGTCAGACTTGAGCAATGCGCCTGTATCAGGCCTATTCTTCCAATGCAAAGAGAGCATAGAGTATATCGTTTGACGACAAACCTTCTACGGACGCCGTTAGTACATTACACTGAAAGTAAAGTAACGGAATCTGCTTACCTCCAGCATTTCTATCAGTTCCCATCTCCCGAGTTGGTGTATACTCCTCACGAATTCTTCAAAATCCTCATCTTGTTCGACAACAGCAAATCGCCATGCATGCCTTCCCATTCTCATATCCAGATAGACCACACCAGCGGACCAGACATCTGCAGCTCGAGCATCAAAGTGATACCGCGATGACGAAGTGCCTGTGTCACGATAGTCCAAAGTCACATATTGCTCGGGACTGATATAGGGGAAAGATCCACAAAGTCCAGAGGATAGTCGAGTTGTTTTCTCCCAGGGAAGTCGCACACATTCAGCGTTTCCAAAGTCGGCAATCTTCAGACATCCACGACAGCTAAGCAGTAGATTATCTGGTTTGATGTCTCTGTGTACTACACCGGTCGTATGTAGATAATTTAGACCACGGAGAAGCTGTTTGAAATAGCAATTCGCCTCCGTCGCACAAAGCCTACCTTGCGACCTCACGCGAGTATAGACATCGCCGCCAGAACAGTATTCCATGATTTGACAAAAGTTTCCATCCGGGTCTTGCACCAAGTCATAGGTTTGTATAATATTCGGGTGACGAAGACTTGACGAGATGCAAAACTCTGCCCCGACCCGCTTCAGGTGTTTCTTGACCGAGTCCCTCCCCCTCTGAGAGAACTTTTTAACTGCAAACAGTTGTCCGCCTGACGGGTGATCGACAGAGTGAGGTCGAAAGGTGACGGTGACTATTCCCGAGGAGCCCCTGCCGATTTGTTCCTTGTTCGTGCCGTATCGATCTATCAGCGAGACGGCTGCTCCTTGACCAGACGGCTGTATTCGACCAATGAACGAAGATGTGATTGCCGGTAATTTCAATAGGGGTCGCGGAGATGAGGCAGGCCCAAGCTGAATAAGAGGTAGGCCGTCTTCTAGCACGTTTTTCGTGTCTGTATCATCATTTGGGCGCTTCTTTCTGGCGAGTTTGGAGGCTTCTCGCAGGACTTGAAGTTTATCATTTAATAGTTCCAGCATTCCATCCTGACGTCGTCCGTCGTATAGACGATGCGCATGAGTCCCATCCTCGTAGACGACGAATTTGTTGTCTTTGGCTTGCGGCTGTGGTTTCAAACCCAAGTCCACGTTGTAGAATTTATTGACGTGCACTGCTGTTCCGACTCTGCCCATTCTTCACGATAGACTTGTCGCTTGAAGACAAAGAAATCCCGACAAGAAGTAAGAAGACGAAGAAGAAGAAGAAGGCGAAGAAGAAGACGAAGTCGGGTCAAGCAGCTTCCCGACAAAACAAGGCATGAGCGGACACTATGTGACACAACATCCTTAGATATAAGGACTGGAAGATTCTCACTTCGCCTGCGATTATCTCAATACTCGCCAGAGTGAGTGACTTGCTGAGGAATTTTCCTCAGCCAATCAATGCACGTCACGATAATTTCCGTTTTAGGAAATATTCAACCACATCAGTCGCGCCAGCAGCGTGCGCATACAGCAGAAGGCACACATGTGATGACTTCTATCATACTTTTCTTACGGAGATTCTATGAGGCTTTTTTGATGTCTTTGGTTCTACCGGCGATCATGACAGGTACCGAGCCACGGTATTTGCGAGAGGGGTATTTCGGCCAATGGACAGAGCAGTACTCTTCTAAAGTTTTATATCCAATTCACTGTCATCGGGGCTGTGTATAGCCTCTTCTGTAATGGTCAGCCACTTAGTCGTAGTGACATCAATGATGTGATACGCTTGTGTTGGACGAAACGATTGACTGACCGGATCAGAAGTCCTGATTCCCCATATTGATACATTCGTACAATATCGTGATCATGACTTGCATGTGCGATGCATCCATACCTATCTGGGCAGTCCGCAGATCCTCAATATTACCATACAAACACGGCGGCTATCAAAAAAAAAAAAAAAAAAAAAAAAAAAAAAAAAAAAAAGAGACAAAAGGCATTCTAAACAGTACTACGTAGAAGGAGGAAAAATTGAGCGGTCTGCAGTCGGCAGATAGCTGACTAAATTTTAGTTGATACTGACTACTTCCACGGCCAGATTTTAAGAGGAGAGGAAAAATGCCTCATACATTTGTTTCCCTTTCGGCCGCAGGACTTGTGTTAGGTAAAGTGCATATGATATTTTACACACAAGCGATTATTCAGTATGAGTAAAAACACGATGGAGGGGGAGACTGTGGGCCGGACATTGAGTCTCCAAAAAAAGAGAGATTTTTCGAGAGCCATCTGTACGGTAGTGGCCACGCACTGCCACGCCTAGAGTAATTAGTTGCTAAGAGTGATTATGCCACGGATTATTATTATTACTACTCGCGTACGTGGTTCAAGGCGTCAACCAGACTCGATGTATGTTCTATGTAAACGTCTCGTCTAACCGCATGACTCTATAGCCCAGACAAACTATTCCTCTACAAAGAGAAAGACTTATCCGCCAGGACCCAACTCTCCCAAGAGACAGCTGCCAAGATGTACGTCCCTGAAGCCAGGAGAATGCACACCTTGTGGTTCAATGCGTGTAGACAGACAAACAGGCTGTAAGATATTTAACAGATGAACAAATCCAGAAGGAAGGAAGAAAAGAAAGAAGGAAAAAAATCAGACATGAAGAAATGAAAGAAATGAAAGGAATTCGTAAATCGGTCATCAGTCATTGTTCCAGAAAAAGGTCGACCAATCTTCTGGAAGAACATCCATGTCTTCGAACCCGGTATACATGGCTTCCGGCGCAAAGCCACTGTCCGCTGCAAACATGGCGTCGTCGGAAAACTGGTATGCAGAAGAAGTCTGCATCATCGGCGCTTCCATCATTGGGAGAGAAACGTAGGGATACCCCAAGGAATTTAGCGGCGCGTGGGCGGTCAGATCCGGCATGTAGGTCCGGTTCGACGGGACCAAAGCCGGATCGAATGGCGGACTGGCTGGAGCGGACGATAAGATGGGTAGATAACCGCTGCTTGTGGTGTTCGTGGTCGCCGTCGTCGTTGCGGTCAAGGAAGCTGAAGAAGCTAAAGAGGTTGGCGGTAAAGGAGGCGACGATCGTCGCGGATTGGACGAGGAAGTTTGCGGCCGAGATTGGCTGGTAGTAAATGGCTCACTTGTAGACGGGAGTGGTGCAGGATGTGGTGCAATGCGTGCAAATGAAGATGGCTGGATTCGACGTCGAGCGGTGGGCTTCTATTCGGGAGAGTTAGCGAACAACAAACTGCCGTTCTTCTGCCTCGTAGGGGTATAAAGCCACTAGTGGTGTGGTGTGTTGCCGTTTTCTCAATACTTTCGAGGATTTGCTATCGCTCTCACCATCAGACTTTTTGTCACGGTTGAGCTTGCTATGCTCTTCTCGGTTGTTACACGGTCCGCGACAGATGATACAGACTGAGAAGGGTCGGCCCTTTTTATTGATTCGAATCAGGGGGCGATCTGCTTGGTGTTAGCCGATTGCTCTGGGAGATGCGGTTGTATCTACTTGACACACCATGATGTCGACAGCTTGACACGCGGTGGCCTCGCACGCAAGCTTCACAAGCCCACTTCTCACCGTCGATGAGCATCCCTTTAATGTTATTCAACAAGGAACATCGTGACGAGAAAACAAAGGAGCGAGTGGTTGAGGGTTTAATAGAGCAAGGAACGAGGAATTGAAGCAGAAACAGCAAGTGAAAGCAACAATGGAGACAGGGAATTCATTCAAGGCGAGTGGAGGCGGTGCGAGCTCCACCGTTACCTTTACCAGACAATACCGAATACGGGCCAACACTGCGGCCGAACAGCTGTATGATTGGTATTGTTACCGTCCTCTGGTCAGCTTCCTTACTACGTAGTACAGTACAGTACAGTACACCTGCACCTGCAGCAGCCAATCACATCTGCCAATGGAGCTAGGGCTCTGATCTGCCCTTCTCAAGCTTATCGAAGCTATAGCTACTATGTATATAGCTGCTACGTATAATAGCTACTGTGTATATATATACTCTACGTCATTGGAACATGCCATGTATAAGCATCGCCAGGAAGTACTACTGGGCCTCCGGGATATATTGAGACAAGCACTCAACTAGACACAAATAATTAACACGCTGCCCTCAGGAGGGGTGGAATCGGCTTACAGAACTTACAGAACCTACAGAACCACACATTGCCAATGTGTGGCTGAGGAAAATCCCTCATATATCCCTATCTTTTTCAGCGCTTCCCGCCCGAAGACTAACAAAAATCCTCGGATGTCCCGTTGCGGAAAGTGGGAGGAAAATGGCGCAGGCTTTCCCTCATCTGGTGAATGAATCGTGAATATAATGTACGTGGAACAGGAAACGAAAAGGGAAGAAGAAGAAGAAGAAAAAAAAAAAAAGAGGTTGAAATTCAGTTGGAGAAGCAGTGCTCGGGTCACCATGAGGCGGTGCGCTGTGGGGTCGCTCTACCTGCCCTGTGCTTTTCCGTCTACGTCCTCCAATTCGGCCGCGATATCAACTGCGTCCTTCATCTTCTTGTCGTTATTCTCGCCCACATCCAGCGTCACCAAGAACCGGCTGACCATATTGTACGCTCCAATGCAGACGGTCAACTCCACCACTTCCCTCTCGCCGAACCGGCTCTTGATCGCTCCAAAAATCGTGTCGTCAACTTTGATGTTCTTCGTCATGGCATCCGTGAAAAGCAGCACTTCCCACTGAAAGTCGGTGAGGCTGCTCTCCGCCGGCTTCCGCGTGTTATTGATTATTTTCCCCTCTGGTGTGAACGTCGAGATTGGGATGCTCTTGACTCCTTGCAATTGCTCTGCAGTGACTCCGGCTTTCAAGGCGAGAGGCGCATGTGCGTTCCACTCGTACACCGCGCCATTGAGAATCGCGACACGGCAAACCGACAATTCCAGAACATCCTGCGGTATCACGGCTTGGTTGCGGATCGCACCCAACAAGGAATTGTAGCCATCTGCAATAGGCGGACTATGCAGTAGAGCCAGATCGAGAGGAATCAGCGGACGAGGCTTTCGTCGCGCCGTGACACGCTCGTAGACTTCTGCGGTCGCTTTCTGCTCTGTCTCGGAGAGCGGTGTCCCGTCGGGATTTGTGGTAGGAGGTGTGGAGGGGGCGTAGTTGATGCGCATGTTGGCGTGTTGGTGTGTTTGTATTTGTAGTGGTGAGTTTATCGCGAGGACAGTGTTTTGAGGTGTTGATCGCTCAAGATGGTTCGCACTTCGGGATGCTACCGGCTAGATTCGGTCCGTCTGTGCGGGGGCCATACAGTACTGAGCAAAAATATATATATATTGTTGATGTTGATTGTTCTATTATCCCGGTCTCCTACCTCGATAATAAACCACGATCTCTCAGGATATTATTGATCAATTGAGTGTCGTTGACCCGGAACATGTACCGAAGTCGGCACAGTGCTTTTCCGCCACCGCAGGAATAGCCCTAACCCCGCAGTCTACATCTATGGACAAATACCTTTACTTGCAATTGTTCTTGATCAGTGGGGTGACAGGTCTAATATCAGACATGGCTCTACAGGATGTCAAACACGTACATTACAACTACTCCACGGTACATAATTAACATCCTCCATCATATAAATCGCCATAGAGTCAAAGTACCTGGGTGTATCCTCAATCGGCACTTTCTTTCCCCGCAGTGTGGGGCGAGCTGTTATCGGCTCTTGTTTTCGGATAATAGCTTCATACTCAAAATTTGAAGAACTTCACTGTTCATTGAGATATCTTCTTGTCCTTGTTATGCGTCTCAGTGTTCCTAGATATCATGCCAAAATGTTGCACCATCTTATGATTGGCACCTGGACGCCTCCAGGAAGAATCTATACCGTCGCATTCGATGACCAGGAATTGACCTTGAAACTGGTCAAGAAGACCATGATTCCGGAAGATGAGCCTATATCATGGATGACATTTGATGTGAGCAGGAAATCAAGTATAAAGCAGTGGTGTACTGATTAGAACAGCACACAAAAAAGAATATTTACGGTGCTGCCATGAAGAAATGGTCGAGTTTCTCCGTGCGCAGTCCGACTGAAATCGTACACGAAGCATCGCATCCAATGGGCGGAGATCGTAAGCAACCCCAGGAAAATTAAGGCATACCTCAATCTCTGACGCAGAGTTAATAGCAATGGCCAACTCCGCCGAAACAAACACACGAGCGATCTTTGTCCTTGCAGGCCACAAACCACCATACAACGTCTACGGTAACCCGTTCTACAAACACGCCGGCTTCGGGAATGTATTTTCTGTCACCGAGTCAGGTAAAATCGACAAGAACGTTCAGAACTTTGAAATAGACCCTCACTCCGGTATTCACGGCATGGTCTTTGATCCGACAGAGACGTATTTGTATTCGGCAGATATGGGCGCTAATAAAATCTGGACTCACAAAAAGGACCCGGAAACTGGTCTTTTGACCTTGGTCGATAGCATCGATGCTCCCGCACCGGGTGATCATCCTCGATGGGTTGCCATTCACCCTAGCGGTCACTACTTGTACGCCTTGATGGAAGCAGGTAATAGATTGGCGGTATACGTGATTGACGAAAGGCGTCATGTCCCCGTCTTTACGCACATGATATACCCCTTAATCCCCCCTGGACTGCCACCACGCAACAAATATCGAGCAGACGTTGTCTTCCCCTCTCATAGCGGAAAATACCTTTTCGCTACTTCGAGATCCAACCATAACGATGTCCATGGCTATATCAGCGCTTTCCGACTCGGTTCTCAGGGGAACATTGAGAAACAATTGTTTATTAACCCGACATCAACCAGTGGAGGACACTCGAATGCGGTGAGTCCATGTGACTGGAGTGATGAGTGGATAGCTCTGTGTGATGACCAGGACGGGTTTGTGGAGATTTATCGATTCCAGGATGAATTATTGGCCCGTGTTGCGAGGTGTGATATTCCGGAGAAGGGATTCGGGATGAATGCTATTTGGTATGATTAGTTGTATATTAGCATGCGCAAATCGAAAAACATGGACAAATAAAACGAATTATGTCGAGGGACAATTTCGAGTAGTGGTACGGTGTAGGGCTTGTGCGTACATTCCACACGACGGCTTTACATTCCTTACCATCTTACGACAACCTTGTCCCAACCACATTGATCGGCATTTGATTCGAATTGTTAATAACATTGGTTCATGAGTTCTTGCCCATAGAAAGTATGGAGCCCGCCAGATTCAAGAATCCTAGCCACGCGCAGCGTTGCCTATTTGGGAAATTAACATCTAACTAAACAACAAGGTCTAACACATTCCGTACCCAAAGCACTGGAATACCATTGAACTTATATACAGCCGTGTTCTCTCCTACATCTATTCAACCTAAATCTTTCGGTGTTTGATTCTATTCATATATCACTAGTGGTCATATCGGATCAGAACTACTAATATGGCTAAAAGCAGAGATTATTTCAACATGAAAGTCCAATACAACTCCGTCAAACGGTGGGCCTTTGTCCTGCCAACTACTACAGTCGCTTCATGGCTTGGTAAGTGTCTCTCACCTGTTATCGAGGTATGAAATACTGACGCTTACACAGCAATGCTCGGGGCACTTTTAGGCTCCTGGTTCACATCCGGCCAACCACGATACTCGTCCGAAGAGAAGACACAAAGTATAGCGTATGTCAACACTCTGAATTTACCAAAGAAGGAGACCTGACCAGTACCAGATTCCTATCCGACATTGGCGCACAACACCTCAAACCCATATTTATAACCTGCACATCAATAGCAATGATTACATACATCCCCACCCTTATCTTCTACTTTTACCACATGAGTCCCGCCCGAATCCCATTATCATCAAGCTCCGAATCCATAGTCCGAGCCAATTCACTACCGTCCATATACTCAACACCTCCATCGCTACCAGTACAATACCAAACCCAACAAAAGAAATGGCACGACTCACTCGTCTTTCAAATCAGCGTCCCAATTCTGAGCATCCTCTTCTCGCTCGTCGGAGCTACAAATCTGATCCTCCTAACAATCTTTGACACTGCTCGGTACACCTCCGCGCACCAACTCCTCCTCCCAATAAGCATCTCCTCTCACATCCTCGGCTGCCTGATCCTCTGCATCTGGACAATGCTCTGTCTCCGGCAATACCGCGCTCAACGACTCTCCAAATACGGTGGCATCTACTCCGGTGATAAATTCACCGTAGAGCTTTACACACCGCAAATTCCCATCTCCTTGCCCAGTCTCGCCATAAAATCTGTTATAGTGGTCATTGAGATTGGTCTTGTAGCTTTGTTTGCGGTTATGAGCTGGTGGCTTGAGATGTTTGATAACGCTGCGGTTCTGGAGTGGGTTGTTGTTTTGATGTTTGCAGGATATATGTTGTGTTTGATTGTGGATTTGTGGGTTTTAGATAAAGATATGTTTCATGGTAGATGATATTGATCATTATCTCAGCTGCGATAGATTTCACAACCACCCAGCCTTCTATGTTGGAATATATCCCATGTTTTGATGGAAATTGTTGATGCTCTTATACATAAGTGTAGAATATTAGTTATTCCGTTTCACCTACCCAGCACACTGGGGATATCCCTTTTACTTGCATGTAATTATCCCTCTCCTTTCTTTTTTTGAGAATCAGTCATAATATTCGAATAACTTCAAATATTATCAGGCGCACGGGTTCTTTGGAATTGTGGGTTCGCTTCTGCACATGTGCATACAAGTAGCTTAGTAACCAATTGGTAAAGTCATATTCTTCTGATTGTCTGTCTCTTCTCTTAATGAGACCCCGACGCGGTCTATATAGTCCTTGCTTGACGAGGTCACGTGTACCTTCACGTGACCTCTCCTTGGTTCGCGTCGGTGCCAGGAATCTCGATTGCACCTATAAACCAACAGGAATAGCCATACTGCGTAATCCTGTGCTTCGTGTTATCAGGACGTAGTTAAACCAACAAATATTATGTTTAAGTTCCGACATATTATAACAATGAACCAGGAACATCAACTGTTTATATCTTGTTCATCACCACTACACATCGCCATCATGGAGGAATTTATCACTCTGACCTTCCACAGCAAAAGTGGAAGCTTCCTCTCCTGAGGTTTGAGAGCAAGAAAAATCAAGTATTCTCAGACGGTGAAGCTGCAAAGATCGATGAAGATTGACGTTTTTTTTGGGGTACCTCGGTGATCTCTTTAATTATCTTCTCAAGTATGATGAACGAAGTGATCAAATGATTGTTTTGAAGGACCTTGCACAGCTCGGTATCAGATGTGAGAGCTTGGATCTGGTTGACACGAAATCCAGTGAAGGAACAACTCTTTGCTCGGACAATCACGCCACCGATCCTGTCTATTTTGTTCCAATAAAATTCGAAGAATTCAAGACTTATTCAATCGATAAGGACAACCTGCCATGGTCACAAAAGAAAGAAGGAAGAAGCTTCTATTAAAAGAGTAGACAGATGTAAAGGGATTCAGCATCCCTTCATCAGTTGATGAATTAGAAACATTGCTAAAGCAGGCAAAGTTCAACAACATCCACGGTGTCACTGAGGAATACCTTGGCGCCGGTAGCCACACAACGCAGATCCAATACCTCGCATTGAGAGTCATTTGGCCCCCTACTTTAAAGAAACTTTCCAGCTTCTGCAAGAATTTGCACAAGTGTGGCCTGAATGATGCTTGAGACATGGCAACGCAGCTGGTCGACGCATCCGCAGAATACCAAGCCTACCTCAGGTGCACTGCTGCTGGCTCAATTATTGCTGATATTGCTACAAATAATGAGGATTACCCTGGTTCCCTCAAGCCAGTAAAGCGGCTCCAGGAACAAACTTTGAGGGTGCAGCAGCTCGCAAGGCAATCTGGAACCAAGCGACAGCTTCGACCACGCCAAGCAGAGACCCACGAAGTTGAGGCGACCAAGCATCAGGAATCAAAGATACAGAAGATCTCGGCTCTATACAAGGACTCGGGAAGATCACAGGAAAAGTTGGTCGTCCAGAGGAGGAAGAAACAGACCCTGCATCTGGCTACTCCTCCGACGAGTCCTATACGGAGGGCAAGAAAGAATCCAGGGACGAAGCGATGCCCAATGCAGCCATAATTCTCCTACTCCAAGGATTTACGAGTCTTGTTAAAGGTGCGCTGCTCGAGTGGGTATTCGACCGCGTACATTTCCGCGCACGGTTTCGTCGAAAGAACTACAAGGCGTACAGTGACGAGGCACTACGATCCACCCGTAACGAGTGTATCTTGGCTATCGTTGAGACCAAAAAAACATGCAAGGATGTCAAGGGAAGAAGATATCACAATGCAAGAAAGTGCAGAGATGGTAGGCTGGATTCTAAGCAATTCCGATGAGCTCCCAATGCTCAAGGGACAGTGAGTTACTCTTGCTCGACTCTCATGAAATATCCGTTCTCTAATGCTCTACCTAGTCGCGTATTAGTCTCCCAAGACTTTGACATCACATTCGCAAATTACCACCGGGACTACCTAGGGTATCTAAAGACCGGTAAAGTCACAGCAAATGCATTTTTTAGAATACAAATATATGGTCTATTCAAGATCAACAATTCAATGCATATGAAACCTCTTTGCAAAGGTTGTTGCTGCAACCCTTCTCGTAGCAGAGGGCTCCGCATGAGAGGCATTCAGTGAGATCTCTATGTCAGTGTGTTATGGTTGCATGTGCTAGCAGGATCCTAGGCATAAAGAGCCGAGGATCCCTGCTAGTGTTACATGCTGTTCTAATAAGCAAGCATTCTAACATTTTCTTCTCATTCTTCACTTCACTAATTTGCTATTCACCAAGGAAGATTTTCTATGGTGAAAGGCGACCTCTCCATATCTATACTGATTCTAGCTCTAATGATTCTAATGTACAACTGAAAGGCACCCAATTTTTGATATTGATAATGAAGTGCTCTTCATCCCTGAATCGAACTCACTCCTGGATATATTGACTTAGCTCTAGAAGGGTCTCCTTTTTCTTATAGCCAGGTTCTACTGTAGTAAGGAAAGACTGTTCAATGATGGTTTCTCGACGGTAACATCGTACTAGCCACCTCCACATCACCCATCTCTCCCACGCCCCAGAGCTTCTTAGGCAGAGGTGGAGGCTTCTCAGCCACTTTCTGTATACGTTGTGCCGCCTCCAGGAATTGATCCCGTACCTGGGACCATTCAGATTTCAGATTTACTAATTTGAAATCCCTCTTGCGGAACTCTCCGTCGACCAAGACGTGTTCAATATCCCCGGGATTTGCATGAAGCAATACGGCAGCTATAGGATCGCTCCATCCCAGCATGTTCGGAGAATCACCGTTGAATATAACGATATCAGCCTTTGCTCCTACCTGAAGCACGCCAATATCTGGGCGCTTCATAGCAAGGCCTCCCTGCCGTGTAGCCATTAGAAAACCTTGCTCGACGGTAAAGGGTGTTTCCTTCGGTAACAGTCCCTTTTCAAGCGCTCGGTGAAAATTCATTTGGCGGACAGTCTGGAGCCACAACCGGGCTTGAGACAACAGGTCACCTGAAAATGTCCAGTTTGTGTCTAGTCCAAGGGCTGCCTGATCAGAGATTAGACGGCCACTGATCTGGCCGTGGCCAAAGTGGAATTCAGACTCTGGTGTTATAGAGACGAAAAAATTATTTTTTCGTAGAGCATCCTGCTCCTGGTTGGTGAGGAAGGGTGCGTGGGAAAAAATTATCGGACACTGGTCGCTATGCAGATTGAGCTGACAGATCTGGGCGGGTGAGGAATTTCCGGCTGAAGAGTTCTCTTAGTATGATGAAGATGGTGATTGTAGTAAGAATGACTTACTCGGCCAAGGACCACCCAGATGATGCATAGTTATACCTCTGAGGTTCAGCTTACTGCAGTGTATCAGTGTCTAGAAACTCCCGATAGGTTGGAGACGTACCTGATCTTCTCGCGTGTGTGCTGTAGCTGATTGTTGGTCTCTCTATTGAACGAGGACAACAGGCTATCGAGGGAGATACCCGGCTGCACCAGGGAAGACGAGATTGTGCTGGCTGCAATACGACCCAACACTTCCCACTGTTCTTTCAATGGAAAGTTATCGTGATCTGCAACATCATAACACCACAGAACTCGCGCGCCACTATCTCCAGCTGCCCTGAATCCTGGCTCAACAAAGTCCGGAGCCCAGTTATGGTGGGCATGATCAACATATGAAGTAACACCAGAGTAGAGACCCTCCAGGTAGCCCTGAAGAGAACTGATGTAGATATCGTGCGGAGTGAATGCGACTCTTGCAGTCTCGGATGCCTGACTGAGCCAACTGAAGTAATGAGAGAGGACAATGTTTGGTCCAATAGTTCGATAGACTGATTGCCACATGTGCACATGGGTATTGACAAAGCCAGGACATACGATCTTGCCGTCGACATTGACGACGTCTGCATCTGCAGGAACTTCAGTTTCGGTATCCGGGGTAATTGCTATGATACGATCATCTTGCATTACGACGGATGCTCTGCGAAGCACTCGTACGCGCTGTGTGGCATCATCAAAAGTCAAGACGGTACCGCCTCTCAGGACTTTGGAAACCATGGGGAGTTCCGTCTCGTAACACCGATAGGGGATTTTGCGCATGGAAGCTGAGAGATAGATAAATATTTGAGAAAGATCAGATCCCGCTGCTTGCTGCTTGTATTTCAATTTATAGGTCTTCAAGGAGGGGTAGCATATTAGTGTAGGATTTACAGTCACCACCAAGCGGGCATTCGCATCCACATGAACGCCCGTTGAGCCCACTTGACAGTAGACCATGCAGCACAAAAGCTCCATGGCTAGTTTTTGCAGGATGCGCATTTGGAGGTCTCGGAAAGCGAAGAGGGCTACAATCACCAGGTTAATCATCCCAAACAATAAAGGTTCGGAAGCTTAGGGCTTGCAAGGTCCAGGGTCACATCGTAGTACTACTTATTTCCATAGGAATGGGCGGTCTATTCAATCACAATCACAGCAGTATGACAGCACCATCAGGCTGTCAGCGAGATACATGTCTTTTATGTGGGTATACCATGGCATCGAGTCTGGACCTACCGAAGAACATGCCGAATGTCCGACCTGAAATAACAGTCGTTCGAGGAGTCAGTCACGTCCGGCCCCGACTACGACCTGGATGAACACTTTGGTCCTAAATAATTACGACTTGTAATGCCGAGTACTCGCTTCGACCGAGACCGTCCGTTACCAAATAGAAACAATGTTATGGAAATTGACATGTACTGGTGACGATTTAATTATGGGCGACTATTTACTCACTGCCATACATACAGTTTGTATGAATACAGAAAAACGATGCCACTGAAAATGCTCGTGAAACTGGGATATCATCGCATGAGACTCAAACACGCAGGCAAAAGAAGGGCGGAAAAAGGTGAAGAATCGAATATTTGCAAGAAATTACTCAAACACGAAGCAAAAAAAAAGAAAAAAAAGCCACCATTGAAAAGTAAATAAATCAAAAGAAATAGGAGAGAGAAAGGTCTTACTTGACCCAATTATGGAGTAACTCTCCAAGCATCTCCTCATCCTCTTTCTTCTTCTTGCGCTCGCGCTCCTGTCGCTCGATGGTCTTCTTCTGTTCTTCCATCAACTTAGCATTGAAACGTGGATCCAGTTTATTGAGCCATTTATGCTTGTGCGGTGGTACTGGCATCGGCACTGCGCTACATGGTGTGCTTGGCACATTTGCTGGAACCGATGCTGACAGAATCGTCGTTGATGAGGACCGACTAGAGGTATTTCCATTGAGACTCTTGTATTCGGCCTTATGTTTGATATCAATCGGCCCTGGTGCCGACATCTTTCTCATTTTCGGCGGTAGAGGATACGGCGCCTCGTCGCAATCACGAATTTCATCGAAGATAGGTTCCTTGTCGCTTTCAGGAATGGGAGGCGGTTCGGGGACAGAGCGCGATTTGGTGAAGGAAAATGACGACGAGCGAATAAACGAGAAGGCTTTATGGGTAGATGGTGCAGAGGATGGGCTTATCGCCGAGATGTCATTGGAATGGGAGCATTGCCTCGTCAGACCTGACGAAGCTTCAGATACCCCTGGCATTTTGATGTGTGATTAATTCGAATTATGCGTGCGATTTTCCGATGTTGTCCCGTAGAGTGCTATATCAGAGAGAAGATGTTGCAAGTCTCCTGTGCGCGCGCAATAAACAATCACATCATTTTTGAAGTCGCGCTCATGCTAGTGAAATAAGAAAAATTCTCTGACTGCAGTGCAAAATTTTCAGTTCCCTAGGTTATGACTGCAAGCCAGGCATATTCTTCGAGACAGACAATCAGACGGTGCAGAGTGAGCCTCTAAGAGGCACAGTGAGGGCACAGAGGCTGGAGTGACTGTGGAGGGGAAATGACGAACCGACGTTGAGGCTTTTTACTTTTGCGACGGTTTCATTCACCGATTCCAATTGGGAAGGTGGAGACTTGCCCCCTCGTGCGATGATTCCTGGCCTGTGATTGGCTGACAGGTGGTGACGTCACCAGGGTTTGACACACTAAACTGCTTTGGTCCTGTTCATGCCTTGTGTGCCTGGCAGATACCCCGGATTTCTCCGCCATCTGTAAGGCATCAATTCTTGATTAGAGGGCAAAGAGAGGCCATTGCCTGAAATAATCTTCTAGTATGACCTCTAGAAATGTCTCTGCAATCCTGGCGGCTGACAGCAGTAAGTATACGTAAGCAGTATATAAGTGACTTACTCTGCACTCTGGCAAGATTCCTGAATTCGCTGGGCATGACTCGGGGGCGTGGTGCTCACGCCGGCATCATCACAAACGGCATTCGCTGTTGCTCGTCCGGCTATGGGATGATCCACGAATCATGTGAGATAAAAAGGTTCGACGCTTTTCGACAGCTTCCATTGGTGTCTGTCTGTAGGTAAAAGCGATCAGTAGAGGTGAAGTTATCAGTAAAGCACCAATAACATCAAATCAACATCCCATCGGTAATAGGAAAGGAGAGAATCGGCTGAAGTACTCTGTACTTTGTAATTGATAGAAGTAAATAAACACGGCGGATCTGCTCGGAAACAATAGCGGTGTAGGGTTGAGGCGGGCTTGTAGGGTTAGCGGGAACAAACCCTAAAATCAGAGACAGCTGTAGGTAAACGACTTGGTAAATGGCAACCGTTCCTGGGCTTCTTCACATATTCCCTGCTAGACTGAACAGTCTTTGAACCTTTTTGATTGATTTTCTTATTTTGGCCACATTGATTGTTTCCTCCCGGTCACGAGTAACCCGCGGTCTCTAGCAATAACCCTGTCAATAGCATACGTAGGTAAAGCTTATCCCAGCGGTGCAAGGCTATATATATATATATATATATATACATTAAGCTCATGCACGTTTTAAGAAGACTAAAACACTTTGGAACACAGACCGAGAAACGGACTGCCCAGAAAAGCCAAGCCACCAAAACATGATCCGTGTTGCAGATCGGACATTTTCCAGGCATACGAAATTGCACTTTTACCAAGTTGATTAAACGTCACTACGTACGGCGCAAGGACCATAGAAGTTAGTCTTCACTAACAACGAGATGCATAGCTACGTAACTTGATAAGATGCTTTCGTAAGCATAGTGCTCCAGACTTGTTCATTTGGAATTGTTATGCAGGGATAACTGTGCTTGAGTAAGCATGGTGCTCTAGACTCGGTGAATTTAGGTCTAGAAATAGTATGTATGGCAGGGATTCCAAGAGTGTTTCCATCATTGTGTTCCACCGTAGGGCCATCTTTTAGGTAGGTACAGTAGCTCAAATCGAATCTTCTTCAAATTGCATGTCTACTTCACAAGCAATTGACTTATCGAACAGGGTTATGACTTCGTAGTCCGCGTACTTCTGTAAAAGCGGTAGTCTCCGTGTCAGCCTCTGCTGTTTACTATCATTACGTACATCCAACTTGAATGGAGGCTGAATCAGTGGATTCAAGCAGCAATTAACGAGCGAGTCATTATCGTACGATACCTGATGATTCGACTATGTGGAAGCGGGTATCCGCACCATACAGAGCAATCAGAAAGAAGTGGCCTTTCAGCTTGCGAGCGTAACCTATCACATTGACTAAGTTGTACAACAAGGATCATTCGATATCTTGACAATGATTACGGAAACATCGGGATGTTTCTGCCGAAAGAGGAAAATGCGCAGATCTCCCGCGAACTATTCAGATTCACAGCTTATAAATAGACCAAGTCCTGCACCTTCCTATTCGAGCTCCTTCCTGCAGACGACGTGTATCCAGGGACTATTTCAGTCTCCCCAGCCTCCCTCGATCTCTTTTCTCTTCTTCTTTTCCTCACACATCATACAACGCATCAATTGATTGTTGCATGTTTTATTCTACATCCTTCTCTACTCCATCGTTCAGCCTTTAATTCTATCCGCCTGTGAGGCAGCTACGACGATGCGAGGGGCATACTCTCTCGGCGCCTTTGCCAGTCTCATCGCGGTAGCTTCGGCTGCCTGCCCAATGCTGACTGGCGAAATCCCAGCAGGCAGCATTGCAAACCCTCATCACCTTGGAAGCCGCGCTGACTCGAATGCTTCCGACGAAACAGAAGCCTTTCTGTCCGAATTCTACCTTAATGACAACAACAGCTTCCTCACTACCGATGTGGGCGGCCCGATAGAAGACCAAAACAGTCTCAAGGCCGGCATTCGCGGATCAACGCTCTTGGAGGATTTCATCTTTCGCCAGAAGATTCAGCGCTTTGATCACGAGCGTGTAAGTTCTTGAAATCATATGACTACTTCGATGTGTACTTACGACTTCTAGGTGCCCGAACGCGCTGTGCATGCTCGAGGTGCTGGTGCTCATGGTGTATTCACATCGTATGCTGATTGGTCCAACATCACCGCTGCTTCATTCCTAGGAGCTGCCGGAAAGGAAACGCCCACCTTTGTACGCTTCTCGACTGTTGCCGGCAGTCGTGGTAGTGCCGATACCGCTCGTGATGTTCACGGCTTTGCTACCCGCTTCTATACTGACGAAGGCAACTACGGTAAGATCTATCCATGGTCATAGCAGCCTATACATTTGCTAACTCACAGCAGATATCGTTGGAAACAACATTCCCGTCTTCTTCATCCAAGACGCTATTCAGTTCCCTGACCTCATTCATGCAGTCAAGCCACAGCCAGCCAGTGAAATCCCACAGGCCGCTACTGCCCACGACACTGCTTATGATTTCTTCGGCCAGCAGCCTAGTACCTTGCATACCCTCTTCTGGGCAATGGCAGGTCATGGTATCCCGCGGTCTTTCCGCCATGTTGACGGATTCGGCGTTCACGCTTACCGATTTGTGACTGACGACGGCTCTTCAAAGCTAGTCAAATTCCACTGGAAGTCCTTACAGGGTCGTGCAAGCTTAGTCTGGGAAGAAGCTCAAGCCACTGCTGGCAAGAATGCTGATTTCATGAGGCAAGATCTGTTTGACAATATTGCAGCTGGCCGGTACCCAGAATGGGAGGTGAGTATAAGTTGCCTGTCCTCCGAAGAATTTCACTAACATGAATAGCTCGGCGTGCAACTTATCGAGGAACCAGACCAGCTCAGCTACGGATTTGATCTGCTTGATCCCACCAAGATACTCCCAGTTGAACAAGTTCCAATCACCCCGCTCGGAAAAATGCAACTCAACCGTAACCCGCTAAACTACTTTGCTGAGACCGAGCAAGTAATGGTACGTTAACTTCTCTTCTCCCCCTCCCCCCAAACAACTCCGGGTACAGCTCATGCTGATCATTTTAGTTCCAACCTGGTCACATTGTTCGTGGCATTGATTTCACAGAGGACCCTCTTCTCCAAGGCCGTCTATTTTCTTACCTCGACACTCAGCTTAATCGCAACGGTGGCCCCAACTTTGAGCAGATTCCGATCAACCGTCCTCGTGTTCCTATCCACAATAACAACCGAGACGGTTTTGGCCAGATGTTTATTCCACTCAACGATGCGGCATACTCGCCAAACACCCTAAGCGATGGCAACCCTAAGCAGGCAAATGAGACTGTTGGAAATGGTTTCTTTACTACTCCAGGACGCACTGCCAATGGAAACCTCGTCCGCGCCAAAAGCCCAACGTTTGCGGATGTGTGGTCCCAACCTGGCCTCTTTTACAACTCCTTGACAGCCACCGAACAACAGTTTGTCATCAATGCTCTGCGGTTCGAGCTAGCCAATGTAGCAAGTGAGACTGTGAAGAATAACTTCATCACCCAGATCAATCGCGTAAACAACACCTTGGCAACACTTGTAGCCACTGCAATTGGTGTCAATGCTCCTGAACCCGACCCGACTTACTACCACCACAACAAGACGTCTGATGTGGGAACATTCGGTACTCCTCTGAAGAAGATTGATGGTCTCAAGGTCGGAGTCCTTGCTTCTGTCAACGATGAAAACAGTATTTCCGAGGGACAGTCTCTAGCACGAAGCTTGGCGGATTTGAATGTGGACGTCGTTATTGTCGCTGAACGACTTGCTGGTAATGTCTCAGCTACATACTCCGCATCTGACGCTATCAACTTCGATGCTGTTATTGTCACTTCAGGGGCTAAGGGTCTCTTTGGACCTCAAACCTTCACCGCCGTATCCAACACCACTCTTTATCCCGTGGGCCGTCCCACGCAGATTTTGGTCGACGCTTTCCGCTACGGCAAGCCGGTTGGAGCAGTGGGTAGTGCAAGCGAAGCGCTGACTGTTTCGGACATTGATACTGACCGCAGTGGTGTGATTACTGGTGATTTGAACGACGAGTTTGTGAAGCAACTGTCGGAGGACCTTGCAACATTCAAGTTCTTGGACCGCTTCACCGTCGACGAGTAGACGTTTCCACGATTAACACGAGTAACTTGTTTAGTGATGGCTGCACAGTCGATTATTTTGTATCTTTTAAGTCTTCTTCAAGACTAATTATCCTAGTCGGATTAGCATACTGGCTACTAGTATGGCCTGGAATATACATACGTTAACGATACGAACCGTCTGGTAGATAGTCTGTTCTAATAAGAAGCACCCCGGTGGATAGATAATTGTCATTCATCCTAACATTGGACTCCGATAATAACGTGCCAGTGTTAACCTACCCCAGGTACTATGGACGCTCTCCCATCTTGGGGGTGTTTAAAACATTTCCAGGAAAATCTTCAGGCAAACATAGTAATTGATCAAGGCTTACGTAGAATCAAGCAGCCCCCAAACCTAAACATTATGTAGTTATTGGAGTGAAGTAGGTTTGCCGAGAAATCATCTGGTAAAGAGGAACTTTTACCGAATTGTAGAAGTAGCAAGCCGAGCTACCTCTGGGTGTAATCCAAACCACTTAGTTTCTACCTACAGACATGGCACAAGGATGTCCTTTGACCATCCCGAGGGTTCGTCTTCAGAGATACCTAGGTATAGAATTTAGTGGACCTCGACTGCGATATCGCAAGAGAATAGACTCGGTGTAGCAGCTAAAGTGCTGACCCGTGACCGCAGCAGAACAGAGTCAAGAATATCTGGCTAAAAGGTCAACGCCGTTGTGATAAACCAGTCGCCTACATTTTCTGATTATGTGGCTTATTCAAAACTCAATTCAATAAGGAATAAACGTGGCACATGGCGTGCTTCATTCCATAATCAATCTTGTCTGGCGGTAGATGGCAGATTTGACTATTGGGACCAGCAAATGTAGGGCTAGCTTTTGCTATCGAGAGGGGTACACATTCCCCTTTCAGTAGCCGAGTTAAGACGATCGCAAGGATTAATTATCAGATAAGAGGCTGTACTGACCGAGTGAGTGGTTGGATTTTGACAACACAAAACGACGAAATAGCATCATCTTTCGCACATCCGGGGCCCCGATGGCGTGATACTCTTAGTATCACCACCAAGAAGAAGAAGAAGATATACGTACAGTCGACGATCCACTTTTTTACTCTCTGTACAGATTTTCAAACACCGAAAGAAATTTCGATTGATTCCAGATATCTCAATGGAGTTTATGAATATATAAACGAGGCATTCTGCATCCCTGTCTCGACCTCATCTCGGTATAGCACGACCCTCAGTAGTAGCCGCTAGAGAGTCTCGGATACGTTGGAATAATGACAGGAATAGAGGAAAAGCCAGGGCAGAGTCCCAGCGACAAAGAGGCCTCTCTTACTACAGCAGCTCACCCCATTGATGAAGAGCTCGCTGCCCGCTCCGGGAAGGAGAGATATCCAGGTGAGTTAAATCCGACCGAATATCGTTGCTATTGAGTTGAAAGTTCACTGAGTTACTGACGACAATTGTCGATACAGTCAAATGGTATCGCTCGACCTTCTACAATGCTCTCATCCTGGGAATATGCAACTTCCTCGCCCCCGGAATCTGGGGTGCCATGAACTCCCTCGGCGGCGGCGGTGACGAGAAACCCTACCTTGTCAACACCGCAAATGCCCTCACCTTCTGTCTCATGGTTGTCTCTTGCCTTTTCGGGACTGTTCTCGTCAAGTACATCGGCATAAAATATACATTCATCCTCGGAACCGTGGGGTATGCGCCCTTTGCTGCCGGTCTGTATACCCATAACCGATACGGAACGGAGTGGCTTGTCCTCTTCGGTGCTGCAGTCTGCGGTCTCTCTGCTGGGATCTTTTGGATGGCGGAAGCAGCTATTGCACTCGCGTATCCGGAGCCATACAACCAAGGAAAATTCCTCGGTTTCTGGCTCAGCTTTCGAGTGTCTGGCCAGATTCTTGGAGGTGCCGTCAATCTCGGAATCAACGCAAAGGATAACCACGCTGGAAAGGTATCGTATACAGTGTTTGAGTTATTCATTGCACTCCAAGCCCTAGCTCCATTTGTTGGGCTATTCCTCTCCCCACCGAAAAAAGTGCAAAGAACGGATGGACTGCCAGTTCGATTGAGGATTTTCGATCAAAGTTGGACCACGGAGTTGAAAGAAGTCGCCAAGCTGTTTTTCAGTCGTGATTTCTTGCTGATCGTCCCGCTCATCTCTCAAGCTGTATTCAGCGAAGCCGTCATGTTTACATACCAGGGACTGTGGTTCTCTGTTCGAGCACGCGCACTCGGCTCTTTCCTGTCCGGTATTGTAGCACTAGTCGCTGGAAACGTCCTCGGTGCGTATCTCGACAACAAACGCATCTCCCTCAAGACTCGTGCCAGAACTTCCTTTGTCGCTGTCGTGGGATTGCAAGGAGCATGGTGGATCTGGGGTACGGTTCTCGTCACACGATACCATCACACCCATCCAACGTATGACTGGGTGGATTCAGGATTTGGGTCTGGATTCGCCTTGTTTCTGTTCTGGGTTATTGGCTTTCAAGTCAATTATATGTACCTGTAAGTCATCAATTTGATCTTCAGGCGATTATCAGATGCTAACATGCGCAGATACTTTGTCATCGGTAACCTGGCCAAGGATGAGCAAGAAGTCATCCGCATTGCAGGTCTGCTTCGTGGTACCGAATCTGCTGCTCAAGCTGTCAGCGTAAGTCATTTAACAGATCTGGAAATCGTACAACAATGCGGTATGCTAACCAATACATAGTACGGTCTGTCCAGTGTTGCTATTATGGGTGCTATCGGCGACATCTACTTGAACTTTGGTCTTTGGGCTGTTGCTCTCTTCCCAGCTTGGCTGGTCGTCAAGGAGATTGGAGTGACCAAGGGAGATCCAAAGGTCGAGCGAGAACAGGCTTTGAGAGATTCGGAGTAAGCCGCTTACAAATTTTGTGCTGTATGGCTTGCGGAAGATGGCAGATGCATAATGTGCTTATGCTGAAATGATGTGAATATTAGGCCACTTAGATTAAAAAGAATAGACAGTTAGAGATAAGAGCTTAACCCTAAATGTTTCCGAATTCAGAAATGCAGATATACTCACTTATTAAGCTCGACCCTGGACCAGATCTATCGTGTGTCTGTATGAAAGATTGTTAAACGTGCCAGGGTATCATTGATTACATGTAATGTGGACAAGTCGAGGCAACAAAGACATTTAGCTATAAAATATATACATGTCTAGTATGGATATACTCAATGGACATTCATTGTGGATAATAATACCTATATTTCTCCTTTGCATTTTCTGTCATTCAAAATTAGTATTTACCCTCGTCAAAGTCATCCTCTAAATGCAATTTCCGCGGCAAGCGCTGCGCTATTCTCGGCGCGTCGAAGATATTGCGTGATTCCATAAAAATCTCATCCATCTCTTCTAACGATCTCGCATTCGTTTCTGGAAAAAAGAAATAAACTGTTGCGACAATGGCAAAGTTGATAACTGCCCAAACGATATAATATCTGTAACCGATTGTCTCAAAGCCAGTGGGTGTAACCTCTACAACGACAAAGTTGAACAACCAGGTCATACAGTTGGAGATACCGCTAATCTTTGCGCGTAGATGCGGGGGCGCTACCTCTGTCGAGTAGAGAAATGGGACACCAAGGAAGCCGAAGGGGTAGAACAAATTGAAGGCGTATAGAGCAACCACGGCGACTATGAGGGCCGCGTGATTATCGCTTGTCGAGCTTGTACCGGCAAGAACAGCCATTGAGATACACATGCCCGTCGCACTTGTGAGCATGAGAGGGCGACGACCAAAGCGATCAATCGTAAATACAGCGGCGAGGGCGCCAATAATTTGGATAGTAACCATGGCACCACTCAAAACGCGTGATTCAGTACCTCCCATGTGCAGCCGCTGATCGTAGATGACGGTCGCATAGAAAGTGAGAGAATTGATGCCGCAGAGTTGTCCAAATGACTGGCTCGTCATTCCCAGTGCTAGCCGATGCACATTGCGCTTCTCTCCCATTTTCACAATATCCCAGCGGCTGACATTGTAAACTAGTTCCAGCGACTTTTGAACATCCGCGATTTCGTTACGCACACCTTCGTCATCGGGATCAACATCACGAAGAATAGTCAAGATCTGGCGTGCTTCCTCAGCGCGGCCTTTACCTAGCAGCCAGCGAGGTGATTCCGGTAACCGGAAAATGAATATCATGACGAAGATTGCAAGCGAGGTTTGCAGGACCAAAGGAACACGCCACGATACCGAGCTCGTGTCAATGAAAGAAAATCCCAGATCGATCCAGAGAGAGGCCGCTATACCAACCGACACGAACAGTCCTTCAGTAACGACGTGCGATCCGCGATGCGATGTGCCTGATATCTCTGACTGCCAGACAGGCACAGTCGCAGTTGTAGCGCCAGTTCCGAATCCCTGAACGAGTCGAGCTACAATAAACTGTCCAAAGGAATATGAGGACGACATGAGAAGAGAGCCGACGATGACCAAGGCTGATGCAATGAATATGACTCTTCGCCGGCCCAAGATATCACCCACAAAGATGGTGGACAATGCTCCTAGCATACCTCCGACGGTAAACAATGCGACGACGGTGCCTAACGACAAGGCTGAATCAGTAACAATCTTCTAACAGTTGGAAAGGACAATGCATACCTTGAACATTGGAGTTGAATTTGCTCGAATTATGAACAGTATCCATCTTTGGAAACTGCTCAATAAAAGACGGCATTGTGAGCAGCCCTCCCGCAACAGCCAGGTTGTATCCGAAGCACATGTATGCTGGAAGCACAACCAGCAAGATAGTGGCTACATTGAGGCGAGAGCCTCTGAGGCCCATGAAGGGTGCCATTGTTGCTATTTCTCACCACTGAAGGCGAAGGTCAATTCTCAATTACCAAGAGTGTGGAGAAATTGACGAGGAAAAAAATCAACAAGAGACAAGAAACAAAGTGGGAAGCCATGTCCGGATATAATCAGATCTGTTGACAAACTTTTTCCCCGGCTAGCTGCCTTCGTCCCTGATTGCCCTTTTTTGCAACATACCCCGCCATGCGGTGACTGTACGCCTGAATAATTGAGCGGAGAAGAGGGACAGACGAAGCCAGTCACAAGATGAAAAAGGGTGGAGTGCTGATGAAGCCAGGGTGCCGTATCTGCCGATAACTTTTCCAGCTCGTCCGGAGTAGAGCAAAGTGGAACAATTCGGCCCGGGGAGGTGGATACCTGCTTATTCACCTGTTCGCTAACAGGAAGTTTTATCCTCTTAGGAAATGGTCTGCTGATACTTATATAGTACGGAATCACATCATAGCAGAGCGACATATTCTATTCTCTACAATGGCATTGCTAAGAAGAAAACGAGCTGCAGATGCCACTTACCGATGGCAGCCTTAGCCCTCAGGCTTGAAATGCTTGTTTTTCTTCCGGCCAATCGGAATAAGCAACTTCTGATTGGCTGTTTCAAGTTTTAGGGCTAGGGCTAGGGCTATCTAAGTATTCAGTGCATCCTGACAATCTGTCGGATTAGTCGGTTTATTCCAGGCCAATCCTGAAAAGTGTTTTACTAGGATCAAAGAAAAGAAGTGACTAGCAAGATTGTATGTATTGAGTTCTGTATCTGTCTATCCCTCAGGTTTCAAAGCCAGGTCCTTTATAGACACTTTTGGCGGGGTGATTTGTGAGTCATCAAGAGGGGTAAATTTTGGGGGCTACAAGATAGGGCTTCTGATTGTTCACTTCCTTTTACTGCCTCCGGATATCCGAATTATCTGACACTGTCTTGCTGGATATCCGGTTTATCTAACACAATCCTGACACAATGCTTGTCTTCCATAATGTTCATTCGCCGTAATCCTACTCGTGAAGGAGTAGAGAGACTGGAACGGGGCTCCAAATACGCAGGTAGAGCTGGTTACAATCTCATTAGCAATTCAATCTGTTGCCCCTTCCTCTTTATAGGCTATGGCTAGAGTACTCTGTACCATGTTTGCCTAGATACTTACTTTCCTGTCTTTCGAGAGCGGCGAGTGCAGGTAATTTGTATATATTAGGGGCTTTAGTTGAGATACCTCCCATTTCAAAGATTCCAGGTTGGCGCCCAGAACAAAAAGTAATCAATGCACGTGTTCAGAGAAGCCCTATCTGAAGTTTAAGCTGCCACTTTATGTTATACAAAAACAAATAAGTCACCAAAGCAAACAGAGCAAACATTTCATGATATAAATCACTTCAAGTGCATGTGATTTTACAATTTTACCTCTTTGTCTGCTAGGTATCGCTCACCTTCCATCTATCAGACTACCCCGCTTGGTATTCATCTTCCATTTATCTCTTGAATGGCAACATCATACATAACCTAGGTACGGCAGCCTTCCTACAGTCTTCGAGGCAATTATCAAAGAGGGAGGAAATTTCGAAGCACTATGGGCCAGAAATCAACCTCAGGTGAGTAAGACCGACTCTTCTGTTGATATCTGAAAGCTTGTCATTGGTGAAGGCAGGTCTCTGACACTTTACATACATGCACCTAGTAGGCAAGCACTGCTACATCTGCAAAGGTAGCGAGGAGCTTCTCCTGGAGTGTACCTCGTGTGGCAGATACTGTGACTCAGTCTGCGCATGGCTCAAATGCGAGGAGACCTTGAGCTCGCAAGATTCATCCAATTGGCAGTGTCCAGATTGCAAGCACGGGACACAGCTGTTAGCAGATATGGATGTAGATTCTTCATCAGTCATCTCATTTAATTTCAATGATCCCAAAGACTCGACCACGAAAGAGCCAGCCGTCAAAGGAATTTCCCAGACCAGTGACAGCGCAATTAAGAGCTCTGAGGCTACCCCAAAAGCGACCACAAGCACGACCCCTAAACGTCACCGTACCTCTAAGCCTCCATCGCCACCACAAGTGATAATCGACAGTCCCAAAAAGAACTCGGCCTCGGGCTCCCCCATCAAACGTCGAAAGAAATCTAGCAAGTCCTCACAAAAGCAGAGACAGAACTCAGCAACGCAGACGGATGTTCCAGACGAGATGCGCATGTCGACTTCGGAGCATCCAACCGACGACCTCGAACCCGCCATCAAGACTCTGAAAACTCACATTGCAAATCTACACATACTTCGTACCCGTAATACTGAGCTTGATGAGGAGGTGAAAGCTTTGAAGGAAAAGTCCAATACACAGGAGCAAACAGCCTGGGAGCTCAAGGAATACAATGAGAACCTCGAGTTGCAGGTCGAGAAGCTAAAAACTGAGCGTGCTGACCTTTGCGACAAGCTGAGGGAGATTCGCCGCCTCTCTGGATTCGATATTCTGCAGATTGAGACTTAGAGGCAAGTCTAATCTGGGACGCTACTCCAATTGTCACTGTGTTACAAGTCCTGGCTGTAGCTTTCCACGAAGTTTGATGTCCAAGAAGTTTAAGGAAAAGGACTGGTTTTTGAATGACGTGTTTCGGGGGATATGTCTTTTATTACTTCTGTAGTGATGATGTGGTACGGAGAGATTTCTGCTGTATCCCAAGCGGCATAGCTGTCCTGCTAAAATGTTTTGGCAGTTTCTGAGGACTATTGCAATACGATCTTCTTGTGCATGGTCTCTCCTTGTCTTTGAAGTCTACAAGAATCAAATAGTATCCGAGTCATTGATTGGTATTGATAATGGTCCTAGTGATATCTGCTACCTTAGTTTGGGCCTCAACGGTACTAGGGAGGAGGTGACAGCACTATACTTGCAAAGTATAGAAAACTGTGAAAAGGAGTGACACGAGTAGTGGCAAGTATACTGGGACTTGATTATACAAAGGCTGTGCTGTCTGCTGGATTCCTTTCAGTAATTTGGCCATTTCATGCCAGGATAGAATGTTATCACAGCAATAGATGATCCCAATATCTGCATTTAAAGCTCTATCATTCCCTCCATTGGAATGATCCACTATTGCTAACTTTCACCTAGATGACTTGTAATAGGAGTTGGTTGGAAACATTTACGGTGTTGGAAGCAACTTGTTCAAGTTCAGCACCCAAGTATGAGATAGGATTGTCGATTAATCGAAGGTTAGAAAATACTCCAACAGGTACCGCCTCACTGTCGCTTTGAATAAGGGAAAACTTCAGTAATGAATCTTACTAACAATTATTTGATAGGCATTAGATTATACAAGAAAGGTTAAAGTGATGAATATCCCAGAGAAGAATTGCTCAATGTGAATAACTTATAGGACTAACTATTTCTTTAACTTTAGGACTTTTTCATTACCTACCTTGGTAGTTACTTAGAAATTATATCAAAAAGAAATCATAATTTATGCTTTGATGTATGCTCAAAACTGCTTCTGACATTATAAGTTGTAATTTTCCACAACAAAACGACCTCAGTCATGATTAGTCGTCATGATAGTGCTGAAAGAGTCAAATCTCCTAAACCAGAGAAGAAATATCCTATAGTTAATTTCTTTGTCCAGAATTTCCTGCCTCCTCACTTGTTTTTGATTCATTACTGCAAGGATAGCATCGAAAGGAGGCCCCCATGTCTCTTGAATAGACCAGGACATACAAGATCTTCTTACAGTTCAGCTTGAGGAAGCCCTTTGATAACAGTAGCTCTTCAAGTTACAACTTAATCTTCCTCTCTGTTCAGTATCATTTATCCTTTGGCATCTGTAAGTGTCTGCCGTCATGCGTCCGCAAATGATTCCCCTGCACTACTTCGACAACACTCACCTGCTACGGAGGAGCATGGTCATGTGCTTGACGCTGAAATTTGACGATGATCTCGATGCGGATATGCTTCGAGACTCCCTGATCAGGTTGATAAAAAACGACCGCTGGAGAAAGATAGGTGGCCACTTACATCGAGGCGTAAATACTACGCGGGTTTAAATATGACGCTTGAAAGGCTAACTGCTTGTAACAGTTACAGAATCGTCCATTCCTCCATGTTTTCCTTGTGAGCGAAATCTCGAAGGGCGAATCAGTGGTAGAGTTTAGCAAGGTCCACATTGATATGTCCACGAGAGGTCATCCGCTAGCATCGAATCTGCATCAATCAACATGTTATCCGTCTGCACAGTCCGGCGTCGAACAGTATCGGTATCTCTCTGGTCCCGCCCATCGTCCAACATCTTTCGGAGACTATCTCAATCGAAATCTTCCTCAGATATCCCTTCATGTGGTTAGATTTACCGATGGGACACTAGTGTCACTCACCTGGCCTCATACAATGAGCGATGTATCTGGGTGGGCGGAGATCTTTAGAGCGTGGTCAGCAGTATTAGCTGGTAAACGCCGTCAGGTCCCAAATTTGGCAGGATTTGATGCTGATTTCCTAGAATACTTTGGTACGAGCTCAGGTGTCCCACGCTTGCTGATCGAACCCGCTGGGTTAGTGAGTTGGACATGATTAAAGAGTACCTGGTTGGCATTGCTTGTGCGCACATGAGTTTTTCGTATCGCAATGTTTGTATTCATGGTTCTCTCGATCTTCGCCAACATTATCCTGCAGTACTTAGAAGACAGCGCGCATACATTCAGAATGCCACTTTCCCCTACGTGGCTCAAATGCCTCCCAAGGATATAGCCGGGAAGTGGTTCGGACAAACTGCAACTGCCATTCGAAAGGCCTACAAAATCTTAGGAGACTCGGAGCAACTAATGACTACTGCGAACCTTTTGCAGACGCCAAACGTCCGGAGTAGGTTTCCTGTCCTAGGAGATCGAGCCGGCCATCATATCTTTTTCGTTAACTGGGCAAGCGCTAGGCTTCAGTCAGCTATTGATTTCAGAGCAGCCGTAACTCATCCAACAAACACGACAGAAGCAAAGGCGAAATCAGGGACCATGGATCATAATATGCGCAACAAAAAGGGTGTCGGTAAACCTAGCTATTTCCATTCGGACATTCTGAACAAGAGCGATCTCCATGGATAAGATAAACAGGGCAATTACTGGGTCGGAGCAGTCTTGAACAAGAAGTCCATGAAAAATTTTGACGAAAGATTCACGGTCCGTCAAGTTGACTGAAATACAATACAGGCAAGTTGTCCTCTCGAGCGCAGCGAGAGAGTCAGAAAATGTTAGACAAGTATACCTAGATAAATAGGTACAGAATGCTCTAACCGTTGAGATGGTTATGAGAATATATTCCATATATTGATCTATCATTTATTAAGAACGCTACCACCCATGCTAGATATCATATTCATGCGGAGAAAAACAGACTGCAAACCATGTTCTCATATGCTGGCATTTCCTTCTTGTACAGGTATCAGCAACGATACAGTATGATGACCAATATCCATTATTTTTGAACTATCTCGGATAGGAATTATGCAAAGGATCCTCATCCATATCCATGTCATTATCATTATCATTGGAATGCGAGGATCGTGTAATCTGTCAAGAGTAGAACAAGTCAGTAAGTCAGCAATTGGCCTATAGTATCAAGTATGGAAGAAATGATTAACTTACTACTAATGTCCTAGTAACATTAATCGTATTCAATTTGATTTTTTGTGAAGGGTGATAGGCTCTATCGCTGCCTGAACGAAAACTCCTTGTCGGATCCCTTTGATCGCTTCCATTTGGATAGCTCCCATAGCGCCTGCTATGTTGTTGGCGCCGAAAGAATATTGCAAAGGCAGGTAGTGTCCCAACGACAACAGCTGGATAAGTATTAGAACGGACACTTACATTTGCTTAGAGAGGGGTGTTCAAAGGACGGTTCACCTATCGCAGTCTCAATCAATCCCCAAAGCATCAACCATGAACTCGAGGGTGTGTTGTCGCTCCTAGACTCTATTCCAACTGAAACTGTACGCACAATCGCCATTATCACGCATACAAGTCCTACACCAAACACACCGCCGAGCGCAACCTTTTCCATGAACGGGAGGCGAAGCAGCCAAATCAATTTCCAAGGGAGAAGCATAATCATGAGATCGGTAATCACATCGACGGCGAAGGAGAAGTAGAGACTTGCGACTTGAGCGACGGCATCCCGGTGAGTGGAACATTCACCTACGCATAAAATACGTTAGTTTCCATTTGCTCATATGTCTCATTTGCAGGCGTTTGCAATACTTACCGGGAGTGAACCAAGCATGCATGCTGTGGCAGGAAGTAAAGTTCGAAATCACGCATCCAATGAACATCTTTGTCCAGACAGTTAGCTCAATGAGAATAGCAAACCGATTCGATCAAGGACACAGACCAGAACTGTAAATATCAAAACCGACCACCACCACTTCATTTGATCCGGCAAACCCACAAAAAGCCTTCGATAGAGGAACAACAAACTCAGTTTGACCGACCAAAGCACTATCCAGAAGATCATTGTATTGGCAAAGAAGATTTCGGTAACGTATAACGCATCTTTCATGAGGTTTGCATATAATTCTCCCGTTGATATCGCCGTATCTACTCGGAATAACACCGGTGTCACGACGATATACAATATCGCCATGACAAGGAATGCGACCCATGAAAATAAGCAAATGCCATCTTCTATCTGGAATTCTCTTTTCTGTTGCGTCCATCGAACCGCGAATCTCGCAATCGTGAATGCGGTGGTCATAGCAATGGTTGCATATCCGGTGGAAAGCACCTGGTCCTCGGATACCAACAAGATCGCTGCTGTCGAAGACATTTGGACCTTTCAATGTCTCTTTCTCTATTGATTTCGAAAGATTTTCGTTTGTTACACCCTCCTCCACCACCGGCTCCACCGTCCGCAACCTCGGAACGTGTTTGTTGTCCTCCTATCTTTCAAACCCTTTTCAATCTGCTGGTAGAAGGCGATAATTTCCTCACTGAGCCGCGTTGCAACCACAAATATCCGTTGCACGTTTGGGCGGCGCGTCGATCTAGCCAGTCAAGATAGACTTTTGAGGCCGAAGATCCGTTGCCTATTTTCCTAACAAGTATTTGGTCCTTGTGACAGATAGTTCTGACAGTTCCCACAATGGCGTCCAGCACCAAAGGCCCCTCATGAACATGCTTTCCTTTCGAGACGAACCATAAATTCCACGAACGTGCGAACTCAATAAGACGAAACAACGCCGATATACCCTCCAAAATCAGAACTTTAACATGAAATGTGAAAGTAATAAGTCTCAGACACACCGTTGCGACAGGCAACTTGCAGCAGGACTGCAGAATACTACTCCACCCCCTCCATCACATCCCAGCCTGACAAAATATGCACCCTAGTGCTGCAGAACAGCTAGTACTGATATCTCACACTAAAAGCTGCTAGCGTCAACATCGGTCCATTTGGGGCGGCGATAGTTTCATCAGTTAAGGCATGGATCGGATGTTAGTGGACAGGTTAAGTTGAAGAATAAATAGCATGCTGATAACGGTCTAGTCTGTACGGAGTACGTATTCTGAATCACAAATATCTTGAATTCTCGGACTGTCCGTCATGTCTTTCAGTACTCACGATCTATCACATCCCGTCCTCCGTACCCCTCTTCTAATCCTCGCTTATGCAGGTAGGAAAGTAAGATCTTCAATGTTGCAAACTGGACGTCCCTAGGAGTACGCTGCGATTGCTGCAAGAGGTTTCCGAAGCACCACTCTGTCTGTATTATTTATGTGCTACGTAACTATCAAGAAGTGATCCATACCTGGTCTCGACTCTCACAATCTCATGGGACATGTTTTGAATGTCCGTATCCTGTCACAAATACTCGGTACATCGAGTGTATTTCATCAGTGGCTGGAATCTCCTTTCGCTTCGGGCCGCCATCAATTAGCACTGTCATTATCATTTAGACAGGATCTCAATTCGCTAGTGTTGCACGTGTTCATCTTGACATATTTTCCTACCCCGCCCCTTTCCAAATACATTGGATAATTCGGATCCAGGCGGCAATACAATATGTCTTGAAGACATTTTATGACGAATATACCCAACACAGTTCACGGACAAATACGTGCGCAGGGAGTACGGAGTGCAGGACTTCAAGATACTGTTAACCCGGTTCCTCCGCTGCCGGGGACTTTTGGGAATGTGCCACTCAGCGGTCACTAACTTAGTTCACGCCATAGGCTTCTGAAATCAACACTAGTTACTTGTATTGGTTAGCATAGGCTTAAGAGCGGGAAAAATACGACGATGGAGACGCTCTAATGGGGTCCGTCGAAGCACAGACATGCCACTTTGATACTTAAAGGCCCCTTAACAACGCAAGGACTCGAGACTAGCAGCGCAAAAACGGACCAATTAAGGTATGCTTTCCTACCAGGGTCCATAACTCCATATTATCGTATCTCTTCGGTCATGTAACTGCATGACAGGAATCAAGATCTAGATGCGGCCCAGCTCTATGGATATTGTATTCCACGCAGGTACTCCGTACTGCTGCAAGATTGGATCAAATGATACCTATAATAATACAGACATATTAAGCTCATTTCTGGAATCTTGGAAGTCCACACTTTGAATCTGCGCTTGACTGCGCCGCAATATAGCCCCCGAATCCTTCCAGGTTTACGCAATTAAAGGCTCACCCATCCAACATCTTGATCTACTATGGTAAGCGATATGAAAATAAACCCAGTAACTCATTGCTATACGTAAAAGAGTAGGACGTAAACAAACTACAACTCTCCCCTAGGGACATATGCCTAATCAGGGTGTCCCTCCGCTTCCAGCCAGCAATCTCCGCTGACAAACACCTAATAAATTACTAGGAACGCTTGTGTTTAGTAGGAATTCAATGTTTGCTTATCGTTTTGCAACGTTTATATTCTGTAAGTCTGCCTTCGGGACCTGTCGAGAGGAACATATCATTGTCAATTGTGTTCTCTGTCATTTGTTTCTCTCAAGAGTCATCGTGGGGGTTATCTCTCTTTACGGTCCTAGCTACGATCTTTCTCAATCACATTTTTCTCGGCAGGCGTCTCTTTTGAAACAGCTGCAAAATAATGGGGGTGGCAAGGCTAGTGGTGGCAGCATTGGTGACAGCGAGTCTAGTCACAGAGGCCGTTGTGGCTCAATCCACCGATGCCATTCTGCGTCAACTCCAGGCCAACGGTGTCGATATTACCGCCTTAAACATTACAAGCACAACGGTGCCACGAGCACAGAAAGGCTGCTCTATTCTGGTGAGTTTGTCCAATTTCGCTGCCGTTTTTTTGCAGGGATCACTTGCAGGAAAGCGGCCCCCAAGCCCATACATAGGCTAGTGGCGCCCATGCAGTCACTCTGACCTGATCATGAACGGCATGTACTATCTTTGTCAAGGATACTAGACTCTAGTTACCTCAATCTCTGCGTCTAACTTTGACCGTAATGTTCGGTTAGGACTTTACTGATCCTTCGTCTCCAACCATAGACTTCCGCCCTGGTTAAATTATTTCCCAGTCAAACTCTTACCTCCAGGGAGGCCAGCTTTTCCAATTGGACAGAATCATTCTGGTCTCAACAGCAAGAGGAGGTTACTCCGAAATCAATCTTCAAGCCAGCCTGCCCTATCGATGTCTCGTCAGCGGTGCTCTTGGCTGAATTGTTCTCGTGTCCATTTGCCGTGAAGAGTGGTGGGCATGCTGCCTTTAGTGGCGCATCCAATATCCAGGGAGGTCTCAGCATCGACCTTAGTGGTTTGGATAACATAACTTTGAGTAGTGATCAGACTGTCGCCTCTGTTGGTGCTGGTAATGTCTGGGTCGATGTTTATAACTATCTGGAACCATATGGCCTTTCTGTGATCGGAGGCCGAGTCTCAACTATTGGAGTTGGAGGACTAACAACGGGAGGTATGTTCGAGATAAACTCTAGGCAAATCAAATTACAACCGCTGACGTTTCTTAGGCGGTATATCATTCTTCTCTCAAGAATATGGATGGGCTTGTGACAACGTTGTCAATTACGAGGTTGTTCTCGCATCTGGTATCATCGTCAATGCAAACGTCAGCTCCTATCCTGATCTGTACTGGGCCTTGCGTGGTGGGGGTAATAATTTCGGCATTGTAACTCGTTTTGATCTCAGAACTCACGTCCAGGGCTCTCTGTGGAGTGGTTCGCTGATATATTTACCCGAACAAAGCGATGAGGCCATTGATGCGTTCTATTACTACGGTGTGAACGCTGCTAGTGACTCCAAATCGGCAGTGATCATGAATTGGGCATACACTCAAGGCATGTTTTTCGCCGTTGCTGACCTTGAATACGCAAACGCAACCATCAACCCGCCAATCTTCCAGAACTTCACTGCTATTCCAGCATACCAAAACACGATGGAGGTTCGCACCCTGCCTGAAGTAACAGACATGTTTCAGGTTGACAATCCGGACGGCCTGCGCGAGAGCTATTGGACTGCAACTTTCGCTTTGACCAAGGAAATGATCGCTTACTGTGTTGAGACATTCGAGACTGAGGTAGTCCGTGCCGCCAACGCGACGGGTTATCTTCCTGCCCTTGTTCTGCAGGTTATTTCCACCGACGTGACAACTCAAATGCAAAAGAACGGCGGCAACGCCCTCGGTCTTTCCCCCTCAGACGGTAACCTTCTCCTGCTCAATCTTTCATTCATGTGGGGAGACATTGCAGATGACAACCTCATCCTCAACATCCTCGGCGCCATCACGAGCAAGACAATTGCCTACGCCAAGGCCAATGGGTTGTACAAGGAGTACCTGTACATGAACTACGCCAGCCAGTATCAAGCTGTGATCCCATCATACGGCACAGAGAACTTCAACAAGTTGAAGAGTGTGTCAGCTAAATATGATCCCTACCAAGTCTTTCAAAATCTGGAGCCTGGTTATTTCAAACTGAGTGGCCAGGCACCCAACACGACGTACCCAAGTTAGATGAGATAACCGTCGATTCTATTTAACTACCATGTACATAGTACGCTCGATTCAAAAAGTAATATTATATGCTAATTTTGAAGATAACAAGATCAATGATTTAAAGAATGCGAAATTACCCGGCTTCAGACGCACGAGATTCACGCTCCTAGGTGTACTTTGTTACTCTTGCGGACATTTACTTTATTGTTTCCTCCACGGCCCATGGTCATGGATGTTCGTAAGAGTCGTTTGGCTACCGGTATCCTCATGCATGTATGATCTGAGATATCCGATGCCACCTATGACCTAGGTAGGACAGCAACTACATCATCGATGTCTTGAGTTGCTTCGTTCGAAGTGTGAATACTGGAATCTGAGACATGCCTAATCTTGCCATAGCTTTTCCGGGCCGCGTCATCTGATTTCGGAGCATCTTCCCAGACGTATGTGGCCAGAGATTCATCCCAACAGCTAACGAGTACAGCCCGGCCTTCATGAAATAAACCCTTTCATGACTCTTCGATGACTATATACTGAGGCGTTTTGCAAGATGACTTTAATTGTCCCGCTCAAAGCGAGATGGGAATGGAAAACTATGATGTCTTCTTATCCAAAAAAATAAATAAATAAAATAATAAAATAAAATCTACAACTTACGTCTTCGTGGTTGTTGTGCAATGGATTTTGGAAGTCAAGAGGCCATCTCCCACCAATACATTGTTTGATTTAGAATTGGAGAGCAATTCTAAAGCGAAAGGAGAACTTTGAGATGTGGCCTTAGTGGATATCGTCGAGTGCGAATTCAAGGATCCCTCAGATATTTTACACAAATGAAATAGGATGCTGTTACTTTGTAAGATTTTCTATGTCAACAGAGGATTGTCTAAACGTCCGTAGGTCTTTATACCCTAATATGTTGCAAAACATTCGTCCCAACAATGAATCATATCAGCTCCCTAGATAGGAATTGCCATACAATGACTCTAACATGACTATTCATCTGATGTAGTTCGCAATTTTGGCTCATACTGTAAAGTGACTAATGTTGAAGGATAGGCCCTATACAGAGACTCATTGCGCCCACTTTTGTATTCTGAATTATATAAACCATGCCTGTTAGTTATATCTATTTCATCACATATCACTCTATGGTACCATTGTCCACTCCAATACCTAGGTAGAATCCATCAATATGTCTTCCGAGAAGAAGAATATCATACTCTCTGTCAGCAGAGAGGACTTTAGTCCCGTCGAGGAGTTAGAGGTGAGCAGCACGAGCTTTGAAAGTGCCAAAATCGATAGAAGTCGCTCGGGATCGCTTCGATGTTGATGCACAGTCTCAGCAAGGATTCAAAAGCCACGATGTCTTCGTATCTAAAACAGAACTCGGTACTTTCATTTTTGCAATCATCGAGCACAAATCTTGTCTGGATTTATTCAAAGATGCTATGCGCTTCAAATACCGTAACGAACTTGAACTACAAAGGTGCGAAATTTGTAGCTGGACCGATTGCGGTTGATACCTGTGGACGATTTGAGGATGTAAGTAGGGAAGTTTTAAGCACATCCATGGACATAATTAAGTGGCTACTGTCTAGACATGGTGTCTGTTATATTACCTAGGTATAGTAGAGTAAATTAGACTTTAGGGTACCCCTAGGCAATATTTTTTCGCGATATAATCACCTTCTAACTTATTCCACGCTAAATTTCACGAATAATAAGCCACAGAGATTTTCGGAACGGATCGCCACCTTCTTCATTGTCCTGGGCCTCATCTCCATTCTTGAAATCCGGATTAGAATCCTGTGCACGTCTCCTCCTTCCCCTCGGCTCTCGATTATCCGTATTGTTGTATTTCTTGAGCGTCTCGTTAAACCGAGTTAGTTTAGACTGCGACGTCCAGGGTAGAATATCAAATTCCAGGTCCGCTATCCACGGTTGCAAGATCTGGATCCGTCTTTGCTGTGCATCGATTGCTGTATTGAGTTCCCCATCCTTTTTAGCACCACCAAAACTTCCTGGCCGCTGTTCCACTGCGGATAGTTGTTGTGACAGCGGTGCTTGACGACTGACCTTCCCCCGCGAATCAAGGATAGGAATTTTCGCTATATGCGCAAGAGCATCCAACCTGGCGACTTCACTCTTCAGACCTCGTGGGCCAAATATGTCCCTATTCGCATCCTTGAGTAAACTGTCCGTGCGACTCTTGGATACCCCCGTATTCCCCAATTTGGCGAGTCCGCTAACAGCGGATCCAATCCAGTGCAAGGGAAAGAGTATGGGAACTGAATTCAATATTCCGCCTGTGACATCGAGCGCTTGTAGCGGCGGACTGCTTGATATTGCTTTATTTAATCGGTCTAGAAAACTGAGAAAGACTTCTTGCGGCAGTTTGTAGTCTTTCAACACCGGAGCATAGGTGCGTATGAAGGGAGCGTCAAAAGAGGAATCCACAGCGGGAATTGCTATTGGTTTTTTGATGGGTTGCGGCTGTGTTGACCGTGATGACGATTCCTGTGTATGTGCTGATGTTGACCCATATGCTAGCGACTTTTCAGTGGCTAATATAGGTAGTGGGTGTGATGTTGTATACGCTGGTGGTTGGTCTTCCGTGTTGTCGATATCATCCGAAAGTGAGGTATGGTTGGACATGGAGCTATCGCTTTCCCCGTTTGATGGATATAAATTATATAAGTATGGATTGTTCGATTTTTCGGAGCTCATTGTCGACTGAGGTGATGGAAGTTATGGATAAGCAGGTGGATCGCTGTAGAATGAAATATTTTCATATCTCGGAAGATAGAATGCGTGAGATGAAAGTCAACGTACAATTGAGAAAACTAAGGATTTCTATGAGGAACAATTTACTTAGATCAATCAGACTATCATCGAGACAATCCCCTCATCTTTATACCTCTCAATCCCATACGAAAAGGTCGAATGGATAAAGTTCGATAACAAAAGAACTCGAGGTGAATGGAGACACAAGCCACCCGCTTAACCTGATCAAGTCAGCTGTGCGAGACTCAGCCTCGGCCTTCTTGGCCTTATCGATCCATTCACAAAAGCTCCTTATTTTTGCATGACGTTGAAACTTATTTTTATTGATTTATACGTAGATCAAAATGCAGATTCATTAATATACTTAATATAGAGTCCATAACGCACGTGATGCACTTAGCCCTGAAATGTGTCTCAACAGCAGGCATTTCCCTATATAACTTCTTTCCGATATGGAACAATCGCACACACTGACCGCGATAAACATCTCACAGAATGAAAACGAATTTCGGGTCTCGGTCATCGTTATATCCGACATATTTGTCGTACTTTCCACTTGCCTTGTCTTTGTTGACTTTGCGGCAGTAGAGGACGTTGAATAGAATCCTGTTTCCCATTAGTAACTCGATTCATGGTACCAATTGGGTTAAAATAGACATACAAAAACCAAGCTGCCACCAACAGACTCAAAACCACTGTATGTCCTCTATGGTAATGAGGCGCGTCCTTTGACGGGTAGATAAACGTCGCCACAAATCCGCCGCAATTTGCAATTGCAAGCTGCATGGCTGATGTGGTTGCACGTTTGTAATGGCCAGCCGAATTATTCGAGTTCCATACCAGGACGCAGGGGACACTTGCATACAAACCCGTAGACATGAGAAAGGTCATTCCGTATCCGACCTGAGAGTTGGAAGTATTGGCGATGACGGCGTAGCCGATGATGGCAAACGGCAGAGTGAAGAGCATCACGATGCCACGTAGTTTAAGATGGTCAGACAAAAATGCGACGAGAACTATCAGAACTGTCAATCCATGCTATCTACTTGGGAGTGATGGAAAACATACCAGTAAATACCGTGGCAACTGCATACGGAATAACAGACCACAACTGCACCTTATTCGCATTTGTCGTAAATCCAGAATCCTTGATAATGGTGGGCAAAAATAAACCGAAAGAGTACAGCCCCGAAAGAATAGCGAAATACGCAGATGCCGAAAGCCACATTTTGATATCGGTGACTCCACGTATCACTTCGGACCATTTGAAGTTCTCGTGTTCAACACTGTTTTCGTTAGGCGGGATAGATTATTCATCGCAACGGTGTAGCTTACTTAGTACCGTCATCCCGGGGACGATCATGGCGAATTCTTTCCTGCGCAATTTCACGTTCCAGAGGAGTCAGGAATCTGGCTGTTGCAATATTGTTAGGTAGGCCGAGAGCAGCAATGATGCCACACACGACAGTCTATAACAATGTTAGGCTGAGTTTCGAAAGCGATGAACTAGTTGAAAACATACCAATAAACCCTCGATTATGAAAATCCATCTCCATCCCTCAAGGCCGCCGCGAGGACCGATCTCAATCAATCCTCTAGCCAACAACCCACCAAAGGCACCAGATAAAGAAGCTGCTGTGTAGAACAAGCCAATTCTAAGAGCAAGATCTGACCGTTTATAAAAAGATGACAGATACAAGACCTAGGATGCCATTAGAGTCGGTCGTTGAGAAGCTCTGTTATAGGTTGATTTACCATTCCTGGCAATAGACCTCCCTCAGCAATACCAAGTAATGCTCGAACCGCAACAAACGAGCCAAAACTATGAATAAAGCCAAGGCACATCGTGATTATACCCCAGAGGATCGTAAGGAACGGAAGCCATATTCTCGGGGATGCTTTCTTCAGCACGAGATTACTCGGTAATTCACTAATTGGTCGCACGTCAGTCATATTTTCGTACCCGAGCCAGGAACGTCGCAACTCGCATACCTGCACACATAAAATAAATAGAAAACTGCCAGTCCAATATCGTATTGGTGATCGGTGATGCCTGTATCAGCCTCGAGACCGACAATCTTGGCATTTCCGACATTGGTACGGTCGAGAAACGAGCACAAGAATAATAAGGCGAGAATGGGCAGTACTCTTGTGTGGCTGGTTAGTATGAATGTGTTCGAGAGCGAGAGACGAAAACACACCTAATATCAATCTTGAAAAGAATTTTCTTGACTTCAGGGGAGTTCTCAGTTTCGATAAACGCTGGTGGCGACGAAGGGCCTTTGAATTCCTGTTCTTGTGAAGATATCTCCATTGTGATGGCCAAGTTGGCTTCTCGATCGGGAATGCGATGCTGCTGTTACTGCGTTCTTTCGGTTCGTCTTTTGGCAGAGACACTTCGGGAAGCGATATATTACACTTCCCGGGACAGTAAAAATAGACAAGACGAAAAATAGGGGAGTGAGAGTGGTAAAATAGAGCTTAAAAAGACCAAGAATTCCGGGGAAAGCTGATCCGGGGCGATGAATTTTGCGGAGTAACACACAAAGGGTGGGTACATCGGAGACCAGAAGAGACGCCGAGACTGTGATAGAGCAACCTCAAGAACAAGCACGAGGATTGACTAGCAGGGGTCGGTACAATAGGGTGGCCTGCGCCGCCGGAAGAACAACTGGATTTATCCTCTGTGTTTAGCGGCTTTTTAGAGTAGATAGCTCTCGGTCGGCGGATTATCGAGTCGAAAGTATGCATAATAATGAGATCTATCAATGCGAATTCTTTGTTCTATCTTTTGAAACTGCCTATCATCTGTTTGGACTGTTTATAGTCCATACATGTACATAGATAGGCGCATGTATGTATGCACATTGTCATTGTCGGTTAAGATAGTTACAGGCTCAGGTAACACGGCCTTTGATGGACAAAGACTTCGATGTATTGATATCATTCGCATAAAACATCACATCTGGTAATTTCCGACACGGCGCTGCAAAACATCAACTACTCCATGCTCTTCAGGTCCGGTGCAATTCTAAACTCGGCATCAGTCTTAACCCTAATCTCATCTACCTCAACTCCGGGCGCCAATTCTGTCAGCGTTAATTCGCCCTTCTCCCTATCCACTTCAAACACGCACTACAGGCGTCAGTTAGCCTGTCCAACAAGAATACAGTAGTGCATAGGATACTCACTAGGTCAGTAATTATGGTACTAACGCACTTAGCACCTGTCAACGGCAATTCGCATTTTTGTACAATCTTTGAAGACCCATCTTTGGCGACGTGGTTAGTAGCAACGACGATTTTGGTGTTGTTAGGGTTGGAGACTAGATCCATAGCACCACCCATGCCCTTGAACACTTTGCCGGGGATCATGTAATTTGCCAGATCGCCATTGGCGGCGACTTGGAGGGCCTACAATACCAGATCAGCACTATTACCAGCATACTGATAAACTGCGAACAGCCTACTCCTAAAATAGAAACATCGACGTGACCACCGCGAATCATCCCGAATGACTCGGAACTATCAAAGGTCGAAGCGCCCGGTACAAGCGTAACGGTCTCTTTACCAGCGTTGATAATATCCCTGTTGACCAGAATATCTGTTAGCACGGCAGACTGATGAACGGTAGGAAATGACCCTACGGATCAACTTCATCTTTGGTCGGATACGGGCCCATGCCCAATATACCATTTTCGCTTTGAACCCAAACAGTACGACCCTTGGGCAAAAACGAGGTAGCGAGAGTCGGTATACCGACACCTAGATTAACATAATAGCCGTCTTTGAGCTCCTTAGCAGCGCGCTTTGCAATTCTGTTTCTCTGTACTATTTCTAGTGTCTGTTTCGTTGCCGATGTGCCGTTGTCCGGTTCTCGTAGCTTTCTAATTTCAATGTGTTTTTCGGCTGTTGCAGGGACAATTCGGTTAACAAATATCCCTGGTAGATCGACGTCATTGGGATCTATTGATCCTACAGGAACAATTTCTTCAGCCTCGACAATAGTTAAAGTGGCTGCTTTGGCCATAATTGGGCCAAACGCCTTGGTTGTGTATCTAAGATGACATAACATCAGTTTATAGATTCAATAAGCAAAAGAATAGAATAGCAAACCTGAATACGCAGTTCCCAGCCTCATCGGCTTTCCAGGCTCTCAATATAGCCACATCGCCCGTGATTGCCTCCTCCATAAGAAACTTTCGACCCTTGAACTCTCGGACTTCCCTCTTCTTCCCATGCTCTAGCACTTTCCCATCACTACTCAATCTCACAGGGATCTGTCCCTCCTGCAACAAAGTCGACACTCCCGTAGGCGTATAGAAAGCAGGAATACCCGCACCTCCAGCTCGAATACGCTCCGCAATCGTACCCTGTGGACACAGCTCTATCGCAATTTTCCCTGTCAAATAGTTCTTTTCGAGCGTCTTATTATTTCCCAGAAAGGAAATAATAAGTCGCGATATTTGTCCAGCATCGGCGAGAAGAGCTAATCCCCCAACCTTGGCGACACCCGCATTATTAGATACGGCTGTGAGAGAATGCAAGTCCTGTGCACCACGACGAGCAATGGCTTGAATGAGTGTTTCGGCTACACCGCATAAACCGAATCCTGCTGAGAGAATGGTCGAGCCAGATTTGATGTCTGCGACTGCATCATCGGCGGACGAGAAGAGTTTGGATTCGCTGCGAACGATTCGGGGCGCGAGGGATTGAGAATAGCGTGGCAATGATGTTGTATAGAAGCGACATGTTAGTGAGGAAGTTAGTAGTTTTGAACGCGGACTCAATGTTGTTTTGATTGTGGTTGTCAGGATTGTTGTATGTAGACGCCGACGGGATAAGAGGGCCAAGCGGCCCATTGTTCGAGGTAAATAACTCGCCATGCTGTGAACGTAAAGACAATTCAGATTTATAGGTAGAAAAAGATGCGCATGACAATCTTTTAGATATATATTTATAGACAGAAATTTTACAGAGGAAGAAAAAGATCAAGAAACAAAAAGCTCCTCGGCAATGCATCCGATGTGACGACATCGGCCGGAGCTACTTCTGGTGCCGACGCTTTGGTCTCCTCGGACTCCCAAGGGGACTCATACTATTATTTATCAAGAGTTGCTCTTCCATTGTTTCTATATACAGGATCGCCCGGCTGATAACACTACATGAAACTCAGATCAGCTGCACTCGTATTGTCAAACCACTCCCAGAGCATCATCTCATTCAGCGGGAAATTCTGATAATCCGGTAGTAGAGTCCCCGCTTCTCCCATTGGCAACGAGACACTATTCACAGCGTCGGCGATCTGATCTCCAGACATGGAGGAGAATTGTAGCGGGGGGGCTAGAGAATACTGAGTTGCAGGCGAAATGTTCGGCGGTGGTAAGTATTCTTGTGAAAAGGTGCGGGGGTCGGTGGTGTTATAATTTCTGCTTGCCTGGTACGGTTGCAGTGGTGGTTGCAGTTGTTGCTGCTGCTGTTGTGTATAATAACTGTCAGGTTGACCACGAGCTCGGGCAACAAGCTCATGTAAAAATCGACCGTATAGAACTGATGCGCCATTACGGTGACGTGGTGTAGCTCCAATTCTCTCCAAAACATCGGCGGTTTCTGTGATAAGATTCAAAACACTCGGTGCAAGCCGGTTATCATTCTGGTTTCTTTTCGCTAGCCCGAGACTCAGAGCCGAACAAGCAGCAAATGCGATCATAATCACAGTATTGTTGGGCATAGACTTGAGTCGCGACTCTCCCTGAATAGCCGTCCGCATAACGTTAAGAGCGGACGACAAGGCTTCGGACCGGAAAAAAGACCGGACTTCTGTCGGAGCTGTTGGGTGGTTCATGACACTGCTATATGTTGAAAGTCGCGTATGCGTGACCAGAATTTCGACGTATGGCGGTAGGGATTGTGCTATGAACATCAGCAAACTACCTTTTTTTCACTTCCTGATGTGTAACTTACAATCGCCTTCACTGATAGAAAGAGCCCACACGGCAAACCACGAGTCATAAAAGCTCTCAATCATCGATTCAATTCTGCTTTGTCAGATGGATCGCCCCAGTTTATACATTAATCAATAAGGCAACTTACGAGCGAGCAACATTAATTCCGTTTTCCCTTATGCGATAGTCGTCGCATGCACGTCGGACCTTGCGAAGAAGCTCATCCTACTAATAGTCAGCATGGAAGACAGCTCTCGAGAACATAGGAAGGACATACAAGATCTCTCCGCAGTGTAGCCATGGAGTTCATCTGTCCGTCCCGCGGGTCTGCGATATCCCTATCGGACAAGTGCCACTTATCACAATTTTCTAAAAGTGCCGTAACGGGTACTGAATAGCTCCGCCCACGAGCCAAACATACTCTATTTTGGTAAGATTATCCGCGTGATTACATCAAAACACGGAAGTGGAATGTAGACTTACCCCCTTTCGACAACAAATAGAGCGATCCAGGTCCTTTCTCTTCGACGAAGCAATCTGCGACCATACTCCGAGCTGGCTTCCACGTCTTCAAATCCGTCCATTGAAAGAGCTCTTCGGGCATCGATACAATCCCCTCTTGAAAATTGGCCTCCAGTCGATGTTCGCGGTAATGTTGCCACTTTATTCAACGATAAATCAAGTGCAATGCTTAGTGCCATAGCAATGTACAAGCAGGTATCATCATCCCCGAGTCTTTTACCTGGGGCCATCCAGGGGATGTTTGCCATGAATGCGAGCACAATCTCAACAGACCGATGGCGGCGAGCAATAACGTTTTGTGCTAGGACCTTCACGTGAGACAAGAGTCGCCTCGACAGTGCTTCTGTAGATGGAAGAAATGAGGCTGAGGCAGCCAAGATAGATGTGAATAAGAATGATGACTGGGCTCGTACAAAAGAAACCGTGTGAATAGCTGGATCAAAGCCCCAACGTGTATGTGATAGATGATCGTAGAAGCTGAGATTATGGATTAGCAAACTTAGAGGTAAAGTATTGGTAAGGTAGAGTTCATACAAAGCAAAAAGATTATTAGCATCCTCAAAAGTGATCAGGCCGATGTCTACAGGGTCAAGCTCTGGCCCGACATCTAGACTCGCCCTGATGGGTACAAAGAAAGAATCAACGGCCCGCGCGGAATGATTCGAATATACAGTCGTTCCGGGTGACGACAATGCAATGGGTGAACTTGAGGGTAGATTTCGGCCAATTGTAGGGGGCATCAGCTGCAAATCTGAAGCTCGAGCAAGCAGTTGTAGAGGGTTTTCAGCATCATCAAGTGCGGGCCCGTCATCCGTGTTAAGTGTTGTTGAATGAGGTTGCTGTGATTGGGTCAGGTCGGAAGGCGTTGAAATACTTTCAGAAGAATGGGGTTGATCTGCTTTTCGACTAGCAAGCTGTCTTTCCGCCTTCTCAAGTAAATCATGTAGATGGGAAACGATTTTTAAAGGATCTTCAAGTTGCTCCTCTGTGGTGGCATTCTTAGACTTCTTGATTGCCTGCTCAATCTGGTGCAAAGCCTTGTCGACTCCCTTCCGCTTGCTGTATACAATCAGTTTTCTGTCCGCAGGATAAGTTGGCTCGACTAACTTTTTGACCCCTTTCTGCCTCCCGAGTGGATGATTTGGGATGATACACTCCATCCGGAACTGCGTACATCGTTCACAGCGGATCTGATCCGGCGTACGATTACATTTTAGCTTCTTACTATGGCACAATATGCAGGCAGCTTGCTTAGTAACCCGGGGCCGTTCGGGTGGTGACTGAGATGTAGCGGATTGTGGATTATCCATATGGACTTGCTCAACCGGCAATAAACTGTCCTAAGCACATTTCTTAGGCACTCGGAATAGCTGATACAGCGCGCAAGAACACAGAGAGAGGGCTGTCCATTTCAATGGGAAAGAACCCGCTATATGCCGCGTAGGATTTTCGTCAATCGCGTGGTTAAGACTTGAGAGGCGAAGACGGTATTAGATGTACACCGGAAACCGGATCAATAATGCCAGCTAGCGTGCGCGGAGGAAGAGTGGAGTCTGGGGTTTTAGCAATTGCGTCTTGACAATGAAGAAAAAGGATCTCGACTTGGAGATGGAGAAGTTGCCGCTATACCCACCCAGCACGCTAATCCTGTTATGGACGGATTCCACGGCCATGGCCTCAGGCCCCCAACCTAGCGGTCAAACTCCAATAAGAAAACGACACAAATCCATACGACGATTCTGTAATTTCTATTGCTTTATGTCCCCAGTTCTGCTTAACCTTCGAACATTGAATTGCTCCGGTAAGGTACTACACAAAATTTCAGATAAGGACCGGTTGTTCAGTACCTCGATATATACACACTTTATACCGATGAGCATTTGCCAAAGCGGCAAGAATATACATATATACAAAATCTGCACGACTACCATTCAACCCCATTTAACTTTAGTGGTAGATGAAGCAACCGAAATCCTGCAGTTGTCTTATTGGGCAGTCGGCCTGCCCGGATATTCATCTGCAAGGACTGATGAAGTAGCCGAGGTGCAGCCAATTTGGCGTCCCGTTCTGTGCGCATAGCCACAAATTCCTGTTCTGTAACGCCATCTTTGATATGCGCGTTATTCTTCTTGTGGCCTTCTACGCTCACACAAGGTACCGGTTGGTCACGCCCATCTGGAGGATAATCGTGTCCTGTCCATATCTTCACGTTATCTGGTAATTGGAGGAGCTTTTGCCCGGAATTGAAAAGATTAGTGGCGCTACCGCCTGGGAAGTCACATCGGGCGGTGCCAATGTCAACATGGAACAGTGAATCACCACAAAATACGTTATCTGAGGTTAGGGTTATTAGCCAAATTGCACACATCAAGAGCATACTCGATATATGACTTACCTCCAATCTTATAACCCAAATGGTCCGGAGTGTGACCAGGAAGGTGTATGGCTTGGGCTGTCACTTCGCCGATCTTGAAAACTTCATCATCATCGAATAGGATGTCGTAGACATTCTGGTATTCCTCTAGTGGGACACCGTATCTCTGGGCGAATAATTCTTGCACTTGTCCAATCCGCTTTCCAATTCCAATGAGCGGCTTGTAGCCCATATCACGGGCTATACGACTCTGTAAGTAAGAGGCTGCAGTGATATGGTCTGCATGAGCGTGTGTTTCGAGGATCATTTCGATCTTATAATTGTTTTTCTTAGCGAGCGAGATCAAGTTGTCTGCTGAATGCGTTTCGATGGTTTGTGTGGCTGGATCGTAATCCAACACTGGGTCGATGATGATGGCCTTCAATGTCGATGGGTCGGCAACAATATACTGCCACGTCCCCGTGTTACTCTCGAACACGTCATGGATGGTCGGTTCGCCCCCTTCGTTAGATGGCCGAGCACTGTATGATCGTTGCATCTGCATGGTCTTCTGAGGGACTATGCTACTAGGGAGGGCGGATGTTCTTTGAACGTATTGACGTGAACACTTTGTCCCCTGGGACCTTGACGGTCTTGCTAAGGGCCTCGTCTGAGGTATTGCACTTGCCACGCAGTAATTCCGTGCAAGAGAAAGGGTCTTGAGCCGGGGACCGGCGACCTTGTCAAGGTGATAGCGTAGTTGATTAGTCGACAGCCGGATAGACATTTTGAGGGTGCAAAATAGACGATCTCATTCTGATAGTGGAAAGATAAAGAGAGACTTTATACTGCGCCTGTATAGCTCAAGCTTGCCATTCATCCCAATCGTAGACTTCTCGGGCGTGTTGAAATGACATAAACATAAGATCGTTGTCGGCGACCCGCAGACCCGCTTGCCGAAAAGGTCGGCGTGTGGTGGGATCCACTAAGCTGCCATATTGTATTGGTATTGGTGAACACGCAAATCATCTTGGCTGGATATGGCTAGCCTTATCAGCGAGTCGGCCGAATCGGGTCGCTCAATCAGCCCACACACCCGAATACGGTTAGTGGCTCGCCCGAGTCGGCCGATTCGGAAATGGCGGACTGCCAATGACTGCAGGTCTTGGCGGTCACATGTCCTACCTTAAACCACCACAGAGCCAATTAGACAGCTGATGTATTGTGTGATCGGATAGGGCAGGAACGGAGGGGAAGTCCGGACATGCCAGAAAAAGAGAAGGCGCGGCCCCACATATAAAAGTGCAAGCAGGGGAAGGAGCTCGAGTGCCGACTGAGTATAAATCTCTTCTCTTTCCTCCTTCGCTTCTTGTCGTTCGTCGCGCCTCTCCGCTCTACCTCCTTGCGTACATTCACCACTCTCTCAGCTCAAAATGTTTACACACCGCACGGCGACCGCCGCCACAAAAGCGATCCCCTCGATTCGAAACTTCGCAACAGCGTCGCCCGCCGCAACTGCTCGTAATCACAAAGTTGTCGTCGTTGGTGGTGGCTCTGCCGGTTTGACCATCAGCCATCAGCTTCTGCGACATGGCAAGTTTTCCCAAGACGATATCGCTGTTGTGGATCCGGCGACATGGCATCATTACCAGCCAGGGTGGACTCTAGTTGGAGGAGGTTTGAAGACAAAGGAAGAGCTCCGAAGACCAATGAACAGCCTGTTGGATCCCAAGCTGAAGTTCTACAACGATGGAGTCGCCTCTTTCGCGCCCGAAGATAACTCAGTCACACTAAGCAATGGCGGCAAACTCAACTACGATCACCTTGTCGTCGTGCCTGGTATCACCATCAACTATGATAGCATCAAGGGCTTACCGGAAGCTCTTGCAGATCCAGACGCTCTAGTATCATCTATTTATGGCTACGAAACCTGCGATAAAGTTTTTCGTACCGTGAAAAAACTACAGGGAGGAGACGCCATTTTCACACAACCCTTGGGTATCGTCAAATGTGCGGGCGCTCCGCAAAAAGCCATGTGGTTAGCATTGGATCATTGGAAAAGAGCTGGCCTCTACAATCCTCAAAATACAGCTGCTTCACCGATAAAAATAAGTTTCGCTACCAGTCTTCCTGGTATGTTTGGTGTTCCGAAATACAGCGCCAAACTTGACGAGCTGCGTAAGCAGCGGGGCGTCGAGGGCTTGTTCCAACACGATCTTGTCGCCATCGAGGGTAACACCGCTGTCTTCAACCGTCTGGACACCAAAGACCAAGTCAAAAGACACTTCGATTTCTTGCATGTCGTTCCAAAGATGGGTCCCCACGCGTTTGTCAAGAACAGCCCTTTGGCGGACCAGGCTGGATGTGTGGACGTCAATCAAGCGTCTTTGCGCCACAACAAGTACTCTAACGTCTGGTCCGCAGGTGACGCTTCGAGTCTTCCCACCTCGAAGACTGCTGCAGCCATCACTTCCCAAGCACCTATTCTCGTTCAAAACTTATTATCAGTTATGGATGGCAAAGAGCCAGTGGCAACATATGACGGTTACACCTCGTGCCCGTTGCTGACTCAGTACGGAAAAGTACTCCTCGCCGAATTCAAGTATGGTGGAGAACCGAAAGAAACTTTCGGACGCCTATTCGGCATTGATCAGGCAGAGCCTCGCCGTGCGTTCTATTACATGAAGAAGGACTTTTTCCCTTGGGTATATTACAAGTCAATGGTGAAGGGAACGTGGGCTGGACCCAAAGGCTTTATTAACTAGACTAGACCCTTTTTTTTCTTTTTCAGAATATGTACATATATTTGAAGATCATGCAGGTGTAATTAATTGACATGAATCAAAAAATACCCATCATTCAGCATTCACTCGCTTGCTTTCTACATTGAGGATCAAGTGCTGGCGTAAGTTGATTGACTCGGTAAGTGTCAGCGACTTCTATTAAGCATGAATAGCGCGAGCGTGTGAATGATGATGACCGCCATGCTTGTGCTCATGACCTAAGTGATGACTCGCTTTTCGCTTCTGTCGAGCGATGCTGTCATCCTGAGGAACTCGCATCTCATCGTCCTCATCCACGTTAATCACATCTACGTCGGGCCAGTCCTCCCAACCGTCTTCCCATAAATCATTCAATGCCTCCTCCTTTTGCACCGGTGTCAGTTTCGGGTTTTTCATGATCCTCTCCCACTGCCACATTTCCTTGTCATTCAAGAGGCACTGATCCAAGGCATCCGATATCCGGCCAGCATCGATTCCCTCCCCAATAAAAACAATTTCCTGTCTGCGATCTCCCCACTGACCTGAGAAATCTCGCTCGATCGACGCAATAATGTCTTTATCACTGGGCCACATCTCACGGGGAAGCTCCGAAAACCAGACTCCGCCACAACTCATGGTCAAGATACCGCCTGCCTGACTCCATTCACCAAATTGTAGACTTCGAGTTGCAAGCCAAAAGAATCCCTTGGATCGGAGTACAGGGCCAAAAGCTGCGTGCAATCTTTTGTTTTCTAGAATTACTGATGGTTCGAGTTGCTCAAAATCAGCGATCTTATTGGTCTCCTCTTCTTCTTCAGCTTCGCTCATTTCCTGGTCGTCATCTTCTTCTCCGTCGACGGTGTCGGCCTCCTCGGTTTCGCGTCCCTGAAGAATGATGAACTTGTCCTGAAGGAGCGCAAAGAGCCGACGGGAATGAAATGGCCGCCTTGCCGAATAAACGAAATTGTTGATGTCGTATCTGAGCCAAGTCATCAGTAACTTCAGTTCTTCTCAGAAAAGTCCTCGGTGAAGAATAAATGCTTACTCAAGAGTTTCCGGCTTTGGTGCCAGTCTCTTCTTGCCATCCGCAGTATTCATCGTCGTCATCTCGTGCAGACTTCTCAGCCATCCTGCACCGGACGCGGCCTTGACAAAGTCAAATTTACCGGTCTGCACAATATCTGCAACATTCACTCTCGAGTAATTCGTCTCGATGACTTTGGCGTCAGGATTGAGCAACTTGACAAGTTCCCGAATTCTTCGACGCACTTGTTCATCAACACTACCAATCTTGTTCACTATAAGTACGTCCGCAAACTCAATCTGATCAACCATCAAGTCCGAGATGGTTCTCTCGTCTTCTGGCGCAACCTCGTCAGAACCGTATCGGTCGGATAAGAATTCGGCGGTATGGAAGTTAGAGAAAAGATTGAAAGCGTCAATAACTGTAACTGTTGTATCGAGTTTGGCGAGTTTCTGAAGTCCTCCTAGTTCAGCACTTGAACACGAATCTTGGTCAGCAGACGCAAGTTGATTGGGACGGACCAGATATCTGGATTGAACATACACTTCCTCGAGAATTTTCCTTTCTTCCTGACTGGTACTATCCATCTGCTCGGGATCAAGCTCCATCATAGCAGCGCTAAATTCCGACGTAAATGTCTCCGCTACTTGCATCGGCTCACTAATTCCTGTGCTCTCAATGATGACATAATCCACCATGCCTGGTGAGCGAGCCAAATGTGCAAGTTCAGCGAGTAAATCACCTCGAAGAGTGCAGCATATGCAGCCATTTTGTAGCTGGATCAGCTTCTCCTGAGTCTGGGAGACTTTGTGGTGTGAGATAAGTGCAGCGTCGATATTAAGGCTATCGCGGTCAGAAATTGTCTTGGAGTTCACACGTTCGGTGAAAATTAGTAAATGAAGGGGTATAATGCTCGACTACTCACGAAGCCATATCATTCACTATCACGGCAATTTTGAGGCCGTGATCGGTGGATTTGAGTATATACTCAAGGAGGGTAGTCTTACCACTTCCCTAGAGTCACATTATTTTAGAGATCTCGTGAGAAACAAGAAAATTCTGGGTACGTACTAGGAACCCTGACAGGAGGGTGACTGGAAGAGTTTTGATGTCGTTGTTCTTCTCCATTTCTGCTAACATTGGAAGGTTTCTGGACTACTCGTGCGTTGTAAAGAGATATTATTCCATACAGTTATTGAGATAGCAAGATGTAGGAGAAGAAGAATTTAAATCGCACAAAACATCATTCTTTGGATAGAAAACTCCTAAGCGAGCTCGCAAGGTCCTAAATTTCATATAGAGCCGAACATCGATGTTAGTAAATTGCCTTAATGGCACGATGATGCTCAGACTCTTATAAAGAACGAGCATTTCTGACAAACTTCGATGATCCTATTGGTTCTGTCATGATTAGTTTGAAGACTACGCTGGAATGCTTGCTTGCAAGGTACTTGTATGAAATTTCCCTTTCGGGAAGGTTGAGAGAAGAGTTAGGGCTTTGCGATGGCCTGTCCGGTCACCAAGGTACATGTTAGATTATTAAGAACAGTGAAATTCCGCCACCAGATATTAAAGTTCGAGAACTTCAGCATAATATGCTAAAAATGCTAGTTAACCACATCAACGACACCGAGCCTACGACCGGTGGATATGAACAGTGCATCAACATCATGAATCCCGAAGATTGATTGGTATCACCGTATCACACAAAAACCTCGGCAGTTATTACTGGTACTGTGCGCACTTTATATTTAAGATTTCTCGATTTCCATACAGCTTGGCAATTATCCAATCAGAACGTCCGATAATTCGAGTTACAAAGTGGCCAATCGTAAAACTCTCCGATATCAGCAAAACATCGCAGACCTCCGACCGACCGGCGTCTTCCGCCGAGAAATGATACACTTTTATCGTGTATAAAATCCATGGATGATTCCACCATCTGCTTCTTTTTCGTGTCTCGCGGATCAATTTACGAGGAATCTCGAAACATTCAAGCTCGAAGTTCCAAACGACTATAATATTCGCCGTATCATAAACATGGCTGTTACTGCAACTGTCAAACCTTTGCCGACGCCCAAAGGATCCTCCGTTGACTTCGGATCCATCATCACTGGAGTTGATCTCGAGAACCTCTCGGGTAAGTAAGATAAAACACTCAGTCTAGAATGAAAGGAGTACACTATAAAAGCGCGCTGTGAATGTTATGGGAGCACTCCGGGGATCGGTAACCTCCTAGGGTAAGTGGCAAGACTACCTTTGCGTTGCCAAATGCGATAAATCCACAGGAGTGAACGAAACTAACCTCCGTTCTCTGCACAGATGAGGATTTTCAGTTGATTCATGATACGCTATACAAAACTAGCGTTGTTGTCATCAAGTCCAAACCCGATGTTTCCGCTAAAGCACAATACGAGCTCACTCGTCGCTTTGATCCTTCGTCAACTGCATACGGTCATGGTAAGACACTGGATGCCAAGCGTAGCATCCTACATCCCGACCTCAAGACAGTTCCACATCAACCGCAAGTGCAGGTGATTGGAAATGGGTTCGTCAAGGAGTACGAAAGCCTAAAAGATATCACTTTGCGCCACCCTCATCATCGTACGTTCCATCGTGAAGTCATTCCCGACGAAGACGATCTTGATTATACGCGATTTTATCGCTGGCACATTGATGCGGCTCTCTATGATCTGGACCCGCCGTTCGTGACAACTTTGCTGGCTGTGTCTTTGCCATCTAAACGCCGACAAACTCTTCGGTACGACGATGGTACTGGAGATATTCTTGACGTCTCTTTGGGCACAACGGCATTCGTTAGTGGTTACCAGATGTATGAACGTCTGTCCGAAGAGGACAAGGAGTTTGTTCGCACTAGCAAGATTGAGTATGCGCCTCATCCGTATATCTGGATGAGCGGCACACGCTCTCTCCCAACCGGGTTGGGTCTCTACTCCGAAGGTCGAGAACTTGATGACTCAGAGTTGCCTCCATTTGACCCTAGCAAGATCAAGATCTTCCCGATGCTGTGGAAGAACCCGGTGACGGGAAAACTGGCTCTTCAAATCCATCCGTCCGCGGTCAAGAAAATTCATTTAAAAGATGGCATTGTCATCGATAATCTTGAGAAAGTCCGTGACATTGTTTATCGTTTGCAGAGGCCCGGTATCAGTCCAGAGTACGTTTATGCACATGACTGGGAAGAAGGTGATATGGTATTGTTCAACAACCGAGGAGTACTACACTCTGTCGTTGGTGCTTTTGCTCCGGACGAGGTACGATTATTTCGGCAGTGCAATTTGTCTGCCAGTCAGCCTCCCGTAGGTCCTTGACTGGTATTCAGATTTAAATTCTACATTATGAGATCACGAAGTATAGAGTACTAGAAAGAATGAATTTTCTAATAGCACCGTTTATTCGCGCGTGACAAACATTCGCTCAAGTTCCGTAAAAGTCTTCTAGTATATTCAAATAGCTTATTTCCTAGGTTGGAAAGATTTATATTCTGTTCCGGTAAATCCCTACTCGGGGTCTCGATATACAACCAATACAACCAATACAAACAAAGAACTTCGAACTATACTTCGGAATGACCTACTGGCTGCGGTCAGCCAATGCCACAACCTTTAAACAAAGAAAACATGTGCTAGCAACTGCTTGGTGTTGCTCCAACGGCGCGATAAGGCTGTGCTGCAAGGCATAAATGCTTTCAGGCTTGGCTAGTCCATCATGCCGCACATTTTCAATTCAAAGTTTAATTTATTGACCATTGATATCATGCACACATCTCTTAAGTCATTGGGGACATTGAAGTTATTAGATCGTAGTCCCACCTCTAGAACGAAGGGTCGATATGTCGATTATAAAAATCGCGCCATCTACCAGGCAACAAGGTATACCTACATCCAAGCTCTTCACTGTTGGTTTTCCCTAGCCTTGGGAAATTTGATTGGAGTCTATTAATGCAAATTACAAATCATTCAGCTGAGCTTCGTGATACCTATGAGTAACTCCGAAATGGCCAAATGAGTTCATGACTAGCTTCCCGTCGATTTTTGACCACTACGCGGCGAATCTTGCTCTTGTCAATCCGTCTACACTCGAGGCGCTGTCTAAGGAAAATACGGCGCTTAAGGATAGAGTTCGAGAAGTCAGTTATGAGTATGGATATGATGAAGAACCTGGAAGCCAATGAAAATATATAAGATCGATTTCAACATGCACTCTCGTACCTAGGTACCCCGTTTGCAGATATCGTCAGCTTTCTATATCGTGGTACCTTCTTGCAAACTTCAGAATCGGGGAGGTACTTGCTATATCTTTGGGGGTGCGCTAAGCTTTCGTGGAAAGTTAAAGCAAAGGTTGGAAGCTCATAAACTTCCTTTACACGACAAAAGCCGACAGCTGACGTCCCTAAGATGTGTCGTTGGAGTGAAATCCTTTACGCTTGTGGGCATATCAAGAGCATAGACCTTATAAGCAGATGTCACCCTCGTGCAACCTGTGCAATAGATACGCCAAACCCTCGGCAAATTGTCATCACCCAATTGTTGGATTACTACTGCGATGAGTGCACATATCCGTCACCGCCAAGTAGCGAGGATGGTAAGCGCTCTCTTTTTACTTTCTACGTGTCTTGAAGAAAAGTACTGATGTCGATAGGGCTTTCTTAATTCTACAAGACTGGAAAGAGCGAACTGGTATAATTATACGACTCGGATATTACCATGAAGTCAATACACATCTTGGGTGGATTATGTCTTGTTTCAATTCTGGGAGGGATAGATCTAGCGTTAATTTTTCCACTGCATGGGTTCAGTCATTGTTTTGATGTTCAATGTTTGTATTCGAAGATGGGCTGCTAGGTAGTATACCAAGTAACATTCCATGACGAGATACTCACTTATCCGCAATAGGCTCCCACAGCTCCCATTCTTCATTTAGATGTACACGATGATCAAAGTTCCCGTCGTCCAACTCATGGTGCGCAGGTAAAGCTCAAAGGCCAGAAGTGAGATCAAAGTCATTATCCCACAGTAGACCTTCCGCAACTACCATGTTAAAAATGTCATTGTTTATGTTTTCGGGCTGGGTTTGCATTGGTATCGAGTTGACTGGTTCTGTTACAGAGCCTTGCCTCTCAATCGTGTGCCGGATAGAAAGGGCTTTATCTCTGAGCTTGCGAAGAACATTTTATTTCTGATTTAGCCCTGGAAAGCTTGGAAGTTCTTCTAATTCGAAAGATCTCTCAACTATACTCCATACCTTGTCAGTGTTTTGCGACTCTGGCCAAACACACAGATGCCAGAGAACATGAGTAAGGGCACTGTATTGGGCAAATGAGCTGGCAAGCCATTGGAAATTTCGTAAAAGATCATCTGTCTTCAACATGATGTTTTTTTCCAAAACTTCAATAGCATACATTAGAGATTCGTCGCACGCGAGCTCAGAAGACTTCTCCACTGACTTGCCTCTAAGATATTGCTGGCGGGCCATGACTTCCATTTTAGCGAGTTGCATTCTTCCTAACAGAAGAGCATACCTTTGTATAGGTATGTTAATGTCAAGGTACTGGAAATATTGTTCTTCCATTCTTGCTTTGAAGTCTTGCAAAATTTGCTTCAAGTGAGCCACTTTCTCGTCGCCATTTTGCCCTCGGCTCATGATGTGATGGATCTCTTGCGTAGTCACATTTGACTCGGCCAATATCAGAGAAAGAGACATTTCGGTCGCTCCCTTTTTTGGTTGTGGGGGGTCTTTCATGCAAGCAATCAAATCTGCGTCATCTATGTTAAGAGGAAGCTTAGTGTCGCAGAGTGTCCCCAAACCACCGATGATAATCCCGTGATCCTCTGCAACACGACCATCGAGGCCTGAAACGTGCCACCATAGCCGACGACGAATCTCACAATCTAAAGGGGGAAGATTGAAATGTTCACCATCCCGGTGAAGCCCGATAGACTGTGATGCTCGAACCAAAAGGCCGTTCAATGCCCAACCGGAACGACCGCTGTTATGGTTCCGGCGACACGTCTACAAATGTCAGAGACATCGAGCCCTTAAAATAGAGCAGGATTGCGTGGAAAAAACTGACCAAATACATTGACATGGCCTGTACAGAAGCTATGGTTGGCGAATCCAAAAAGCCTGCGTTATGGAGGCTTAACTCAAGGCCGTATTGAAAATTATTGAGCGCTGCTTGGTGACACTGGCCTAGAATAAGAGCGGCTTCTGAACTGTCTATGCTTGTCACTGCTGCAAAGTATATTGAGAAGAGCAGAGCACTAAAATCTGCGGATACTTGGGCAGGGCTGTTTATTGCAGCAAAGAAGGCAGGCTGTATAGTTGGAATGTGAAGTAACTTCAAGACGGGGTTGACATTGTTCAACCACACGTGCCACAAGCGTGTAGCCTGCCATCGTGATGGGTAGAGAGTGGATAGGTCTGTTGTGACAATGCAGGGGATTGAAATGAGGCCCCTGAATCCAAGGGTAGGTGCACGCGGTTCTAAGGTGCCCACACTACCCGGAGTGTCAATTGCCGATTGAAGTTCAGTTTCCTAGCCCTTGCCTTTTAGATGATCTTGAAATAAGCAGTCTTCAAAGAGAGTGACATACCTTTTCTAATACTTGCGATAATAGGCCCTCATTTATATATCGAGTGGATGCACCATCCTTTAGAAGAAATCCCCGATTCGAATCCAGTGATTGTCCTTCCGACACATTCTGAGTCTTTTGGTTTCCGGTTGGAATGGCTGGGGAAAGTTCCTGAGACGATCTTGTAACGTCAAGGTGGTCATCATGCTCGTCGATTCGAGGTACGAGTTGTGACTGTTGCTCTCTTTTAGAACGGCGTCTACCCTTCTCTGGGCCAGGATATTGACATTGCGCATTGGCCTTGGTGCAAGTAGAGCATGGGGTCTTTCTATCGCAGCGAATTTTACGCTCGTGACATCGGATGCATGATCGCTCCACATTGTAGCGCCTGAGCACTGGTTTCCGGGAATTGAATGAGTCAATATCTCTAGGAACAGCCGCCATGCCTGCGTGTATTCAAGTTTGATATGCTATTCCGTACAAGAAGCTGATCTGTAGAGGTTGCAGTCAAATATCGTCTGTTTCGGCAATCCGGTGGCTCGGTTGTTCGGCCATTCGGTGTTTAGAAGAGAAGGATTTGTCAGATTGAAGTCTCAGGTAAAGTGCATTACCTAATAATTGGGCTAACCCAGCACCAGCCAAGACGGCAATTCAATCATAACATCCACATACATAGTACTTTTTGCTCGGCCTCATACCTACATCTTTTGCGGACGACGCAGCTAACCTGGCGATCTCTTCATCTCTTGTCACTAACTGCGAAGTCTTATCAGACTCACTTCAAGAGGCTCTGAACTGGGGCGCTGCGGAGGGTATTATATTTGCACCAGATAAATACGAACTTCTTCACTTCTCCCGACATAAAGCAGACCAGGATCCAACCTGCACACCTATGGTAAAAGCTGGATCAATTACAGTCTCAAAAAACACTAAGCGGCCATATCTTCGTTGGCTAGGAATTCTCTATGATAAAAAGCTAACCTTCAAATAGCATGTTAGCGAAACAGCATCCAAAGCCCTTACTGTGGCTAACGCCCTTCGCTCCCTAGGGAACACTATTCGAGGAGTTAAACCTCATTTACTATAGCAGGCTGTATCAGCCTGTGTACTTCATAAGGTATACTATGGCGCTGAAACCTGGTGGCCAGGCCGTACTCGCCCTGGGCCTTTCCAGATTTCAAATCGAGTTGGAGAACATCTCAAGAAACTAATCACAGTATACTCCAAAGACGCGCAGAACAGGTTGCCAGTAATGGCCGACAAATCAGCCGATTTGCACGCCGTGTGTTTGCCCTCCCCAACTCCGAACAGATAAACTCTCTCCAATACGCTCCCTGGCACCCTCGTGAGTCGCGTGAGAATGCCCAAGCTCGAATAGGAGCTCCTATGGAACGCACTAAGGAACAGGCGGCGGCTAATTTCTTGGATTTCCAACGCACCATCCCTGGCTCTAATATCAGTCTTTTCAGATGGATCTAGGCTAATAAATGGACATGCTGGCGGTGGCTATGTCGGATTTCAAGCACACCATCAGTTTCTCCGCTCCTTGCTCTCATATGGACATGGGAAAGAAGTCTTTGATACAGAAGTAGAAGCTACTCTATCTGGTGCTCAAGCAGCAATAGCATACCCAACAGCTCGATTTGCTACCAACCTATGGATCTGCCTTGACAACCTAGAAGTTACCATACACCTTCTATCTCCCTCTACAGGATCTTCCCAAGAAGTCTTTGAATTCTTTCGCACCCTTGCAGCCGCCTGGCCACTCCGTGAAAGGCTTCCTCACACCAAAAGTGGATCTATCCAAATCCGATGGGTCCCTGGACACGCGGAAATCCCTAAGAATGAAGCGGCTGATCTCGCTGCCAAAGAAGGAGCCGCCTCTATCTCTCCCTCTCCACACAAGTCCTCATATGCCTCGCTAAAGAGATACGCCAAGACTCAATCTCTCTCCACTGCTCAAACACGGTGGCAGTCTGTGGCACCACAGACATATCAAGACCTAGAAATAACTACATCTCCTAAGTGCCCTGAAGAGCTTCAACTTAACTGACTTAACCTTGGCCGTATTATTGCAGCCCGTACTGGTCATGGAGACTTTGCGGACTACCACGAACGCTTTAACCATGATGATGCTTATCTTCTCTGTCGGTGCGGAGCACAAAAAGCACCTCTGCATTTCTTCTTCTGCCATGTAGCTAAGAGATGAGCCCCTCGACCCCCTGGACCCCCTTCTGAGGTCATCTTTCTCCTCTTGGGCACTGCGAAAGGAGCACAAAGGCTAGCCACATGGCTAGCAAAGACACGCTTCTATAAGGACATCTGCCCTCGCCAACCTCTCCTTAGTACCTAGCTAAGGCAGATACACTCTCCCTATATATCTTTCTTTTCTTTCCTCTATTCCTATATATTCCCCTCTCCTTCCTTTCTTCCTTAATCCTTTCTATTCCCTTTCTCTCTTTGCAAACCTACTGTTTTAACTTAGTGATGGTGAAAAATGGGTCATGGAGTGTAGGTGGACTATTACAGCTAGCAAATTCTAGATGTACACATGATGTATATATAATACTCCATATGCTCAATTATTACCCAGCGTCAAGATGATATACGGATTCATCCGGCTTTCCCCTTGTTGCTGGTTAAAACGAAATCGAAGAAGCAAAACCATTCTTGCTGGGTTTATTACACCACAGATCCTGTGTAATATCTTATGAGGAGACTAATGGTGCTCCTTGTTTCTTCGGTAAAATGGTCCCAAGGGGCAATCGGTGCTCTTGTACAATGCAAACACGCCAGTGACTTATTATGCAACCTTGGAACACTGCATTTCCCCAAGATAGCATAAACTCAAATCTATTATCTCAGCGATAAATCGCACCGAGACTCTGTCTGTTCGATGACTACATATCTAAAAACTCATAATTACCGGTTTTTGCGGCATGCCTGCATGAGCAACAGCCTCGTTCGATATACCTGCTCTTCTCGTTGGCTACGTCACGGCCAATGACTGAATTTATCAACCGCACCTCGACTCAACCTCCATGCTCTCTGTATCAGAGTCATCAAAAGCCACGAATCGTTTTGCTGTATAAGCGGCGGATGAAAGAGCCATTAATGCTGATAAGTCCTTAGAACTTTTGGCTGGAGGGTAGACATGTCGACGCATCTGTCCCAGAAGGGAAACAAAGAAACCATATCACCAGCTGATACCGTTGATATCCGCAGTTATGAGGTTTATGCCATATTAAGATGGCTTGGAGAAGTGTCATGATATACATACCCAATGGGGCTCTCGCGGCATTTTTGTCAACCGGGGGATGCGGCTCAAAATTCTTACGGAACTACAGGAATCGCCAGACCGTTAATGGGGCGTGGTATTCTGTATGATGGTCTATCTCCGGCTCTCAAAATTTTGTTCGTGTAGAAACTCGTTGAGAAACGTTGAAGAGAACGTGTTTGAATTCGGCTTGGGGGGATCTACCTGATGTAGCCTTGTCTTCCCTAAATTGCGGTCCATTTTTTTCCCTTTTTTTTTTTTTTTTTTCTTTCTTTTTTCCTTTTCTCCTCGCTTTTTACTCCTTTTGTCCACTTTGATACACAGTCAACCATAGGAAGGCGTGGGAAGCCTTCAGTCCCTTCTACGACCCCCGCATACTGTGACCTGCATATCCTCTCTATCTCGCTTCACCATTTGTATGAAGAAAGTAAAAGGGAGTCATTCAACACAATGAATCGTGGACAGCGAGGCCAGCGATCAACACAAAAATGTCGGGATGTCGGAGGCCACACAAGGCCGTCCTTCTCATCCTCGTCCTCCTCCTCCTCCTCGTCGTCTCCATCGCAATCATCGCAGTCGCTGGGATCTCGCACAACAAGAGCAAGTACACCCACTGAGCAGCTGGTAACCCCAACGCCAAAATCCCAACCTGAACAACACCCAAGCCATACTGCAGGGCATTTGATCGTTTATGCACGGAATGATAAAGAGACTGTACGAGTACTTGTAGAGACTTTGGACGGTCTGAAACTCGCAGAATATGTGGTGGACCCGTCAATACCAACATGTGTGACTATAACTTCGCAGGATGGATCATCGAAGGCCTCACAAGTCTCAGCAGAGACTCGGACAGATCAGCAACTCAATGTAGTCCAGCAGTCGAGCGAATCGGTGGTGAAAGGGAAGGAAAGCGGCAACGAATCACTTATCGAGAAAATGAATGCCCTCGAGAAAGAATTGGGTGACACGAAGAATACGCTGCAGCGTACGGAAAAAGAGTGCGCTGAAGTTTGCGACAAAAACAAGGATCTTCGAATAGGAATACAAAATCCTACTGTCACACTGGCAGATTTTTTGCGAGGACGCACCTTTCTAGAGGATGAACTTAAGAAATGGGAGGACAAGTACATGCCTGATGCCAACATTGAAATGGAAGGGGAACTTGTAGATGGTCTAGAAGCATTCTTCTCGATGATAAAAGCGGATTACTCAATCTACCAACAGCAAATCACGAGTCTCGAAAACGAAAACCGAACATTGACAGAACAGGCTCAAGAACAAGCTAGACTAAGGCAAGAGAACGACGACCTAAGAACGCAGCTACGAGACGAAGCCGCTGCAGCACGAGAACAGGCCCAAGGACTAGCTAGACTAAGGCAAGAGGTCGACCAAGAACAAGCTAGACTAAGGCAAGAGAACGACGACCTAAGAACGCAGCTACGAGACGAAGCCGCTGCTGCACGAGAACAGGCCCAAGGACTAGCTAGACTAAGGCAAGAGGTCGACCAAGAACAAGCTAGACTAAGGCAAGAGAACGACGACCTAAGAACGCAGCTACGAGACGAAGCCGCTGCTGCACGAGAACAGGCCCAAGGACTAGCTAGACTAAGGCAAGAGGTCGACCAAGAACAAGCTAGACTAAGGCAAGAGAACGACGACCTAAGAACGCAGCTACGAGACGAAACTGCTGCAGCACGAGAACAGGCCCAAGAACTAGCTAGACTAAGGCAAGAGAACGACGACCTAAGAACGCAGCTGCGAGGCGAAGCTGCTGCGCGAGAACAAGGTAATCACGCATTCAGATTAGAACGAAGAGGATGTCAGCGACACATAGAGTATGTGAAACTTTTCTCTAACTTGGATCAAGCATCGGAGAACGCAATCAACTAACCGTTCTTGGGTCAGGTCGAAAGCAACGGGTGGTCAGTGGCAGCAGATGGATAGTGAACAGATCGATGATCCTCTAGTCCGTTCATTCTTTTCGATATGATTATATGACTGGTGATTATCACGAGGCCTCCTACAGAATGTTACCATAGGCCATAAAAGTTACAATTTGATTCTTTGGATACATGACCTAATACTTGAAATATCTACAGAGTACGGAGAATACAGGGTTAGGGCTTGGGCTAATAATTCTGCCATTTTCTCGGCATCCAAAGTAGCCCCGAACCTTACACATGACCATCGTTGTTGTAGCTAGTTTAGATAGCCAATAACAACAACCAGCACAAGGCCTACATTTTCAATTGTCTATTACAAAGTTAGAGGCTTAATTTTCTCACCCTCCTCCACTTCCCAACTCTTAGCAGTGTGGCCCTTGACGCGTCTCGACGCGTCTGGCAACACCATGACGCGGAAAGGCTCTGGTCCAGATGGCCCTCTACAGACAGCCTTACTTCAATCTACATCTGCAGCCACTACTAAGCGACGACCTTGCCTCGGTAGCCTAACTTTACTTCAACGCCTACATTAGCGGCATCCCTCTGACCTTTATTTCCCCTGCCCTTTCCCTTCCCCTTCCCCTAATCATCTACCCCTTTCCCCCCTCCTTCTCGTCCCCCTTCAGGCCTTGATCGGTCATCTTATGCGACTGTCACCCAATCTGTCCCAGCCAAAGAAGCTCTCACAACTCGATCAATGACTCCCATGAAGAAGCCCATTCTTCCTGTAAAACAACCCCTTCCTGACAACCGGCTCTTTGTGCGCCTCCCAGCTGACCATGCAGCCAGAAAAATGGAGGCCTATGCCATTTACTCCAGCCTACCGGCATAACTGAATTCAAGCAGTACTGCGCTGAAAGAATTTCAAGCCACCAAGACTGGTTTTGCTCTCTGTCCTTCATCTCCAGAAGCCCTCCCGGCCCTAGAAGCTCAAAAAGATATTATCTCCGCCTTCTTTGTCAACTGTCAGATAGAACGCAGCTCCCGCTGGGTCTCATACCAAGTTACAAATGTACCAAGGAAAATTGGCCAAATTTTAGATGACCGATATTCTCTAATCCCTGTTAGTCCTACAATACTATCTTCAGAGATTAGCGAAATCACGGGTCTCAAGCCTATCTCTATCAGCGAGACTACTGCGAGTGCTACCAATCCTAACACTATTTCTTCTAGCTGATTGATCAAATTCTCAGAAGGCACAAAACCAACACTCTCTACCCAGCTTCGCTTCTTTAGCACCATCACCAACGCTCGTTTTCTCTCAAAGAAAATAATAGTCGTCCAGTGTACACGCTGCTGGAAATAGCATAATGCACGTTCCTGTGCTCGCCCATCTCGTTGCCGGCTCTGCAGCTCCTCAGAGCACACTGAAGAAGGCCACTCCAATCGCTGTGCAGCCTTGAGCCCTCACCAATGCCCTCCCAGATATATACACTATCGTAGCTCACACCCAGCGGATGACCCAGAATGCCTTCTTCGCCCTAAAGGCAACACTAAACACACCAAAACTCGACGAGCAGAGATCCGCAAAACCTGTGCCATGATTCTAGCAAAAGCCCGTATTGAAAGGGGATGCAGCTCCCAGCTCTCCACAGGAACACAAGAACCGCCTATGGTCTTAGACGAGATGCCACCTCAGCCTCAAACTCATAATATCATCCTCCTTTCCGTCCAACAACCCCTCCACCACGCGCTCCTACTAAAGATCCTCCAGTCGCAGCTCGCACAGTCCGCTTCACAACCCCTCAGCCACAAAATCGGTTCACTTCTCTTCTCGAACAGCAGATATGGTCTATCACTACCCGATTCAAATAGCGCCTCTAAAGGTCCTACAGATAAATGTAGGTCGCGCGCCAGCCGCACATAAAATAGCTCTGAAAGCATTACATTCGCGCCAGATAAATATGAGCTTCTTCATTTTTCCCGGCATAGAGCAGACCAGGATCCGAACTGCACTCCTTCAGTGACAGCCGGAGCTGTTACAATCTCAGAAAATACGGAACGCCCGTATCTATGTTAGCTAGGAATTCTTTTCGATAAAAAATTGACCTTTAAGTGGCATGTCGGTGAAACGGCGTCCAAAGCCCTCACTGTGGCTAATGCTCTTCGTTCCCTAGGAAACACTGTTCGAGGAGTCAAACCAAACCTACTATGGTAGTCCATCACAGCCTGCGTCCTTCATAAAGCGTACTACGGTGCTAGAACCTGGTGGCCAGGCCGTATTCGCCCCGGGCCTCCCCAGATCTCAAATCGGGTTAAGGGACATTTTAGAAAACTAACCACAGTAGTACTAGCAGGCGCAAGAGCGGTCCTCCCAGCTTTTCATACAACCCCAGTGTCTGTCCTACACCAAGAGTCTAGACTCGTTCCTCCAGAAACCAAACTAGAACAGATAGCTCTTCTAGTAGCCGTCCGCCTTCGGCACCTTGATCCATATCATCCGCTCCGAGGACGGGCAGAGCAGGTTGCCAGAAACGGTTGTCCAACCAGTTGACTTGCTCGCCGTGTGCTGGCCTTCCCCAACTCTGAGCAGATAGACCCTCTCCAATATGCCCCCTAGTACCCTCACGAGTCGCGAGAGGACGCCCAAGCTCGAATAGGGGCTCCTATGGGACGCACTAAGGAACAGGCGGCGGCCGATTTCTTGGATTTCCAACACACCATTCCTGGCTCCGATATCATAGTCTTTTCAGATGGATCTAGGCTCGAGAACGGACATGCTGGTGGTGGCTATGTCGGATTTCAAGCACATCACCAGTTCCTCCGGTCCTCTCTCTCTTTCGGACCTGGGAAAGAAGTCTTTGATGGGGAAGCAGAAGCTGCTCTAGCTGGTGCTCAGGCAGCTGTAGCACTCTCAACAGCTCGATTTGCCACTAATCTATGGATTTGCCTTGACAACCTGGAAGTTGCCACGCGACCCCTATCTCCCTCTACAGGATCTTCTCAAGGAGTCCTGACTCCTTCTGCACGCTTTCAGCTGCGTGGCCACTCCGCAAAAGGCGTCCTCATACCAAAAGCGGCTCTATCCGAGTTTGATGGGTCGCTGGACACGCGAAAATCTCTGAAAATGAGGCGGCTGACCTCGCTGCCAAAGAGGGCGCTTCCTCTACCTGTCCTTCTCCACACAGGTCCACATATGCCTCGCTAAAGAGATATGCCAAGGCTCGAGCCCTTTCTGCTGCTCAAACACTATGGCAGAGCGTGGCACCACAGACATACTAAGACCTAGGAATCACTACATCTCCTAAGCGCCCACTTGAGCTCCAACTCACTCGACTTGACCTCGGCCATATGATCGCGGCCCGTACTGGACATGGAGACTTCGCGGACTACCATGAACGATTCAATCATGATGATGCTCATCTTCTCTGCCGGTGTGGAGCACGGAAAGCACCTCTGCACTTCTTCTTCTGTCATATAGCTAAGAGACGAGCCCCTCGGCCTCCCGGGCCTCCTTCCGAGGTCATCCCTTTTCTTTTAGGCACTACGAAAGCGGCGCAGAAGCTAGCCATATGGCTAGCAGAGACCCTCTTCTTTGAGGACATCTGCCCTCGCCGATCTCTCCTTAGCACCTAGCTAAGACAGCCCTCTACTTTTCCTTTATATTGCTGCTTTCTTTCTTCTATTCTATTCTTTTCTTTCTTTTTCCTTTTCTCTCTGTAAAACTTACTGTTCAATTACTGCGGTGGTGGAATAACGGGTCATGGAGTGTAGGTGGACCATTGCAGCTGGCAAATGCCTAAAGCCCACTTAGAAGTGGACCTCCTGTAAGACCACGGCAGCTATGGAAATGCGCCAAAGAGTCTCTTCTGTATATAAATCTGATATAGATCTTGAAGCCTGAGGTTCACCCGTCGGCGGTTTTTGTCCCAATAGGGAATTGTGGGAAACGTGCGAGTCACGAACCACGGCCGTTAAATAGAGACACACACACACGGTATAGTAGACAAACCCCGACCGAAGATGGAATGTGTACGGAGTAAGTTTGTACTCAGCAGGTAGACTTTAGGGATCAACTAGAACTTGGTGTCAGGAGCCAGGTACAAGCGTTTAGTACTAAAATTGGAAGTACTGATCTTGATTATGAAGACCATATGAACATTAGGTACTGTAAAAACTGATGAATCTAAATTCGTAAATAATGACTGCCCAATCTAGGATCACGTGAATTAATTAAAACATCCATCAAAGCCGAGACAACCAGCATGGAATCCATCAACAGTCCCTATTGACGGTTGAAGCCTGTGACCGAACCTTGAGACCTCTTCTTCAAGGGAATCGAAGATCTGGACTTTAGTGAAAGTGAAGACTTCTCATCTTTGAGAAAATGTACCTTTTTTGGAGCGGGATGTCGAGCCTTCTGCGCTGGGGTTGGCGAGATGACCTCAGCATGTCCCACTACAGCTCCGTCTATGTCTAATATCTTGTTGTACTCGTTGATAACACAGCCAGCTACATATTCGAGATCCCCTTCAACAACTTCACCAGCTAATTCATTGAACTTATCAAATATCAATCCATCTGTGCCCATTTCCAGACCATGAAGCAAAGAATAAGAGCCACCCTCCATTTCTGACTTCTGGAATTCTCCTTCCTTTATTGCATTTTCTCCATCATTCTGGGCGGGCGAAGTTGCGATATTCCTCCAGTATGTATTAACATGGGTAACTTCATTGGATACTCTGGAAGATTGCCTGTCATTTTCTGTTAGTAATGTGATTCAAAAGTTGTAGCTATCTTATAGAGAATAATATCGGCTTTCATGTTTCTCTCCATAAGGAATCTTAATCTGTCCCGACTTTCCCATGTCCAGTGGTCATCATCCCAAAGAACTGCAATATATGTCTCTGGGTAATATGTACCGTCAACAGGCTAAATAATTGCAGTTAGATCGTCCTAATATTTGTCCTCCACTCTCCAGGCAACCAAGCCGTAACCCTGAATCTATGTCCTAGTCCATCCGCTCTCCCCATGAGCCCATGAGAGATCCTGAATGCATGGCACATCCTCATTAAATTCAGCTTTCTGCAGATTTTCAAACCAGGCAATACAACAACCCGCATGTTCATACACAACGATGATGGAACATGCATCGTCAGCGTCATAACACCACGCTTCAACAACTTCTTGCTGTATAGGTACGTCAAATTCCCTTTCAATCTCTTCTTCAACTTGTAACACAGGAATTAGGTGTTTTGATGCCTTAGGTCCTTGTGTAGCTTGTTCTTCACTTTTCTCTTTTGCTCGGGTAGGACTTTCATTGCTATGGTGCGGGTCTTCTTTTATTTCCAGAGTTATTTTCCCACTGCCAACTGCACTTGCAAATTCCAAGAAGTTGTCCTCACGGAGATTCTATTCTTCTGGATAGTGACGTCAGCGAATATCTTGTTTCATAGCTTCTTGATGGCTGCGGAATAGCATTGTATTTCCATTCAACTTGTTTGTGACGGCATAACACAACTCTAATTGTGTGGCAGCTGTGCGGAAGTAATTGATATTAATCTTCCCCTTCTCTTCAGGGACCCCTTTCCGCTTATTTTTCCTTCCAATTGATATATTTAGCTCCTCAAGTTTGTCTTCAATTAACGGTCGATTATCGCCTGGACCCCAAAACAAGTCGGCCAAGAGAGAGGTTGCAATCTTATATTCTTTAGTATATTAGGGTTAGGGTTAACACGCACTGATACTCTTCAATCTCAAATTTTGATATACACATAAACATCATAATATCTTGAATGGTTTCAGGCTTAAGAGAGCCTCAACGGTAGTGACAGACATCTCGAGTGGAGTTAAATACCGCTCTACACCTGCTCTAGTTGCAGGTATTGAGAGCACATCCTATGCAAGACTTGCAAGTACTGGAAATTCATATTGATGGTCTCTCCAGAATACACAAGGGGGGGATCAAATAGTGCCTATAATTAAGATTAACCTACATTACTTAAAAGGGGTATTGCACTCACTACTTTCAAGATATTGTGTGAACTCATCACAATGACTAGAAGATGAGTGGTGAGGTTCAGATGGCTCTTCTGGCTCGCAAAAAACCTCAAGTTCTGATATTGTGGTTGTAGATGATTAAAGTTTAGATATTGACTATGTATCTGAAAGACGTCGTTTGTAAACCTCAAGGTAATATTCAAGACTCTTGCGATATTGTCCACGCCAATCCGTTTCTAGATTATGCCACTCTTTACTACAGAAGAACTGAAGCTTCTGCAGTGAAGAAATAATTATATTAATTATATAGAGATCACTATCAATCTTATCTGTCATAGTATAGTATTGTGAAAGCTTCTTCTTTGCTATATGAAGAGCAGTCAGCATAACCTGCTTCCAAGGGACCTTCTTTCGTTTAAGCTGACTAATTGACTTTTCGAGATGACCAAAGAGCTTATTGTAGATGCTAAAAACTAGATGAATAGTAGCATCTTTAGTCTTTGAAAGAAAGGTTGTGAATTTGAAGAAGGGCTGAGTGATCCAAAGAAAATATTCAATCTGACGCCACTCTTCTTGATTCAATGTAAAATAAGCTTGGTTACACTGTGAATAGAACTCATCGAATACTGATTTGAGTTTTTTTAGCATGGTGGAGCATCAAAAAGGTTGAGTTCCAGCAAGTTCTGACATCCTATATAGGTACAAGCTTTAGCCCTTCAGCCTATAGATTATAGAATGCTTCCCAGCGTTAAGGGCTAGCATTGATGTAGACAGCAAGGTTCCAAACCTAGTAACTATATTAGTAAAGTAAAGATAACACAATGAATAATAATATACCTTATTAAGTGTATTAACAATCATCCTTCGCTAATCTATAACATAAATAGGTTGTATACGATCTTCTGACCATTGCATCTCCGCCATTTCATTCTTTGGGTTTGATTCCATTTGACCAAGGAGATCTTTGAGACTTAGCTGAATAACATGGGCAATACATGGAACTTGAATGATGTTCGAGTTATTATTGAGCTCAAGAGATTGGATTGATTCTTGAATGCTCAAGTTTGTTATTTAATGCATTATTGGTGGTGACAGTAAGCACTTGATTTGTGATTTAATTCTGGTGAAGAATTTTAAGAACCACGTCACCAACATTAACACCAGAGTGTGTCCCAGAAAGTGGTTTAAAGCCAAGAAGGATCTCTTGATCCTCCCACTCCCAATTAAGAAAGTAGCCTATCACAGCCATAAAGACCTGTCAAAATGGAGACATCTAACAATCTATTGCAAGAGAAAGCTTTGCATCTTGGGGGAGCTTCTAAAGAAGGCCTTGTCGCTACTCTTTAACAAAATCCCATAACTGAGATCAGATTGTCTTTGCAGAAGGGATTACTAGTTGTATTAGCGCAAGTCGTGCAAGGGAAATGACCTCATGAAACTTGGGGTGCTTGATAAACTGAAAGGGGAGACATAATATAGCAAGAAGTCGAAGAAGCTTCTGCTCCCATACTCCCTATATAAAGACTTTAGGTTCGGAAGGTACATTATGCGCCTAATAATATCCACTAATGTCAGCATATTTATCGGTATAGATCACAGTCAGACAGGACATACCGCCTTTGCTAGGAGCTGCTTTATATTTGACTTTTTCGAAGAAGACTTCCGACAAGTTGGCCCAGCCATATGCTTGTTAAGGGATGATGTTCCAGAGCGGCAATTAGCTGGATGCTTAAGAACCTTATGGCATTCAGCCACTTGATCGAATTGGCTCCAGCAACTGGCTGTGTGTTGGTAACTCCAATTAATCTTTTCCTTCTTCCCGTCAACCACCAGGCGACAAACTCATCCTTTGACATATCGGTGTCTAGAACGAATGTTTTTGCCCGCCCAGGACCGACACGCGTAAGTGTATTGGGAATAGAGAGTATAGGTAATGGAGTAAGAAAGCTAGAATCAGACCCCGAGTCGAGGATTCGTTGACTTCCTGAAGGGTCAGGAGTACGCGATTGTGTCTCGTTGGGAAAGGAGAAGGGAAGGGTATCAAGAGGACCCCTCCCCTTCATAAGCTGAAGAGGAATGAATATCAGAGAACTGGGCCATTTCAGATGTTATTAGAAAAAGGCTGCCAGAGTAGAAATGAAGAAAGTCTCACAGAAAATTTTGTAACTCTTAGCAAGCTGAATTGGTGATTAACCTAAGGATTTAGATCTACCACGTCGCGGTCACAAAGGTAACAAAATATGTAGATACGTCACATTATAGCCCACATACTCTCTCATATTCCTACTATAATTGGTTGAATATCGAGGTTCGTTGAGGGTCACCCGTGAATAGACAGACGCCAGATTCCGGAACAGAATTCATGGCACGTGACTGAGTTTTTCCGGGGGATTAAGGGACGTTATCGGCGGCGGAAGCACGTGACCCAGCGCTGGGAGGTCGCGGACGCGCCTGGCAGAGATTTTTACCCTTCATTTCATTCAGGCATTCAGGCACTGAGATAATTGTAACTATTTCTTTATATAAAGGGGGGAGCTTGGAGCAATTTTCGGGAGGGACGCTAGTGGGGCGGGGACGAACCTGGCGCCCTTTACCGCCTGCCCTCCTAACAAATCCTAGTAGGTAGGCTACCATCGTCAGTGGTCACTCGTCTCTCCGCCACCTTTTTTATCGCGAAATCTTCTACTAATCAATCATCCAATGAGCTGTTCGATCTGCCTTGTTTGACTATAGGGGCCTCAATTTTGACCATCAATCCTGCTGTGTTCCCCACTAGTCAACTTACCTAGTAATAGTAAGGAATCAGCGACCTTTCATCATTTGAGTCTCTTTGCTAAACCAAGACAGATAGGCACCAATGCTATCATTGGCTCAATTCAATGTAGTCACTTCGATAGCTTTCATTCTCCTCTTCTTCCCGTGATCCTATTTACAAGGCTGAAAGCTGTTCTGAAAAGTCCTGTTTTCCTTCATAATGCCCATCGATCGCTCCAGGGTTCGAAATGTTTTCATCTACGATGGTGCTACACGAGACTGTTTTGGTGGAATGCGACAGAATGGATCGATAACAGAAGCTGTGTTTCTTTGGATCCTGAACTATATCCTGATCCTTACAGACGATGAATGTCAAGTCAAAGCACGAGCTTCTCAACAGATTATCTTACCGACAAGCAACCCTCTTGAACCTGGTGATTATGATGTCTATTGTAATGGCAGGTGGTATGATCTTAAAAGTACTTCTATGGCTTGCTTTACTAACTGAAAAAGGCACCATCGAGCTCACTAATGAACCCTGGGTGCAACGAATTCTATCACATAGTGTCAGCGGACGAGAAGACAGCTTCCGTGACGGATTACGTACACGAGATGGAAGGTGTGTCCTGTCGGGTTTCCCAAACCTAAACGCGGATATTGGTGACTGGAGCCCCTTTGAGGGTGCCCACATTTTCCCGCTCGAGAAGGAAGCCATATGGATTACATATAATTTCGGAAGATGGATCACCGATATGGACTATACGAACGGCGTGATCTTCATACGATGTTCGACAACTACCTTATCTCAGTAAACCCAGACGTGAGTGACTGCAGAAGATATTATTATTCTCCACTAATCTTTTATTTAAAGGACGATTATAAGATTATAGTATTTAATCGTGATATCTTCGGTCTTGATGGGAGAGTCCTGGATCCTGTATGTCGTATCCCGGCGGACCCGCACCGCGTATCAGATGAGTTACTTAGGTGGCATTTCCGGCAATCAGTGCTTGCGAATATGAGAGGAGCTGGTGAGCCTATTTTTGAACATGATTTTCCACCAGGAACAGATATGATAAAGGAGATTCGTGAAGGCCCCAGTGCGCAGGAAAGGTTTGAAATGGAAATTGCTTCGAGGTTACGCGCATTCGAGGTTTAGAAGATGAGTGAGAGAAAGGCATTGCCAGATTGAAAAGTACTTTTGTACCACCTACTGGTCTGTATTTTTATTAGCATGGAGTGGACCGTTATCTAACGACCTTTATTCAGAGATAGAGTTAGGTTATCACAGCGTCTTTCATTTCTATGTAGGTCGTTGATTGTTGCTATTTAGGGTTAGGGTAAATACCCATTAACCCTTTTCAGGCGTGAAACCTTTTCATAGCTTCTAACTGGCTTGCTGACCGCAACATCACCCTTTTCTCTAATATTATTGGTTTGGGAAATGGATCATCCACGAAGTCCATGGGCAGCCCATTTGTTTTGGATAATGCTCCAGCAAATCATCCTGTGCTTTTATGAAAGCCAGAACGTGATTCAGGTTACAAGACAATGGACTCATTGAAGAGAAGAGAACACAGATTGTCGACGCACGAAAAGGCGGACATGATGCCTTAGATTAGCTCACAAAAATATGAAAATCTCATGGTTTCTTTGGTGAAGATGAAGTAGTATGAATACATATACACCTTTAAATCAAAATATATTTCCAGCACCATCTTCGTAGTAACACCACGATTGTCAAAAACTATATTAGAGCTGTATATTTTTGACTATGTATACACTTCCTTAAGTAGCTACACTTGAGATACAATGGCATTTCTGTGAATTTCAATAGGAGGAATGTGATGGTGCTCAGGCTAGATACATGGATCCGACGTGTACAGCTCCGAGACTATTGATATTGTAAGGAGCTGACAACGAGAAGAAATCTGATTCCGATAACTAACTGAGAAACTCGAAGCAAGGATAGAAAACAATAGAACTGCTGATTTCCAGGATAAATCGATGTGCAGGATGAACTCCTTATAAGCTTCATCCTGCCAGCATTGGTCTTCCTAATCAGTACAACAGTGACATCTAAACATAGCAAACAAAACAGCTTTGAATGTACAAAGATGTGCAAAGGAAACAATGAGATGCGTAAGGGAAATGAGTGCCAAAGAGTGCTAATCATAGAAACATGATATTCCCCAGAGAACTAAGAAAAGAACAGTGTGCTTAATCGGCCAGGATTTCACCAACTATAGGAGGTTGAATCTGCTGATCAATGAGAAGAAAGAGAATCTAACGTCAGGGTCAGAGCGAGAGCAAACACTGACAGATATGATACATCACAAAGGCAGATCACAAGGCCAGTGATAGCTCACAAAGCCGTCACAGGAATATGAAATGGCTTCATGTTTCAGTATTACAGCCGAATACCATATCAGCAATTCCAGGCTGGCGAGCAGTTCCTGGAAAGGCTGGAATGGATAGAAAGATAAAAAAAATAAAAAGACAAAAAACATACAACAGCTGGGATTCGCTGGTGGTCACCCACCCAACTACTAACCAGCCGGCGTGTGGCTTAAGTACGGCTGAGCGGACGGGAAGCCCTGTTTTCCACACCCTATGGTCGTATGTACTGGAGAAGGAGAAATTAGGGCTTATATAGTCTCTAATTATCTAGTGGACTGCAAGGTCCTTATTCTTGAAGTGTTTTGTGTACCAACCTGTCCATGATGGGTTGGACGCAGTGCTGTATATGTGTAAAGAATATGATCATAAGGTCACGTGATGACTAGTGATTCCGAGGCTAATTATAGTCTCAACCCCTGAGTTGTATGTAACAAGAGAGAGAAGAAGATAGGCAACAAACAGAGATTCAACGCATCGAATCATCTCCTTATCAATACTTACAAGCAACTGATTATTGATCACTATTACCGGACGATATCAATCCTCTGAGTCTATACGATCCATTCACCGAACTCTTTACAATATTACAATATCTAGATAGCTCCGGGTCTCTGTGTTATCTCTCTACTACTTCTCATAATCCTTGGCAAACAGATCTTCCTCTGAATTCTTTACACTCCGGTTTCTACCCAATGGAGTAAAAAACCATAATTCTCGCAGCAAAGATCCAGCCACAGTCAAAAGTTCTCGCTACCTATACATACGGCTATCTGTTTATAAATCGTCAATTATTCAACTTGTACGGATTGTTCTGACAGAGTGAGCTATTCGTTGACTTTCTCTTGAGGCTCAGCGAATATTAATTTGTCAAAAAATGTAGTAACCATACCGGACTAGGAAAGCCAGTCAATCTCCGAAATTGGTTAGTTCCAGCTCTTTGGTAGGGCTGTTTTAACACCTATGGTAGCTAAGTGCTGACAATTGCAATTCCGGCTGCTGTTACATAAGTTTAGAAATCTCATCGACACTCAATGATCTCTTTGGAAACGTCATGGCGTGGAGAGAATTGTAATCCGAACCTAGAAACTTTCCTGGGTTTGTATAGTCACTGGCATATTATAAATCCACCTGGCTAAATAACTGCATGTAGGATAGAATAATACAAAATCAATGGGTCTGGTGATACGAAGATATAAGATAGAGCTTCCCATCCTGAGCTGGAATAGAGTACAACAAAGATTAGACCTCCTTATTATTCCCTACCTCAGAGTTCGTCCAATACACCCCACGCGCAATGGATTCGATTCGTGACTCGCCTTTCGGACTGATAGTCCGCTTCATTACGAAGAACAAGTACTTCAAACATGAAGAAGAGCTCGACACATTCAAGCACCCATACTACCACGGACCAAAAGAAGCTATCGTTGAAGGAAATCACGATTTGGTCTCACCAGAGTCCTCTAGCATCATTGCCGCAGTGTCTGAAGACGATGTTGAACGTCAAAGCGGTTCCGAAATCGATGAGAATATCATCCATCGCCTGGTAACCCTGCAGAGTCAACATGATCTCGACGAGAAGTAAAGCAAGCCGATCGTACCCACAAAGACGAATGATAGGTATATTCTAGTCGATTGGTACACAACAGGTATGCTGTGCCCATATATTGGTAAACATCTTTCGCTGAGGTTACTCCTTCAGATGATCCTGAAAACCCACAGGATTGGAGTCTCACGAAGAAGATCTTTATTGCATTTGTGGTTTGGTAAGGTTCCGTCAATATAGATTGATGCCGTCCACTGACCAACTGACAAATTTCGAACTTTGCAGTTATTACTCCTTCGTCGTCTATTTCTGATCGTCCATATCTGTGGGCGCGGTACCCGAGATCATCACAAGATTTGGAGTTAGTGTCGAAGTGTCATCCCTCGCGCTGTGTCTATATGTTCTTGGTTGTAAGACATTCGATTTCTGATTCTATTCACTTGGACGTTTTTTAACGGATATAGATGGGTTTGGACCAATGTTGTTCTCGCCCCTTAGGGAAGTGGCTTCAATAGGAAGAAATGCTCCCTATATCATTACTTTATTCATATACACAATGCTTTGGATCGGTGCTCTAACGGTCAAATACTTAGCCGGCTTCCTCGTTTTTCGATTCTTGACTGGTGTCTTCGGTAAGATTGAGAGATTAAACTCTTTGGGGGTCAATATCTGACAGTATTTAGGATCTCCAGCTCTTGCTACTGGAGGAGCCACGTTTGGGGACATGGTATGTGACCCGAGCCGTCTGCAAATTAGCCCAAAGACTGACAGATACAGTTTCCGTTGATCAAAGTACCATACGCTTTGATAGTCTGGGGAGCATCCAGTGAGCCTGCCCCGTTAACTTCACCAAGAGAGAACTAAACTGACACTCCAAAGCCGTGGTGGGACCTGCCCTGGCCCCCGTAATCTCTAACTTCAGTGCATTAGCAATGAATTGGCATTGGGTATTATGGGAGATGCTTTGAGTCAGTGCCCCTGTGCTTATATTATCGTTTTTCTTTGTACCCGAGACATCAGCATCCACGATCCTCTACTTCCGCGCTCGCCGTTTGCGCAAATTACAGGGGATGATAAATATCGTACAAAGGAGGAGATCGATCGCATCACTAACAAAAAAACGAGCATTTTCTGGAACACCATTTCAAAACCAACAGAAATCAATGTCCTTGACCCGGCAGTGCTCTTCTCAACGATTTACACCAGCCTTATCTATGCTATCTTCTATCCTTTCTTCGAATCATTCCGGATTATTTTCCAAGCTGTCTATCACTTCAGGTTCAAGGTTACAGGTCTCCCATTCCTACTGTCCTTCCAACATTATGTTTTGCCACCACACTGCTAGCTTCATACTGGTACCTCTCTTCGAGCGACAGTTGGAAAGGAAAGGACTGGGCGCTTTTGGGGCCCCTGAGAGGCGTCTCGTTCCGGGTCTATTGGTTTGTACGCTCACTCCTATTGGATTATTCATCACTGGTACGTTTATATTAGTTTTATGAGTTTCTCCCCTTTTCATACAGCCGTTGAACAAAAACTAACTACATGAAAGCATGGTCCTCCCGCCCCAGCGTGCACTGGATGGTCCCCATCCTCGGTCTATTCCTCAACATTATCGGGACATTCACGGTGATTGTTTGCATGTTACAGTACCTCGCCTTCTCGTACCCCCGTTACGCGGCGTCTCTCTTTGCAGCTAATGATTTTGCCCGGTCAACCTTGGCGGCTGGAGCAATCATGTTCTCTAGGTTTATGTTCATAAATCTTGGCCTGGACTGGGGTATTAGTTTGCTTGCGTTTTTGGATATCATCTGTGTTGTGCTACTGTTTGGGCTGTGGAAGTACGGTGGGCTTCTGAGAGCTAAAAGTCGCTTTGCTGAATCTTGAGTAACTGTTTACAAACTTACCGTCGGGGAGGAAGAGCGATGACGTCGGACATATTTTCATATATGTGAACTGTAATTATAATGTATACTAGAAGAAATAGAGATCGCGTGATGTTTTTGATGGCCAAAACATCCAGTGGATTGGTAAGCAGAGGGAAACCGTCCAACTACCTCTAGGGCTGTTTCACCCGGGGGCTTACGGCGAGTAAACGTTTTCGACCTTCAGTGTTTTTATACCCTATCTATAGAAGAACAAAACTGCAAGCATGTCTTGCTTCTGGCTCCCTGTCAAACTCAAAGTCATGCTGGGTCGAAGGAGGAAAAAAACCAGAGCAGGCTCAATACGACGAATGGCATAAAGATGGCCCTGCCATGGTTCCGAACCGTGTGTCTCTAGTGACTAAAGCAGCATTGTCGAATATGAAAATGGTGAAACTGTATTTACTATGATCCCAACCGTTCTACGTACTACTAGTAGATCATTCTGGAAATCAGAATACTATATAGTACTTCCAATTTAGGAAAGCGATTGGCCATCCTAAAATGGACTAGTAAATTGTGAGCTGGAGAAATGAGAACAAGCGAAGAAAGATATTTTGACTCGCATGCCATTTGTCAGTCTTCTAGGACCTAGTTTCTTAATTAGTAATTATCTCATATAATATCTATGCAAGGAATGGCCCATGGTGGGCGCACGTTATCCGTATGCATTTTACGCTCTGAGCCTATGGTTATACATGTTTGCCGCTCTTTAAATATCTGAGTGATTGCTTGGTATGTAGGGTTCTTGTCCTTGGACGACGATGTGAAGCAGTTAAATAGTGAATGGGAACTGGGCCCAGAATCCCTAAAATTAAGTTAGATTTAGTCTTATTAGTAAGACTAACTTATCCAAAATAATTTAAGCAACTTAACGTTAGTTCAATCTAAGATACATCCTGATATTGTAATCAATCATGTGATTAATGGGTTAGATTGCTTGTCATTTTTCACTGCGCTGCGACCTCATCTGAGTGTCGGCGAACTACTCAATATGGGACCACGAAGGAAGAAAGCAGCGCAACTTCGATCGGGCCCACTGAATCCTGATCCTCAGCCACGCCGACCCCTGCAAGACTTGCAGTGGTTGACGGTGTATAGTTCGCTAGATACCAATTCGGTGCATGTTCAAGGGTTGATAGCTCTCTTAGAATTGAAAGGAGGCCTTGAGCGGATTTCCCTTCCTGGACTGGCTCCTCTACTATCTTAGTATGAACTATCCTTTCTCTTGGACCTTTTTAACATCTGATCAATGGTGTTCATAAGACCGATTAACGATGTTTTAGTTTATGCATGCTTCGCTCCAGCAAAAGCCTACAGAAGCCTGGTCTACCATTCTTTCCTCTCTCGGAGGAGCATTTGAAAATGGAGTCAATCAAATACCCACACTACGACTTCCAGAACAACTAACTACTTGCAAAGATGCCTCCACGCATGCGTCATATCATTGGAAGAATGCATTATTACAATCAACTTATCGCCTGCTACCTAGCCGGTAGTATTGAAACACCACACATGGCCATCTTCGAAGACCAGCGAAATTGGATCCAGCGCTCTCTTCTCGAGCTTCCATACTTCGATGAGGTTGTCGTAGAACCAGACGGTCCATTTTCACGATTCGACCACGAAGCTGTCCGTGCCAGTCTGCTATTTTATAGTTACCTAGTTATCTTTCCTATACCGTTTGCTTATAGCCCTTATGATAGATTGAGACAACTACTGATGGGGATTTTAATGGATGAGGGAGCTCAGAATCTTCCTCAGCCATTTTTGCTATGGGCAGTTAGCCTTGGTGCTATATCGGAGATTCAAATTCTTGGCCACCTTCAAGACAGTCAACAGTGGTACATTAACAAGTTGAAAGAACTTATTGAAGATGGGAGTGTCTAGCTGGAACGATTACAAGTCCGTCGTTCAGTCTGTGATGTGGCAAGATAGCGTACTTGATCCTTTCATGCAGCGGATATGGCTGGCACATATTCTGGCGGTTTGAGACAAAACCACAAGAAGGATTGTTTTGAAGTTCTCATGAGGATGATATATGGGTATAATTGATTCACTTTGCCATGTACGCAACCTTTGTGAAAGTTCATTTTGGAATCATAACCAAACTGTCATTCCTATTTCTAGGATACTTTTTCTACAACTGCGATATCGAACTCAATGGAATCTAACGTATATCATTGGCGAGCAAACTATAGTTAGAACAACGATACAACCTTGTGCGTATTGCAGCCCTGATTGCAACTAGTGTTGATTACCACCTTCCCTGGTTTGTTTCTCAGACCACACAGGCTCAACACAGAGAGATTGAGGTTTTCTCTAGGACTTGTGGAGAAAGTCTCCAACAGACGAAAATGTCTGTTTCATATACCGAATGGTGATATGTATTAATCCTTCAATCTCGAGGGCGATAAGTCATTTGTAAAGATCTTTGGCTATGAATGAAGCATATCTGACACTTTCAGGTTGGAATGGGCATCGAAATTGGCAAGTAGTATGAGTTTCAAAAGGGGACAACTAGGTATTGAAAACAGTCTATGATACGTGCTAATTCTATATAGGTCTAAGTGGGTTTTTGGCAAGGCTCTTCACAACACACCATCAACGGCAAGGTTGCGTCGCTGTAGCGAACTCAATATTGAATGTGCCAGGGGACACGACCATGCTGATCAAAATTTGGCCACCAGCTTGGGCCCAGTTCGGTGCAACCTAGCAGCGAAGACAAGTGTCGTTCCACTCATAATAAAGACCCCAGAAAATATCTTCATCCCGATATACGATCCATTCGAATTTTGTAGGATGGCACCCGCAATTGGGTTGGTTGTCAATCCACCGATAGAGCCAAATAAAAATGCGAGCCCCGTGCGGTATCCGATTACTTTGAAGTTGGGTGAAATCTTGACGATCAGATTCGCAATCAACGAGGCATAGGCACCGGATGTGAAACCGAAAATGACTGCAAAGGCTATTACAGCTGCATTCCCAGTACCAGGGATCCAGAGAGCGAGGACCAGAATTCCTGATAAGTAGCATACGAACGTAAAAATATTGTACGCCCCCAATGTATCAGCTAACGCACCGGCAATCAAACGTCCAAAGAGGCTAGAAAAAGCGAATAATTAGTTAGCTGTGGTCCCGGATCCAAGTATAATAGTAAAAGGCCAATCAAAATACCTTCCAGCGTTTAGCATGGCAAGCAAATACTGAGCAATGTTCGGATCCATTCCCAACTCCAAAGCCTCGGCTACGACATAGTCAATTGGAATGAAAATGCCAAAGGTAAGAAGTACGAATCCGGCTATAACCAGAATCATTGTTAGCTCCTGAAATGGTTGTAGCAATTCTTCCTTTGTCATAGGTTTTGGCCGTGGAGGAATCCGTGACCTGATTGCCAAGTTGGCGATTGCGAGAAGACCAAGAATCATGAATGCAGCAATACGCATAGCCCAACCATATCCAACCTGGGCAATCAGCTTTTGTACCATGATAGGAAAAATGATTCCTCCAATGCTAGAACCAGTGGCCGTAATACCATAAGCAACGCCACGCATTTTATCAAACCAACCGGGTATAACACCGAGTGCTATGAAAAAAAAGCGATCCCATTAATTACTAGGTCCCACTGGTACATGAGGTAAACAGACAAGCTTACCAGGCTGGAATATTGTCGCAACACCAATTGCACTAACAACTCCTTGCGAAAGCAAGACTTGATAGTATTGCGTGGATATGGAAGCCATCATAAGACCGAAGACGTGTAGCAACGATCCAACCAAGAGTAAATAACGAGGCCCATAACGATCGTACAGTTGACCGACGATGGGGCCCTGGATAGAAGTAAAATAATGACTGTCAGTATCTGTAGTGATGTATCTGGTGAATGGACTGGTCTGTGACATACCATCGCGAACATGAAGAAAATCTGTAACGACGGAATCCATGCGATTGTGCTAGAGGAATACTGATGCAGGAGTGCTGACTCATAGTAATTCTGAAAAGTACCAATACCTAGCGTGAGATATTAGTATCGTAGGCTTGAGCGTTCGACGTTTCCATTGGGAAAATACTGTTAATCCATCCAAAACTGCAAAATAGTACACACCACGACCCAGAAAGGACAGACCACGCGCTAAAGCCGCCGTCCGGAGCAGGATCTGCAAGTACCCATGCTTCTTTTTCTTTGGGGCCAGTTTGAACCTGTTCTGGCTCAGAATATTTATTGATTTTGCTTTCCATGTCTTCCTTCATGGGCAAATCTTCAGTTGACATTTTCCACCACTCAACAGACGATGTGAAGGCCTTGAGGTCGAAATTTGGCCGATCAACGTATGCGAAATTAATTGGGAGCCAGGTGTGATCCTGTGAGGTAAGAGAGAAACAGCATGATGCTTCCTCAAGGTCCAGCAAACGACTTATACTGTGCTTCTTATATAGTTCAAGCTGGCCATAGATCCGTTGTGAGCGCGGCCGTTCGCGAACGGCCGTTGAAGAACGCTAGATCGGATTTAATTCTTCAGCAATGACTACCAACCAATTCAATATGATGTGTTTAGCCCAGGCGGACAATCAATTGAAACTTAAAATTTTGAAGGATTTATAAAATTGAGGCTTCTGATTGACTAAAAGAGCATTGAGTGTACCTTGGTTGGTCGGAGTTTAGAATCTACTGAAAATGAAGACCCATCTACAGTAGGCACAAATAGTGGCCCCAATGAGTCCTGACTGATGAACCTTAAAAAAGGGAATTTCATGCTTTATACAAGACGCTCCAAGTACCAGAAAATGCTTACCCCATTCTTCATAGGAAACCCAAGTTTCTGAATAACATGTCTTGCTCTCGGTTACACCTTATCGGATTTTTTGCTCCCTCAGATCATCCTGATTTGAGGTACTCTGAGCAACTTAAGGAGCGCTGTAATCCTCGCGTAATTCTTTCTGTTGAAGTTTGAGTTTGGAACTGTCATGGGGCAACATGTCGGGGCATAAGGTAACCGTAAGGTCACTCATAGCAATGCCATGTTCTCACCTAGGAATCGCGGTTCCAAACTATCGGAAACGGACCTTATTAATGCCCAACTTAATTTTTAGTTCTAGTAGATGCCTTGTAGTTATTCGTGTTCGACATTCTGACTTAAGAGTTTAGTATCACGTGGCATTAAAGCCCTAACTCTAACCACTGTTCATGATATTTTTGGACAACAGATTGGCACTCCACGAGTTGGATCAACTTTAAAATGAAGTGCTACAGTGCGTACAAACTGACCTGGTGAAATTTGGAACGAGGGAGAAAATCAGGTTGTCTGATATAGCCTTGAAGAGAATTGATCACAACAGTGAGTCGAAGTCATAACAACGAAATGTAGCAGGTAACTCCCTGGTTGCTACATACTTGATAAGGTCCTAATCTCTCGACTAAATGATGATATATATTTATACGCATGAAAAGGAATGCGAATGCAAATATTACCCAGAAATGTAATATCGCAGTAGAAAAATCTCAACCTCCGGAGATCATCGAGACAGCTCACCAGTCCTTTCTACTACCACACCATGTATCCTGATTTTCACCCCACGTAGCTGAAGCTCACTGATGCGAAGTGTGAAAATGAAAATGAGGAGCACAAGGGAGGCGTTGGTTGCAAGCCTCACATAATATTCGATATCAGAGGGTGAATAATTTGAAGCTCGAATTGTCGCATTGGTGTTGTGTTTGGCAACAAAGCGTAATGAATCTAAAGTGAGGGAGTTAACTAGCCTATACGAAAAATAATTGCCATTTTGGAGGCCAACGAGTACCGACTTCAGTCGGAGGTGAAGGACTCGGCAGTTTTCGAAATGGATTTGATGGTAACATACCATATAATAGCCACGAAACCCACGCTATTACTAGCGAACTTAAGCCACCGAAAGAATATAATAATTTTATGAGTGTTCTTTTGTTTATTGAAGTGCCCATGGCCATTGAAATATGCGTCCTTTGCTCAGGTACAATTGAATTGTTGATATGTAACTGGATAGTTTTGAGAGACATACGAAAGTACGAAAGCGTAAACTCTGATCTTTTATCAGCAAGAAAAATAATGGTTAATTTATAATTTGACACGATAGAGAAAAGAGGAGGCTGATGCGGCACAGGCACAGAGAGAACGATAAGTGTCATGTCCTCCACGGAGACTACCAATTAAAATTGTTATCAACTCTTCGATCGTGGGCGGATCAAGCCTCACAGTGATGCGTCAATCATACACTAAAGAAAGCTCAGCGGTAATTCTCATTTATCCCTGCTTCTGATATGGAATTGGCACGGGGGCTTGTTGATTACTAACGCGAAAAATTCAATCAAATATCATGCAGCGTGTGTAGTGTAGCTGCCTATCATTTCCCCGACACTACTGTACCCTACCTACGCCTAGCCGACGAATGAAATAATATGGCTGATATCACACCAATCAAGCAAGTAGAGTATGCGCCGACGTTGAATCAAAGCCACTAGAGCCCTATAGAATTGCGACTTATATAGCAGTCTTATTATATCATGTAATGTCGTTATGTTCTATGGTTTCTTTTGACTCTATCGCTCCATTTCTCCTAAGTACATCGCAGTGGAGACAAATCCTTCATTGTATACATATTAACAGACGCCTATCAAAACTAAGCTGAAATTAATGTTGTACTCCAGATTCCAGTGAAAGTTGACTGTGATGGGGCGAGCGATATCGCCAGTCTTACATGTAATTTTCGTGTACGTACATTTATATACCGCCTTCCATGCTGTATATCAGCATACATAGTAAATCGTACCGCTTGTGAATAGCATAACATACCTGTATTAAGTCTAAATGGTTCCTATCGACGAAGATATCCATGAAAAAGGCGGGCTTTAATTATGGCTACTGAGGATAGGGCTAGTGGTGGCCCCTAAATTCCAAAAATCGTTGAAGTCGCTACTGAACTAGGGCTCGCTGAACATCCTTTTGATTGAAGATGCATGAATCATGTGCAAGAAGAAACTGCGAGCATTCTGCTTTGTATCCCTTAGAGAATTCACCCCTCCGAATCTTTAATTCCTCCCACCAACAAGTTATTATAAAGCTCGTTTTACAATCCTCCTCAATCTAACATCTCCTGAAAGCCCGCACTGGTGTATGGAACAGCAGGCTCAGGAGTCCGGGCCGCGCAAATGACATAGTTACCAAGCGCGCGGGAGCGAAAGCCAGCCTCGCAAGAGAGAAAATAATACTAAAAAAGTTATTAAACCAGGCCAGTTGAAACATTTGAAGACTTATTTGTCGATTGACTTACCAGCCACATCCGTCGAAATGCTTCAATATCCTCCTTACTTGCAGATGGATGCTTCCTCATATAATCCGCCATGATCCTATCCCAGTTTCGTAGAAAGTTATCCCTCCATGCGAGCAAAGTTTTCCCATAATGAGGTCCAATGTTCTTTGCATAAGTAATTTCCAGAGTTCCTTTCGATCCCTTGTGTAGGGCTTCAGTCAACAAGTGGATAGAAGGCAAGTAGCCTCCGGGGAATATGTATCGACCAATGAAGGTATCTACAGGAGATCGTGATTCATGCATCTTAATCTCGGAGTCAGCCTGAATTGTTTCTGTGTGCACACTCTGCATAGGTATGCCCAAGACGAAAAGTATAGGAGTACACACCTTGTTAGTAAATGTGATACCGTCAAGGACAAGTAAACCCGTCGTCGGATTCAATAATCGTGAAATTGTGCTGAAATATTCATTCAAGTACTTTCGACCAACATGCTCAAACATACCAATTGATATCACTCGATCGTAGCCGGAGTCCGGTACAGGAGTTGTCCGGTAGTCGCAGAGAAGTACGGAGACAAGATGGTCTAGCTTCGCATTCTTTATCTTTTGCTCCACCAGTTCCTTTTGCTCGCTGGACAATGTTATCCCGGTCACCCGACAAGAATACCTTTGCGCAGCTTTAACCATTACATCTCCCCATCCGCACCCAATTTCGAGCATATGATGGTTGGAAGTAAGACGGAGTTTCTTGAGTAGTGTGTCCACCTTTCTTTCCTGGGCAGTTTGCAATGTCTCAGCAGGGTCCGCGGTCCAGTGAGCGCAACTATAGTTCATATCGGGTGAAAGAAAGGCAGCAAACAATTCATTGGATGTGTCGTAATGTGCCGAAGCGTTGAGTCGTGCTTGCTGGACATCATTTGAAGGACTCCACAGTAGACGAGACAGCCGTTGGCCGGCTTGTAAGATGGGATTCCCAAAACCCAGGTAGTCTTTATTTTTGAAATATATCTGGATCGAGGGTAATGAAGTTATGATTAATATTGACTTGATGACTCTTCCATGGGGCTTCTCTTACATTGAAGATCTTGTTCAAATCGGGGCACTCAATTTCCTGCAACATGAATGCCTCCGACAACCCCTAGACCCTCATCAGAGACCGAAAATTGAGTTTAAAAATCTAATTGATAACACGCATACCAAGTCTAGTGCTGTACAAAATCTGACCCAGAAGTTGGGATCAACCACGTAAATCGTGGCGTTCAACTCATCAGGTACCGCGGTATCTTTCTCTCCGACAACGACTGTTGCATCATCTTCATATCGACAAATAAATGTGGCTCGGCCTCTTTGAATTTTGGTCAAGGTTCTGACGACCCAATATTTTGCGTAAGATTGTAGCCATGTTGGACGATGAACGATGGCCATCTTCCGTTGCGTATAATTCTTGGTAGTATTTGCTTATAAGCTGCTATTATATCCCCTGGAGGAGCTAATCACTTGTGCTCATATAAGTGATTATCTGGAGGAAGAAAATATTATGGACTGTATGATTTGGTGGATTGTTAGCACCTCGTGACCTGATGATAATGGAGGGGATTCTATGCACTATGCAGTGCCAACGCTCAAGACATGCAGGAATACCTCACATCACTCGACAGCACTGCTGGCAGCCAATCGCATGAATCCAGATCTAATATCCGGATTATTTGCAGCTTCGCATTGACGATTATGCTTCCTTATGCTATATATGGCCTGACGCATGTTGCACCAATCCGCATATATTATGGTCGGACATTGCTTTCCCACATACCCACTGCTTACAGTAAACTTTCTCCTCGGCTGGACTGGATGTTGTGTAACAGATGATTTCGAATATTTACAAACATGTACAGCAGCATAACTCGAGGGTGTAAATATGAGAACTGCGGTACTAGCCGATGGTTCTAGAGCGTGATAGACTCGTTAATCTGTACATGTGCACCTGGCTGTCTTGTTGACAATGTATGATGAAATAACTGTGCTGAAATGCTGCCATGGTCATATTGATAAGGATATGCGGAGAATGTCAAGAGATGGAACCGCGTAGTCCAGGTTTTCAATGACCCTCTACTTTTCACCTCAATCATTTGTAGATCTCTTTAGTGTTTATATGTGGCTAGAACTTGCCATTCTAGGTCAGGGTGTGTTAGGGCCGAGTTAACCGCTGATTCAGCAGTTAAACTTTGGCGTGCTTGTTGCAGAAAAATACTGCCTAGATAGTGCACCAAACTGGGCTTTGTCAGATTTTTCATGTTCTATACACACTGTTTCGGATTTCGGTATCTGTTCTGTCAAAGGCTCAAAGCGGACCCTGGTTATTGTCCAAGTCTACAAGGAGTTGCCTAGATTTCAATAAAAACCATCGTTTGCCAGAAAGTTTGTAATGCGGCATCAAGAGGCCAGAAAAGAAGGAAGAAGGCTAAGCCCTGACCGTACCTTGACGTGACAGTCCTTCATGAAAACCAAATAGGTATGTAGTGGACAATGATCCTGTCGAGCGGCTCTTGTACGAGCCTCCTTGTCTACGACCTAGAGAATTTTAAATGCATTCCTATAGCCCAATTAAGGCGCAGCGAATGAACTGGGTGTGGACCAACCAGAATTTTCCCACCAAGAGTAGGGTGAGTTGGATCGACGTTCTCTCTTTTCAAGAAAACATAGAGGTTAGCAATGGGCCAATTGATCATATTGGTCATGCATGTGGGATTTAGGGCTCGAGTACTTACCTAGGTCCACGGGTAGCGGATCAGCTTTATCCGAATTGCCTATATTGATTAAGAAGGACCGGGGGCTTGGTCGAGAGAAATGCCCAAATACCAATCAACCTATCTATCGGCTATCTTAGTCTGTACATTCAGGCCTACAGCTGTTTACCAACACAATCACGTATTAGACAGCTAATGAACCTGGGGCATCGGTCAACAGGTTAGTTGTAGCTAGGATGATGATGGCCAAGCTAGTAGCGATATTGGCAAATACGAGATGGACGACAAGACTACAGCTTCTATCTTCAGCCCGGGCACTGCCATTGACTTCAATTTAACCGTCGCATCCCTATAGAACACATGTTGCTAATATTCTGTATGTATTTAGTGGTTCTCCGGTAAATTATTGTAACGGATTTTACCTACTTGAAGTTATTAGCATGTTGCATTGCACCACCTATCTACTCTACAGTCAGGGATAGACATCCTGAAATTCAGGTATAGAATTAACAGGAGAGGGTGCAACCTAAAACTTGGCTAGTACTGCACTCTGAAAAGGTGTAGCTCCGAATCTCGACATCCTCAATCAGCACGCCGGATAATCTTTACGGTACGTTGGTATACGGATTGGATGGACGTGCGGTTGCATCGGCAATTCCTCAATTTGGGTGCTCAAAAACTATACCTAGGCATTTGAGAACCTGAAGATTGAAAGACTGGGTGGTATTTTTCTATATTCACAGGGATACTTGCCCACTTGCTTCTCCCTAGATACTTGTGAGAATACAAGCTGGACCATTGTGAAGCTGGCTTTGTGAAAAACGACCTATATCGGAACTAGATGCATATTTTCAATCAGTTATTAAATGTCCAACTCAAAACATATCAAATATGATTGTGGCTAAAGTGGAAAGGATTCGGACGATGTCGACAAATGACTCCATAGACGGCAAGAGCAGAATTTCTTGATCTGTCTCAGTTCGGCAAAATGATATTTTTTCTTCATCAGGGTGAACAAGGGATAGAGACAGGGAAAGAACTCACATTCTACAGATTCTAGATTTCAAGTTCCGCAATCAAGCCCTAAGGACCTGTATTTAAAGCATTGGAATCCTGTCAGATGTATTGGAAGCTCATGCTGTCCACGTCCAAACTTCAGCGGAATGCTAACCATATTTATAACCTGAGGGTGCTGGGTAGTAATAAGAAAGGGGTTGGCATCAGCTCTTCTAAACTAACATTAATTGGATCCTGTGCTAGCTATGAATAACGATGAACAAAAATGATTAATACTTCCACAAAGTATAACGACATACTTCTGTGAAGGATGATCCGTATGCCATCCGCGAGGGCATATTAGGGCTATCCGTGAGATATGACCTAATCCGGCCAAACATTGTTACAGTAGCAATGTTTTAGTATAACGATAGGCGCTATAATGCCAAGATCTATTGGCAGATATCCTAAAACTACAGTTCTGAAATGATCACCAATTCATTGTTGGAAGATTCAATATGACTCATAATGGGTCATTATTGTTTATTCGATGGCTAGAACACAAGAGACCTAGTCCAACCATCCCCATACCCAGCTCCAGAATTCTAATATGTATGTATGTACGATTGTAGAATACAGTGACTACGATGCATGAACGGTATTATTGAAATTTGCTTTAGCTAGATACTATCTCCAGGGTTAGTAACCCCCAATCCCACAAGCCGCACAATCACTCATGATCACTAATACTGAGTCTGAGAATGGACAGACCCACCTACCAAGTTTTAGTGACAGCTACGTGTCTATGGAATTGGTGAATCTGAAAGATGTGGATCATGTATCTAATGAAGTTCTCCCTTTGCTACGCTGGGTTTGTTCTGTGTTTATGAGTTACAACTATAGTGCGGATTGAGAACTCAAAACTATCAAATGGATTCACTTGCAATTGATGAGAGCACTCGGCTCTTCCCACAATCCCGGCAAGAGACCCCAATTTGCGTTCCACTGTCCATTCTCGATTGCACGTCAGCTCGGTTTTCCTCTACAGGGTGTATCTGGATCTTCGACCATCATGATGCCACACCCGACCATCATACCCTCGTTGAACGGCTTAGAGATTCCTTCGTCGCTACCCTGAACGAGTTTCCTCAGTGGTCAGGCCAACTCCAATGGACGCCATTCAACCCAAGCGGCGGCTACAGGGAACGATTCAACCGTATTCAATTGGTATATGGATCCGTGGATGACCCGGGAGTCGACTGGAGAACCACATCCTATTCATCAGAGTCAACAGCCCAATTTGCTCCCACGCCATCAGAAAGAGTGTCGAAAAAAATCTGGCGGGGAGATAATAATTCTGAATACTCGCGACTGGTTTCAGACTGTCCATTGGCGCTTTCTGATTTGAAGAGCTACGAAGGTCTACCGGGAATGTCGGTTCAGGTCAGTCTCTTTGGCGACGGCGGATATGCGATTGGAGTGAAGTTGGCTCATGTTCTGGGCGATGCACAATCCCTGATGGTTTTTGTTCATATGTGGGCGGCTAACAGCCGTGGTCTTCATGGTTATACCGGAAGCCCTTCACTGTTTCACTCTCCTATTTTCGATCCGGAGCAATTAGATAGCCATGCGTCTGGTGACATCAATGGCTCCGGGATCGACCACAACCTCGCAGCCGTCGCCAGATCATTACCTTTACATCGGTACGATTGCTGGGAAGTCGACGCCCCTGGTTTTCCATCCTTTCTCGCAGAGACAGTACAGAAAACCATGCCTCCGTCAACATTTCTTGACAATCTCAAGTTGTCGCCAACACATTCAGGCCCATGGTCTTCGTGGGACCCTTCCAGACCAGTCAGCTATGCCCACATCCATTTCAGTGGAAAGACGCTAGCCAAAATGCAGTCTTCGGCACAGCATGAGAAGAGCGGAGCGTCAATGCTGTCAAGGCTCGACATGTTACTGGCCCATCTATGGTCTTCCATCAATCGGGCAAGAAGAATGGAGCAATCCTCATCTGACGTATTTCTCAATCTCACACTAGGTGCCCGGGCCCGTGTATCTCCTCCACTACCAGATTCCTATATTGGATCACCATTGTTCCTAACACATGTCAAGCGATCCGGATTAGAAACATGTTCAGAAAGCGCAGGGAGCCTCGCTAGATCTATCCGCAATACCATTTCACTTTTTACTCCGGAAAAAGTGGGCGCAATGCTGCATGACGCAGCCCATGAAGTCTCTCCATTGCGGCTGTGGCAGGGCTTTGTAGGACAGCGGCATGTCATAGTAACCTCATGGCTTCGGCTGCATGTGTACCAGGTAGATTTCGAAGGAACACCTACGCCTCCACGATATGTCCATGCGATTATGCCAAATATCGATGGCGTGCTTCAAGTTTTCGATTCCGCGACTGACGATGGAGGTATGGACGTCGCGCTCTATCTGGAGGCTGAAGCGATGGACAATCTACTTAGGGACAACATATTCCAGGCGTGGAACAACTAGTCAGACCGTACGACTAGATTGGTCTCTTATAAGTATGAATGATGTTTATTACGCCCGGAGGGACTAACCCTATAGGGCACTAGCGCTAGATATATACAATTCGTGTGTTTCCAACCTATCCTCCTATAAGCCCTTACTTTTCCTGCTTCCACGTGTTTATCTTTATATCTGAGGTTGAGGCCTCCTTAACATATAGTTCCCCCATCTTGAGTATAAAAGAATTGATAGACAGGCTTAAAGGCTGTCTTCTTCAAGTGTGCAGCGTCCTATCCTTAGCAGCTGCAGCGGTGTCTATCATATATGAGGGTGGGAGTAGTTAGTTAGTATTAGTGTCGGAACGTGAATATCAAACCCTACACGTTTTGGCACCGGATATAGTTAGTCTGACGCGGCACGTGCGTGCCGCGTATATCTAGCTAGCTATCCCCGTCCCCCTCGTTCTTGGGGAGAAGTCACAATATTAGGAATCAAGATATCTTCATATTGTCAGGCTCATTAGGCCGCTTCGTGTTCGCGCCTTACTACCGTCTATGCTTCGTGATACGGACCGTAGTTAAACCAACAATTAGCTTTGCTGTGACTGACTTGGTTCCTATTCCTATTCTATATTAAGTCTTCCTATTGATATTACATATCTAATTGTCGTTCGTACTGCTTTGATGTCTGGTTGCCATCACTTGGGGTCAGATTATGCCTTTCCTCCAAGATAGAATGATAGGCTCCCTCTTTTTATTTCTATACATTGTAACATACCTTCTCTTATTCCTATCCACTTTGTCGGAGTTATGTTAGATCTATTGTCTACCACTGCTTGGTATATAATAAGGGTTTTGCCCTCAGTGTTAGCTCATGGACTACTTTTGTAACCACTGTTATCAGGTGATCTGTCTGCTCCTATACTGAGTTACCTAGAGGAACCACCTATAGATTGGTAGCTATTCTAGATCTAATTTCTGTCTATGGCGCGTTCTTTAAGAGCAGTCTCTCATTGACTGGTTGGTCTGGGACAGATATATTAAATTCTATCTTAATTACTTGATGGTCTAATTCATGGTTTATATAGTGTATACCACACTATACTATCTCTTCTGCTAGCTCTGTTAACGCTAGTACCAAGTCAATTATTATCTCTGTGAAGGTGTTCATTCTCTATCCTAAGAGGTAACTAATCGAGCAAAAACTAAGCATGAGGAAAGAGGGAGAGAAGACTCGCTATGCCGCTCGTAAGGACTCTTTTTACATGTGCGTCCGGGGCCTTGTCGGTGCCTATTTAGGAAATCCTGAAGACAAAGGAGGATATTCCCGTTAGGGTCATCCTTTTAGGGCTTAGGGCTCCGTCCAGGTGCTGGCAACGTCCGTACGATATCCTGCCCCGTAACCCAGCCGTCACAATCTCCCTGTCTCCTAGTTGCCATATTTTTGTACCTCTAGGTAGAAGGCTGTGAAGGGAGTATCTACTTATAAAGTTAATCAAATCATCAGCCTCTCCTTATCTCATAGGAGAGATCTGGTCTTCTCCCTAGAGTTGGTCATGTCTATTGAAGTCTCCTATTATTAGTACATCTGTCCATGTTCCTCCTCTACCCTGGATATTCACTACTAGATCGCGTAGCAATCTAATAGTGGATATCAATGCTTCTTCACTGTTCCTCTCTATATAGACCAACACTGCCCAGTCTAGGAGTTGAAGTATTGTGGCTGTCAGATCTGAAGATGCTACTGGAATCTGTTTAGCCTCGATATCACTCTGAACCCATAACATGCTTCTAATTAGCCATCTTCCATCATGTCTTTCTGTTAGTATCATCTTTGTCTAATAGTAGTGTCCTATTGGGCTTGTCACCATAGTATTTTTAATTATCCATGCATGTAGTTCAGATACAGCCACCACTCTATAGTCTCTAATTTTGTTATCATTTATTAGACTTTGTTATACTGTGTCTCGTTTACCAACATTCAGTTGTAAAAAGTAAAGTGATTTATGTATTAGACTGTACAAGATAAACTTGATAGTTTCTACTAAATGACTTATAAGGTTCTTCACAAGAAATATATTTTAGGATTGGAGCTTAGCAAGTACTATGATAGTGTCTCTTCTTTGCACATTTACCATATGTCTGGGTCTTTTTATATAAAAAAGCCTTATATTCTATCTCTTAACAGTTGTAACATTAAAATGGTCCTGTGCATGGTTCAAACTTCAAAGGCTTAAGTATATGTAGATTCTCCTGCTATGTTAGAGTAGTTGCCTTCTAATAGGCATTTGGCATCTGTTCCTTTGGTGATATATACCATCATAGATCTATATGCTTTATTAGAGTCCTTCTTGCTAAGCCAGGTTATCTTGGCAATATCAACCTTGTTCTCTTTTTCTAGGGCCTCGACTGCTCCTAGCAGGATATTACTATCTATATCCAGGATCGCTGTCTGGTTAGCATTATCGATTTTGACTGGGTAGAGCTAATCTCGTAATACTCTCCATCTTAGTATATTTAACTTCTGAGCAGCCTCTTTAATATGTAGGATCTCATCCTTCTATCTGCAAACAATTTTGACTTGGTCCACATTCTTTAGATCCTTAATTACTGCTGCATAGCGCCAGGTCTCCCTTCCTTCATTTCCCTGTATCTTCTTTTCAATCGTTTGTCTGATATTAGCTATCTACACCTTGGCTTTATCTTCTTCTCTAATGCAAGACATGGTAATTGTGCAGATTGGCTGTTGATTATGTCTGTAAATGACAGCTATGATTTGGTCTATATAAGAGCTGCATTAACTGGCGCTTTCGCGATAGTATCTAGCTGCTCCCGGAGTTGCTTGCAGTCTTCCGTAGACTAGCTTTGGATTGCTTTTATTTGGGCCGGCAGTCCCTTGATTATATCGTTTTGTTCCTAGATGATTTTTTCTTTTTTACTGAGCATTTCTTTCAAACTTTTGACCTCCCAATAGGTGCCCTTCAAGTACTGATACATCTTTCTAAGCATCGCTTAGTTTTTATCCTGAGTGCATTGTCTCTCCTCAATCTGGTTAGCAGCTTTCCTTACTGCAGTTGGCTTTACTTTTGACGTTGTCCTCCTGGTCGCAGCGGTGGCATCGGTGCTGTCAGCATCTTCCAGAGCTTCTCGGGCTCTCCTTGACGGCACTAGACGTGTCCTGCACGCGTTGTTACGGCCGGATCTTCCTCCATCGCGCCTCCGGCCCTCTTCGTCTTCACCCCAACTACCCGGGATCTCTCCTTTAATCACACGGGTCGTATTTCGATAATCAGAAAGATCGGTTCTTCCTAGCGAAGCCCTATTCTTGAAAGGTCATCAGAATATATGACTGAGATCTGAATGAATATATCTCTGGTCTCTTATATAACGTGGGTTGGTTAATATGACGGATATTTGATACGCTAGTCCCAATATGGACGTCCTTACTAATCCGTGAATCCTCGGAAAAGCAACAAAAGCAACATATCCGTGAGAACGCGAGCGCCAAAACCAGACTACATTTTGGAGTCAGGATTGACATTTATTCCGTAGTAAATCTGTGATATTTTGCCACTATGTTTTGTATATAAAGAGGATCAAGATGTAGAGTCAATTATTCCTCACCCAAATTGTACGGTCCTATCAGAGCCTAAACCCGTTCGGACTAGTACCAAAAGATTCCAATATTACGTAGTAGAGGAAGAAGGCGTTTCGCTGGAGTCTTAGTCCAAGTTTTTGCCACGGCGTTCCTCAGCGGAATTCCGATTAGATAAGATCTTTTGACATCATGACAGTTTTCATCTTTGCGCATTCTAATTTTATATGGTTCCTTACGACGTACAAACTTTTATATGACTTGGTCTATGGAGTTAGTTGTCTTCATTGTCATTCGTATAAGAGTCTTAATGAAACATTTCCTTTCCGAAATTCGGGATCAGCTAAGCTCGGCATCTGATCGGGGAACTAGATGCATGAGCTTTTCTTCTCGGATATATAAACGGTCTATGGATATATCCTTGTATCCATACGAAACGCTTCTCTGCCAATCATAAGACGCCAACTTTGGGTCCGGATTTATTTCTCTATGGACTGATTTCTAAGATTGCGTCCTGTATAGCTAAGCATTGATCTTAGTGACGACGTGGGAATCGCCCCATCTCGTTCATCACGATGGAAAAATTTCTTTATCCTTTCAACTTACAAGCTCGCACGAGTCCATTCGATCGCTACCATGATCTTCGATAATAACAGCAAAATATCGGTCAGACACGAATAAAAGGATATCTACAATATCAGTTTCTTACAGCGTCCAATTGGGAAAGGGGGACAGAAAAGGCGAACATCTACACACCAGGTCCAGAATTAATCGGATTCCAGCCATGTCTGAATCCTCAAAAAGTGATGATCCTGTGCTCGAGGCACAGTTGTCTCGAACAGAGTCCATGCGGGCTGTTGCACATTCTTTCAGCCCTATACATGAATTCGTCTTTGTGGCGGTAGTCTGCATGGCTCAGTTCATGACCCAAGCTGCCTTGAGTGTCTGCTTGTCGCCATTGGACATAATCGGAAAGAGCTTCGACATCACCAATCCCGGCATCTTGAGTTGGCTAATTGCTGGATATTCTTTGACAGTCGGCACGTTCATCTTATTCTTTGGACGATGTGGTGATCTGTTTGGCTATCGGCTCATGCTTCTTATCGGCTTCTCCTGGTTTTCGCTCTGGTCTTTAGTAGCCGGCGTAAGCGTCTATTCCAACTATATACTCTTCATTTTTGCCCGGACTCTGCAGGGCCTTGGACCAGCAATGCTGTTCCCTAACGCTCTTGCCATTCTTGGAGCTACATATCCGCCCGGAAACAAGAAACGTCTGGTATTTTCTCTTTTTGGGGGTATGGCTCCGGGCGGAGCAGTGGTTGGCTCCGTCTTTGCGGCATTATTGGCCGAACTCGCTTGGTGGCCTTGGGCATTTTGGTGTATGGCTATCTATTGCCTGCTTCTTGCCGGCGTCGTATACTTGGTGGTTCCTCCGACGCCGTCACATACTGCAGATATGGGATTGCCCGAAATTCTTTCTGAGCTGGACCTCGTAGGAGCAGCTCTCGGAGTCACGGGACTAATCTTGGTGAATATCGCATGGAATCAAGGCCCAGTGGTGGGCTGGCAAAAAGCCTATGTCTACATTCTGTTGATCGTTGGATTCCTGTTCTTGGCCGCATTCATCTACTATGAGATTTCCGTTTCACCACATCCGCTGATCCCATTCGAAACATTGAACACAGACGTTTGCTTCATCCTAGGATGTGTGGCTTGTGGGTGGTCCAGCTTTGGAATCTGGGTATTTTACACTTGGAGGTTCCTCGAAGACATTCGCGGAAGCACACCTCTCCTAGCAGCCGCGCAGTTTGTTCCTCCCGCACCCTCGGGTCTCATGGCCTCGTTCGCCACAGCTTATTTGATGGGAAAGCTAAAGCCCGGCTGGATAATGCTCATTGCACTTTCAGCATTTACCATCGGTAGCATATTTATGGCCATCAGTCCTGTGAGCCAGACATACTGGGGGCTCACGTTTGTTTCGGTATTGGTCATGCCATGGGGGATGGACATGTCTTTTCCGGCCGCAACTGTTATACTTTCCGATGCGGTAGGGCGTCGCAATCAGGGCGTAGCAGCGTCTTTGGTGACTACTGTGGTGAATTACAGTATTTCCATCGGACTCGGTATTGCAGGGACGGTGGAAGTCCACCGTAATCACGGAGGGTTGACTTTCGACGACAGGTTGAAGGGGTATCACGCAGCACAATATACGGGCATCGGGATTGGCGGACTGGGCATCGTTCTGAGTCTTCTGTATGTGGTGAAAAGTACTAAAGGGCCATCTCACACAGTCAAATCGGGATAATCGGCGACGGAAAGCTTGCTTTTGTGTAGATTAGATAGATGGTGCCAGTAATGGCACAAGAAAGTATTTTGCGTGTATAATATGTATATATATTTTTGTATGAAATATGTTGTAGCGTGTACTCTATTCTCAAATAATCTCTTCTCTCGTTGGAGTTGTTCCTGGAAATTCCGCGGAAGACCACGTGACTACTCTGTATAGGGTTTAGCGCATATAGATTGCCAAGCCGACCAACCCGAGCGAAAGAACCCGAAACAATCCACGACATACAAGAACAAACATTCCTCTGTGTGTTGGTGGTCTATAACATACTCAATTGATCTCGGACTCTCGTTGTCGAACATTTCACAATGACTGGCGGTTACGCACCCAAGCACGGAACGTATGTTGCTGATCTGCTCCCTGTTCCTGTCCCTCGGTTCCTGGATTATAGCGCAAAGTCTGCGGTCAGGAGCCGAAGTTTGTGAGTACGGACTGACCTGAATCTCTCTCTACAGCTGGCAGCAAGGATGGGGTGGTCACAGTAAGTTAACTACTCTTTCCAACGTTCAACCCTCCATCGTTTTGCGATGAGACTTCCCATCGATCCAACGACTTGTCGTACCTGCCTCTCGATCGTCTCCCTTACAACTCTCCGTTCTGTTGTCGTTCAATGGATACTCATGCATTCCCCTTATCTTAGTTGCTCGCCCTGAGAAAGGGGTTACCAGCTACACCCTCTCGCCCAACCGCCAGCGCCTGTTCCCCAATTTCTGGCACACTGCCATCTTCAACACTTTCCGCCGTTTCCGCCATCAAGTTCTCTATGTCGCCCCTCCCTTCATTGTGGCGTACTCGTTGATGGAATGGGCCGTTGAACGGTACGTTTGATATCGGTGACAGGAATATACGTGTATCTCGCATGGAGTGCGCTAACACGGCGTAGGAATGAATACTTGAACTCCAAGGCTGGCCGTGCCGAAGCTGGCGAGGAGTAAATTTGCGTTCAGATATTGATTTTTGCAGTGTACAGCAATACGGTGACCCGGTTGTTACATTTTGGTCTCGTACAGTATGAGCATAGCGATATCGAAGATTTGCGAACTAGATTTGACAGGTTTGGCTATTGGCATACTTTACATACAGTCCCTTTGTACTATTTCTTCATTTGTTATGGACATTGCACATCATATTAAATATACTAAATCTCATATCTTTTGACGCCCGCTCGCAGGAATTTGCTGTAACTCTTTTCCATGTTGCCTATTCCAGGGCCGTCTCAGTGACGGTCATGTTAATTCCACGTTGTGACATGGAAAAGAACTTCTCCGTTTATGCAACTCTTTGGAAGACCTCAACCATGCTGTGTATCCGCGGGATTAAGGGATGTGGCTCGAATGACGTCTTAGTTATAGGACACGACGTCTAATGATTGCATTCTATGAGCGAGCAGAAATAAATTTGAAATTTTGAACTAGGTTCACTGGGTTACAAGAAACAATTTCCTCATTTGAGCCAACCTTTCTTCTCCATTTCAGCCTTTGTCCAGTCTTCCAGCTTAGCAGCCAGTGTTGAATCTCTGGCCTGCTTACTTTGCCATCCAATCTCCGCAATCCTTTGGAAATACACTCCACTCTGTTCTGGTTTCATCTCGGGACTCGCCACGCAAAATACACTTGTCCATGAGCCCTTGTCAGCATTCACGCGCCCTCCCAGTTTTCCATACAAATCGGCAAGCACCTTTATGAATGTTGGGAAACCCGCATGCTGGCCAAGCTGACTCTCTACCAAACCGGGATGGACAATCGAAGACCAGATCTCGCCTTGTCCGGACACAGCACTAGGTGAACCTGGACCATACAACTTGTGCAACGTTTTAATATGCAAAGCATTGGCGAGTTTGGATTGGCCATAGCGAGTCATTCCGTTGGCATCACGGAGAGAGGTGTCTTCAAAGTTGATACCAACCTTTGGCGCAAAATAATGCCCCGATGAGGATACGTTCACGATGCGGACGCTGCCTCGTGGTAGAGTTCGTGAAGTCCGAAGCATAAGGGGTAAGAGATGCGAGGTTAAAACCCAGTGAGCGAGGTAATTGGTTTGCCACTGTGCTTCATGTCCGTCCTTGCTTAGCTCAAAGGGAGTCGCCATAATGCCAGCGTTATTTACTAGACCGTGAAGGACAGTCTCTCTCGAAAGGAATTCCTTGGCTGCGGACACAACACTAGACAGATCGAGGTGGTCCATCTGTAGCAGTGTCACTTTAGCTTGCGGATATAGTGTTTGGATACCCGTGACGGCAGTAGAGCCTCGCTCAATGGAGCGAGCACACAGATAGACGTGTGCTCCATGCTCTGCAAGCCGGGCGACAGTGTAGTAGCCACTGCCAAGAGTCAGGTAAGTATCTCTACAGAAATATATTGGCATATGAAGAACTTACATGCCAGAGTTTCCTCCAGTCACAAGATATACCTTCCCAGTCAAGTCTGGAAGAGAATCCGGGTGAAAGGTCATGCCTTTTTAGAAGTAGATCAAACGGTCACCAGACGGACAGAATGCTATAGTAATTTGATCTGTGATCATAAGACGATCTGTGTCTTAGCAAAGGGCCTGATACCAGGTGGGCACCACGCAGCCTTTAAATGCTCGGCCATGGTGCTGAATTTGTCTGCTTGGTATGCGTTCGTGCATGATAAAGACTTACTGTTGAAGCTTTTGATAGCAATTCTAAATCGGGGTTAGCTGTAAGCAAGCTGCATGAAGCTAGTATAAATATGGCATTAGTTTGGGTACAGGCCCACTTAGGGCTTATTTAGTGCTAGGACCAAGCCACGTCCTAGATCCTCTTCCAATCCATCGTTCAGGCAGGCAACTAAGGCACACAATTCCGTCTTCTCGTCAGTTTTGCCCTCTGTTCTGTAACCCTTCCTGATTAACTGCGACTAAATACACATATATTCAGGCTATAATCTACAAAGATGTCTATCCAGCTGGTGGCAATGTCCCAACTAGACGAGGTTAGTCTAACAGAGTCAAAACATGACTAGCATAAATATATACTTATTGAAGGGCAGGCCTTGGGCAGTCAAGATGACTGGACCGGTCTTACTGACGCCGCTTCCCGCAGAAAGAGACAGAACAGGCTTAATGTGAGAGCATACCGTCGTAAGTACTATTGAATATACCTATCTATCTTGAGCATACTGACTCTACTCTAGGGAGACGCAAAGCGCTAGAGGCCCGGAACAATCAAGCAGCCACCTCTACAGTCGAACAAATTCCTGTTAAGGTCAAAGATCCCACAGTTGCATGCTGGGTCGAAGATCAACAGACTATAATTAACATACCCATCTCTGTAGTAGACACTACATTTGGCACTACACAGAAACCATTACTAACCACCGCACACGAGAATTCACTCACCCGTGCCGAACAAACACCACACAAGATTATTTTTCCCCTTTGCCCGGATCACCTCATTACTCTTCTTCAGTATAATGTATTACGTGCTGGTATTACCAACAGGAAACTTCTGTCCCCTGTCATTACAGTGACGAGCTGCTCGTCAGACAGTCTTCATGTCTTGCCTGAGCCATCATTACCGAACGCGCTTCCACCCTCTCTATATCCCACGCATCTACAACGAACTATACCCCATGAAGACTGGGTTGATATAATACCACATCCACGCTGGCGAGATAATCTCATTTTAGCTCTTGGAACATTCGACGAGGACGAATTGTGGTCAGATACAATTGGTGGCTTGTTTGAGGGTTTTCCGCAATCAGAGATAGAGCACCGTGGTGTAATAGTGTGGTCACCACCATGGGATGTCAGTGGATGGGAGATCACGGAGGGATTTTGGAATAAGTGGAAATGGTTGTTAACTGGCTGTGAAGATATGCTGGTGGCTACAAACTATTGGAGAGCGAAAAGGGGAGAATATCCTCTTGTCTTTTAGGAGTTTCTCTATTAAGGCTATTTTATGGACAAATCACATGTTGAAGGTGCTAGGATGTACTTGCAAATAGGTGTAGAACCACCTATCGATGAGAATGGACACATGCATAGGCTAGAGACGGTTGAACGTTTCACAAGATGGGACTCATTGTATATTAGACACCAGTTCATCGAATCGTTCCTGAATCCCAGCCCTGTCCTTATTGAATACATCTCGCACATCAAAGTCTTCCCCTCGGTTGACTTTTTCAATAAATTCCTTGTCCGGAAACGTCAAACAACTGGGCGTATCTAGAGGCAACATCCGAAGTCCATGACAGACCTGTTTCAACTGCTCAGCCGCCTTACCACCGCCATGGCCACCATAGCTTACAATCATTGCAGGCTTTCCTTTCCATTCGTTAAAAAGATAATCAATCGCATTTTTCAAGCTTGCCGGATATCCCCAATTATACTGAGGTGTGACAAAGACAATAGCTTGATAGGACGCTATCTCGTTTGACCAGCGTCGGGTATGTTCGTGTTTGTAGTCTTTGGGAGAAAATATCTTGGATGGAATCCCGGGCTCATTGTATAGGGGCAGATTCCAGGCCGCAAGATCAACAATGTTTAAGTCAACCTCGTATCGACGTTCTTGGAGAGTGTCTTGTACAAATCTCGCAATACGGTGTCCTAATCGAGGCTCTCTCTGACTTCCAACGATAATAGCAATTTTTGGTCGAACCGATGCCATTGTAAGGTTAGGTGGAATCAGAAATGTTTCCCCAGGCAGCTATAGACATAGGATGGAGTTATATGGACCTGTTATAACCATATGCTAAATAGTTATTAGACCTTCTAGCTCTATTTCAGCCATTTCCATAAGACCGAAAGGAGCGGAAGAGACGGTTCGTGCGGCCCGCTCATATCTAGGGTTAGTAGTCCGACCGTTCAGTTCTCCAAAAGTATGACCCCTTGCTAATCTTCTCTATTTTCTCAAGATAGAATGTTGAGAAGTTGCTTTGGTAGGTGGGATATAGACTTACCATTTAGTGCCTTGGTAGAATGTTCACTCGAGGGGCATGAGTAGTCTGGGAAGGAATATTGTGTGATTATCTTGTGATAGAAGCCTGTATTTTTAGCAAGAAACCGTGACACGATGATCTATCTCGCATATTAGTAATCCAATATTGGAAAGGCTGCCACCAAAAAGTCGCACAATTAGGTCGATGGTACCTAGGAGGATATTGAAAAACCCTTTCCCGTGTCGAGAGTGGTATGTTGACAAATAAAAATGGTGCGCGTGAGCATTCAGGTAAATTCAGGCAAAAAATCAGTGATGCTAGGTTAACATCTTTAAGGTCTGCAGTTTCACAAGTCTCTGGAGGCCAAGGTATTAGCAAGATTTTCGTGTGTCATAGTCAGACAGTATCACGCAATCCTACACTCAGTAAATAGACATTAGTGATAAAAGGGATGGGTAGTATCTAGATATCTTTGATGTTGTGTAATCTCACAAATCTCTGAAGACTAAGAAAGTAGAAAAACCTCAATTGTCATCGTGTGATGGTATTGTGCAAAATGGAACTCAGGAAATAGAGAAAAATGGTGAAAAGTCAGGTTATATTTGGACGTCTTGGGTGGTCAAAACATTCAAAATGCGATGGTCAGGCGCAGAAGAAACAAGCTGTGGTGGGATTGAGGCGGTATCTGTACATCAGAGAGAAGCCTGAGGATTGCTGGATGGTTCACCACACCCATTGTATAAATTGCATGCCCATAAATGAGGACCTAGCAAAGTACTGATTGTAATGAAGGAGGGTCATGTGCGATTGTTTCTTCTGAGCATGAATTGAACAATACACTCTCTGGAGACGATATGGGCATATATGGAACCACCACTTTACACGGCCTTAGAGAGATGTTTAATATTATGACAAGATACCAAGACAAAACCCGTCAAATCTGAGAGAAGACTGAACAGAGAATGAGAAGTCTTTGTTCTCAGATATGCATGGCACTAAACCGAAACATTTGCACAGTTATAGGATCAGGAAGTTGGTGGCAGGCTAGGTTATGACAAGCCTCGAACTTCTTAGACATAGAGTTGCCATAGTGCCACCGCTGGTTATACAAATCACATTCAAGGCGGGAATCTATGGACGGTCAGCTCAGAGTTTGTACTATCAACTTTGGGCAGAGAATATGCTGTATATCCAACCCTCGCTGAGATCACCACATCACACGATGTCCCTGTTCCTTGTTTTGCTTTGGTATTTACTTTCCTCTCCTTTTGTGGGATTGCTATTATCTGGGACCTTCAATCATTAGTAGCGTATCTGCGGATTCTGAAATGAACTCCCAACTTCATGCTTCCCAGGTCTTATTGGGGTGGAATGTGATCGAGGTCTTCTTCCCAAGTATCTAGCCACCGCCCCTGCTGCATACTGTATTCCTTCTCTATCAATCCACAGTTCTCTGAATGCCCTTTTCGTCTGAAACGCAATATGATACTATCCGTAGGACCATCGGGCAAAGTGACATCAACATCGCGGACTCGGTAGTTTTCCGGCAGTGGTGGTAACGAGAGATCTTCTGTACTTGGAGATTCAAGGAGATTGAAATCATCTCCAGTATAAACATATGCATAGAACCCCGCTTCTTCAATCTCCATGACTTTCCGGGCAATACACGCCGCAATCCGTGCATCCCAGAATCCTTCCCTGTGAATACTCGATTCCAGTAATCGGATAGCCTGTAATCGAATCCGATGCACACGACATTTGATTGCCACATAATACAGAGGTGACATCCAACCAATATCGATGACAGATCTAGACATATTCAAACAGCATGCAGAAGCGACTGGGACCGAGATTTGCGGTTCTTTCACGTTGACCAGAGTTACCAAGTGATTGAGAGCAATCAGAAATTGGTCGTTATACGTGTCGAATACAGATTCATCATCATAATCTCGTAGGCAAGTAGCCACCATTATTTGGGCGATTTTGTGATGGCTGAGTAGTAGGTGACATGCAAATGATTCTACATCCTGCCCTAAAGGAGTCTGTAGAGGATCTCTTGATCGTTCATAAGTGTGGAGCCAACGTTCGAGGTCTAGTTGAATGTCCACCTGCCTCTGAAATAATTGCATGTATGAATCGAATACCAAGCAAGCCGGTGGCTTTTGCCGTCGGATGCAACTGGACAACTCGAGTATTCTGAATAAGATGGATTCCAAGTAATGCCAAGCTTGATTGAAGTTATGGAATACGTCATATGGAGGAGAATGTTCTGGACTGTTGAATGTATAGACCAATGGATATCGTCGATGCTGATTCAGGAGAGCCACCTGAATCGATAACCTCGCAAACACTTCGATAATCCATTCATCAACTACTGGATAGCGATTCTGAACTTCTCGCAAAACGTTGACTCCGCTCTCTAGGTGAAATATGGCTGTCTTGAAATTGCCGCGAAGGAGCTCTAAACAGACGAAGACCGCACACGTTACCATAACCAGGCGAGCAGATAGTCTACCGTCAGCGGAGAGGTACGGCTGCAAATGACGAATGGCTTTTGAATAATGCTTCAGAATTCGCTTCTCTTTGTCACCTCTGGAGTCCCTACTCGCGTTCTGAGTGACTTGATTTGCATAATGGTTGACCTCGGTCTCATGGACACAACTGATAGCCAAAACAGCATGCAATACCGCCGGTTCGCTTAGAGCTGTTTGGAAGAGTAATGTCTCCCAGAACGCCAGGACGAAAAGACCATGCACTTTCGGCTTTACTCTGCACTTGTACCATTCGAAGCTTCGTTTCTCATCGAGTGTCAGGTTCAGGACCGTCGTAAATGGTATATTAATCAGAGCAAGCGGCTGTTGTAGACGCCTGCCATAGAAATTTCCTCCTCCGCCCCAGATCCCATATCCGTCACATACGCGACCAGTCGAATAACACCGCATACACATCGGACGATGTTCATCGCATTTTATCTTTCTCAACCTGTGCAGTGCATAAGTCTCACCCCTTTGGACGCCAATAGTTTCGTGCAGGAAGAGTCAGCTTACTTGCAAGTCCGACAGCCAGATTTAACCTTGGATTTCCGGGATCGATTCGGGGCAAGGCTGGAGTTGTGATTTTCTGTCATGCCGAGCAAACAATGATATGTATTCATAGACTAGGGGAGATAAATGCTCCATCAGAACAACTTGATATTGACTGGAGAATCGCCACAGCAATACGCTGTCCTGCCATTGTAGGCATTGATACCACTTGCAGTCTACGCCAATCAAAACAGCGTACCGTGTGGGACATTGTTCCATCTTGGACACAAAGCCGCCAAATCGAAATGGGATTTGCTTCCCATGGTCCCGAACTCCTTGACCCACTATTTATGGATAGAGTGGGGAATAAACTATCGGATTCAATTGGATGGTTTGGACAGTTTGAAGTTTCATTGGCTACTGCAAGAATGGGTCGTCTACCAGATCAAGATCGTGCATCTCAATCGGAAATCCGATGCTCTGATTGGTTCACTTCTACGATCTATAGTATATCATGGTCAAGGCTGTCTACTCTTAGTGATGCCTTCATGAACCTGAGAAGGATTATGCGGTGAGAGGATCTCTGCCTAAACACGTTATGTCAATGGTTTCCATTGAAATTGCCAGGGGGAGACACCCCAGTGGGCTATAAGTAGCGGCCATGCCTCCAATTGTCCAGTCCTGTTATTTGACATTCCCACCGATTCCAATTGTGTAGGCGGTTTGCAAACTTAGAAGTTCTTATTATATTAACTAGTTCTTCTTGTCACCATGCCAGAAAGCCCTATTCCGACGCGTAAACTGGGCAAGGACGGCCCTGACGTTCCAGCCATAGGCTTCGGATTGATGGGGATGACTGGTATCTACGGGACCGCTCCTAGCGAAGAGGAACGATTCAAAATCTTGGATCGGGCTGCTGAGATTGGCGCAACATTCTGGGACACGGCGGAGTAAGTCGATCGTGAGACGTGAGATGATTCGAGAGATCCGTCCGTCTGCTAAAGTCTCCCAGCATCTACGGCGACAATGAAGAAATGTTAGCCAAGTGGTTCCAACAAACAGGAAAACGAGACAAGATATTCCTCGCAACAAAGTTCGGTATTATGATGGAAGGGTTTAGATTCAAAGGAATCAATAGTTCTGCGGACTACTGCAAACAACAGTGCGACGCAAGCCTCAAACGTCTCGGCACTGATAAAATTGACCTCTGTATATCTTCCAAGAGCCGTTCGTGCAGAGTTTTGACCCGTGCCACGAAGCTAATTTACTTCTCCCAAGACTATGCTCATCGGCTGAACCACGACACGCCGATCGAAGAAACCATGAGGGCTCTAGCACAATTGCAGGCGTAAGCATCCCTCTCCGCGGTATTATTACTTGCACCATAGAGTTGACATGTCGTAGCGAAGGGAAAATAAAATATATCGGGTTATCGGAAGTGGGATCTGATTCGCTTCGGCGTGCTGTTAAAATTGCGCCTGTCGCCGCAGTCCAGATGGAGTACTCGCCTTTCGTGCGCGACATAGAGGGAGAGTCAAGTACGCATGTTCTCCAGACCTGTCGCGAGCTCGGCATCGCTGTTGTTTGTTACTCGCCTCTCGGTCGCGGCTTGCTTACCGGGAGGTTTTCCACCCAAGACTCACTGTCTGCCGAGGGCGATATCCGCGCCAAGTACTTTCCTTGGTTCAATGAGGAGAATTTCAGTCGTAACGTGTCAATTATCAACCGATTCAATGAATTTGCGCATAGAAAGCGATGCACTCCTTCACAGCTAGCGATTTCTTGGCTGCTTCACCAAGGGCCGGATATCATCCCAAATCCCAGAACCAAGTCCATCAAGTATCTGGAGGATAATGTGGGCGCATTAGCCGTCAAATTGACCGAGGACGAGATGGTTGAAATTCGGACGTTTTTGGAAAGCAATCAAATTGCCGGGTATCGTTCGACCGCAGGCAGCGAGAATTTTGCTTATGTCACGACCAAAGCTGAGAATTGAAAGTTCCATGTTTAATTGAAAGGAAATGTTTTCTTTCTGCTGTAGTTCTGAATGCTGTGGAAATTAAACACTATCGTAATCGATCAATCGGCCGTGAAAAGCTACCCAATGCGATTGCTTTTTGTGTCTCCATTGACGCGTTCAAAATCGAAGGTATTTCCATTTGTAGAAAAGTGTGCGCATTTAATGAGCTTATAATCGGTCAGCTCATATGTGACGAGAGAGTAGTAGCCAATGATTGCGACGGATGTTTGCGCTCGACAGGTATGTGCGTGACGCACAAGGGTTTGAGGTATATGCAATCGGGGTTTATGAGCTGTCTCTAAGCAGATCAGTGGACGTAATTTTCGGGCTTCAATTGTTAATGTCCGGGAAAAGCTTGAATCCTGAAACGCGACGTTTGGAGAAGTTGGATATATATCGAGCACGAGCTGGGCGACTTTGGGCGAGAGTACTGGTAAAATCAAGACATTTGAACTCTGATGTGTGCAAGTAGAACATGAGTAGCCTCTTATTGACCGAGAACTCCGCATGAGACAAAGATGACAAAATCCTGCTTTCTGCCATGTTCTGTCCGTGCGAGACCCCGGAAGCCGAAGTGGTCTGGAAATCACTACCTAGATAAGATAACTACATAGTACATCATGCCTGGGAGGACATGATTCGTATACACCGATCAGATCTTCCCCTGGAATCCATGTCAGCTCCACAAAACAACGATCCCGGTTCAACCACGAAGAACGATACTTGAGCACTACTATACTTCTGATTGGCATACGAGAATATTGCTAGGCGCACGGATGCAGCAAGGGCCGTGATCATGACGTTGCTGCCGAGCATAGCTTACAGCTTTAAAATAATATTTTTTTCTTGTTAAATCAGCTTCCTGAGACAAGTCCAGTGGCGACGGCATTTCGTGACTGCCCCTCATTACTCCACGAATCGACGGCTTTGTCTTGCTGCTATTTTCGGTTTCTCCCATTTATATCCTCCTAGGTAACTGCCAGGAAAAAATTTCCTTGCGTTCGAATCACTCTGATTGTTTGCTTGACGTTTTATATACAGTCAGACTCATAACCCTTGCCCTATCTCCACTGGACGACTGAGGTCGAATACATGCAACATCTTTTTTTATTCAACCGGACCTAGGTGAATCTTCTTGGCAGAGGGGCTTACGCCTAAAGCACATGCTAATTGATTGATTGGCATTTGGTTTTTCTGGCATGTCGCCACCGTTGACTTGAATACCTAGGGATAAGGTGCAGTTTGAAGAGTAATGCCTAATTCTTCCCGCGGGAGTTTTCAGCTAGTTCCAGAGTCGCACGGTCTTTCTACCAGCGACCAGCCGACGTCAGATAATACTGCTGCTGCTGTAGCTGGTGGACCACCTAGACAGGATACCCTGACTCCCACAAGCGGGCCGCGAGCAGCGCCAGAAGACTCTGGTGGTAACGGAAAGAAAGTATGGATTCCTCGAGCGTCTCATCGAGCAGGTCCATTGATGCGCGCCAGAACTAAGCATGCCTGCGAAGCATGTCGGAGAAGGCGCATTAAATGCGATGGAGCGCGACCTGTGTGTCAAGGCTGTGCGGCCGTGGGGACGCAGTGCTCATACGCCGACCATAAGCGTGTACGGGATAGGCAAGAGATGAAGTCACTGAAAAGTACCGTTGACCAGTACGAGCATCTCTTGCGTGACCTCCTTCATGAGGTCCCTGCAAGCGCCGCGAAACGTATCAAGTCAACATTAACAGTAAGACCTCTCATGACGTTGTGTACGGAGGACCAAGTAATCAGATCAGTGCATCTAACCTGGATATTTTCCCGCTGTTATTAGCCAACAGATTCCTACCCTCTGAATCGGAACCCGTCCATGTCAAGTTCATCATCTTCGTCAGCTGGCTCCATAGAAGGAATCGACACGATAAGCGAAGACCTCAACCGAAATGAAGAATCCAGAGCCACCGGCTTCATGGGGAAAAATTCTGTTCATGCCTGGTTACGCAACTTGGAACCAGACAGCGGATACCGGGTCTCACCTGATAGCAGCATGGAAGCAGGAAATAGGGCGCAATTCGGTCAGCCTATTTCTCCTCAGGGTTTAGACAACAATATGGCTGTGAGCTATTTCCTAGATGATAAAAAGCTCCCGGCATGCAATTCAGATGATACATACAAGTTGCCACCGAAGAATCTGGCAGACCGGATTCTGCATTCCTACTTCAGATCCGTACATCCATTTTTTCCGATTGTTCGTACCGATTTATTCCTAGAACAGTATAGAAGTCTTTGGGGGGTGAATGCGAACCCGCGACCAGGCCACAAATGGCTGGCAATATTCAATATGATTCTCGCTATTGGTTGCCGGCGACTTCAGTTTCTCAAGGAGACATTACCGACTGATGTGAGCCATGAAATTTTCTTCTCTCGCGCCAGATCTCTCAGCGTGAACGAGAATACGACCTTCGAACACGCCGACCTACAACAAGTGCAAGTTGAAGCTCTTGTAACATTATACTTTATGGTATCTATGCAGATTAATCGGTATACCTCCCTTCCCCCCCCCCAACTTTTTTTTTTCATTTTACCTTACTGCCATTCTACCGGCGCAGACTTTCCTAATCAACATATGACAAGAACTACTAACGCATAGACTATGATTATCACAGGGCCTGGAGAGTTTCTGGCATTGCAGTAAGATCAGCCATGGCATTGGCGATCAATCTTCGAATCACAGACACAGATCTACAGCCTGGATCCAAAGAAGCTCGTTCTCGGCTTTGGTGGTCCATCTACATGCTGGAGAACCTCTTGTCGCATATGACTGGGAGGCCTTCCTGCATTGGAAGCTCATCCTTTTCTGTTGATCAGCCTGTACCTTACTCAGAGGACATGTTTGACCATCCTCAGGTGATGAATCTACTGACTAACGAGACGCTTCGCAGAGAACGTTTAAGATGGTCATTGGAGGATCCGGAGAATGAAGATGATGACTATGATCCCTTCTGGCTCAATGACGTTGAGGTTAATCAGGGCCTCCAATTCTATCATCTTGTTGATTTAATGCATATAGTGCACATCGCCATTAGCGAGTTATTCTCTCCTAAGGGATTCCAAGCCAACAAGTCGTACATCAAACGACGCATACGCTTCTACGATGAGAGGCTAGACCATTGGCTAACTCGTCTACCGCCTGCATTCCGCTTCGTTGACCGCAACTATAATTTGAATTTGCATAAGTCGTCACAAGAGCAGGTTGTCTTAGCACTGCATCACTATGGAGCAAGGATTACTTTATACCGACCATGCTCACCTTTCAGGCGCTACGTCGGTGTCAAAGAGAAAGAATACGCGTACATCAGCCAAAGGTGTCTTCGAGCAGCGCTATCTCTGATTGCTGTCTTTCCAGACGTTGTTGATCTTGGTTGGGTCTACAACACCTCGCCCTGGTGGTCCCTACTCCACTTCTTGATGCAAGCAAGCACGATTCTAATATTATTCAGCCAAAACAATGAGATTCCGGGGAAGGATGTTGAAAATACCCTTGAAGTCCCTGAAGTAAGTGTCCAGGTTCAAGTTGCCTGTCAAAAGGCCCACAGATGGTTGCACGGCTTGTCAGGAGTCGATGAATCGTGTCGCCGAGCATTCCTACTCTACGGTGATCTCGTCCGGCGCCTCGGCCTTGTCATGAGCTCTTCTGCTACATCCAAGTCTGGATCAACACAGAGCAATCCTCCATCTTGGAGCCCAACCGATGTAACAAATGTCCAGAACCCAGATCACCTTGCCTATATGCAACGCCATGGTGATTATCAAAGCCAAATGGCGCTCCATAACTCGGCAGATCAATACAACCTGCCAATGTATGATGCGGGCAATGTACTGTCATCTACCTATTGGAGGAGTGTTGACTCAACTGGCGCCGTACGTTTCATCGGACCGGGAGGTGTAGGAGAGCTACCCAGCTTCTCACCTAGGACCCTGACGACCGATAATGTCGGAGATTGGGCGGGCAGAGCATTTGAAGACAATAATGTCCATATGGAGTTTTCTTGATCACAATTTGCGTTGGAGTTAGGGATAGTCTTTTCTTCGGTCATTCTTTCTCTGAGAATGTGTAACGAATATCATGTAGCGAGTCAAAAGCAATTCGTTTCTCTGAAGTCTAGAAATTAGCTCATACAAAAACTCGGATTTGTTGACACCAGGCCATTATTTTTATGGCGTGTGTTCATTTATTTCCAGATTCAAGTTGGACGTAGTATTTCATCCTTGATGCCACATGGAAAGTAGATTATCCAGTTTGGCTATATTGGATGGCTCTTTAGGTATCTACTGTACATTCACAATTAGATGGATTCCAACCTTTCCAAAATCTAATAATGCAACTTCGTGTATTGCCATTTTGGTACTCCAAAACAGAAACAGATACATCCATAGGAATACTGTATAATTGTCGCAGCAAAGGATGACAACCGCAATCAGTGATAATGCCGTATGGACAGCGTCAAGATATGCGACAGATTCATATAGCTACCAGGGTACAAAGACCACTCCCGTCGTTACCTCCCGGCTGGTGATTGGAGTTGATGTAGATTAGCTCCATACCAACCGGGAAAAGAAGGGTTGGTTGATCGATTAGATCGAAGTCATCAGCCTTTAGAGATATAAATAGGCATGAGAAGATCAGATTCTTGATGGAAGTATCAATTGCCCAGTATATAGCAAGTTTTCCGATCCGAACAGCGGCGAATTGCGATATAGAAGTCGGATTCCATTGTGTTACCTCTCGAGCTAGAGGCAGCTGCCTGGAACTACTGATAAAATGTGTATTATTCCATTGCGCCAGAGAGGCGTAATACTTGTGAGGGATGATATAAACTAGTTTTGAATTCAAAGGCTTCGTTTGGACCCAAATTGACTTCTTTTCGAGAAAGAGAAGTGAGGTAGAATGGGTAATCCATGCACAAATCAGGAATCCCCAGAGGCTGCCCCAATCACCAGGCAAGTTCGTCGCAGATATCAAAGACGCATATGCGGACGTCAGTAATAGCGGCAGACAAGTGACCCTTCCAGCCAGTGATAAAGTGGCTGCCTTGATGGCGTTCACCAGCTTTGTCCAGCACCCGCTGCCATCCTTGAATTAATTATTCTTGCGGCTTGGTATGTCTACTGGTTCCTCTCCCACTTTGATCGGTTGACTTATGAACGCGACAGTGCAGGCGCTGTTGGAGGTTGGGGAGCGTTGATGGGAAAGATCACGAAGCGCGACTATACCCATGTTGACAGCAATCTGTTGCTTGAGCATGATACTGATGTGAATGATCCAAGACAAACACAGGTCAAAATTAGATGTAACATAAGGCTAATCTCTTGGCAACAACCATTCAAGAGTCTTCCTCAGCCGGCCGGGAACTCGTGCAAAAACCAACCCAAGGACGGAAAGATTCATTTTACGCATAATGGTCATGGGGGGATTCCGAATTGACGGTGTACCTCCTACGTGTATGACCTTGTCGAATGTGCTTATTGGAAATAGCCGTGACCAGCCGGAACCAATGGCTCTTGGTAAATTGAAAATGCTCTTTTTCTGGCGCATGAGCTAATGATCCATGATCTCCTTAGGGAGCAGCTCCCTTGGCTACTCTGGGTTAAGCAGTGCCCAGCTCGACAGACTCCAATCTGTACTTGATAGTCATCATCGCAATTAATCTAAATTTGCTACTAGGTTTGAGGACCGTCACGACCCAGCGTCCAATCCTCTTCTCTGCTGTATTTGCTTCGGATGGCCAGCTCTAAAGGCTCTATTCTTTCCCCAAGATTATGTGCTGGTGTAATATATCAGGAAGATATCTAACAAATGAGTTGAGTTATAGACGTGGGACTCTATAAGCTTATCTTCAAAGAACTTCTTAACCGTAATTGTGATGGCCTTTGTCGAGTCAATTAGAATAATTACAAATCTATATCACAATCCTCTGTCCCTTGCTGGGTCCTAGATATAGACCTAACCTAAGGTAAGCGAATGCTTTATGCGGTTTCATACCACTCGGTCTTGCCGTTGTGCTAAATACGTATTTTGTCAGTGAATGTCCATTAAGACGCGGTCGAACGGGATAAACTTACTCCTGTACGGCTGTACTTGACGCCGACGGCAGTTCCGCTGACAGCATCGTAAGGAACAGGGCTGGTATAGTTGTATGTAGGCTTAAGCCCGTGATAGGTTTGCTTAACGGTGTTAAGGATAGACCTTCCGCCAGAGCAAGTACCGGTGGTCAATGGGACGGGCCAAGCCGCGCTGAAGGCCTTATTGGACAGCGGGCCAGGATAAGAGGTGTTCAAGTTGAAGTTGCTCGTGTCCACGTCATAGTTGATATAGCCGGTCTTGTCAGCGACGATGGACAGAAGGTTAGCACCACAATCCCAGCGACCGAGAGAGGGAAGGTCAAAGTTGGCGGAGAGAGAAGCAATCACGGAGTAGTGAGTATAAAAGGTGTCATCGGTGGTACCCTTGAGATGGTCAGGGACGGCACCTCCAACCAGCAAAGAGTAGACTTTGTTGGGGTGGGTTTTGTTGCCATTCTCGTCAAAGGTAAGCAGAACAAGAGTGTCCTCCATGAAGCATTCATTCTTGAACAGCTCGCCCAGAAAATTGTAAGACCAAGTACCGCTGAAAGCGACGTTGGTGTCATGGCCGTCATTGGTCATGTTGGGAGTGATGAATGAGTATTGTGGCAGACGCTGGTTGTCAAGGTCGTCATAGAAGCTGGTGAAGTTCTTAATCTGGCGGAGACGAGTAGCGTCGTCGGTCACAGAGTTGAAGAGAATGAGAGGGTTATGCTTGCGCACGTAGTTGTTAGGGCCAGACTCGGGGTAGCGGAAACCCTGGTAACCGGCGTAAGGAAGAGCCTCTTGATACTCGGCCCAGGAGAGCTTTTTGGTATCGAAAAGATCGGCAATGGTGGACACATTGTTAGGAATCTGGTGCCAGTCATCATTGTCCATTCCGAAATGGTCACCACCGGCTGCAGCGCAGTAGTTGGGTTCAGATGGATGAGTAACGGCCCAGTAGTTGCTCAAGAAGATACCATTCTTCTTCAACTCGGCAAGGTGGGATTCTGCCTCAGCAGTCTCGAGGTCCTACGAAACATTAACAGTTGCTTTCGTATGTGAGACGGCAATATGTATATTGCTTACGGTATTCTCCAACCAGATATCAACGAATCGGCTAAATACCTTGCCGTGGACCTTCGAGACCGGGGAGTAAGGAACAACGGAGGCTTGGGCAGCGGCGATCTCTGCAGCAGAGGGGTACTGCTCAGTGGTGGTCTGAGCAGCAGTCAAGCTGCAGGTAGCCATCATGGCCAGCAAAATATTGTACAGCATCTTTTGGGACAACATATTGATAGAACTGTTTGAAACTACGGTGGTCGAGCAGGGCCGTTCTGAGTAGTTGCTCAGAGGTTTGTACTCCCTTTTATATGTTTATTGACTACCCCAGGTACTTGCATGGGCATAAGGTTCTTCTGGATTGCGCGGTCAGACCTGGATCCGCCCATTGCGCTCAAAGTTTGCTTCTAGATCGCTGCAAGTCCACGTTGCGCGAGACTCTCGCTCTGGATAGCTCCTAGATCGACAATGGCCGGCCATTCTACACTGCAAGTCGAACGATCAGCATCTATCCACCCATGTCAAAGCAGTGAGATGAAACATTAATATGATCCTGTATAGGTGTCAATCTTTGATCCTCAGAGGTTGTTCCTAGCTGTCAAACTGCAATACGACCTTGTGAATTAGTCAGCTATACATTAAAACAATGCGCCAATGAAATCGCTCGAAATGGGCAGACATGTTCTCAATTCCGATATCTTGATTGGTTGATCTGGAAGTAGCTTAACTATGTACATACGTAGTACGTATCTTTGGGCAGTCCTCTTGGAGGGGCAGTATTTATGTAGCCAACCGAGAACCAATTAGATATTTTTTCCGCCAGGATCAATAAACTACCGCTTGCGTAAGCCAACAAAAGGAGACATCATCCAGAAGATATCGCACGTGGCTGTCTAACGAGGATGAGCTCGTACGAATCGGAGGCGTGCGATGACATATTCAGCTATCTTAATGATGATAGCAGTCATATCGAAGACAAGTCTAGAACAGGAAGGTGTCTTGAATACAAGACCCGCTACTACGCATGCCGACACGAAGTGGCGCAGTATAAAGATCATTAGATGAACATAAATGAACAGCATCCATACCGGAAGTACTATAGTACATGGAAATTGGTGGACCCAGTGCAACGAGTTGAAACTTCACCCGCTCATAACACGCCAATTAGCACCCAAGCCGGCTCCCAGCTCTATAACCATATCCAAACACGTTTCGCTAACCCGGGATATAAACCGAACAGACAAGGACATTAAAAACATTAAGTATCAGTCGTGGATGCATCGTCAAACCTCAAACGGCATTGGGTGATATCATGAGAAAATAAGAAAAGAGCCTCACACTTTGCCCTGACTACTGGCTATGTGTATTTCGGTAGTCTTCTGAATGTTGTATTGCTTCGATGGATCGACCTCGTCAAGATGTACATCACCACCTAGCACCCGAGTCTCAGTGGCTATACTGCTATCGAATATGTGCTCTTCACTTTCACTTCGACCCAAGTGCGCTTCGTCATGGTTGGATGAGATAGCCGAGAAATTCCGGCTCCGGCCCCCGGTATGACCTGAGAATGGATGGCCGGATGTCTTTCCACCGTAGTAGAGTTGTTGTGAGCTCTTCTTTGATCCGGTAGCGGTAGAGTGGAGGAACCCGATCGTCCGGCGAAGAAACGACCAGACGTACGGCAGATTGGAGACGTAGATCCCGACTGAGGCTTCGCGGAGGTACCAGAATTGATAGGAAGTGTCGTATATATCGCGGAACGTGAAGACTTTCGAAACGATAGCGCAAATTATCTGTATTAACACGACGAGGATTAGCTAGTATACGATATTCCTATTTCCATGCGTGGACCATACCAGGAAGAAACCCAGCCCGAAAATCACCAGAACTGGAATTTTCTCTCTATTCGACATGTTCATCTTCCACAACCGGGGAATGATAACCAGCAAGATGGCCAAATCAGAGGAAATATTGAAGACCGCTTGAACGACTTCGTAGTTGAAGTACGTGGCGCATTGTTGCTGGGGCGGCGGAAGTGTCCAGTATCCGGAGAACGGGCGACAGTTTAAAAAAAGGGTAAGCTCGACGGCGACGTATCCAGCGGCAGTATAAGCAGCACACAGTTTGACCCAGAATTGCCAATCAAGATTTGCACTAATTATTGAGGTGGAAATGCATCAGCGGATAAAGCATCACTCAGTAAGCAAGTACGGCAAATGAGGCACTCACGTCATGCGGTAATAGATGATGAGCATGCAGGCCTTGAGGAACCAGATCGTATTGACCATACACTGAAGCATTGCAAATGTCAATTCTTATTGCATTTGGCGTTCATCACGCGAAGCGTTCTCACCTGCTCTGAAGCAAACTCCACTTTGGCAAACTGTGATCTGGCCGCAATATCCTCCGGGGTGAACGTAGAGAATTCCTCTGGCGGATAAAGTGTTCCCCCACCACCTTCTGCCAATTGAATGTTGGTAACGACTAGAGCAGTGTACCAGCCCTAATTGATAACAAGAGCTATTAGCTTGACTTGACCAAAAACAGAATTCGTCGCTGGCAATGCGCGTGGAGACGTACAATTGCCAGCACCATGAGAACATCTTCGGCTTGCCATTTCAAGCCTAACCGATCATATCGAGCATATCTGTTTCCATTGTTAGACGGGGTATTGAGCAAATGCCAAACGGCCCATAGATGCGTACAGTCGTAATAGGTATAATAAAATTCCAATGGAGTACATAATCCATGATTGCACCACAAGGTCGTGTGGGCTACCACCACCATCTACGGCCATTATATCTCTTTTGCTCTCCGATGGACATGTATGCAATGGTTTTTCAAGGACAAGGACAAAAAGAGTGGCGCGGCCGTTTAGCTTCCGACGAGGTAAACGGGCGCAGACGGCGAAAGAGTGGAATGGGAATAAGATGTTCGTGAGAGCCTGCCGAAGCCACCACCTCCCACGGGGGTGAAATGGCACTCCTGGAGTAGTGTAAGGAAAGACTTGTTGAGCAGTTGAAGCGTGATCGACCTTATCTCCAGGCTAACCTAAATCGGACGATTAGGGAGAAGCCGACACACCAACCAAGGTTCACTTCATATCGTCAAGTTCATGCCCTCTGATCGGCTGTTGACACAGTGCGTGATGTTTGCGGATTTTTCTGTTGTCGAATTGTCACTGGAATTTCCCATGGGCTGATGCTGACGTAGTCGGCCAACAAAACTGTGTTTTTGTGGCGTGTGGCAACCAATCTCATACAGAACCAATGAGACAGGACCGGAAATGTGTTGTGCAATTCGCGACTGTTGGCTTGCCTGTCGAAGAATGGGAAAAAGCAGTACGGAGTAGTAGCGAGGGTGTCAGACAGGGAGAGTTTCGTAGACCTCCAAATGGAGGCAAAGATAAGAGGAATGCTTGCCTTGGGAACTAGGCCGCCACCATACAGGGTTCTTGCCTTGTGGCCAATGAACATCCAGAAACATCCAGAGACTAGCCTGTTTATGGACTAGCTTCCATGCCATCCCGTCCGTGCATGGAGCTAACCTAATTAGGAGCTCTAAAGGTTGCATCCGTTCTTCCGCCGTCTCTTTGCTGTCTCTACAAGTTACTCCGTACAGCTTCACCTTTTATATTGACTATTCACTTAGTCTCGGTGCAGACTCCTGATTGGTATTACCTCTCATGACCGGGCTATGTTTCAGGATTCTAGAACCACTCTAGCCATTATCGAGAACCCACAGGGTCCGATGTGGGCCTCGGAAATGCGCACAAGCTACGCCGTAGCTAAGAATTTCTAATGACTGTTCGCCAATGCTTGTCGATGCTTGTCTGCCCTCCCCCACTTGGCTGCAATCGAAGGATGACATGGATGCATTCATGGTTGAATCAATTGTCACATCAAATGACAGTGGTTGTAACTAGTCTAGCGGTGCAGTAGTACATGTGCAGCAATTTTTTTTCTCTCTGAGCATGCCCGCACCGGCCAATCAGTGGTTCCCCGCCACCTGCACCTGCTATCCGCTGCTCTTTTTTATATCTTTCCAGAATTCCTCTTTATCATCCCTGCTCTTTCGCATGTGCGGGATACCTTTTATTCCTCAGCAGGACTTGGTAGACACGTTGGTTGCCGTGCATCTCTCCTCGAGCTGTCTAGGGTTTCTCAAAGACATCCAACCATGGAGAAGCAGCCGAGCGACATCGTCAACACCGATGGCTCGGCCCTCGAAAGCCAACAATCCGATGCCGTCAAGCATACCAGCTCCAGCGGTGTTCTTGCTCGCCTAAACGAGCGAATCGCCTCAATCCGTTTCATGGAAGCTCGTGGTATCGAACGGGTTCCAGAATCCGAGCGCCATAGCACCACTGCTGCCGATTACATGCAGATGGCCCTGCTGTGGTTCAGTACGAACATCACCGCCAACAACATCGCCGTCGGTATGCTCGGTCCGCTGGACTACGGACTCAGTTTTACCGATTCTGCACTTTGCGCCACTTTCGGGGCATTTTTGGGTGCTGCTGGCGCTGCTTACATGGGCACCTGGGGACCAGTCAGTGGTAATCGTACTATGGTAATTATTGCCGACGCCCGGTTGTAATCTCAACTATCTAACCCAATCTTAGGTCGTTGCGCGTTACTTTATGGGCTATTACCCCAGCAAGATCTGCGCCCTGCTGAATATCGTCATCATGCTGGGTTATGGAATGATTGACTGCCTCGTCGGAGGGCAGGTTTTGTCTGCTGTCGCCGGTGGTAACATGACTGTCGTCGTCGGTACAATCATCGTTGCAATCGTCACGTGGATCGTGGTTATCTTCGGCATGTCTGTGTTTCACAAGTACGAGAGATGGGCATGGGTCCCGCAGTTGATTGCTCTATTTGTCCTGGTCGGTTCCGCCGGTCCCAAGTTCGACACCAATATTCAGTCTGTCGGCACATCACGCGACATCGCTGGCAACCGTCTATCATTTTTCTCACTTTGCCTGTCGTCTTCCGTTGCTTGGGCACCCGCCGGCGCCGACTATTACGTATACTATCCCCCAACTACCAAGAAATGGATTACTTTTACCATGAGTTTCTTCGGTATCGGGCTTGCATTGACGTTTGCCAATCTTCTTGGTGTTGGCCTCGGATCCGGAACTCACAGTAATACTGACTGGGCGGATGCTATTGACGTATCGTCTGGCGCTTTGATTATGCAAGGCTATAACGGTCTGGGCGGATTTGGAAAATTCCTCGGTGTATTGATTGCCCTGGGTCTTGTCGCAAATAACATTCCCGGAACTTACTCGGCTACCCTTGGTTTTCAAACGCTCGGTCGCTATGGAGTTGCATTTCCTCGTTGGTTCTGGACTTGCGTCGGTGTGGTCATTTACACTGCATGTGCCCTTGGTGGTAGGGAACATTTGTTCGATATATTTGAGAACTTCCTCGCTCTCATGGGTTACTGGGTCACGATTTTCTTGACTATTGTCCTGGAAGAACACATGATCTTTCGCTGGGGCAAGATCGCACCGGCCTTTGACTGGTCGATCTGGGCAGACCGAAGCAAGCTGCCTCTGGGGTTAGCTGCATTTACAGCATTCGTGATTGGATGGGTTGGAAGTATCATGTGCATGGACCAGATCTACTATGTCGGCCCCATCGCCAAGTTGGTCAGCACTGAGGGTGCCGATTTGGGTATTTGGGTTGGGTGCGCCTGGGCCATGATTGTCTTTCCTCCGTTGCGATTGTTGGAGTTGAAGAAGTTCGGCCGATAGACTCATTCAATGGGGTCTTGCTTGTCAAAGATAGGCATTGCTGGTGTTATCTGACGCGGTGATTGTTACTGTGATTCATCCAAGCATTTATATAGAGCGTAGAATACCTCCTGATCATCACACTCGCAGATGACGAGGTCTGGCCATCCCATCACACAAGATTTATGTGGAGAACCCGACATATTTAGTTCTGCTTAACTTTTTTTGCAGTCCGCAGCCGTCAACCTTTCAAACTTCAAGTTAAATGTAGTTATTTGCAGTAAATTGTCTACGCAATTTTCCAGGTCCACATGTTCATCCCCATTTTATTACCCGTGGTCACCGGCATACCTGCATGGAGAGTCATCTTATGCCCTGCGTCGTCTTCCTGAAGATTTTCCCAATATATGGCATTTCCGAGAATCGGTTTGAATGTAATTCCCTCGTCGAACGGCCGGTCACAGTCGATGAATTCGCACCAGCTGTCATCGTCTGGTGGAGTAAGTCGCGCAAAGTTTGTACCTCCGCCCGTACAATTTGCATGTATATAAACGAAGAATGTAGAAGCGATATTCCCTCCAACCGCCTGTGCATCATCAAACCAGTCATAGTGGTCACGATACTGACCGGAGATGCCGTAGTTCTGTACCACGATAGGCATGAAGTCGCCGACAAGTTTGTAAAAAGGAAAGGAAATTGCGCGCTCTTCAATTTTTTTGATGATTTCGTCGCTTCGATCTAGTTTCGCAGTCATTGAAAGTCGGTACGCTTTATCGATATGCGATTTTCCGTCGTTATCCCATATCGACGACGGAGTGAATCGGCCATTCCTATGTCAAAGTCGACAGTCAGATGTGCTTATCGAATCCCCGAGTCAACTTACGCCAATTGCACCAGGTGAGCTGCTTCCTGTGTGCTGATAAAGTCCTTCACGTAGACTACAAGTGGGTCATCGGAAAGAGTGTAGATCTGCGGATGCGATATTTGAAAACCATTGTCTTTACTCGCACGCAGCCATTCGAATGGTGATACACCCAGTGAACTGAAAGCACACGAAATGGCAACAGCAGCGACAAGCAGGCTGAGCGAGCGAAAGAGGAGACTGCCCATTGCCATTGCCTTATAATCAGACAAACGTAAGCAGAAAGCAGATAGGAATGGAAAATGCCATTCGAAGGCAGTCAGCCATATTCCTTCATCGCCACAAAAAACCAGCTGAGGAATGAAGTGAAGTTGTCGAGTGATTCTTATCGATAAGGCACGTGCCTCGGTCACTGATGGCCATTGGAGCCCACCAATTAAATGCCGCGTTTCCCTTCAACATCTCTTCACAAGAATGGCGATAGGCGTCAATTTGTCCCTTTTCGCTACTAAGGGCTTTCGAAATGATACCACAGCTGTCACGACGACTCAAATTATGGTTGCGTTTACTCCTTTTCTTTGAACTTTGTTGCGGGGAGATAGTATCTCTAGATCGAGAGGGCTTCGAAAAGCGTGCTATCTTACCAGGGGTGTTCGTGTTAAGCTGTAAGCGGGATATCCCATACTCTGTTGTATACGGCTAACATATTGATGATAGTCTGTGTAGTAAGTATTAGGCTCACTGCTAGACATCGAGGTATCTGTTTACATGCTGATTCTTGAATGTCTCGTGTTCAGCCCTGGTTGTATGCTTCCCACTCCTGCACATAGGTTAACAATGTTGCTGACCACTTAACAGCGAACCATGCAAAAAACTTCATAATGAACTCATTCTTGCTTCCGATAGCTTAAGCAAAACATCAGATGTCAGCGTATATGAAGTAGATTGCTCAGAAAATGAAAAGTTTTGCGCTTCTCTGGAAGTCTTGTCATACCCAACTATTCGATTATTCCAGCATCAAAATTGGTCACGCTATCGAGGCCCGCAAAGAGCAACGCCGTAGGGCTTCCGAACCACCTTGTTATACTTACCGGCTAATAAACCCCTTTGTTACAGGCTAGTTACACATGTCTTGAAAAGAGTCACGAATTCCTTTGTCGAATTAGACGAAGATCGATTTGCTATCATGAAAACTCTGGACCTGCCTTTGATAGCTGTAACGCGTGCCAAAGATGATGACTCTTTAATCGATCTCATCGCATCTCTTGCAAATGAAGAACTAGCGGAGGATTTCTTTGTTGGTGTCATACCTGACGCTGAATCCACCCGCAAAGATTCGCTCATCACTGTTTTCAATGTTCTAGATGAAACAACGCCAAAGTACCACGGTCCGTTCGAAAAGCATGCTATTTTACGTTTTGCCAGTTTGGTATCACAACCCTTGATCAGACAATTTGATATGTCCTCACTAGTGAGCTTTATGAAGGTACGCCCTCCTTTGATGGGGCTACAGAACATTTATCTGATCTCAGCTAGTCCGGCCTACCCATTGGAATGATATATTCAGCCAATGAAGACGAGCGAAAATTGATCGCGCAAGCATTGTCAAATGTAGCAATGGGTTATCGAGGAAAGGTCAATTTTGCTACTGTGGACGCTATCAAGAACTCATTTGCCCTCGAACCAATGGGCTTGAAGCTGGACCAGCTGCCCGCTTTTGTCATTCAGACTGATGAAAATATCTACAAATTCAGCCCAGGCGAGAGAATTACGCCTGAGGCAATCGATGCGTTTGTCAAGGAAAACTTATTTTCCGGGACGATGCAGGTGGACCGCCTGACTGTACAATAAATATCATGCATAACTGAGTTCCGAGATATACTTTTACAACAATCAAATCTATACACGAAGATAAGTCTTCAACTGGACAAATATATTTGTCTCTGACATACGGCGCACGATTCGGATGCTCTGTGTGTTTATACCGGTGCTTGGAGGTCGCACAAGAATTGAATACGATGGTCCCGGCAACCTTGGAAATTTACTCGTTCTTGTCGATATTGGAAAGACTTCATCAACTCTCATAATGATTTCCAACACCCTCGTTCTTGGAAGCTGACTTCATCTATCTAGATGATACAGGACGTAGCTCAAGGAGCTACATGAAGCTATTCGGAACAGGCAAAGATTTCATATAACTCTCAGTCACATGACCAATTCAGGGGCTAACGGTAGAGGGGGATTTGAGCAACAGGAAGTCTCCGGCTGCACCGTGACAAAGCTATATAACGTAATGTTAAAAATAAAAGATTTGAGTTGTAGTTGCTCTAAGACAGATTTTAAATTACAATTACAGACTCAATACAGGAAGGTGTGGATGTGTGCCCCTATTGCCTGCCCTGAAATTACACGGCATTAAGTAGTGTACTATTTTGACTATATGGAAACCCGAATACGGAGTACATGCTGACAAATATGTCAATAGTGTGAATCGGCACCCTGAGGCATCCGGTGGCTTTCTGTAGTTATCCGTGTTTTACACCTCATTCCATATTCTGTCAAACAAACATGGATGCACCCAGCAATATCAATGATGAGATCTCTTCGCTATCGAGGCAAATCGAGCAGGAAGAGGGCGCGATCGAGGCGGTGGAGCGTCTAGCACAGAACGCATCACCCAAGAACGTGTGTATCTTATTGCTGCCCAAAAAAACTCCAGTGGTCTACTTCACGAAACAAAGTACGCCACCTCGAGAAAAAGCTGAAGAATCTCCAACTGATACGCGATGCACCAGACTGGGTTGTAGTCTTTGCGCAGGAGCAGAACGATCACGATGAAAATTGGAAACATTGAGATCCAGGACAAGATTTTGCGAATGCAAATAGGCTGCCTGAATCTCGCGTGCTTGGTGAGTTGCTTGCACGATATTTACCTTTTTTTGCAATCAACAAGTTTTCTTACCCTCCACGCAGAATTTCTCATGACGGATGTCGATTCTAGTATTTCATCGCTATCCAAACTTGCGTTTATATTATATCAACTGCATGCGATGCGGAGGTTACACCAAACCCGCTCAATAAACGCGAGCGACCAGAAGAATGTTTATTTGCAGAACACAATAAGCCACTATACGCCAATTCTGGAACACTATGCAAAAGGGCCGAGAATGGGCCTGGACTTTGAAAGCATGTATTCATTCTTATCAGGTAGCTACCCGTCTTGTATGTTGTTTTGTTGATGTAGGGATCGCTCTAATTTTGGTTTGTGTTGGAGGGGGAATCTACTTGGAAGGGGCCAATGAGTCGCCAAGGACATGTCTTCTGTCCATTCATATCCACTCAATCCACTCAGTTGAAGGCATTGCAAACACTTCTGAAATTTCAATTCAATCTGACCCGAGATGGGATTCGCGCTGGACGAATAGATTGAAGTGTCAAATCAACCACACAGGCCAGCCACAGAAAGAAGATGAGGCTCTCTTTGATTATGGACAAGTTGATGCGTATTCCATTATCGAATTAATGGTTATCAAAACAGAGAGAGATCATAGTGCCCTAATTGGTGGTCTCTTCATTCGTGTCCTCGATATCATCAATTATACGCACCACAAGAATTCAACAGATGTAATCGATGCTTGGTTTGAAATAGCTCCTGCTGGAAAAGTGCATCTGACAATCAAATGTGGTAAGGATGTTCTTCTGAATACTAGTGCTTTCTATATGCTAACTCTTAATTTCATGTTTAGTTGAGACTCCAGGCGAGAATTTACAAACGGACCACAACCTAGCATGGTGGATGCCAAAACCGAAACGCCATATATTGCGGCTAATGGAGAATCAGTTCCCCGATTCAGGGCACAAGTTTGTAGTGAAATTATTTGATTTCCAAATGCGATGCGCTCTTTGTGCCGTATCATCATGCACTTTTTCTCTAGCTGCGCAATGTACAACGTGCAAGATATTGTGTCATACACGTTGCTTAGGAGATGATAGTTTTGCATGGATACCGCCGTGTCTCAATATCTCGCCACCACTGAGCAAGTACGAATCTAAATTGCATCAATGGGTACCTTTTCTTAATCTATCAGCCGACTGGTGCTCCCATTGTGGATTCCCTCTGTCTTTGGGACAGGGAAACCACCAGGAGGGTCCTAATAGGCGATGTGAAAGAGTGTGCAGAGACTTGCCATGCTCAATGTCAACTTCTTGTGCCGAGTAGATGTGGCTTCTTTCCTACTTTGCCCTCACGTCCAAGACCTTTGATCATTTTCAAGCAGCCTGGAATGAAACGTCTGATGTCCGAGGATAATATTATTATATCCAAACTTCGACTCAAACGATAAAGCTCACTTTCATATGGATGATGCACAACCAAGAGAGATGAACTCTGAAAATTCACTGCATACTATATCTATCATCTATCAATATTTACAGCTGTCTTCCATATATTAGAATGCTCACTCGCTAACTCAGTATACTCTAATTCTAGCTTGTACGTAGTTCAGTTCGCACTCGAGCAGTTTCCGTATGGAGTAAGGAAAAATAAACCGGATTACTGATTGTGGTCATTCCGGGTACGTAACTTTCTTTTTCCAAGTTTCCTCACGAAAAAGTTTTTTATATCACATCTTATTGCTCTGCAAGTAAATCCCTGTCTTGTCCAGATCTCATGACTGTATCCCCAGATGCGATAAGACCAAGATGAATAGTTGGAGAAGGTGTATGTCCCAGTGCAAGAGTATTCTGAAGCCGCTTTCGTTGGACAAGTTTATCCTTGTCACATTTTAATTGATGGCACGATAGATCAAATACTTCATCACAGACTGTGTTATTGGTAGGATGGGCACAGCTGATGCAATCAATGCGGCCGTGATGTTCATGCCGATACGTAGACTGAAAGAGTTCATCCTGCTCTATCCCTGGATATCGTGAGGTTTTATTGCCAAGAGTCTGATTGATAGCTGCAAGATAATTATCCATCATGTTCCTGATCCGCTTCTATGCCATCATCGTCTTGATTTTCGAAAGAAAACCTCGTATCGCCGCGTTAGGCGACCAAGTTCATTTGTCACAGATGTCTTGCGAAGAAACCTCCCTGGAAATCTTCTGCCAAAGTCATGCTGGACAATCCCTTCACTGACCACTGTACGGAGTATCTCCGAGGAGAATCTCTGCAGGTCCTTTCTTAAATGGGACACCACCACAAATTCCGACGACCAGGGCGAGGTTGATATTAGGATAGATTGATCGTATAGAAGAGTCAGCTTGGGACGCAGTGCTCTTGCCCATACCGGGAAAGTGTACCAAAACGGCGTGGTGGTGATCCATTCAGCTGAGAGTGTATGTGTTCGAGTCTCCTGGCGCGTTCAGGGTAGGATCTTGGCAGAACTCATCGCAAAGAACGCTAACTGCATTGACTTCTAGCGGTATGGCACAGAATATTACAATCGTGTAATCCGCTTGAAGTGGAGACTCCGAGGCATTGATAGTCTTGTTTGAAAAGTTTTGGTGAGAAACTGTCTCGGTTATGCTCGTCGCGAGAGGACTCTGAATATCCCAGTCATCTCGATAGGTGTCGGATAGTCTTTTCAATGGGTAGACAATTTTCTCATAGAGAGTGCTCTGTCGGGCTCTGATCCCTTCTACCTCTCTGGATAGCTGTGTCGAGTAGAAACTGCACAGCTCAGGGTCGAGGTAATTGTTAACGGCCTCTTTATACACAGGATGTACAGTGTCCTTCAAATTGCTTCTTTGTGTTGTTGTCCACGCCCATGTATAGTAATCATTAATCACGGTTTCACTTCATGGATGAGGACACTCCTCACTTGTCAAGGGCCGCTTGATGGCAATTTCGATTAGAAGGATCCCTAATGCAAGAATTTTTGGATATTGATGCATAAGACCACTGTCAAAATAGAAGTTTTTAGACTTCACATTCGCTCGAACTAACTTTGTCTTCAGGTACGGATGTGGTTTTCCCTGGATTGTAAGGCCAGTCCCATCATTCAGTAACTAAATGCTCTCGTGGCTCCACGGTGTGATTATCCACGGCGAATTGTAATATTGCCAGACGGGTCTTGCAATAGTAAAGGTGAGATGAGACTTTCCATTTTTAGAGATGCGAGGGATTTTTTCAAGCCATTGCTTTAGTGAAAGCCCTTCAAAGGGAGAAACACCACGGCATGGTTCGGCATTAGGGGCTTCTACAACCTTAAGCACGTTTGATTGGATATAAAAGTATATGGAATCCGTAAGTCGATCATCGACCACACCATTCAGGGCTTCAGGGCTTCATGTTCAGAGGGGAAGGTCAAATCACCTCGTACACATCTGTCCAGATGTAGGAAATAGTCGGGAAAGGATAAGAGGGATGTTTTTTGGTCCAGGCGTTTGCAAGTATGACTGCCTAAGCGGTCATTCTTGATGAGCGCCCCCATCCAGAAGTATTTGATCATGGCTCTAAGCAAGGATCCATTATCAATATTCTTGGTTTTATTTCTTCCAGAGCAGCCTTTGCAACTCGTATAGCGATTTGGGATCTTCAGATTGTGATGGTAATGATGGAAGTACAGTACGACACGAGCTGTCGGACCTTGACAAGCAAGCTCCAAATACGATAGTGAAATGTTTCATCTTTTGCAAACTTCACGATACCCTTGACATAAGGATCATTGGGGCATTGCAGCAGGGCTTGAACAACACGATAAAAAGCTTCCCATTCACGGCTGGAGATGTCTGCATTGAAGAGTCTAGTAGGCAGCAATCAAAGAGTAATGCAAACTACTTGAAGGGGCGCAATAGTGCAATACGTCGGGTCGTTTGACTGCTCATCAGCCACACTCTAAATGCCAATCACTCGTGTATTCTTAGAATCTTCTCCACTTTTCACATCTTAGATATTCCTTAACTTATATGTCTCCTTCCCTGCGTATCCATCGATCCATCCTATCATTTATTTCAGTTTACTTTTGATGAAACAGGAAAATATCGTCGAGACTTTTCTGGCTTTGCTCGGCAATAATCTCCTGAGCAATAACCATGGATATAACCATGGAAACTCAGCTTGGCTACTACGTAGTTTCCCTGGCGTCAATGAAGTACTGACTGGAAGTAATCAATATGATTTCATATCTTTATTCGAAATACGACGACAGTCACCCATTAAATAGCCTATATATGCGAAGAGACTTGTATGTCTCGGTTCAGACCGAAATGAAAAGGCCGATCTCTTGCTTGGGTATTCATAAATAAGAAAGAAACACCACCTAGAGATGACAATCCAACCATATTCCAAGCAGCGTATTTCAATTATATCATTAGACATTAGTCGGGGTCAACGTTCCATAGCGAGGTATATACGCCATAGTATAAATCCCTGGTCCAAGAGTACTATGTGGGGGAACGGACGAGAGGAGAGGTAAAAGTCGGCTTTTTGCTGACACGATAAACAAGTTTATCGGTGAAGAAGTGTGATAGTTCAGCGTGAATAGCGGGGATCGAACCGAAAACAGTGCCTGCGATAGGGAAGCAAATTCGTTCTGCGAGTTGTTGGAGTCGATTCCATTTTCGGAAAGAGAATCCAGTATCGTTCAAACCTGCTTTCGCCATGTCGTTCGCACGAGAGCGAATACAAATCGAATACCAGTGATCATAGAGTGTAATGCAAACGTTCATCCCTACGAAGGATAGTCCGCGCAGAAATCCAGTTATAAAAAACGCCCAGACCAAAGTCGGATGAATATGCGCAACAGGAACAAAAGCCGTGTATAGAGCAGAGAACAGTAGGAGGACTGTCAAATGACACGGAAGAAAATGCGCCTCAAACAGGAGATGCAGTAATGCCACGTGCCGGGCTTGGAGACGTAGTCGCCGGGAGCCCTTACCGGAGAGACCTCCTACGCTCTGGCGAACAGAATAGCCCGTATCTAGTGCTCCCCACATATGGCGCAGAGCTTGGCGATATCGAGCCAGAAGGGTCGACAAATATGGACCGCAATTTCCATCCCCAGGGCTTGAAATATTACACTGACTAGCAGGACTAGCGATGACATGTGTAATGACATCGCCCGCGGTTTCAAAGTAGCATTTTAAAAGCATGTGCATGTCCTCGCCGATGGCTGTGGAGTCACCATCCCAACCACCAACTCTCCTTGCAAGCGCAAGTGGTAGAGAGTAAACAGAAGTAGGAATGACAATTGCACAGCCAGGGTACATAGCTGAGATGCCAGCAAAGCTCCAGAGTAAATCAGCACATCGAACCAGGACTGGTACATCGTTCGAATTACGATCAAATATGATAGGCGAGGCGTAGAATGCACGATCGGCATCGGTGTTGTCGCGCCAGTGAATACGACGGATTTCATTGAAGTAGTCTTGTGAAAGATGTGTATCGGCTAGATGGTATGTTAGTATGTTGATCGAGGACGTTAGGAAAGGAAGAACTCGCCATCCATTACGGTAATAATCACATCTCGCGAATCAAAAGATGAATCACTGCGAGTCTCCACGATATGCTTCGCGGCCCAAGCTACATTGGACCCTTTGCCACTAATTTCCCGGGGCAGACCGGATGGATGAAAAGTGCCGCAAATATCACGAAATTGTCCTTGGAAAGAAGATATAAGGGTTGCTGCTTTTTCGGGAGCCTTGACTTCCTTCTGCTCCATGGCGAGAAAAATCTATACGGACATTAGCAAATGATATGGACGCCCGTGTTGTCACCAATATTCTCGGCCTACTTCATATTGGGTCACAGCGCGTGGATGGCTGGCAAGAACATTGAGCGTAGTCCGTAACGTTTCCAGATCCTCAGAGTAGTTGGGTAAGATGATAGCATGCACAACCTCACCACCTTCACCATCTTCAAGACCTCCGAGATCGAAGCTCATAGGATCCGACACCTCGGAGGATATTGGAGTTATGATCGGACTATCGGCAAACGGGGGCATCACTGGGTCGGCTGGACTGCGAAGGCACTTGGTTGCTGGACGTCGACGCAACAACGCACGAGCTGCGAAGGTCATTCGCCATAGCGCCCATGCCAATCTAACCACGAATGTAGCGGCATTCAAATGTACCAGTAGTGTATATCCGATAAAAATTTTCTGGGCCACTGACAAATGCAATGGATGATGAGACGTGCCATGATCATGCCCAGGGGTCTTAGTAGCTGGAACTTTTCCTGACCACGGTAACAAGTGCGAGAGTTCTCTTGTAATGTCGGGAAAGGCCACAGCAAGCAGCGCAATAAGCAGTAGTAAGCTTATGCCAGGCACACAGCGCGAAAACCACGTCCACATCTTGCCTTGGTGTGTTGCGCACTATCAAGATAAGTGAGAGCTTTGGAGAGAAGAAGGTAGGAAACTGGAGCAAAAAAGGAGAAACGACTGTTCCGGAATAAGAATCAGGAACACAGATGGATGTTTATTTTTTGACTATCAGATACATAGTTTGGCAATCTCGCACGGCCGATCCTCTGGTGAATACCTCCAGACAGAAAGGGAAAGAGAACGCCCCTGCCCAATCAAAACTCGACCAGAATGTGGTGGACATGAAATTGACGATGGCTGAGAAGCTTTACTCGGTGTGAGTCTATCAAGATCATCCATATTGAGGAGAGGTGTGCTTGATCAATGCTATCCTCTAGTGGTACCTTGTGACACGGGTCGAGAAAACTGCTTGGGAGTAGTAGAAGATGATCTCAGGAGTAGCCACTCAGACGGCGGACTGTGGTACATGTGCTGACAATTTGCGAACAAGCACATGGCCTACCACACAGAGTTCCCTTGAGAAAAGGTTGTCAGGGTTAAAGTACCATTATGATGTACATTAACCACTTGTTGAGTCAATCCCGCTTGAACCAATCGTCCTCAATCCATACTAGCCGTGTATAGGTGTAGCCGCCGTAGCATGGCAATCGTGGGCGAATCTCAAACATCGCCTAGTACGTACCCTGTCTGTCCATTTGGGCCCGTGCTGATCGGGGTCCTGGCCAAAAGCCTCGTTTGTTAACCTTAACATCCGGGATTTCTCCTGTGGCTGTTCGGTTGCACGAGGTAGTAAACTAGCCGACGGAAGGTTCCACCACCACCATGGCCCAGATCGGATAGTAGAAGTCCTGCATGGATGCAAAATAAAGGTCGGCAATCGTTATATCCTGAATAACGAAGTGAATGAAACCAAGCGATTCCTGGAATATCTCTGTAGATTATTCGAAGGTAGTCAAAAGCTTTGGATGCCTTAGGGACTAAGGCACCTCGGCACGCGAATACACTTTAGCGTGCCTAGGCTAGCCCAAAGTAGCTTAGTGGCGGTTTCCGTGGAGTGACCGGAGGCCAGTCAAATGGCCTGAGGCTCCCACGCGTGAGTCCTTTCTGTCTCTTGGAAAAGCTGTTGTGTCACAGGATGCACACTCTTTTGCTCGGCATGGATAGAATAAACGCCCTGGCCTTGCGCGGTAGCAACTTTCCAGTCTCGCGCTGCTGCCCGATCGACTGAATTGAGTAAGTATAAGTTAGCAAACTATTACATGTCCTTAGCGAATCCCAGACCGAGATGCGAGCGTGTGCTGAGATTGCTTTGGGGAATATTGATGTGACTGTATGAACCAACAGAGAAAAGCGCCGACAGGAGCACTGTTCGTTTCCGGCTCTGGAAATGCAAGGGTCGTGAGTATCATGTTGAGAAATTGAAGTCATAAGGATCACAATCCATCAGTCCGCGGATAAATGGAAATTGCGGCGGTCGAGGACGACTGTCGTCCTCTGTGTGTACTGACTAAATAGTTCACAGCAACCATTAGGATTAGGGTTATCCTAGATCTGGTTTCGCGATCGCTGGCAGCACTGTCGTCCCTTTTCAATTGTTTACCCAACCACGGCGCATAACCGGCCTCTCCGTGTTGTACATACCCGCTTTCCGTTGTCGACACGCTCCGTCTCTGTTCAGACTTCAATTAGTATCACCGCTGTCAATTGCTCCCAGAGTCTCTGGGTTCCTCCAGTCTTCTGGCACGAGTGGCCGAACATATAGATGCGCGGATATGTTATTTCGTTGAAACTCTATGTCACGCCCCAGTATTGAGCATCATGGAAGGAGAGGCATAGACAAAAATAATCGCAGATAGGTTTGAAAGATTGTGGTATGCGCAGACTACCATGACACATCATCACCCCACAGCAGTATCTGAGGACGATCATTACGATCCATGACAATAATCAGTATCGCCATTGCAATTATCGTATCTGTCACGAGTCACCGATTTGCTTTATCAAGACCGTCGTGACTCGTTACAAACATTGTGTTGGCGTCGTATTGACAGATCACGACGCGTCATCTGGATACCTTCGGTCATGGTAGCAGCCGCAATATCATCGGCAACATTCGTCTTCGCAATCGATTGCACTGCATATGTTGCATTCTTTGTTTCAGGCTGCGTATAAGAAATATTGATGAAGAGATTCACCTGGTGGCAGTGGCGAAGATGTATTTAAATATACAAGACATATCCTGTTTGCCCGGTATTTTCCCAGTTCCGGCGCATCCGGGGTTAGAGTATCTTGGCGTTAATAACACAGGTGACTGGCTAGTGAGGGTTCTATTGAGATGTTTGAACTTGTGTGATCCAATTAGGTTGACTAAGTTCCGCGACTCGAATAGGGTACGTAGGAATAACTATCATTGTGTCTAGTAGTGTATAAGGCAGTTCAATTGTTCCATAGCCAAACTAACTAGGGTTAGGGTTACAGAGGCTAAATTCGCCGGATAAATATCGGGCCGAAAGGGTGCTGCGTGTCGGTTTGCTGGGTTTACTTCAGGCCAATCCTGAATAGTAGCTTACAAGGATGGAAAAAGAAGAAGTGACTAGCAAGATTGTGTGTATTGAGTTGTCTTCTGTCTTGTGTCTTCCGTACCACAAAAATGGCTTTCATATATGTGCTTCGGCACGAGGAATAAGTTTAGGGTGGTGATACAGCCACACCCCCATTGGATCCATACACACCCCCATTGGATCCAGACACACCCCCTTGGCTCGATCAGGCCACACCCCCCTCCAAAAGCGGTTTAAAGCAACCCTAATTAGACCGTCGCTGCGAATTGATTCATGATTCATCCTATTTTGCTATTCCAATGATTCTAATAATACAGTATCTCACCATCCAGAGCCATTACCTAGTATATCTCTAGACTCTAAGCCCTAATACCCTGGCAATTCATTCTCATCACCAAGCCACCGCGCTAGTTGGCCACGTCCACGTCTCCTGCTTCGTCTAACTAGCTCCTCTGAGGTAATTTGCGAAGCTGTTGTTGCATCCTGCGAGACCATTTCCTTACTAGAAGTCTGACTGTTGGCCGCATTGGTCTCTGCCCTAGGTTGGCTTGAATATCCTCTTCATCCCTCACAACCTCCTCTCCCACGACATCATCCTCCTCAATCTTTACGACCCCTGCCCCTGCGGCCTCGACTCTTAGTATTAAGGTTTTCCTGCGCAATGATATGCTCAAATGCGGATAGCTCTTGCTGTGTTGAAGAATCCTGTGTTGATATAACCTGGGAGGCTGTTGGATAGTTGATTGAGCCCCTAGGGCGACCATGGCCTTGGACCACTGCCAGGTTAAGCACTATTGTATAGGGATCAATTGGAGGCAACTTATTGAGTGAGTATAACCGCCAGTGCTGGTAGAAATGGTGTAGCTGTAGTGGCTCCTCCCTATTAATACAATGCTTGATTATATGAATGCAAGGGATGCCGATGGTCCATTTTGTGATTCTAGAGCACTCTGGGTCAAAAGGCTTCTTCGTCGGTCCAAGAAAGTCATTCTTTATATTGAGAACCTTTCCAAGTGCATAGCTTGATACTCTACCATGTACAATGCGAAAGAGGCTATGACTGAAGCGAAATTGATACTGTACCTTATCATCTTCGTAAACCTGCTTAATTTTAATATTTTGCCAGGTCACAGTACAGTCAAATGATTCAAATGTCTCAAGGAGATCATTTGTAGAGACTTGAAGATCACGCTTTAGTGTCCAATGGGCTAATTCATTTTAGGACGTGGTTAGCTAACCAAAATGCTTGATGTTTAAGAGATAGCAGTGAAGGAATCGTTGAGTGATACTATTATTAAGCCATTCTGAATCAATGTAGTCCATGACTTCCTGCCAGGTTTCACTACTATATTCAACTTTAAAGGAATTCACTGCTTCATCCTTCTCCTCCTTAGTCTTCGCGTATACAATCTTGTTGAATGACCTGAAAAAATCCTTCCACTGTGACTTAATATGGGTCTTGTACTTTGTGATATCCTTCTTCACGGCAGCTGGATTTCCAGAATAGATTGTATGGAGCACTTCATTTGTAAGAATAGGGCGAACACGTGTAAGAATATTCTTTTCAATATGCTAAAGGCAGATGATATTGTCCGCCATTGGAAAAACTGTGGTGATTGTATTCATTAAGGCCATATCCTTATCAGTCAGGATGTAGTTTGGCAACAGGAGATCTACTTGAGCATAGACCTTAGCCAAGCATTCCAAGATGAACTTATAGCTCTCTTCCTTTTCATCTAAGATAAAGCTAAATCCTGCATAAAATGTCTTGTTGCATGCTGTACAACCCACAATATCCAAGAGAGGCATTTTATATTGGTTTGTTTTGTAGGTACAATCCATAAATAGAATGTTAGGATTTTGGCGAAGCATCTTAAGTGAGGTTTTATACATACAGAATACCGAAAGTAGTGTATTTGTATCAGTTATTTCATAGTTGATTATCCAATCACTATTATCTGGAACGACACTAATAAGGGCCTGGACTGGTGTCTTGCCATCAAGGAATTTGTCTCGCAGCTTCCTTTTCTTATTGTAGATATCTCTTAGCTTGATAATCGATTCTCGATTGTCGTTATAGAGGGTTGATAATATTTGATTTGTTGTCATATAAGAATCCAAATAAGACTTGATTTGAGTCTCCTTAGATTCTATCTCTTCATAGTGTAATGAAGCAAGCGTCGAACCAGCTGCTGAATAGTGATTATGCTTTGGATTTGTAAGATTAAGACGCTAGCAATCTGCATGCTTATCATAGTGCAAGACAAGCCTAAATGGGCATCCTATACACTGTGTGCTTGTCTCTCTAACATGTGTCTCTTCGTTGATACGCTCACGATATACTCCTCTACGGCTGCACTAAAGATAAACTCAGTGGATAGGGCCGCCTTCTTTGGGTGTTTTGGATCTCTTAGTGACCAATGCATATCCATAAGTCTTAGTAAAGCTATTAAGGAATTTCATAGTAGCATCTTGGGTCCCAAAGATCTGGTCAGTTGGAGGAGCAGGAATTCATGTATATGGTTCGCAGGGCTCTTCAGGAGGTGATGGCTCAGGTAATAGCTCAGCGCCATTCTCTGAGCTCTTGTAATCGATGAGACGCAATGTCATGGTGAATGGCATTGATATAGCTTGATGCCTCTACTTAGTAGTAGAGGAGAGAAATGAAGCTACTTCTATAAATGTGCACTCAAGCGAGTCCCAATGCAGTACCGCCATCCTAAAAGGGTAATCGCATATTACTGGGAAATTCCGTGAAGCTAGTCCTGTCGATAAGTCCTAACCCTACGCTACCAACAATAAGCATATAGGAATTAGGATTGCTAGCAAATATAGCAGCAACCTACTGTTACTATCATGGTTCCAATACAGGAAATTAGAAGTTAACTAGGCGAAAGTTTAATTCACTCTAACAAGATAGCCTGTGGTGAAGAAATGAAAAAAAAGATCAACATGGGCCTTATAAGATAATGAAAATTTCCTAAACAAAGCTCCATTATGCTGAATTGGAAGAGCAATGTAACAAATTAACGCAAAACAGGCAACGCTTGGCTTTAAGCAACAATATGCCTCTTGCAGGAATCCTCATCTATCTGCCCTGACCCTAAGCCCTAAGCCCTGACACTAGTCTATTCTCTATTCTAAAACGCTTTTTGAATCACATGGTTATCGCTCTAAACCGCTTTTGGAGGGGGGTGTGGCCTGATCGAGCCAAGGGGGTGTGTCTGGATCCAATGGGGGTGTGGCTGTATCACCACCCTAAGTTTAATTCTCCGGTACATTCTCCGTGATCTACAATATGATATATGACGTTTCATGAAAATTGAGGCATAGTGAGGAGGCCGCTGATTAGCTAAAATAGAGGAATGACTTGTCTCCAGGTGTGTTCAAATGTCGTTGTTTTCCTTGTGGTAGATCTCGCGATATTCTAACACTGCGTAGCTTAATTCAATCTCCTTGTTCGGTGATTCAAGAACAATCAGAAGCATTTGCTTCTGCCCACATAGGACATGCTGGGATATGAATCACGGTACAGACTGTACAGTTGACTGGGGATATGTCATGACCTTCGGCGCGATATCTATCTGTACGGGATAGAAGACCCCTTAGGTATAGTGATAGACAGGCAGACAGAGAGATAAGAACGTTGAGAACGCTCTATTGAGAATCCATCATTCCCCAGAGGGAAGTGTACAACTGATATATTTACTACTGCTCATAATCCTTGCCAACCAGATCTTCCTCTGAATCCTTTACAATTGTATTCCAGTCATCAATGCATACCCGGCACCGTACTTCGATATCGATGAAAAATGCACCATCAAATCGCTTTACCTGGGTCCACGACAATGGAAGAGGTCAATCGATCATGGGCACCGCGGATCTGGGCACCCGACAAAGACCAGCTGGTACAAGGCTGCTGCTATATTACATCGTTATATGGGAGGCTTGCCAGTGGCGGGGCTTATTGGGCTAACATACTACACGGGTCATTGGGCCACCTGCAAGCCCTTCTTCAACACCTTGACTTCTCAACAGATTTATATATAAGCCATATCTTAGACTTGACGAATGATTCCTATATGAATCCCCATCAGAAATATCAATTTGGAAGTGCGCCTCTTCTATAAGTCTTGAGATATTAGAAACTAGCCTAGTTATTAAAGTAAATTTCATGACAGAGGGGTTCTTAATATTTTTACAGTTCCTAAATCTAGATATATATTAATACCTATAATATAAGCCATATTCAACTTTTAGATATGGTTTATATGTGAATCTGTTGAGAAATCAAGGTGTTGAAGAAGGCCATTTTGTATGGGACTTGCAGGTGGCCCAATGACCCGTGTAGTACGTTAGCTGTAAAGAATTCGGTGAATGGATCGTATAAACTCAGAGGAATAATATCATTCAGTAATAATGATTAATGATCAGTTGCTTGTTAGTATTGATAAGGAGTTGATTCGATGCGTTGAATCTCTGTGTATTACTTGTCTTCCTAGTTACATACAACTCAGGGGTTAAGACTATAATTGTCAGATAATCTGGACTACAAACGAGGCAGAGAGACTTGATGTTCGATCTTACAGGTCTAAAAAGGCACCTTAGGTCATATATCCGGGCACCGAGATTTCAGCCCAATGTTTACCCCTCATGATAGCTCACAAATCACCCCGCCAAAGATGTTTATAAAAGCCCAGCTTTGAAACTTGATGAACAGACAGAACAGAACTTAATACATACAATCTTGCTAGTCACTTCTTTTATTTGATCCTAGTAAAACACTTTTCAGGATTGGCCTGGAATAAAGCGACTAATCCGACAATAATTAGCCTCGGAATCACTAGTCATCACGTGACCTGTAATCATATTCTTTACATTAGCTAAGCTGATTTAACTAATCAGACAGATAAGATCTATCAGCCAATCAGAGCGAGCTACACACTTGAGAGAAGGATCCACCGAATAGGGGGTGAAAGATATCTCCCACCTTTACTTTACATAGAAGAGAACAAGCATGATAACAAGGATCGAGGATCCCATACATCTTTGCATACATAGTTTGATACGTTGAGATATACCGCTAAAGGTTGTTACGTACAATCTAACACGTTCCTGCCTTGTAGCCTGAGCTTTTAGACATTTCCTGAAAGAAACCCTGAGGGTTGTTACGATAACCTCTACAATTCTTGGATTAATGTGAGCAAAAATAAGAACAAAAATCCTCGGTCAGAAATAGAATGATCAACCTTCGTCCAGTGGGCACTTCTCTCTCAGGATTTGCACATGCCAGATAGCCCTGCATCGCTACTTTCTTTTTTTTTCGGAGCATGGACAATTTACTCGGTGGAGGTTCTACAGCCCCAGATGCACATGACATGGAGTTCACTACTTTCTGTCTAAGCTGGCAGTGCATACTAAGCGTGTCAACAACTGCACGAAACCTGACACGTCCACGAAAGATATTGGGTACGAGGATCAAGCTAAAGGACAAATCACACGATCAATCTTGTACGACCTGTTCCTGAACTCTTGTGACAATATGTGTCAAAAGACAGCCCATGCAGATTTTAGAAGAATATAGACCAATCTTCGACGACAATTGACATGCGAGTGAGATTGACAGAGAGAACCCTATTGTTGGTTTATATGTGCAATCGAGATTCCTGGCACCGACGCGAACCAAGGAGAGGTCACGTGAAGGTACACGTGTGTTGGAGCTCGGTTACGCTAGGATGGATACGGAATATAGGCAAATAATAAGAACTTAGAGTTGAGAATTTCTATGTATTGATGCACACTCTCTAATACAAAACTTGTCAGGAATGTTGACCTCTTTTATATGTGAGGTCCTGTACAAACTAGATCATGAGATGACATCCAGTCGAACCTTCTAGATATAGCCATATAGAGCTGATTGGATGTCTATATCTCGTCAGTATGTGAACCTAGTTCTCGAAATTTCTTCATGTTAGTAGTATGATGGATTCCCAATTAGGGATAGCGTATTGCGTTCCAACAACGTGACCTCGTCAAGCAAGGACTATATAGACCGCGTCGGGGCCTCATTAAGAGAAGAGAACTTAGACAATTGAATACATTTTGACCATAGTACTTGGAGTACCACCTGAAGCGCGTGTGCGGACGTACGTACATTGTTTGATTGGCTTTATAAGCCAACCCACACCTATTGATATTGTTCTATTTTCTAATTTTCAGCACGGTACAACGCCGCCTTTTTTCTCGAACTTTATAATTGCCCAGCTCCAGGGCTGTCGTGGGCATAAATTGATGGTGTAAGGAAAATGCAGCTACTGAAATGCCCAAACCTGTCTGCCAGATTGGAATATGTCAACGGAATTAATATCTGCCTACCCTACGGCACCTGAGTAGTAGTACACAAGAGTAACTCAGAGAGCTGTTGACCTGGGTTGTGTCGGATTGGTAGGTTTATTCGAGGTCAATCCTGAGTAGTGGCTTACTAGGATGAGAATAGAAGAGGTGACTAGCAAGATTGTGTGTATTGAGTTGTCTCTGCTTCTTCTAATACATCATGTCTCAATGCCAGGTCTGTTAGACACTTTTTGGCGGGGTGATTTGTGAGCTATCATGAAGGGTAAACCTTGAGAGCTATGTTGAGCCCTGATAAGAATATGGCTTCTTATTTGCTGAAATTTAGGTAGCTTTGAGGTGACTGGTTTATCTGATCGAATAGTCTATCTTCTACCTCGCCAGATATCCAGGCTATCTGACAGGTTGAAACGGGGAATTGGAACATTATGCTTTCTAACATCAGCTTGATCTCACTATTTTTACATAGTTAAGTTACAGGGATCTGTCTAGACTGAAAAGCTGAACTCGGCTTTTTCGAACCGGAAACTGTTGGTTCCATTGGTGTTTGAACAGGTACCAGTTCAGGATGAAGGAAGGCAAATTTCCAAAAAAAAAAAAAAATAGTAAGTTGCCATTCTGTATCTGAAAATAGTCTACAAACAACACAAGCACGTAAATGCAGACGACAACTTTAAAACTGGAAGAAGAATACAAAATACATCATGAACGCAAAAAGCCCATTCTCTTCCAGCTCTTAATGAACAACTCTACTATCTCTGCACTGACCGGACCCAGATTTGCGAGAGTCTGCGAATGCGCGCGAGATTTTTTCGTTTCTAACAAAAGTCCCCCACAAGACATGCGAATGAAGTTTTTATCAAGGAAATCGACAAGGAGAATCGCAGGATTATCACCCTCTGGACCCTCAGCCTGACGTGGATAATCCTTGACCCGCTGAATCCATTCTTGAAAAGGAATAATATTTGTCCTCGGTATGTCTAGGGCATCTGCGAGAATTGGAATCATCTCCTTCCATAGTTGACGGACGGGGTTATCGATGTGGTAGAATGGAAACGGACTTTGATCCTTTGGGAGCAAGAGTAGATCCACGAGCGTGCTGGCCACGGCATCCACGGGGGTCCATGACAGCACACCGTCAAATTCAGGCAAAGCACAGAGGGTTTGGGACGATTTAACAAGGAAAGAAAGATGTTCCATGGTATTCCAATATCCACTCGTGCTGGAACCAGCCACTTGTCCGGGACGCACCACCATAGCGCGAAACCGCTCTGGATACTTGTGAAGCGTCTCGTCGATCATACGTTCACAGATGTATTTTGCCTCCCCGTAGCCGGTAGGAAGAACTGAATCGATTGTCATGGGCTCTTCGGGAACGCTTGAATTTCCAGTCCAGATGGGTCGATGGCCGACTGTTGCGATGGATGAAATAAATTGAAAGGAAATTCTGTCTGATGATCGTCGTAATGAAATTCCATAAGCGAGTTCCAGTAGATTTCGCATTATCTGAAGCTGAGGCTCGAACTTTTTGAGTGGCCATTTGGCATTCATAAGCCAGGCATTGTGAACAATGTGGGTAACACTGTTTAGAAGGTCGTCGTACTCATTTTTGGGGAGGCCAAGTTCAGGTTTTGACATGTCAGTCTCGATCACTCTGAGCTTGGCCGCAGCCGCTTCGGAAAGAAATATTTCCTTCTGGAGAAGCGAACGATGTTGACGCTCAAGAGGTTGTTGCCGACTGCGGCGATTGACACACACCACGCTGGTGATGTCAGGAATTGATGTGAGTACCGCTACGAGGTGACATCCCAGACTGCCTGTGGCGCCAGTAACAAGGACGCTATAGCCTTTGGATTCTTGACGTCGTTGCGAGTTCATGTATGGAGACTCTCCGGTTACAATTCCAAAGTCGGATGTCATCTCCTTGGCGTACCTATCGACGACTGCTTGTCGCGCTGCACAGTCAGCCGAGGTACTTTCTATAGGTCGGGGAATGTGAAGTCGCTCATACCTCGTTCCGGATGCAAATGCAATGATTAGTTTCTCGAGTTTATTCTCAGGGCGTACACCATCAGTCCAGTCGACGTGACCGTATCCGACAGCTTGTAAACTCTTCTCCCATTGAGATTCATGAGTAACAGCGTGGGTACGACCATCATCAAAGTACCACCACCCTTCAAAGAGTCCAAATATGATATCTACCCAGTAGAGTTTTCCGGTCATCTCAAGCATCATCAGGAACCCGTCCGGCCGTAATGCCTTGCGAATGTTCTTGCCAGATTCACTGAGACTATGGGTAGCATGAACCGCATTACTCGCGACAATGATATGTTGGGTACCGATCAAATCATCTGCGGGGGCTTTCTCGATATCGTGAAGTCGGAACTTCATAAAGGGGTATTGCTTGGAGTATTTTTTGCGTGCTGCAGCAACAAATGACGGGGCAAGATCCGTAAAGGTGTATTCAACCGGCGCGTTCAATTTGGCTAGAAGGGGAACAAGCCACTTTGTTGTTCCCCCAGTACCTGCACCCATCTCGAGAATTTTGATTGGGCCCTGGCTCATGTCTAACTTGGATATCAGCCGCTCCAAAAAGTCCTCCATTTGTCGATAGAAAAGACGATTAATTGGCCAGTCTCCGTACAAGTTTGAAACCAGCTCTCGTCCATCCTGTGTTCCAAATATCAATTTGATCCCATCAGTCTCGCCTCGTAGAACTTCCGCAAGATGCGATCCAGTATAAAACGTTAGCTTGTCGGCAGCATTCTGGTCGGGATATCGCGACACAAGCTCATCGAGAATCTCTTTACTCGGCCGTGGAGCCTGAATAGCAGTTCGAGTGATGACATCTCCGTCAATGTTAATAAGATTTGCGTCCTCTAGCATCTTGTATAGGTAGTCAACAAGCCGAGTGTGTTCCTTTGGATGAGTGATGTGCGTGAATTTATCCCCAGCACGAGCACTGCGTATTCTCACGTTGAGTTGGTCAAATGCCTCCAGTACAAGAGACACGCACATTTCACTCTGCATGGGGAGGACACTTTTAACGTAGTAGGTTTGCTGGTATTCTTTGATTCTGTCGTCTGTCAAGCTTTTAGTCTCATTGAAGGCTTCCATAACCGTCGCAAACGGAAGATTCAACTCCACGTTCTGCTTCCCCAAGAACTCATGCATAGACTTGTCCACACCACAAAGCTCCTCCTCTGGAGTGCTGGGCATGGTATAGTCAGTAGATTTATCGTCACTGTCCGCAGACTCGTAGGCGCTCTGCTCCGTGGTGTCTTCGACAGGAACTGCACCTCCACCCACGGCTTTTTGTACGCATTTGATCAAGCTAGGCATGTCAACGACCTCCATTAAATCACTCTCAGGCAATGTAATTGTGAACGCCTTCTCTATCTCGTGTGCCATTTCCATGCCCATGAGAGAGTCGATTCCAAGATCGGCGAGCTCGCTATCATCTTTGATCTCCGCTACCTCGAGACCTGAAAGTTCAGCTAGAATGGCCTTGAGCTTTTGAGTGAGCTGTGCCTTGTCTGACTGGGCGCCTTTCTCCTTTTTCATCTTCAAGGGTTTGAGGTGAGGGACAGACTGCCGAGGCAGAGAATCAGACTGTGGGTGAATGCTGACGTTTTTTGGAGTGTCAAACAGGTTCACACTGGCTGGCTCCGGAAGAAGAGGCATTTCTGCAGGTTCTTTGAGATTACTCTTAACTGTGAGGCGAGAGAGTAACTTGCTCATCGAGGCCTTCGGAATCCTAACGTAACTGATGCCAAGGATAACTTCGATCAAAGCACCGGTTGTCGAGTCGAAAGCAAACACGTCAGTCAGGAATGCCTTATCAGAAGAACGATGATGTATCGCAAGGACATGGTAGGATTCGGGTCGAGCATCCTGTTGACGCACTTTGGGCGACCGGATCCATTGCTCAATACCGTTGGCGATAAACATATCAGTCGAAGCACGTTCAGTCATACAATTGACATAAATGCCTCCAACTTGGCAGAAACTATCTGCTAAATGTCCGTCCAACCAGGTTTCGGGGTTATATCTCTTAACGACGTATCCGGCAGATAAATTTTCTTTGCTCACAAGCTTCTGAAGTCCGCGATAGTCCTCACCGTAGTCGACAATCTCTGCGAACATTTTATAGATATTTCTGTTCTGCAGCACTTCATCAACATCCCCGCCGCGCATAAGATCAACGCAGTCCTGGTGCCTGAAGTGTCGCTCAAAGCGCGCGAACTCATATTTGAGGGAGACATCATCAACGGAGCGAAATATAATCTGACCAGTTGTGTGGATAGTTTTTGAGAATCCGTTCTCCAGATCGTCACTGTATACCTGAAATTGCCACGAAGTACCTTGATCAAAGTCGTCTGCCGTCACCTCCAACCACACGGCTCTTAGGGAGTTGACGCAGATTGGCGCTGAATTCTCTACAGCTTGAATTTGGGGTTCAAGACCAGAAGCTGAAAGATCTGGTCGAATGATCCGGATAGATTCGATGGCTAAATCAAGTTGTACAGTTGCTGGACATATCGGAGCGGTTTGTGCAATGATATGACCCTGTATGAGTTTTTCGTACTTGGGAATCATAGTATTGACTCTGAACTTTGCCTGACGTTTACCGCTGTCTTGGTATCCGACAAATGTCAACAAAGTATCTGGTAGCTTGACATCCTCCTTCTCGACAACCCCCAAAGCAGGTGCGGCTGTCAGCGTCGGCACACTCTTCAGTTCCGTCCAGTGACGAGAAGGTTCGAACTGATAAGGCGGTAACAGAAGAAGGGAATGCTCCTTAGTCTGACTTGATTGATGAGCCCAGAAATGAACACTGAGTCCCACCTTCCAAAGACTTAGGGTAGAATCTACCAGATTGTTCCATCCGTTCTGATTGGTGACATTGATAGCCTGGAAATGGGAACTACTTGGATTGCCAAGTGCACGATTGGCCATATTCGTAACAGTCGAGTTAGAGCCTGCTTCTAAAAATATGCAGGAAGAATATTTCTGCGCCAATCTTTGAATCGCGTGGTTGAAGAAGACGGGGGAGCGAATGTGATCAGCAACAAACTTGGCGGTAAAAGGCTCCTCTGTACGAGATTCAGTCGCCCTCTCGACTGGGATCACAGGCTCACGAAAGTTTAATCCCCTAGCGCTCTCTTCAAGCCGATCAAGAAGTGGATCTAGGAGGGCACAATGGAATGCGTTAGTCACGTTAAGGCGCTTGTACTTCATCGATGAAAAAGCAGGCTTGGATATGGTTTCAACAACCGCGTCAATTGCTGCAACTGCACCAGCAAGAGTGAAGCTCCTGGGCCCGTTGAAGCAAGCAATGGTCGCGGGTGTCAAACCTTGACGAGCAGCACTTGACTCAGCGAGTAATTTCTCAACCTTCGCGAGATCTGCTTCCACTGCAAGCATTGCGCCTTTATCTGAACCCCAACTATCCCGTATTAGGGTTGCACGAGCCACAATCATCCTGACGGTGTCTTGTAGGGACAAAGACTGCGAGACACAAAGACTGGTGAGTTCACCAAAGCTGTGACCGACTACAGCGACTGGCTGAACTCCAGAATCAATCCAGCTGCGTGCGCAGGCGTACTGGCATGCAAATAGCATAACTTGCAAATGAACAGTGTCGTTAATAGGCGTGGTTTTAAAAATGCCGGGGAAGATGCTCTTCACTCCAATGGATAGAGCTACGGCATCAACAGTGTTGAGATGCTTTCGAAATACAGCCACTCGCTCGTACACAGTATGATCCAATCCGATGAATGTCGAGACTTGACCTCCAAAGCAGAGAACTACTGGCCTAGATTCGGATCTTGCAAGCGAAGTAACACTTTGATCTCCATTCTCGAACGCGATGAGTTTCTGTTCGAGGTCTTCCTTTGTCTTCACACTGAAGAACAAAGTTCGATCTAGCTGACGATTGCTCTGACGGTTCAAATTGAATGAAATATTCTGTAATGAGAGATCTTTTTCAGAATAGCTTTTCCGGCCGAGAAACTGCCGAAAGACCTTAAAATATCGGCGGAGACTTTGGTCATCAAACCCACAAAATCTGAAGGGGTATTTGAGACCCGGGGTCTCGTTAATCGACTTTGCGGCAATCGCAGGTGGCTGAGTGACGACTATGGAAGCGTTGGAGCCAGAGGCCCCATAATTATTGATCAAGGCAGCACGAAAATTAGCATCCCAAGTCTGAACCGCGGTAGGAATGTGCATTTTATCCGCGGGAGTTGCCTTGATTGCTGGATTTATGGTAGTGAAACTTGCTTGGGGAGGGAACATTCGTTTCTGCAGCATCAAGAGGACCTTAATAAGTGAGACAATGCCTGAGGTGCATTCTATATGGCCAACTAGACCCTTTACAGAGCTTAGAGTAAGTTGATTCTCACGGTAGGAGCCACCTAGCACTGATCGAATACTATCATACTCAGCTGGATCTCCGACAGCGGTTCCGGTTCCATGGGCCTCAACCACAGTCACATCAGCAGGCTGGAGTCGAGATTGCTTGACCACATTACGGAATAAGTCGGAAAGAGAAGGCACGTTGGGCACAAAAATAGGGGTGCAATTCTGATTCTGTTGCACGGCTGTTGCAGTGATAACTCCAAGGATTTGGTCACCATCATTGAGAGCAGCAGAAAGCTTCTTGAGAAAGACAGTTGCAATTCCTTCGCCTCTACAATAGCCATCTGCTTTTATGTCAAAAGGTTTGCACTGTCCTGTCGTGCTAAGGAATGAAGCTCCAGCCAAGTTTTGAAACCAAAGGGGGTTGGTCATGACATGTGTACCCCCTGCTAAAGCAGCAGTACATTCTCCAGTAATGATTGCCTTGCATGCTTGATGTACTGCAACGGCAGAGGATGAGCAAGCAGTATCAATTGTGAGCCCGGGTCCGGTCCATCCGAAGAAGTGACTAACTTTGCCCGCAATGAAACCTTGCAGATTTCCCGTAGCTGAGAACGCATTGGGTGCATGACAGGCAATATTATTTTCATAATCACAAGCACATACACCGATGTAGCAACCAATATGGCGGTCTGGATTTGCAGAATGAAAATAGCCAGATTGCTCGACGGCCTGATAGGTTATCTGAAGCAAATGTCGCTGTTGAGGATCCATTGTTGCGCTCTCTCGTGGGCTCTTCTTGAAGAACTTGTGATCAAATTGATCGTGGCCGTCAATAAAATTGCCGAACCACTTGCGATTTGGATCAACTTCACGAAATACTGTTTCAAAGCCAAATCTTTCCTTTGGAACTTCCCTGTGTTGGGACTTCCCCATACACAGAAGATCCCAAAATTCTTCAAGATTATCGGCACCAGCTACCTTGCACGACATTCCGACAACAGCGATGTCGTTTTCGGAGTAAGTGTATTGATCCTTCTTGAAGATATCGAGATCTGCCACTGTCACCACCTTCTGGCTTAGACCACGAAGCAGCGATGGTGGAACACAGCGCTCGGAACCAAAAGAAACGATTACCGTCCCTTCCTCCTGTGCGCATGCGTCACGCACAGCAGTGAAGGTTTGATACCATTGAGGAGGATTCACCAAAATTGATTGCAAGGCATGTTGATGTAGTGCACCCTCGCGAATGAAATCTCCAGTGGCATTTGATCGGGTAGGAATGATGGCCTTGGATGCATCCGAAAGTTGGAAGTCGGGATGGGAGTCGCAAAACTGGATAATCGACTCCAGTTGGCCCCGGTAACGTTCGGTGTGGAAAGATCCATTCAAGCCAACATCAGCTGTCACGATCCCCGCGGCTCGTAATCGCTGATGCAAATCGGGGATCTTGGATGCCGGAGCCGTGATAGTAGCACGGTCCTCGTCATAGTAGACAGATATATACGCCTGCGCAATACGTTAGTGATCAATGTAACATAGATGTGAAATGTGCTCCTAATTGGTTGCCATACCTGAGGGAACTCATTTAATATACGCTGAGCTTCTTCACGCCTTTCCGAGGATTTCCAGGAAGCACTAATAGATTTGCTTGGTCCATGTGCAGAAGATCCATCCTGAGCATCGACGACCATACCAACGAGCAGACCTAGTCTCACGGCGACAGCAGCATACTTGCAGAACTCTCTCTGGTTTTTAGCGGCGGAGACCGCCATGGCACTGAGCAGACCAGTGCAGAAACCAACGGTTTCCTTGTTATGGTGGGACGCAACAAAGAGGTCAATGTTCGATTCAAGCTCCATGCTAGCCTGCTCAAGATACCTCCAGTATTGAGTCAGGTGGAGAATCACAATCAATGGAATCAGAAGGGTATTGGACAATGGGAAGCCAGTTAAAAGTTGCTTCTCGTTATTCAATGCAGATTTCAGGTCTTGAAGCTGAGCACCATTGACACCGTTGATCCCCGGAATGGCAGCGCGAATGGTCGTGTAATAGTAAGGTAGACTGTTGAGTGCATCCAGTGCCCAATAATTCTCCTTACTGTCGATTATGGTCTTGCGGAGATGCTTAAAAGCCTCCTGGTCAAACGAAAGCGCCAAGGGGCCGAAGAGCAGAATCTCGCGCCTGAGGGCTGGCAATCTGTTGATGCCTCGATGTTCAACCATTTTGAGTTTATTCTGATCGTAATGAAGCTAGAGCGGAGTTTAGAGATGATAATCAAAAGAAAAAAAGAATGTAAACCAGATATTGTTGAAAATCTAAATATGTTGTACTCCTTCACAGGGGCATGGAGAGGAGAGTAGAGTGGGTTGAGAAGAAAGAGGAGAACCATGACATCGATCACCAGGTTATAGTTAATATACTGAACAATTTTGGAAACATTATTTCTTCGGTATTTCAGTCCCATCTGATAAATGGTCAGCTTGTGTCGGGACACAGTCGGCAGAATAGGTTTCAGAATACAGGAGCTTTGCAGCCAAGCACTTCAAAGAAACACCGGCTATCAACCAGAAACGTTCAGTATCAGGTCAAAGAATAATGCCGTGGAAGATCTACATTTCCGAGAGAAGTCAGATCATGATCTGTGCTCATATCAGAATAGGTAGCAGAGCCACTTTTCCATCTCCCGTAGCTGTCAGCCTCAGCTTCAACCCCAATATCAACCTGAGGAACTCGGAGAATTTCTTATCCATGCTGTCAGGCACGTGAATAGACACGTTTTTCCCTCGTGGAACTAGGGATATCCATGTGCCTGTTTCTCCGACTACACCCACGTTGAGTTTTTCCGGATCTTGTTGCAGTTCACATAAAGGTAGCCACGAGGATGACTCTATCTGACCCTGCATGAGAGCTTCAAAACATATTTTTACCGTTACTACGAGGCTTGGAAACTAATGATTCTTGATAGGCTAGGTTCTATAATGACTGCATAAAAAATGGATGGTTCGTGGGGGTTGCAAGGTATTTTCTTCCTCGGACGATGGGTTACTCCGTCGTGGCTGGTGTGTTTCATTCTAGGGTTTAAGCTGGCAAGCTTACTTAGGTATGTCGTAAGTTTCAATATGTAATTTTCATGTCTAGTCAATAAAGGTAGTGAACATTCTTTGGATCTATGCTGCTCAAATAGTGCCCTACAAAGCTTACGGTATGATGTGAATTCATCTAGAGCTCATTCATTGATATGACAACTATTACCCACACTTTCTGTGCTCAAAATCTTGTGAACCTATTTCACGTCCTTAAGCCATTAGAATAATTCGAAATATTTTCTCAATGCCAGGCACCGTCCTTGAAGGCGGCGAATCCGTAGAAATCGCCATTATCGGTGGTGGCATTGTTGGTGTCATACTTGCAGTTGGTCTGCTTCGCCGAAATGTCAAGGTTCGCGTCTTTGAACAAGCTCAAGGTTTCCGCGAGATTGGAGCTGGTATTGCATTTACTGCAAATGCCATTCGTTGCATGGAACAGATCGACCCAGCAATCGTGACCGCGTTGAGAACGAGTGGATCTGTGCCTACATCGGACGGCAACGAGGACGATCCGAATGACTATCTACGCTGGATTGATGGTTATAATCAGCTCCGTGAAGATGATCCTTATTACCAAAGAATGCTGTACAAGATTGACGCGGGATATCGAGGGTTTGAAGGGTGCCGTAGAGACCAATTCCTGGAGGCTTTAGTCAAGGTGGTGCCACCTGGAGTGATTGAGTGCAAGAAGCGCTTGGAGAAGATCGAGGAGCAAGAGCAAGAGAAGAAGATCAGCCTAAAATTTGTCGACGGCACGATGGTTGAGGTGGATGCCGGTATTTTGTCCCTTTTGAGTCTTTTTACTTTTACCTACCTTACTGACTGTATCTTGCCTTTCTCCAGTGATTGGTTGTGATGGAATAAAGTCACGAGTGCGAGAGATCATACTGGGAGGAGGAAACCCAGCCTCCTACCCTCACTATACGCACAAAGTTGCCTATCGAACCTTGATACCCATGGACGAGGCAATTAAGGCTCTCGACGACTACAAGGCAAAGAACCAACACATTCATATCGGGCCAAATGCGCATCTTATCCACTACCCCGTAGCGGGCAGGAAGATGATCAACGCCACAGCTTTTGTCTCGGACCCAAATCCTTGGCCGAATGACAAGCAAATGGTTGCTCCTGGATCTCGAGAAGATATAGAGACAGCCTTTGCGGGATGGAACCCTTGTGTACGCAATGTCGTTAATCTTTTCCCCAAAAAACTCGACAAGTGGGCGGTTTTTGATCTATGGGATTATCCGGCTCCGTACTACAACAAGGGCAGGATCTGTCTTGCTGGAGATGCCGCCCACGCGAGCAGTCCTCATCACGGGGCGGGAGCCTGTACCGGTGTTGAGGATGCATTGTGTCTGGTTACTCTGCTAAAACAGGTCAATCTCTCTGTGCAGGAGAGTGGGCTTTCAAAGAGAAAAGCGTTGAGTTTGGCGTTTGAAACCTTTAATGCAATCAGACGCACGAGGAGTCAGTGGCTCGTGAATAGTAGTCGGAGGGTATGTGATTTCTATCATCAGCCTGAATGGGCAAATCCAGCCAAATGGGTCAAGGCCGAGACTTGTTTCGAGGAGTTGAAGGATCGATCGTACAAGATTTGGCATTTTGACTATGAGGGGATGATCAAGGAGACTCTCAAAGGATACGCAGACCGAGAGGCTGGCCTATTACCGGCATCGTCACGAGAGACATCTGAACACTAGTAGTCACTCAATTGTCAAACATTGCAAAAAATATTTTCCACGAATGAGGATGCGTGTCTCATATTATTAGTCATTATTGAATAATGTATCACAACCTGCCTTCATAAATCTAGATGATGACAAACATCCTATATCCATCTAAACAAGTAGCCCGGCACACACAATCATACATCCACAGGCAAAATATTGGCCTTCAATGTGTGGAGCCTACTTCAGTTAGCCTTTCATATAACTTGATAGAAACGCACGACTATATAGGAAAAAAAGGTGGGCTAATCACCTTAGCAAGAAGGCATGCTTGTCCAATTCCCATATGTGTTCCGATCCAGGCCATACACCTCCGCAAGTATTCTTGCATATCAGCTGGAACTATAGGTAGTTGAGAGACCACATAAATCGGATGCAAAAGAAGTAAACCCCCTACTGGTCGCCCGGGGTTTGTTATCTCTGAACTCGCCGCTCCATGGGCCAGGAAACTTCGCGAATCTTCAGTCAGATGATACGGGATGGAGGCGAGGATATCATTGAAAACCTCAACCACATCTTCGTAGTATCTACTGTCATTCTCTGTGGCGTCTAGAATGTTGGATAATTTCTGTAGGAGGTGGATGAGGAAGCACCGGGCAACACGTGAGACGTTCCACACACCCGCAACATAAAGATCAACGTAAGTATCAATTCGCCCTGGCCAGCATCCTACACCAGGACTGAGTTCACCTGGCGACGGCCTCACGTAACCGATAGTTGTAGGCTTAATATCTTCAACCTGGGTCGTCTGCCACCCGATTAGATCTCGATAGAGCGCAGTTGCCTCCTGCTTCAGACCGTACAGTTGGTCGAAAAAAAGCGGGCAAAAAGGGTTGGATAGAAAGGTTTCTGATTTTTGCCAGAGAGATGCAGTTTTCACTAGTATAGCATCTAAATCCTGACTGTCACCTCCAGGGGAAGGGCCTGTAAATATGCCCTTATTCTACAACGCAAGATCTTAGAACTGCCTCGGACCCTGTCGGAATTGGAAGCATAGATATCCCACCTGTAACATCGGGTTGACAACCAGGGGATGACCTGATCTTGCAGCATGCAGAAGGCCCCGTGGGCTGTTCTCAATCTGCAGAATGGCCGCTAGGCCGCCGGCATGAGCGTTATGATGACCAGGATCGGTCTCCCCAGCCATGATCATCTACCTTATACGTCAGCTTGCATTTCGACACATGTAGAACACTGAGGATTAACGAAGGTTACCTCGTAGAGCCCCATGAGTATTGCAATGACAAACATTTCTGGGCCAGCTGTCGCAGCGCAATTCTGAATAGACCGTGCTAAGAAACCCAAAAGTTCGTGATACAGGGTCTCCGCCTTTTGGGTCAAAAAAGGGCGCGAAAGCTTAAGTCCGTGACATGCAAAGGCCACGGCCTTGCAAGCATTGGCAACTGGAGATTGAAGTCCCAGTCGGTGAACCATTGGTTCAAGTCTGGCTAAAAAGCCCCGCGATAGCGCAGGGTTGACCGGTATTACACAGTAGTCGTGGAAAAAAGCACGAAGGGCCAGCTCTTCAATGAGATGATCGGGAATTTCGTTTGGGGGTGCATCATCGGGGATAGTGTCTGTGCCCGGTACGGGGACTCGAGGAGATAGACTACACCTACGTGCCATAGACTTGAAGGGAAACTGGAACGGCAACCATTTGGTGGTTAGGGACTCATATTGTCGGAATATGACGCTACCAGTTTCTTCATACCCTCGACAGGTACGACCTGTTTTGAGGCATCTCAGACACGACTGTACGAAATCAGCTACTTTGCTCAACATGTGATAGTAAAGGCTGGAAGAATGATGTGTTTATTTGCCGGACAGCTCAGGATAAGGAGCTGCTAAGCGGTCGTCTGTGACTTCATCGTGCTTACCGGCCGAGTTTCATCACACTATACAAAATCATGACAAATTAGTTCTAGGTTCCAGTTTTCTTCGGTGCGTGCTGTCATGCTACCCAGTCTGTTTGGGGTCATGGGTCAATAACAGCCCACGACGAGGATTCTACGACGGGCCAACGTAAGGCAAGAAAGGACCAACCTTCTTCCTGCGATTCTTGCAGGTTTCACAACCCCTTGAAGGACCGAAGTAGACCATTGGACAGGTTGTCAAGTCAAGTCAAGTCTTCGAATCGGCTCTTGAGATGTTCGGAAATACCAATTACCGAGTCGGACAAAGCGGGGAATTGTAAGGTAAGGCTGGGAAGATAGCAGAAGCGAAGAAGCGGAACAAAATTCCACTTTGAGAGTAATTGATAGTTAAATTCAAAGAGAGTCTAGTCGTCAAAGCTAAGAGACAAGAGAAGATTGTATAGAAAGAGTTTTCTTCCTCTGTATAACTCTCGGGCGATGGGTTGACGCGAGGATGAGATTCATATGTCGGGGGAATTATCAGGATAGGGAAAAGTGCAAATAATTACCTAAGTAAGGCAGTGGGGATCTGGGGCAAGAATCCTAACCAATCAGAATTGTCAAAATTTTGGGTCTCAGCGGGATCAGAAAACACGGATGCGCTAGGACTAATCTGGAACGAATACACACAAACAGCCAATCAAATGCTATGAACTATATTCGCGAAAATTTTAGTCTGTTCGGCGGGGATAGCCGATAGCCACTTGAGGGAATAAAGTTGATCAAATAAGAAAACACTCCGAAGTACTAGGTACATGGCTAGGGTACATGGCTAGTACATCATCGGTACATAAGACGATATACACTATGATAGTGTGATCTTCTATTACACAAAGCGAAGTACACGCACAATACGGTCGAGATAAAATGATCGTAATTGTTAGACGAAGATTACAAATGTATACATAAATTCTCGATGATATTAATCGATGTTGCCAACATTGCGTGCTCTCGCCGGATGTTCGGAATCCCTCAATATTAGCTGCAACACAGAATTGAATCGACGCACTGATGCAAGATTCCAATATAGTGTTATTGGAAATTGTGGCAACCGGCGTAAACTTGGCTGCATATACGAGTGTGGCTAGCCTCTCAACCCCTGCAAGGCAACACGAGGAACATGCCACCTCTTGTCGGAAACCACAGCCCGTTTGGGACAGATCTGGCTGTGCAAAATAGGTTTCTCCGGAGAGCTCGTGATAGCGTTGGCAATGCCGTCTGTGGGTAGCCAGAACTGGGGGCCAGAAATATATGCATGCGCAGGTATAGAAAAGTAACTGGGGACTGCAGGTAGACAATTATATAAGACAGCGTAGACTCTGCATGTTGTCTAAACAATAGGGTCTTTCTAGAAATTAGAGTCGAGATCTGGGCGTCCCAGGATTTTTTTCTAGCACAATGAAGTCTCTCTTCGTCAGCAGCGGCCTTTCGTTGGCTTTCTCCATGGCGGCCTTGGCAGCCAATGCCTTCGACGAATCGTCCTGGGATTCCTCTCAAATAATCAGACGGGATGTTGCCATAATTGGGGGCGGAGCTGCAGGCACATACGCTACCTTTCGTCTCAAAGATCATGGAAAGTCTGTGGTCCTTGTGGAGAAGACCGGCAGACTTGGCGGTCATGCCGTCACCTACGAAGACCCCATCACCGGTGGCTCTGTTGACTACGGTGTGCAGGTGTATGATAACAACAGTATTGTGCGCAACTTCTTCAGTCGCTTGAATACCCCTTTGGCCGATTTCTCTTTCGCTTCATTCGGGAGGCCCATCTATGCAGATTTCAAGGAAGGCGTCCTGCTTAACCTCACTTCTGGAGGTCTGGGTCAGGACTACATTAATGAGCTCAATAAATACCCTTACCTAAACGATGGTATCGAGCTGCCTAATCCAGTATCAGAAGATCTCCTTCTCCCTTGGGTTGACTACATCAACAAATATCATCTCGACTACTCGACTGCTGTTGCTACCCTTGCTCGACCTGCAATCACCGGCGATCTTCTTAACATCCTCACTCTTTATGTGTTCAACGACCTGAACCATCTCATGCTTCAGGAAGAGTCCGGAGCTGCAGTTATCAATGCAAACCATGATAATTCTCAACTTTACCGAAATGCCGTACCAGAATTGCAACCTGATCTTTTCCTCAACTCCACAGTTGTCGCCGGTTATAGGAGTACCAGAAAGCGCGATGGTGTGCGGCTTATAATTCAAACCCCCGCCGGGTTTAAGCTTATTATTGCCAAACAATTGATTCTCGGAATTCCTCCAGTTCTCGAAAACATGAGATCCTTCGGCCTCGATTCGCATGAGCACGACGTTCTCTCTAATATCTACGGCCTACCGTACTACGGTGGAGTAGTGAGTAACACCGGCCTCGCGTCGGGGTTCAGCTATAAGAACTCTGCCGCCAATACTACTTACAATGTCGCTGAGATTCCGAGTGTCGTCGGTTTCACTCCGTCCACGGTTGATGGTCTCTTCTTCTACTGGTACAATTCTCCCGAGCCCGTTTCGCAACAACAAATTGAGGGTGAAGCCAGGGATGCTATCAAGTTGCTGCAGAAACTCACCAATAGTACCACACAACCCGAGCCAAGGTTTCTCGCCTTTGCGGACTTTGCGCCTTATCAGCTGCGAGCTTCTGCTGATTCTATTCGAAATGGCTTTTACGACGATATGTATGGCCTGCAGGGTCATCGTAACACTTGGTACACGGGAACGCTCTTCGTTACAGGCTCTAGCCAGGTGTGGAATAATACGGAAGTAATGCTGCCTGAAATTCTGGCTGCTATTAATGCTTCGTGAGCAATGAGTAGCCATGTCAAGGAAATCTCTAAGGGAGGCGGCATGGATTCTTTTATCTCACACCCTTAAGAGGCTAGGGAATATTGTCGGTGAATAATTTGTATTTAGATACCTTCTCTCCCATTAGTCTTGCCGAAATAGAAACTTCCTCATATTTTAGCACATACAAAAATCGGCAAAAACACAATAACTCAAAGGTTCATTTCAGAAGATAAAGAGAAACAAATGTCTCATTTGATAGACTTGAGCTAAGAACCAAGAGTAAAGAGAAATCACTACGAAAGTATATTTCTAAATCTAGGGTTAAATTCAAACGAGACGTGCGAAAGAAATTGATTCCAATAAAAAAAAGAGGAAAATGAAAACCAAGCCGCTACACCGACCAATAAATATCGATCAACACCAAGAATCTAGGATACCAACCTCGCGCGCCCATGTATAAATCTGGTCGACCACAGCTCTAACATCCTTGGACTTGATCGGTACACGATGCTCCCCTTCCCATTCGACCAATGATGCGGAATCTTGCCGGCAATAGCCATGATATAATCGCCGGTGCAATGCCAATCCTGGATCCCGTAATCCATGAACATGTAACGTTGGTATTCGAAGCATATGCTCTCTATCTTTAGGTAACTCAGGCTCGCTGCTCATCATGGACGGACAACTTGCATCAACCAGTCCCATGGGAATAGAGGTAGGACTATTGCTCATATTTGGCAACATCCAGACCAAGGGCCCTCTCCCGGCCATCAATACTGCGAACCGAAAATGGGGCCAGATAGCGGCGTTTTCCCCTAGTTGCTGCTGGAGTGTCTGTTGGGCGTATAAAATGCTCGCAGCAACTTTGGCCCCCTGACTGAAACCAAGAAGAGCCACCCACTCTCCCGTGGCACCGCGCAAATTGTCGCTATACATGGCCTTCGCAATGGAGAGATTAATCTGTTCGGTGATGTCCTGAGCAGATCGTTCTGGATCCGCTGCTGTGCAACGCAACCAGGCCTTGAAAGGGCCGTGGTCCTTGTAGACAGAAGTTACGTCCGAGCCTGGTTGGGCGGGAAAAGGTGCTTCTGCGTAGACCAAGCGAAAAGTAGACTTGAGGGCGCGTTCGAGGCCACGACACTGCATGTGGAAGATGCGGGCGTTGGTGCCCCCGCCGTGTAGACAGAGGATTCGAGGGAGATGGAGGGTGAGGTCCACCTCTTCTGTGGTAGAAATTTTAATGGTCATTTAGTTTGATGGGATGAATGTGATTATGCATCAGTTTCTTTATCAAAACCACAGATGATTGAGATTCATCATTTTACAGTGCGTCTCACAGAGTAGGCTATGACTACATTATCAAGACTTTGTACGTATGTGTGTTATCGTTGAAGTTGTTTAGCCGCTTCTCCTGTTGAACAGGTCTTCTAGGGAGATCTACAGACTGAAGGATATGTTCTATGTATCAAAACCAGCATCTCTACGAGAGTATGAGATACTCCGGCCGGAAATTCTCAAGGACGCACTCAATGATTTCAGCTCGTATTGGTCGCAAAGCCACTGCTTAGTTAAAACTAGGGCCGTGGTCGGGGGATCGAGGGGCGAAAAGGTGCAGACTTAGCCTTGAAACTATCGGTGATAGGGTGATCTTTTGCTGGATCAGTTTAACAAAAGCAAAATTGAAGCAGAATGATATTTTATATAAAAAGTATTTAGACGAGAAATACGAAAGACGAACAAACAGTCTAACCCCAAAAGAGTATCAAAGTCCGAAGGCCGCTCGGGGCTCGGACGGAATATTCCCGAGACTTAAATTCGATCTCGATAATGCTAATCCCCATTTGGAATACTAGCCCGAATGATACAATATCTTCCGAAGGCAGGAAATACCCTGAACGTTCAGCTCACCAGGATATAACTTCTTTCTCTTTCTGACCTGAATGTGTACTTATGGACAGACTCTGATCATTCAAACTCTTAGACTCTGAACCGATCACTCAAACTGTTGTGTCTATAGAACAAGCTTGTCATCCTCTTGAGCATATCCTCACGATTCAGAGATCCAAACTACCTTGACTGTTAGCAAGACATGGAGCAGCAATCTCCCCAAGTCCATTCACTGGATCTCAATCACAACAAAAATTTTCACTTTGATTCCTCTGCAAGCGATGTTGAGCAACCTTCTGAACCGAAAATTGAACAACCGTCGTCGAAGCGTCCCACTGGCCCTCCACCTCCACCCAACGGCGGCCTCATCGCATGGCTACAGGTTGTTGGTGGCTTTATGCTCTTTTTCAATACTTGGGGCATACTAAATGCATTCGGAGTCTTTCAAACATACTACGAATCTGGTGCATTATTTGACAGATCTTCGTCGGATATCTCATGGATAGGGTCTATTCAGGCAAGCATGTTGCTGGTGGTGGGATTCTTCACAGGCTCTATTTATGATAGGGGATATCTCCGCCTTCTGTTAATTATTGGCAGCTTCTGCATTGTTTTCGGGCACATGATGCTCAGTCTTTGCAAAACATACGGAGAGGTTCTGCTTGCGCAAGGCTTCTGTGTTGGAATCGGTGCGGGCTGCCTGTTTGTACCGTGTGTCTCGGTCCTTCCCACCTACTTCAGCTCCAAGCTTGGCATGGCGTTGGGACTGGCAGTTTCTGGCTCCTCTCTTGGTGGTGTCATCTACCCGATCGTTCTAAATCAGCTTATTGGGCCTCTTGGCTTTGCCTGGTCTGTCCGTGTCATTGGGTTTATTGCTTTCGGCACACTCCTCGTCCCTATTGCCGTCATGAAGCAACGAGTCAAGCCTCCTCGTGCACGTGCACTTATTGACTGGTCTGCTTTCCTCGATCTTCCTTATATGACTTTTGTCTTCGCCTCACTCGTTGCCTTCATGGGTCTCTTTGTTCTGCTCTTCTACATTTCTTACTTTGGAGCTGCAAAACCTGTAACCGACACTCGCATGGCTTTTTATATGGTCCCGATTCTGAATGCTGCCTCCTGTTTTGGTCGAACTATTCCAAATGCTATGGCGGATAAGATGGGCCCTTTCAATCTGATAACGCCGTGCTGTATAATGATCGGGGTACTTATGCTCTGCTTAGTAGCCGTGACCACAGAAGGTGGCTTGATCGTTATCGCATTACTCTCAGGGTTCTTCAGCGGTGCTCTGATCGGCCTACCACCTTTGTGTTTTGTTGCGCTGACCAAAGATAAAACGAGGATTGGAACTCGGGTTGGCATGGGCTTCGGCATGATCGGTCTCGGTGTCCTTGCTGGTGGTCCGGCCGGTGGCGCCATTCTGTCTCTCTCCGACCATACCGGCTGGACTGGCTTGTGGGTATTTGGAGGTGTTACTGCTTTGGCTGCTGGTTTCATGTATCTTGGGCTACGCATTGTTCTGTATGGATGCAAACTCAGGGTGAAGGCATGAACGAGCGCTGTAGGGCTTCCTGTTCTGAACGCGATTTTTTGCCGGACTTTTACTATATGGATTAGACGCACATGTCACGATACAACAAAATAGAAGGTAATAGTTGATTGTTTTCAATTCTAGAGACTTTCCATACATAGTAACAATGAGCTGTACAGCAATGTAGCCTTGATGGATGATTCAAATTGAAAAGCAGATTTTTATTGTCAGTAAATCCATCGAGGAATTCTCATTTTTTCGAAGAAAGCTCTCTTCCACTCTGCAAGCAGTCCATCATGCAACAAGAAAAGGCAACCTCTCCCAACACAATAATGAATTTGGATCAAGAATCAGATTCAAAATCAATTCACTAGCAAGTGAATAACAATATATTTACAAATTCTTTCTAACCACACACCTCATAGGTGTGATGATCGCCTGTTCAGGATACCAAAACCCGACTTTCGCATAGGGATCGTTCCGAATCATTTCACGCACTTCTTCCTCACTTCCTGCACGAATACACATGACACTGCCGGTGATGGCGAGGTCGTCTCCAGCAGACTTGGGATGATGAGCCAGCGATGGGCCCCCCCAGACCAGAATTCCAGCTTCGATAAGAGGCTTGTTGTGCTCAAGGTGGGCTGGACGAGTGTTGATCCGGTTCTCGAGATCCGCCGCGTTGGCGGGGGTTTGGACAAGCCAGTCGTATAGTTGGGTCATTTTCTAGGCATTCATAGTTAATACCTGTGCTAAAGTAGGCTTATTAATTTCTGCGTTTGTACCGTGTATGGATTTGTCAAGCCGGTCTTTTAGTGAGTAGCTTTTTGAGACCAAAGATTTAGAATTGGAGCGATATGGACAGTTGATTGAGAGCTACGTCAATAATTAATATAGCCAATCTGAGGTCCATTATCTTATATGTATGTTATCAGAGTCGGAGTCATTGGTTATTTTGACACTCGGCTCCTAACTCGTTGTCTAGATTCTTGAGATTTTCCGCATCCGAGGGGCTGATACTCTGCATTTGTCCGAGCATGGCTCTCACGAAATGTAAATACCACGATATTTTGAATACTCCGAGGAGTTTGAATAGAACTTTCAATCAATGCTCTATTATCCAATTTAGATGTGCATGTTATGGTAAGACTCTATGCCTCCAGGCATCATAGATAAATGTCTTGGAAATGTGCTAAAAACCTAACTAGACAGACGTTGACCTTGGAATATAATACAACAGCAAAATAATTGTCTGATTCGTCTAAATCTCTCAATCAAGAAGCAAATTAGATAGCTTGCAATCATGATACGCACATCACCGTCTCACCCCGTCATTATCCTCGGCGCGGGTATGGTCGGCCTCACTCTGGCTCAAGCCCTAAAGAAAGCCGGCATTCCTTTTCAGGTCTACGAGCGAGACAGCGCTGCAGACACTGAAAAGGGTCGTGGATGGGCATTGACGGTTCACTGGGCCTTGTCTGCACTGGAAGAATGTCTCCCTCCAGAGCTATACAATAGACTAGAGAATATTCAAGTCGATCCTACTCTAGACGACTCACGTCGGTTTTGTTTCCTCGACCTCTCAACCGCAATCCCGAAGTATATTATCCCACCTAGCAAGCGCCTTCGTGTTAATCGTCGCCTCCTGGGCAATCTGCTTGGGGAGGGAATCGACATTCAATACAACAAGACCCTCTCCTCTTTCCACGTCTCTCCTGAAATTCCCGATGCGGTGACAATCTCCTTCACCGACGGCACATCTACAACTGGCTGTCTCCTTGTCGGTACTGACGGCCGAAACAGTAAAACTCGTCGCATTCTCCTCGGCGAAGAGATCGGCGCCTTGAATCCGCTTCCTGTTTGCAGTATCGGCACCACGATCACAATGACACCCGAGCAATTCGCGCCTATTCGCGAAATAGATCCGCTTCTGTTCCAAGGCTCCCACCCGGCGACAGGGGTGTATATGTGGTTCTCACTTGTTTCCAGTCCACAAATCAATGGAAGCAAAGATACTCTGAATCCTTTCTACGAAGGCCAGCTCATTCAGTCCTGGCTTTATAAATCCGAGAAAGACGCCGTGCCAGAAACAGACTCAGAGCGATTGGCACTGTTCAAACGTAATGCGCAGTGTTTCCACTGGCGACTTCGAGAAGCCATCAATACCCTTCCGGAGGATAGCAAGGTTATACATATTAAACTGGTTGATTGGGTGCCTGTCGAGTGGGACAATCGTGATGGTCGTGTGACGCTAGCTGGAGACGCCGCACATGCGATGACTTCCTACCGTGGAGAGGCATTTAATCATGGTGTGGCAGATGCGGCGGTACTCGCAAGGAACATTATCACTGCGTGGAATGACCCTGCAGCTATCGGAAGACTGGGAGACGCGGTGAGTCGCTACGAAGTAGAGATGAGAGAGAGAACGTGGGAATCAGTGCTTTTGAGTACCCAGGCTTGTTTGGATGCTCATGATTTGAATGGCTTGCAGCCTGATAGTCCGATCGTGAGCAAGAGGGCAAAAGTAGCTCGGGAAGCTCGAGACGCAAGGGCGAAAGCAAAGTTGTTGGAAGTTGTAGTCTAGATTTATTTATGGGTAATATGCAAGTATCCACGTGTTGAGATTAAAATGCAAATATCTTATCGTTTTTTGCAGTTGTTTGGTATAAATTCATTTCTCCTTTAATCATTGAACTTGCTAACATATATGTACATCAAACAAACTAGAACAACCAAGACGGGGAGGTACCCAAGTAAAGGTGTGAAAAAGACGAAAGCAACCTTATAATCTCCAATAAAAGTCTCATCAATTTACTCCGTAAACATGTCTGATATGTTCGTAGATATTGAGCCCAAAAAAATGTCCTCCCAATCTCTAATGAACAGTTGAAGCTTGAACAGGCCGAGCAATGACGTGATCTTCAAAAAGCTGAAAAACGCCCTGACCAAGATTGTTGAATCTCTTCAAACCACGCATGGCTGCGGTGATATCCTGAAGTTGCTTCGTGAGGGCATCTCCAGGCTTGTGATATAGCATTAAAAACTCCACACAGAGCGAAAGAGGAATGAGCGTCAAAGGATGTACCTAGAAAGATAGATTAGTTAGAAAAAGGCAAGTGGTCCAATACGCTGGCTGCAGTCTACCTTCAAAGAGTTTACTTGCGATAGCTTATTTGTCAAGTCCACGATCTCCTGCGCTGCTACGGTTGATCGCTTCTTGTATTCCGCGATGAGGTCTCTTTTCCCATCGTTTGATGGCACCGCGCAAGTCATTGTTTGGTAGAGATGTAAGATGATCGTCTGCCACATGAGGCCAATAAAAAGCAGCATTGGATCGGCTTGTTGCATGTCGGTGGTATACTTGGCTGAGAAGGCTTCCATACGTTGCGTCAAAATCCCGTCGATCCACTGATGGCGATTCCAAAAATCCTCGGTGGTACTAAAATAAAAGTCACCAACAAGACACTGATTTCGGTGTGAGAGTGCTTGACCGCTGATTGTTGCAACAATAATGCACTCTGTAAAAGTGGACGTGATGATAGTGTCGGGGGCGAGGGCGTCGGAAAGAAATCCCATCAGGATAGGCTGGTCGTTTTGAAAATTGGCTTCAGGACAGGGGAGGCGAATGGCTACCTGTGGCTAGATATCAGTGTAATTCTGAGATTCGACGATTTGCAAGAAAAGACATACTGTCTCGCTGAACGTCGGCGGTGACCCCGTTCGCATACTCATGAAATGATCTAGGCAGTACGCCATCCAGAAGGTTCGTCGTTTTTGCTCTGACTCAATCCAGTCTGTCTGGCCTCGAAGCAGATCCGAGCCATCTGTGCCATGTAACCAGTTGAGTTGAATCAATCGAAACGCTCGTCCAGCACTGATCCAACCGCGTCGGATGTCGACAGTCATAAACTCATGGATGGCTAGTAGGAGCCACGCTTGAACTTGTTCGAGATCTGTGGATGCCAAACTCGTGTCCACTGAGTCCAGTGCCTCTAGTCCGCGCCGAGCGTATTGATATAATGAATCTCCAATATTCTCGTACAACGCTGATACCGAAGCACCAAGAGTCCAGATTGCATATTGCAAGCACGACTGAGCCTCTGTTTTGACCGGCTGTCGGCGCCAGGAGAAGTAGCGACTCGGATGTTGTATGGGAATGGAATGATGGATCCGGTCGAAATACAATTGATCACTTTAGATTTTAACAGGTCTGTCTATGTTTGAGACTGAAGCAGTTCGACTTACAGGTCTGCTTGCATCAGATCGGATATCTTTGGTTCACTTATGTCATCCACATTTTCCACGATTTTAGTACGTGGTGCAAGCTCAGGCATTGTCAGGTCGATTGAAATATTCGAGTTTCTTTCTTGAGAGGGGATCGGATTCGGTCCAGACCCTGAATCGGTGATGACCGTCCTTGAAGAGCTGTTACTCGTCTTGGATGAATCATATAGGTCATGTAAAGGAGTCTCGTCGTCTATCATCGGCAACTGCCATCCGGACAGATCGATTTGATCGTCCAGCAAGGGAACATCCAGTGAGTGTTCATCACTCGGCTCACTGACATTGTTGATACCCTGCTGTTGCAGCAACACTCCTTCAAGGGCAGCTTTTAAAGATATAGTCCGTCAGCCTGCGTGGTAAATTGTTTGGACTACCCACTTGATATGAACTTACCGATGCGAGCCTGTAAGACCTTGAGATACCCGCGCTTAGGGCCACGCGAAGATCTTGCAGTAATGACCTGGCACTCGACCCCGGATGCTTCGCATAGTCCGCATTGTGGTTGACGACGATCACAGCGCAACTTCCGTCGTCGGCACTCTTCACATGCGGCGCCAGGTTTCTGGCGGGGTCGCAGAGAGGGGGTAGTTTCCCGACTCTCAGCTGATTGAGACATTGTCTGACTGCAATCACTGAGCCAGTGATAAGTTTATCTCTGACTTTTATGTGTTCAATGGACTTCTATTGGTCAACCTTTAAATCCAAATTCCTGTGTGAAGGACTGAAATCCTGATGAGTGCACTTAAAAGTAAAAGCGAAGAATTATTGTTAGCTTAAGAGAGTTGGCAAGGCTTAGCTATTGATCATGGAACAGCAAGACGAGATGGGGTGTTCACATACTATTAAGTACAGAATCCTTCTGAGCACAGTGGAATTTGAAGAAAAGGCAATCTTAGAACATCTCGAGTGGCACAGTAGCAGACCGGCCCCTCAAATCTGCATATACGGATGAACGCGGCGGGGGCCGTCACAAAATATGACCAGGCATTTTGTTATTTTAAGACCAAGTATTTTAGATATTCTTGAGGCAATGATAAACGAGCCAGATCACTATTGGACAGGTATCTGATGTCGGCACGGACATGAAGTTAGACCATTGAAACGAACAGATTGGATTGGCTCAGACGGCGATGAATATATTAAGTTGGCTCATATATAGACCGAGGTTATACGGCTGGAAACCTTACCAACCAAAGGAAAAATGGCCCAGTCAGGCTGAAGGATGCTAACATTCATGGCTGATATATTATTCATACCGAGACAGAGTGTGGGTGCTAGGAACACACGTTTGCTCAGACATGAGTGGTTTCTTCAAGCGTGCCTCCGTGCATATTTCAGCTGAAAGTAACCACTAACAGGTCTGGATAAAAAGAATAAAGTTAGCCGCGAAGGTTCTCGATTTCCACATGGAATAGATACAACGGAAGGAATGCAAGGTCCGTGGATCTGCACGATTGTTATATTAAGTTGCAGGATTCTTAATTGCTAACGCTAAGATAGAGTGGATCAACTAAAGTAATCTAATTCCTGCAAGTGTGGCAAGCCCAACACGAGTTCGATGCAAGGAAGAAGCCATTCTTCGCTAACACTCCGACACTCCGACACTCCGACCAACCAGGCGATCTACAGAGAAACAACCACCTTTTGAGCTGAAGTCCCGCGACTCTGTAGATCCACTGCTGCCTGCACACTCTCCAATCCCTTTCCAGCAACCAAAGCGTTAGGGGCCGGAATAAACGTTCCCGCGGCCAGAGCCTTAGGAAGGTAATCCTCGTAGATCGCTTTGCCCACCTGGTTATCCTTAATCGTAGTGCCGAATACGCTCTTAAGCGTGACTCCTTCGGGGGCGTTGAATCCACCTTTAACGGTCGACACAAATTTGGACCCCTGAGAGTTGGCGACCACCTCGACAGTGAGTGGGGTGGCAGCAAATCCAATGCAGTCCATTGCGCCCGCCAGAGTCTTGCCCTGAAGCGCTTCAACAATATCTTCGGCGACGGTCGCACTGTTGTAGTCAAAGACCTGGCTGGCACCGAGTTTCTTGACGTAATCAAAGTTCTTGGGAGAGGCCGTCGTGATCACTTCGTATCCAGCTGCAACGCCCAGTTGGATAGCGTTGCTGCCTACACTGCCAGATCCCCCCCAAATGAGAAGAACCTCACCGGTGGACGGTTGGCGTGGTTCTGTAGGAAGATTGAGCTTGAGAAACTCATCCTGGAAGAGACCCGAAGAAGCAGTGGAAAGTCCAAGAGGAAGCACGGCAGCATCTTCGTAAGAAATCTTACTTGGCAGATGACTGACCATGTTGGTTTGAAGAATAGTGTATGCTTGGAATGCGTTGTCTTGAAGGCGTTTGGTCGCCATGCCGACAGCGTGGCCAACCACACGGTCGCCAGGCTGGAAGCGCGTGACGTTGGGGCCGACCTGCACGGTCTCGCCAGCTACGTCCTGGCCGAGGATGGTTGGATAGTTCATGGGCCACCAGGCTTTAGACTGGAGGCTACCATCAACAGGGTTGATAGCCACAGCGTGATTCTTAATTAAGATTTCGTTCTCTCCAGGGGTGTAAGAAGGGGCCTCCTTGACCTGAAAAGGGTGTGCTTTAGCTTCGGTCAGCCAGGCGGCAGCGTTGTTGATGTTGGTAGCCATCTTGGTGGATGTTGATTTGCTGCGAAATGAAGCGTTTGGTTGGACTGAGGATCGTGAGAAAATTGAGAAGGGAGACGAGCGGAAGAAATGGCTCATATGAGATAGTATCGAATTGTAAAGGTAGTTGCTGTCGTTGTATGTTGAGAGATTACAAGTCGATTAGATTCTCAGCCAAATGGAAGCCTTTATACCCCGAGCATCCCTTTGATTTTCTTTCTTTCTTTTTACATGACAGCCTACGTATCTACCAGGGTTCGCTACAAACGCTTGCTCCGAATGTTATGTCCGAACAGCGCACGAAGATGACATAAAAGGCTCGGCCCGAGCTAATTCTTATTTCCGAGCATTTCAACCGGATTAAGTCTCAGTCGGTCTGTACCATCATAGCCCAGTGAGGTGGCTTACCTTAGGAACGGCAAGAGTTTCAGCCTTTTTGTTCGGATTACTCCGTCAGGGTCCAAGGAGCCCAGCGCAAGGCTAACCGATCCTGGTTTAGCTGGAGCTGCAGGCGGCGATCTATTTCGATAAGGTTTTAATAATACGAAGGTATAAACTATAATTTCAAAATGAGGTCTCATTTACCATTTTCGGTTAGTCTTGAGCCCGACGGAGTCCCGCTTTTCGGCCCCATCAGCTCCTCTAGTCCCACCTGTCCACTTTCCTTATTTCGGTTAGCGTTGAGCTCTATCAGGGTTATCCCAACTATGTACATTTGAAACACGTACCTATACATACGCTACTTCGTATTAAAGTGAGCGATTAATCAATTTGGTTGCATATCCTAGTATATCCACAGTTGATTCTAGATAGAGCCGCAACAGGACTCGAAATAGCCTTTCTTGCCGCTGGCTACGCTAAAGAACATCACCCAAGTCGTTGTCTAACTCCTTTGGACGTTCCGTTGGTTGGAATTGTCATCAAAATTTGGAAATTTTGAATACTTTCAAGGTTCAAAGGAGCCTATGATTAGATAACCCTTCTACAGGTGGACATGAACATTAATATTACCACTCAGAAACCACAAATACCAGGATCGTTTTGTGCAAGGACATATTCGTACTCTATGTCGAGCATATGTTCGTCTTCTTTCTTTGGGAGGGAAGGAGGGGCAGAACTCGGCGCGAACAACTCATGAGGACCTTAATTAAAGATTCTCTAAAGTGGGGGGTAATTACTAAGTGTTGATTGATATTGAAAGCGTGTCTGATATCGATTATCATGCACACAGTCTTGGCAAATTCCTGGCAAAAGGCCTATCATTCTGTGTGGCGCTTGGCCATCGCTTGTATTCACCCTAGGCTATACACCTTTTATCCAGGAAAAGCGAGCAATACCTAGGTATCCCAAGATTCATAGAGTATTCAAGTTAATGCATAGATTCCGATCCTGGATGCTACTTTTTGAGTCCGCCTTCCGGGATCAGAATCTATCCTGCTAGAATAGGGGGGCTATTCATCAATTTGTATTTTGCCGAGCTATTTTCGATGATGACTGGCCTAAAAGCAAATGACTAAATCACAAACTGCAAGGTCCTCAATTCGTCGAACTTTGCAACTGCAATCGAGTGAAAGTAGTATGCATAAGCTTTCCCCCGTAAATGATACTCGTATACATTCCGTATGGCTTTTCTCTTCCGCCGACCAAAATTCTCTACTCTAGAGGCTGACTCACAAAAACCTTCATAGGCGTAATCACCACCTCATCCAAGTTCCACACACCTAATTTCGCATAAGGATCACTACGAATCATCTCCCACACCTCCTCCTCGCTCGCAGCCTTGAAAAGATGAAGACTTCCAGTAATCTTTTTAAAGCCGTCTTCGAGATCCTTCGGTTGTGAAGAGTAGAGGGGCCCTCCGAATGTGATTTTTCCGGATTCGAAGTGAGGTTTATTGTGGCTTAGATGGAGTGGACGGTTCTCAAGTCGGGTTGCAAGGACATTTGGGTGATCCGGCAGTCGGGCAAGCCAGTCTTTTTGCTGAGACATTATGGACTTCGCGGCTTGTTAAGTAGTAGGGAATTGACTGTAGAAATATGTGAATTGTTCAAGCAGAAGAGCTGGATTTTTTCAGAGAAGTTGTGATGAGTGTGACGTGATGTTCTTCAAGATGAACTGGGTGAAAATCGAATGCCAAACGTGGGAGGTCTGATGTAGCTTGATATGATATTCTCAATCGGTAGATATATCATTTATTTTTTGTCGGAAAATCTGGCTTAGATGCTGACGCGCAACGACGGCGAGATACTCCGGATGATCCTGTGAACACATGACAAATCAGAATACTCCGATTCATTCTGAAATAATGTGCCAGTATTTCCAGTCGGGCCAAATGAGGAAAGGGAGTGATTTTCGAAACATGTGGAGTCTGTAACACCCATGCCATCCACTCGGGTCGGAGATTCTCTCGAGGCTATCCAGCCCTACCTGTGCACGCGCAACTCGGTATACTCGCAACAACCATATGATCCGACAAATTCATCATGACTAATGAGGAAGTCAGTAAGAAGGATGCACTTGAGAAGTAACTAGTTTCTGTTCCTTTGTATTCCACATGACGATCAGGCTACGCGATCTCGCAAAATATGAGTACGCTTGTATAAAATAGCTCAGGAGTCTTCCACGCAGCTCGCTACCGAAAGTTTGTCAATATCATACGTCGACCTTGAAAAGAAAACCAACACAATTCATACAACATGGGAAGCGTCGAGGAGATCCCAACTGTAAACATTAGCGCCTGGCTGAATCCCTCTTCCACAGAAGAGGACCGCCAAAACATAGTTGATGCAATGCGCCATGCCTGCACCACCTACGGTTTCCTCAACCTCGTGGGCCATGGAGTCACACTCGAAGAGCAAAAGCAGGCGATGGACTGCGCTAAGCTCTTCTTTACGCTCTCTGAAGAAGAGAAGATGGATGTGTGGATTGGTAAGTCTAAGGGAAAATCATTTCGTGGATACGAGCCGCCGGGCATTCAAGTCCATCAGGAGGGCCTCTTGCCGGATACTAAAGAGGTAAGCATTTCAACATCTATGATTTAGAAACCGTTGGTATATTGATGTTGGTATACGTAAAAAGTGCTTCATCATCGGTCATGAGGTTCCCGAAGATCATCCTGACAGCGGCACGTTCTCTACCGGACCAAATCTTTGGCCAAAGTCTCTCCCAGACGACAAGTTTCGCATCCCTATTATGCGATACCAGGCTCGTATGGTCGAGTTGGTGAAAGTGCTTCTCAAAATTCTTGCACGTGGTTTACCCAAGGAATGGAACTGCCCGCCTGATGCATTGGATGCGTTGGCTGAGAATGATCCTTCCATTCCCATGCGACTGCTTCACTATGCTCCTCAGCCTGTCAGAGATGAGAGACAATTCGGCGGTAAGTCTCCTTTCATTCCATTTTTTTAGGTGTCTAGAGTCAATTTTCTCGATGCGATCGATCGAAAAATCAGTTAGTAATTAATTAATCTAGTTGGCGACCACACTGACTTTGGATGTATCACCATACTCTTACAAGAAATGGGCACTAAGGGCCTCGAAGTGTGGTACCCTCCCACGGAAACCTGGATCCCTGTTCCTCCACAGGAGAACGCCTATGTGATAAATATCGGGGATATGGTTCAGAAGTACACAGGTGGATACTACCGCAGTGCCCGTCATCGGGTGGTCACCTTTAGTGAGAAGCATAGGTATAGCGTCCCTTTCTTCCTGAATGGTCAATTGAAGTTGAAGTGTACGGCACTTGACGGTTCGGGCGTCGAGACGATTGTTGGGGAGCATATTCGAGGTCGACTCATTGAAACCATGGGAAAGACTGGTGAAAAGCTCAAATAGGTATCATGCTTGCTTTTCTGATGTGGGACAAAGGTCAGATCCAGAATGATAATACCAGACAAATTTGGTGTCGATAAACTTCATGTATTTCGGAAATTGAGATCCTAGATTCACCACTTAGCTTTGTCGTTTTGCCTTCTAACCCGACTTTACCGTAGCTCATAGTTGCCGTCGATCTCTTCGACATTCATGATCCAGACTTTTATCAGAAATCCTTACAAAGCGTAGTGAAATAAGTTTTCATCAGTCTGTATATTGCTACTAAATTACTAATTCGTGCCAATGTAGACGTGGAGATACAATTATACACAAGTCTGGAGAGATACCGAAAATACAAATACATTCCTTCACGTACGAGAAGCAGGCACAAAGAAAGAGGTAACAGGACCACCAGAGTACAGGGATACAGACACAAAAAGAGCAGCAACAATCAGGCTTGGCAAGGATAATTCCCGCTCGGATAATCGGATGGATAATCCTTATCCGTTCTACGGATAATCCATCGATTAATCACGGATAATTGGCAGAATCTCACCGCCTATAATCCCACCAAATTATTCAACTTCTAGTTATCCCATGATGATTCCCAACTCAAATTCTATAATTATTTTGTATAAATATGGATTCCGATACAGATTTATCTGATTTTCTATCTCTACCTACTGCTGATTCAGTGGAAACCGAGTCAAAAAAGAGGAAAACGCTAACAGCTCAGGTAACATGGGCTCATACTCGTCCAGCTCAAGATGGAGAGGCCCAATTTCATCGAGATCGGCCAATTCAGTACTGCATTCACTGTACGACATCGTCATATGGTACCTCGGTTACTACTAATATGCGAAATCATCTCAAATCAAAGCATCAGATCTTTATCAATTCTACTCCAAGCCCCCTACAACAATCAATACTCAATCAATTACAACAACTATACTTGAAAGCAGACTCCTTAGGTCAGACACAACAGATTGATACTCAAGCCTTTCAAAGGATCTTGAGTCAAGATATTATTGATGATGCATTAGTGTCATTAATTGTTGTACGAAACCTTCCATTCTCTGTTGTTGAATGGCCTGAGTTTCATACTTTATGTCGAGTGCTCAATCCAGAATCAGAGAGATATATTATTATAGCGCACAACTCTATCCCTAAGAGAATTGAACAATCGTGGCTAGTCCAGAAGGATATTATACGAAAGAAGCTCCAGTCAGCATTATCAAGCGTTCATCTTTCACTTGATATCTAGACCTCTCCAAATCGGCTCCTTTTTCTTGGGATCTGTGCTCATTTTGTTGAACAAGTGAAGAGAAGTTATTAAAGGCTCTTATTGCCCTTCGTATAGTGGCAAATCATAGTGGAGAAGAGCAATTTATTACTCTTCTTTCAGTCTTAAAAGACTATGGGATTTTGCAAAAGCTTGGTGCTGTTATTTGTGATAATCATACTGCAAATGACAAGCTTTGTCGCACTATAGCTAAATATCTTCGGGAAGAAGGGATTAAATGGGACCCAACATATCGGCGAATCTTTTGTATTGGCTATGTTATTAACTTGGCTATACAAGCCTTTCTATTTCATGATATAGTGGATATTAAGCAACTTAGCCTATATAATGAACACGAAGTCATAGAAGAAGAAAGAGCAAATGATATACAAAGAAAGGCTACTTTCCACTCAATTGGGCCACTTGGAAAACTTTATAATATTATAGCACATATTCATGGCTTAGCTGGCCGTACAAAAGAATTCAAAGATCTAGCTGGGAGGCTAATTCTACTTGATAATCATACAAGATGGAATAGCTAGTATCATATGCTCTCTGTAGCTCTTCAATTCGATGCTGCTCTTAATAGCTATACAAAAAGGCATTTGGATACTCTTGAAGCAGAGTATTTATCTCCAACAGACTGGGAAAAGCTTCATACGACAAGCAAATTCCTAAGTCTTTTTGACCGAGCTACTCTAAAAACTCAAGGGGATCAAGCAACAATTGATAATGTACTTTTTGTGATGGATATTATTATTAAGCACTTTGAAAATGCCTTGGTAAGTTAAGCTCTATAAGGAGATCCTATTAGAAATTTTAATTTTATAGGGTTCTAACTCCTGATAAACCTAACTAATATTGTATGGCAGGTTGAATATGTATCAGATAAGGAATTCTGCGCTCGAATTCAGAATGGTTGGGATGCCTTTGATAAATATTACAGCAAATCAGATGATTCACCTCTTTATGCTGCAGCACTTATTCTTCATCCAGCTCGCCGTATAAGGTATATTCAGGCTAATTGGAAAAAGAGCTGGCAAAAGCCTGCACTTTAGAAGGTTAAAAAGCTTTGGGAAGAATATCGCAATAATGCTCCTTATCCTATGATCATGCAATCATATGAAAATGATCAACCTCAAGATCTTGATGACTTTGATCAAATTGCAGAAGACCTTGACGGATTTTCGCGACTAGTAAGTCAGGATGAATTTGAAGACTATAATACTGAGTCTCCATGCAAGATTCGTACAAGTGCTCTAACTTGGTGGTGTCAAGATGAGCAACAAAAGCGCTGGCCAAGGCTTTCATACATGGCAATTAATATCTTATCAATTCCAGCAATGAGTGATGAGCCTGAGAGAGTATTTTCAGGAGCACGTCGTACAATCTCATGGGAAAGGGCACAGCTATCAGCTGAAAATATTGAGAGAATAGAGTGTTTAAAACACTGGGCAAAAACTGGTATTGCAGAAGAGAAACTTAAGGGCTAGTTAATTAAATATATTACATTTATGTATTGGCTATACGGAAACTATTGTAATTTATCCCGGATTATCCGATAATCGATGTAATTTTACGTTTGATAAGGATTATCCATCCGTGCCGTAAGGATTAATCCTTGCCAAGCCTGGCAACAATCACGAATGGGAATATTGGAATCTCAAAACCCACTGCTCATTCAACTCTGAAGAGTCTGAACTGAGCTCGATTCTTACTAGAACAAAGGGAAAGGTCTAAGCAGCCGCTCACTCCATGGCCTTCTGTTTTAGGCCTCGCCCTCACCCGCGGGTGACCCTCGGAGGGTGACCCTCGCACCCTCGTTTTGAGCGTCGAGGGCCTAGGCCTCTGACCCTAGAGGGTCCCCGAGGGTCCACAAACAAGACAAACAGCTCGTAAGTTGCATAATTTATGCAGCTCGTAGCTGTATTTTTCAGTATTTCTCTTACAGGATTATTGTGGGAGAAGGGACAATAGAGTACTCGTATAGATGCAGAAATGTCTGTTTAAAAGTCCTTTGTTGTTAAAGTTACTATTCTATATTATAAATAAAGCTATGCACGACCAACTTCATACCCATTAAGAAGTTTCGAGCGTTTCCGAACTCTCCCTGACACCCAACATTGTGTATCAGGTAAAGGCACATCACCACCATCAGTTTTATCTTGCTCATCCTCTTCGGGCTGAGATATAATGCTTTTTCGCCTTTTTCCTAGTGCCCGCTTACTAAGGGGTTGAATAGTTGGCTGGACCTCACCTAGTGCGGGTCATGCCGAGGCCTATTCTGTTTAGCCTCCGCCTTCATGAAGAACGGGTCTTCGCCGTAAGTGTCGCGATATTCTGTAATATATCCTCTTCTGCTTTGTTCAGATAGACTTATGAGTGTTGTGAGTATTCAGTTATTAAATATTACAATCGATCATTAAAAAAAATCGTACCTGTTTCCTGCTTTCGGAGGTGTTGGTTTACTTGGTTTTGACACGCTGAGAAATATCCCTGACGGGAGACCTTGAATTTCACCAGTTGCCAGACGATCCTTAAAAAACCACAGGAATGCAGATGCAGGTCGCTTCACTTGACGATCATCTGGAATTGGACTTAATTTGATGATTGATGCTGAAATTTCCCATATAATTACGGTTCACCCTATCTAAGTTAAGCCTAAACTTGTTAGCAATAGGTCGGTTATAAACCGCTAGATCAAGTACGTTAGCGGAAGTTACTCGTGGAGGCCAAGCTGTGTTCCAACAAGTAGATTCTCTAACAACTAGCTAGCGACTGTACTTCGTACATCGTTCAACTCTGTCCTGTAACTGTCGGAATGGTAGGTTTATTCCAGGCCAATCCTCCCACCGTAACGACCCATACACGTCGCCACTTCATCGATTGGAAACAGCCATCAACCGCAAACTGGGACGTGATACTAGCCAACGCATCGAGACAATCTACCCCTTTGTAGTGCCACCGTGGTGGGAGCCACCAGAAGCAAGGATTGACGATACCCGTGAGGAGGCTATCAAGGCTATTGAAGCAATCTCAGGAACAGATACAACAATACAGTTCTTTACCGATTGGAGCGGCTTTGACAATGGGATTGGGGCAGCGGTCTACTCATCAATAGGACAGGCTTATAAGCCAGTAGGCTCATCTGACACACATACTGTTTATGCAGGGGAACTGGAGGGAATCGATGCGGCATTGGAAATCCTACTCCGAAGCCAGCCATGCGATGACAACCCACACGAAGCCACAATCTACACAGATAATCAAGCCGCAATACGCGCCACGTGCCAGCCAGGGCGGTCCTCTGGGCAGTATATCCTTCGACGGATCGTACGACACCTGGGCCTCCTACGCGACAACCGATCTCGATGGCGTGTACGACTACAGTGGGTGCCAGGCCACGAAGGGGTCCCAGGCAACGAGAAAGCAGACCAGCTGGCAAAGTTGGCTGCAGTCGAGGCGACACGGCGTACACAGGAGAACGCCCGCATAGCCAGGATCAGCGCACCCAATCAGACTACACCACACGCCGCACGAATGTCGTATATTCCAAATCAGTCAACTATCCTTATGGCAGTGTGTCGCCAGAGGCTACATGCAGGCTTTGCAAAGAGGTGGAAGGAACAGTGGGAGCATGCCAACCATGGACGGCATCTCTATCGGATAATCAAAGCACCAACGAAGATGGTGTTGCAGCTGCACGAGGGATTACGACGGGCTTGGAGTTCAGTGTTAATCCAACTACAAACAGGTAAATCAGCGCTACGCAGCTTCCTAGCGAGTGTACGGATTGAAGACTCACCTCAATGCGAATGTGGCCTTGGGGATCAGGATACGGCCCACGTCCTCATACGGTGTCCTACCCATATAAACCTGCGTATGGAGACTCTCTGGAAAGAAGCACGCGAAACAGATTATCGGAAGCTCCTTAGCGAACCTCAGTGGGTTCGGCAGAGTATTGAATTTATGATGCGGACTGGTCTATTGACGCAGTTCCATCACGTAACCCCCTTAACAACCACGCGCTCATAGTGAGTGCGACACTACCCTGATGAAGAGTAACCACGTTGATTCGGCTCGGACGGATTAGCCACTTGACACGTTTGGAAATAGAACCGGGCACCAAAACATAAATATCACGTCACCCCGCACCGAGATCCTTCACTCTTTTTGTATATATACACATTTCCTTTGTTGGTTCGGCGTTCTCTTCGCTCGTTATCTGTTGTTGGTGGTCTTCGGATCTGGATACGGATACGTGTCGAGACTTTCGCGTGGAGTTGACTAAGTCAGCGCTAAGCCGGAAGCGTCTTGGCACGTTGACGTTGATTTATGCTTTTATACGGTAGTACGCCCGCTGCCCAATTAGAAGGCGCCGCCGGCCACTAGGCTTAGATGCGTGTATGAATCAATCAATCAATCAATCAATCAATCAATCCAGGCCAATCCTAAATAATGGTTTACTGGAATGAGAAAAGAATAAGTGAGTAGCAAGATTGTGTGTATTAAGTTGTCTGTTCCTCCCTCTCTCTTCCAATACATCAGGTTTCAATGCCAGGTCTTTATACACACTTTTGCGGGGTGATTTGTGAATCATCATGAGGGGTAAACATTGGGCCGAAACCTAGGTGCCCAGATATATGCCCTAAAGCGCCTTTTAGACCTGTAAGGTCGAACAGCCTATCTCTCTGCCTCGTTTGAAATCCGGATTATTTGACAGGAACACGACCCTGAGTGTAGCTCAGTTTTCCCCCTCGCGCTAACCGCTTTGGAATAGCGTGTCCCAGTTGGTTACCTAAGCGGCGCCCTCCCGGCGGCTCCCACTAACTTAGTGGGAGCCCGTCCCGGCGCTGCCATGTCGAATCCAGTGAGATCTTGATTGCAGACCGACCTGTACATCAACTCTACTAGGCAGGCAACACCTGTCACGACTGGTCAGCGTATTTACATTCTATTGCACTAGCACCAATTGAGAGCCCTTGCCCAATATTTATGTCTTTACTTGCAGGTGGTGTTACGAAGACCAAGTGCCTAAAGGCTAAACACCACAACCTTGCTATCACCGAGCATGATTTATCATGTGACATTGTCTAAAGTGGCAAGGGGTTGTGAGAAAATAACCAAGGCTGCTGCATATTTTATATAGAACTACCTAAAAAAACAGTTATGTGCGACGCTAAATCGCTCTGCGCCTCGCTGCTTGAAACAAAGCCAAATCACTGACCTAGCTACCGATAACTCATTAAGCACTCAGGGTTGTTGGGAAACCGGCAATGACACGAATAGTGCGCGCCTCAGGCTCCTCACCGTCTGTCCAGTCTACAGCGCTGAATCCAGCGCGATTCATGTGATCCTTCCAAAGCCACTCAGGCGTCACAGCATGCTCGCGGCCGTCCTCGAATAGCCACCATCCTTCGAACAGCCCAACGGCAATATCCAGCCAGAACATATTCTGCGTGATCTCAACCAACCCCAAAACTCCGTCGTCGCGAAGCATCTTGCGCAGCGACGTTAGCGACGTCGTCAAGTTTCTCGTCGCATGGACACAGTTAGTTGAGATAATGAAGTGGAAAGAACCGATCCACGATGCCTGCGGTTCTTGCTCAATATCCAGAGTCGTAAACTGCATCTCAGGACAATCCTTGAATGTGCGCTTGGCGGCTGCTACTAGTGACGAGGACAAGTCTGTAAAGACATACTCAAAGGGTACGCCCAAATTTTGCAGGTGGCGGACGATATATTTGGTCGTCCCACCTGTGCCGGCACCGACTTCAAGGATGCGAAATACACCAGGCTTGTTTGGATATGCCATGGCTTTCTCAAGGAACTCACCCAGCGCGATGGTACCGGATCGTACGAGCGGCCAGTTTTCATAAAGGTCGTCAAGCGTCTTCTTGTTCTCCTTATTGCCGAAGACGATTTGAAGACCATCCATCTCACCAGTCAAGCACTCCGCAAGTTCCTCACCAACAACACCAACGATCTTATGTACGCTAGCGTGAAGCGGAAATTCGGAAATGATCTGCGCGAAGATAGTAGAAGCGGGTGTAGAGTCGACGACCTTTGTTGTGCGAACAAATTGGCCTTGCTCGTTGAACGTGATAAGCCCAGCATCTTCGAGCACACGATAAAGTTGGCGCACAAGTTTACTATGTCTAGGCGAATGCGGGATTACGGAAGCGACATCTCTGGCTTGGAGGGTGGCCATGTCGCAGCCCAATTTGGCAAATGCTTCGATGACATAAGCGAGAACGAGTGCAGCTTGGCGAGGATAGCACTTTTTCCAGAATCCAACAGCACCAGTCTGGATGGCGGCCCTCTCGTAAGCGTCTTTGCAATTTGCAAATACCTTTTGCGCCCTTTGTAAAGATGGCGTCGAGTCCGCACTGGGGACGGTAGACGATACGCTTCCCGTAGTGGCATCTCTTGCTTTGGCTCACATCTGGGCAGCTGATTTAGTACTCGTCCCTGCGCTGACCTCCAGAACTGAATTTATATGATCGCAAACTGCTTTGACGTTGGGTAAAAACAAAAACGTGTTGAGGTCGATCTCGAGCCCAAACGCGGATTGTATTTCATTTAAGACTTCAGTCACCAGAAGAGAGTCGATACCGAGTTCCTCGAGCGTGGTGTCAGGACTGATCTCATTTATTGGAACGTCCGTGACGTTGTGTAGTAACTCTAGAACCTGGGGTGCTCTACTGGATTTTGCACAATCACTGGCACTTGCCCCTGATATACGAGTGTCTAATATTGGGGTAGCTCTTGCAGGAACTGGTGTAGGGTCAGTACCAGGTCCACCGGTATTAACATTGCGGAGCGATCTCTGCAAACTCGAAACAGATATTCTTGTAAAGACGAATCCGATGAATGCAATCACTACTTTCTGCAACTTTTTGTCGAAGATGTATACATCACTGACGGTACGCTCCTGGTTGTCTTCAGTTAGAAGTGAGTATGCAATCCACTCTCCTGCAGTAATATCAAATGCACCTCCCGTAACGATACGATTAATACCTTGACACAGCAAAACATCCTTTCCACTAGGGTGTGCAAAATAGTTAACGAGAACGCCAGCAAATTGCATCATTCCGTCGATGGTCGGAGTGTCATATAAAGCCTCATTAGGAGAAAGCTTAGGATCTAACTTTGCGGCGACCTTCCCTGCAGCTTCGTGGCCATGATACGAGATACTCTTGATCCCCTGATACATTTCGTCAAAGAGAATTAGTTTTTGAAGTGCTTGATAGATGTGTCTACCTTGCATCTTTTCTCCATCCTCCATGTTCATGATAGAGAGACACTTCTTATATCCTATCAAAGCACTCCACTGCATGATCGTATCGGACAGCAAAGGATCGTCCCGTCTATTGAGCCCAACTTTACCAGTTACATGGACTTGTACATCCCCATTCTCTTGCTTTGACTTGCTCGAAAATTCGAAATCCCAAGAGTCGACATTCGGCGTAATACGTGTGAGTTTCACTTAGATATTCTTCTTTGGATCGAGACCGATAGGTGCACCCTTCATTTGCATGGAGCTCATATTCATAACGTGCGTCTCGTAACTTGTATTGCTTGTTAATATTATTGCTGCGCGAGAAAGCAGCTCGACGTACAGCGACGCAGGTGCAAGAGCCTGGTTAGATGCAATATGACCATTCAGCAAATACATGTAGCGGTCACTTTCGGGGTCGATTAGAAAAACAGCCTCCTTCTCACTCGGATCAGAAAATCCCAGAAATGAGAAGAATTCATGCGTAACCTTAGCGGGAGTTGCATGAGTAATATCTGGGGTAGGCTCGAGAACGGGTTTGTCAGTAAAGGAGAGCCAGTGCTTAGTCTTCTCAAATTGGTACGGAGGAAGGCTCTTGTATTCGAAATGATGCCGTTCGCTTCGATGATACGGCCAAAATCGAACATGGACACCCGTCTTCCATAGCTCTACCACAGTTTCTGCCAAAGATGAAACTGCGTTGGGTCTGTTCAAAAAAGATGGACAGCAGATCTGCTGCTGGTTTCCACTGTTGAGACAATTTTTGACTAGCGACATAATAGAGGACCCTTGACCTGCTTCTACCCAGATGCAAGACGATAACTTCTTAGCCACCCTTCGGACGGCGGATGAGAAGTATACGGGATTTCGCATATGATGAGGAATCAGCCAAGGGCCTATTTCTTGATCAACATGCTTTTCTGTGGTTAGTTCAATTGGAATTATTGGCTTGTTCCATTGTACATTATTTGCAAGAACTTCAAGTTCTAACAATATTTTTTCGGCCAGGACGGAATGGAAACCATGTGTAACTTTCAAGCATTTGAGATGAAGACTTCGTTGAAGTCTGTCGTCGCTGGCGGTATAACTTTTGAAAGCCTCCACTGCCTCGGATGTGCCTACAAGCACGTGGTTTGTTGGGTGGTTGAAGCAGGCGAATTCCAGCCTGTTGCTAGGAACTTCGGTATTAAAATTATGGAGGATGCTTTTGATTGTCGCATAATCGGATTGCACAGAGATCATTGACCCCTTTTCTGTCCCCCACGACTTATCAATCAGCTCCGCTCAGCCTATAACAAGTCTCATTGCGTCCTGAATTGACAAACATCCAGAGATACATAGTGCTGTCAATTGACCAAAGCTGTGTCCCACAACTGAGCTAACGTGCATTCCACTATTAATCCAAGCCATAGCAGATGCATGCTGGACTGCGAAAAGAGCTGCATGAAGGCGTGGCAGGTCTCGAATGCTTTCGCGTTGATAAATAGCAGGATATAAGCTTCTACAACCAAGCAAACGTGATTCAAAGTCGCATTCATCCAAATGACGTTTGAATAATCCCGAGTTTTCCACAGCCTCCTCTGAGAGACCTACAAAATCATTCTCTTGGCCGCCAAAGACCATGACCACCGGACGCGGGTTGGAGCTGGCACCTTTTAATGGTTTTTCAAATCCGGTGATAACGTTTTTGAGTAGCATCTTAAGATCTGCCAGATTGTTGACGGCTTTTGCAGTCGAATAGACAAGCGTATGATTGACTCTGTCGGCTAAATTGAAAAGAATGTCTGTCAAAGAGGAAGAAGAGCTCCTCGCAGACGTTTCTTGTGCCTCCACGTACGATAGAAGCTTCTCAGCATACGCAATCAAGCTCCCTTCTGTTGAAGCCGATATAAAGAAAGGCAGTTTTGATGTAATGTTTCGCCGCTGTCCAAGCCTTACCGAGGAAACTGACTTGGGCTCATGGATAGCAACCACAGCATTACTTCCAGCTGCTCCGTAAGAGTTAATGCAAGCAAGTTTAGATAAAGTTTTCCAAGGCAGAGTTCTCGCGATCGCCATCATATCGGGCTCAAGTGCAGGTATTTTAGGGTTGAGATTGGTAAAGCCGGCCTGTCCTAGTATGGTGTTATGTTGCATCATCAGAAGGACTTTTATCAGGCCAGCCACCCCAGCTGATGCCTCTGTATGACCAATGTTGCCCTTGACGGATCCAAAATAAAGAATCTCTTCACGGTGGGGACCTCCAAAAACATCGCGGATGCTTTGGCATTCGATCGGGTCACCTACTTGCGTTCCTAGAGGCCCATTATTAGCAATTTATTGCACAATGTTGGAAAATGGGAAAGTTCTTACCAGTACCGTGGGCTTCAACGTAGGTCACGCTAGACGAGGAAGCATTGGCCATTGTAAGAACCTTTTTGTAGATTGTAGTTTGAGATGAAGAGCAGGGAACGATGATATGAGCATCGTTGTAATTCTGATTGACAGCGGATCCAACAATGACACCTAAAATATGATCACCTTCTTCGATAGCAGTTGAAAGAGATTTAAGGACCACAGCTGCAACTCCTTCGCCGCGACAGTAGCCGTCAGCGGAGCCATCGAATGGTTTACAAGCGCCTGATGGGCTCAGAAATCCGGCAGCAGCCAAGTTCTGGTAATCGAATGGACTGCTAAATACATTAGTGCCGCCTGCAATTGCTCGTGAACATTATCCGGACTGAATCGCCCGGCACGCGGTATTTATTGCAACACGGGACGAAGAACATGCAGTATCGATACTCATTGCGGGACCAGTGAATCCAAATTGGTGGGAAATACGGCCGCTAAAGAAGGCTCGCGAGGTTCCCAACATTGAGTATGCGTTCGGTGGATGGCAAGCAACATTGTCATAATAATTATTGCCCACAGCGCCAATGTAACAACCGTAATCGTTTGGACGGTCTTGACTCCCTGGTCCAAAATAGCCAGCGGACTCCAGTGCTTCGTAGACAACTTCAAGCAGAATTCTTTTTTCCGGGTCCCATGATACAGCTTCCCTAGCGGACTTCTTGAAGAAACGGTGATCAAAGCTATCAACATCGTTCAGGAAATTACCCCAGAATTTTGTGTTTTGATAACCAGCCAAACGATGATTGTTCACATTAAATCGATCGGGCGGTACCTCTCTAACCATGGATGTGCCAGACTCTAGAAGTTTCCAGAAGTCATTAACGTCAGCTGCCCCTGGGAAACGGCAAGACATGCCAACCACCGCAACTGAATGCGGGGGATATTTAACTTCCGTGTTGTCATTGATGCCATTGATGTTATTGACACTGCTGATACTGTTGCTATTATTGACGCCGTTGACACCGTAAGTGGAACCGTTCCTTCGCCAAAGACTAATAGGTAAGACACCCTCTTCAAACGCAAATACTGTCACCTTGGCACAACCCGTGGGGTGAGTATCAAAAGTCTTCCGGACGGTCGTGTACCAGTCCGCTGTGTAGATTAGTATGCTCTCAATTGCAATGTCCGAAACAGAAACGCTCCCCGTAATGAGCTCTCCGGTTTTATTCATCCGTAGTGAGTGGGATTTGAAGTTGTGAAACTTCAGGATATTGAAGACCTTTAACGGACTGTGTAAATTTTTTCAGAGTCTGAACTGCAATGGCATGATCGGAAGCGGAATGAAAGCGTCCTTTGATGCCGACTGATTTAGCACGAATTCCGGCCTTCCTGAGCTTCTCGGTCAATTGCTCCTCGTCTCGCGCTTGAACAATAACCGTAACGCAGCATACGTCTGTAATGCATGCGATATAAGCCTATTTGGGAGTAAGAAGTTTGACATTATCAAACAGGGACGCCTTGGACTTCTAACATGTGCATAGTGTGCCAAAAGACCTTCAACTTGCGACTTTGAAAATTGCCCTTCCTTCCACCGAACAGACAGAGCACAAGGCAAGCTCGAGTTATCATCGTTCAAAGCGTTTTGGTCAATATAGGCGCCAATGCACATAGCCAAGCGCAAGCTGGTAGCAGTATTTTTTACCAATTGCTCCTCATTTCCAGAGAAAGCGATGGCAGCAGCAGTAAGAAAGCCCGTGCAGAAACTTTGGACGCCGTACTGTTGCAGTGACTGGATTTTCTGTCGGAAATCAGGCCCAATTTTGTTTTCGGTCAAGTGCCGAAGAAAGAGAGCAATTTGCAAGAGGACGGCGAAAGGCAAACAGCCAACATTGAGGAGATCATCGACAGGTACACATAGAGTTCCCGACTCTAGCCATTGCAAAGGAAACTCAATTGATGAAGCTGCCGGTACTGCTTTGGTTGTGCTATCAAACGCAGTCAGTTGTTCATAAAGATTTGGCAGGTCTTCCAATATGGACGTTAAGGATTCGCGAAAATTCTCTTGATCAAGCAAGATTCGACGCAGTTGGCTTAATTCTTGCGGGGAGGGAAGGGCAGCTTGTGGACCGCATAGGAACAGCTCCGTCGCCATGGTCGTCATTTTTATTGTTATTGTTATTGTTACTATGCGCTATTCCGAAGGAAAAGTTGGGTTTATAGACTATTTAATGAGTAAAAGTATACACACCAAAAGACCTGGTTAGTGACTGACAACATAGCAGGCCAACTACCTACTAGGTAAAGACCCATCTTATCTCATAGGTAGGCTATGTCCCACGGATTTTCGTAACTCGTCCAAAGCACTCTAATCTATTTCTGAGTAGGCATTAGGCCGAAAGGCCACCAACTGATTCTTGGGAAAGGTGATAGGTGGACATATCCGTTGATGCTGGAGACTGGTCCTTATCATATAACGCCAGTCTGCTTGCTTAAAGCCAAAATCTCATTCGCAACAGCGGTGACATCGGCTGGTTGAATTACTACCCTGTGGTCCCCATCCCATTCCACCAGACGAGTCGTACCCGGCTTGCAGAAGTCAGTAAGAAGCCGGCGATGATCAGCAATACCTGGATCTTTTCTTCCATGAACGTGCAGACTGGGTAGACGAATCATGTGGTCTGTGCCCTGTAGAAAAGAGCCTGTGATTTGGGCAAAGGGGCGCGACCGGCCAAGAGGACACCGAACTTAAAGCTAGAGTCTGTTTGATTTTGTCCAAGCTTTTCTGCACGGAGCTGCTGACGGAGCAAAAGACTCGCAGCTAGTTTAGCACCCTGGCTGAAACCCATAATGGCAACCCAGTCCCCAGTTGCTCCTAGAGCGTTGTCATTGGCTATTGCTACATTTATGACCTTGTCGATATCCTGGCAAATGGCTTCTGGGCCAGGATTAGGTTGTTCTATTCGCCAACGTAGCCATCGCCGAAATGGTTGCAGGTGGGCATAGGTGGGTATCACACCAGGATCTGCGGGTGACAAGTAAGGTGCATCCGGAAAGACGAGTCTGAAGTGGCCATTCAACGAGCGAAACAAAGCTCGACACTGTAAACGGAAAACTTCGGCATTGACGCCCCCACCATGCAGACAGAGAATGCGCGGTAGTTGAAGATTGCCCAGGCTGACTGATTTTGGAGGTGGAGCGACAGACATGGTGCCGATCCAGATGGAGGTCTGTAGATAGTACGTACTAGACAGGCATTTGGAATGTGAAGATATTACCCTTCAACGTGTGAGGCCCCTATCAACGAGATATGCGAGAGATATTACACTCCGCGCTGTGAGATTATGCAAATCCGCCCCCATGAGACAAAGTAGAAGCATGATGCATGACTATATGGGGCCAAATTTCCTTACGTATTATGGACGGAATATGTTGTGTTACGCTTTTTGAAGCTGATCCTTGTCCACGGGTGGCCTTAACCCTCGGGATTCGGCCGGCAGTACTAAGGCACATTGTGTGACGAATGCCAGCCTCGACACTCAGTATTGAATACAATTAGAATATTTTTCGATATCCAGATTATCTGACAACAATCACTGAAAAGCAAGAAGATGGCAAGCTAATCCCAGAGTGACTAGAACCACGAGCTATATCACGTTTTTCATCGCTTGTTTGAACAGGGTCCTTGCTCAGGCGGATGCATATGTAGGCAGGGTAAAAAATAAGGACTCGAGAGGAGATTCTGTTAATTAATAAAATGAATGTCAGTTGGGCTGTTCACCCTATTAAATACTACTACTACTTAATGGTGATGCTGCATGAAATATACGATTTGGACCCCACGGTGATCTTTGCTGGTAACCCCTTACCCTAGATAGTGGTGGCGTGTAAGCCTGCACATTATCTTCAATACCGTGCTAGTAATAACTTTGTCAAGGTCCGTGTACAATCAGGTTAGCGACACCGGCGCAGGCATACATACATAATATGTAGTAATAGTAGTAATTGATATTGCGCTATTGCTGCTAAGCTTGAGAAAATTGCAATACTACGTCGCTCCTCTATATCACGTACATGGGTCTTGGGTGGCGCAGCAAGATGACGAGGCATTGGTCACTTCCCTAAATCCCTGGCACACGGTGAGGGTATACATATTACTATAGCATCTGCCCATATTTGTGTGTCCAGCTTAAGCCTTGTTTTGTCGATTGCCAGTTCGGTAACGGTTAGGTGCTGGCGCTATGATTTTTCTAGTCACTAAAACAGTCTTAGCGCATCCGTCTCGCTGCCAGCCCTAGTATTACTTCGCAAAATACGGAATGGGGCCGATTCAAAGAGGTTTGATGCTTCGGCTTAGCCGAGTTGCGAGGATGTTAAGTTGAGGACCTTAAGTATGTAGTATATCCTCCTCCTAGATTCCCCACATAGACTACTATCAGATTATCAAAATATCTACAGAATGAACAAGATGCGGACTTCCATCATTTGTAACAATTTATTACCGGAAAAGTTCCATCGAGGCTTCCCTGTTTCATCTTTGTGCTCTGCTGCTACTGTGTGCTGGGCAGCACTAAATTAAGTTTGTTTGTTGCAATATTATCACTGCAGTATTCATTAGCATTACGTTTATGCTTATGATCCATCACTATGGTATTGCAAATCTCAAACAACTACTTACAAGAAACATGCTTCATTCTCGCTATCGTGGGGATTGCGCTCTCTATCACAGCTACTGCGCTCCACTTTGTAGCTGTGCGCCGTGTTAAACACAGGCCTGGCTGGGAAGATTTGTTCAGTGTCTTGGCTACTTTCTTTTTTGTTTTATATGTGATACCGCTTCTATATCGTAAGTTGTTTCTGTCATTTATCATCTTTTATCTTGACCGTTGTGTTAATTACGTTGCTCCACTAGTCCTGTCATTGATGAATGGCAATAGCACATGGACAGATGAGGAAATCGTCAATATTAAAAAGGTAATCAATGTAGTTGCTATGCACCGATAGAAATAGGCGGCGTGCTGATTGCTCACCTTTCTCAACTAACAGGCCGGGTATGCCATGGGACCTCAATTCTGCATGCAGCAGCTATTTGCAAAACTAAGCATCCTCTTCCTATATTATCGCCTATTTCATGTCAACCAGCGATTTCTTTACTGTGTTCAGTTTCTCGGCATATTTCAAACCGCTTGGTCAATCGCCACCTATATAGCACACTATCTCGAATGCATACCGCCCAGCAAGCTCTGGAAGCCGACAATAGACGGCCACTGCATCAACAGTGCAGCGTTTCTTGCCGGTGGCGAAACACCTAACTCTCTAGTTGACTTTGCCCTTATTGCGCTAGCAATTTGGATGGTTCAAACATTAAGAGTGAAGACCTCAGAGAAACTCAAATTATTTGTGATATTCATGATTGGTGGTTTGTCGGTACCCCAATATCATACACCTATCTAGATAACAACCGCTAATCAATCCAACAGAGCTGGCGTCCTTGGTTTTGTCAAGATCGGCTATGGTTTTAGTGCCGTAAGCAAATCGAAAATTGAGGTGCTCGATCCTATCTGGGCAACGGTTCAACAAACATGCAGCGTCATTTGCTGCTGTGCACCTTTTTACAAACCCTTGATCCCTGATTTCGGAGTATTCAGATACATCAGTTCCGTAGTTTCGAAAAGTCGAAGTAGCAAGTCTGGATCGAATCCCCACCCAGACGAAATGGATATAAATCCGTTTTTCTGGGAGAGAAATAGGAAACATCAATGCGATGATTGGATCCAACTTGATGGAAACAATCCACAGAAGGGACTGTCATCGCATACACTCCCCCCGGTCTAGTCGGCGAACATCGTGCCATTATTTGATGTTTCTGCTGGGTAACAGAGCAGTCTAAGAATTGGTTAAAGAAACATGCTATTTGTCCGGTTTGCCATGCAGCTGTTTATGTCATGGAGAGAAATAACAAAGCAGTTATTGACCAACTTTCTTCAAGCAAGATCTAGTTCATTTGGTTACAAATTTGGTCGTCTGGGAGGCAGCAGCTCAGTCTATAGGAAGCGGCATTACTGGATTGGTATGAAAATTCTGTATCTTGTCTTGGTAACCACAACGGGATCGAGGCCTCGAAGTAGTGCAGTATGTAAAATAATCTTTAATTGTCCATTCTTCTCACCCTGGGTTATCGGCAAGTTGTTGTAGTAATACCCGGGTATGTTAAAAAGCATTTAAAACTCCCTACTCTCTCCAATATTACAAATATCGAACAGCCCTGTCTCAGGGAGTCCACTTTTAGTCAACGCTTCCTTGAGCAACTGTGGTGGCTCCAGCACATTTTCTTCTGCTACGGCCCATGTTCCCCAGTGTATACCCATGGCTTTTTTACACTGTGTGTCTTTGAAAATCTCAACGGAATCATACGGATTCGAGTGCACGGGGCTCAAAACGTGACGTGGCATATATGCTCCTATTGGAATCAGCCCAAGATCAAAGGGACCCCGAAATTCACCGATTTGCTTAAAGGCTGGGCACACAGGAAGATGCGCTAGCTCCGGACCCCAGTCATCAACACCTTTAGGCAAGCGTGGAACTGCACGATAACCGGTATCACCAGCGAAGTATACTGACTTGCTACCAGAAGCAATTGACCATGAAGCCCACAACGTGGCTGCTTTATCAAAAGGGGAGCGCGCAGATGTATGTTGGCAAGGGAGACAAGAAATCCTCGCTGTAATGTCGTCATTCGAGGGATCAACTGTTGGAGAACTTGTGACAGGTCTTTTCTCTGTTGATTTAGACAACGTCAATTCCACGTCCTCCCACCAATCGAGTTCAATGACGTTATTAATACCGCAGTCCGCAAACCATTTTTTAAGACCCAAAGGGACACAAAATTGGACGGATGGGTGATATTTTTGGATTTCTAGGACGGTGGGATAAGAAAGATGGTCGTAGTGGGAGTGGCTTATAATAACCTGCCCTCGACAGATGCGTCAGCTATAAACAAACAGCGCAGCGAGGATATAACGCTGACTTACACAATCAATAGCTGGTATATCGGAGATGTCGCATGGCCTAGGGGTGAATCTTTTGTGACCTAACCAGGAGAAAGGAGAACAGCGGTCTTCGAAAACAGGATCGAACAGAACCCGTAGTCCGGTGGGAAATTCAACATGGTAGCAAGCGTGTCCCAGCCAGGTTGCACGCAGAGTCTGTGGATTTGTTCTTGATGATAGAAACGTAGGTTCGACAACTGAGACAGTTGGTGGTGTAGTATCAGGCCTCTGGCTGTTTCCGGACAAAAACTTGTGACTATAAAGGCCATGTTAGCTGCTCAAGATATATATATCCCAGCTATTGTAGGAATTCCTGAAGACCATCAAAACGGAGCGAGAAAGCTACTCACTGGACCATGGCCTTGAATATTTCGGGAAAAGAAAAATCATGAGCACTCTTCCATGGATTCCTGAATCCCTTCACCTTTCCCCTGTCTGTCGTATCTCGTAACCAATGGCTCTTGTCACTTGCGGTATCCGGTACCGCACTCAAAGCGGCCGGCGCGCTAACAGTAACAGTATATCGAGTGTCGGCAATGCCTCTACTCTTTGAACCCATGGTTCTATGTATTGGCATTCCCGTATTAATAAACGTTTGAGGGCGGATGCGCGGAAGTACGCTGTGGAAGAATATTCAGGGGATGTATCGCATCGAATGCTCATAGCAGCTTCTCACGACCGCTCAGCAGGTAGGAGGGGAGGAACTGACTGGGACATCGGCAGCGGGATTGTATTAGTTTGTTGCGCAAATCAGAGGTCCTTACGAAAGCCGGGTGTATTGGTGTATTGTCTTTGCTGTCCTCATCTCGTGCATAGTAAACGAAACAGAACCTACCGAGCTTCCGTTAAGCTTAGAAATAAAGCCTCCTAAGGTCAGCAAATCCATTCACTAACTTAGTGTCCAAATGATCTACGGGTTAAATTCCCATCGTGCCCGGGTCTCGTGTTCGATAGTGGAATTACGGAGTAGGTATAGTTGAATACTATTTTTGGTGTCATCACCGGTGCTAACTAGGTCGCAGTCCCAATCAGCGTACGAGAATGAGCCAATAATAGATCTCAAAATAAGGAGATGACCCTGGTGAGGCACGGGCCGTGGCCCCACTCAATACACGTCCGTGTCTTGGTACGGTAACGCGCTTGTATAGCGCGTATTCTGTGTACACAGTACAGTAATACAGCCCATTACCACAAGCTCGGTAAAGTTACTCCGTCGACCACACTTAGGCAGCTGTTGATCACAGGTAACTTACTACAGATATGCACATATACGTGTCTTGTATTCCCAGGTACAGAATAGCTGCATATAACGCATAAGCTTGATTTGCACCCACCTAGGGTCCCACAAGCCTGGACGGTCTGGTCACACCAGTTCGGATAGCTTATTGCTCCGACTACCGACGGCACAGCCCAGACAATTGCCGTCACGTGTTAGGTGGACAGTCATCTCTCTGTTATCGGGTATTTGTACTCCAGATACATGTTTAATTTCTCTCTCTGTTCTCTCAACAGTATGGTAGACAGTTACTAGCAATGTTTAATTTCGTCCGGTGATCGTTATATATCCGCGCGAATTGTTCCCCACGTTTTGCCACCTGGTACAACCAGTCATTAATCTTCAGTTACACTATGTCAAGCTAATCCAACTCAAGTCAACTCAAGTGAAGCGGGAATTTTTCAAATACGAAACCTGAAAATGGCCGAGTCCATGCCTTTATTAGAGAGGAAGATGGAGATCCCTTTGCGTAAGTCTCTAAACGGCCACTCTAACTACCTCAACAATAACCGACAGCTTTTCTAGCTACTTTCACATTTGCGAAGGATACTCCCCAGGGAAAACGTCCTCAGGCCATTGCCCATCGGGGTTATAAAGCCAGAAACCCGGAAAACACCATGAGTGCATTCAAAGACGCAGTAGAAGTAGGTGCTCATGCTATTGAGACCGACGTACGCTTAACGAAGGACGGTGTAGTGGTTCTTACCCACGTAAGGTCAATCCCACTCGTTGAATTCACTTCACAGCGACAAACACAAGCTAAATGTATGGAACATAGGACCCTAGCCTCAAACGATGTTTTGGACAGGACCGGAATGTCGCAGACTGTACATGGGATGATATTAAGACTCTACGCTCAGTGCAGAAACCACACGAACCAGTGCCAAGATTGAAAGATCTTCTGGATTATCTAGCAACACCGGGGCTGGAAGACATTTGGTTGTTGCTTGATATCAAGGTGCTTGTACCGAGCCTGATGCAAGCCCTGGTGGGCGACAAGGACGTCCAGAAGACGTTTGACGATTATGCCGATGATCTTCATAGGTCGATTGCAGTTACGCTGGCAGATGTGAAGCCATCACGCCCATGGAATCAGCGTGTGGTAGTTGGGTGCTGGGCTGTAAGTCTTTTAAAGCATATACGCTTTTATAAAATTATCTAATGGTTGTAGGCGAAATACCTCCCTCTTTGCACAAAATATTTCCCTGGTTATCCTTTAACTTACATCGGATTCGGCATAGACTATGCCCACCAGTTTCTGAAGGTTCCTAATGTGGGCATCAATATGTTTTTGATGTTAATAGTAGGGCCGCGTGGACAAGCTTTGCTCCGGGAGGTGAAAAAGAAGAGGTCGGATCGCTCAATACTTCTGTGGACAGTAAATGGAGAATCTTGGATGAAATGGAGCATCAGGCAAGAAGTCGATGGAGTAATAACTGATGACCCTAAGAAATATCTGGAGGTTTGCAAAAATTACAACGAGGTTGAGAAGCTATATCATTCTTGGGAGTCTTGGAAAGCCATTTTCTATTGGCACATGCGCAACTTAGCTTTCGGTCTTACATTCAGATATAAACACGGGTTCTGGGTCGATTTAAAAAAGGTTACTGGAAACTCAGGGCGCTGAATCATACCGTGAGAACATAGTGTACGTTTTAGAAGGAATGGTAAAGGGTATTCATTCAGAGTTAGCTAATGTTCTATACCCCGGAATAACTTATTCCTGCTGGAAATTCCAATTATGTCAAAATATGACTTGAATATGAGCTTATAAGTAAGAGAGCATGTAGCAGGAAGTGAATTGGCCTTTGGGGCCTGGAGACTTTGGTATTGAGTGCTATCGAACTTGCTTGTTACATGACACTGTGACGCATGAATGAATGAATGAATATGTCAAATTGGTGGGACTACGCCAGGCCAATCTTGAGTTATAAAGAAGCTTGTGAGCTATACTTCATACGGTAGCTTACAATGACGATAAAAGAATAATTGATTAGCAAGATTGTATCTGTTGAGTTCTGTCTATCTGAATACAGGAGCTTTTAAGGCAGGGTTTATACAGATGTTTTTGGTGAGCTGAGTTGTACGGATCCCAGCACATAGAATTGACATGAAATGTGATCTATCATGAGGGGTAATTTGGGGGGCTATAAAACAGAGCTTTTGATTGACTGCCTCATTTGACTGCGTCTGGATAGTCTGACAGGAACGCTCCGTACAAATTGACGTTCTATCCGTAACGGAAATTGGAACTGCTGCAGTGGACGTGATAGAATAATAATAACATAATATGTACGATTAGTCAAAATATGAACACATAGGATGAAAAATGATTCCATCACTAACGTGGACTACCACGTCAATCCTATGCGCCTTTAATACTATACCGTATCTCCGAGATAGCTAGGTAATCCTAATACTGGAACGCGTGTGATCAACTTATTCTTATTCTTATTCCTAGTCAGCGCCGTGAAAGATCCGCCTTACATACTCTTCGTATATTCTTTGTTCCTCGAAAACCCTACTACCGCTCGAGACAAATCAAACAGAATCGGTTTTCAATTTCAGCTATGTTTAGGTACCTGAGACTAGAGCTCCGAAACGAATATGAATAATATTCATATTCATGAATATTTGCGAATATGAATAATATGAATATGAATTAAATGAATATGAATATGACCCGTATTCATATTCACTAAATTCATGAATATATGAATATTCATGAATATCCACAAAAGATGAGGGAGGCAGCTGAATCTTGAACTCGCTCCTAAGATCAATTTTGAATAGTTACTTACAGAAAAACTATATACAAACAGCAAGCTTACTAAAATTCGATGAAAACCCCGTTTCCTAAATCCTAAACATTTTTATACCAAGTCCCAGCATTCTTTACCATATTATCCCTTAAGGAACATCAGCCATCTAAATGTCTCAGAATTCAAGCAGTGTCTCCGAATACCCAGAACATCTCATGCGTTACTAAACAATCTCTTAACGCCTACTTCAGCAGACAGAATAGGAAGATAGTCTTGTATAGCTTTCGACATTAGGGGGTAGTTAAAGGCATTTGCTTTCCACCATTTCAATATCCAGTCAGGATCCCCATCTTCTATTATACCATGAGACCACATCTCGGGGCTTGAATCTAGGTACCAATCAATGTCTGATATTATGTCTGCAGATTGCAGAGGCTGGATTTTTTTGAGCTTTTTCCATAATGTCCCTGGCATACCTGGTGGACGCTCTGCGCTAGAGGAAGAGGTAGGGCTTGCAGGATATTGTTTCTTAAGATATTTATGTATATTAGAAATAATCACATCTGCATCAGACTTGCTCATTTGAGCTTGGATAAAGGAGGTCTTAACCCGTGGATCAAGAATGGCAGCCATGTAATAGATAATATTAGAATCCATCTTCTTGGTGAATTTATCCATTTTCCGGATTCCTCCTTCAACAGCATTTTGAACCTCCTTAGTAATCTCTTGAAAGTCGTCTTTGTTATTTTTGATATCGTCAAGAATATCATTAAGACTCCAGTATATTGGAAGGCTTTTAGTGATGCTTAGGCAATGTTTCGAGACAGAGTTGGTATGGTCCCAGAATGGCTTCAGGACCTTCTGAATTTGTCTTAGTGTTGACCAGTCACTATCTGTTGGTTGCATTTCTTGAATGTCTGGATGTTCACGAATAAATTGAGTGACTTCTTTTCGAAGTTGAAGAGCTTTAGAGACTATATTGTATGTTGAATTCCAGTGAGTGTTAATATCATAATTAATTTGCTTATAGGGAGAGATATCCTTCCATGCCTGCCTTCGCTGGGGGCTGTTACTAATCCATAAGGCTAAAAGACGGATCTTAACAATAGCACCTTTCATTGAAATCAGTGTTTCAGGTGAATGATCCTTCTGTGATGGCATCTCATTAAGTATAACATGTGCATCACGGACTGTACCGGTCTTTAAGGATACCAGAATATCCTTACAGATAAGATTCAGTATATGTGCAAGACATCCAATGAAGCTATTCCGACCCTGGAACCGCATAAGTGGTTTCATGCGGAATAGACTATCTTCCTTGTTAAAATCTTTTAACAGGTCTGCATGAAGATAATCGTAGAGTGTTAGATTGTTTCTAGCATTATCTCTGGTGATTGTTAGAAGCTTATATTCGATTTGAAACGCTTCAAGTACACTTTTGACAATTGTAGACAGATTTTCGCCAGAGTGCAATCCATTAATCTCTTTAAACTCAAGAAGATCTTCTCAAAGCTTAAACTCTGGAGTGAGCTAATGGCCGACAATAGTAAGAAATGATATCTGGTTATCTGACGTCTAGATGTCAAGTGAAAGTGAAATCGATTGGCAGGTATCAGCTAAGTCCTGCTTTAACTGGTTCCTCCAACTCGAATATTTACTCTAAACTTGATTTCGAAGAGTATCTGCAGTTTTGATAGGATAGTTGGCATTTAGACTCTTAAGGAGTTCTTTCCATGTAGGATGTTCAACAACTGTAAAAGGCTGCTGTGTTTCAATCACCCAGCGAAGAAGAGCCTGCATGGGATCAAGTCCAGACTTAGCTGGTTCTATGAACATATTAAGAGGCCTAGCTGGAGGTGTAATTGTGTTCTGTTTAATATGGTGTTCTTTGTAAAGGTGTGTAGCTAAATTGGTCATAGCACCCTGTCAAGTAGAGTCCTTTGATGACCAATTGCATCGCTTACACAAAAGAAGTCTATCATTTCTGTGATGGCCTCCTTTAGGACACCATGTAGTCTTAAGGCCTATAGCATCAAAATAGTTGGCAGTCCAGCTAGTACGTGATCTCTTTCTTTTTTTCGTTGGAGTCTCGTCGAACTCACTCTCTTGGTCCAATTGAGAAGAATTGTCTGAATTCTGTTGAGAAGACTTTAATCCTTGTGAAGCTGATTCAGATGGTACCAAACTCAGTTTGTCGGAAGATATGTTTTGGTGAGGTGCAGGCACAGGCTTATTAGATAGAGTAGACATATCAGAAGGTAGAGATTTAGGGGAGGAAGAGTCAAGAGTATCTGCTTCATCGCGCCATGGAAAAGCGTCAGAAACTATGCCATTATTCAAGGCATTATAATCGCGACGAGGTCTCTTTCGAGTTATTCGAGGAGATGAATCATGAGAAAAAGCCATGAGAAGAGGGTATAAACAAAGCTCTGTAATAAATAAGGAACAAGAAGGAATATCAAGTGAAATACTCGGAGACAGATATTTGGAAAAGAGAATTAGGAATCTGGAAGAGCCTAATTCCCCCAATTTATATACTAAACAATATTTAGCTTTGTCCGTCACGTAGCTACTTAGTCTAATCCATTCCTAGCTATGATGTAAACAAAAAAGGTAAACATTATGTTAAAGTTGAATATATGAAATGTAATAGTGCTAGTCATATGTGTTATACGTGACAAATGGGTGGAGAAATCATTCTAGAGAATTTCAAGTAGACTTGCCGCTTGCAAAGTAAGAAAGCGTTTCCTAGAATGCTCTATCTAAACTACACATCATGATTATATAGGCCATGCACTGAATTAATGATTGAACTTAAGAACTTCATATATATATCTTCTCCTTGAGCCAAGATTCTTGTTATTTTAAGAAAAGGACCTCATACTACTAGTACTATATCCATACTTAAGAGTGATTAGTACCCTTATGGCTAATATAAGATAAACTGAAGAAGCTCGCATCAAATTTGCTGATTCTGTGGCGGTTAATATGTATCTATGTAGGGCACGGCTGTTTGCCGGCGCGGAAAAATAGTCCACCCGGAAATATTTATGAATATGAATATGAATATGAATATGGTCCATATTCATATGAATAATATTCATTTTAATCATATTCATAAGTCATGAATATGAATATGGTCAATAATCATATTCATTTATTCATTTCGGAGCTCTACCTGAGACAGACTAAGCCTGACGGGCTCTAATGAGACTTGGCGCATCACTTGAACCTCTCACTGTGATTGCTTGGGGGGGGAGGGCGCTTGCAATGTGGTATCTGGGCGTCCCCATCGCTGTTGGGGTAACCCTGTCCCTTCAGCAGTAAAATCGAAATCATCCTTGTTATTGCTAACCATCTTCCTGCCCCTGTAGCCCCCCATGGTTGTGGTGAGAGACGACGACTTCTCAGATGCTGTTGAAAGGGTTGAGAGTGTAGGATTCCACTGAAGTGTTCCTAATCGTACCCCTCCTCTCGAAATTATGGAGAATCATCCAGACCCGCGGCAGATGTTGGAAGAAATAAATGCTGGATACAAACGCTTAGATCGGTCTTGTGCGGTGTTTGATTATTCATATGGTGACCCAGCAGAAAAAGGCTTGCAGGTGTACGTGTTTCCGGACTCCTTTGCGCACCTTTTCCAAGAAGACAACTCCGGCCTTTTGACCAAATTAATAGATACGGCACCGACAAAGCGATTTGAAATCTACGGTAATTTGACTATCGTTTGGAACTGGCACTAGTGGAAAGCTTTGTTAAGGCTGGGATTGATGAAGAGACAGACACCAGTCTTTCTGCGTGGGGTGAGTCACTGAGGTCATGGATATCTCTGATGATAGGGTACTTAGAGGTTGATAACTAGGGGTCTTCACTATCTGCCTATTTGCCGGTTTTGCCTATACTATATCGGCGACTATACTATATAGTCGCTCATATGTATGCCTAGAGAATTAGAGATCGTTAGCTAAGAGAAAGAAATCAAATGCCATTCTAGTTCCTAATCAAGTGCCCCAAAGTCCTTTAGCAACATAAGTGTTCTAATTGTATCTCCTGTTATTGAATGCCTGCGGATCCCTAATATATCCCTTGCAACATTAAATAACCTCTCGACTGCTACTTCTGAGGCTGGGATTGCTAGATAATCCCTTGCAGCTGCTGCCATCTGAGGAAATTCCTCCCTATGTAAGCGCCACCAGTTGCAAAGCCACTGAGGGTCTGAAGTATCTATTAGTCTAACACGAGGGGTATCAAAATACCAGTCAATGTCAGACACAATAGATAATGATGATTCAGGTTCTAACCGTTGCAGCATTCGAGATCCAACATTAGAATGAGTAAGATCAAGAGTGATTTGATTGAATATGTTAGGTGTCGGCAATTCACTTCTTATAGGTGGGTATCTCTGATGTAAACTATCACGAGTAGCTTGAAGAATCAGATTGCCAGCTTCCTTATCCTCTAACTCTTTTAGAATGAGATCTCCTTTAACCCTGGGATCTAGAATCAATGCGGTGTAGTAGATCTCAGATTCATCCATAAAAGTATAATATTTCATATACTTTTTCAGACCTTCTTTCAATGCAGAAGCAATATCAGGATCTAATTCCTTGAAGGGCCCTTGTAATTCTGAACCTTCAGATAGTAGATCGTAAAGTTCATAATAAACTGGGATAGCAAGGCTGATTTGTGGTCTCCGTTTTGACACAAATAATGTAAGTTCATTGAACTTAGTGAGTATGCGATGAATCTGAGATAGACGTTCCCAATCACTATCGGTAAAGGAAGGGATATCGGTCTGTAATAATATAAATTGATTGATTTGAGCTTTAGCCTTGAGGCCATCATCAAGCATCCAGTATGTTGAATTCCAACGATTTTCCACATCATATTAAATATATTTTCCCGGAAGACTCATATATTCACAGACTTGCTTCCATTTTTATCTCCTTTGAGGACTGCGGTTGATCCAAAGAGTGAGAATGCGAAGCTTTGATAATGCTGATTGTGCTTGTATATATTCTCTATTTTGAATTCTATCACAGATAGTGGATGCTTCATTTGAAGTGCCAGATTTCAAAGCTTGAAGGATATCCTTGATGATTAAATTTGGGATATGAGCTAGACAGCGGATATAGCTATCAAGTCCTTTGAACTGAATTTTCTCTTTATCCAAACATGTCTCACTGAGAAGATGGAACAATTCTGAAGCCATAGTCTCATTATTACTGGCGTTATCACCCGTAATAGTGATTAGCTTTTCTCCGAAGTTCAGTTCAGAAAGTGTAGTCTGGATAGCAATGGCAATATTCTCACCACTATAAACTCCTTGAAGCTCAGTGAACTCTAAGACTCTTTCTTTATATAAGAAATCCTCTGTGAGCCAATGACCAATGATAGCAAGAATTGGAAGATTATTTTTGCTTGTCCAAATATCAATAGAAAGTGCAATTGATTTACAAGTCAAAGTTAATTCTTGTATCAAATCTTGACGCTGTATATTAAGGTTTTCATCAAGCTGACGCTTCACTGTAGAACTGGATTCGAACGGAAGCATAATTCCTGGGATATCTTTGAAGATCTATCTAAATGACTGTCTTTCAATTGTTGTAAAGGCCTTGTTATCATCAATGATCCAGTGAATAAGATTCTTTTTGAGTAATTGTTGAGGTGTGAGTGACTTTTTAGCTAGAAGATCGAGGATACTAGGTTGCTCTTTTTGAGTGGTCCTGCCACTAAGATGATGAGGTGAAAAAATTGAGTGTTTTTCAAGATGCCGTTGCATATTAGTGGTAGATGTTTGGCGTTGCGAATCTGTTGTTTTCCAGGCACATTGTATTCCAGTCTTGCTATCAATATATGCGCATTGAATATCTTGATCTGCCAATTGCAACTTCATGGTCCTCTTCATTATCCATTCTCGACTCACTTGGGTGACCTGAAAGTAATCCCATAACCAATTTGTAATAGGGGCAGGACGCGAACGTTTCCGGGAGCGATATAGAGGTATGTTTGAGGAAGAAGAGTTCGGTATAGTAGTCGCACTAATAACTATCTGTGAAACTGATTCCAAAGATAGAATTTCAGAGGAAGGGATACCAGTTAAAGAATTAATCTCAGATTGAGCTTCTAATATGTAATCTTCAGGTAGGGCTTCATCATCAAACCCATCATTAAGTAAAAGGTAATCTGGTCTGTTTTGGCGAGTAACCATGCGGTCAGGGGTATTTGTAGCCATTCTGTTGTGTACAGAACAATAGATATGAGCCATAAATTAGGGATGAAAGGAGATTTGTAACATCATAATCGGTAACTAATTGGGTTAGGCATTTTAACACGTGATTATATTTGACTTTCTAATATTAGCCTATATAGTATCGGCTAAGCCAATTTTTGACTATATAGTATAGGCAAAGCAAAATCTTTGCCTATACTATATAGGCAAATATCGGCGAGGCCTTAGGTTTGCCGATACTATTCCCGATATCTATATAGTATCGGGAAGAGCCCTACCATTCATATCATTTGTACCTATCATGTCCTAAAATCATCTTGGATTCGATTTTAGAGTGTAGAGAAAAAGGAATATAGCGTGTGACCTACTAAGCCTAGAGGAACAGGGGTTCTGCACATCACGATCTATTTCCATGATAAGCTAGCAACTTCATTTTGAAGCACTGAATATCTTTGGCCACCATTACTGACATAGGCATACGAAGCCCAGAAGAATGGCTCCTATAAAGATGCCAGCCTTGTCCCAGGTTCACCGAATCTTGACGGACCAATTCAAGTCTTTCACCGGTTTCAGGCCCTGGATAATGGGCAGAGGAGCATACGATACTACCGGTGTAAAGAAGCCTGGCCAGCCGAAGCCCCCGAAATAGCTCCTACATTCGTCTCGCACCATTTCAAACCAGACTGCTTAGGCAGTTTTTCAGAATCAGATATACGACCACGATGCACAGCCGATATGTCCTGCTTTCCATGGCTATCATTCTTTTTATTTTGGCCTCAGTGGCTCCTTTCCTTGAATGACAAGCCTTCATTGGAGAATGACCTTGTTAGTATCCCTGATCCAACGGGCTTGCTCAAGCGTCTGTCTGACTGTGCGCAGGAAGAAGGCATTGCGGAAATTGGTCTTCATGACAAAGTTGAAATTGAAACGATTGCTGCTGCGTATGAGGGCGATCATTCTGCCTCTTTTTGGCTTCCTCCTCAGAGATTCAACGATGTCCCTAGAGTAAATGTCTATTACAAAGCTTTCGTACGTCTTGATAGCAAAGACTATAAGTTTGAAAGAGATGGAAACCTCCCGTGGTCTGCCAAAGGAAGCCTCTCAGTGCTCTTTCCTTACGAGAACATAACGAGAGTCCGGGTCTCTATTCCATATGCGGAGACGAGGACTCTGATTCCCGACCTTCCTGAACTTCCGCCTAACATTTTTGCGGCCATTTCCAATTTTCTGCTCAGAAAATGATCAGCATTGTATTTAGTTCATGTAATCGATACGTTCAGTTTCTAGACCATATGTAGTATAGTTGTATCAATACCCACGTAGTTTCGAGGGCGGATCGGGATATTCAAGGGGTCGGTGGGCCAAGGCATATCGATGCTCGCGAAAATACAATATTTGTGCCGCTCTTTAGTTGGGAAGACCGCATTAGTGGACTGGGATCCCAAGCACGTAGAAGCGATTTGAAACTTTTTCATCATCAAACTATCTAGCATAAGCACCAATATCACCACACATCCAAGATCCAAGCTCTCCAGCAAAATGCCTGTTGTCTTCCAGGAATATTTCGAACAGAAATTGCGTGAATGGGCACTACAACCTGATCTTGATTTGGAAGGATATGAACTCCTTCCTCTACATGTCCCCCTATCTATCGAGGTAAGTCAATTTGCCTATTTGAATTATCATTTACTGAATTATTATTCTAGACGCACTACATCGACGGAGTTTTCTGGGAGAAGTCACAGCTAAGAATGCAACTGGACTTTGTTGCAGGCCGCTTTTGGCAAGGGGGCTCGAGAAAAAATGGATTATACCCGACCACACCTTCAGAAAGATACCAGGAGGAATGGCGAATAGTGACAGATTGAATTCAGCTTTGAAGGAGCTGAGCGTGGAAAAACTTAGATACTTGAGTGTAGAAATTAAGCAGAATGGCGGCGGAGAATTCCTTGGTGTGAAGGTATCGAAGATGGCGAGATGCTTAGTTTCAGTCTAGCTCTTGACTAGCTCACTGGTTTTCAGAGGTGCAGATAGCCCTGTGAAAGACGAATACATGATATCAATGCTTAGTATAATGCCTGTCCCACTTCTTATTAGCAAGGGCGGATCACCAATAGTTGACGCAGTTGTCCTCAAATTAGCTTGGCTAGCTCAACTTACATTTTTTGTTGAATCCATATAAACAAGGCGCCGTAAAAGCAAATTCACTCGTGCTCTTAGCAGACGACATCAATTAAAGATACGCTCGTATGCAAAAATATAAATGGACCTCATTGTACGTAGAATTGATCTCAAATTTTCTTATCGAGTATAACTTTTACCTATTTGGTGTAAGGAACTGCTTAATGCGGGATTTTACTGTCGTTATCAAGCCCAAATCTAAATCCCCATTGGAAAGAATGCCGTGGGGTGGAGCGACCTCTCGAGTGGCGTGATCGGCTGATCTCACTGTCTCGTCCACCTCTACGTGCACCATTCACTCACTACATCTGTTTTTAATCTATTAATACATAACTAAGGCTGTTCTCAATAAATTCTCCTTTAGCACGCCTTTGGCGAAAGATCCCTCCCACAATGCAGGCCGTTCGTCTTCATCCTGCTCCTGCCTCGTCGCCTGCATACTCCCCTTTAAACCCGGCTCCGTCTTCTGCATTACATCTTGACAAAGATCTGCCTATCCCTAAGCCGTCAAAACCAGGAGAGCTTTTAGTCCGCGTCAGGGCCGCAACAGTGGTTCGAGACATGTTAACATGGCCTGAGACGTATGCCCATGATTACCCCATTCTCGGAAACGACTTGTCTGGAGTCGTCGTTGAAACTTTCTCCCAGCAAAGCTCGTTCAAGCCTGGTGACGAAATCTTTGGAATGACTGATGGTGAACGGCCTTGTACATGGGCAGAATACTGTATTGTTATGGAGGATGAAGTAGCCTTGAAACCGAAAGGTCTAACCTGGGATGCTGCAGCCGCAATGCCCCTCAGTGCGCAGACTGCCTACGAGGCATTATATGATCATGCAGGCATATCCGTTCCTGTACTAGGGGATAATTTTAGACCTGGTGGCCGTCGTTCTCTGACATCTGAACATAAACAACGCCTATTGATCACCGGTGCCGCCGGAGCGGTAGGAATCTACCTGGTCCAACTGGCATCTATATCCGATTTGTACACTGTGGCCGCAACAAGTTCAAACGCTCGCAACAAAGAGTTCCTGCAGACTCTCGGTGCCGATGAGACGGTGGAGTACAGTGCTCTGCTGGGCGGGAACAAAAAGAGCTTTGATGTTATTGTTGATACAGTTGGAGGGAGTACTCTATTAGGGTGTTGGGAAAATATCAAAGAAGGCGGCACGATCATCTCAGTGGATTCTGCAAGTTACGATTTTGTCGCTGATCATCAGAAGCGCTCTTTAAGCAAGGAAGGAATCAATGCATTGTTTTTCATCGTGAAGGGTGGCAAAAGGTCTTTGGAATTCCTAGCCCGGCTTGCAGAATTGGATATCCTGCGCCCTTTTGTATTACAAACGTATCCTCTTTCGGAGGTGCGACAAGCATATGACCATACAAACGGGAGGTATTCTGGCCGAGGAAAGGTCATTCTCACTATAAACTAGGTGATTGAATTGAGAACGGCACTTGAATCACTGGAGACTCTTAGGTCGGGTAGACATAGGCTTTCCTTTTCAAGTGGTTACCATATTCAAGGCCTAAACATCATGTTGGCTTTTTTTTTTTTTTTTTTTTTTAGAAAATAGAAACATGATTTATGACTGAAAACTAGAATTTGATAATGGCCTGGGCTGGCCACCCTATTTTACAAGAGATTGATTGATCCGGATCATCACAATAGTCTAACTAAAACACCTAAGTGTAATCAACTGTGTTAGAATTGACAGCGAGATTAGCGTCGTTTTCTCTCTAACAACATCTAGGGTTAATGTTGTTCATTGTAGTAGTAAACTTTAATATATCACAACTAGCTTTTTATACTGGATTGCGCTGAAGATCGGACAGGTTATTTCCGGGTGTAGTCCAATTGACAGCAATCTATTCCCTCTGATATTATATTATTTCCGTCAGACTCCAGGCACATGATTTGGCCTGCTCTGTTTGACCAGGGAGACATCCTCTGACGGAGAACGTGAAAAGTGCACTATACAGAAGTATGGAATAAAATATGAATCTTGAATATATAGGCAGTGATAGGAAAGGGAGACACATGCAATTGGCGTACATAAGATGTGATATAATTGCCAGAGGATGCAGGGCTGTTGAGTGGATGTCACCAGCAGTAATAGATCGGCTGATTGCTATTCACGGCCACTCTAATACTCAATTTCCACTGGACAATGTACTGCCATCGAGCCCACTGTCATTATCAAATGCATGAATGTGTTGCGGTTGCGGCTGCTGACACTGATCAACTTGCCCCGTGAATATCGCAGCATTCTCATGCGATTGTGAGCCAGATAGACTGTCATTTTGTGATGCTGCACCCCAAGATCACAACTCAGGAGCAGTTAGGAGAGAAGAAAAAAGATGCTCTGGTGAAGTGATTATCGTGTATTTAGAGACAGCTTGCTGGTAGTACTGCCATGATTGTAGTAACGGGATTTGATCATAACTGAAATACACATTTGTACTGGCTAAACTCAAATCGTGCATAGAAGGAAAACTCAAAGACAACATTGTATCAGAGAACTGTAACGATTTTGAAGGGGAAATAGAGTGCTTACATGTCAATGAGGCTGCCTCCATAGTGCTATGTAATCTCCTAGTGTTCACGTCGATTTGCAATAGTGGTCGAAGGAGGGGAGAATGAGTCAGACGGAACTGCACAAAAAGTAGGTAATTTTTGGTAAAATGACTTACAACCCTCTGTAGCCACTCCATTAGCCTCCCTAAATTTCAATCGCTTTTGTTCAGACTTATTGCTCGGTCGTCCCATTTGGCTTACGGTACTGTAGACACAGTGGGCGCCCGCGTCTCTGCACCGTTCGCATAACCTGTCGTCATTGATGCCCGTTCGCAGGCATCGCTGCTTTCTCTTGTGACAGTGATCGCAGGCCAGTCTCAAAGGACGTTAACTCAACAAGAGAATTATAATATTGACCGAGTAACGATGGGCAGGCTGCGATTGTTGACTTGTGCAATGGCAGATGCAATCTCGTTCCGGGATAGAACAAAGACGAGGTAATGATGGTGGCAATATCCAGGTCTTTTATTTTCAAACAAGACACAACGAATGATTTTTGATGTTGATACTGAAATAATAACGATGATCTTGATGCTTTTCTTAGCGTTAGTGATGGGAGATGATGATAGATGATTTGCGTCGAAGTTAGGAATAATGTATTTAATTATGCGCGAAAGCTCTGTAATCAAACAGTCCGCTCTAGCGGCTCGGTCACCAGTGAGTACTTTAAAACAAACCGTGCTTACATCCATATGCCACAATATTTTCCTAATCAGAGCGCATTCCATCAAGTTTATGGCTTGTTTACTTCGCTCCTATCAAGCTCAGACTCATGTGCCGAGGCCACTCTCTGCACACTAACGAAATCGGTTAATTGTGGATTCGGGCTCGGTAGTTTTCACCCCCAAACCAAGAATCGTACTTCGGATCCTAAAACCGCGAAGATCTTGTGCCTGAAAATGACCCAAAACTGTGACTTGCTTCAGCTCCAAGGGAAAGTGGTTGAAATTTAAGACAAATGACGTGGTTTGGATTATTTTTGGCTTCAAATCTTACCGTCCCTACGCACTTGTCTAACTTTTTCAGGATCAATTAATTTTGGGTCTTCGATTCTCAGCAGCAAGCCTTATCGCCCAAACCCCGGCGCAGAGGGTTCTATGATCCTCATATTGGAGTAAGTGGCTTTATATATCGGCGAGAATAACGACCGATATGCCGACGCATTTTGCCAGGTGCCTTTCCGCGTTTCAAAGTGTTCAAAGATCCTCCGCCTCTATTAGAAGCCGTTCAGATGTAACGTATCCCACATCTCAGCCGGAACAGCCGTAATTCCATAGTGAAGCACCAAGTTCTCTGCTTCCTAGGCACAATATGAATAGGGACGCGTTCTACTGGGCGCGCAGAGTTACTCAAGCTCTAGACTCCTTTGGAAAACTTCCAACTAATAGGCTGCGAGCAGGTGCCGGTTCAGCCTATCTGCAGTTTGACATATTATTGTTTTGTATTGTATTTCATGAATATAGACGTAATTTTCATTGATCACAATTCACCGCAATTTAATATGGTGAAGATTAGTTAATCAAATGAGTCTGCATATTAGAAAATTAGAAATTTAAGGTGCAGTTGGAAAATGAAAATACGTTATACGAAGAATAGTTGAGACTATTCCCAACTATTGAGATAAGCTACTTCGTAGTGTGAATATGTCATCCTGGTCGCCTTGTCCCAGACAGAACGAACAGTTCAATGTGCTATGCTAAAGATCTAGGAAGAAATGCAGAATAGATGTTATTGTGATGCTAGTACAGTCTGTATATGATATCTCAGTATCTAAGAGCATAAAAAGCAAACTCAATAATCTGGTCAAAGCAGTGCGCAATTGCAAGCAGGTTAGAATCGATTCCGGAGAAGAAGCTGGCTCATCATGGTCCTAAGCGATTCCAGCTCGCTTTTCATTCTCCATAGATCGTCGCTCTGCTGATTCACACCATGGATGCCACTCCCCTGTGAGGCACCCCTCGTGGCTGGGTTGTGCCCCACAGAAGAATGGAAGCCATGTGCTTCTAGCGGGCGATCAGCCAGCTACTTTGGGAGATCTCCCATAGGGTCCTATCTGCATTCCGAAGAATTAGGAAACAATAAGTGTCTATTCGAACAACTATGGAATCAAGGAAATGGATCGCTGAAGAAGCAATCGGCAAAACAGAGAACAGCAAGAAGCAGCAAAAATGTTGAATATTCATGGAGCAGGGCCGGAGCCTATGTTAGGGTCAGGGTGAGGACGAACCCTATCAGGAAAAATTGAAAACCCTCCTGTTCAGGACTATTCCATAACGATCCTCCCGACGTCTGACCTACCTATGTATGTTCCTCCAACTTATTCACAATTGGTTACAGGGCCTGACGATACACCCCAAAACCTCAGCTCATCTTCCTTCCCCATCTGTCTCAACAACTCGTGCAGCTTATCTTGAATATGTGCCAGAGCATCCCCATTACCCCAAACCATGCCACCACTGATCCTGGCTTGTTTAAGCCAAGCAACTGCCTGGCCCAAGTTTCCAGCACGCTCGCACGTCTCCGCAATGTCCTCCATCGTGTATACTGCGCACTCATCATGGTACAACGGGTCTGGCTCTGAGGTATCCAGCCGCTGCTGTCCTATGATGTCGAAGCATACACTCAGAGCAGCTTCCCAGTCGCACTGGCGCGTATACACATGCTCAAGCTGGCGCGAGAGCCAGCGCTCTTGCAGCGAACCGGGTGCTTGTAAGGCGCGAATGGCGCGTATACCGTCACGGGTCACTCGTAGCGTCTCGGACAAGTCACCACTGCGGCGTAGAAGCGCACATAGACGCTTGGTTGCGAGCTGTGTTAGATCATGGATGGGACCTAATGTAGCGCGAAGTCGCTCAGTGATGAATGTGAGCGCGCGGAGCGCGAGGTCGTTGTCACCATTGTCGTTCTTGAGCGCGTGTAGTACGAGCGCGATTGGGTGATTGCATGATAACTGAGTCCTTGCTTGTTCACTCAAATAGACGATCAGATTCTTTCGAACCTCAGGGCACGCGGTGGTGTTGATGGGTGACAGTGTACTCAGCAGCTCGATTAGGATAGTGGCTGTGCCCTGGCTCATGGTGTAGGTTGTGTCCACTGTTGACTTCTTGAGAAGTTGGAACGCTCGAACCTTGCTCCGGCCTGCGCCACGTTTATCCCCCTTTGAGGCCTTCATTAGGTATATGGCTAGGTCTGTATCCTCCCAGAACTTGGTCTTCGTTATGGTTGGTGATGCATCAAAATTTCCCACTGTGTAGAAAGTCCGGATGCTGAAGAGGACAAATTCAAGATTTGCATTTGGGAGGGTGCTCGTTGATACCTGGTTAGGTCCAGATATGATAGCGGTTTCAAAGCGCCCGGCAAGATACCGACGTAACTGTTCTGCTTTTTGCTGGGAGAGGCTTTCTCCTTCGGGTGGCGTCTGAGTGCCTAAGGTTGATCCTGAAATGCTATCTGAATAGTGGTCTGGCCTGCTATTCAAGCTCCAGCTGTTTTCGTTCAATCCGTCCGCAAGTGATAAATTCTGCTTCTCTGGATCGATGAAATAGCCCGAGGTTTTGGACGTAACAGGTGTTGCTCGGTGCATCGAAATAGTGAAGTTCTGAAAGTCGTTTCGCAGTAAATCCATCTTGGCTTCGATATTGGAAAACCCATCCCTTGAGGTTAGATCGTTCGCTATGACGATCCCCTGTGTGTTCACTTGCACTTCTAACCCGACTATTCCAAGCTCACGAATCACCTCTAGGTTGAGCCTGTTCAGCCTTTGTAACCTTTCTGACAGCTCTTTTTCGACTTTCAGCGACAGGACTGATTTCCACAAACGACGAACCGATGATGCCCTAGTTCGACTACTGCCCAGTAGAGGTGTTAACATCTTGTGTATATCTTGCAAAGCAGGATAAATCGCGCTCGTAGTTCGAGAGAGACGCTCCTGTTGAGAAGGATCTAGGTTATGGAAAAGCTTCGATCCTTCATTACAACAGTAACAAAGGCGTGATATGGAGTCGTCCACTTCGTTCAGGAGTAAGGCAAGCCTTTCGGGCACGTCCTTCAGATCATTCATCAGCTTGATAGTAGCAAGCAGTGCCTGTGCAGCCGCCGATACAAGCTGTATTCCAGCCATCGCACTCCCAATGACTGAGAGAGGGTCGACCATCGCGAAATGATATAACTTGCTCTTTGTATTAAGCGGAACAGCCTTGAAAGTGAATGCTGTGGAGGCTCGACGATAAAGAAATAGGAATACGCTGCACGGTTACCTAGCCCCGTGTTATACGATATATTAAGGTAGATGACATTAGAAATACGCCTAACATCCCACGTGATCACGATTTGTTGCAGCCCTAAGTTATGAGCGAGGTACAGATATCACATCGTCTGGTACGACACAGCCTTCTAGGCTAACTGCGTAACCAGGTACCTGATTCATCCTATAATCCACCTCGTTGAGTCGAAATCAACCTTGGAATTCGGTCCATGCACGTTGCCGATTAGGAAGTGACACCTATATTGAGCCAACCAGAGCTCGCCACGCATTACCATGAGGGGTTGGAACTTTTCTGATATAGGAATCGTCCCCCTAGATATGAGAACGTGATTTAAAATCATTGAGAATTTTGCTGTTCAGATAGCCACATCAATGACTTCCGAATCTACTGAGGAGATTGTGTCCAGCATAAGGCAACACAAATCATCATGTGCCCGGTTAATTGCAGAAAGTTAGGCATTGACTAGGTAGCAAGTATATACGTAATCACCGCAAGTTCGAGGCTGAAAAACCCTCAGGATTCTATAGTTATTAATTGAACGATTAGGTAAACCGGGGGCGATGTACCATCTGTCGGCCTGGCCAACTCCGTCAGCCCTGCAGCCGGCTTCGTAGTGCTTCGAGTTTATCCTAAAGCCAGGACCGAATACGCGCCCCTATGCTGTCTTTGCAAATTGGACAGTAAATGCACTGGTTAAATTGCAGGCTTCTATATGGAAGGTGTTCCAAGACTGGATAGTTAGTACAGCAATGAGAACGAAAGAATATTCACGAACAGAAAATGTTAAATCTGCTAACAAACGATGAAGTTTGAGTTGCTTAACCACTTGTAACCAACTTCGGAATCCGGATATTATCCAAGAATGATTTCCTTCCAGCACAATGATTGATCAAAGGCAGCCTGGAATACTTTCCCCAACGCGACTCTTCTCCAAAGTCCTTCCTTTGGATAATGTTCAACCAAGAGGACGAAGTACACGTCCCACTCCGAATCTATCCTCTCCTTCGGAATGTAGTACGTCCAATCCGGCATCTCCTCCGGTGTAAATGTCTTGGCCTCCGAAATAGCTATGAATTCGAACTTTGATATCGTTTGTTTCTTCAACCACTGCGAGTCCAAAAGAATACTTCCACACTTATCACCGTGCTGATCAATGATATGGCATCGACAGGGTTTTCCGCCGTCCGTATCACTGTTCCCGTCATCGATCTCCTTTTGGCTTGGTACCCCGTTAAGCAATCCCTGATCAGCAGTGTCCGTAACCTCTTCTGAAGAAATGTCTATAACGTAGAACTGGCTCCACCAAGTAAAAAACTGCAAAATGGGCAGATCCGGAAACTCTCTGTGAGAGCCATTGCGACATTTTGATTCGGCAGGAGGAACGTGGAATGGATACTCCGGCAAGGTCAACACGAAGTTTGTCTTGGGTAAGAACTCGACGCCCGTCTCGGAGAAGACTTTGGTACGAGCCAGGGCTCTGCTTTCAACTGGTCGGCCAAAGGGGTCTAACGCTGGCCTATCGGGTCGAGGTACAGGTGGGCTGCGTCTCCGGGACCTTGCATCCTCCCTAATGTGAAATCGAGTCGATTGCCTGCGGTGGTCGTATCCAAAAGTTGTTGTGACTTTATCGCTGTAGACATGGCGCTGGGTTTCAGAAGGCAATATCTGGGAACCCTCTTGTTTTGAATCATCGCTATCATCAGATGAGGAATCAACAGAAGAATCATCACTCTTATCTTCGAGTTGCGAGTCGTGGTCTGGTCCAGCATATCCCTTCCATCTCCCATCGGCGCTCGCGTCCTCCGATGCCCAGTCCTTATCCCATAGACGTTGTGGCGTTCCATATCCATCACGGACATGCCAATCAATCCATGTATGATCCTTCAGCCAGGCGCAAATATCAGCCACGCAGCCCTCGACGAATTGGTGCTCATATTTGATACCGTTATCGCTTTTCCAGCCGCACCACGACCAACTTGGAAACTTCATATTCTTGTACATTTCTTCGCGAGATACAGGCTTCTTTAATGTTTGCGATCGACCGCTTGGTACCCACAAGAGCGCAAAATCGAAGTGCGATGTGGGTAGGCCGAAAATAAAAGGCGACCGGAAGGTTTCCTCCATTAGCCGACACATTCCGCTGAATGCAGCCAGGATATCGAAAGGTTCGTAGAGGCTCCGATTTGTGTATAGACGCACGCAATTGCAATAGAACCACAATCCCCTATGACTCAGCTGCGTCAGTGTTTGTAACGGAGCGCCGTTGAGATCCAAAGACCATCCTTCGCCCTTTTTGTCCGCGAATATGTCCTCAGACATGCTTGTTGAACGACACTGGAAGTAAACCTGTCCGCCCGTAAAGATGAGGCAGCGCCTGGAAAGGAGGCGCTCTTGAAATGTCCATGCACGTTGGTTCCAGACTGAGGTCTCTATACTTGTCTCTGGTGGGTAGTGCAGCACAAGATGGACGTCGGGCGCACACTTCGCGATCTTTTGATCAGTGCTATGCTTCTTATCAATGGCCAACAGTCCTGTCTCCGCATTCTCTCCGTCTGCCGCACAAATAGTCAAGGTCGAATTGCCATAGATCAAGTGCATAGCGCGAGCGTTGAGATTCCAGCTATGACTGCTGTCTTGGATGATGCATATGCAATCAATCCATATATACCTGATCCCCAATCTGCTCACAAGTCTGACGCTCTGCCGAAGCGCCTTAGGGAACATCGAGATTGTATCAGCTAGACCGCCCGATTTCCGCCGATCTTGGATATTGGCCAACGTTGTTCTATGGTCTCGGCTCTTACCCCAGACATAGCTGACGGTGGCGTAGGATTCGATCTTCAGTCGATTATTTTCCCAAGATGTTGGGAGTGGTACAAGACTCTCATTTCGAATATCGATGACTCCGAAGTAGGGCTGGCTAAGGGTGTCAGCAAAGTGGTCTTCGATGCCGAGTTGCCTGGTACAACACGCATCGTGGCTGTTTTCGCACAGCCTTAAGAATTCCCGGATAAGGTTCGTTTTATTGACTGTAGGGCCAATACGCCGACCCAGAAACTGAGTTTCGTCGTTGAGAAGACTAGGATAATCGAGATCAGACTTGTCGTACTTGCTTGGAGCACTCAAGACTAGGTAGGCCTCGTGGGCTCTAAAGCGCTTTTCGCTCCAGCGGATACGAAGCCGTCGTGTCTGTGGCCTCCGTGAGTCACGGTATCGTCCGTCAAGCTCCCAGATGAGATGGCAAGTCGTTTCCTTTTCTGGTATCCCCACAAGTGATTCTTGGGGGATGGTGGAAGAGACCAGGCTGCATAGAGGACATTTAGTCCTGGCCCTGATCGCGTCAAGAGTACCAAGAAGGAATGGTTCGCTAGTTAGTCGTAAAGACTGTAGGAACAGTGTGGTTGCCGTACAGTCATCAGTGCGGATCAAGAACCTGTCAACGTGCAGGTCTAATTTCTTGCATCGATCACACAATGGATAATCCATACTGCTTGTCATGCGCACTCAAAAAACTCAGACGAGAAAAGAAAGTACAAAGAAGAGGGGTTTCGATAAAAAGGAAACTCCACGAGGCTAGCCTTCCATCTTACCATCGCTTCTCTAGCATCCATGTCAGTTCTGCTATTTCCGTCTCTTCATCCCTGCACTGTCCAAGGCTGTTCGTCCACAGCCGCAAACCTACATGGTTTGCCTTTCATCCAAAAGCCGCCTTCTCACCATTGCCTATTGGGAACAACAACGACAGTGCCCAACCCGGCAGTTATGGTAGCGCACGCCAGTGCCGCCAGCTGAAAACTTGGTGTATCACCCGGTCCCCCTACATGCGTCACTGTGCTCCGGTCAACGGGGCTGATACTGCTAGACTGCTCGACTTTGGGGATTGAGCCGCAGCGTCAGGGACTTAATGTGAAGGAGCTGCGGATGCTATAAGAACTGAATGCAACCTAAGCTATCACAATTCTAGGAGTTAGCGATTGGCGGTCCTTCGCGAATCTGCTTCCAACCAGCTGTGACCGACAAATGCTCTTCATAGGTTGAGTTTTGTATCCTTCTGGCCTGATGGTTATAAGATGCGATTGATGTGACCGTCGCATGCAGTAGCTCCTAAAAATACCTCAAAACGGACTGAGAGCCGGGTGGCGGAAGGAAGGTGCAGCCAATGAGAAGCTCACTATTTATTCAGGCGAGTCTGATAAAGACACGTTAGCTGAGACCGACAAATGCTCTTTATTGGTTGGGTGTCATATCCTTTCATCTGGAGTCTGGCCAATCAGCGTTTTCGAAGAGACCGCGGAGCCCGTAACACTGGGGAACCCCGGGGCATAAGGTTTCCAGAGGAGCCAGGCCCTCTAGAACAACAAGGACTAGAGATATGTAAATAGTACGGAGGTGGGTGTGAAGGTGCCAAGCCAGATCTCATAACAATCCATTGCTATGCCTAATCTAGGAGCTATTCGACGAGAATACAAAACATTAGAAGAGGAAGAAAGAGAATGCAGTGCGCGATCGCTGAGCGGGGTTGACATATTAGCGGGATCATGTGTAAGTGTGATGGACGCTCAAGGCCCAGAAACAACTTCATTTCTAAGCGTAGCAGTATCGACGAAGAAAACTAAGTGTGAAGAAGAAGAAAGGGGAAAGCTGGCGCTGAGCCATGAGGCTCTCTGTAACAACGTTACGAGGGATATGTATAATTACATTCGAGAGGAATCACTGAAGATAAAGCACACAAGGTAGGGTATGGAAAGTCAATGTACTGAAACCTATTGTCGGAACGTGAATATCAAACCTAGCGCGTTTCGGCACTGGATATCGGTTAGTCTAACGCGGCACGTGCGTGCCGCGTATATATGTAGTTAGCCACTCCCCGTCCCCCTTACTCTTGCCCCCCCACCTCGCGCCCCAACTGAAGATCCTCCCATTACAGCTCGTGCAGTCTGTTTTACAACCCCTCAACCACAAAACCGGTTCGCCTCTCTTCTTGAACAGGAGCTATGATTTATCACTATCCAACTCAAAAGGCGCCTCTCAAAATCCTACAGTTAAATGTAGGGCACGCGCCAGACGCACATGAAATAGCCCTCACATTGGCATACACTAGCAACATCGATATTATCCTAATCCAAGAACCATATACATTCAAAGACCTCAGCCAACAGATCACTAAAAAACATCCATCATGTGAATGCTTCTCCCCAACTGATAGCTGGGCAATAAGTGGCCGACCACGAGTCCTCACCTATGTCTGAAAGAAGAAAGGCATCCGGACCTCCTAGCTATGCCCCTTTACAACTGACACTAAAGAAGCCTCGGATCTCCTGTTCTTTCAGATTTTTTTGCCCACAGGAAAGTCCGCTCTGATAGTTAACATCTATAATGCCCCAGCAGGCTGCAGCAGAGCAGGTGAAGCCGCGAAAGCTCTCACAACCCTGCCAGAGGTGTATTTCCCTCAAACAACGATACTTGCAGGCGATCTCAACCTACTACACAACAGATGGCAACCCTCGCTACAACGCAGCCCTACAACTTTTGCAGAGCTGTTTATCAACTGGCTGGATCTCCAGGGTCTAGTACTTATTTCCGACATAGACTATCCCACACATGAAAGGGGTAACGTGTTAGACCTCAGTTTTGCCTCAAGCCCTCTGGCACTCGCAGGAGCCAAAGCTAGCATAGCGAGTCACTTAGATGCTACCTCTGATTATTAACCACTAATTACCACTGTTCCATGGGATCAGAGATACAAGGAAACAGCTCAGAAACTGAGATTTGACACACTAGACCACACCTCCTTCCTCTCGCTCCTCACCTCTAATCTCGCTGGCACCGAGAGCTCAGCCGCAACAGAAGAAGATCTTGATGCCCTTGCTGAAAAACTAACATCTGCAATTCAAGGAGCATATAGAGGCTCTACTAAGAGAACCATGACACAAGGCATAGGATAACCATGGTAGAATGAAGACTATAAGAAAGCTTTACACAATTACCGCTTAGGCCTCTGCTCAAAGACAGACTTCCGCAGGATAACTAGATGGTCTCAACGACAATTTTGGCAAGAGAAGCTCTCTACGGTAACACAAATAAAGGATATTTTTGACATGAGTAAATGGCATAAGTCTACAGGCATCTTCCGAAGCCCTCCACTAAAAGATCCGCTAAGGCCCAACAGCCTCCCAGCAGTTACTGTACACAAGAAACGAGACGTACTAGTCCGCAATCTTCTCCAGAACTCGGCAGAGGCAGGAGACATACCTCTGGACTCCCCAGCAGTGCCTTCCACTAGTCTCTACTTCCCAGATATATCGATGCTACAAGTGGAGGAGTCAGTACTTCAGGCAGGAAACACAGCCCCTGGCGCAGATGAAATCCCAACCTGCATACTCAAAGTAGCCTGGCCTCTGATCAAAGATAAGGTACTAATGCTATATCAAGGGTGCCTAAAGATTGGTTATTATCCTAAATGCTTTCGACACGCAATCTTAGCAATCATTCAGAAACCAAAAAAGACTGATTGGTCTTCACCTAGTTCATACAGACCAATCGCTCTCCTATCAGTACTTGGCAAAGGACTGGAGCGCTTGGTGGCACAGAATATGGCATGGATCTCTTTACACTATAAAGTATTAGCAAGGCAACAATTTGGGGCTCTCCCACTAAGATCTGCAACTGACCTAACTACATGCCTAACACATGATGTTGAACAAGCGCTAAATCAAGGCATGACTGCCTCGCTCCTTACCCTAGATGTCAAAGGCGCCTTTGATTCCGTGCTTCCCAGCAGACTGATCCGCAGACTACGTGAGCAGGGCTGGCCTACCAATCTCGTTCTCTAGATTGCCTTCTTCGCTACTGGAAGATCAGTTTAGATCCGACTTGATGGAGAGATCGGCCCCTCAACAGACATTGCCTGCGGTCTTCCACAAGGATCCCCAGTATCTGGCATTCTTTTCATGCTCTATATAGCGCCTCTATTCCATCTAGGAAACCCAAGGAACAGATTTGGTTACGCGGATAACGCTACCAACCTAGCAATCTCAACATCTCTTGCTACTAATTGCGAAGCCTTATCAGACTTACTTTAAGAAGCTCTTGATTAGGGCGCTGCAGAGGGCATTATATTTACACTAGATAAATATGAGCTTCTTCACTTCTCCCGATATAAAGCAGACCAGGACCCAACCCACACATCTTCAGTGAAAGCTGGATCTATTACAATATCAGAAAACACTAAACAGCTATATCTACGATAGCTAGGAATCCTCTTTAACAAAAAGCTAACGTTCAAATGGCATGTTAGAGAAACAGCATTTAAAGCCCTCACTGTGGCTAACGCTCTTCGCTCTCTAGGGAATACTGTTCGAGGAGTCAAACCTAATTTACTATAGCAGGCTGTATCAGCCTGTGTACTCCATAAAGCATACTATAGCGCAGAAACCTGGTGGCCAGGACGTACTTGCCCTAGACCTTCCTAGATTTTAAATTGAGTTGGAGAATATCTTGAGAAACTAACTGAAGTAATACTAATAGGCGCAAGAGCAGTCCTTCCAGTCTTCCGTACAACCCCATAGATTCTCTCCACCAGAAATTGAACTAGATCGAATAGCCCTCCTTGCAACTGTCCACCTATGGCGTCTCGACTCTTATCACCCACTTCGAAAACGCGCAGAACAGATCGCTAGTAACGGCCGACAAACCAGCTGATTTGCCCGCCGTACACTGGCCCTCCCAAACTCTGAACAGATAAACCCTCTCTAATACGCTCTCTGGCACCCTCGCGAGCCTTATAGGAATGCTCAAGCTTAAATAGGAGCTCCTATGGGACGCACTAAGGAACAGACAGCGGCTAATTTCATGGCTTTTCAACGTACCATCCCTAGCTCAGATATTGTAATCTTTTCAGATGGATCTAGGCTAGCAGATGGATGTGTAGGGGGTGGCTATATTGGACTTCAAGCACACCATCAGTTCCTCCGCTCCTCACTCTCATATAGACACGGGAAAGAGGTCTTCAACGCAGAAGCAGAAGCAGCTTTAGCTGGCGCTCAAGCAGTAATAGTGTACCCAACAGCTCAATTTGCTACTAACCTATGGATCTGCCTTGATAATCTAGAAGTTGCTATACGCCTTCTATCTCCCTCTACAGGATCTTCCCAAGAAATCTTTAAATCCTTCTGCACCCTTGCAGCCGCCTAGCCACTTCGCAAAAGGCTTCCTCACATCAAAAGTGGATCTATCCAAATCCGATGGGTCCCTGGACACGCTAAAATCCCTGAGAACAAAGCGGCTGATCTCGCTGCCAAAGAGGGAGCTGCCTCAATCCCTCCTGCTCCTCACAAATCCTCATACGCCTTGCTAAAGAGATACGCCAAGACTCAATCCCTATCCGCTGCTCAGTCACAATGGGAGAAGGTGGCACCACAGAGCTATCAAGATCTAGAAATAACCACTTCCCCTAAACGCCCTAGGGAGCTTTAACTCAACCGACTTGATCTCAGCCATGTTATTGCAGCCTATACTGGTTATAGAGACTTTGCAGACTACCATAAACGCTTTAACCATGATGATGCTTATCTTCTCTGCCAATATAGAGCACGAAAAGCACCTCTGCACTTCTTCTTCTGTCATATAGCTAAGAGACGAGCCCCTCGGCCTCCTGGGCCCCCTTCTGAGGTCATCTCTTTTCTCTTAGGCACTGCTAAAGGAGCACAAAAGCTAGCCACATGGCTAGCAGAGACCCACTTCTATGAGGATATCTGCCCTCGCCAACCTCTCCTTAGCACCTAGCTAAGACAGCCCTACTCTTCCTTTATATTTCTCTTCTCCTTCTTTCTTTCTCTTCTCCTTCTTTCTTTCTCTTCTCCTTCTTTCTTTCTCTTCTCCTTCTTTCTTTCTCTTCTCTTCTTTCTTTCCCTCTCTGCAAAACTTACTGTTCAGTTATAATAGTGGTGGAGTAATAGGTCATGGAGTGTAGGCAGACCATTGCAGCTGGCAAATACCTAAAACCCACTCAAAGTGGACCTCCCTGTAAGACCACGGCAGCTATGGAAATGCGCCAAAGAGTCTCTTATTTGTACATAAATCTGATAGGACCCGAAACCCGAGGCTTACCCCTCGGCGGCCTATGTCCCAGTAGGGATCGGTGGGAAGCGTGCGAGTCACAAACCACGGCCGTTAAATATATACACACACACACACACACACACACACACACACCCCTTACTCTTGGGGGGCAGTCATCAATATCAGGAATTCCATACCATATTGATCAGGCTCGTCAGCTCGTCGGAATAGCTGTTCTACGTGACTAGTGCTAGCGACCTAGACGTAGATAAACCGACACCTATCTTCCGCTATCCTGGAGCATCTGCTATCTTTATAGACATATAACTTATACCAGATCTCCCTTTTCCGAATAGCTCCAACAGTCGAGGTGGAGCTAAAAACACCCTTGAACATATAAACCTTCTCCTGTTGTAGCTGAAACCCAACTTAAGACGTCATGGGTGCATTTCTTAGAATAGTGAGACCCCTAAGCCTGCTAATTGTTACAACTATCCCCCTCTCCAAGGGCTTGCGTCCACGCGAGCCATGAAGTACACATTTGCTAGATCTGGTGTGATCTATGTAGTAGGAAATCTAAGAATATTGGACAAAAACTACTACAGTACATGGTCTGGCTTCACATTTGTTTATATTTTTAGGATTTCTTGAAATCTTGAATTAATCTAGGTACATTCATATTATCTTCCGGTACATATTGGTTATACTTTGAAGGCCATCCTGTCTACTTAATCAGGTAGTGAACCTTTCCCTTTATCATTCATCTATCTTGAATCTCTTCCACCTCATATTTCTTAGGATTATCTTCCAGTTCTAGCAATGGCATCATCTCCCATTTCTTTCTAGGATGGTATTCTTTGAGCAACTAGATTAGGAACACATCATGAAGTCATAGGTATTGCTGGGGAAGTGCTAGTCAATATGCCTGAGACCCTATTACCTCTGTAATTTGAAAAGGGCCAACAAATCAAGGTTGGAGCTTCTTATTTTTAAGCTTCAGATTCCGTGTTAATAACTTCACTAGGCTTCCTCTTTAAAGGTCTTCGGTGTATGTTGCTTGTTATAGTATTTGATTTGACGTTGCCGTGCCGTGTTCAGCTGGTCTCGCAGTCCTTATCTGAGTTTATAGAGTTTTTAAATATAGTCCTTAGCTGCAGGTATCTCCTCTTCTGGGATGTTGTCCGCAACATCGATATAGAATTCAGGATCAAAACTATATAAAGCCTTAAATGGCGACATTCGAAGTGTATGATTCATGCTATTATTAAAATTTTTATTTTAGTCTGTTAAGTTCGTACAGCAACATCAGAAATGGTGTCGTGGTTATTAGAATATAGAACTGTATAGTATTAATAGGTGTAAGCATGTCAATTAACCCTATTGACTAATAGAGATTACCAGGTCCAAATTAAACTATTGCTGTGCTAGCCATTGTAGTATCAATATTGATATTTCTGATGATTCTCTTGTAAGCAAGGCATTACCTATATCTAGCTGTAGAGAGTTGCATAATACCAGTATTAATAACAATACCCTTAAAGCTTTCTGACGAATAGTGGCCCTCATTTAGATAGACATAACTTGATTTGGGGGTTAGTGTGATGGCTGCAAGAATCGCTGTTGTGTGAGCTCGGTCCGTTGTAGTGCCGCTCCGTGGTCTCGTTGAGCCCTAAGCCCTAGCTGGCCGTACAACGGGATATCCCTTTGTTGTTACGACTTCCTATTTAGGCACCGACGAGGCCATACGCGCTTACAAAGGGCTGTAGCGAGCTCACACACTGATTTTTCCTTTCTCCTTCTTTTCTGTATGCTTAGTTTCTTGAAGATGAGCTACCCTAGAGTTTAGGCCTGAGCAAATGTCACAGTTAGTGTGACGTCTCAATAAGCCTATTCTAATGATAATCCTAAGCTTGGGAGAAGAGGAAGGGAAGGCCTAAGTTACAAACAAGTTGGTTGATATGATCTTGCAATTCTGCCATTTTAGACCGCTTTCCCCATAAGGCCTCCATCCCATGACAAGTTGTTTCTGGGCCTTGAGCGTCCATCACAGTTAGAATCTTGAGAGTTACTTTGTTGGTTTTGTATAGATCAGTTTCTAAATCAGGCTTCAGGAATAGTGAGGTAATCCAGTGCGAAGCGGAATAGCTTGCTAGTTCCATAGTTATTAATAGACCATGGTTCATGTTGTTGTCATTGTGCGTTGTAAAGAATGTGGCTGTGAATAGGGTTAATAAGTGTTGGTTTAACTACGGTCCGTATCACGAAGCATAGATGGTAGTAAGGCGCGAACACGAAGCGGCCTAATGAGCCTGACAATATGAAGATATCTTGATTCCTAATATTGTGACTTACTCCTAAGAACGAGGGGGAACGGGGGATAGCTAGTTAGATATACACGCAGCACGCACGTGCCACGTGAGACTAAGTAGTCCGGTGCCGAAACGCGTAGGGTTTGATATTCACGTTCCGACAATAAGGCATCGTGTGTAGATCTAGATTTATAATTATCTGTCAAAATAAGGTTATCAGCAGCTAATAAGAGTTCTTCTGGCAGTTCCTCATTGTTGTCATCCCCTGTGCCCTTGTAATTAGCAATATATTAATTGATATGCTTGTTAAAATAGTCTAAATAATAGCGTTTTAAATTAACTCTTTCCTTGGGTGTGTTGCCGACGCGTTGAGACGCATCAAAGGCCGCACTCCTGGGGGCTAGGTGGTAGAGAGGGTTGAGGATTTTGAGCCTCTGACTGTTTGATATAAATAATTGTAAGGAAGTCGCCTATCAACTCGAAATCGAAGCCTTTCCAAGAGTAAGGGGGACGGGGGATAGCTAGCTACATATAAACGCGGCACGCACGTGCCGCGTTGGACTAACTGATATCCAGTGCCGAAACGCGCTAGGTTTGTGTTGGATTAGCTAAGCTGATTCAACCAATCAGATAGAGGAGATTTGTCAGCCAATAATAGCGAGCCACACACGGATCCACCGAATAGGGGGTAAAAGATATCTTCCACCTGGACTGTACTTAGAGACAAGAAAAAGAACAACAAGGATCAAGGATTCCCACATCTTGTGCATACATAATTTGATACGTTGAGATAAACCGCTAGAGATTGTTACATACAATCTAACAGTTTGATATTCACCACGGAATTTGAGCACTTTGCCTATCTAGGCCTTACAATAGTGTTGGTTTAGCTACGTCCCGTATCACGAAGCGTAGGATATCGTAAGCTAGGGCGATCCAACTGCCCTACGTGGTGAGCCTTGCTATATAGCACGAAATGTAATATTATAAAAGACTGACCCCCGAAACTAGGGGGGGCCGGGGTGCCTAGATACATTATATGGTGTTGGTCGCTCTAGCGCACGGAGAATAGTAATCCCGACCAGTTCGCGTACGAATCGACGGCGTGCTACAGCGCCGTATAGTGATTCGTAAGATCGCTATTCAAACAAATAGAAATCAATACATCTTGAGGAGGAATTCTTCATCTCCATCTTTACTCTGTTGTCTCTCTTCAATAATATCAGCCGCTCTTTTGACCTTGGTAGTTCCATTGGTTTGACTTGTGGTTTTCTGACGTTTTGGTACTATTGTTAGTATCGACCAAGACTTCCCGTGCTCTTGTTGATAGTGTCACGACGCGCCCAGATCGCATCGTCCCCTCCTCAGGCGAATCTTCTTCCATTGAGTCCACCCTGCACTCAAATCCTCCGTTGTATCCTCTGAATCGAATCTCATCTCCGTCTATCAATGCCAGTTGATCCTCTTTGTCGGTCGCCCTAGATTTATCTTCCTATTACAACGGCGGTTGCCCGATCTCTACTCCAGAGTCAATTATTTCTCACCTACCAGAGCCTAACCCCGTTCGGACTAGTACCAAAAGATTCCAATAGAGACTGTAACATGACTGCCTATTCCAATGTCATATAGTGAGGATACTGTTTTTCTTCCATCATCTATTTGATCTCTTACATATTTGCTATACATACACCTTATTTCTCATATTTTTGCTGCACCATGGCTCCCTCCAATCTTCTTAGTGTGTCGCTTATTGTAGTGACGATTATTTCTTACATCCCTCAATATCAGTGCCTGCTCACTGTGGGCTCATCGGCCGGCATCTCAATTGCCAGCATCCTTACTATGACACTGGTGGCCCAGGTTCAAATGGCTACCATGTACTATCTCTTCAAATCTGCACCGCTCATGGAATACGGTGTTCCTATCAGCACACCACCTTCTACACGGGACTGGCTCAACCTCTCCCAGATTCTTATCCAGTGGATTTGTTCACTATTTCTGTATGTTGAAGGCAATCAATAATTGTCTCTTTCTTGTAGACTAAACAAAAAATTTCAACAGCTTTGCACTGATCATCTATCTGCCCACTTCAACCACGAGGCCTGGGCCTGCATCTAGCGTCCTTTCTAAAAAGGTGGCAGTATCGCTGTGGATCTTGCATGTGCTCTCGTTTATCCTCTCTGTTGTTGCAGGAGGTCGCCCGCAAGACGTGGCCTTCAATATTATACGCAACATCAATGCAACTGTCATCAATCCTCTCTTTACGCTCATGGCCGTTGTCGCCTTCTTCTACCAGGTTCGTGTCATGCCATCTGCAGGTCATCCAAATGCCCTAAGCAACTGGACACTTGGTCTTCATTTCTTCACATTTCTCCTTCTTGCCATCTCATGGCCGTTCAGATTGATTCTTCCCCCTAATATGTGGCAGCTCGGATCAAAGCCGGCCATATTGCTGGAATGGTACCCTTGGGTGGGATGGGCCTGTGTCAACAATGCTATCTTTGCGATTGACCAAGGTATGATTCTACTCTATAGTGGTAGAATAGGGTTTGATGGCACGATCAAATTTACTGATGAGCGCCGGCCATTAATCAACCCAGAGGAAAGAACTCTAGATACGTAGGAAGCAGAGTAGTTGATATATCTATAGCTAACTTTGCGGCTTGTTTTTACCCCCAGTATCTGCCTCCCTCATATGACTGTATCTTCAATTTACTAGGATTTTTAATTCTATAGTACATTTCTATATCTTCAAATCCCAGCTCTGACTTCCCTTCAGCTCCAGGCCTAGACAAGAGTCCTATACCTCAATAGAAAAGAGTAAAATCAGCATTCCACATCTAGAACTCTAGATCGCCTGTCCTAATCTCAAATCCTCAAACTTCTGTGATCCAGAAAGCACCTCAACTTGGAGCAACTGCTTCTCAATACACAATCTGCGATAGTGTATCTAACATGGGAAACAGCAATCCATCTGGTTCTCCGCTGCGGCGTAGTCGATAATCTCACACTCAGGTCCGTCACGAGGATTCCAACCGCCGACGGTACATTGTGCTCCTCCATTCGGTTCTTTGCTTTGCCAGCTCAGACTTCCATAGGTAAACTGAATATAGTCATGCTCATGTTCCCCAGTGATGGCGAGTGAATAGGGGAGAGGGCCTTGTACAGTAGTACCGTTGCCAACGTTGATTGGGTCACCCAGATCGCCATTTTGGAAATCTGACCCTGGCGTCTGGTATATGACATTCTTGTTGTTATCGAGAAGGGTTATATTTGCATACAAATCATCTGATTCCGGGTTGCAGTTTTCCCACTCATCGAGATGGAAGCAACATGTGCCTTTGGCATAGGAGGGCTTAGTGTCTGAAATATACTGTGTTACGATTGCTTTGTATATGGCCTGATGAAAAGCCACTTGTGGATGAAACACCTTCGCGCGGTAGCCAATGACATCTGGCCAAATATCTAACTGGGCAGTCGCGTTGTCACCTACTGTCCGATTCAGCTGGTCATAATCAACCTTTGTCCAGAAATCAGCGAGATAGTCTGTCCAAAGTGTCGAACTTTGATTCCAGGCGAGGGTGTTGACGTTGTTCTGCTCAACGCTGTTCAAATATGCGATGGTTGGGTTCGTCGAATCGTCATTCTGGTTGTAAGGATAGTGCCAGAACCACAGGTTAGGGTTGTTCTGGTCTGGTTCCTGGATACCTGGCTCGCAGAAGCGGTGTCCTGTTCCCATCAAGCCGTCGATGTCAACATACTTAACATTGCTTCCACTATTTTGGTTAACGGCCTGTTGAATCGCAGCATTCAACGTCAGACTCATCGCGTTGAAGTCGGAACGCAAGTCCGTAGTCAACAAAGTGTGCTGCTGGCGATCAGGGTTAGGGTTTGCTGTTCTCGCAAAGGTCACAGTATCGCAGCCGGTGTCTTGATCGTTGAAAAATCGACCATAACCAGTCACGTAAAGTCGAAAGCTACTACCGCTTGCACTCTGGCCATATTGGACGATCTTTTTGATCACTGAATCTATCTTGGATATCAAATCAATGCTTGGCGTGTTTTTGTCCCCGTCTTGACAAATCAAAGACCATGATAGATCCCTCTGCTCGTCGCAAGTACGCTGTGTGAAACCTGAACTTAAAGGCCATCTTAGAGAGGTGTTAGTCTTAATCTCTCAGACAACCGTTCCCAAGGAAGGGGGAGGAGGGAACTTGGTCTGTTCAACTCACGGAAATCCATCCATGATGCAATTATTCAAAATGCCTGGAAAGTCAATGTCATCTCCGCCGACACTGAGTGTGCCCATCGTGGGTTTACCACTGCTTGGCCTTGGATAGAATTGCCAGTTGGGTTGACCAGAGTCTTGATCTTCCGTATAGAACTGGTATTCCTCTACCTCTTCAGCTTTAGCCCCGGAGCAGACGACGTTGTTAAACGTGCCTCCTGATCCAGATAGCAGGTTATCTGGGTCATCTTCGATCAAAACGGGGTAAGCTTGGTCATAGCGTAGACACCGGCGTCCATAAGTGTAGCTTCCAGAGCCAACACCAGAGGCATATGAGTCGCCCCATGCAGTCCATTCGAAAGAAGGTGCCCTTTCCTGGAGTTGTGCCTTCTCATCAGCATTCACTGTAGGGTGGGCGAGGAGAGGTGCTGCAAATAAGAAAAAGGTAAGAAGTCTCATGATAGCGTAAATGGAAGTTATGAGTTAAATGTAAACGAGCGTGTATTTGCAAGGTATCATCCTGCTTCTTTTTACATTGTTACTGGCCTGGTGGAAGATACTTAAATTTATGATTAGATGCTAGGATGAAAAGAAAATGAAAATCAGCAAGACAGAATCTGCCTTCCATTCCTGAAACATGCTGATTCGATGTAGTTGTATTCGGCGACTATTTAGTAGGCAAGACGAGAGCCGTGCTTCTTTCTATATTGGGTAGATATGACTCGATACAAGACATCCCTCCTTTACGAGCCTCGTCAAATTCCCAGGATCATTCAGCACAACAGACAATAATTTATCTCTTGCGGCTCAGCGATGACAGCCGAGACATGGCAGAATGCTGAGTATCTGCCACTAATGTTCTCTTTGCTTGACCTTCATAGCTCATCAATGCACTTAAGGAGCCAACATTGGGTTAATCAAGTTTATTGGTTAGTACTGGATAGATTGATGGTGCTGAAAGAAGACTGTGCGTATTTAGGATCACTGCACTCATTATGATAGAAGAGATTATATTCCCACACACTCAGCCTACGCACGACATGAAGAATAAAAATATCTGCTGCATGCACCTAGCTCCCACAGTGTGAACAAAACTAGGAACGGTGCAGCTTTTTGGGGTCCATGTCACTCGATGACAGTCAGCAGTTTCGGAAATACTTCGCTAAGAATTTTAAATGTCCCTATCCATGAGTCTTGACAGCAGACTAATCACGACAGGGAAGGACTTTTTTAGGGTCAACCTGACACTGCAGGGCTCTGTATAGAGAAAGAGATTGCATTATACTCTAATACAGCTTGTATTCTAATATTCTACCCAAATGGGGAAAGGAGCCTGCTAATAAATTCTAACGCGTGTCAGTCACTGCACAATGACGTAGCCCCGGGGACTCAGCCTCAGTCAGGGTCTGGAGCACAGAGTAGATTTGCTCTCCGACCCCTATACATTAACTAGCCATATGATCTTACGTCTCTGCTCTCGTCCAATTTTCCTGCACTCTAGCTCCCTTTGTTTCTAACCACGATACTGCACCCAATTCTTACCTTCCACCATGCTACTGTGGGTCATCTCTGTGCTATGTACCACTGCATTAGGCAGAGCAGTCGAGCGAGACCGACAACATCCTTTAACACTGGAAAATGGAGGCATACCCGGCGATTCTATTGTTACATTATGCCCAGAGTCTCAGAAAAGCGATATTCTAGCCATCGAGCGTATTATCAACCGTCCCCAGATGCCTATTCTGTATGTCTTTACAATGATTTGACCGTCTGCTTGGATGTGATTTCTGATCTGGCTGGAGTGTCCAGTAATGAAGAAGAAGACGTTTATATTTGGGGTGATTATTACTACTACTATTATTATTACTACCCTGTTTCTTTAATCCGCCTGAATAAAATGTCTGACTGATGTGTATAATATGCAGGCAACTTGACCCGTGACATCTCGGGTTCCTCAACCGTCGAATATCAGATCAATGTGACCGCAAACACTGGAGAATTTGGCGCGCTTAATGGCACTTTTCACATCTGTGACTATCTCGAGAAGATGCACCAGCCTCCTGATTCGAACGAACCAGAAAAAGCATGCCCCCCAAGTAAAGGGCCTGTATTTATTGATTACGCAACTTGGTTTGCAGACTGGCTGGTCGCTCCGGTATGTATTATTTGATGACTGTCCTTTGAAGCAGGCTAAAACTGAGGGTCCGTGGCTCCTTTGTACAGGGACAATGGAGCGTCAAATTTGACGCCAAGACCCCAGAGGGAGACAGAATCTATTGTCTTCAAACAGAATTCAGTCTCCAATGTCCTCCGGAACATGAGGGCCCAGAGTGTCTGCGCAACGCATCTGATGTACTCAGAATCGGGTGGATGCTGTAAATTTAAATGGATGAGACATAGCTGGGGTTCGATATTCCGATTGGAAAATGAAGTACCAATTTTCTCTTTATCTCTCTTTTTTTCTTCTTTTCATAAAAAAAAGTCTTTAGAATGCAGATCAGACCAGCTGGCATATAGGGCAGAATATTCATTGCAGAGTCGCAGCTACAAGGTTTTGTAATGGCTATCGCAATTATAAAATAAATACGGGGTAGATATGCTACTATACCTGTTGGATTGTACGTAACAATCTTCAGCGGTATATCTCAACGTATCAAATTATGCATGCAAAGTATGGAATCCTTGATCCGTGTTGTCATTCTTTGTTTTTCTTCTCTAGGTACAGTAAAGGTGGGAGACGTCTTTCTGTCGGATTAGTCGGTTTATTCCAGGCCAATCCTGAAGAGTGTTTTACTAGGATGAAAAGAAAAGAAGTGACTAGCAAGATTGTGTGTATTCAGTTCTCTATCTCTCCATCAGGTTTCAAAGCTAGGTTTTTGTAAACATCTTTGGTGGGGTGATTTGTGAGCTATCATGACCTAAGGTGCCTTTTTAGACCTGTAAAATCGAATGTCGGATCTTTCTGCCTCGTTTGAAATCCGGATTATCTGACAATCATCTGACAACTGTTGAGAAGGGTTATTTAATTAGCGCACTAGTACCCTATAACTAGGATTAGTCCCTCCGGGCGTAATAAATATCATTCATTCATACAAACACTAGCGTGTATTAGATTTCGTATCGGCCGTGACATGCCATGAAGCAATCTAGCTTTCTTTATTTCCAAAACCGACAAGTCTCACTAATTCCTTAGCCTTGGAGAACATCAACATTGAACACTGCTCGCGCTCTATAACTGCTTGTTGTTAAAAATGGCGGTCCTGGAACATATACCCTCACTGAGGGACTCACTGTCATCCTCTAGCGAGATCTTACCCGTCGCTTCACCTCCCCCCACCCTATTCGGACAACCCTGTCCGAATAGGGTGGGGGGAGGTGAAGCGACGGGTAGTGGACCCCATTAGCCCCAACTTCCAAGAACGCCTGCAGAGATGGACATCAGAAGGATATCTGAGGGGCTTTTTAGTGGGGAATAACTGTTATACCGCGTTTTCGGTAACTGCCCTGGAACATCAATACCAAGATATTCAGATCGCAATATACCAATATCCGTTTAATCGATGGGCTAGAAAAATTAACTCCAAAGTATAGACTTGCCGCTTTATCTTGTAGCTAAATTAGAAGAAAAAATACCTATAAATGAAGAAGTTATTGGAGTATGACAAGATGGTGGAGCCTTTTTTGACTGACAACCAACCAAGTCAAGAATGCTAGGTAAGGTATGGTATTGTTCAAATCTTAGGGTTAGGTATCTAGACTGAAAAAGAAAAGGGGTGAACAATTAGATAATAGCCTAATGACTTGCTTTTTACTAGTCGGCTAACAAACACTATGACTTTTTTAAAGCATCTATTACCTTGCTCAGTGAAGCACCAGCCTGTATCCGCTCTTCCTCTAACTTTGCTATGACTGTTTGATAGGGATCCCTTAAAGAGGCATCTTCAATAGCAGCCAGTCTTCTAATCTCATTGATGAGAGTCTTCCTTCGAGAATAGAACTGGCGTTCGGCAGAGCTTTCAGCCCTGAGCGCCAGCCAGAGCCATAGAGCTCATCAAGCCTCTCAATTGAAGGCTGTCCATTGAGCCCAACAGTCCACTCTCGCCACAGTTCTAGGATTATTGTAGTGTTCCTCGACATACAATATTGCAGTGCCTGTAAAGCTCTCTCAAGTATCATTATAGGAAGTTGAATAGGCACTGTAGGGCTAAAGGCTGCTTCTGATATAGGGGGCAGAACAATATAGCCTAGGCACGAATTGGCAGGTGAAGGTGCCACCAACAAAGTCGTTAATAGCGGCTGTTAGTTGATCTATTCGGCTTACCATTAAGCCCTCTAATGAGTGAAGGGCTTATAAATGAGTAACCTGGCCAGTCTAAATGGCTGCAGTCATTGTACAGAGCTAGTCATTTATAGCGGGGATGGCCTTTTGAATAGTAATAAAATGAGGATCTTCTTCCATGGCTGTCGTAACAACTATATGAATATCTAGCTTAAAGGCCTTATATTCTGCCGTCTAAAAGAGAGGGTCTTGGAATATTAGATGGCTAGGAAACTCCGTCCGCTAGAGTACAGAGTCCTGCAAGAATACAGTTCTAAGCCTCTATAATAGTTCTAGAAATCCACTAGCAGCAATATTTGACTCTACTCTCTCAGTTGCATCTGTCCTTTCTAAATATGCTGCTTGCCACCTATCCAGGTCTAGCCATACTCAATTCAATAATGCTAGTGGAGGGTAGACAGTCTCCTAAGGCAAATAATAGCTTGATGACCAGTCAGGGTCAAAGTCTGCAATACCACGCATGAAGGATCAAGGCAGAGTAGTCAAGTAACAACCAGTCATCTGGTCTGCATTCCAGCGACCGCGCCGGCGATTCTAGAGGCTAGAGGTTAACTTAAATAGATAGGATGATAGAGCTTACTTACCTGATCTTCAGAGACTCCATTCAACTCAGCAAGTCTGGCCCCAGAGACCCGTCCCACATGTGTTACCTTGGAGCTCTTAATCCCTACCTCACTGTACAGGCGTCGGGTCCAGGATGCTGCTATGCTATTGCTTAGAGGTTCAGTAGGGTGATTATTATCTCGCTTAAGCACCTTAATGTTATACTAGTCTTGACTAGTCTGAAAATAAGGGAACAACTCTCTAGAACAATGCCATCTTCAGAAGAAATAGGTTACTAGAGCACCTATAAGATAGGACTAGTAGTCTCGATGCGATAGAGCTGCCCTATACTTAAGCTGGCCGTGTTGATTTGTTTTACCCTGGTCCATCACAGTAATTAGGCACTAGCCTTTGCCTTTTGGCCCTTCATTAGGCAGGGGCATTGAGAATAGATCTTGTAGCTCCATAGGTAGCCAATTACTTAACCTCAGCAGCATAGAGTTGCCAAAAAGAAAGCATAGCTGTATATGAAACTGTTGTTTAACCTGATTCTGCCCTAGGCACTGGGCCCAGACCTTTCTTGTAAGATCAGGAATCTGAGAGGCAACGTACCCATCTCGTATGGTAGCCAGCTCACGGTCTGTGAACTCATCATGTCAGCATTGGTGCTGGCCTCGGGCAATTGATGTCTTTAGGGCAGTCATAGCTACTCTCTATAGTCGCGCTGCATTATGGAGGCCTAATAAGGTCTGATGTGCCCAGAGCTCATTAATGGCAGAGCAATAGCTTTGTACGGTATTGTACATCAGGACAAGCTCAGAGCAAGCCTCATCATCGCTCTCAACAGGCAGCTCTTCAAATGCCGTAGAGGGAACACTATTCTTGTCTCTCTTCCGGTAGGTATTCGTAGGGAATAAAAATAATGAGAAGTAAAAGTGCGGATGGAGGCCTCTTCCCAGTCGTACGGCCTAGGGTTCTAGCATCCTAGGATGCTAGAACCCAAGTCCTGTCTACTCAACTACAACCAATCAGGAAACCAGCTAAATTGGACGGTGACATAAACTCGTTTCTGCCGAGAATCCCAGTCGTTGCGCAAGCTGTTGTTTTGAGAGAATATTCCAGACTCGTCTCGTCGCCTAATGCTCGGAACGAAAACGCTTACGAGTTCCGTCTTATAAGTCAAGTCATAAATCAATTTAAAGAACAGGCAATGCACCAACAACGGTGTTCCAGGTTTTTTCTAGGGCCCGGCGATCTAATTGTAGTGACAAAAGCTTCGGACGAATTTCGATCTACGTTTTGCTCCATGCCCGATACGGTGACTCAGTCACATCAAATCTGTTATAAGTTCTAGAGTCAGTGCACACAATCTGTCAAACTGAAAAAATTACAGCCGACCGACGATGAAAACTTGCTGTCATGTTGAGTTGAACCTAGCGATTCAAATAGGTTCTTCAGAGTTTCCTTGTGGTCGTCAATCTTCCTTTCCTCAGGGAAATGAAATTGCGCTACTAGTTTGATCATGATAATATAAATATTTCAATGCCAAATATCAAGGTGCTTGTTACTAAGCTATCCCCCTGCGGTGACTAAGTAATAACATTGTGATTGATTATAGTACTGAAGTGATGCGTGGTTTGCCCAATCGCAGTAGTCAATATGCAGAAAAATTGCCATGTGACCATTTAGACACTGTCTCTAACCGCCCATCTACTCTACACACGAGTGTAGTCGTGGTTGCCTAGCCTCAAACCATGACTTGCTACGCTATACAGATAGGCCGACGCTTGAGTGAGGTGAGATTAGTGCATAACGATGGACCAATAAACTTTTGACATTGGCAAGGCTGGAATAAGCGGGATCCCGGCGGTAAGAGGGCATACATAATTGGGAGATTGACTGGTTCTGAGATATAACTTATATACAAATTTGTTGAGATATTAAGATGTGGAAAATGACGATGTTGTACTATAGTATGGGAATACCAGGTTGGCCACTTACCCGTGCGGGCCATTTACCCGTGGAATACGTTAGGGTATTGGATTACTTACAATCATCATCAATCCCTAAGACTTACTAACAAAAGGGCGCTAACCCGTAATTGTAATCTTTTCCGAAGACCCTGTCTCGTCCCAGGACTGTGTATCATGCAGTACAGTACGGCAGTCTAAGCCTGTTTCTATGCTGTCGTTCCTATATTTGGAATGCAAGCGCCTATGCATGTCTCCCCGTCAGCCAACCGCAAACCACAAAATCCGCCTTGAGAATAACCACCACGACGAAATCCCCTAAATGCCGCTGATACTAGCATCACGCGCTCAGCAAGCTACTTATAGAGCTATCTTGAGGTCCCGCATTACCACTCTTCTGATGGGCAATGCTCTTGAAGACTTTCAAAGTACATTTAGAGTACATTGAGAGGGTTTCAGTGAAACTTCCACCCATTTCGATAGCGAATAGTGCCTGGAGATCTAGTGGAGCGGTCATGTAAAGTAAGTCAATCGGTCCTGGAGACTTATCATCGTTTACTCCGCTTTAAATTAAACGTCACTTGCACGAACCAGATCTCTTCCCCACTCATTTTCAACCATAACAACTATATCTTTACGGCACATAGTATCTTTGAGCTCAAGCAGCTTACCGCATATAAGATAAGCCAAGATATCCTGGCTCTCTCGCTTCGGAGCGGACGTGATTGGCCTGCTTCAAAGCCAGTGAAGATGCGGTCCCGTCCTCAGCCTCGCTGACTGACACTACCGGCTGCGCTATATTTTCAGATTAGCTGTAATACTGCGTGACAGAACTGCATGAGCCTCGCACCCCAGCTGTAAGCCATGTATTTGTCTGTATACAATACCAGCCACGTTCATTTATATATAGGCAAATGAAATGCGCCCATACTTGTCTATGAACGAACTCTTTCTTCTTCGGCTATTGTGCTTCCCCCGTGGATCATACGATATGGAAGATCCGTGATAAATATATCACTAATATACACCTATACGCGCCGTGTCTGCGCATCTACAGGCCATACGAGCTGAGTTTATCCATATATATATATACATGTGTATATACTCGGTACATACTACAGCATTCCTAAGGACTCGATTCAGAAAGATCCCACTAAGGATTAGCGACAATGCCTTACGATCCAGGTCTTGGCTGGTTCATCTCATTCTACAACCTTGATCCCTCCAGACAAGACAAATGTATATATTTCACTCAGAAACCGAACACGCCAAGATGCAGATGGTCTTGCGACAGAGCCGATCGCGCCGAGGCGATTGCACTCCGTAGACAAATCATGACAATGCCACCTGAGGCTGTCAGTATTGAAATGCTTGAAGATTATGTCCAGTTCAATTGCTGCAGAATGGGTAATGCTCAGCATCGAGATCGTATAGAAGACGTCGGCTATTTGAGACCACTGGCCCAACGATGGCAAGATGAAATCAGGAGATACGCCTCCTCCCAACATAATCACACAACCACCGTTCCAGCACCCGATGAGGATATCTACATTCGACACGGTTATACAACCCCCGCACCATCAACACCTAGTTATACTAGGACACTCAATACACCCATTGGAAGCCCATCTTACTATCAATATAATACCGCGACCGCCATTCGTAGCAACGCAGCACCCTTCACATCTGTCGCAAGCTCAACATACTATCAGGATGGTTATGCTACTCCAGCGCCATCGACTCCTAGTTACGGTACAACGGTGTACACCGCTGCTAGCAGTCCATCTTCTAGCCAATCCAACGTTGGGGTTGTCGATAATTCGAACTCATCATACTATCAATATAGTTTCCCGGTATCCTCACCAGCACCTCAACCCTATGGATACTCACAACGCTACGATCTCCGCCCTCGAGAAGGAAACTTACACCAGTCTATTCCTCAGGCTCCACCATCAGAATTCCGTCCCCACATAACAAACCCCCTTCCAAGCGACTCCATCTCCCGGAAGATAGCCGAGCCTCTTGAAGACCGAGACTTCGAAACCGGCTCACTCTATATTTTTGACCGGGCCTCTTCTCCGGGCCACGTCAAAATCGGCTGGACGGCGAGTTCTGTCCAGCGCCGTCTTGAAGACTGGTCGAAGTGTGGATACATACCGAATCTATTGTTCAGCGTGGACTGCATCCCGCACGCCCAGCGAGTCGAAACTCTTACACATTATGAGCTGATCAAGCAATGGCGCCGGGAGCGGAGGTGCAAGGCCGATTGGTGCCAGAAGAGCCATAAAGAATGGTTCGAAATTGACAAAGAACAAGCGAAACAGGTGTTGCGTAATTGGGCAGATTTTATGCAATATGCCGAGCCATATGATGCGGCTGGCCGGTTGAAAAGCCAGTGGAGGGAAATTGTAAAGATGATGGAAGGATATGGGGAGATGGTCACTGCTACAAAGCTGTTGGAGCACTATGAGGCATCTCTGACTAAGAAGTCGACTGTCGCCGAGACGACCCGGCCAGTCTCGATTCATACACCCAAGATCGTAGAGGAGGTGGTCACCGGATATAAACCGACGATAAGACGCTTGGAGGCCCCGAAAGAGGAAGTTGTGCGCGTGGACTCGCTTGTGACCGAGCAGCCGACATTGCCCAAAGAGGCACCACTAATCACAGGCCAGCCAGTATTGAAGACGAAGCCAGATATCAAATCTAAACCACAACCATCGCGGACCCTGTTTTCAGCAGGGTTAATCAAAGAGGCGCCATCGCTCAAGCCATTACCAAAGACGGAGCCAATTCTCAAGACAGAGCCAGTAACCAAGACAGAACCACTCTCCAAGACAGAGCCACTTCTCAAGACAGAGCAACTACCTAGGACACAGTCCCTCTTTTCAGCCGAGTACTCGACACCACTCAAAGACAAGCCATTGTTTGAGTGGCAGTCCTTGCTGAAAACAGAAACACCTACGAAATTGGAACCACTACCTAGGAAACAGTTTTCATTTTCAACTGAACAACACACACCATCAAAGACACCACTGTTCCAGTGGCAACCGTTACTGAAGAGCGAACCGCTATTTAAGACCACACCACTACCCAGGACAGAGTTTGAATTCTCAGCTGACCGACAAACACCGTCAAAAGAGCCACCGCTGTTCAAGTGGCAGTCACTACTGAAGACTGAACCGCTTTTCAAGACCGAATCAGTACCCAGAACGTTCATGTTCTCAGCTAAGCAACCTGTCAAATCCGAGCCGTTGTTTAACAGCTCGCTACCAGTCAATGTTGAGACGCTCTCGAAGGCGGAAATAGTAATCAAGAGCGAACCGGTAGATGATGAAGTAGTGGCATCAGAGGTTACACCAGTCAAGGAAGGGCTTCTACCCGAGCAGATACCGCTGCCTCCTTCACCATTACTTCAACCTACAGTATTTGGTGAAGACACAACTTCTCTCAAAGAGACAAACCGAAATTCGGATGACGGAAACGCAAAGGAAGAAGACTCTGACCTGAATTCCACTGTCGCTGATACATTGGCTGATTCTAAGGCTGGCTCATCAGGCCCCTCATCGGCACGAGTTTCACGCTCAGTCACGCCCATTGAAAGTAGTCTTGAGAAGCATGCTCAGAACAGCACTGATACCACGAACACTGAATCGCCACCTTCAGAATCAGATACTCTAGTGCCATTGGTGACATGGACCTCGGAAGCGCTAGCATCTATGAGGAGCGACTCGCAAGAAGCAGTAGTGAAGACGCCCACTTCAACCGCGCAACGTCCGAAGACACCTGAAGACGCCGGGCAGGTAGAGCCTGATGAAAAGCTCCATGGCTGTGAAGAACAGATATGTAAAGAGAAAGATGAAATTACAGCAGCGGTAACGGAAGTGGAACTAGGACTGACTGGGTGGGATGAAGACGAAACAATAGTAGAAGAACAGTCGCCAAAGACTTTGGAAAAGGTGGCTTTGGAAATTGTGGATGGAATCTATAATGATATTTCCACGGGGACAGTGAATGGGGCTCTCAAAGAATTGGACAAATTGAAAGTACCGGATAGTGAAATGCAGCCAGCTATCGAGATGGTTTTGCAAGCGTGATGGATTTATACCTTCTTTTTTCTTCCCTCTGTGCTTTTCCCATTTTTCAACTTTGAGTTTTGAATTATGCCTTATAAATGATGGTGTAGGACTTGCTACGTGCGTGTTTTTGCGAATTGTGATTGATGAATGGAAATTTTTAGCGTTTGATCATGGGATTTCTGATGATATTGTTTGTACATGTGCAATATCCAGCCGAAGGATTTGTGTGCAGAGGATATCCTCAGGCAGCGTACGCACGCTCCCGTACGTGCGGAGCTTTGAGCGTTTTGCAACGCCCAACAGGGACCCCAGAGATCTTTGTTTTATGCGTTTCAGGATATGGGAATAGCTTCATAAAGAGTCTCGACAACGCGATGAGGGCAAACTGCTCGGTTGTTTTGCCTATAGGGCTATGACATGTGCGCCATTGAATGCAACAGGAATGGGCTTTCTCCGCCGAGTCAATGTGACTACGGAATCGGATTTTCCAGCTGGTGACCCTATCATACGCTTGGAATTTGGTTCGAATAGTGATTTCGCCGGTGATGGAAACGCTACATTTGTGTTGGATACTCGTGATCCAAATAGGAATTCGACGGGTTACAAGATCTAGTATATTACCCATCCTTTTGCTGTCCGATCACTAAGAAGCTTACCAAAATTGACAGTAACGTACGCTATCCAAAATTCGATAGTTCGAGTGAATGGTTCCCGAAACCGCAGCTGATTCGATCGGACGCTGATACAATTCTAATATTTCTATCAGCAAATGGAATTGAATACAGGCAGCCAGAAGACGATCCAATATTTGCAGCTCATGATGGGGCCAACGGTTTTTACCAGGCTGACGACTATGTCACAGTCATGGGATGCATTGAACAACATAAATTCTGTCTCCCGCCAAGAAATAACGAGGAAGAACGCTTCTGCACGGATTTTTCGGATACGCCAAGCTGAAGGGAAAACCTAGATGTTCTTCGCAATACGAGTCCTATGAATGATGCTCAATACGGTACGGTGAAACGAATTGCGGAATCAGTGCGTCGTTCAACCCTCGGTTGGATTATCACAAGTCGACAGGAACGTTCTCTATGGGCATCAACCACTGTATCAGGGATTGAACAGACATATCGTCTTCCTCCAAATCAGTGGCAATATGAAGTGTTGTTCTGGGCCACGACAACCTTTGCTTACATACAGCGGAGTATTTTTCAATATGCTGCAAATCACGATCCCGACTGGAACTTTCTGGTGCGACCTGCTGATGGGTCATGGGACAAAGATATGTGCTCCATACAACTCCGTCAATTACCCAGCGAATATACGTCATTCAGCTTTTTGGGCATAGCAATCATCATTGTTGTTGGTTCGATCCTCATTGTCACTGGCTGGTCTGTGGATTGGATAATGGCGCATATATGGCCTCTTGTACATCCCGAGAGATACAGTCAACGAGGCGAAATCTGCGCTACAGCTTGGAACCTAGACAACAAGTTCCAATTACAGCGTTTAGCGTTTGAAGGGAAGTCACGCGGTGACTGGAAAGCTCCGGACTCGCGTATTCCGCGGACGGTGAGTGATGAGAAGCTTGAATACTACGATCATTGATCGAGTTTCTGGCAAACTCAGCACTGCCATATTTGGGACTCTCGCCTTTTGTCTGGTGTATACTTAAAGGGAGCTATAGTTATGTGTAGAGATAATCCTATAATCAATTGTGGACTGGTTGGCAGAATTGCTACACTATGAAGACCATTTTTCAAGTCTCGCTACCAAGGAAAAGTGCTGAAGAGATATATCTTGCAGAAGCTCTTAAAAAGAAGAGCGTTTACGTATAGAAAGATGTAATAGGACAGAAAGGAGTTGCATCAGCGAAAATGGTAATAGAGAACTCTATTCCCAACACCCACCACTGTCTGGTCAGTGGTCACTCTAAGGTTTCAGCAGTGAAATAGCATCCAAAGCCCTTACTGTGGCTAACGCCCTTCGCTCCCTAGGGAATACTATTCGAGGAGTTAAACCTAATCTACTACAGCAGGCTGTATCAACCTGTGTACTCCACAAAGCATACTATGGTGCTGAAACCTGGTGGCCAGGCCATACTCGCCCTAGACCTCCCCAGACCTTAAACTGAGTTGGAGAACATCTCGAGAAACTAACCACAGTAATACTAGCAGGCGCAAGAGCGCTCCTTCCAGTTTTTCGTACAACCCCAATATCTGTTCTATACCGAGAGTTTAGATTCTCTCCACCAGAAATTGAACTAGATCAAATAGCCCTCCTAGCATCTGTCCGCCTACAGCGTCTTGATCCATACCACCCACTCCGAAGACGCGCAGAACAGATAGCCAGAGACGGCCGACAAACCAGTCAATTTACCCGCCGAGTGCTGGCCCTCCCCAACTCTGAACAGATAAACCCTCTACAACATGCTCCCTGGTACCCTCGTGAGTCACGTGAGAGTGCTCAAGCTCGAATAGGAGCTTCTATGGGACGCACTAAGGAACAGGCGGCGGCTGATTTCTCAGTTTTTCAAAATACTATTCCTAGCTCTGATATTATAATCTTTTTAGATGGGTCTAGACTTGAAAATGGACATGCTGGTGGTAACTATGTTTGTTTTCAAGCACATCACCAGTTTCTCCATTCCACGCTCTCTTATGGACTGGGAAAAGAAGTCTTTGATGCAGAAGCAGAAGCTGCTCTAGCTAGTGCTCAAGCAGCAATAGCATACCCAACAGCTCAATTTGCTACCAACCTATGGATCTGTCTTGACAACCTGGAAGTTACCACACGCCTTCTATCTCCCTCTAAAGGATCTTCCCAAGAAGTCTTTGAATCCTTCTGCACCCTTGCAGCCGCCTGGCCACTCCGCAAAAGGCTTACTCACACCAAAAGTGGATCCATCCAAATCTGATGGGTCCCTGGACACGCCAAAATCCCTAAGAATGAAGCAGCTGATCTCGTTGCCAAAGAGGGAGCTGCCTCTATCCCTCTTTCTCCACACAAGTCCTCATATGTCTCGCTAAAGAGATACGCCAAGCCTCAATCCCTCTCTGCTGCTCAAACATGGTGGCAGTCTGTGGCACTACAGACATATCAAGACCTAAAAATAACTACATCTCCTAAGCGCCCTGGAGAGCTTCAACTCAACTGACTTGACCTTGGCCATATTATTGCAGCCCATACTGGCTATAGAGACTTTGCAGATTACCACGAACGTTTCAACCATAATGACGCTTATCTTCTCTGTCGGTGCGGAGCATGAAAAGCACCTCTGCTTTTCTTCTTCTGCTACATAGCCAAGAGATGAGCCCCTCGTCCTCCTGGGCCCCCTTCCGAGGTCATCTCCTTTCTTTTGAGTACTGCAAAGGGAGCACAAAGACTAGCTACATGGCTAGCAGAAACCCACTTCTTTGAGAACATCTGCCCTCGCTAATCTCTCCTTAGCACCTAGCTAAGATAGCCTAACTTTCCTTTTATATTTCCTTTTTCCTTCTCTTTTTCTCTTCCCTATCTCTTTCTATCTTTGCAAAACTCACTACTAAACTACTATGGCGGTAGAATTATGGGTCACTGAGTGTAGGTGGACCATTGCAGCTAGCAAATACCCAAAAACTACTTAGAAGTGGACCTCTCAGTAAGACCACGGCAGCTACGGAAATGTGCCAAAGAGTCTCATATTTGTATATAAATCTGATAGACGATTTGAAGCTCGAGGTTTACCCCTCGGCGGCCTATGTCCCAATAGGAATCGGTGGGAAGCGTGCGAGTCACGAACCACGGCCGTTAAATAGACACACACACACACAACACACACCCCCTTGCTCTTGGGGGGCAGTCATCAATATCAGGAATTCCATACCATATTGATCAGGCTCGTCAGCTTGTCGGAATAGCTGTTCTACGTGACTAGTGCTAGCGACCTAGACGTAGATAAACCGACAGTTAATTTATGGCCATTGGCGCGTGTTTCAGCTCGATAGGCCATGCCATGTAGTCTGTTTTGAAGTGTTGACCGTGAGACATTATAGATCTCTGCTGCTTTTCGTATAGTGTATTTTTCCATTTTTTAAATCGGAAATAGCTAACAAGATTCGTCCCTCTTGTTCAGCTGAATTTTTTGAATTTTTATTGCGCATTAGTGGCATATTGACGTGTTGAATTATGTAGAATCAATATAGAGCGCGTTTTCGCGGAAAGTGGCCAACTCGCTTATTGATTATGTTTAAGTTATAAGTTAACTAGTTATGTTAACGTAATTCCCAAGCGAACCGCCCACCCAAGCGACCCGCCCACCTCCCCGAAAAATAACTCTCTATATTGATTTCAAATCACAATTTCTTAATCACATACAAATTATATACAAAAAATTAATTAGTAGTACGATTAGGACATCGATTAATTTTATGTCCTTCAACACCACAACCACTGCAGCGAAATTGGCGGCGTACGACTGCTTGAGAAGCTGGGAGCTCCGGCTCAACTGGAGCAGCCGTAACAGCTTGAGATGCCTCAACCTGACCTTGTACAAGCGCTTGAGCTTCTTCACTAGTAATCCCATGCTCAATAGATATCTGTTTCTTAGATTTTTGGCGTTTTTGCTTCTCTTTTTCATTCGCAGCTCGTAAATCATGGTTTTCTTTCCGTACGAGTAAAGTATCATTCGCTAGTATTTCGTAGGCTTTTGACAACCGTATAACTGCCTGGTTGATTTCTTGATTCTGATTTCCTGTGCGCTCATTTATATGTTTATTGATTGTAGTTGACTGGCGTACAAATTGGCGTATATTTTGAGGTGTTTGTAAGCAGGATGATGCTGTATTGCTTGATCGACTTGGAGGGGGGGTTGGAGTCTTCAATTGAATATTAAGATATTGAAGAACTCGATCTGGATTGAAAGGCACTAATCCAGTGGCTTCGAAGCTATTCTGAATAGATTGAGCTTTATATGCCACTGTACGAGCCTGTGGAAATGCTGTTAAAAAGTCCATTTTGTCGATATGATTGAATCCAAGCCTCATTCGTTGCTCAACAACCTGCCCATAATACCGTTTTAAAACTGCAAAACAGCCAACATCAAGAGGCTGTAATAGATGCGAAGAATGAGGTGGCATGCAGATTGGAATAATATTATTCTCAGTGCATGTACGATCAAATTCTGGAGTCAAATGGCTTCCATGGCCATCAAGAATCAACATTCGGTATTTTCCCATTGTACGATCATTAATATTAGGAATAAAATGGGTTTTAAGCCATTCTAATCCTATTTGATCTGTTGTCCAACCATTATCGCTAATATTGATTCTCCAATCATCTGGAAGATCCTCAAACCAACCTAATCGTACGTTTTTCTTTGCTTTGAAAATAATGTACGAAGGTAACGCCCAACCAGTTGAATTTGTTGCTTCAATTGCAGTCACCCATTCTCGATTTCCAGGCTGTAAAAGCTTTGGCTGAGCATATCGATCGCTTCCAGTAATAACCTTCGCAGATGCACAGAGTCCCATAGCAAAGCCAGTCTCATCAAAGTTATAGATATCTTCTGGTAAGATTCCATACTCAGATATAGCAGCTCGTACGCGGTCAAAATGTTCTTGAATTATCTTTGGATCTTCACATTTGGCACGTTCATAGTTATATTTCCTTGCGAATTTGGAATCAATCTCCGGACGGCGTTTAATCAGATTGGTCACCCAGTTTTTTCCAACTTGTGATTTTCCATGTTGTTGTAGAAGATAATTGACCATTTCTCGTACAAGAGAATGTCGGGGAGGTAATCCACGTCGATCTAAATCAAGAACCCATTTGACAAGTGAATCCTCCTCAGATTGAGTCAATTTATGGTGGTTGGCGCGCTTTTCACCTTTATATTCAATGCCTTTGAGTCGATCTCGGAGAGTCGTACAAGGAATATCATAAATCCTTGTAGCTTCACGAATATTGGAAATTCTTCCATTTTTCAAATCAGAAATAGCTAACTGGATCTTTCCCTCTATCTGAGCAGATTTTAAGGGATCTTTCTTGCGAATTGGTGGCATTTTGACGCGTTGAAATATGAGAAATCAATATAGAGAGTTATTTTTCGGGGAGGTGGGCGGGTCGCTTGGGTGGGCGGTTCGCTTGGGAATTACGTTAGTTAGTTAGACAGCTGTTGGATTAGCTAAACGATCCGGCCAATCAGAGCGAGCTACACACTTAGCAGAGGAATCCACCGAATAGGGGTTAAAAGGAAAGCCTATTACGCCCCCATAGGTGTCTAGTTACGTACCAGCCTGGCTCTTAACCCAGCTCTATCATAGGAGCTAAGCTGGTGATGGCGGACGCGATGGTGGAGGAGCCGACGACAACAACGCGTTCGGGACGCGTTATAACACCCTCAACAAGGGCCCGAGAGGCCACAGGCAGCACCGACAACACCAGCACCGTTAAACCTCTAAGAAATCAACAACTCAAACAGAAGTGACAGCGGTAAAGAAGGCAGCTAGCCTCATTGAGGAGAAACAAAGCGCTAAAGACGGAAGCAAAGACATGCTCAAAAAGATATGCTAGTATCTGGAAAGCACCTATCTAGAGGTTAAAGGGCTGAAAGAAACCCTTTGCAAACAAGAAAAGATGATTAAAGAACAGTCCAAAATGATCTGAGGGCAGAGCAGCATAATTAAAGTACTGCAGACCCAGGTGGAAGCTATCCAAAACCAGTCTGCAGACGAATGCAAGCACCTCCGGGAACAGCTAGACACTATCGCAAATACCCCAGTCAAGGAAACATACGCAGCTGTATTGGACAGCCAATCTGGTCACCAGCAGGATGCGCCATTAGGCCACCCACGTTTACCAATACATTATTTTGCACAATCGACACATCCCAAGTTAATGGTGAAGATAAGGCCAAAACCCAGATAGTTGGGATTAGACAGATGATTAAGAAAGAGATGCGAGGGAACAAAGAAACAAAGAACTGGCGTTGCGCAGCAGTGGTCAGGGACCCTAAAAATACAGCCCGAATCAGAGTTATTTGCAGACATGAGGATGAGATCCAGCGGGTCAAAGAGGCTACCCTAAAGCTAAGCATACCAGGATTGAGGGTGCTACGAGACCAGCTCTACCCAGTTAAAATCGACAATGCCAATCGAACAGCAGTCCTAGATGCAGATGGGAACACCCTACCAGGAGCAGCTGAGGCTCTAGGAAAGGAGAATAATGTTAATATTGCTAAGATTTCCTGGCTCAGTAAGAAGGACTCCAATAAGGCATATGGATCTATGGTGGTATATGTCACGAGAGGAAGCGACGCTAAACGGTTATTGAGAGATCAATATTTTGACATTGCTGGAGAATCAGCATACACTCGACTCTTTGAACCATGAGCAGGACTGGCTCAATGCTACAACTGTCAAGAGATAGAGCATAAGGCCTTTTCCTATAAGAAGACTCAGACCTGCGCTAAATGTGCAAATAAGGGACATCACCATAGTACTTGCCAGGCTGCAGTCCTAAAATGTGTTCTTTGTAGAGAACCTCATGAGTCATTCAGCAGTAACTGCCGAGTACGCCTCTTGCAGTCTAATACATAAATTATTTCACGTTCTACAACTTAACGTGGGTAAAAGAGATATGATATAGCAAAGCTTAATAAATGATGACAAAATTAGAGACTATGGGGTGGTAGCAGTATCTAAGCCATATGCATGGATAATTGAGGATACAGTTGTGACAAGCCCGATGGGACACAGCTACTGGACAAAGATAATACCTATGGAAAGACATGAAGGAAGATGGCCAATCCAGAGTATGCTATGGGTTTGGAGTGACATTGAGGCAGAACAGATCCCGGTGGCATCACCAGATCTAATGGCCGCGACACTACGACTCCCAGACCAGGTAGTTCTAGTGGTGTCGGTCTATGTGAAGGGCAACAGCGAAGAGGCATTAAGATCCACTATTAGATTTCTATGCAGCCTAGTGGCAGATATCCGGAGTAGGGGTGGAACACGGACAGATGTGTTGATAATGGGAGACTTCAACAGGCACGACCAACTCTGGGGAGGAGATCAGATATCTTCTGCGAGACAAGGGGAGGCCGATGATCTAGTTAACTATATGAGCGAAAACTCTCTCTACAGCCTCCTACCTAGAGGCATGAAAACATGGCAAGTAGAGGACAGGGAGACAACAATCAACTTGGTACTAGCATCAATAGAACTAGTAGAAGAGATGGTATAGTGTTATATACACTATACAAACCATGGATTAGACCATTAAGTAATTGAGACGAAGTTTGATATATCAGTTCTAGATTGACCAGTCAATGAGAGACTACTCTTTAAGAATGCGCCTTGGACAGAAATTAGATCTAAAGTAGCCGCCAATCTACAGGTGGTTCCTCTAGATGGCTCAGTACAAGAGCAGACAGACCGCCTAATAACAGTTGTCATAAAAGTAGTCCTAGAACTAACACCAAGAGCAAAGCCCTCACTATATGCTAAGCGGTGGTGGACAACAGATCTAATACAACTTCGCCAAATACACACTTACTGGAGAAATCAAGCTAGATCTCAACATAGAAGGGGATATGCAAATCCTGAGCTGGAACAACAGGCCAAAGGTGCAGCAAAGGAATATTATGATGCAATCTAGAAATAGAAGAAGGCACACTAGGAAGACTTCCTTGCTGATTACACTAATATATGGCAGGCAACTAAGTACCTAAAGCCCAGTGGCAGCTCATTTGGCGATAAAATACCACCATTGATGTGGCTAGATGGATCTACTACCAAAGACAAAATGGAATAGGCTGAGGAGCTACTTGCTACATTCTTCCCACCACTATCAATAAGGATTGAGGATGAGGGATCTCAATAATAAAGGGAGTCAGTCCACATGCCAGACCTAACTATAGAGGAGATCGAGTGGAAAGTGTTTGAAGTCAAACTATGGAAAGCACCTAGAGAAGATGGCCTGCCAGCAATAGTGTAGAAGCAGCTTTGGCCAGTGGTTAAAGATAGGGTGTTTCTCATCTTTCAAATATCGCTTCAAGATAGTGAGATCCCTTCCCAATGGCGGAACACTAAGATTATACCACTCAAAAAGCCTGAAAAGGATAACTACGCGCTAGCCAAATCGTGGAGATCTATATCGTTGCTCTCAGCACTAGGTAAAATACTTGAAGCGGCTGTCACAGAGAGAATATTATATGCCGTCGAAGCGTTTAGCCTATTGCCAACAAACCATTTTGAAGCAAGGAGGAGGCGCTCTGCAGAACAAGCGTTGCTACTGCTCCAGGAAGAGATTTACAAGACCTGAAGGAACAAGAGAGTGCTTAGTATGGTCAGTTTCAATGTGCAAGGCGCATACAATGGAGTCTACAAGAAAGGCTACTTCAGAGACTCAAGGCAAGAGAGATACCGGAATATATAGTTTGGTGGATAGATGCTTTTTGTTCTAAGCGCACAGCAACTATTGTGGTCAACGGGTTACCAAATGAACAACAAGAATTACCACAAGCAGGCTTACCACAAGGGTCGCTACTATCTCCAATACTGTGCGGACCTAGTGTAACATAGGATCAGTGCCTCCGGAGGCTCCATCACCTTTGTGAATGACTATACAGCCTGGGTAACAGGCCTAACTGCTAAGGCTAATCGACCTGGCATTGAGGCCATAATTAACAGGGCCCTCGACTGGGAGAAACGAAGTGGAGCTACATTTGAATGCGAAAAGACAGCCATTGTACACTTCACTTGAAGTATAGATTGGTCAAGCAGCGCTACATTCATGGTCAAGGGAAAGCCAGTTGACCCAAAAGAGCAGGCAAAGATCCTGGGGGTAGTAATGGATTCATAACTGCGCTTTAAGGAACATATTATCAACGCCGCTACCAAAGGACTCGCGGCAGCCATGGCGCTGAGAAGGCTAAAGATGATATCCCCACGGACCGCAAGACAACTATTCAAGGCAACAGTGGCACCAGCGGCAGATTATGCCTCTAGTGTCTAGATGCATGCCAGTGGAGTAAAAGGAACTCAGCACTTAAATAGAATGCAGAAACAGGGGGCTATTGTAATCACAAAAGCCTTTCGGACAGTTGCAACTGCAGTGGCTAAAGCAGAAGTAGGCATTCAACCTTTCCATAACCGACACATGGAGAAAGCTACGAAGCTATGGATCGACATACAGACCCTACCCAAATCGAACCCACTGAGGAAACTGAGAACTATTACAACCCGAAGATTTAGGTCTCCTTTGCAGAGGATAGCTCAGCCACTAGAAGCAACAAAATCTGAGCGGATAGAAACTATCCAGGCATTCACATTACCACCGTGGACAGGCCGGATACTAACGATATGTAAAAAAGATGGGGAGAAAGCCATTGAGATTGCTCATAAGGCAGTTGGCATTCTAATTGCTACAACCGCATCCAGCAGATCGGGGATTGTGGGCATTGGGGGTTGTATAAGAGACACTCAAGCGGGCAACAACGAGAACAACATGTCCAGCTACTCTATCACCTTAGGTAAAAGGACGGAGCAAAATCCTTATACAGCAGAGTTAGAAGCGATGAAAGCCGCCCTGGAACGTATCCCGCCTGAGACATGCCAGAGATGGATATCCATCCTGACTAGCAACAGATCCGCATTAGCAGCAATCAGCCAACCCCGGCAACAATCTGGCCAAGAAACCATCCAGCAGATAAATAAATAGATTCAGATCTTACAACAGCGAAGAAACACGGTTAATGCAATTTGGATCCCAGCGCACACAGACATCAACTTGAAACAACGAGCAAAAGCTGAAGCACGAAAATCAACAGACATAGAACGTCTACCAGAGAAGCAACCATTCCAAGCTAGATCGACCGCTCTTAGACTCACCCTTGCGGAACGACAACAAGAATGGATTCTCCCTGCAGATGTTGGGAAATACTCAAAAGCTATGGATATAGCTCTTCCAGGAAAACATACAAGAACCTTATACGATGGAATGAACTGGAGAGAGGCAGAAATCCTAGCCCAGCTTCGGACAGGAATGACAAGGCTAAATAGCTATTTGAACAAGATAGGCGCAGCAGAGTCCGATCTTTGCGCCTGCGGCCAAGCAAGCGAGACAGTGGAACACTTTCTATTCCGCTGCACGAAATGGACAACGATGAGAGGAGGTATGAACCAATGCACAGAGTCAAGACGAGGAAATCTATCCTTCTTCTTAGGCGGAAAATCTCGCTCGGATACAGATCAATGGAAACCAGATACGAAAGCCGTCCATGCAGTAGTCGACTACGCGATTGCAACAGGAAGATTGGAACAGGAACTCGAACCCGAACATCAATCTACACAGTGAAAATTGAAGAAACACACCCTCAACCCCAACCCCCCTTCCCTCCTCTCAGGTAGTTACGTTGAGATATACCGTTAGATATTGTTACGTACAATCTAACAACAGCCGAGGTCCATCCACCCATTCGCCACAACGAGTATCCGCACATTTGCCACGGTGTCGTGAAGGTATTGAATACATTGTAACGAGAACGTCAAGCTCGCTGGTTGTTACAAAGAATCCTGGTTCAACTCAAGCATAGACATATCGCGGCGGAATCTATCTATGATTATATTAGGCCTTGCGTGTCTGTTGCCGAAAGTACCATAAATAGATTAATACTGGTGTTGTGACATCAACTGGTACCTTTTTGCATGCGTTTATACCTAATGTCATATCGTATGTAAGTAATACGTGATTAATGAAATTACAATGCGAGACTCTTTGCATGCCTCTCTTCAAAATGTTCAATATCGTGCCGCAATCGTAGTGTGTTAACATCACGATTCCCGAGCAGTCTTGAACTCATTGAATATGCCAAATTCAATGTTTGCTCCGCGATTGCTTTATGACGAGTATGATTTCGTGCCCTTTGAAAAGCTGCCGAAGTGTCCAGTATGCTGTCAATGAATGGACTGTAGTCCATTTTTAGCTTAAGCAAGAAATCCGTAAGCAATGACTCTAACATTTCTTCATTTCCTTCCGTGGCCTGATATGATAGAGCCAAATTCCATGTGGCTCTTAACACGTCTAAAGGAGCGGCGGCAAATGCGGATGCTAGAGACTCGACGATATTGTGGCGGATATCTGTAGCTATTTCCCAATCTCCCTTTAACTGTTGTGCCAAAGCCGTCTCTTCAATCAGCTCGACCAATCTTAAGTAAGATTCTTTGTCGTTCTTCATTAAGAACAAAACAAGAGCCTGATGGCGGTTGTCAAACGCCCATTGTGCTCGCCGCATCTGGGCATGGAGATAAACATGATCATCGGACTCGTCCCAAGGGAAACTGGTTATGATTGATGGAGGGTTATTAACCAGCTTCTGCCACAGAGTCCAAACTCTTCCCATCGAGTTATTCAGTTTCCCAGAGTGCTCAAGCCAGTACTTGACGGCATAGGACAGAAAGAAGAATTCTTCGACAGGCTGCTTCTTGTCTTTACCAGAATATGCCTCCATGAGTGCTCCTTTGAAATCGAATGAAGAAGCACTAGTGGATGAAGATAATCTCAGAGTTCTTTTCAGGTACATTTGAGCAACTTTCCTCGAAACACTGGCAGATCGCAAAGGAAATTTAACTGAGGCAGACACTGCGTCGGACCCGCTTATCTGCCATGGTGTATGACGAGACGTAAGTTGACTCTCAAAGACGCCCCAGTTCAGATATGTAACGCATATACCACCCATTAAACAACTCGCCTCCACGTTGCTGAATCGTATTGATAAATTAGAAGTGTGTGCCGTATCAGGATATAAAAGGTGTTGTTTGGCTGATGGATGAACAAAGTGGACCGTCAGAGTCTCGTCGTCCAGCTCTAGCAGACTACCACAGGATGAAATTGTCTTTTGTATGTCGGTGATGAACTTTTTCTCATCCATAGTATCATCCCCAGGTCTTACACTGAGGGCCTCACGAAGCTCCCATAACGTCAAGGGTCGGTATACTGCAGAAATAATTTGTAGTAGCTTTTTGCTATAGGTTGATAGTGAACTTCTATGCAAGATCCGATCGTACACTGCAGGCAGATCTCGTGGTAAGTCTCTCAATGCCGTCAAGATAGCATCGTCTGATTCCTCATTGCATATGCTGTCTATCTGAAGCACCACCCAAAGGAACCTGTCGGGATTGTTAGAGAAGAGGCACGTCCTGAGTGTTTGGTCTGTATCCTTACATTCCATGAGCGTTAGCTATCAATATATCCTGAATATCAACGATTGTCCTAGGGTCATTGAGGGCGAGGGAACCAGATTCCAAGCGTCGTTGGAGCTCATCATTGACATAATCGGAGATGTCGTTTTCTTGCAACGAGATTTGCATTTTAGATCGACGCGGAAAATGTTTATCGACTAGTGACGAAGTCAACTCTAATTCCGATCTAGTTGTGAGGAATAATCGAAGTGTGCTGTTTTCAGCAAAATCATGAAGGTGCTGCATCACAATCCTTTTTTCGCGTTCCGCACAGTCATCAAGACCATCAATAACCAGAAACATTGATTTTCCTTGTAGCTTTGCAGATAAGAGTTTGCGACACATCGAAACTAGCTCATCGAGATTTAATGTATGTGGCAGTAATTGGGCACGTTGATCCATAGCATCCAATATATCTTTCAAATCCATGAACTCTAACCATTGTCGTATGAGCGACCCCAGAATCGTCCTTGATTGCAATGACTCAGTCACATCGTGCCTACATACAAAGTAGGCCGTTGCTCCCTTGGGGACACTTAAAAGCAAATCTTCGATCAGACTCGCTGTGAAAACAGATTTCCCTGATCCTAGTTTACCGAAGCAAATCAGTGGGTTGGTGACGCCTGGATTGTCTCTCCAAGTGATATACTCGTTGCAATCGGACAATGAGGCCGTTTTTCCTTTCTTCCTGATCCGCCGCCACGTCGATGCATAGTCATATGCTGAGCATGCATCCAGCAGTGACAACTTCGCTGCCAACTTGCGTCTCATCTCGGAACTTTTATCGAATCTATCTAATAATAGCGAGCGAAACATGGAGTTCTCGCGGGCCTCTTCCTGTTGGGTCTTGGCTGAGAGAAATATAACCTCTTCCTTGATTGCATTCCCAAGAGCCCCAAGCTTCTGTATAGAATCTCCAAATTCCGAGTCGAATGACCTTAAGGTGGTGACTAAAAGTCGATTCAGACCGTTCCGTCGAGTGAATTGCACGGCTTTGGTGCATAGTTGTACCAGAGTGATGAAATATTCACAAATTGTTTTCTGTAGATCAGAAGACCGGTGGTATACCAGAGCAAGCTCTTGATAGCGCGGGGCAGACCGACCAATCTCCATAAATAGGGTCGAAAACTTCTCTAGAAATGAGACATGATTTGTTGCTAGCTGTAGAGTAAATCGAACCGATGCCCACAGCCCACTCGCCATCATATTTTGGGATCCCCCTACAACCATATCTCCAACGGAAGTAAATGCTTGAATCGCTCGAAGCACATTGCTAAAGCGGGTGCCAACACATTTTCTGCTGAATTGAGATGACCGATCAATCTCAGCTGTCAGCCTCACAATGTCAATTGCATCTGGAGGGTGTCTGTTTTTCAGATTCCGCAACACTGATTTGTCGTCAAGCGTCAAGATAGCTTCAAACTCCGATATTGCTTGAGCGAGTTGGATCTCTGGTGTTAACTTTCCAATTCTTGTTAATGCTACTGCCATTTCTATTGAGCCGAGCATACATAGGGGCTAGCGACGTTTGTTTTCCAGGTAATTACACTGGATAACGGAAGTCTAGATGAGGATGACTTATAGAAATAGATTCATTGCAATATCATATGCGAAGGATTTCCACCTAGGTACACAGCCACGTTCTTGGGGCCAGGTTGGTTTTCCATACCATAATAGACAGGATTAGCAACCTGTAATTACAAGTAACAACTCCACATTTGTATCGTACTAGGAAGGCGGTAGGTAGGGCTGACTAAGAGCTGACTAATATGGACTCCACATTTATGTACCTCAAGTGACAACTAGAGACTAGAGACTTTGCGCAGGGTGGGTCCTGAACTTTGAACTTCGAATCTAGGCTCGTAGTGGTAGGCGGTAAGATTTTCCGTCTTGGCCTTCTTGGCATCACATGACGGCTAGCTAAACTATATATAGCTAGCGTTCGGCGTGGGACTTGAACATTTCAAGAGCCGCACTAGACGCTACGAACCGTCAATCTTTACCTGAGAAAGCTAGTCCTGTAAAATAAAACATAACATTTCACACAAGTACCTTCCCATGTAATTTTCTCCTAAAGATACTTCCAACCTATATTTTGAATTTGCAAAAATGACACAACCATCGCAAGATTTGACACTCACTCACGGGTTCGGCTCGAGCCATGATTCCAACGTTTATATGAGCCAATATACGTCTCAAGGCCCAATGCCCTCCAGCCTGCCACAAGGTCCTGTGGGATTAGGCCAATATCCACCTCAAGGCCCCGAGCTCTCAAGCCAAACCCAAGCGTCAGTGCCGGGTAATCCCGTATTAATCCAATATGCACTAGATGACTCGGCTCGAGGCGGACGAGGCCAAACTCTCAAGGATTGGGAACGCCTAGAGCTCCTCAAAATTTGTGTTGAGAATCAAACTGTCCTAGTTACTGAGACAAAGACTAGTTATTGGAGACAAGTGAGCATGCGATTCGAAAAACAGACTAGGCGCAGATATTCAGCTCAATCCTGTGAGAAAATGGTCATGCAGCTTGTGCAGAGCCGGCGCCAATATCTCAAGGAGCACGTGACTGGCAATTCAGTGGGTGAATATACGGAAATAACGCCATTTGTTGACGAGATGATCACTGTACTCGACCAAGTCGATGAGAATATACGTTTGAAGGCTCAAGAAGCCAAAGAACGTCATGAAGAATTGGAGCAAGATCTACAGCACCGTGACGAGATAATGCAGCGTATATCTGAAGGCATAACAATATCTAGATCCTCCTCGGAGGCACGTAAAGAGCGCAAATCGCGGCGCAGGACACGAAGTTCAACACCCAGCAGCTCCCAATTTGATCCAGATGAGGCGATTCTTTCGGAAATTTCAGGAATTCGAGAGGCAATTGCTCAAGATTCGTCAAACAATAGGCGAATTACCCAGCTTGAGGATCAATATCGTCTTCCGCAAGAGATAGTTAGAGAAAGTGAGCAGGCTGTTAGGAGAAATCAAGAATCAATCGAGCGAAATCAGGCATCCTTGGAAAGGCATGAGGGCTTGTTAACGGCTATATTGAGCACATTTCAAGATATTCAACGTACCAATAATCAAATAGCTCCTCAATGACAGCGGCTTTATCCCATAGCGCGAAGTAATCACGTTCCCATAGAAAATTGTATGGATATTAGTTAGTAAAATAGATATTCGATAATGAAGAGCCACAGGCTGTAATAAGGCACGTTGATCGGGCCTAAATTGAGTCGTAGCGAACTGGGTGACCACCTTACCAAAAGCATTCTCAATCCCTATCCGGTCGCTTGACAGCACCTTATTGAGCCGCTTCTCCTCGCGCGTAAGAGGTCTCGTGGCCTTGTATGGAGTAATAATTCGGAAAGAACTGGTGTAGGCAATATCCCCATATAAAAATAGCTGTTCTCGTTGTTTCATTATTTCACGAAGCTTCTCGGGAAGCCCGCAGGACCGATACATGGTAATATCGTGCATGGAGCTGGGGAAAGGCCCGTGAAGAGAAAGGATAAGGCCGTCAGGTGCCACAATCCCTTGATATTTGATGCCATGTGCACCCCCATAGCCATTATAAAATATTTCCTGATCCCTGATTGGTCGGCATATCTCACGAAAAGTGCCATCAATAAACCCCCAAATCCGTATGGCACTCCTAGAGACCCTTTCTAGGCTGCTGGCGTGAGTGGCCATGCGCTCATACGTCAAGGAAGGGTGCCAGTCAAGGATATGGTTATAACGAACCGCTAGATATCTCAAATTAAGCTTCAAAACGACCGATATATATGTGGCAGAGCGGCCAAATAGGAGCTGCGATTCGTAAAGCCTTGTAGGCCAGGCTAGGTGATAAAGAATAGCACATATAGCAAATTCTGGTGTAGGGGCGTAGCGCCCACGGCCGTATTCGACATTTTCTAACATGAAGTATTCCAATATCTCATAGATTTGTGTGCGATCAAATCTAGAAAGTAATCTGTTAATATTTCTCATATAATATGGTTTCTTGGAGCTACCGGAGAAAGAATTTGACAGCATGGTCGTTCCATGCATCTAGGGAGAATTCGAAATTGGTGTAAAAATTGACGAATTTTGGTTTTATTGCGCGACGTCTTCGAATCAAAATGTATAACAAAATTAGTATTAATCGAAGCAGAATTTCTCGACAAATCCAAGGCTCCATTTTCTTCGTAAATACAATGTGATTTCAGTGAGAAACATGATGTTAAAAAATATATCATCTTTTTTGAGGCCTAAGCTAAGCGAGAAGCAGATTTACGGTGTTTGTACGAGCTTGTAATGCCAAGAAGGACCACTAGTGGGTTGTGAATGCCTTATTGATGCCTTGTGAGGCAGAATTAGGCATCAATTTTTTTCTGCCTGGCAGAATTTAAGTTAAGGTGGCACCACAGAGTTATCAAGATCTAGAAATAACCACTTACCCTAAGCGCCCTGGGGAGCTTCAACTCAACCGACTTGACCTCAGCCGTGTTATTGCGGCCCGTACTGGTCATGGAGACTTTGCAGACTACCATGAACGTTCTAACCATGATGATGCTTATCTTCTCTGCCGATGTGGAGCACGAAAAGCACCTCTGCACTTCTTCTTCTGTCATATAGCTAAGAGACGAGCCCCTCGTCCTCCTGGGCCCCCTTCTGAGGTCATCTCTTTTCTCTTAGGCACTGCTAAGGAGCACAAAAGCTAGCCACATCGCTAGCAGAGACCCACTTCTTTGAGGATATCTGCCCTCGCCAACCTCTCCTTAGCACCTAGTTAAGACAGCCCTACTCTTCCTTTATATTTCTCTTCTCTCTTTCCCTCTCTGCAAAACTTACTGTTCAGTTATGATAGTGGTGGAGTAATAGGTCATGGAGTGTAGGCGGACCATTGCAGCTGGCAAATACCCAAAACCCACTCAAAGTGGACCTCCCTGTAAGACCACGGCAGCTATGGAAATGCGCCAAAGAGTCTCTTATTTGTACATAAATCTGATAGGACCTGAAACCCGAGGCTTACCCCTCGGCGGCCTATGTCCCAGGAGGGATCGGTGGGAAGCGTGCGAGTCACGAACCACGGCCGTTAAATATACACACACACACACACACACCTCGTTCTTGGGGATAAGTCACAATATTAGGAATCAAGATATCTTCATATTGTCAGGCTCATTAGGCCGCTTCGTGTTCGCGCCTTACTACCGTCTATGCTTCGTGATACGGACCGTAGTTAAACCAACAAAAACAAACAAGATATAAGTTTCCCACCGACCAAAAAAGACTTCAAGATCTTCATTTCTTCGGGGCCAAGCGAGCCGTGCAAGCAGTATTGAGAAGGCAAGCTCTGGTGAGGCAGTTAATCGGTCTCGGAAGACTATCTCTTGAAGCCGTAAATAAGGTAGGATTTCGAGAATCTCATGCCTTTGGAATCTAATATTTTGATCAGTAAGCACCAGCTACCTAGAACAGTATTTTCGAACCGTAGCATTGATCGTATTGTGGCATCCGAATATGCTAAGAAGCTATAATCAAACTGTTTATAGCGCAGCATTTTATGTGAGAAAATTGTCGCCATTTTCTGATATAACAGGTCAATATTATAATGAGAATAAAGATCTGTTCCTGTACTTTGATTAAAGCCATATGGTAGAGAGACTTAAGGAAATTTGATGAAGTTATCAAAGTTATATATTGTACAACCAATAATCTCTATTTGGTGGTGAGGTTAGCATACCAAAGTACGCTAACCTGATTAGTTTCTGCCGGTTTTTTTGACCTGTTACTTGTTACCTGTAATTGCAGGTTGCTAATCCTGTCTAATAAGAAGGGACCAATACATATATGGGAAGCAGAGACAGCACAGGACAAGAAGCTTACAGATATAGAGATAGCTAAGCTAAATGAAGAGCTTGAGCCAATCAAGAAAACTGAATGAGAGTTGAATACTGCTCTTGCCCGTGTCCGGCCGCGCAATGGTAAAACGCCTGGCCGAGTTCCTCGTTGGCGCTGGAATAAGAAGAATGGGAAGCTCATGCGTGAATCTAAAGGTGGAATTGATTGGTGGCGATATCAAAAGGTAAAGGTCTCTGAATACCTTAATGGTCCTATTGTAGCTACTAACATTGTTTTGGCAGGAAGTTCTTATCCCTAAACTTATTCCTTTCGCAAGAGACTGTATGATGGAGAGACCTAATACCATTATCCTTGAGGATGGTGCACCTGCCCACCGTCACCACTATCAGCAATTAGTACACGACAAGTATCATGTTCAAAAGATGCTAGATTGGCCTGGTAATTCGCCAGATCTAAATGCAATCGAGCCAACCTGGATCTGGCTTAAGCGACGAACGACAGTAAGAGGGGCTCCTCGTGATAAGAAGACTGCAAAAGTGGCTTGGATCAAGGCCTGGAATGATCTCCCTCAAAAGCAGATCCAGGACTGGATCGAACGTCTTATTCGCCATGTACAGGAGGTCATTCGACTAGAAGGAGGGAATGAGCATTGTGAGGGCCGTAATGAGAAGGATAAGCGTCGAAACTGGAAAGGATACCGGTTGAAAGGCAAGCTCTCACGCGTCAGGATCTAGGAGACTGAGAATGGGAGGATATCATATAAAATACTAAGAGTCTATCATTTTCTTTCTATTAACAGCTATTTGAACAGCTTCAATTTGATGCAATTTGATACAATTTGAGAGTATTCGTGTAAGTAGCGTTACTGCCAGGCCTGCCAAAATTACTAGCGTTGTCAATGACTTATGAATCGCTCCTCTGTATATAAGCTATCAACCCAGTATGGGTAATTTCATATGGCCACCGTGTTGCCGACCTTTACTCCTAGTTCGTAACCTGTATAGTCCATCCGCGCCAAGCCTCTAGACGCTAATACGTTCAATTCTCTTTAGTATTATTGGCCAGTCGATTTAAGCTTATACGGAGTACCTAGTTGATCTGCGCTAAGGCCTTGGCCGTGGGACTAGAATAGAGCCGTGCTCCACCTGTGCTTGTCAGAACTAAAACAGGTGACTCATTAAAGTTTCCAGACTAAGGCCTTGGCAGTGGGGCAAGAAAAGGGTATCAGAGTATCCATACGTTTGTGTCACGGACCTGGATCCACCTTAGTTCTAACAGCGGTGCGTCGTGATACGTTAGGATAGTTGAACCTCGCACAGGTTCCGACCAATGATCAATGGAGCGAGACGAGTGGTAAGTAACGAAGTATGGACAATAACTGGGACGGTAACAGAACTAAGATAGAAGAGATCCTGGTGCCCGTACGAGTTAGAATGCCTTGCTGACTCTCACTGTTGTATTCAAGTGACTTATGTCAAAGAACTATGAAGAACTAAATACATGATGGTAAATGAGCGTCCTTATATATCCAGTCCTCGGCGTCAAACCATCGATAGCGGGAATATAGGCGAAGTTCATAGAGTTGAAATCAACTTGAGGGACTAGCTCTATTTGCGTATTCAGAGTTCTCATCATATGAACGGTCAGCGTCGCAGGTGTGATAATAGAGGCGACGGGTAAGAGCCTGTTGAGAGATGATCAGAAATTGCCATCCCTCCTGAACAGCTATCCGGGAAAACCAGAGTAGTATATTCACCAATACACAATAGCCACCAGCATCGCGTCTTGAAAGTTTCTCCAGAGCGACGGCAAGAAGCATAAGAATCCATTATCCAAAATTTCCAAAAAATGATCAATCGTGCTCAAAAACTCTGATTGTTGCCGCAACCTTGCCCATGCTGCTTGCTGAAACGCAGTAAACACTGCGAAGCTCAACCAAAAATGGGTCAAATATGCAAGCACCGTACCAGCAGAGATATCGATTTGTTGTCTAGATACGCTATATTCAGTTTCAATGATGTTTTATTGCGCATTTGAGGTGTCGTGTTTGTCTAGCGAGGAATAGAAGATGTGATAGGCGAGGGCGAAGGCGACGCCCAACAGTGTGCTGTAAACAAGGGTCACAGGAGCTGATCCCAGAAGATGGTAACGTTAGAACTTGCCGGCTGGCATTATGTCAGAAAAGAAAAATAACGTAATCGGACACCTCACGGCCCGCCCCCATCCGAGCGCTTCAAAATATTTCAAATCTCTCTTTTACACCAACTTCAGCGCGTCACCATGCCACCAAATCGTACAGGAAATGTACAAAATTCAAGCGATCAAGAGAGCAGAATCTTACTTGCTATATCCAATTTAAAGAATGGAAAAATTCAATCTGTACGTACAAGATATAGCTAATCTTCTTTTTTCTCAACACAGAAATGAGCATGTTAGTGAAAAGTGGATTTATCGATTTGTTAACCGGCACCCAGAAGTTAAACTACGATTCTCACGGAGATATAACTACGAGCGAGCAAAATGCGAGGATATCAAGATAATCCAAGAGCATTTTGACCGCGTACGAGACGTTATACAAGAATATGGGATCCTATCCAAAGATATATATAACTTTGATAAGACTAGCTTTGCTATAGGTCTCTGCGCAACTGTAAAGGTTATAACAGGCAGCAATCAATATAGCAGGCCTTACCTACTACAGCCTAACAACCGTGAATAACAATTGAAGCAGTCAATTCTACGGGATTGGGTTTACCCTCATACGTGATTTTTAAAGCAACAACCTATTATCAATAAGGCTGGTTTGAGACACTTCCACAGGACTAGAGACTTAATATTAGCAAGAATGGCTGGACTACAGATGAAATTAGGATTAGATAGCTTCAAAAGCATTTTATTCCTCATACAACAAATCGTACGAAAGGAAGATATCGAATGCTTATTCTTGATGGCCATGGAAGCCATTTGATAGCTCAATTTGATCGGATATGCGTAGAGAATAATATTATCTCAATCTACATGCTAGCTTACTCATCACATCTCTCACAGCCTCTTGACGTGAGCTACTTTTCTATTTTAAAACGACAATATGGACGGCTTGTTGAGCAGCGCGTACGGCTTGGATTCAATCATATTAATAAATATGACTTTCTTACAGCCTTTCTAGAGATTCGTACGATGGCATATAAAGCTGAGAATATTTAAAATGGCTTTAAAGCAACTGGATTAGCGCCACTTGATCCAGAGCATGTTTATCAAAAGCTTATAGTTTAACTTGAAACTCTAACACCCCCTCTAAGTCAATCAAGCAATTCATAATCTTCCTGCTTATAAATACCTCAAAATCCACATTAATTTAAGCGCCAGATTACTACAATTAAGAAGTGATTAATAAGCATATAACAAGCCCCTTGGAGCTAGTTGATCAAGCGATAAACCGGATGTCTAAAGCCTACGAAATAAGCATAAATGAGCTTCTGATTGTACGGAAAGAAGTACATGATTTACGCGCTGCAAATGAGAAGAAGAAGAAAACGCGTAAAAGATCTAGAGCTCAAATGTCTCATAAAGGATCTCTTACAGCGCAGGAAGCCCAGGAACTGATTACTAGTGAGCTTGTATCTTGCCTGTTTGAAATCATGCTTCATGCTATTGTTCCCCGCCGTATGATTGGATAATTTGTGTGGTAAGGCATTAAATTACGGCGCTTAGAATGCAGCAGAATTAACCAGCCACATTCGCATGATCTAACCGACTCATCGTCCAGGGGGGTCACCGCACTAATCGTAACAAGTTTTCGTTACACCTCGAAATAGCCGACAAAAGTATGAAGACTTGAGAACGTGTCTCAAAGTACAAAAGATTACTTAAGTATCAGTAATTGCAGAATCATTGACATTCAACTTTGCGCCTGCACGAAATCATCGAATAAGCCTACTTATTACTCATGGGACGTCGCGCGCCAACGATAATTCGCAGAATCATCCCCACTTTGGGCTTTTGCTCATGATACCACCCGACTCAGCTCGAGGTGACACGATTGGATGCGTTGACAGGTTATATTAGATTGTGCTCGAATCTCAGTGGACCATTTATCGATGTGAAATGACCCGCAATTCATTAAACAGAAACGTACTATTGTCTCCAGAACCATGCATGAGTTAGGGTCTCCACATAAGTGCGGCAAAAATTACCAGTACAACATATTTTCCGTCAAGCAAAATATCTTTACGGAGTATAATATCGAGTTTCTACTTGTTCTTGTTGGTGTCATTTGTTAACTATCTACCGCAACGAATGAAGACGCATGGATGTGACGCGGTTCGGGCCGGGCCGTCAGCTTGTTATGTAGTGCTCGTGGATACCTAGGGTTTGGAGGCGAGGACTACTGGATTTGGACACTGAGGCCCATTGCGCGCAAAGGATCTTTGTTGTATGACGTGTAGTATTGTATGCCAGTTCTGTATGTAGCCCGATTAGATTTCTGCTTTCTCCAGGTAGATCTGCTTTCTCGTCGTCTAGCCACTTGATATCACCTGCTAGAGCCCTTATAGGCAATGGGTTTGGATAACTCATTTGATGGCTACTCTACATTTTACATATATTCTATATATATAGATACAAATAGTCGACAATATCCTCGACGAATACCAAGGTAGGTGTTGGTTTAGCTACGTCCTGATAACACGAAGCACAGGATTACGCAGTAAGGCTATTCCAAAGAGCCCATGAGCCTGATAATATTGATGTTATTTGAATATTATGACTGATCCCCAAAAAGGGAGGAGAAGGATAATTACATGCAGGTAAAGGGGATATCCCCAGGGAACCGGAATAGCTAATATTCCGGTGTTGATACTCAACACCTGGGGATTCCCGTACACACAGTAGGTCTATTAAGCACCAATGCTCGAGCACCTTAGCTTCCCTCCCCTGCAGCGGCCGGCGGCTGCTTCATGACTGAGGTACCACCGCCAATAGGTACTACTTGCAAAGCCAACAAATATTTGCCTTCGACACTTTTGGGAGGGGTGTACCTCAATCGCAGGGGGGCAGTGCAACAAGGCAGAAATGGACTGCCCAAGGTAATATGTGGTCTTAATGCATCAAGACTAACTTCGGTTTTTTTTTTTTTTTTTTTTTTTCTTTTTTTTTTTTTCTTTATCTCCTCTGTTGTTTAAAATATTTACTACATCCATCATTCTTCTGAGACCCACGTCTTAACTTGTTTGATTTTCGAAGCCCTTCGAAGCCCAAGGCTTGTCTAACCGTTTCTGATTTCTCACTCTCCTAAAGTGGTTATTCGGATTAGTATTAATCATGCCTCCGCTGAAGGCCTTGGAGAGCTGCAATCTTTACACAGTTGGATGGATCACCGCTCTTCCGCTAGAGCGTGTAGCAGCGACTGCAATGCTTGATGAGGAACACGAACAACCACTCGATCTGGTTCAGCCTATTCACGACACAAATGCATATAGTTGGGGCCGAATTGGGGAGCACAATGTGGTCATAGCATCACTGGGAGCAGGTGTTTATGGTACAATATCCGCTGCTACTACTGCATTGCCTATGCTCTCCACCTTCCCTCAAATCAGAATCGGTCTGCTTGTGGGAATCGGAGCGGGTGTTGCCAGGCCAGACGAAGGCCTCGATATAAGACTTGGGGATGTTGCCGTGAGTCAACCGCATGGAAATAACGGTGGTGTAATACAATACGATTTGTTTAAAGCAAAATCCGGAAATCAGCGAGAGTCCAGATCTTTTCTCAACAGACCGCCAGAGGTTCTCCTCAAGGCGTTGGCGAAGCTACAGGCAGAGCACGAGCGAAGACCTTCCAAAGTGCCAGAATTTCTTGCACAAATGGCGAGAGAGTATCCAAGAATGGCCAATTCCAAAAATGGCTATGTGCACCAAGGTTTTGAAGATGATCGGTTGTTTAAGGCCACAGAGCCTTATGAAGAAATACTACGTGAGAAGCGCGACTCAACCGAACCTCAGATCCACTACGGTGTCATCGCTTCCGGCAATACGCTTTTCAAAGATTCTGTATACAGAGATGAAATCCTGAAGGATGTCGGGAAAGAGTGCATTTGCTTTGAAATGGAAGCCGCAGGTCTGATGAATAATTTCCCATGTATTGTGATCAGAGGTATTTGTGATTACGCAGACTCCCACAAGAATGATCGATGGCAAAGGTATGCCGCTGCAACAGCTGCTGCATATGCAAAAGAACTTCTTGGATACGTTCCTGTTCAAGATCTTCAGAGGACCCAGAAGGCTATTGAGGTGGCGGAGGATAAAGGTCATGTTAGTGCTTCCTCCCCTCTCGCTCAACCATATCAAACAGGGGATGTTAACCAGTGCTCAGCAATATTCTATCCATATAGGTGACACCAAATACCAGGGAAACATTACAAATAATTCGGGGGTGGTGATGGGAAATGCCTATGCTTCGGCAAAGGATGGCATTCGGATTACAGGTTCGGTGAGTGTTTTCGGTTATGTAGTCTTGGGCTAAGCTAACTTTTCTCCAGAATAATTACTATGGAAGTGACTGGAATCCGTCTCCGACATATGAATGACAGTGATGGCACTGAGAGGAAAACTGTCCAACGCAGCTACACCCTCGGTAGGGACACAGGAGAGCAACGTGCGTCGCAAGTCGTACTATAAAGGAAGTAGCTAATATGAAGCGGCTGTGGTAGGAGAATGTTAAGTTCAGGCAATATTTGTTAACCGGGACAGACTGATATTATATTTGGAATTCGATTTCTGCAGCTGTGGATACTTGATGAATTTCTTTAATGTTAACGTTACTTTGTGGAATTATACACTGATACTGTGGAAAGGATCTATATATGAGACTTATTGTAGATGCTTAAAATTATCGTAAAACCTTTTTCGCTACTAAGGATTTCTTTCTTTTTCTTTCTCCCTTTCTAGGCTGGCTTTATTTTATTGCGACAGTTTATCTCTTCTTCGATAGCAACTATGGAAAGACAAGAAAATAATAGAAGCCTAGAGACCATATACTAATCATGAGACAAGAACTATACTAATATAATTTAATATCAGCATGGTCAACTTAACGAATGTGTTCACTATTTTCTTCATATTGCCATAGCACCGACACTTTTCTATCCTATCAGGCGCTCTCAAAAGTAAATGTTATGGTAGCGAGTTAAACAGCTATAGGGCTCCTTTCAACTTGTATTACAAATTCTTACGGTTCCGTTTGCTGCCAGTATCGGGGTTTGGGACCTATAACTGATTCGTCCTCGTAGTAGCAGGGTTTGAGCGAGCGTTAAACTCACTCATCTAAAGCACGCATCACGTCGGCTGCGTTTGTCGTGGGACCGAAGGTATAGGACTGTGGAGACAATCAGCTGGGCTCGAAGTTTGAATGAGCGTTATGTAGAACTCACCGAGCCCGTAATTTTAACAGCATCCGACGTGGTGCCGAGGACATTTCCGGCCAACACTCCTCTGTTATTTCTTATCTCCCCAGAGTAGTATACGGCGCCCATTTCCACTGAAGGCTGCTAGACGGACGTCAGCAAATTTATTCTTGAGAGGTACGTGAATGGAGGCAGGTGCTAACCTTCGCGTTATCTTTGGCTGAACGTGGTTCAAGTGCCTTTATCCAGTCGCCCAGTACTTTGGTGATGCGCGTGTAACCATCCTGGGACGCATTCCAGAACTTGCACATATCAGTGTGATCAGCCGAGATTGGCTGCGGCTCAATGTTGAGGATTTTTGCCGAGCTTTTGGAAACGATCTCCTTGGAACTCCCATCCTCAAAATATGTCGGAAGACCCTCGTTGAAACACGCAATCTCAACTGGAGCTGTAGAGCGAAGTCGTTCAAGCAAGAACTTAATAAAGGTCCCGTTGATGCTGATGAGCTTCTGAGACCGCTTATCAAGGTGGTCGAGCTTTGTGTTGAGCCCCGTCAGCTTGACAAAGTGGCGAGCGACTGAGGCCCATTGAGCCTCATTTGAGCCCTCAAACGGTGTGCCAAGAAATACCAGTCCGCGGGTACTGTCGACCAGAGGCTTGTACTGAGACCTGTTCGCAACGTGCTTGTCGGTCAATGCGTGAGCACATACTAGCCCACCGAGGCCATGAGCGACGAATATGATCGGACGGCCTAGCTGCTTGACGTTAGCTCCTTGAAATCTTTTGCCTCTCCATCGTTGTTCTATTTTTCATCCTTACAGTTTGGGTGTTACTGCGCAGCTGTTCGAGACATTGCAGCAACGCAGTGGCGTGGTCGTCAATCTTCTTATCGTCCGTAGACGGTGGAAAAAAGGACTCGAAGCTCGAATTATACCCGAATGATAGTATGCGAGATGTATTACATGTCTTTCGTAGAAGTGCTTTCGGCCAGAAAGTCGATGGGATTCTCTTGTGCTGCTCGAAGGTCCATGTGTTGATCCGGTGGCCACCTAGATCGTGCACGAAGACAATACTACGATATCAGTGAGCGGCTAAAATGATTTACGAATAGGAGTAGAGCTTGGACTTTTGACGTACTCTACCTTCGCCTCAGGTGGGTTAGAGAGAGGCTCTCCAATGCCAAATGAACTTGCGGCGTCCATTTTGACGATGACAGAGAACTAAGTGACGAAATATCTTGAAAATACAGAATTCAACTTTGTATTAGATTTTGTTAGGCTACAGTAGTTTCAAGTCGACGTCTGTTCCCAAAATCAAGTCCTATATTTATATCAAATCATAAAGTGAGTATTGGAAATTGATGGGCTGAACTACCAGAAGCACATCGCTTGAATGTTTTCTTCAAAGGTCTTTGAGAGCCCTGCTCCTTGAAAAGAGCGTCGTGCAACTTTGCAGAGCCTCATAAGAGCTTGACTCGGATTCTTTCCTCAGCATCAGCGGAAAAATAATTGTTGTTTTCTCTAACCCTTTTGAGGCAATGCTCGGACATACAAAGTAGAAACCCTCCCAGATCAACTTGTGCTTCGGTCAGTACGCTAACTAAAATCCTGTCATTAGTGTCCATTTGTCCATCATCTGAAAATGTATTGGCTGACGGAACCCTTCGGAAAGGTTGCTGGGGAAGTGAAAAGACCTCTAGTGGTGGCAGTGTATATTGATAGTGATTAAGAGTTTCAAGAGCCTCATTAGGATATTACTGGATAGGTTATTATATGCCGTGGATCATTAGCTGAGGTTGGGGTTGCGAAGAGAAGGCGCAGCACATGCATTGCATGAGAGCTAAAACAACAACCAGTTGCTAATCCAGTGAATGCGAGTTTCACGAACTAGACTCTAGAACGAGAGAGACTAGAAGAAAAAAGCCGCGTTGAGTCAACGCGGCTTTTTCCTTCTAGTTGATCGGGATCCTGCAGTGGACAGTGGAAAAAGGTAAGCTACTCCAGCCAGCCACGACTGCCCATGTCAGTCTTATGCATGTCTTTTCACAGCCCACGTACCATAGTACCAAACATGGCGTAGCTGTTCACTGGTTCTGACTCGTTGTGACTAGATCAGCATGAATTCAGAATCTATCTCCACCTCATTATAAGGCTTCAATCATATTGTATATGTTTAAGATCAGGGATCAGTACCCAACATGCAGCCTAATTGTGATGGGTGACGACTGAGTAACCAATCCAACAATTCGACGAATCATATTTAGTAAACGAGGCGAGTCCCAAAATTTAGTCATAAATACTTTGTAGCTTGGTTGGGAATGAAGTCTACATATGTTAGGGCTCGCTCCTCTTTTAACAAGATGTTGATATTTCTGGGTTCTGATTGGTTGGCTTAATCTAAGTATTTGGGAATATCGCACTCAGTTATCCCCTACTTTGGGAGCTAGTGTACGCTAGTGTACACTAATGATTTCAAGATATCTAATTGGCTAAACTGGCATCACCGCCCGCGGGGCTCTCACCGCCCTAGCTACTAATTTTCTTCGGTAATCGTGGCCTCATAAATTACAAGAAAGGATCAAACACCAAAAACCTCAATATTGGATATAAAACTCAGATTTGAAACTATTCACATATCCTAAAAGAGTAATTATTATAGAGTTAAGGTGTATGGAAGTCCCGGAAGCATGATTTTCCAGATTCCGGTCGGCAAAGAGGCAGGTCGCAGGCCTTACATATAAACTTCGTAAACCCTATCCCCCTCCTTTTTGGCGTTTAGGATGCTTATATTGACACCAAATGCAACGTTTTTGAATGTTTAGATAACTCCATACAGCAATATGTGCTAAGGAATTATTCAGTAGTACTTCCGGCAGTTGTAGATCCTCCGTCTTGCGCTTCATTGGCTTCATTTGATACACCGTACTCAGAGGCCTGAAGGATAAGAGCTGCTTAGAAAGCCGTCTCCGGAACTGGACGTGAGAAAGTGAAGCTATTCCCAGCTCTTTACAACGTAGAGAGTGCAGTTTCGAGGCGTTGATAATGTCAACGTCCAAACACCAATTCCATAAAGGCCACCATGAGCGAAAGGTCTTTGTATGAGTCTCATACGCAGCTCGGTGCTGATTGGCTATATCCACCCCTCCCATATAATAATTATAGTCGTCAATAAGCCGTGGGATTAGCATATTTTTGACTGCCTGGACCCCAAATTCGCGATGTACTAAGGGGCCATTTGTTGAAGTCTTTTGGGGCCTTCGGCGCTCACGCTCAACATAATCTTCTGTCTTGTTAACAGTATGAATTGTACTAAGAGCAAGGACAATATTATTGTCTTGCCATGCAACACAGAGGACGTCTCGTACGGGGATCGCATAAAGTTTGTGATATGGGATGTAGTTGCTCAAATCCTTCAGTTTTTTGAGCAAATCGGGGAAATCTTTGCCGGCGGAAATAGCTCGAGTGGTGCCACAAGCTCCAACTTGTATATCTCGAAGCATTTTGAATAGATCAATGCTAGTAAAATAGTTGTCGAGGTACACGTTGTAATTGTAGCTATCTCTCGGAAGAGTTTGAATAAGCTCATATACCATTTGGCCCGTTTTGGTAAGCGAGGTCACCTTTCCCACCTCAATGACCCCCTGCGTACGGCTCGCCGGGTAAAAATAGTAAACGTAACCGTGATCCGCAAGAACGAATATCTTGAAGCCTTGGCTGATCGATTTATTAGGTAATTTAAAGGTATGAGAAGATCTTCCGTGGCTTCGAACTATTGCCTCGTCAATAGAGATATTTGCCGAAGGGATATCTAGATTTTTTGAGGCTCTCCGCAGCATATCAAGTACGATATGAACTTTATGCCACCAAATCCTGCTCAATTGCTCTTCGCTCATTCGTAATTCTTGCTCTGGGGTAGGCTCTGGGGGGTAAAATGTTGATATGAAGCCTCCGGGCACCTCAGGGGGTGCAGATATATGAAACTAGCGCTTTAATTGCTCATATCGATACTGCGTTATATACTCAGATAATGGGTGATTTGCATGAACAGCGTCATTCTCATGGCTCTCTTCCCAGTAATCTTTTAGCTCTGGCTCTCTAGTAATTCCCATATAAATTTGAGCGCTAAAAAAAACCTTGAGTTCTTCTGGTGTAGTTGGATGCCAAGATCGATGATGTAGATTGTGATTTTTTGATTCTTTCGTGTACGCATATAAATTCGTATTATCGGCGAGAACTCTCCATAAAGATTCGGTAAAGATTAGGCTAGATATTTGATATGGATCCGTAACGTCGATACTGGATGGAATTCGTAGCTGGGGAGGGCGATTTTTATCGGTCTGTAAGGGTTCAAATTGGACGTCATTCGTCTCCGGAATCTGTGCTAAATTGACATAGCCTCAGTTCTTTTCCCTACTAATTTTGGCTGGGAATTAGAGCCGGTTAGATGTAACTCCGAATCGTTATTTGGTGGTGCTGATTTCATGCTTTTTTGACGCCTTTGTACGGCTTCAAATTGACTGTAAAAGGGGATTCCATGCCTGGAATATTCTGCCGATTTTTGGCCCTAGGCCTTTGCCGCAGATCTGACCAATAGGAGCCCACAGATGCGGCCCCCACCGCCAGTATGGCCAATGAACAATCAGAGATTTCTCAAAAATCGTACTAAGGAACATTAGCGTACACTAGCGTACACTAGCTCTCAAAGTAGGGGATAACCCGAGTATTTGACCTCCGTAGCAGGCCAAATATCAGCAAATCAGACTGCAGCATTCGATCTTAAGGGCTTGGGTTCATATCATGTTCTTGACAGCTGATTGTTGTTTGCTATGTTTTGTGTTTTATTGCTGCAGTCTATTGTTCACAATCCTTGTACGGCGAAACTCATAGGTATTGTCTTACTATGTTTCATCGGTATCTGTCTTGCTGATTTTGGAAGCTCTATGATTCCCTAGATGAGGCTTATAAAGAAGCCATCCAGCCCATCTATTTCTTCCTGGCAATTAGTAGACTTCTGGCTTCTATTGTAGGTTCTAGATGCTTGTCACTTCCATCTATGTAATCACCTTCCCAAGTCAGTTTCCTAGAGCGCGCAAACCACCTCGAAAGAAGAAGTCGTGAACCAATATTGATACTACCCCCCCTTGAGGGCAAGCTCAATAATGCCAAAAGCATTATGTGCTTTTGTATAGACTTGTACAATTTCTAGCTTGCTATCCACTTTTCCGATTAGTTGACGCCAATCCTGGACACTGCGTTCTTTTCCTTTATGGATTGCCAATGCAGAAAAATCCATTGTTCTTTGTCTTGAAGTTAGTGAAAGTCATTCATATGAGGTAGGATAAGCCTTTAAATGACCACTATTATTAGTGCGTAAGACTCACCTCTCCAGTCGCTCAACTATAGATAACTCTGCACCTGCCTCCGGAAGGAGACAATCCATTACCATAACCCGACAACCAGTTTTGTTTCTCATCGCCGGAAGCAAGTTCTGAAGGATCTTTACGGCAGATTCATCTGGCCAGTCATTAATCACGAACCGGAACATGAATATATCCGCGTTTATCTGCGGTGGTTGCGGCTTAAACATATCCTGCGCCATAAATGAGATGCGGGATGCCACGCGGGGATCTCTCTGAGCTGTGGAGTATATCTTTTTTTTGCCATTCGAGACTACAGTAGGCAAATCTTGGACTATAAATCGCAGCTTTGGGTGCTTCTCAGCGATGGAAACACTAACGTTTCCATGGCCTCCCCCAACCTGTTAATATGCGTGATCTTCGTTAGCTTGTGCTCCTGTCAACTTGGAATACGAAATCCAGAAAACACACAGCCAGCCGTGCGTAGTAAAAAGAAAGAAGATTGGCGAGGTTCATACATCGACAACCAGTGCCTCCCCCAGTGAATCCCAATCAATGGCGCCGTTCGCAAGCATATCCATATCGTGGTTGCGACCTCCCATGTTTGTAGCTCCCATCACATAATCTAGAAAACCATTCATTGCGAGTAGTACACTCCTATGCTCCGGGTTACGCATATAAGCATGATACTTTTCATCAGTCTGGAACGCTCTGTTGAACGCTGCCAATCCACTGTTGGAGCCCCTGCTATCGCCGTCGTCAACTCCCAGCTTCTCTTCCGATTGCTTCTCCGTCTGCTCTCTCGGTGACCGATTAATAAGTAGCATGGATGCCATGTCCCGAAATCTTTCATCCAGACAGATGTCAAGGCTGTTACGCAGTCCATCATGTAGAACAAATGCGCGAGACGCTGCCGTATGCAGGACCAGATTACCGTCCGGGGCCGCTATCTCACGAAAGATGCGATATGAGCAGGCATACTTGATTATTCTTGAGACCATATCCTCCTCTAACCCGGTCTTCGCAGCGATCTCTGCCATGGTTGCGCCTCCCTCCAGCGGTACGGCCTGTGGGATGGCGAAGTGATGGAGCGTGCTGAGCATGAACAGTTCATAGGGGTGCTTTGTATGAATAACCCATCAGCTCTTTTCAGGATAAATGACTGTTTCACTCCTGAAGAATGCAGTGGAGAAAAACACATACGTTTTGGGCGGACGAGACAACAGAGGCTGCGGGACCGATAGTAAGATTATAGAGCGCTTGGCAAGCATTGAGAAGGATTGTACGGGAAAGCTGCAGCTGTACACTTTCTTCATCATCTCCTGTGATGGACGATATAGGAAAATCCAGCGGTCCATCAGCCTCAAAGGATGGTTGGGGAAGGTTGTGGGTTGTTATGTAAGAGTCCAGGATCTTTGCGTGCTTGGTTATCTCTTCTGCAAGGGCTGTGAGCGACATGATCTTGAAATTCCATCAATAGGGATATCTATTCAGTAGTAGAAATTTTTGAGGTAGTCGAAGGCTATTATCTCAGACTCGATTTACGGCAAGTTAAGTGTATCAGATCGGCAACGCAGAGCACCAGCATGATCTGGTATCAAGACCAAAAATATTCAATGCTACAATGAAACTGAATTGACGTGTTGCATATGCTTCCTATCATATTAGGGGGCGTCCACCCCTCATCACCCATGGAGCGGGGTGGTTGAGCCATTGGCTCCTGACACTTCTCACATAAAGACCTAGGTGAATACCTTACAGATGGTGGCTTACCCCAAGCCCTTTATGGTTCTTATTGCTTAATGATTGCTTAATGAATGCATAATATAACAACTTTGTAAAGCATGTCAATTTCTGCGACCATCCACAATAGCAAACTGCATCTAGAAATGCACCTAGAAGTAAGTCTGCGCAAACTCAATAAATTTGTTTACGGGAGTATGCCTTTCAAGAAATAGGCTCGATTACGAGGATTGGATAATCAAGCACCGCATATTAGTATATGTAGACCAACAGGGGTAAAATAGGCAGATGCCTCTCTCTACATGTAACTAATTTATTTTCGTTTACGTTCGATTAGAAAGCAACATGTGAGAAATAGACCCCTCCCCCACTTGAAAAGAACTTATAAAGAAAAAGAGGTCCTTGGGGCGATGCTAGTGTTGCAAGTATCTGTAAAAATTACTGTATCATATATTGAAAAAAAAAAATCGCATTGTATCTTCCACAAACAAGAGGGAGTGAAAGAATGGCCGTTACCCTATCGGACCGAGCTAAAGAATTACTTGAGTTCGAGAGTCAATACACAGCTGGAGGATTTCACGACCCTATGCCCGCTGTTATTACTAAAGCCAAAGGGGTCAAACTATGGGTAATGCGCCGCATTTGCCCCAATCTTAGTACTGCCTCTTTTTAACTACGCTCGTGCTAATTCAGGTCAAGGACATTGACGGGAAAGAGTACCTTGACTTCACATGCATGCTAAGTGCAGTGAACCAGGGCCACTCCCATCCCGCTATAATTGAGGCAGTCGTGAAACAAATGCATGATGGTATGATCCTAAGAAAATTGTTACTGGCCTATCTCATCCTCCTGGATGCCTAATACTTCGTGAAACGGTGTAATGATCTTGCTAAATTTATTCAACGCGTATAGCCTCGCTGGTAAATATTGCCGCTCACACGGCCATCTGGCCGCCCTTTGCTCAGATGATGTGTCAACGTTTCGGTTACGACAAGATCCTGCCCTTAGTATCCGGGACAGAAGCGGTAGAAGCGGCTTGCAAGATTGCGCGGAAATGGGGAATCAACGTCAAAGGTATCCCCGCCGATGAGTTGTTGATACTCGGATTGTCGGGATGTTTCCATGGGCTATCAATTGCCATGTGGTCCTTGCAAGACAAAACCCCGAAACGTGCTGGTGAGTGTGCGCAATAACGCTCGACAACGGGAAAGGAAGCTCAAGAAGAGTAGCCTACGGGATCGCTGACCCTCGTCTCACCTGCTACGACCCGAAAACGGAGGAGCCGTTATCGTATGGTAATACTGGGAGAATAAAAGCGTGCATCGAGCATCATCATGCCCGAATAGCTGCCGTAGTGATAGAGCCCATTCGTGGCCAGCTAAGGTACGCAGCTTGAGCATGTTCGTCTCAAGCCTAGATCATGAATTCATTCTATTTAACCCTTTATGGTGGAACTGACTTTACGGTCTAATATAGAACCTTTGCTGAGGAAATCTCCTATTCCACCAAACTCTATGACCTGTGCAAAGAGTACAATATTCTCTTTATTGCTGACGAGATTCGTATGGGCTGTGGCAAGACAGGACGATTCCTCTCATCCGACCACCTTGGTGCATCGCGCAAACCTGACCTCATCGCACTGGGGAAGTCGCTTTCGGGAGGTGTCTACCCAGTGTCCTTCGTCCTTGGCCGATCCGAGTGCATGGACCTTGTCGGGGAAAAAGAGATCGTTTCCACATATTCCTTCTCGCCATTAGCCATCACCGCAACCACAGCTGCATTACGTGTGATTGATGATGAGTGCCTTATCGAGAGAGCGGGGCAGATCGAGAAGAAGTTCTTGGAAGTGGCAGAGACGTGGCGACATCCCTTCATCCGCTATGCTACTGCGAGGGGCGCCGATTTCTTTATTTTTTTCTGGAGAATCGACCAAAATACTTGTCGGCGGATTTGCGAGATATGCATGCACAACGGGTTGTTAGTGTATCCTAACGGGCTGGGTATTAGGATGAGTATCGCTATGGTTATCACGGACGAAGAGCTGAGAGCGGGGCTTGAGATCTTGTCTAATGCCTTTGATACTGTTTTCTCTGAGTAAGTTGCTTGTGTTTGTTCGTGCAGGTTATGCTAGTAAGCTTAGAACTAAATAAATAGCTTAACTAGGTACAGAGCTCTAGTAGGTTGAGAAAGGAATTACTAGCAGCCCTATTGACAAACAGCCCATCAGAACTGGGTCTTTTAGAGTTTTCCAGTAAGTGAACGTTATATGCGTAATCGAGTTGTAGAGCACGAAGTTCAAGAAATAGAAGAGTTAGGGCTAAGTACATGCGCCCGTTGCTGTACAATCCCGGACACATACGGCGAATATTATAACGATAATCAACATAGATCAATCTTTTGCAGGATTTGTTCTTAGCCCCAGCTCAGTGTGGTGCATGAGTCAATACGTAATCAGACTCAATATCAGCCTTGATTTGATTTGTTTTTCATAAATATACCTAAGTCAATCCATTTCGCCCTATACAATGGATTGATTGGTCTAGTAAATCGGACAGTGACATCCACTTCGACACATGATAAACATAATTACCAGCCTCTGAATGACCAAAGTAGAGCTTAGGACATAGCCCTGATTACGCCTTGTCTAAGCAGGGTTTGATAGAACGAGCAGCCTGACCTCGACGCTTTGCCGTGTGCTGGACTTGGGCGAGGCAAATTTGGACTTGAACGAACAGTGCGGAGCTCCTGGTGGGGAAGAAGAAGATGGCACCATTAGCATTTGGACGATCAAATAATGTCGAGACAGAGGTGAAGGTGCAACATACTCTTTGCAACACCGTCCCGAGAGTCGAAATTCTTAAGAATACATACTTCATCTCGGTGCATGTTGCTAAGATAGCAGAAGCGATAATTATCACTGTACCTGCCCATATAATTATAACGAGCGATCCCGCCATCGATAAACGCCACTTCGATCAGATCTTCGGGGTTCGCATGCCGAGCATCACAGATGGCGAGGGGTAGGTCTTCGACGACATCGACCAGGGGCCTCCAGACGCTATGATATCATGTAAATCCTTCCTATCGTTGACATCTCTATGCCCTGTGGCTATAACACTCACTTAATCAAGCGCAGACGATGTTTAGCAACAAGCTCGTCTGCTTGTTCACCGAACACATTCTGCATTCGTTTGAAAGCTTCCAATGCGCTGTAGTCTATAGTTCAGATTAGCATATAATCGCTGGCGCTCTGATGGGACAGAGCCTCTAGGCGGAGATCTAAGGCCCATAACGGGGGTTATACCGACGTGGAGTTGAAATGCAGGAGAGATGTAGGTCATGGTTGGTTGATATTGCTCGTCTTCTCTTAGAACCTGACCAGAAGCACCATCCCGCAGCTAATATCCCAATAGTCAGGTTGGTGTACGAGTTTCGGTTTGAAAACAGACTCACGCGATAGCAAATTGACTCGCAATAAACGATATCTTCCCCTAGAACATCCTTCAGGAGAGCCTTAACGCTAGGGATATATTTTTGTTCAATATCTTCCCGTCTGTTCCATTCAATGGGTTCCGAAAAACTATTCTCCTTGAAGGTGAAGCCCTGTACGTCCAAATGAAACTCTTCCTCTGAATTACGGACATCTTCAACGAATTGCTCGGGGCCATTTTTTATTACAAGGTTTCCACGTTTTGTCCCCTTCGGGACGTCATCGAAGATCCAGTACGGCCATTCATGGGCATAGGAAGGTTGTTCAACTAGATACTGGAAAGAGGCAAGCTGGCTCTTACTTTCCGGCTTTTCCTGCATCTTGAAATTGTGTGGCAGCTTGAAGAGAAACACAAGGCTAACATCACGGTATGACAAACCCGTCGAACGCAACGGACTTTAGGTCATAAACCCAGAAAAGCGAAGACATATGAAGGCACAAGACCAATAGACGCGGCTCTAATATCGGTGTCAGGAAGGCTGCTGGTCATATGCTATGGCCGGCCAATGAAGAACCCCTTGTAAAGGCAAAGCTAGGGTTACGTGGTGTACTACGTCAGCTCAGCCACGCCCATTCAGCGGTGTTTGCGAAAGAGAGAAACTGATTTAATGCAAGGCTTGGCATCTTCCAAATAAACTCCGCGGTCTAACAGCACAGCATAGAGGTTCGGCGGGAGATGTGCTTAGCACTCTTTTATTTGTCGGACTCGAATTCTTCTAAACATGCACGTCGCCAGAAATGTAAAATAACTGACAGATGAGGGACTATATCTAGTAATATATGTTTAGCCAAGCTACCTAGGGAGTTAGTAGTATGCTTAATTCTCTTATTCGTCACACTTGGGTTCTCATATGCATATGCACGTGCGTTGATTGTGAACGTCGTGGGAACATTGAACCGTTGCGCGTCAGATGTAGGTAGGTGAGGGATTTATTTCTACCAATATATGTTTACGCAGTCTGATAGGTGATATGCTTAGTTCTTTTATTTTTCAGACTCGGATTCTTGTAGGCATGTGTGTCAATTGTGAAGCTCATTGAAGGTGGCACTATATCTCGACATAAATCCTTCCTGTCGTAGGTATACCTTTCAAGCCTCGGCGCTAATTACTATGAAGTAAATTCGCTTCACACCCAATTTCACGGGGGTAATTCGCAATACCCGGTAATAACATAAAATCGCACTGCGCGGCTGAGACAGCTAAAATAATGGATTATTATTTGTGACTCAGAAAAGATTAGACCGAGAAATTACCTAGGTGGGCGCTTATAAGAAAGACTCCGAGTAGCCAACGGAGGTAAATACGAATCTAGAGCCTCATTGACCAGTGTCGACTAATATTGTAGTTATCAGCAAGAGGCAGACCTTGTGGATATTGAAGAAGTGAAAGCTACTAAGTACAATCCTTTGGTATATATCTCCGTCTATCTGGTGCGACAGGTTTCTTTTTTTTCTCTACTGCCCAGAAGTCTGACTGGAGCCACAGGTCGAGCATCCAGAAGCCAATCTTAACATGACATCGGACTGGTCCGACAAAGCTGTCCAGGAGGCAGCCGAAGACAATCGCTCAGAACCATGGCTCGAGGATAAAGGCGAAGAAAACCACGAGCCGACCGACAATAGCTCGGAACCTGATCCAGATCCTGACCCAAAGCCCGGTCCTGACCCAGACCCAAATCCTCCAGAGCCAGAACCCGTCGTCTTCTTCTAGGTAAAGGGAGGCCTATGCAAAAATTGGTTATTTGTGGCGATAATGGAAGCCTATGTGGCAGCGGGGAGGATTTATCCTAGGAAGTGTACTTTGGGTCCTTCGGTGAACAATGATGAAGTTGACTTGTTGACCTGGAAGAAGTAGCAGAAACGTACTCGGCGGAATCTACCTCTATGATAGGCAGCAAATTGAGCTATTTTCCCTACTATAGTCCTATAATTCTTGCGTAGATCGGCAGCGCTGGGCTAGACTTGTTGTATGAGATGCTGCTACGCCGTAGCAACATAGTTTAGGATTCTCTTGTGAATAATACTGCCCACTGTTCCTGCGCTTAGAAAAGGCCTTGATTGAAAAAAGTGGCTATAGCTAATATATACTCAGGAGCGTTTGCTGTTGTATATCTCTCTCAGGGAAATTCTTGGGGAAATTCCCCCGTATAACGTAGATACTGGAAAATCTCCCCTACAGCAATAACTTTGTCATGCGTAAATGCAGCCTCTAGATTCTGTTTCATCGTCAGACATATTTTATCCATCTTCGGAGTTAATGCAGGGATCTTTTCCGAGGGTGCGATCCTGCCGGCACCAATATGCACGAGATGGTCGTAGATGGCATCGTCGTCATGATCGAAGTCTTTCGGGAGATAGCTTCCATGGCGCTGCAGGAGATGGATTTTACCGGACCGAGCTTCTGCGAAGAGCACCTCGGCACTAGATTGATCTCCCTTGAGCAAGAGAAGCTTTCCTAAATGGTACTGTGCGCGTATCTTGCTCTCGTTGGTCCATTCCTCAGGCTTCGCAAGAGCCCTTCGTAGCCAGTCCCTGCATAGAACGCGTTAGTTTAACACTGCAGACACATGAACTTGAGAAAAATTCACTCACTCTGCTGCGCTTGGATCTGATCTCTGTCGCTCAATCATTGCCAAGAGATAGTATACATCTAGTGTCGCTCGACTGAATGGACCAAAACAGCGCAATCGAACATCTAGGATATTGCACATAATTTCATAAGCCTTTTCAACCTTCCCAGCTCTCAGGTATATGGTCGACCAGCACAGCTTGAATGTCAACAGCGTAAGTAAGACGTCGTCCAAAAATTCCTTGGGCCAGGTCTCAAATTCCGAATCGGGGACTATAAGGTCCATTGACTCCTCGAGCCTTCCAAGCTCCGCCAGGCACAGGCTTTTCATCGCTATGTTTTGCATATTCATGCGGTAGGAGTCTTCGTCAATCCTATCTCTGATTGCCATTGCAAAGTCAAAGTATGGAATTGCTTGCTCGAATGAACCCCATTCCATGAGTGCCGTTCCGACGTCGCTCCAAGAACCGGCATAGTGGGCAACATCCTCTATCGTTATATCTTCAGCGTTGAGTCCGTTAATATACTGTTGGCGAAGTGAGAGTGATTTTGTCAAGCGTAAACAGAATTCCCGGCGACTTGAGATGCCTTCATTAGATCGAATGGCTGCTCCGAAGGCGTATACATCAGATTGGTCTTTCAGAAACTGGCCGTCAAAGGCGGCACAGATCTGCTCCGCAGAATCGCACGCCATAACACCCTGGCTGAAGAGGTTGCGCTCCCAAAAATAATTTGCCACGTTGCTGAGGACTCGGGCGAACTCGATAGATGGCGGCAAGCTGTGGGGTGATTCGGCGTAGACCTTTCGCAAGCTCATGACATGGGGACTGTATAGTTCCATCATCTTCCACAATCCATTTTTGGGGTGTAGGATTGCAGAGTGGTCAGGGAGCGCGTTGCGAAGCAGAGCAAGGGCTGCTTCAAAGATACTCTGGAGGTTATCGCCATCTTCATGGCTGCCATCAAGACTGTGCAAAATGCTGCGCTGCAAGGATCGATGTGTCATGAGCACCTTCTTGCCCGATGGTTTCGCCAAGGTGATGAGCTGCCGACGAGAGAGGTTTTGGATTAAAGCTTGAAATCTGGTCATGGTCAGCGCCACAAAAACACGCTATCATTCTAAGTTTGACTGCTTACTGGGTCTTTCGACGGTTTGCTAAGAATTCTAGCCCGTTTTCGGAGGTCACAACTTTCAGCATGTCTTCAGGGACACCGTCCGGATTCAACATGGAAAGAACTCGAATCAGTTTGCGTGCATCGGCGTCCAGTTCACGTAGAGCAATGTCCCAAACAGCGTTCAGAGCCTTATCATACCCAAACGTCGTGTTTGGTTTGGAATTGAAGACATCGTTCGACTCAAGGAGATCTTTAAATAGATCTAGAGTCTCACGTGGCGACAGGTGCTCACTGGACGCCGTCATGTACCCAGCAATGTGGGCGATCGCTAGCGGTAGTCCCCCCAACTCCTTGCAGAGAGCTATAGCGTCATCATGCTGGTCGGTCATGCCGTCCGTTTTCAGATGCTTTAGCAGGAAAGCAGCAGCTTCTTCGGCGCTGAACGAAGTTAGGCCAATACTGAACGTCGTCTGCGACCCGAATCCGGCATTCTGAGATGTGAGCAGCACCGAACCATGGTTTGATCGCGGCCGATATGGCGTCAAACTTTCGAGGCTCTCAACATTGTCGAAAACTATGAGCCAGGGGGATTCTACGTAGGTGCAGATGTTAGCTAATATCAAACGCCACGTGATAATGAGACCAACCTGTTGTGTTGGTGAACCAGGTTCGCACTACATCCGCAATGGCACCAGAACCGGCATTTTCTGGTCGGTCCAGGTTGAGTATATCCAATATCTTAGTCATATCTTGGACCATCTCCGGCTCGGTTTGGGACCGGATCCAGAAAATATAGTTGTAGCTGTCCCGGTAGCGATGTACGTATTCTAGGGCAACCTGTGTCTTGCCTATGCCTCCGATGCCGTACACAAGACATGAATTCTGATGGACTGCAGATGTTGGGTCGGTTAAGTTGCCGCTTAAGGCGGAATGAATCGCTTCAAGATCAGCGGTTCGGCCATGGAAGTTTCTGTTCCTCCATAGAGGGATTGTGTCGGCTTTGTCTGGCTGACGGCGTGGAGCTTAGAAGTTATAATTGTCAATTAATTCGCTTGATAGACAGGCTATGAGAAAGAATAAGATGCAGGACATACGTCGAACAGGAGCCTGTAAGTTAATTTGTGTCCCTTCGAACGATTAATATCATGACTATGTTAAACCGGACAGGCGTGGTTCTGGTGGAGCCATACTAATAAGATGACTATTGTATACACCTCCTGTTACTATTCCTTTATTGTCTGTTAAATCTCCGTACTGTGTATCTCCCTGAAGAACGCTGGGAAGCGGCTCCTTGTCGTTTGCAGCGCTTGGTACCTCAGCTGGTGGTGAACGGGAAAAGGCCTGGCCCATCTCTGCGAAGGCTTGAAGAGAACTTGGCTTGTTGGAGATGCTGATGATTCCGACCACACCGAGTGACCGTGAGAAGTATCAAAGAGGCGAAGACAATCTAGGAACAATATGCAACGAAAGGCCTCAGAGCTCAGTTAACGACTCTAGCGCATGCTATCAAGGCGTCGATGAGGGCATATCTTGGTGTATCACTAATATGTATTATTATAATTAGCCATATGGCATACGGGTCTTCCTACCTTTGCTGTGTGCGGCTCCAAGGGGAACCTTCGAGGGACTTAGGCCCGGGGATACCTGGCTAATCTGTATCTGGCATGAAGAAACACGTAACGTATTAACCAATCGCTTATCCGTTATGGTAATTTGGCGTTCATAAGAAGGTGGCCTCAGACCCGTGACGGTTGATGCAGATGCGGACACGAATGCACGCCAACATATCCCTGCACTCATAGCTACCAATCTTTTAATCCACTCTGTGGTGTTCGCAGCCTTGTAATTAATGGATTTGGAATTCAGCTGACCACTATTCAGCCAGCCTAGCCCAGACCTGTGTTTGAAGAACAATCAAATATTCCTCCATCGAGCATGCATTACTGTTGATGATTTTTGAAAAGGTTCAAAAACCTTTTTGGTCCTGAAAGTATTTTTCTAGGAATATCCACCCAGTTTATACTGCAAATTTCCAGTTTCCGTTCGCCGGAGACTTGCAGTCGACCTGGACTTTGTCTGTCTTCCCGAGCAGAATTATTGGTTCGTAGTAACTTCAATTTTACACAGCGTGCTATGGACGTAGTAAATCGGAAGTCTAGGAAAAAGCCGAGTTTGGTCGTAATAGCATAATATATTTAACCGGGGCTGAAGATCCAATAGCAGCTTCTCTAGCTTAGCGCAATCACACTCCAATTCAAATGAATCTCCTTGCTTCGCTCACAGTAGGTCACAATCCGATCTAACCAAAGAGAGATTGCTGCTGTTCATACAAGCCACTCATTTCTTCATAATCACTTTTTTGGAACAGTTCCCCATCATCATCGATCGCAAACTCATGCTTCCACCGCAGGGAATTTATAGGGGATCCAAAAACACCACGAGCACCGCTCCCATCATCGACATGCTCGAATTTGATAATGTAATATTCTTTCGGCCAGGTTGTGTAACGTGACCGCTGCGCCATCTCGTCGTGAGACATCCACCAGAAAAAGCTGTTATGCTGATATGGCTTGAGGTCAAACCCATCGGAAGCAGAGCCCATAAAATACATCCTGAGTCTGCCAGAAGGTGTTTCGCAGATCTCAATGTAGACATTACCAACGGCGTTATAGTATGTCCCCACGTATGCCTGCAATGGATAGGCAGGTGTCTCCACTGTTTTGTGCCGCAATAGGTCGCTTTTGATGCGCGACATATAGGAACCGATCCGCTCCGATGTCGATTTAACGTACTCAATGTATTGAGTTTTGTTGATGGTATTGCCAAAAAGCTCCTCGATAAGGAGCTGGCCGACGAGTCGCGTAGTGTCGGCGAGTGGCATGGAATTCGAGAGGACAACCACAGCACTGTCGGTTTCTGGGAAGACAGCAGCCCAGGATGTGAATCCGGCAAAGAATCCGCCGTGAAGTAATGCAAGTCGCGACGGCAATCCTTCTCCAATTAAGGGGTTGATGCCAGGCCCGTCGTCGTATACTAACGGCGGTGGCGCCGGGAGCTGCGCCCGAAACCATCCTGATGCATAGGAGTACTCACGGAGAGTTGGTACAGAGAGGCTGATCATTCCTCGCCAAAGATACTTCATCCTTTTGAGAGGGTTCTGCGGAACCGTGGTGGTCGCAAAACGGCCGAATTCAGCACGCGCAGCGTCTATGAAGGCCTTGTAGAGGAGGAGCATATCGCGGACTGAGCTTCGAATACCACCTGAGGGTCCTAGTAGTATGTTCCTGTCGCATAGAGGTTGCGGGATTTGGAAGGGTGTAGCATTTCTTAGAGCAGTATATGGCACCGCAACATTCGCATCATCCATAGGAGGGTGGGGATGAAATGTCTGCGACATGCCAAGCGGTTCAAGGATGCGATCTCGCAAAAAAGAGGCATAGTCGGTGCCGGATGCCTTCTCGATGATCTGACTCAAGGCTTCATAAGCCATGTTGTTATAGACAAACTCGGTCCTCAACGGCATTGCGGCGGGGACATAGTTGAGAATAGAGATTGCATCCGCACGATCCAGCAAGATCTTATTGTCCGTAAGCAGCCATAGAGCATCGTATGAAGGCAATCCGGTTCGGTGGGATAGCAAGTCGGTGACTGTGATATTCATGGCAGCATCTTGCCGATGAAACTCGGGAACCACATCCTGCAATTGTGTGGTCCAATCTAGCTTTCCTTCGTCGACCAGGATCCCCACCATCGCGGCTGTGAGTGGTTTCGCCAGGGATGCTATCATATAAACCGTGTCATTGTCCGTGGGGAGCTCGGCCTCGACATTGCGGAAACCCACATTAGCCTGATACACAACCTGGCCATGATGGAGGACTCCTAGCGACAGGCCCGGTGTGCCGGCGATGCGGCAGATGTCCGTAATAAGGGGTATGAGAGCTTGAAGTCTTGCAAGAAGCCTGCACAACAATTGAACAGTGAGTGTGTGTATAAAAATTAAGCAGACGGAGAGTAAGAGATACTAACTGCTTACATAGTGTAGACCAAGCGCAAACCCTAAGTGGAGTCGGTGGAGATATGAAAGTCATGGGAAGCGGGAGGCGGGAAGCCTTGTTGGGCTATATACTCTCTTGGTGTCTCATCATGTGACTGGCTTGTATGTCCGGGAGTATGCCTTGTGCACCGGCATGCAGAACAAGCAAATCAGCAAAATGCATTCAAGCGTAGTTAACTCGATGCGAAGTTACACTGATATTTGTCAAATTAAGATCAAGGCTGATATTCGTCTAGATCTTCTAGGGCGTGTTGGAATTTGTATAAAAATTGTAGGAGCTTGTGACACCGGCGTGCTAACAAAATTGTATGTGTGTCAATGCTTGATTGATTCAACCTCGCCTGTTTTTTTTGACATTGGGAATTGTCCTCTTTACTGAAGAATCCCAACCCCTCGCTTGAATACGTGGTTCTTGCTAATTGGTAAGCCAGTTGGCGAATTGGAGGCCCTGGGCTTCAGCGGATTCCACTAATGATATCTATCTAACACCAGGCTTCCAACAGGGCGACGCAGGGCATACTTCATAGTCACTTTGGGCACCGATGAGGTGTATTGGTTTCTACTATCTTATTCTCATTATCTCAAATCATATCTCAAAACCACCTGGGGGTACAGCCACGTGAAAACAGTTGGGAAATTGGTTTAGCATCTGTTGTAGAGTGTTAGGGTTAGGGTTACTCTGCGCGTAATCTCTTAATTAATACACGTTGCCTAGGCAGAGCAAACATGTCTGAGATCGATCCAGCATGATAGAAAAGGTGAACGAAATACATCCTATATATGTATCAACCTTGGAAGACATATCTACCTCTCTAGCTACTTATCTCTAATGCATAGGACTTGAAAGAACCTCTAGAGAGAGAATTTGCACGAAAAAATCCTGAGGCACATATACCAACTTTAGCAGACAGGTCTTTCTTCAACTAACCAAACTATGCAGCTCAATCTTCACTTTGGCCTCCTCTTTAACTTCCCTCTTCGTCTTAGCCACCAACCCTTTAATCTCACTCTTACACAACCCCGTTCCCGCGAGGTCGCATTCACCACACCTCCTGCCCACAGGCAGACAAGCCGTCTGTCCCAATCCGATCAACAACTTATTAATCTCATGCCACTTGTCTCTTGGTAGCCACAACTGTAGCGCTATACGCGTCTCTTCGGGTGTCTTTGTGGCGTGCCACCCCCACAGATTCGTGATACGGTGGACATGTACATCCACACCGATACCGAGGTATTTACCCCATGCAGCGCTCATGCAGAGATAGGCCATTTTAGGGCCTACACCCGGTAGGGCCATGAGTTCCTCGGGTGTTGGTGGGATGTCGGACTCGTACTTGTCACGTAGGATGATGGCGACTTGTTTGATGTATTTTGTTTTGTTGTTGTGGAAGCCAACAGACCGAATCAATTCGTTTAATCGTTCTGGTGAGACGGCGAGGACGTTTTGCACTGTTAGGGTACTGGGTTTCTTTTCGAGGGCGACTTTGATGCTGTCTGCGTCGTTCTCTTCTTTTTTAATCAGTGTCTTTGATGGCGATGGGTTATTGGGTTGTTCTCCCTCGCCAAGCTCGGTATGTAACCGCTGCATAGCGACGGCAGTCACTGTATCTTTCGTCTGAGACGACAACATAAGCGCAATAAGAGTCTGGAACCGTTGATCTTTTGGCGATGATGCGCGCCAGTGCAGTTCCGCACAACCCATGGTATCTACTAACGCAGTAGGATTTGCTGTTCTCATCTTCTTGACGATATCGTATATAATTTCCCAGTTGGAAGGTGGTTGTGTTTCGATAAAGCCATCGTCACGCTAGATTTTCTTTGCTGGTTGTTGTTGCTGTTTCGAACTAGCACTTTTGGGCTCGGTGAAGTTGGTGTATACAATTTCCGCTCTGATCGTAACTTCCTCTCTGACTAGTGTGCTAGTGGTGACGGTACTGGCAGTTGTCGTTAGAGGATCGTTGTTGCGCCTGCGTCTTTTTGTAGGACGTTCGAGTAAATCTTCAATGTCTTCCGTATTCGCAGACGGCAGAAAAGCATCATCGCTGAACTCTGGAGCTTTTTGGGAATTGCGCTGGGTAGATGCTGCTAATGAGCTGCGAGTCTGGCGCCTTGGGCGATAATGCTCGGACGATTTTGGCCGTGTCTCGCGATACCCGTGATGTCTTCATGTCGATATATGCTTGATATGTATCCTGAATTCTGGGATCGAGCGAGAAAAGGTCGGCGTTTCGAATAAAAACCCCTGTATTGGAATCTTTTGGTACTAGTCCGAACGGGGTTAGGCTCTGATAGGAGCGCACAATCTGGGTGAGGAATAATTGACTCTGATTTGCACGTCTTCTCCCAGCTAGCTACACATCTTGATCCTCGTTATATACACAATATAGTGGCAAAATATCACGGATGTACGGAGTAAATGACAATCCTGACTCCAAAATGTAGGCTTGGGTTCGGCGCTTATGTTCTCACGGATATGATGTTTGTTCTGAGGATTCACGATTAGTAATGACATCCGGATTGGGATTAGCGTATCAAATATCCAACACACCCCTCCAGGAATGGAAGCTTGGAGCTTTTATTCCTGTGTCAAATGGCCTATATCCAACCAATCCTTGGTGTTTTCTCCAATCTAGGAATGGCTGACCGCGTAAAATCTTGGTGAGGCCATCTGCAGCCATTCGCTTTGTGTCTACCCATTCAATCCGGAGGCGTTTCTTGGAGATCTCTTGCCTAAGCCAGTGGTGATAGATATCAACATGTTTGAGGTTCATTCGAAACTGCGGTTCCTCACTAGTCACAAAGCCTTGGTCCGAGGATCATCTCACACAGACCATGATCCGTACTGGAGAGCAGATCCTTGGTAAAAAATTTCATATTCGAGCGTGGCGCCAGATCACCGTTGGGATTGCCATCAAGAAGTTTGGAACCCTCGCGTCGCAGTTCATTGAGGATTCTCTTGATAATGAAGATGACCTCATAGAGGATCACAGTGGAAGTATGACTGCGGTATTCCACTATCAGGCTGCACATACGCCTCATACAGGGAATCAGATCTATGGAGTCACCGTAAATTTTCGGGCTGGTATCACCGACGCTGGCCTTCAAGAATTCCACCAAGCTAGTGAGACCTGGCATCGACTTATCAAACAGCCCTCACAGTACTCTATACCAAGCCCATTGAAAAGACAACGGCCTACTCTATTTACTCCTCAGGCTTCCCAGCCAGCTAACGTCAATACAGAGTGGGAATGGGACGAGAGTCCTTCTAAACGAGCGCGGAGTCAGGCACTTGAGTCCACACTCTTTCAACGATTTCATCGTTGCCATGAGCCTCGACAGGGTGAACGCCGCTGGACTATGGAGCAGGCGCAGACAATTCTGAAGCGCATGTATGGGCCAGAAGCGCAGTATCGAACAAGTAATCAGCAACAAGCCTTGCAGTATATCATCCAGGGTTCTAGTTAAGCGGTTGCAGTTCTTCGAACAAATGAGGGCAAGAGCCTGCTCTATCTTCTGCCCTGCCAGCTTCCCGGTGCACGAACAACCGTGGTAGTGCTTCCTTTATTAGTCCTTAAGCAGGATATGCTCCTTCGATGTCAGAATGCTGGAATTGAGGTGACCATCTGGAATCAGCAGGATGAATCAAGACATCTCGGATCGAGTCCACTGATCCTCGTGAGCGTTGAGCAGGCAGTACACATCAACTTCCGAACCTTCCTTCTCTGGCTACAGCTTGCCAATCAACTTGATCGTGTCGTGTTTGACAAGTGTCATCTGACTCTGACAGCCTCTTCTTATCGCAAGCGAATGGCCTTACTTCCTACATTACGTGATATTCAGTGTTGTCGGATTAGTCGGTTTATTCCAGGCCAATCCTGAAGAGTGTTTTACTAGGATCAAAGAAAAGAAGTGTCGGAACGTGAATATCAAACCTAGCGCGTTTCGGCACTGGATATCAGTTAGTCCAACGCGGCACGTGCGTGCCGCGTTTATATGTAGCTAGCTATCCCCCGTCCCCCTTACTCTTGGGGGGCAGTCATCAATATCAGGAATTCTATACCATATTGATCAGGCTCGTCAGCTCGTCGGAATAGCTGTTCTACGTGACTAGTGCTAGCGACCTAGACGTAGATAAACCGACAAGAAGTGACTAGCAAGATTGTATGTATTGAGTTCTGTATCTCTCTCTCCATCAGGTTTCAAAGCCGGGCCTTTTATAGACACTTTTGGCGGGGTGATTTGTGAGTCATCAAGAGGGGTAAATTTTGGGGGCTATAAGATAGGGCTTCTGATTGTTCACTTCCTTTTACTGCCTCCGGATATCCGAATTATCTGACACTGTCTTGCTGGATATCCGGTTTATCTAACACCAGGCACGATGCGTATATGTATGTAGACGATTCCTAGACTTAGAGAAGTAGCGAATAGCTATTTCATCAATCAGACCCTACGATCTACGTTAGACCGGATAGCCCTTCTTGCAACTGTCCGCCTACAGCGTCTTAATCTCTATCACCCACTTTGAAGACGCGCAGAACAGATCACTAGTAATGGCCAACAAACCAGCCAATTTGCCCGCTGTATACTGGCCCTCCTTAACTCTGAACAGATAAACCCTCTCCAATACACTCCCTGACACCCTCGCGAGTCTTGCGAGAATGCTCAAACTCGAATAGGAGCTCCTATGGGACGTACTAAGGAATAGGCAGCGGCTAATTTCATGGCTTTCCAACGCACCATTCCTAGCTCAGATATTGTAATCTTTTCAGATGGATCTAGGCTAGTAGACGGACATGCTGGGGGTGGCTATATTGGACTTCAAGCACACCATTAGTTTCTCCGCTCCTCACTCTTATATGGACACGGGAAAGAGGTCTTCAATGTAGAAGCAGAAGCAGCTCTAGCTGGTGCTCAAGCAGCAATAGTGTACCTAATAGCTCAATTTGCTATCAACCTATGGATCTACCTTAATAACCTGGAAGTTGCCACACGCCTTCTATCTCCCTCTACAGGATCTTCCCAAGAAATCTTTGAATCCTTCCGCACCCTTACAGCTGCCTGGCCACTCCGCAAAAGGCTTCCTCACACCAAAAGCAGATCTATCTAAATCCGATGGGCCTCTAGACACGCCAAAATCCCTGAGAACGAAGCGGCTGATCTCACTGCCAAAGAGGGAGCTGCCTCAACCCCTCCTGCTCCTCACAAATCCTCATACGCCTCGCTAAAGAGACACGCCAAGACTCAATCCCTATCCGCTGCTCAGTCACAATGGCAGAAGATGGCACCACAGAGTTATTAAGATCTAGAAATAACTACTTCCCCTAAGCGCCCTGGGGAGCTTCAACTCAACCAACTTGACCTCGGCCGTATTATTGCGGCCCATACTGGTCATGGAGACTTTATGGACTACCATGAATATTTTAACCATGATGATGCTTACCTTCTCTGCCAATGCAAAGCATAAAAAGCACCTCTACACTTCTTCTTCTGCTATATAGCTAAGAGATGAGCTCCCCGGCCTCCTGGGCCCCCTTCTAAGGTCATCTCTTTTCTCTTAGGCACTGCTAAAGGAGCATAAAAGCTAGCTACATGGCTAGCAGAGACCCACTTCTTTGAGGATATCTGTCCTCGCCAACCTCTTCTTAGCACCTAGCTAAGACAGCCCTACTCTTCCTTTATATTTCTCTTCTCCCTCTTTCTTTCTCTTCTCTTCTTTCTTTCCCTTTCTGCAAAACTTACTGTTCAGTTATGATAGTGGTGGAGTAATAGGTCATGGAGTGTAGGTGGACTATTGCAGCTGGTAAATACCCAAAATCTACTCCAAGTGGACCTCCCTGTAAGACCACGGCAGCTATGGAAACGCGCTAAAGAGTCTCTTATTTATACATAAATCTGATAGGACCTGAAACCCGAGGCTTACCCCTTGGCGGCCTATGTCCCAGTAGGGATCGGTGGGAAGCGTGCGAGTCACGAACCACGGCCGTTAAATATACACACACACACACACTCCCCCTCGTTCTTAGGAATAAGTCACAATATTAGGAATCAAGATATCTTCATATTGTCAGGCTCATTAGGCCGCTTCGTGTTCGCGCCTTACTACCGTCTATGCTTCGTGATACGGACCGTAGTTAAACCAACAGTAACAGTCGCATAAGTTGACTGTTCAAGACCTGAGGGGGGATGTAAGGGAGGAAATAAAGAGGGTAAGAGATTTAGGATGAGAGAAGAGGAAGGGGAAGGGGATAGGGCAGGTAGAATGGAGGTCGTCAAGATACCACTGATATAGGCGTTGAAATGTTGTTGGGCTACTGAGGCAAGGTCATCGCTTAGAGCGGTGAGGGCTCTCAGTAGGTGAGAGACAAGGCTGGTGGTTTGGCTGTGGTATTTATTGAGGAATGCAGCTATAGGGCTAAAGATCTTCTGTCCTTCAGAAGCTCTTGTTGTGGCTGTAGACGTGGATTCCAGTAGAGCTATCTGTAGAGGGCTATCTGTACCAGGGCCTTTATGCGCCATTAGAGCTCCGAAATGAATAAATAATCATGATTATTGACCTTATTCATATTCACGAGTTATGAATATGATTAAAATGAATATTATTCATATGAATATGGGCCATATTCATATTTATATTCATATTCATGAATATTTCCGGGTGAACTATTTTTCCGCGCTGGCAAACACCCGTGCCCTAAATTAAGGCATACTGTGGGTGCATAAAGCACGTGTACACGTTAATGTACGTACGTACATGAATGGTTAGCAGGTACTGCAATTCTGTATGGGTTCAAAATGTGTGTGATTGTAGCTATCTAACTCACGCCCCGACGCGGTCTTACATCCCTCTATCCTAGACGAGGTCACGTGACGCCCTGCGGCTCAGTGCGTCGGAGTGAGGCATCTCGATTGCTCCCACAAACCAACACTGGATCTCTTTTACAAATTGGATTGCGATCGAGATCCAAAAACCCATGAAAAACCATACAAAAACATAACGAAGGGATCAAACAAAAGATCTATTGAGGTAGCTGGCGTGTCCGAAAACACGTCTCCACTTCGATCTCGTCCCCCACTTGGCCCCGAATCGCCTCCTAATCGCTCCCGGTTCTCTCAACGAAGCCTTCAACACAAACTATCAGCTTATTGCTGTCAACAAGATCCCGTAGGGCCTTGTTAGGGCTTGACTTCGTAAAAGCGTCGGCCGGGTTATCGTCTCCATGGATCCAACGGATCTCGTGGATCTCGTGCTTCTCATAAGATTGACGAAGTGCCATGATATTGATCATGAGGCGTTTCTCTTTGGTGGTCCCAAGCTTACCGAGGCATTCATAAAGCGAAAATGAATCCGTACAAATAATTACAGGTATTGCCGGTAGGTCCAGACGACTAGTGATCATTTTGGCGGTACTGGTAATAGTGAACGCATGGTCAAATCCAGCTGTAAGGCCATAGACCTCAGAGGCTAGTACACTCTGTGTAACGCGTTTACACTTTGCTGATTGCCAATGCAAGATGTTGCCAGTGGCGACGAAGCAGCCTTGCTGCGAGAAGTCTTTGTTGACCATGGTAATCAGGAATCCGATTTGGGAAGTCAAATCCCGGTTATTGGCAAAGGATCCATCAGTAAAAACCATAATCCTGGCTTTGGCGAGGTTGAGAGGCATATAATGGAGCCCTCTCTCTGGATTCTGGGCCTGCCATATGAGACGTTTATTCAACGCCTCATAATCAGAATTGGAGCGATCCTTCTCTTGCAGCTGAGCGGCCACGGCCAAGTCATACGCAGCTTCAGGTTGGCAGATCAAAGCCAGATAGGCTCCCCGTGCGCGTTGTTCGACATACTTCTGTGCGCGTTCTTCCATACCCACTGGTTGGATCTTCGCTGCTTGCCCTTTCTGTTGTAAATTGATAATGCCATTCTGCAGGGTAATTCTTGCACCATTGAATTCTAGAGGCTTAGTCTCCGAGAGTCGTGTTTTTGGCTTCGCTTTAAAGCTTGCCTCTTGCAACGCGGCTTGTTCACCTCTGGAGAACTTTTCTGTACAGATAAGAAGTGTGTCGTCTGTTTGCATTCCCACAAGTCCAAATTCGTCGTCTCCTAGCTTTGAGATAAGAAGGCATAGGTCGTACGTCGAGGTTTCCATGTTTAATTTGTTAAGATGGTGCGCCTGGTATGTTCCAAACTAATGAACACCTGCCTCAGGGATCCCATATAGCGGGCCTTCAACTAATAGGAGTGAATCTGGTGGATACTTATTCTGCATTTCAATGGGAAGATTGGCGATAATCAGACGCTCGAGCTTAGTCTTCGCCTGTGTGTATGCTTGCGTGATATCCCGGATCTCAACGACCATTCCCATCTCAATGAGTGTGGGGATAAGCGACACTAATAAGCATTGGCTTGCACGCTGGATCGTGGGTGCCTGGGTCAAGATCTTATCCTTCCTAGCGTCGTTATATCCTTATATAACAAGTCGAGATTTCTTATAGGGAATCTCGTTCTTGCCCTTTATCTTGTTGATAAGGCGGGAATTGAAAATTCTGATGCCACGCAGGTCCATATTGGCATGGTGAAGGATCTTGAAGGTCCCATTTGCTATCAAGCTGTCGATCTCTGTTTTTCCTGATAATTCGAACGGCGCACCGTTGGTGGTGATCTTGCCTTCACGCCGCAGCTTGACGGCAAGTTCAAGGTCGTCCCTCTCCTTTTTGGATATGAACACTTCGGCATACGCTTTTGGCTTATTTTTGGAACCACGCGGTCGTCCTCGGCGGCGTGGCAACGCAGGCATCTCGGGGGTCTGCAGTGCGTGGACTCCCCCAGTCTCAACATGGTGATTCAGATTTGCAGGATGGTCTTGCAGTCTTACCCTTGCTCTAGTCCTCGGAGTCTGGTCGAAGTCGACTTGGGACCGACCGTCCTGGCGATTGAGATCCTCTTGGGGGGGAGAGAGAGGCAATCTAATCAGGCGATCACTCTCATCCTTGCTATCACGTAAATACTGCTGTACCAACGTCGCCCTGAATGCAACAGCACCATTTCCAAGATCTACAGTCACGTCATGGCCATTGACTGATATAACTTTGTACGGTCCTAACCAACCATCTCCTTCACGCCATACTTTGACTTCGCTCCCTAGTACAAGATTAAGCGTTTCCGTGATAATTGGGCCGTTCCTGGTGTTAAGTGCGTCATTGACTTGTCACTCTGCCATGGCACGTCTTAATTTGGCCATCGCCTTTCTCATTGCCTCAGCATGTCAAGCAGTTAACGCGGATGGGGGCGAGTCAGTCGTTATGCGCGGGTAAGCGCCAAAAACGAGTACGGTTGGAACTATCCCATCTGGTCCTACAGTATCATTGATGGCTTTAATAGCCATCTGGAGGATCACGTCCTTGTCGACGCTGGCGCCTAGTTCTGCCAATATAATGTTGTATGCTCTACGCAGTGGTGCATGGTAATGCTTAACTTTCCCGATTGCATTATGTGCTTCCACTGGCACTTAGTGACATTGGATTCCCATCATCTTAGCCTCAGTTTTGAATTCTAATGCGGCAAAATTGGTTCCTGCGTCGTGTGAGATGACATCAGGAGGGCCAAGATAGGTGTCAATCCACACTGCCCGGAGCGCTTCCCATGTATCTTTCGCAGATAAAGACTTTAAAAATCATGCGGCCTGGAAGGACGTCGCCCAATCGACAACATGAAGCACCAGCTTGCCATCTAAATACATAACATTGATAACAATCTCATAGTTAAACTCACGATCATCATTCAATGTGAATTTAAAGCGTCGTGGTGCCTGCCGGTTCATTTGGCAGTGATGGCAAACTTCTCAATTTCTGCAAGATTGTTATATCCACATCGTCATGGCCTGCTTGTTTAAAGCTTGTGCAGCGGTCAACCACAGGATGGCCAAACCAACAGTGAAGTCGTCTCATCTTAATCTCTGTGAGAAATATTACTGGCGCCTGCTTCTTATTAAGGAAGAACTATGGGTGGCCTTGCTTTCTGATAATTGGGACCCGTACGTCTCCCTTTACTATGCAGTTCGCAATGTTATCTAGGTAAGCGCCATGTTTATCTATATCGTCTAAGCAAAGCAAGAATGGGGTTGGCGTGTTCATAATATGAAAATCAACATCACCAATTGGGGTTGTTATGGTAACAGCATCCTCAGAGTGAACACTCTCACCTTGGCCAAATCAAATTGAGTGCTCTCCTGCACGGGTCCTATCAATGGTAATCTCTGGATAGCTTCTCTGCAAGGCAGCAAGTTGACGTCGGCCAACAGTTGATACCTTTGCTGCTCCAGTATCTGGAAGAATTCCTTGGAAAATCTCGCCTTCATGGTGTTCAAGTACAAATTGAGAAGCAGGTTCTAGGAGGCCATCCTTGCGCTCTGATTGATCAAGCTCTCTTACCTCCAATTTGTGGTGGAATCCTTCCTGATCGATATCGTCGTGGTATCCACTTATCCAATGGATAAAGGAATGATCTTGCAGTTCGTTGATCATGAAATACGCAGTGGCGTCGTCCTCAATGTCGTCTTCTTCTTCAACGTTATCCTCCTCACTATCTGACTCAATTATATAGCCCTTTTCAAAGTCCATGATAAAGGCGCGATATGTGCGGTCAGAAGCGGAGCGTCTACCATCTACACGTTGATAATCATTAAACCGCTCTCTCGCTCTGCGGCGCTCCTTGTTGGAGTGTTTGAACAAGCGGCAATCGGACCTGTGGCAGATCCAACACTTCCTATCACCTTGTTGGCGGGAATTATGATCATCACGTCCCTGGCGTCGATATCCTTGACGTGGGGTTTGTCGATTATTCTGGTTTATGCGGCCCAAGAACTTTCTATCTGTGTACAGCGTCATTGGATTGTCTTCTCCTATCCCATTGGGAGCTGAGTTGGCTTTAACTCGGGTTAGATATTGACTGGCTGACTCCTTTCCTTGGACCACAGCGGCCCTGGCACGGAGTCTTGATACCAACATCTCAAAATTCGTTGCAGGATCACTAAGAGCGTCGCTCATCTCAGGCGAATCTTGACAGGCTCTAGTGACAGCAGCAACTAGATGTTCCTGGCCCTTGTACGCATTTCCCAGGGCACATTGGCATAAGTGAAGTTTCTCAATAAGGATTTCTACTGCTTCCACAAGCGTTTTGCTGGGGTTGTTATGGAGAACGCCTTTCAATGTGGTCGACGTCCAGTCCTGGTAGTACACCTGATGGTTGGAATCCGTGTCAAAGTACGCCTTTATAGCTTTGTACGTATCTATAAATGAAGCATCTTGACCAATATGGTGCATGTAGTAGGTTTTTGCACGCCCAGAAAGCATCTCGGGAAAGAGTATCCAACATTGCGTTAATTGTACTCCAATCAATCGACAAACTCTCAGGAAAGCAAGGACTTTGTCGTCTAGGATATCATATCGTTCTCCTGAATAACTCTCTGCCTTGTCCCATGCCTTGGAAAACTTTGCGGCCAATGACGGGTCAATATCCTCTTGTTCATACTCTGTAGGCGGCAATCTCATGTACTCATTAAGTTGCCTCGCAGATGTCAACGACATAGAGGGACGCGGAGGTGGTGTGGTAGATATCTTGATTGGACTGGGGGCCGGTGTCCCTATCGGCACTGCGTTGGCACCAGTCAAGGGTGTACGACTATCAAGATCTCGGACATGAGTCTCCAGCTGTAGGGGGTTATTGTTGATTCTTCTCTCTGGATCTCTCCCGAGTGTTGTCTCTTCCTTTTCCTTGTCAGAATAAGGCAATCTAATGAGGTAATCCCTATTATGATTCTCAATTCTCTTAGCCGGTGGGGTAGTGTCACTCCTTGGTGTTAACTGAGCTTGTTGACCTAAGGCCATCCTTGATCTTGAGTCAAATTTCTTGCCGGCGATCATGTCATCTGGCCATCTTGGAGGAATATCTATCTAAAGCAATTCGACTAATCCTTCTGAGATGTTTTTCTTACCTCTATGGTCCAAATAAACACCACGTATCTGAAGGAAGTCTTTCAGCTTGCTTCTCGTGGTCCTATCAAGCTTATTGAATTCGACCAGAGTCCATTCTTCAAAGTAATCATGAAGCTATTCGAATAGTTTACGGTCAAAGTGATGACTAACAGCAGCCTCGTACATGGCCCTTATTGTGTAGTTGACCAACGCTTCTACACTGTCCCCCGGTCCAGCATTCTTTTCCCACAAGGTTAGATCGATCTTCTTATACCCGGTGACAGTGTTAAATCCAGTCTCTATCATAAAGTCGTCGTCAGGAATTCTAGTAGGTTCTGACTTGGCTTCGCTTTGATGGCTAGTAGCAGACCCAAAGACTTCAGGGTCATTGCTTAGCAGTGGTTGTCTCAAATTATTAAGGGTTTGGGAAGCTATTATTCTCACTAATCTTGGTGATTTCCTTATTGGGTTGACTCGGTTATCTTGATGATTGATTGTTTGGTGTTGACTTTCGAATGTGTCAACGACGTGGTCTCGCGATAGGGCGGTATTATGGAATATTGACGCTATAGGATCAACTTATTCCTAACACAGACTGCCTAAGATTATCTCTTAGGGGGGAAAGTCTTATAGTAAAGATTCAGTTTGTCAGAGATGTGACGCTACAGAATCTCCCTCTTCCACTTGGTTTGTGATGCAGTTAACGAAGCCTGGAACCAGGTTCTTTATAACTATAAGTGATTATAAGAAAGAACCTAGGACCTTGCCAATCTGTCTTGATATTGCAACCAAGACTGATCAGTGTGGGTGCATAAAGCACGTGTACACGTTAATGTACGTACGTACATGAATGGTTAGCAGGTACTGCAATTCTGTATGGGTTCAAAATGTGTGTGATTGTAGCTATCTAACTCACGCCCCGACGCGGTCTTACATCCCTCTATCCTAGACGAGGTCACGTGACGCCCTGCGGCTCAGTGCGTCGGAGTGAGGCATCTCGATTGCTCCCACAAACCAACACATACCAACCGCCACAGAATCAGCAGATTTCGATGCGAGTTTCTTCAGTTTATCTTATATTAGCCATAAGGGTATCAATTACTTCTAAATACAGATATAATACAGAAAGTATGAGGTCCTTTTCTTATAACAACGAGAATCTCGGCTTAAGAGAAAATATATCTGAAGTTGTTGGTTGCTTCGTGCAATCGAGATGCCTGGCACTGGTATGCAGCAAGGAGAGGTCACGTATGGCTTACACGTGACCTCGTCAAGCAAGGACTATATAGACCGCGTCAGGGCCTCATTAAGACAGATAGACACAACAGAACACAGAACCCAAGAATCACCTATTGAGATTGACTCAAGTGCTTCGTACGTACGCATATGCACCTTAGTGCACCCACAGAAGTCCTCAAGTTCAATCATAAATCCAATGCATAGTATATATAATCATTGCGTACAGTTCAGGTAGAGACAGCATAGGTAACGCTTTCTTACTTTGCAAGGTTTAAGTTCCTTTAAAATTCTCTGGAATGATTACTATACCTATTTGTCATGTATAACACGTAAGAGTAGCATTCCATTTCATATATTCAAGTTTAACAGATTGTTTACCTTTTTTGTTTATATTATGGCTAGGAATAGATTAGACTAATTAGCTACGTGACGGACAAGTCTGAATATTGTTTAGTATATAAACTAGAGGAATTGGGCTCTTCTAAGTTTCCCAACCCTTGTTCCCAATTTCCCAAAATCGCAAATATCTGTCTCCGAGTATTTCACTTGATATTCCTTCTTGTCCCTTATTTACTGTAGAGCTCTGTTTATACCCTCTTCTCATGGCTTTTTCTCATGATTCATCTTCTTGCATAACTTAAAAGAGACCTCGTCCTGATTATAATGCCTTGAATAATGACATAGTTTCTGACGTTCTTCTATAGCATGACAAAGTAGAGCCTTCTGGCTCTTCCTCCCCTGAATCTCTACCTTCTGATATGCCTACTCCATCTAATGATCCTGTGCCTACACCTCACAAAAATATATCTTCTGATAAACTAAATCTACTGCCATCTGAATCAGCGTCACAAGTGGTGAGGTCTTCTTAATAGAATTTGGATGATTCTTCTCAATTAGACCAAGAGAGTAATTTTGATGAGACCCCATCAAAAAAAATAAAGAAAGAGATCACGTACTAGCTGGACTACAGACCATTTTGATGCCATAGGCCTTGAAACTACATGGTGTCCCAAAGAAGGCTATTATAGAAATGATAGACTTCTTTTGTGTAAACAATGTAATTAGTTATCAAAGGACTCTGCTTGACAGGTGGCTATAACAAATTTAGCTATATACCTTCACAAAGAACACTACATTAAACAGAATATAATCACACCTCTAGCTAGGCCTCTTAATATATTCACAGAACCAGCTAAGTCTGGAATTGATTCTATGCAGGCTCTTCTTCACTGAGTAATTAAAACACAGCAGCCTTTTACAGTTGTTAAACATTCTACTTGGAAAGAACTTCTTAAGAGTCTAAATGCCAGCTGCCCTATCAAAACTACAGATACTCTTTGAAATCAAGTTCAGAGTGAGTATTCAACTTGGAGAAACCAGTTAAAGCAAGACTTAGCTGATACCTGCTAATCAATTTTACTTTTACTTGACATCTGGACCTTCAAAAACCAGATATCATTTCTTGCCGTTGTTGGCCATTAGCTTACTCTAGATTTTAAGCTTCGAGAAGATCTTCTTAAGTTTATAGAAATTAATAGATTACATTCCAGCAAAAATCTATCTACAGTTGTCAAAAGTGTACTTGAAATATTCTAAGTCGAACATAAGCTTCTAACAATCATGGGAGATAATGCCAGAAACAACCTAACACTCTGCGATTATCTTTATACTGACCTGTCAAAAGACTTTGATGAAGAAGATAGTCCATTCTGTATGAAACCATTTATGCGGTTCTAGGGTCGGGACAGTTTTATTGGATGTCTTGCATATATACTAAATCTTATCTGTAAGGATATTCTAGTATTCTTAAAGGCTGGTTCAGTCTGTGATGCACATGTTATACTTGATAAGATGCCATTACAGAAGGATCCTTTAGCTGAAAAGGCACTTTTGATAAAAGGTGCTATTGTTAAGATCCATCTTTTAGCCTTATGAATTAGTTACAGCCCCCAGAGAAGACAAGCATGGAAAGATATCTCCCCTTGTAAGCAAGTCAATTACGACATCAATACTCGCTGGAATTCAACATATAATATGATCTCTAAAGCTCTTCGACTTTGAAAAGAAGTCACTCAATTCATTCATAAATATCCAGACATTTAAGATATGCAACTGACAAATAATAACTGGTTGACACTAAGACAAATTCAGAAGGTCCTGAAACCATTCTAGGACCATACCAACTCTATCTTAAAACATTGCCCAAACATTATTGAAAGTCTTCTAATATATTAGAATCTTGATGATATTCTTGACGATATTAAAAATAATAAAGGCGACTTTCAAGAGGTTACTAAGAAGGTTCAGAATGCTGTCGAAGCAGGAATCTGGAAAATAGATAAGTTTACTAAGAAGATGGATTTAAATATTATCTATTACATAGCTGCTGTTCTTAATCTACAGGTTAAGATCTCCTTTATTAGAGCACAAATGAGCAAGTCTGATGTAGATGTGATTGTTTCTGATATACATGAATATATTAAGAAACAATACTCTGCAAGTCCTACCTCTTCCTCTAGTGCAGAGCGTCCACCAGGTATGCTAGAGACATTATAGAGAAAGCTCAGAAAAATCTAGCCTGTGCAATCTATAGATATAATATCGGATATTGATTGGTACCTAGATTCAAGCCCTGAGATGTGGTCCCATAGTATGATAGAAGATGGAGATCCTGACTGGATCTTGAAATGGTGGAAAGTGAATGCCTTCAACTATCCCCTAATGTTGAAAGCTGTATGAGATTATCTTCCTATTCTATCTGTTGAAGTAGGTGTTGAGAGACTATTTAGCAATGCACAAGATATTCTAGGTATTTAGAGACAATGCCTGAATTCTAAGATACTTAGATGGCTGATGTTCCTTAAGGGGCAATATAGTAAAGAATGTCAGGACTTAGCATAAAGATGCTTAGGAAGCGGAATTTCCTTATCGATTTTAGCTGGTTTGCTATTTGTATATACTTTTCTGTAGCTATTTCACATATGATCTTAGGAGCAAGCTCAAGCTTCAGACGCCTCCCTCATCCTTGTTCCAGGCTAGTCCCGCCTGATGCTAACTATAAGGGCATACTCGAATAGAAAACGTAACATAAGGAAAGGAAAGAGAAAGAAAACTACAAGTTCTTCACGCACATACAATCTTATATAGGCAAGGGGAATCAGGAGCTTCCCATAGGCTTCTCTTGGGAAATCCGAATTTGCCGGATATCGAGGGTCTGCTCGTGATCCGGGAATAGCTTCATGTTTGGGGTTGCCGAACAATAATCTAGCTAAACTCTACATATTATTTTGGCTGTCATTTCGACTGTCGTTTTGACTGTCGTTTTGACCTGTGGAGAGTGCTATTGTCAATATCCGTGAGGGCTTCGCCCAAACGTGCTCATGAGGTCAGCTCATAATATCCTTTATGAATATTCATGAATATGAATATTATTCATATTCGTTTCGGAGCTCTATGCGCCATGGTGTTGCCGGACGCATTGGGACGCGTTGAGACGCGTCAAAAGGCCGCACCCCTGGGAGCTAGGTGGTAGAGAGGGGTGAGGAATTTGAGCCTCTGACTGTTTGATATGAATAATGATGATGGGCTAGAGAGAGAGTGATATTGAAAAGTCTAGCTAACTATCTGAGATCCGTGGCGTGCGAGGTTGATGTCCTTGCTACGATCACGCTAGGCCCAATACGGTACCGACGTCTACCTGTATGGCAGGCAGTCCCGTGAAATAATTATAAGGAAGTCGCCTTTCAACTCGAAATCGAAGCCCCAACAGCATGGAGAGTGATTATCGCTAAAGCGGAATGGTGAATTATATCATGTGATCAAGTGTTGAGAGCCACATCACACAAACTAATGCACCACGCCACATTTCTAAGTCAGGGATGATTGTTGTAGTATATTCGAGGCGTTCATTTCCCAGAAATTCGATGTACATTGTCGCCTGAACTGGTAGATATTATTGTTTTCTAGACGACCACTGGGCAAACCTTCGGAAAGATTTTGCATGGGAATAGTTGAATGAGAATTCACACTATTCTTGCGATAGTTATATGTAGTTCTCTCTGTTTCTGTGCGAGTAACCTGGCGGATTCCTGCTGATCGTGGTTGCCAAGCTTTAAGAGTGCTGTCCACGGGGTCACGAATTTCCTATGGGGGAACAAGACGCAATCCATCCGACCTACACCACCGACAGCAAGATCAGAGTCACGGCAGTTCTTTACTCAGATGCGGGTGTGACTCAATGCCATCAACTTGCTCTGCATGAGTATAATATCGATTTCACCTAGGACTTCATTCTCTTATTAAACACCAGACAGTTGTCTTTTTCCCTCTAACTCGACATATGACAGTGTGCTGAATTGTTATTTGGTTAGTTATGACTTACTCAAGCAGACCGAAACACTATTCTTTAATTGACTCTCCATCAGGTCAGAAAAACAACAAGGTAGATAAGGGAAAGTACGCAGTCACCGGTTGATTCCACAACAAATCGGCCATAATAATCAAGTCATAAAGACCCAAAAGAAGTGATTTACTCTTGAATTGACCGTCAGGCGTCAGATACTACACAACAGCAAGCAAAACTAAAGACACCATGGGCCATATCCCCTTTGGATCCCGTGTCAGGGTTTTCTCCCGGGCCTAAACATTTGAAGCTGCAAAAATGTTCCTTAGACGTCTAATTGACCTCTACTTTGCAGTAAACGAACCCTATCCGCGCCCTTATTTTCCTCACGACTGCAGTATCCCAACCCTTCCAATCCGTTCCTTCGGCGTTTTGGCAAAGAAATCTCGCACAGTGACTAGCTTGACGGCAGGATAACGATCATTGTGGAGCGGTAGCGGTAATGCCGTCTGGCCGTTAAGCGAATAGTACGTGTAGAACAGACCTATCCAGGCCATGACGTTGTCTGGATCCTGATCCCGTGTTTCATGCATAAGCTTATAGAGATCCTCTAAGCTTCCCAATTGTACCAATCCCGGCTCTTCGCCATAGACGTCCCGAAAGTCTGCGACGATCTCTTTGATATTGACGTGGTCACCACGAACTACAAGGTAATATATCATCAGCGTGTAATTTATCGATTCATTTTAGACTCTGTAAGAATTTCAGGAGGCTGCTGTACGCATAACGAATAGGGATGAATAAAAACAAGTGACATAAACCGAAAGCCGTATTATCAGAGACTTACAAGAAAACCACCCTACTGCATCCTGGTCCACTGCAATCTCTGCGGTAAACTGAGCTGCATTTCGATAGGTGGTGAATTCCCATCGTTCATCTCCTGTGCCCCAATACTTAAACAGATGACCTTTGGCGTCCCACATCCCCACCCACGGTCGTTCTAAGAAACACGCATTTAACACATGAACGGCTCTTATCTGTCCCTCCGCCTCCCTCTCCTCTAGATATGCCTGCACAAGCTTCATCGGATCTTTAGGGGGGTGTTGGCCGAGCTCCAACTTGCGGAAATCCATCGACCAATCCCCGGCAATATACCGAGGAACGCCCTCAGCGATGCATGCGTCGATGAGGAGTTTTTGTCCGTCAACCATCAAGGAATGAGAGCCTAGATAACAGCAGATAACCACATGGGCGCCATGGAGAGCGACCCGGAGCGCGGTGATATCGGTCGAGGATATGGTATGGATGGCGAGACGGGGTTCATTGTGGAGCTGACTAGGTAGCTTGGAAGGTGTACGGCAGAGACCATGGACACGAACGTTAGGTTTAGCCAAGAGGTACTCCGCGATGAGCCTCCCAAGACCGCCAGTGATACCAGCAATGGCAACTGTGGTGAATGCATTTGTGGACATGAGGAATCTTAAATCGGAAACTCGAGCTTGCTATTTCGATGATAGGAGCTGTTCAGGAAGGACTACATTGTAGTTTTTAAATATATTTTAGCTTTATAAGTGTCGGTATAGCAATCTTGCCTATCTCGGCGCGGGAATGGGATATAGTTTATCCGTGCGCTAAAGCGTACGGAGGATAACTACATCTCACCACCCGCATCCCCCTAGTTCTTAGGATTAGTCGCAATATTAGGAATTCAGTATTACTGGCTCAGTCAGCTTGTTGGATTAGCTGTCCTTCTTAGATCTTGCGATCTAACGAAGGTAAACCAACAATAAGATCTTATATCTATGATATATTTATCCTATACAATGATTAACTCTTCACGTCACACGCCTGACAAATTAGTAGTCCGAGGTCTCGGCCTTCGGGTTAATCCATTTCCCGTGTACAGACTCTCTTATTAATTTAGCCCCAGCTCTTAGGCTGTTGCCTGACGCTACTAGCCAGGATACACATGAGCTGGTGGTGGGGACTGGTATTCTGAGCTAATGGTATTGCAGAGGTTCTGAATTGATGCTGTCAGCTCACGTAGAGACCTGGTCGGGTGTCATTATATCTTCGCTAGCAGCGGATATTTTATCGATGATTCTCCTTATAGACAAATGGATGTGTAATCGATGGTGGTTCAAGTTCTTTCACTGTGAAACTTCCATGTTCCTATAGAATTCAAATACGGCGAGAAGAAATATCTGAAGGGGTGCCTTAACACTAAGCATTTTCTACTTGTGCTTTTCGAGGACATGCAGCTATGCGGCACGAGCTCTAATTCTGACCAGACTTCTCTGTCTCCGTAGATTATATGATTTCACTAGCGGTGCTTTACTTCTTAGGCTCTAGATAGCTATCTATAATGATATGACTTACAGTTATTATTGGCTTATCTCCTTTTACATATGCTCGGTGAGCGAAAACAATCAACGAGCTGATATCGGCTATCGACGGGTCAGCATATGGGTAATCAGCATATAAGCAGTCAGCGCGCAGAAGGTCAGCATGTAAGATGCTGCAGTACCAACGCGGTGGCCAATAGTTACAAACAGGGCCCTTGAAGTGTTGAATTCATACTATCCCTTATAGCATAGTAAGCTACCAAGCTACCAGTAATTCTCTGTGTTACCATATATATCTAGATTAGGACGAGATATCTGAAGTCCTTTTAAGGGCAACTATTTAAGATCACGTGCTTACTTATTGACTGGCAACGAACACACAACTCTTGTCAATTGAGAATCGACAGTTTATAGGAGCAAAAAACAGACAGAATCGACACAGAGATACAAATTCATAAACAGCTCATCCCTATACCGCAATGCTTACTACACTATTGACCATTGTGCTTCTGACCCTGTTCCGACATTGCGAGGCTGGCCACAGCCCAGACATTTCCTGCTCTCACTGAATGTTCGATGAACCATCGAATCCCAAACTGGAAAACGCTCAAGTACGACGGTCACTGAGAAGCGGTTTCTGATCTCAAAGTACGCACCAATTGGTCTAGCGGTAGAGAAATATCATCATGAATCGGTCTATGATCTATTCGGCTTCCTTCGAGCTGGTTTAGGAGAAAGTGAGCTTGTTGACTGTAATGAATGTATTTCGGCTGTATTTGTACCGTTAAACGAGAAATAGGACTGCTCAGTGATAGATGAGTCCGATTCAGTACTCGCTATGTCACAAACTGTGCTAAAACTCGTATTCGCAGCCGAGGGTTCAACAGTGTTCTGAGTGACTTTCTCGTTTGCCTGTCTAATTGCTTCGTCACGTTGCTCCTTTGCTCAATCTCTACCATTCCGATACCAGATTGCACCTTCTCGAAACGTCTCAATGCTACCAGTCATTCCCCACGTGTTAATTTGAGTCATGTAGTACTCTGGGCGATCTGAGTTAGGTGGTTTCGAAAGATGACTGGTGAACATCTTTAGGGTACCATCATGATATATGGATGATATAGTATAAGCATTGTTATCAGATTCAGTTTCTTTTTTGCCATACTCTTGAAGCGAGTGCATTCCCCTCGCTCCTAATGCATCGTCATAGCATGCTTGCCTTTTGGCTACTGATGCTGACCCGTCAGGACCTTTTGCAGCCAGAAAAAAATTGGGTGCAATGGGGCTAGGGCACGCCAATGATTATGATTATGATTATTTTACCTATTTCCATAATCATAATCATTAGTTTTAGCCCAAAATCATGATTATGATTAACGTACTACACGGGTCATTCGGCCACCTGCAAGTCCCTGTAACATACGACCAATCCAACCAAGTGATATTCACTATCTAGGTGCCAGTGCTGACGAGAAACTGAGTATGAAGAGGAAAACTATCTATCAAGGAGGAACAGCCCGTATTTAAACCTCTACCCATATTTACTCATTGATAGTAACGTCCATCTCATACAAACCTCTGTTGCCTCACCCGCATCTCAATAGGGAATCAGTGCGTATCAATAACAAATGACAATGCCGATTGATATCACATTTATTGATGGAGACCTTTATTCAAAGGATTCCCAATCAATAAGTGACGCCAAGCCGAAAGCTAGGGCTGAGCCGTCACAGTCCCATACAAAATGGCCTTCTTCAACACCTTGATTTCTCAACAGATTTATATATAAACCATATCTTAGATTTGACGCATGATTCGCTATATGAATCCTTATCAGAAATATCAATTTGGATGTGCGCCTCTTCTATAAGTCTTGAGATATTAGAAACTACCCTAGTTTAGACATCGCCAAAGCCCATGAATGGGCCCGGAGTCCAGGCCCAAAGCCCAACCCTCATGGGCTTTGGGCTCAACCCCTTGGGCCCGAGCCCAGCCCAAGGCCCATCATGGGCCCCCAATGGGTGTAATGGGATGTTAGTCCGTTGGTTAGACAGGAGGAATTATCAATATGGCAGAAGGTCGTTTGGTATTTTCAGACTTTCATTAACAAAGGTACTCTTCCTAATGTACAGAGACTGAAGCTTGAACCAGGAAAGCTACTCTCGTTACAGGAAACCTCCTTCTTATGCATACAGGAGTCGTTGGCAGGAGATCTCATGTTGTACCCCTACTTGGGGGTGGCTTGTCACAGATATCATGTTGTACTGTTTCAGTACTGTTACAATGGGCCCCCATAAGAGCCCAACTTTGCATAAAACTTAGGTCTCAGCATTCATAAAACTGCTGACTCATCGGAAGTTTATTTCGTTAGTAACGTTACTATTATTTACATCCGTTCCAGTCACCATAGTAAATGATTTGTTATGCACACATCTCTAGTTTATCAAAATATGACTCAGATATGAACTTATTGTAAGAGAATGTAGCATGAAAGTGGCATTTGGGGCCTGGAGACCTTGATATTGAGTGCTATCAAACTTCCTTTACTATAGGACACGGTAGCAGGCTTGTTGCTGTCGTTACTAGCTATTCCGCCTAGTGCCTCAGCGTCATCACCTATCTAATAAGCATGATTGTGGGTGCATAAAGCACGTGTACACGTTAATGTACGTACGTACGTAGGATGGTTAGCAGGTACTGCAATTCTGTATGGGTTCAAAATGTATATGATTGTAGCTATCTAACTCACGCCCCGACGCGGTCTTACATCTCTCTATCCTAGTGTTGGAACTCAGAATGAGCTCAACCAATTTGGGAATAGAACAAGATTTGCGTATCAAGAAATTTCAAGAATTGGCATCACATTCCGACGCGATATTGAACATTACAAATCAACTTTACAGCCTATCTCTAGAAAGTTCGATTTGCACAAGTGTCGACTTTTGGTGATATCACTTCTATGGAATCTTGTATATAAAAACAGGTTCAATACTCCTAGATAGTGGTTTGAGAGGAGTGCCGGAAAATAGACCTAGTTCCTTATACGTATTGTTTAGTGCTCGCCTTCGCTTAGTCATCGCTCTAGTAAACCAACGTTCCGACATTAGTTAGTTACTGGTCCCCGGAGACCTAGATAGGGACCAATGATATTCATCATCCTTCCACGATTAGTGTGCCCGTTATAAATGGTAGCATTGTTCCAGGCGTATAGCTAGGGACAGAACAGATTCCGTATAGGAGCTGTTCCTTTTGTGAATCCATATAGGATTCAGTGAGAGCAGGTACTCTTCTCTCGATCTTCATCGCAACTTCGTTGTCTATCATCTCCCCCTAACCCCTCCTCAACATCGATCCACGCAACGCCGCCATCCTATTGGACAAGACTACATGGATGATATAACCGAAGAGACTCTTGAACGCATTCTACGGCTTCATAGCTTCTTAATTTTACCAGCATTCCAAAAGCGATCGAAACCAGGCTTCACGGAAGCTCTCACAGCAATACTTACAAGGAGAGGACTAGCGGTCAACCCAGAGAAGCTCAACGGCTGTGAATTTTATAGACCACTAGATTAGATGACTAGATAGCACCTCACATCATTCGAAATCAAAGATATCACGCGTATAATTAACTTTCCTTTACCTACTTAATGAAAAAGGCTGGAGACAGCTGCACAAGCTATGCCTGAGGTACCTACGCAAGCGGGAACAAAAATGGAAGGTACAACCATTTTCAAATCTACGACACTATTATTAATCCTAACCCCTATCACAATGAGTGAACCTACTCTAGTACCAGGATAGATTACCTCCATCTTTCAAACTAATATTCAACTGCATATTTCCTACTCCAAAACACAATATAAAAGAGATGCGGTCTACATCTTGACATTACTACGGCGTATTTCTGAAAGACAACAGATGCAATTCGCGGGACTCATTAGGGAAACTAATTATACGCAGACTCAGGCATTAACTATGTGCATGGATACTGCAAAATATAAGGAGTTTTTAGTAATGGCATGGGACGCTATCAACAGCTCTGGATATCCTATTAATAATATTGAGACCTTCCGACTTTTTATGGAGAGATTCCGCGCCAGACCATCTGAACGGGCTCTAACAGAGATGGATGTAGCTAATGGCCAACCCGGGACAGATACAGGAAACTATCCAGAAAAATAATAGGGCCAACTCAAAGCAATTAAATCACATAAACCGTCAGGTAGATGGGAAAGTGGTTCAAGTAGACAGTCTCATTGAAATCAGATACCCAGTAAGCCTGATGACTTAGATGAATCATCCTCAGAATCAGACATTTATCATAGACAACACCATCACCAAGATCAATGTAATAATAGACGACACTGGAATTCCTTACCTACCAATTGACGCCCATGTAAATCACTGAAACTAGAGGATGTTATGCTTTTTAACTGTAAGAAAAATTTGATGGTCTCCTTCATCAAACAAATTAGGCAGCTTTCTAGATCATATGGAAAGGAACTAGTTTTTGATGTTATACCTTTGTGCTTACGGGGCGATGCACGTGATTGGTATACGCATCTTTCTGACAGAATCACAGATACAATGCAGGAATCCCTTACAGAGTGCATCTTTCAATTAGAACAGCGCTTCAAGAAGAGCTCATTTGAAGCGCGACGAGAGGCTGATAAGCTCAAATTCTGTTTCGCAAAGGAGAAAGACCTGCCACTAAGAGAGTATGTAGAAAGGAAGGTTATGCTCCTCCAGGAAGCCAACATCAAGGAGGAGGACGAAATTGTCACCAGAGTCTGAGAAAATCTTGACCCAGTCATCATAAATATAATAAGACTAGAGGACCGGTCCCTTGACGAGTTCACTAGACAACTGTTTCTACGGGAAGTCCCAGCTAGACTTGCTTGGAACCAACTGAACCAATTCACTCCTATATATATCTCACCCAGAGCATATCCTAAATCCAAGTACAAGGACGATAAACCTGAACATCAGAAGAACAAGGAAACTAAAAAGGACACTAAGAAAGGAATTGCTAGTAAACGCGAATAACTATGTGACTGCCGACACTGCGGAGGTCCTTATTGGGACTTCAATTACCCAACTCGACGATCAACAGTGAAAGCATATCTGGTCCATGCTGGAGATACCGAGGACTCTCTTTCTAAATCCAATAAAAATGCATTACGCGATCTGCGAAAGCATAGGGAAATGGAGTATGATTTAAGCTCCTCTAATTCATTAAAAAACTAAGTGATGGGTCGGTATCCGGCTCTGCCCCAGCGACTTGCTATCAAGCTAGAATATTACATATCACATCAGTAACCCATTATAAATTATCAGAAAAGAAAACAAAGAAAATAGAAGGACAACCTAGACAACAGTACTAGAACTATTCACACGTTATAGCTATTACAGCTATATTATCTAGATATGACTTAGAATTCTATGGAGACACAGCATCTTCCATTTCTATGATATTGAAATAAACGCTATATCATTACTAGCCAAAAGAAGAGAAAATTCCAATAATGAACACGCCAATCGGCGGCATTACTAGCAGCATCAAAACATCTGCATACATTAACCTAACCCTAGACCTTCAAACAACAGCAGGTCACTCAATTAGTATTCCAGCGAAAGTTCATATGGTGGAGAACCTAAGCTGTGACTTATTGATTAGACTGAATATATTGAAGAAGGAGAGTGTGACTATAGACCTTAAGAATGATTTGCTATAAATACATAGCTAGAAAGGGAATGTACAGATCCAGTGCAATAGAGGAAAAAAGATGAAAAAAGTTGCTATATAAGCCACGGCCACAACTGATATTCCTTCTGGAATACAGAAAGGCGTCCCAGTGATAATTAGAAGATAAGGCCACTACAAATTATCATATACTAAGAGAGGATACCTTTTCCAACCTGAACCAAAGATCAACCTAGCAATCAAAACCTATGCATCAGCTTCATGGGCGCTACTAACAACTAACACCACAGTCATACCTATTGCGAATCTAGGGAAAACAGATATCAAGATAGCTAACAAAAAGCTGGTCAGATGGCTACAAGAAATCCCTCCACAGTCCTACTATGTCATGTCAATGTTAACAGATGATAAGACTGAATTGATGAAAGCTTCCGATAACCCAATTCTATTCTAAACAGATTTTTAGGATGATCCAACAAATGTTGAACTAGCTAACATATCCAACAAATTTGGCCCAGAAATCAAGGAAAAGGTTATACAACTGTTAAAACAACACGGCCAACTCTTCTAATCAGAGTTAGGACTCCTAAGAGGTTCTAGGATGCCAATTCCATTCAAGGACAACAACCTTGACGGTTTAAAAACTAGCCCATATCAGATAAGCCACAGGGATAGGGCCGCTTCCAATAAGATTTTAGATGCTCTACAGAAGGAAGGACAAATTGAACCAGTCCTAGAAAGTAAAATATCACCAATAGCTTCATTCAGATTCATTGTCTCGCAAAATAGCAAACCACGATTCATAGTAGACATGAGGAAGGTCAATGTAAAGTTACTACTCAATTCTTACCTACTCCCACAACAGGACGACATCTTCAAGGCGGTTGATAGCTCCTGCATATTCTCATCAATAAATATTAGGAAAGGGTTCTTTCAACAACCCATAGATAAGAAAGATTATTAAAAAACTACATTTGTTACACCACATCACAGACTTAAAAGACTAAAGGTATCCACCATGGGCTTAGCTACAATACCTTCATTTTTTCAGTAACGGATGGAGAATATACTCAGACCATACCTATAGAAAATAGTTATAGTGTACATAGACGACATAATAGTTTTTTCTAGATCACCTAATGAACATCTCAACCACTTGGATGAAGTCCTTATCTTACTACGACAGTCTGGACTGACACTACAGATCTCCAAATGCCACTTCGCCCAAGGCAGTATTTTCGGTAGTAATTTAATAACCCAAGTCCTGTTTCTAATTCTGAAAGTGTGTTGGGATAGTCCAGCACCTTAATAGTGGCAATTTTCTCTTCATCTGTTGCTAGTCCTAGTCTTGATATATGGTGACCCAATGCTTTGATAGAGCTATAGGTACTTATACATTGCGGACCCCTTAGAAAAGTTGAAGACAAGGCTACTGAAAGGAGCACTATACAAAGGCTGTAAGAGGTAGAACTTTGCAGCAAAATAAAATATGACAGAGTTTAATGATGACTGCAAAGAAGCATGGGACACTCTCAAAGACATATTAGCTAAAGCCCCAGTCCGATTCCTTCCAGACCTTACGAAACCCTTTCTGCTGTACACAGATGGCTCAAAGGAGTTTAGCTTTGAAGCTGCTTTGCACCAGGTCGACAAGAACAGTAAGGAATATCCAGTTCTATTCCTTTTAAAGAAACTATCACTAGCCAAATAAAACTACTAGCTAACAGAATTAGAGGTTGCTACTGCAATATGGGTAATTATAAAACTGCGACAATACCTAGACAAAAATAAGTTCACGCTATACACAGACCATGCCGTAATACAAGATCTCATGCAATCTACAAACTCACATCAAAAAGACTAGAGACTCACTAAATGGGCCTTATACCTTACACAGTTTAGCAATATAAAGGTGGTTCATCGTCCAGGATAAGTCCATCATAATACCGACGCGTTATCTTAACTCCAACAGAAACGAAACAAGACCAACTAGGAAAGCTAAGAATAACATAAAGATACTATTCCTACTACCTTTATAGTTAATGTTATATCAATAGATTCACAATTACAAAAAATTCTGACCTCCACATTACTAGATGATAGACACTTGGGGCAAATCTACAAAAATTTACGCGATATAGCCAACCAGATGAAGAAACAAGCAGAACCAGAAAACCCAATTAAGAATAGATTCAAACTTGACACTGCAACTAGGCTACTATATATGATATGGGAAAACATAGAGAGACTATGTATTCTAGCTAAAGCCCACAAGCTCATTCTCATGGCCACTCATGATTATAAGGGACACCCTAGTATTCAAAAGATATAGGATAGGCTTCAGAAAACCATTTATGTTCCCTAGCTAAAGACGCTGGTGGAGTCATATATCCTAGCCTGCCCAGTCTGTAAAGCATCTAAGGAAGATAGATACCAACAATATGGCCAGCTCAATCCAATCATCATACTATCTTAACTGTTCGCAGTGATTATAATGGATTTTATAATAGGTCTGCCAAAGTCTAAGAGCGATCACAACACACTCATGGTTACAGTTGAAAAGTTCATAAAAGCTATTAAGCTAATCACAGGCTCCACTAAATACACAGCAGTAGAATAGGCTAAGGCATACTTTAAATGCATCTATCTATCCTAGGGTTTACCATAGGTGATTATATCAGATAGAGATGCCAAATTTACCTCAGATTTCTAGTCATACCTATTCCGCAGGGCATCAGTGCGTCTAGGTATCATAGCCGCCTACCACCCAGCTGTAGATGGACAGACGGAATGATTTAACGCTATTATAGAGATAACACTTAGATGCATGCTATACTAATTACCAGATAAAACTATATGGGAGAAATTATTGCCAGATGTAGAGCATTTCTTGATGATATCTAAGAACAAAACAACTAGGAAAACTCCATTCGAATTACTTTATGGAGTTGAAGCTAGGTTAGAATTCATTCTACAAGAAGAATACCGATATGACTCCGCCAACAAATTCATCAAAGAGAGGGAACATATCTGTTCCGAAGCGGTAGACACAATACAATACACACAGAGCTAAATAGCCTTCTACTTTTATTAAAAGCATAAACTAGTGGAACTAAAGGAGAAAGCATATATCCACCTTATAAGGAAATAAGGACACAATAGTTACAAGATGGAAGGCGCAAGCTGCCTATCTCCCATGAAGATGGGGCCCTTTCCCATCAAAAGAAGAGTTGGCAATCTTGCATACAAGATAGACCTGCCACTGGGCCTACACATCCATCCTATTATTTCTGTCATCCACCTTGAACAAGCACCAAAAGATGAATGGGAAAGATCCATTATAACGACAATCCTACAGGATGTTCACCAAATCCGACTGCCATTCAAAGTTAAGGAAATACTAGATAAAAAAGTAATGCCTATTCAATCCGGTTCGAAACGCAAAATCTGGTTCTATCTTATCAAGTACAAAGATGTCAGGAACACTAGTTGGCAACCTACAGCAATTATTTCTATATAATCCCCTGAACTTGTCGCACAATTTGAGAAAAAGACAACACCACCAGAAACGAACGGGGAATCTGGTACTCAAGACCAAGAACCCAGATTCCACCCCTAATTAGGATAACAGCAATATCTCCTTAACCCAGTATTCATACACGTCGCATCCCAGTCATCTCCTACCGCCATTCACTCACTTCACTCCAACTTGATTATGTTCCTAGATAGCCAGGCGATGCTTCCTATATTACCTTATATCTTTTCACCACGGTGAGGCCACCGTTTTTCTGGGGCGGCATTCTGTCACGTGACACCACTTAGTTAGTTACTGGTCCCCGGAGACCTAGATAGGGACCAATGATATTCATCATCCTTCCACGATTAGTGTGCCCGTTATAGGGCGAGAAGGGGCACGTGAGCGCGCCACTGATATCTGGGACCAGGGATAGCTTCATGTTTACACTCTTTCCTTTTCCTCCCTATGCTTAGATTTCTCGTATTAGCTTCCAAATAACATTTGATTGAGCCTTCACAATACCCAGTTTCAAGCTACCAATTCACCCACTCAGTATACATTTCTCAATCATAATAAACGAAGGGTTTCTTCCTGCTGGGACCAACAAGGGTAAGGGAAGAAGGAACTGTAAGAGGTTGTGGTGGTCGGATAAACTCCAAATCAAAAGAATCTAATATCTGCTGGCTAGTTGAAAGATCCAGTGTATCTAACTGCGCGTTCTCAGGTATAAAGTAAGTGAGATTCTCAAAATCACTATCATAGATAGATGAAGATGGATCCTCTGAGCGTTGACTCCGAGACATAGTCACGACTCATGTGGCAAAGAGGAGTAAAGTAGGAAATCAGGACTTAGAGAGTAGATTGCATTTAGAAATTTGAATTACTAAGGCTTTGTAGGTCTAACATTATTTAAGACGTAGAAGATTACTGCTAAATAAGTTTCACTAGAACTATTAGTGCTATCTAATTGGTTATATTTTCCTTCTTAAGTGGGTGAAGCTCACAAAAGCCCACTATAGCAGTATATATGATATCCGTGACAGCTGGAAGTCACACCACTTAGGTGGACAACGTGATACCTCCTGTCAACAACTCACACATACTTAAAAAGGAAGTTCCTTATAACTAGGATTGTTTCTGTTGGTTTAGCACGGTCCCAGAACACGAAGCAGGGATTGGTGCAAGGCTAGTCCAACAAGCCTAAGGGTGAGTTCGATCAATATAGTAACATGATTCCTAATTGATAACTGATAACTCCAACTATCTCATGGGGAACGCAGGCCATATTTATGCCCGCGTAGGAACCTACGTTGGGGATTGAGTAAGGACTCAATCCGGCAATTGAGACATGTACAAACAACAAGTGAAGTATGAATATGAGCTCACAAAGGATTTTGTGAGCTATCCCGAAATCATGAAACACGTATAACAGAAACTCCCCGCAGCTTCTTGCAGTGGTGCCAAATTCCGACAGGATGTTGTGCGCGTACAAACAGGTAGACAAACGATCTCAATCGGCCCAGGTGAATTCAAAGAAGCCAGATATTACTACTACTTTGAGCAAGGTGAGGCATTGACTCTTTTGTTATATATTATTAATATATATAATAGATCCGTAGCCTTGCAGTCTTTGTTAATGCAAGCCCTCAACGTCGAGATACCTTCTACGCCCTGTAGATAACAGCAACAAAGATTCTACCAATCCGGGATGTAAAGACGCGATGGAACTCTACATTCTTAATGCTTTGGAGGACAAAGAGACTTCAGGCTATCTTCATACCTTTTTGTACTGAGTGGGAACGACCCAATCTTCTGCTTAATAATAAAGAATGGCGCCAGGTTAACTACCTTATTTGGATCACACCCCCTTTCTATGAATTTACCACTGAGCTCTTTAAGATCAAGGATATGACTACTCATCATGTTTTTAAGATTTACAACCTTCTCTTTGAGCATCTAGAAAGTTTAATTATATAGCTAAAAAAAAAGAGTGTTCCCTGGAAGAAAAACATGCTTCAGGTGCTTAAGGCTAATTGGAAAAAGCTTAACTATTATTACTCTATGACAGATGCTATCCCTAGAGATCTCTATGCGGTTAGCACAATGCTTGCTCCAGATAATAAGTTTAAGTTCTTCCAGACTAAGGACTGGGATAATGAGTTACGTGCAAGATACAGAAAAAGCTTCAAGGAATCCTTAATACCTTATGTAGAGTGATTTACTACTTAATAAGCCCCATCAATCTCCCAACCATCTCATAAGACTGGCTCGCGCCTTAGACTTCTGCTTAAGAAAGGCAAGCATCAGCCAGCTAAGCCTAAGGATGAATTTACTGAATATCTTGACTCTGGTATGTGAGTTATGAGCCACTATAGTTAATAATATACTCACGAATAGTAGATATTGTTGATTCTTTACCTCTTGATTTTTGAAGAGTTTACTAGCAACAATTTCCAGCAATTGCTGCTCTCACGAGAGATGCACTTTTAGTTCCTGCAACTAGTACTAGTATTAAACGACTATTCAATATTGCTCAGGATATTTGTCACTATTGCTGTGGCAAACTCCATATGGTGACTATTCAAGAGTTAATGTTATTCCTCTATGCGTCAAGATTTGAAATAGATTAAAAGCAGCATTTCTTCATCTCAGATTTCCTATCTCAGGATGAAATTGAAAGTGTAAAAGAGAAGGAGGAGATACCTGCTAAGTTTGAATTAGAACCAATTAGTAATAATGAAGAGCAACGCACTAAAGAAGAAAGAAGAAAGAAGAGAGGAAGATGGAGATGATTTTGAGGATGAAGCTTCTCCTCATCCAGTCGTAGATGTTTCTCTCCCAGTTATAGAAGAGAAAGCCACTCAAGTGCGTCAATCAGTTAGGTCGAGGAAGCGCCCTCGGCAGGAAGATAATCAGTATATATATCATGAAGAAAAATAATTTCTTATTCATTGATGCTCATATATGACGAACATTGTAAAATAAATACGCAAAAATACGAGCCAAAATATGTGTTGGAGATGTGGAACGGTGTAATAACACGGTAACACTTCCTTTTACTCGCCAATTCTATATCAGCGTATCTCTTGATTTTATTCCTCCTCTGTCTATTTCTAACATGGGGAATTCTCCTCTATATCGAAGAATCCAAGCCCCTCGCTATAAAACGTGTCTTTCCTTAATTGGCTGACCAACTAGCCAACTAGGGGCCGACTCGAAGTCGATTCGACACCTCATATTATCTAACAAGAGGCATCGCGCGCCTACAATATGAGGCTTGCAACAAGATCCACGATCCTTGCCAATACTTTGTTCCCAATCCGGTAAGGCCTGGATAGATTACCGAGTTTGCAACAATATGCATAAAATATGCAGCCACGTTTCCCTACTCTGTTTGCACTGTTTGTGGCCCATTGGGGGCCCACCGTGGGTTCATGGGCTCAAGAACCGGGCCCAAGGCCCAACCCATTTGCGGGTTGGGTTGGGTTAGGTTGTGGGCTTCGTGGGCTTTGGCGATGTCTACCCTAGTTATTAATGTAAATTTCATGACAGAGGGGATCTTAATATTTTTAGAGTTCCTAAATCTAGATATATATTATTATACCTATATTATAAGACATATTCAACTTTTAGATTTGGTTTATATATAAATCTGTTGAGAAATCAAGGTGTTGAAGAAGGCCATTTTGTATGGGACTTGCAGGTGGTGTTAGGGCTCATTCAATAGTCATATTGGAAGCTAAGTACAAGAATACCAAACATGGAGAAAGAAAGAAAAAGCTAGGAATGTGAGGCTATCTGCAAACAAGATGTATTTGTGTCGTGATCACGTGACAGAATCACGAACCCCCCTACGTAACCCTAGCATGTGACTACGTAAACCGAACTTTGCGAATAACCTCATTACTGACCGTCACAGGTGGCCGAATGACCCGTGTAGTACGTTAAACGATACTTATATACGTATAAGGAACTAGGTCTATTGTTCGGCACTCCTCTCTCAGTCGCTATCTAGGAGTCTTGAACCTATTTTTATATACAAGATTCCTTAGAAGTGATATCACCAAAAGTCGACACTTTGTGCAAATCGAACTTTCTAGACATAGGCTGTAAAATTGATTTGTAATGCTCAATATCGTGTTGATACATGATGCCTTTTAGACCTGTAAGATTGAACAGTCGATCTCTCTGCCTCGTTTGAAAGCCGGATTATCTGACACATGCCAGGCCCCGCCTCCCTCACGTCGTGTACGGTTCCACGTCACCGGAATCCCTGCTCATCGAGGGCCTCGGAAGGAACCAGCCGGGATGGATGATGTTGAAGATGACGACGGCCGGGACCATCATGGCGCCGTCCAGGGCGATGAAGAACCTCTCGGTGGTGATCAAGTACCCGGACCAGCCCTGCAGCAGCTCAATGGTCCGGTAGATGCTCCGGATGTAGATGCAGAAAACAGAGAACACCATGGCGCTGAAGAGCGGGGCGAGCGACGCCAGGGCGACGCGGAGGTCCTTGTGGCGGAAGACACGGCAGAAGAAGTCGGCAGCGCACAGCAGGAAGACCGTGATCGAGACCAGCTGGAAGATGATGCCGGCCACCATGATGTGCGTGCCGTTGGCCGTGTTGCCGTCGACCTTGTCGGCTTCCGCCGACGCCATGCCGCCCCCGATGGCCTGCACGACCAACGAGAGCACGTCGCAGGTGCAGAAGATCCAGAGGTAGAGACTCGGTCTCATCACCGATGATTGCCGTCCGAGGAGGTTGATGAATCGTCCCAGGATGATGTAGATGCCAGCGGTGAAGAAGGTCGGCGCTAGATGGGTGGTGCCAAGCATCAGCGGAAGTGAGCGGACCGCAGAGGAGCCAGGATCGACGTACCAATGATCAGAGTAGAGATCTGCATCAGAAATGCAGTCGAGTTATACGGACATTCGGATGACCACAACCTTGCTGCCCAACCAATGACCTCGGCTGAGCAAATCGCCAGGGCGATTGTTAGCACCTATACCTGTATAGCTACCGAGGAGGAGGGTGAAGGAGGGGATGGGAAATATCGCACTCAGGCAGCCGAGGACGAAGACGAGGCACCACCAGTTCCTCTTCCATGCCATCTGGGTGGTGTGCAAACACATGGATAAACCGAAAAGAGTGACAAAGGCGATACCGGCAGCCTGGGAAGGTGTATAACCATAGGCGGTCGTCAGCCCCGGTATCAGGGCATGGCAGTTCTGCTGGATGGCTTGCAGTTCAACTTGAGTGCGCATGTTGGACAAAAAATGGAGAAAAACTTTGTACACAAGAACAATGTGCTCCGACGCAATGAAGAGAAGGGCAGGGAAAGAAATGGACCCAATCAAGCAGGACAAGATGCTTGGATATAAAGCCTTTCAAGATCGGGGCGCTAACCTCCCGCAACGCATAGGGCGGCATTATTCCCAGGCAAGCCTGATTCTTGAGCGGCGCTAGTACTGACCTACTGTCATCCATTGACTTCTGTCAGCCATGAAAGTGACACCAGCCTGCAGTGTTCGGACCACTACCCTCTCTCGACAAGAACGTTCCAGCTATCGGAGCGGTGAGAGAGTGGACTTGGGAACCGAATGCGCTCATTGAGTGGTAGAGGGAGGATCTGGGATGCCTTGGCAGAAGCAGTCACCAGAATTACGCTAAACCATTTACAGTAACATTTGAGCGATGTTTGAGTACTCAGAAAAGGGGCTACAGACGCGACAAGGGTCTCAGCTTTACATAGTACAAGACTTATTACAGCCTCAAAACAATGGCTCCAATAGTCCTAGCGCTACATTAGTTCTTGTGAACCGGGATGCATGACTGGTCTGGCAACTATCCTCGGACTGGTTCATATCCGTGTCGGCATAGCGACAAGATTTTGCCGGTCAAGGGGGATACCGATCCATTATCTGGGGCTAGCCAGGAATGGAAATACTCAGGCGACCCTTTGCCCTTCCCCAGATTTATTTATCATACATCATCAAAGAGCAAAATCTCATGTGCTATCCAGCTTTGCACCGCCCGGTCAATCCACAGGGCCTCTTATGTCGCCGTCTCCAGGGTATAAAGGCATGCTCTCTTCCTCCTCCTAGATAGCCTTCAAAGCGCATCTTCCGAACATCTTCGTTGAACTCGATCTCAGTCTTAGTCTCAAAATGTTCATCTCTAACGGGCTCGCCATTCTGTTCCTGACTTCGACAGCCCAGGCTCAGACAAGCATAGGCCAAGCATCAAACTTCAACATAAGAAAAGAAGTCGCTTTATCATGCGGGTGCAATGAGACATGCCAAGAAGTCCTGACTCTCACAAACGCAGGCGACCTTGAGACGCTCGGAACCGCATTCGACTTTGACTTTTACAACACGGCAGATAATTTCTCTACGTCGACTCCAGGCGATTTGCTGAAACTGGCGGCGATCAACAGCTCTCAGCTAGATGTCCCTGCTGGAATGGCTACTTTTCGATTCCAGTATACTTCTCAGGACCTAGATGGAAGTCCCGTACCCTCAACTGGATTTATCGCATTCCCATTTGAAAAGCCTGCCCACGATCGAAAGATCCCTCTTGTCGCGTACGCTCACGGTACTATTGGTGTCTACCGTGGCTGTGCGCCGTCATCTTCTCCCAATTTGTTCGACTATGATAGTTGGTCCCCACTGATTTTCCGCGGGTACGCTATTGTGGGAACTGATTATGCAGGCCTTGGGAATAACTTCACGTCACATAAATATTGCAGCTATGCCGCCCATGCAAATGACTTGTATTATTCGGTACAGGCTGCTCACAAAGCCTTTCCTGGAGTTTTTACCAATGAGTGGATGAGCATTGGCCACTCCCAAGGAGCTGCCGCCGTGTGGAAGCTATCTGAGCATCCACTTGTGCAAAACGCCAGCTCAGGATATCTTGGGACTGTTGCAGTATCTCCGGGAGTGAAGCTCTATGACACCGCAAAAGTTGTCTTCGATTCGATTTTTCCTCGACCAGATTTTCATCAGTTTGTTGTCGCTGCCGAGATGGGTCCTCTTGCATACGGAGTCATGCAAGCATTTCCCAACTACACGGCTCCATGGCTCGGTGAAGCCATGAGGCGGAGGATTAGCCTCACTGCTCTCGCACAGTCCTGTACCTTAGCGTTTATGGGCATGTCATTCGACTTGACACGGGAGGAACTCATTGCGCCTGACGCAAATCCCGCAGCAGATGAGACATTGAAGCAATTCCAATCGATCAATGCTCCAGCACAGGGTGATTCAGCTTCCCGACCACTTCTAGTTATACACGGCTGGAATGACACCTCAGTCCTCCCTGAAATCACTGTGGAGGCGTATCACGACGCTGTTGCGACAGGGAACGAAGTCCACTTGCTCCGGTATCCTGGACTCGATCATTCCGCGACTATAACTGCTTCAGCACCAGCATGGCTGAAATTTTTGGACGATCAGTTTGCTCACAAGCCTGGACGTGGTGTATCAACGGATGTAACATTTCAACCATTTGATTTAGCCGTAGCAAAAACACCGTTGGAGCTTCCCTTGAACGAAGAGCCGCTATTAGGCTTTCTGCGGTATTAGATATTGGGGAAAGAGATATTTACAGAGGTTCGTTTCTTGTATGACGACTAGCTTTAAGATCAAGAAGTGCGTCTAGCTTCCATTTACATTTTGTATTCATTCCCCTTAGTCTCGCTGTATGGTCCGTCATCCACTTCGTATCGGGTCTAGACCCCCGTCTCTGGACCTGCAGATCTGCAACGAGGTCACTGTAAAACGTCTTGTACAGTATCGAGTCATCATGCCCACTGTTAATTACACCGTACGTGGTGTATAGCACCCTCCCAGCTTCGGCCACCGCGATGCTCGCGCTTATCGACTCAATGATCAAGTCACTTATTGATTATCATTCTATCTATCTATCTATATACTAGTCTATATTTATATACTAGTTTCGTAGACGTCCGAATTTGAGTTTTTAACACAATTTACGGTTGCGTCGCATGTGCAGTAGCCACGCAGGTCCGTCTGGCTTCTATCTACGGAGTCCTGGCTCGCCTCATCGTCGCGGTGGCTTTGTGGCTTCGCGTGGCCGTCGCGCGCCACGCAGGCAATATATCTATCCTGTGGGACTAGCTTGCACCACTGCGGTCCTCGGTTCGTATACATACTTTCATAATTCCATAATTCTATCCTGACTATGCTGCTAGGTTCTGTCTCGCGGGGTCTCCGTAGCACCACGACATCTACTCAGGGACGCCGGCTGCGATTCTGCCCACATTGTCACCAAATATTTTCCCATCGTAATCCCCAGATCGTCCGCTGCGATGCCTGTCGATTTTTATCACCTGGACGGCCGCGGTCCGCGACCCGGATTGATAGAAGTGGACTCTGCCGTGACTGCCGTGTCCCATTCTTCCATTGTCATAGTGGGATTACGCGTTGCAATGATTACCGTATATGATATTCCCATAGAGAAGGATCTCCAGGTCGGGCCTGCCGGATCTGCGGCCAGTTAATGCCTCCTTTCCTGGCGATGAGCGCATTGTCGGGAATGCTTCCAGATCTTTCAAAGTCTAGCCTTGATCCATTCCCGCTGGCAGTCTCTGATCCTTGGCCGCATGGATTTGAATGTCCACGTGGAGAAATACACTGGGAACAGGAGATTACAGGAATCCAGTGTGGTGGCTATCGGGCCTATCCATGCTGTCGGAATGTATCTATCCAGGTTGACTTGATGCCTGCACCTCAGCCAAACGGTTCTGTATAAGAAGTTGTGCATTCATTCCATTTCGTTGAGCGAAACCTATCGTTGGGGGAATGAAGACGGGAAAAACAAGCCCCGGGTTCATTTCACTTCAAGTATCGCAATGTATCTATGGAAAGTCGAGACTGGTAACAAGTGCTTCCAACCGCTATCCTAATTCGCAAAAAGGCACAATGTTTGGTCAGGCGACCGAACCCCAAGCTACTATACTATCAATCTCTCTGTTCGGTCCAGGAAGGATTACGGATGTTATTAGCATTGCATGACCAACTTTGTTTTGGAATGTGATCGTGCGAGCAAGGGACGTTATTTTTAACGAGGACGAAGTTTTCAGTGGAGATATCCAAGATATCAAGGATGATCTCCTTCACGTGTCTGTTGAAGAACTGACAATGTTGCTAAACAAGATAGATATCCATGTACAGTCAAGTGAAGTCGAAGACAATGCTAACTTTGGAGATAAGATGAAGGATCTAGTTTTTGATGGAAATAGGCACAACAATGAGCGTACAACAACAATAGGCTCAGTGTAGGGCACGCCAATGATTATGATTTAATCATAATCATAATCAAAATCATTCTTGATTATGATTTTCAAGTTTTTAAAATAGCTCTAATCATAATCATTGATGATTATGATAAATGACTAATGATTAATGATTTAATCATGATTAAAATTGTCACGTGGTAATATAAAATTATCGGAACTTGCTGTGCACTAGCACAAACTCAGTTAAGCTTAATACTCAAAGATATCTTTACTTGTCGCGTCGCCTCCCCCCACCCTAGACCGGGTGGTGGTCGGCCCGGACTCAAGGGCCACCCGGACTCAAGGGCCAAAAAATATGAAGTCTCATGTAAAATGTTTTACAGTCCACCAACGCCATATAAATTGCATATAAAAACTAGACAGGTGTTAAATATAAGTATTGTTCACCTATCTCCCTGAGTATCAAAGAAAAACCCGCTGTTTTGAGGCTCTGTTGAAGCCACTTCTTCCATTGGCTGCGGCACGCCAACGACATGGCTCTTATAGATTTTCAACAAATCCCCATCATGATGGCGTTTTATGAGGCGATTCGCATCTTTTACATAGAGTGCACCACTCGCTTTGACTTGGCGCTTTGTAGTTTTTTGATTCTTGCGCGTTGCTATATCACGAACCTTGGCAAAGCTCTCACGGTGTAGATCGCCTAATTTGGCCAAGGTGAGACTGCCTTGATTAACTACTTTTATACGGCGTGAAAGGCCTGGGCTTACTTCGTCAAGAATATCCTTTATACTGTCAATCGATTTTTCAATCTTATTGACATAGCGACGTAGTTTTACGGCCGTTGATGGTGGAGATATTGATTTTGTAGTTGGTGAGCTGGGAATAGTGTCATCCGCCTCGCTATATATTTTTAGTGCATCCCCTTCAGCAACAAGTGCTTCAAATGCTTCCTCTGGCTGAAGCATCATATCAAGTATAAGCCGAGGATTAAGAGGCCAAATTCCTCGCTCTCTCCAGCCATGCCGAATCGTTCGTGTGGTAAATGTCTTTATCTGGATATCACGTAATTCTTCAAAAAAGTCGTTTTTATTAAAATCGAAGCCACCTAAGCGTGCAATCTTGTTCACAACCCGTCCATGAATATATTTATATTGCTGAAATAGCACTCCATTGAGTGGTTGTAAAAAATGCGTAGAATGAGGTGGAAATTGGAATGGGCGAATGTGCTAAATTTCACAATATTGCACGAACTGTATAGTAAGATGAGTTGTATGATTATCCATAAGAAGTAACCGCCAATCCGGGAAGGCCCCAGGCCTAGAGAAGTGGTCAAAGTGTTGAAGCCATTTGAATGCGATCTTATCTGTGATAAATCCATTCAAAGCAGGTGCAACTAGCCAGTCATCATCTTTTATATGCCGGTACCATTCCTCCAAATGGACCTTGCCTTTTGGAATCAATAAAGGTGGTATAATCTTTCCTTCGGCATTTATACCCTCAATGACAGTAATTGATTCTCGAGAGGACAGGCTAGATACCCTTTTTGATGTTTTTGGATATGCTGTTACCACCGCTTCATCTTTTCCTTGTCCAACAATGAATCCGGTCTCGTCGAAGTTCCACAGATTTTGAGGGCGAATTTTGTATTGTTGTATAGCGAGCTCGAGGTCAATAAACCAGCACTCAACCTCACCATAATGCTCTGTAACAGTACGTTCCTTTTCTTAAGGTTTTTGAACGATTCGTACATATTGTTTTGGCAGGCGTTTGATAAAATCGTGTATCCAATTTTTTCCGGCACAAGGGGCCTCTCCTAGACCACTGAAATCTTTGCCGAGCAAATAATTCGCACTTTCTTCAATTTGCTAATTCGTAGGAGGCGCACCTATATTATCTAGATACTCAATCCATAGAATAAGTGCCTTTTCTTGATCTAGAGATAGTAGGCGCCTCGTAGGTGGGCGTGTTGAGTGAGAGGGTAAGCCATGCCACCGACGGGACAGTTTTTTGCGAGACACCCCATATTCACGCGATAATTTGCTAAAATTTGGCTTTTTTCGTGTTGACATGCACTGAGGGCCTTTGCAATCAATTCCTCCTCTTCTTTATATAATTTAGGGGTCATTTTGGCTCTGGTTTTGATGTTTGTAAATGCCAAGTTGAGATTTTGAAATTTTTGGCCCTTGAGTCCGGGTGGCCCTTGAGTCCGGGCCGACCACCACCCGGTCTAGGGTGGGGGGAGGCGACGCGACAAGTATAGTGGTACAATTAGGGTATGTGTGGGTGCACTAAGGTGCATGTACGTACGTACGAAGCAATAGAATCAATTTCAATGGGTATTCATTCAGTTCTGTGTCTCCTCCTCTAAGTACATCATGTTCCAAAGCCGCGTCTATATAGACCTTCTCCTGAACTGATTTGTAAGCTATCCCATGGGGTAAACTTGAGACCATTCTCTTACACATAACAGTTTCGGATTGATCGCTTCATTTGATGGCTTCATTGGAAAGCCAGCTTATCTGACACATCTCGATTGCATGAAGCAACCAACAGTATGTTTTCCGTTTTCGGGTTACTCATATGTCAGGAAAGTCCATAACCTTTTGTGTCTGAGCAGTCACCGCAATGTATGTGAGGTAATTGGAGCTTCTTGAGGAACGTTCAGTATCGCGAAGTCGGCATATGTAAGTAGCCCAAATCTCTATAGAAGTTGAAGGACCTGCCAAATATTATTATCGATCTAATGAGACATGGATTGTGACGGTCTCGAGCGCATTATTGACTACACATTCAAAGACCGAAACCTACTAAACGAGGCGCTGCATCAGACGCAAAATAAGCGCTTGGCTCTCTTGGGGGATAAAGTCGTGGCGCTCATGCTGATAGATTCATGGTATCAGACCGGGGGGAGCTGCTGTACGTACCTCTTTCTTGGACGATTAAGAATTGCTGCTAAAATCCACTAGATGATGGAAACTCGTTACTGCAACATGCAGCGAGCAATGAAGCAATGGCGAACCGAGCAATTCAAACACACTTGAAAGATATGGTTCGTCGGCAGTCTCATCAGTCCCCGTCTACACATGGTTTAGCAACCGATTTTGAGGCTGTTGTGGGTGCAGTCTGGATTGATTGTGGGAAGGATCTGCAAACCTTGGAGAAGGTAATAAGGCAACTTTACGTGGAGTGAGATTGACTGTTAGTTTTGTAAACATCGTGACCGTGCTGTATCGATTTCCATTTCTACGTCAACTGTAGGAGGAGGGACATGTATCCTAATGCCTTATATTTATTGTGTTGAAGACTCTATATTCATATCATATCCTCCAGACAGCTTTTTCACCCTTAAACCGATTTATATTAACCTTGACAAAATCCCTGCATTGGCCTTGTTTTAAATCTGCTCCTACTGCTTCTCATGTATCATCATAGCTTCATACGTCGTTTCAATGAGCTCACGGTGACCTCCTGGATACGTGCATGTGGGCTTCCCCTGCGGATTTCCTCCACAACCGGGTTGGTTTTCATCTGGTCGCCAGAAGCTAGGATCTTTAAAATCTGGTCCAGTAGGTCTTTTGGATTCGGCGTTATCTGTTGTCGGAGATTGTTATTGCAGACGATTGAGTCACGAGAACGTTCAACGCCCAAGACAAAGGCGCTGAGATGTCAATTCTACATTTTCTCAATCTATGTCACTAATATATTTAACTTGAAAGAGAAATGCCGTACTCACCTCCATAGCAGACCAGTAAACGACGACACTGTTTTAAATATTTCAGTGTTGGACATCAACATATAAGTGGTCTTTGAATAGAGGGAAAGGAGAAAGAAAGGCAAATAAATATACCTATTAGTAGTTTCGTGGGAACAAAGAAAGCCAAGAATATATCTGATTGATTGGGTTGAAGATCCCCTAGCAAAGTGACTGGCTGTATAACATGAACATACGATGCAAGTCGCGTATGATATATCACATGGCTCTTTGAAAGATGCGTTGCCTTCCAATCACAATCATTGGAAGTCAATTCCTATGAACTTAGAAGTTCTTCTATACTGTCTCATTCCCTGGCGTTACTTGCTTTGTTTGATCTGGGTCACGATGGCCAATGAGAATATGGTTGAGAATCCAACCTTACGCCGTATTGAGCCTATACTGGAAGCTTTCTAAGTGCGTCAAGCTATTTTATAGACAGTCTTAATAATCATAATCCCTCGGATATATTGTTGTGACGTCACTGTGGTTTTGCAGAACTCGGGTACTCGTGGTGTTTCTGAAATCGTGGGATTCATGGCTTTTAGAATGGTGCGGCTATTGGCATCTGGACTTGTCCTTATAAACCACTGGGCCATAGAAAACCGGCGGGCAGAAATCTCCGGAACCACGTTTTCTACCCACACAATCGTCTGTCCTTGGATATTCTATCGACAGAAGTAAGTGCCCTGTTTTATTTACTATTACAGTAACAGGGACCCCGTGAATAGATTTAATGTTGGGCACCGTAGCGGGGGATTGTATGTAGTATAAGATGATCAGCAAGTCCCCACTATTTAAATTATTAGTTTCAATGGAGAGGTTTATTTAGTAGGGCCAGCCAGATGAAACTATGTTTTATGTTGAGACACGGTGGAGCATTTGATAAAACGAACGCTGTTGCTTGGAGGTGAGTCATAGATCACGTGCATAATAGAGTCTACGATATGCCCAGATTAATGAGATTATTTCAAAGTACCCCACTCGAAAAGACGACGTCTTATATAAGGTTCACGGATCTTATAGCCTAAAAGCTAGCCCGCTCGGCTTTTATTCCCACACTAAGTAGTCAAAAAGAGCGCACTGATCAACTAGAAGTCTGAGATTTGGGATATACTGTACTAGCAGAAAATGACTGTCTTGTTGTCAGTTATAAGAGCTTGGAACTCGCTGTATATATGTAACGCCCACTACTACTAGCCTGTGTGGTTTTACCGCGCTCTCAGGAACCTACTCCTAGGAAGATCATTGTTATAGGTTATCACTTGTTTTGTGTCACTATTCTCAGGAGTATTCCTATCCTATGTAGTCATTCCCAGCACCTTTGCTATTCCAGGAACTTTGTCTTAGGTCTACACCAGTCCTAGGACTTCATTCTAAAGATGTGCTTCCCAGAGTCTATCGTGTAGAGGTAGCCTTTCCTGGTTCTCAGGGGATCGTGGGTAGTTTGTCAGAGGTTGGGCTCAAACATAGGTCTTCTGATCTAAATTCAATTATATCGTAGGACTGATATCCCAGGAGCGTGTTCCTGGGTCCATGTTCCTAGGAACAACTGAATCATAGGTCCCTATGAAACCTGGTAAATGCATTTCAAGATGGTATACAATCTAGGTCGTCCATCTCGTGATCGCGGGTTATGCGGTATTAAGATTCTTTACTCTGTACGATTGGTTAAACAGCATTCTATCTATTCTATTGATGGGAATTCATGCAGGAGCCTGTTTCCTAATTCTGGCAGCGGTAACAATGGTATGAGTGGCACTTTTTCAAAGGCCGCAATATCAGCTCTTCTATCTTGTATGAGATTTAACTGGAATGGATAAATAAGGTCTTCAAAGCTATTGGTTTAGTCTTTAAGAAGAAGACCCATTCTGGACGGTCAGGAGGAGCTCGAGTAGCTGAATTACAGGGTGTGGATGAGAATTCAATTCGCAGAGCAGGCCATTGGAATCAGGATGCTATGAGCAACTGTTATCTTACTGCACTACCTCGAGATTTTCTCCATACGATGGCTGGCTTCAAGCCTGTAGATCTATTACTTGATCTTCCACCTCAACCGCCCCTTGTACAAGCTGGAAAGCAACAGGTTGATACCAATGATCTAGCAGCTCAAGGATTCTTAAAGCTTTTACAGCAGCTTTGTATGGTTCTTCTACAGGATGCGGTATTCCTTTAAATAGAGATGCCATTTTATGCAATGTGGAAGCATCCTCTTTTTTAGCGATCAGATTTTAAGCAATTTGCTCAAGAGCTTCTTCATTCTACTTATACCACTAAAACTCTGTACGAGATACAGCTTCAGCAGAGTATACCAGCTATAGCAGATTGAATCACCAATACTGAGCACAGTCTTTAGCAGACTATGAGCACAAATCAGTTTGAACTACTTGACCATTTCTGTACGATCTCTAGTCAAGTTGATGATCTTATATCTGGCCAAATCTCCTTCACCGTACGAGCCAATGGCCCTGAATCAGGCCTAGAGCAGTCAAATCTTGCTCTAGCCATTGATTCTGTACAGTCAGCTCCAATACAAAGGACTGACCCAGAAGATGAGAAGAATATGATTCAAGAACAGCCTCAACAAGCTTCTCTAGCTGTATTTACACAAATGCCTTCATACAAACTATCTCGTACGATCAAGACCGTACGAGAGCTCTGGGCTGAGTGGACTATAGGCTTGAATGGCCAGCCAGCTGTCCAGGCTCTTGAACAGCAATATGGAGCAAAATGGAGATCTGATTCCAAAGAACGTGTCATGTTTGATACGTAATCCAACGATTTTAATTTTTTTTCTGCAGGTTTAGTGTCAGCCGCTTCTATTCGGTTCCAGTTAGTGATCTCATTTGGGTTTAGTGTGTGATATGTTTCGTGTTGGTTAGATTCCATTTCGTAGGTCTACCTCCATATTCTCCCCCATCTCCGTATCCACGAATTCAGGTCGGCAAGGAGTGCATTCTCTCTGTGGAAGGAGGTATCATCACTATAGTAGGAGGAAGGGTCCGAATTAGACCTTGGGAAGAGAATAGCTTATCGCGAAAATGGACCGCCGAATCTGCTATTCTCGCATCGGATTTCGAAGTCAATTGAGGGGTAGACTACTCAGTGTTCATAAATAGTAGTAGCTTTTTCTCAGTAACACTCTCTCCATCCACAAATCCATACTCATGGCACTGTTGGTTTAGCCGGGTCCTGGATCACGAAGCACAGGATTGCGGCAAGGGCAGTCCAACTGCCCTACGTGGTGAGTCTGGTAATATTGAAGTTATTCCTAATATTACGACTGGTTCCCAAAAGGGAGGAGAAGGATAATTACATGAGTAAAGGGGATATCCCAGGTAGTCGGAACGGAATAACTAATATTCCGGTGTTGATACTCAACACCTGGGGATTCCCGTACACACAGTACTTAATTTTACACCACGCCTATATAGTCTGAATGCTCATATATATATAGACTAGAAACCCAGAGGTAATTGATAATATATGTTGTTCTTAGCGACACTTACTGCTGTGCTATACTGTGCCGCAAGACGTCTTAGGCAAATGCATAACTAGTAGTTGATCGACTTAACAGTTGTACTACTATTAATTAGACTAATGTATGGTGACCCACTAACTTGACTGTGCCGTAAGTTACTAGTTATTTTGGTTAGGCGATGATTTGTTAATCTATTTGTTATAGATTACTCTCACTTAATACTGTACCTATTAGACTGCTGCGATAGGTTGGACTATTTTAAGTCCTGTGCTGTAGGTGAATGCTAGTCGGCGGCGCACTTTTATGACTTACTATTACCAGGATGATTTTTTCACTTATGAATTATCAATAACGACAAAGCAAAAAGTTTATAAGGAATAGATGTGCCCTGATCTTTCCCAAACTAATATCAATAACCAATTCTATTTTGTATTGATACAATCAAGTTAAACACCTTCACAGTGCAAAATGTTTCTTCATAAGATACTCTTGGGCCTTACAGTTCTTCGCTTGGCTGGTACCACGACTGCATCTCCCTTGCCTAATGAGCTCGAAGTCCGCCAGACAGGTATGACACTGACACAATGCTACTTCCTCTTTAATAACCTTGGTACCACTTAGGTTGTTCGGATAGCGCTTTAAAGGCAGCCTTATCACTTGAGGGATTCAATGTAACAACGTTACAAGGGATACGTATAGGGATTCAAGAGGGATCACAAGAATTGAGTATACAAGGTAGGGTATGGAATGTCAATGTACTGAAACCTATCTTTTGCTATCCTGGAGCATCTGCCATCTTTATAGATATACAATGTGTACCAGATCTCCCTTCTCTGAATAGCTCCAGTAGTCAAGGTGCAGTCCAAGGGAGCTGAAACCATCCTCGAACATATAAGCCTTCACCTGGTGTAGCTGAAACTCAACTTGAGACGTATTGGGCGCATTTCTTGGAATAGTTAGACCCTAAAGCCTGCTGGTTGTTATAACTATCCCCCCTTCAAGGGCTTGCGTCCACGCGAGCCATGAAGTACGCATTCGCTAGATCTGGTGTGATCTATATAGTGGGAAAACCAGAGATATCGGACAAAAACCACTATAGTACATCGTCTGGCTTTACGTTTGTTTGCGTTTTTGGGATTTCTCAAATTCTTAAATTAACCTGGGTGCATTCATATCATTCTCTGGTACCTATTGGTTGTATTCCGAAGGCCATCCTGTCCACTTGATCAGGTAGTGAACCTTTCCCTTTATCAGTCGTTTGTTTCAAATTTCTTCCACCTCATATTCCTCAGGATTATTATCCAGTTCTGGCAAAGGCATTATATCCTGCTTCTCCTTAGGATGATATTCTTCGAGCAACTGGATTGGGAACACATCATGAAGCCGTGAGTATTGCTGGGGAAGTGCTAGTCAATATGCCTGAGACCCTATCACTTCTGTGATTTGAAATAGGCCAATAAATCGAGGTTGAAGCTTCTTATTCTTAAGCTTTAGATTCTTTATTGATAATTTCATTAGGCTGCCTCTTTTGAAGGTCTTTGGCGTATGTCGCCTGTTGTAATTTTTGATTTAATATTGCCATACTGTGTTCAGCTGGTCTTGCAGTCCTTATCTGAGTTTATGGAGTTTTTAAATACAATCCTTGGCTGTAGGTATCTCCCTTTCTGGGACATTGTCTGCAATGTCAATGTGGAATTCCGGGTCAAACCTATATAGGGCCTTGAATAGTGATATTCGAAGCGTATAATTCATACTATTGTTGTATGTAAATGTGGCTGTAGGTAGAAGCTTTACCCAATCTATTTGTTCAAGACTGGTAAATGCCCGCAAGTAACCTTCGATGATTCTATTTAAGATCTCTGTCTGACTATTAGTCTGTGGGTGAAAAGCAGTAGATATTCTTCTCTTGATAAAGGAATAGTGGCATATCTCAGCCCAAAACTTACTAGTGATTCTGGAGTCTCTGTCTGATATAATCCCACTGGGACATCCATATCGCAATTCCACTTCTTTGTGGAGTAACTCCGCCATTTCGGCTGCGTCAATTATATCCTAGACTAGTAGGAAGATCGCTATCTTGGTATATCGATCCACAACTGTCAGAATAGCATTATATTTCTCTATCCCTACTTTGGACACTGGCAACTAGGTAATAAAATCTATTGATATCTCCTTCCATGGCCTGCTTGGCTGTGGTAAGGAATCCAATTACCTATAGGGTTTATGTTTTAGAGTGGTATTTCCTTGATAGACTGGACACATCTGTACGTATTCCTTGACGTCTTGTCTTATGCCCTCCCATTTGAACTTCTGCTGCAAGAGTTCTAATATCTTTTGGATTCCCTAATGCCTGGTAGATGGTTTGTCATGGTGTAATCTTAGGATCTCGTGCACTAGACTTCTTTGGTTAGGGATTAATATCTGGCCCTTGTACAGCAATACTCCGTCACTTGTACAGCCATATTGCAGTCTTGTAGAGTCTCCTTCGCTGAGGTCCTTATCTACCTGCATACAGAAGGGATCCTCCTTCTAGGTAGCTGCTACCAACTGCTGCAGGCCCTCTGAGGGTTCCTGCCGTGGTGCTTCATTCAGGACTGCCTGCCGAGCCCTTTAGCGTGTGACCTTCTGAGTCAACATACACTGAATGAGGTAATCAGCCTCAACCCCATTTCCCTGGGGTGTCATAGAGGGTCCCAATGGGCCTAGACGCACTGTCCCCCTCTGCCATTTAGATTCCTGTCTTCCTAACTCACTGTTATATACACAGGTTTCTGTTAGCACTTATCATCCCAACTCACTGTTATATTTATAAGCCTGGCCTTGCACCTGTCATCCTAACTCACTGTTGTATACACAGGTGACTACATCTTATGGCTTTTCACTTGCCTGCGTTGACTTCTTGCCAACCTTACAGGTCTTCTCTTCCTCACTTCCTTGAGAATTTCTATCATCATGGGATTACATCACCCTCCAACGATAGCTTGTGTGGATTTGTTATACGCGAGCAATCTTTGCCCCTAGCATTATTAACAACCCTAAGGATGAGTCTTCTAGATCATTCTTCTGATTTTATCTTAAGTAGTCTGGTCTTCGTGATAGTACATCTGCCAGATTTGTCGATCCTGACCGCCATTTAATCATGAAATTGTATGGTGTAAGGTAATAGCACCATTGTGTTTGACAACCATTTAGCCTAGACTACTTTATAAAAGTCTGTAAATTATGATGGTCTATTAGTACCTCTACTGGGTACTTACTACCCTCCAGGTAGTGTCTTCAATGCTTAAAAGCTTCTATAATTACTAGCATTTCTTGGTCTGGTGTCCCATAGTTCAGTTCTAGACCCTTGAACTATCTAGAATAGAAGGCAATAGGGTGTCATCGTCCTTTAAATAACTATAATAGTATTCTACTAAGCGCATACTTGGATGCATCAGTCTTCAACCACGTTAGAAGATCTAGATTAAAATGTCACAGTAACGGTGCAGTTTCGAAAGCACTCAATAGTTTAAGGAATACCTCCTACTGAGTGTTACCCCATTCCTTGTGGAAATCACTAGTTTTCTTATTATCTTTACTGCCCTTCATTAGGCTTGTAAGTGGCCTGGCGATACGCGAATACCCTTAGATGAACCTTCTGTAGAAGTTACAGAACCCAAGGAACACTTGAATATCCTGGTACAACCCTGGTGGATGTTCCTTCCACTCACTAATTATTTGGACTCTTTCTAGATCCATCTTAACTCCCTGGTCATTGATAATAAAGCCTAAGAACTCTATTTTATTCTGATAGAACTGGCACTTCGAGGGTTTTGCATATAGTTCGGCTGTTTGTAGCCGTTCACATATGAGTCTCAAATGCTCTGTATGCTCTTCCTTCGTCTTAGAGAAGATTAGGATATCGTCTAGATATATGATGTAAAAGTCGTCAACCAACCCTCTTAGGGCCTGGTTGATGTAACCTTGGAATGCCGCTGGTGCATTTGTCAGCCCAAATAGCATCACCAAGTACTTATAGTGGCCATAGCGCGTGCGGAATGCTGTCTTCCACTTGTCTCCTGGCCGGATTCTAATGTGATAGTACGCATCCTTCAAATTAATCTTACTAAACACTTTCGCGCCATTTATATAGTCCAGTATTTCGCCCATCAATGGCAACAGGTATCGGTTCTTAATGGTGACTTTGTTAAGGCCTCGATAATCAACACAGAGTCTCAGTGTACCGTCCTTCTTTGGTACGAATAGGATCGGTGATGCAGCTGGACTTTTAGATGGTCTAATGAAGCCCTTTTTGAGGTTCTCTTGGAGGTAGTATTGTAGGACTTCTAGTTCCGCCCGTGACAATGGGTAGAGCAGACTATATAATAGTTCTTATCCTTCCTGGATCTTAATAGCTAGGTCAACCCCTTCACGGTTTGATGCTAGTTTTTCCGCATTCTGAGGAGAGAAGATGTTAGCATATTCCTTTAAATCGCTTGGTAGACTATCCTTGCTGTCTATATCACTGGTCTTATCGAATAGTGGATTGTACTCTATAAGTGCGTATATCTTCGGCCCTTTTATCAGTTGCTTCCGGAATGCCTTCGCTGATTCAACCCTAACATAGTACTCAATGAAATCATTGCCAGCAGGCAAGCGGAACTGCCATTGATTGCCACCAGCTTCCTTTGCTCGTAAGGAGATATCAATTCCAATCTCACCCAATGTTTGTTCTTCAAGGAGTAGTGGAGCGTCCTCTAGAGCTCTATCAACAGCTAGGAAGGGTCTTCAATAGGAACGAGTAACTCCTTGATGGTTAGTCATACTCTATGTGGCCCAGTAAGCCTCTTTCGCTTCGTGCTGTATATTTCTAGCTGACTGCCATAGCTTGGGGTACCCTTTAATATATAGCTTCAAGCCTTGCCGTTTTGCAAAGTCGATACCAATCATGTCAATTTTAGCACACGTGTCTAGTGCGATCTCTATGTTCTCTGGATTGCCATCCAGGATGCTCAATTGGCTATAGCACGTAGGTAATCCCCTGTACACATTTATGGCTCTCCTTCAGGACTGGAAGGGAGCCTTACTCGTTTTTCCGATGAGTCTAAAAGGTCCCATGTCTGCTTAGCCATTCGCTCATGACCTTTCTTTCGGCTGGCTGTTTTGACAATATAAACACTCAGTTTCTTCTTCTCAGTGTCTCTCTTATTGTCCTTCTTATGGTAGTTAGCAAGGTGCTCGGTGCTACCACAAGTGAAGCAAATTCGCTCTCCTTTCTCATTCTTGCCAGTAGCGAATTCCTTAGGACCCTTTAAGGTCCCTGTTTTATTTGAAGTCTTGTTCTTATTCTTGCTCTCTATTTTAGAAGCATGCTTTGATAGATTAGGCTGTTTGGTTGTGTGATCAGTCTTGGTTTCTGGCTTCTTGAAGTCCTTTTTCCTAGGGTCCTTTTTATTATGTTTGATTTCCTCCCATATATGTGTAGTAAGGGATAACATTGCTTGTCGTGTCTGAGGTAATAGATTAATTCCACTGAGTCGGATTGCACGTTATAAACTTGGTCGTAATCAACTGAAGAATTCCATTGCCTATGTTCATTTATTTTTTGGTTCCATTTCTCTCTCAAGGCTTGTGAAATAAGTATTAAAAGTCCAAGGGGTTTAATCAAATCTCTGTCTGGCTTTACTCTACTTAATCTGTGTTTTGATTTCGTCGTTTTCTTGGTCCTGAATAGTAGAGTCGAGCCAGGTGCTAAAGGCTTCCTAATTATATTTATTGTTAGAAGCCGTGCGGATGTGGTTATTCCACATTATTTTGTAATCTTCATGAAGGTGAATCAGTGTCTTAATTACTTTAGTTCAGTTATTATCATATTTATATAGGGATACATTGAAAGCTCGCTAGATCTTAATCTTCCAGTTGCTCCAGGCTTTAAGGGTTACACCTATCTTGAGTTCTTTGATGCTGTTGTATTTAAGGTTATGATTGGCTCGTTGTTTACGTGGTCTGTCGTCCTCATTGTCGGTGCTTTTGTTAGCTTATTTTCCTATATGAGCTTTCACGAGTACCCAAATCCTATCAGTAAGGACTCGAAGTTGTTCGGTAGAAAGTAGTCAATTATCTATAATCTCTTACATTTCGTAGAGTCCCATTGGCTGGCGGATGTCCACTTTATCATACTGGTTTTTAGTATTGTCGCTGGATTTGGTTGGCCTCTGAGTAGGACCAACGCCCATTCTATTATCCTGTTGGTCATTCTAGCTGTCCAAAGACCCTGAACAAGCAATTCTCCTTGTAGATACTGCCATTGTGATTGGTCTTAAAGGATAGAGGTTTCAGAGTTGTAACAATGTTACAAGGGATATGTATAGGGATTCAAGAGGGATCACAAGAATTGAGTATACAAGGTAGGGTATGGAATGTCAATGTACTGAAACCTATCTTTTGCTATCCTGGAGCATCTGCCATCTTTATAGATATACAATGTGTACCAGATCTCCCTTCTCTGAATAGCTCCAGTAGTCAAGGTGCAGTCCAAGGGAGCTGAAACCATCCTCGAACATATAAGCCTTCACCTGGTGTAGCTGAAACTCAACTTGAGACGTATTGGGCGCATTTCTTGGAATAGTTAGACCCTAAAGCCTGCTGGTTGTTACATTCAACGGCACTAATTCCTCGGGTATCGAAAAACGTGAGGCAGACACGGTAATTCCAGGTGTAAGTGTCATAATTATACTTTCAAGGTGCTTTACTAAGCACTGGACTAGTACTGCTCAGCTGGAAGCGCACAGTGGTGCTATTACTGCTATTACGGCTCAATCGAGCAAACAAAATGTTCTATCTACCATCAAGTAAGTAATGCAACTCTATAAACTAGACTACTCTCACGCTAACATTCTTAGTGTACTTCGACGTCAAATGAATGCTACTACTCAGATGCGAATCATATAGCTGTTTGTTCTTAGTAAGGTGCTATGGAGTGTTACGGAGATCCACGTTATATGTTTACCCCTCGCTCAACACTGAAAGAATTGATAATATTAGATAGCGCGGTACATAGTATGAATATTGTATATTTGTATTTAATATAACTATTTTACTGTCAAGTAGTATGCCAGATACATCTTGATCAAACAATAAAAATTACGCGCCGCATGCATCCTATATGCATTGATCAGACGTCTTTCTCCTCGCCATCTATTATTATTGTTGATACAGGGAATTAATTCCTTCTGATTAAAATACCCGCAAAACTATGGAATTAATGAAAAACTCTACCCAAGGATATGGTGAAATGACAAAGATAGTATAGCATTGATACAGTGAGTTTCGAAAATGAACTTGGATCCACCTTAGCTATAAATAGAGATGCGTCGAGATATGTTGGAAGGGTTGGATCTTGTATAGGTTACAATCAGTAAAAGAATCTAGAACAATATATAGGATTACTAGTCAAGCTAAATGTTCATACGTTGTTACGCCCACCCGCCTGCTCGCCAGCTTTCTGTGGAAAACCTGCTCTATACTATTTACTGGTCAACGTATTAGTATGCCATCAATTTGAAAAAGAAATGCACAAGACTCTGTATAATTAGAGGGTTGTATCCAATTAGCCACTCTCCATTTTTTTTCTCTTTTTCTTTTTATATTAAGAAAAAAGGGAAATTTCGAAGTCTTTTAAGGACTTTAAAGGTCCATCAAGTACCTCGTACAACTCTCACTCTCACCATCAAAGATCCATGGAATCGTTTCCGTAATACGTATTTATCAACCATCAAACTAGCTGGTGCTCATCAGATGTACAGGAAGCGCAATCTCATGACTGCAGTAGCAATCGAGACACTATCGAGCTTTCTACTCTCAGCATTCCAGCGCTTTCAGGATTTTAATCAGACATTCACGCGGGATTATCTGTTATCCATCTCAGGACCAAAGGTTTTCGTAGCCACAGGGCGACGGGCCTGCACGAAAAGGAACTAAAGGCAAAGGTCGACGTCAGGCCCCTAGGCGATGCATAAAGTTGGCCCCGTAGGAAAGGTGATGAGGACTGTAACCAGAGCTATAAGGATACTAATCGTGGTAGTAACTGCAAACGCTAGTGTAAATTGAAATTCTGAATCAAGGTACTAGTGTGGTAATCTTCATAAGTATTTGACTAGATAGAGCTGATTTATAGTTATCCCCTTGCTATGCAATCTAATAGGCTACGGCATATCAATCAATGAGACATATATATCACACGATATAGAATCCAATTGTGTAACGAGAGGTCACGGTAAATAAAATAATCCATTCATCCATCGGAGTGTATGAATCGCTTATCAAATCTCAACAGACGCTGTCTAAGATAGTAAACCACCGTGACATTTCTATTTCTTTGATCTCCTGTGGATTTGATGCGAGAACATGCGCCTCTTCGCTCAGCCACTGATCGAAAACAAGTTGTAGATACACCTGATCTGACTCACCGACCTTTCCCTCACGATGACCTTCCGATACTTCTGTATTAATAAATCCTGTCAGCCATGCATGATTATTATTCTGGTCAATAATGATATCAAATGGACTTATATCAACACCAAGAGTAGAAACTCCATGCTGACGAAGTTCTTTTATCACTTGGGAAACCTGTTGCCGCCACTTGGCATGATTCGACTCATTTTGTGCGGTAATATGGCGGTAGACACCTAGTCTGTAGTTTATAAGACGGAATCCATCAATCCATTCGAGAAGAATTCCTGCAATCTGTTTTCCGTCTTCCCTCTGTATGTCAGCGTCAGGACGGCCGCTATAGGATAGGATTCCAAGCATCTTCGGGATGCGTGCGCTATCATCACTGCGTCTAATCTGCAGAGAGTGTAGGAGGAAATAAGAGGCAATAGACTGGTGAGACTCATTCACATCATTGACATAACCGGGTCCCTCCTGTCTACGCGTTGAAATTCTACTGGGAATGAAGAAAGCCACCGTTCCGTCAGACAGACGAACTTTTTGAGGAGCATTTTTTAAATCCATCCCGTGATCCAGAGGGGATGCCTCATGACAGTCATATATCGGTATATCATCCGGCACGTTGAACGTGTTCCATGCCGCAGGTTGCATCTCATATGCGCATGCGCTAGTTGGACCATGGACTACCCGCGGAATCACGCCGGATTTTGGAGCTCCATACAACCTGAGAGTATACGATTTGCAGTAGAAATAATCGTGGAGACTGGTCCAGTACGGGATATTCGGTGCCAACACCTGCAAAATTTCCATGCAGTGTGAAATAATTAGATCGCAGAGCTCACTCCAGAGACCCGCACGTAATAAAATCGGATCTTGTTTGAGAAGGGGCTTCCATTGCTGCTCAAAATCCGTTCCCCTCACGTCATCTTCATAAACTCCGAGCTTGAAATGTACGCCGTTTCTCCAAAATTGTATCTCACTCATGCCGGGGTTGTCGTTAGTCATACCAAAACGAATGATGTGTGGTGTATCAAAATGTCGAATAGCAGACATTGTTGGTATCAGTTTGTTGACTTCAATGGCTTAAAGTGGTTAATTATAGGATATTGAAGGTTATTAATATGAACTTAAGAGAAAATTCCGGATTGCAATTATATATACTTCACACGATTGCTGAGGTGGTTGATTTATTAATATAAATCGTGGTGGTAAGGTGATAAATTATTATTATCTGACACCAAAGCGGGCCACGTCACCGAGCGGGGCCACTGTATAGGGGATCTCTTCTACTGAAGCCCTTTACCAAATTAGAGGACCACAATTTGTATAGTTAGCTAAGTTAACTAGCGTCCAGTTCTCTGTCATTAGTTACAAAGTCTAGTTACCACCATGATCCACCAACCGAGGATATCCCGTGTGCGTCGAGACACGTGAAGATAGGTTGAATCACACACACGTTCCAGTTCCACTTATCCACGAATAGTAGTAGTAGTAGTAGTAGTGTCGGATTGGTCGGTTTATTCCAGGCCAATCCTGAAGAGTGTTTTACTAGGATCAAAGAAAAGAAGTGACTAGCAAGATTGTATGTATTGAGTTCTGTGTCTGTCTTTCAAGTTTTTAAAGCCGGGTCCTTTATAGACACCTTTGGCGGGGTGATTTGTGAGCTATCAGAAGGGGTAAATATTGGGCTGAAATCTAGGTGCCCAGATATATGCCTAAAGGTGCCTTTTAGACCTGTAAGATTGAACAGTCGATCTTTCTGCCTTATTTGAAAGCCGGATTATCTGACACACCCCCTCAGCTGCAGAAAGCAACTGCTTGCAAAGCTGGAATAGCTTCATAAGTTGTCGGGCACGTCATTAAGAGAAAGTAATTCTTCGATATCTGGGTTCTCCATATCCTTTTGCTGGGGAGTGAGATAGCTGTCGATATCCTCTACTCTGATTTGATTGAGGAACTTTTAGTGTTCCTGTTTGCTGAGTGCCTTGGTCAGGCCGTTGGCAATCATATCTTTTGTGGGCATGTAGTGCACTTGGATGTCTCCCTTCTGCACCTCTTGTCATACCTAGTGATTATGAATATTAACATGTCGGAGCTTTGTACGCAGTCGCGGAGCGTCCTTCTCCAGCAATCCTAGAGTTTGCTGGTTATCGTAGAAAATGTGAAGAGTAGGTGTTCTAAAATGTATCTCCAACTCCAGAAGCAATCAAAGGACATATTTGTCTTCTTTCACCCCCTGAGCGAGAGCTAATAGTTCAGCTTTAGTGGTTAACGTTGTTACCGTATCCTGCTTATTCGCTTGCCATCCTATTATTCCACTAAAAAGTGTCATAATGTATGCTTGCGAGCTCTTACGGTCAAGTGTATTATCTGCAAAGGAGGCGTCTGTTAATACTGAATAATCTTCACCTCCTCCAAGCCTCAAGGCATACGCACGATGACGTTCAAGGTAGCATAAAATCTTGTCAGCAGCTTGATGGTGCTTTAGTCTGGGATTTGATAAGAACTGTGAAAGCCGTGAGACGGCAAAAGCTATGTCAGGTCAAGTGCTTACTGCCACGTACATGATTAAGCCAACTTTTTATTAATATTAATAGTTACTTTTGTAGGTGGCTGTTCCTTCGTATAGGAGTAATTCTTCTCGAGCCATTGGTGTGTCGTTAGTTTGTCGAGTGTTGGCTAACTTCGCAATTTTATTGATATAGGTGGCTTGACTAAGCCAGATCACCTTATTACTTTGATCCTATATAACTTTTATACCTAGAAACCACTCCAGGTCTCCTCCTCCGGATATTTTGTATTTGGCACGAAGTTGGTTCATGACTGAGTCAGCTTCTGATTGGTAGCTCTTCTTATATGCGATAACAATATTGTCTACATAAAAGAACAGTATGATCCCAGATTTTAACATGTAACATGGTTCGTGAGGCACTGTTTTAAAACCTAACTCTACAAGGGTGCTGGTAAGTTTCTTTTGCCATAGGAGTGATGATCTACGCAATCTGTAAAGAGCCTTGTTCAGTCGATATATTTTTCTAGACTCACAATATCCAGGAGCTATTCTCATAAAGATCTCTTCATCTAGTATGGCATTAATGAAGGCATTGACAGTGTTATATTGCTTGAGTTCCAGATTGAAGCGCGCAGCAATAGCCATAAATGTTCTAAAAGATCTTGCAGCAAGAGTAGCAGTATATATGTCCCTTGTATCATCTCTTTTCTCTTGATCATCTCTTACCACAAGTCGTGCCTTGCACTTGACTAGACGACCTTTCTTGTCCTACTTATAGACATATACCCACATATAATTGAGAATCTGCTTTTCTTTTACCTTACCGATAGGCATCATTGTCCAAGAGCCAGATAGATCGTGACTTTTAAGGTGATCTCTCTCAGTCTCCTTAAATAACCAACCTAAAGGATGTTTTTCTACTTCACGGTGACTCTTAGGAGTAGGCGGTAGGTCGCGGACTAGAACTGACTGAAGTCGATGTCCTGACCTTAGACGTTGTTGGAGGCTCATGTGATCAAATTTGACTATGTTCACCTTATACTGACGATGTTGTGTGCCTGCTAGAAAAGCAAACCTCCAAGGATTAAGCTCTTCTCATTGCGTAGTCAAAGCAGCGGCGATGGTTTTAACAGGAGCCTCTCTGAAGCCTACCCCGTTCTTCTCAAGCGACCCTCTGGGTCCGTCCTCAAGGATATGCCTGCCATAAGCCTCTCTGAGACCTACCATGGAGTCACGCAGATTGGGCAACCCTCTGGGCCTGTCCCCAAACTTAGCACGTGATCCTCTGGACCTGACCATGTCTACACCATCAAGAGCCCCTCTGGGACCTTCCTTGGTGGTTGCTTCCTGAACGAGCGACCCTCTGGGCCTGACCCCGCCAGTTGACATTCCAGCTGCGTGCTTAGAGCTCTGACGGAGGTTGAGGTCATTTTTATAGACAATAGTTATGCTAGCTGTCAACAGTGCGCTCAGAGGCGTATCTGGAGGTATAGGATAAGCATATTTATTAATCCCCTCTAACAATCCTTCTCCTAGCGTCAGAGATGGGCCGCTTGGATAGTCCGAATCAAGCTAACTTAAATCTTCAAATCTAGAACTAGTCACCAAGCCTGTTGTTGTCGTACGCTCATTGTTGTGCCTATTTCTATCAAACACCAAATCCTCCATCTCATCTCTAAAGTTAGCATTATCTTCGACTTCATCTGACTGTACTCAGATATCTATCTTGTTTAGTAAGATTGTCAGTTCTTTAATAGACATATGAAGGAGATCATCCTTGATATCTTGGATATCTCCACTGAAGACTTCATTCTTATTAAAAATAATATCCCTTGCTCGCACAATCCTCCCTGTCGAAGGATTCCAAATCCTATAAACATTTGTTGAGTTATATCCAACGAGATAGCCTACCCATGCTCGCGGATTGAAGTGTTGAAGTTGATTTTTCTTGAGTTGATACTCCGATGTGAGGGCATATACTTTACAGCCATATACCTTCAGGTGAGCAAGCTAAGATTTCTGATCTTATATGTAAATTCTATTTTGCAAAGTAACATAAGTATGGAACCTATTGTATAGCGTTTTCCAGTTGTACATGAACTTTGGGGTACGGTTGTAAAGATAGATTGAGACTCAGTATATTTCTGACTATAAATCTGTAGGTAACTTTGCACTATTTCTCATAGCCCTAGCCTTATCCTTGATGACACCCCCTGAGTGCTCAGCAGCACTGTTTTGTCCTTGATTATTTACTGTTGAGGGCTTGATAGTAATATGTTTGGTAATCAGCCACTCCTTTACCTTAGGTTGGTATAAGAATATCTCATTATCTATCTCAATCTTGATTGGACTAACATCATGGTGCTTTTTCAGATATTTAAAGAACCATTTCAGAGTTTCTAAGATCTCCACGCTTTTGTGCGATGTTATATAAAAGTCCTAGATAAAACTGCTAAATCGATCGGTTATAAACATCAATGTCTTTTCTCTATTCATTGAGCTTTTCTGAAAGTCATGAAAATTAATCGCTAGATGCATGCCAGGTCGTTCTATAATATTTCTTTCTTCTCGTCGTATAATTCGTCTGGCTTTTGCCCTTCCATAGGCTTCGCACTGTACAGTGGTAGGACCTTTGGATAGGCCAGTCACTCTTACACCTTTTGTCGTTGTGGTAAGGTGTTCAATAGCTTGGGGTCTAGGATGGCCAAGGCGAGCATGCCATCTCTTAGCGTCAGCTTTTCATTCTTTTCTGACTATTCATGAATTGAAGCGGTGCCGTCATATCATAAAGGTCATTTTTACGAGAGGATAGTCGTTAACGATATGTTTGAGTACAAATTGACCTTCCCTCTCTTTTATATATATAAGTACTTGATTTTTCTCGTTCCGAAGGCAGTCGAAGCCTCTTCTGGTGTCCCACCAGATTCCATGCTTTCTTAGTTATTGGAAAGACACCAGGTTTACCACAAAGTCCTTGCAGTATGCCACGTTATAAAGGCGCAGAATTTAAAGTCTTCCACCAAGGCTGTAGATTTCGATATCCACTTCTCCATATCCTAAGATAGGTACTTGGTGGGTGCCTACCCATAGGAAGTCTCCTGCTGTCGCTTTCTGGAAGTTCACAAACCTTTCTATCTCATTGAAAATGTGAATTGATGACCCTAAATCCAATAAAGCTGAATGTTTTAAAGGATATTCATTAATTGACAGTGCAGCCAAATCCTTTTCCATGCGAATGTAGTAGGTCGATTTGCAGCTGCCTACTGCCATCTTAAAGAGTCAATTCGAACTTGCTGTTTCTCCTTGGAAAGTCACCTCATTCTGAGTATTTTGAGTTATAGGTTCTCGTCACTCTTGAGATTGACTTCTAGAGCGAGATTGTTCTTTCCTTTGAGAAGGAGCTTGTCCCTGTTCTTTGGTTAGTATATGTCTTACCTCTTTTGCTAATGATGCATTGCTGTTAAGCCATCTATCGGCTCTTTGTTGAAGCCAAAGTCTTAGCTGAAACTCTTGAGGAGCCTTATAACCAAAAATATAGAAGTAGAAGTCAATAAAGTGTATGCCTCCACATGCAGGGTAGGTTAATTTAGGTTCACCTCTTTTATCTGGAGCAAATCTGCTGCGCTGTCCTTCTTCAAATGATTGTGATCGTAAATGTTGTCAACCACGCTCCACAGCTCTCTCTCGCTACAAGCTTTCTTCATTTTCTTCTTCGCTGTTGTTGCTCTTACTTAGATGAGTGGCAAAAGAGCCTTTTATTATATGGGATTATTATTTTGTACGGAGTCGTGGGATGAGTCTCCGGAAGCCATTTAATAGATCCTTATAAGTAAGAGATTTATCATCAATCTTTGGATTGATTGAGTGCTTAAAAGATGTTACCCACGCCTCATCTAGTGGTCGAATAGCTTCGAGAAACCTAGATGCCCAGTCCTCCGTATCTTGGGCAAAGGACATGGATTTCTTCTTTCCTTGAAGTATGATTTCTTCCCACTTGATTAACTAAGCCTCTAGATCTTACGGAGTGCCTCTGAAAGGTTTCATGTGCTGGTTATAGTTATCTTGTATTTATTGCTGGATTTCTCGCGATCCTTGGCCAACTTGCGTCTTTAAGTTATTGTATGCTTCCTTTTAACTGTATATCATGTGCACACAGGTCTTAAGATAGCTATGACACACTGTCCGCTTCATCCATTTAAAGATTTTGTTGATGTCTCTACGCTGAACCTCCCACTCACTGAACTCCATTTTGTAGTTATTGAGATGTAGATTGAAGTCATTTCTTGCCCTTTATTTAGTGCGATCATCAGTTGTATCTTCAGTCGCGGTGGTTTGGGTTGATTGAGTAGAGTTCTGACGCGTTCCTTGAGCTGCATCTACACGGTTTTGTGTAGTGTTCTAGGATTCAGATAGATAGTCCTGTATCTTTGGTCGAACAGGTTTCTTGATTGGTCTCTTAGTTCCCTGGAGAATGGGAAGAAGATCATTGGCTCTGGCCCGATTGAGAAGTTCGTTTTGCCAATCGTCCCAATCCTCTGGGGAATTGAGCTTATACTCGGTGGCAATGTTGGACAACATGTTGATATAGAGCCGGTAGGGGTAGTCAGACTCTTAATTGTCGGATTGGTCGGTTTATCAGGAGGGGTAAATATTGGGCTGAAATCTAGGTGCCCAGATATATGCCTAAAGGTGCCTTTTAGACCTGTAAGATTGAACAGTCGATCTTTCTGCCTCGTTTGAAAGCCGGATTATCTGACAACCCCTTTACGGAGGTCACATGACTCTCGGAGCATAGTTGATCCGCGCCGGAGGGAGATCCACGGGTGTAGCACGCTGACAAAATTGTCCAATCCGTATAACTGAGTCACGTGGGGGTGTCGCTAGAACGACACCCTGGTGTCGCTGGAACTAGGGGGGTGTCGCTAGATCACCACCCTAAACTATATCCCATTCCCGCGCCGAGATAGGCAAGATTGCTATACCGACACAGTGTGTGTGTGTATGCCATTGTTTAACGGCCGTAGGTGATGATTAATCACTGCCTACCCATTCCCTAGTGGGACAAAGGCCGCCAGGGGGTAAGCCCTGGGTGTCAAAAACTAGTTACAAGAAGTGAATCTTTGGCGTTTTTACATAACTGCGGTGGTCAGATGGTTGGCCTCTATATATAAAGGCTGGATGTTGCTGCCAGCTGCAGTGGTCCGCCTACTCCCCATGATCAAATCTGGCCTGTTCAACTCTGATAGAACTTAAGATGAAAGAAAAGAAAAATAAAGAAAAGACAAAAGGGACATAATAAAGTTAGTGGTGATTTCTTAGCTTAGGTGCTAAGGAGAGGGCGTCGAGGACAGGTATCCTCGAAGAATCGGGACTCTGAGAGCCAGGTTGCTAGTTTCATGGCGCCTTTTGGAGTGCCTAGAAGGAGGGGGATGATTTTAGATGGGGATCCAAGGGGTCTAGGAGGCCGGGCAACCTTTCTCTTTGCAATCTGGCAGAAAAAGAAGTGTATTGGTGACTTCCTCATGCTATATCAACAAAAGAGGTGTACATCCATTAAGTGCAGAGACTATGAGAAAGCTGATGCTATTGAGAGATATATATACTAGTTAGAAGACTTCTTGAAGGCTTATTATTTTACGAATAATGCTTTTTGATTCGTATTCGCATTCGTGGCACAAATTGTTTACGAATATTCGCATTCGCGGCGAATACGAATATATTGGATATTCGTGTCCAGCCCTAGAATAAGACATTATCAAGATATTTTCGAATACGAATGAGGCAAATCCTTATTCGATTCCACCCCTATGCCCAACCAATGACCCGGCTGAGCAAATCGTTAGGGCGAGGGCGACTGTTAGCACCTATACCTGTATAGCTACCGAGGAGGAGGGGAGAAGAAGGGGGGGGGGTGTGGGAAATATCGTACTCAGGAAGCCGAGGACGAAGACGAGGCACCACCAGTTCCTCTTCCATGCCATCTGGGTGGTGTGCAAACACATGGACAAACCGAAAGGAGTGACAAAGACGATACCGGCAGCCTGGGAAGGTGTATAGCCATAGGTGGTCTTCAGCCCCGGTATCAGGGCATGGCAGCTCTGCTGGATGACTTGCAGTTCAACTTGAGCGCACATGTTGGACAAAAAATGGAGAAAAACTTTGTACACAGGAACAATGTGCTCCGACGCAATGAAGAGAAGGGCAGGGAAAGAAATGGACCCAATCAAGCAGGACAAGATGCTTGGATATAAAGCCTTGCCAAGATCGGGGCTCTAACCTCCCACAACACATAGGGCGGCATTATTCCCAGGCAACCCTGATTCTTGAGTGGCGCTAGTACTGACCTACTATCATCCATTGATTTCTGTCAGCCATGAAAGCGACACCAGCCTGCAGCGTTCGGATCACTACCCACTCTCGACAAGAACGTTCCAGCTATCGGAGCGGTGAGAGAGTGGAATTGGGAACGGAATGCGCTCATTGAGTGGTAGAGGGAAGATCTCGGATGCCTCAGCAGACGCAGCTGTTGGATTGGCAGTTATGGCAATCTGCCCGGATCTTCTAATTACCCATACAAATTGTATGATAAAATTGAATTGGATAAGTTGCTTAATTTTTTTAAGAGTGTATAGGATTCGAATGGAAGCCTAGAATAGTTTGAAATAGCAATCTATGGTTGTCATCCAGAAGATCTCGCTTTACCCCTCCCATCAGGTTCAGGCCGGGTGGTCAAGCTGTAAAGAAATCAGAGAATGGATTGTATAGGCTCAGAGGATTGATATCGTCCAGTAATAATGATCAATGATCAACTTTGCACCGCCTGGTCAATCCACAGGGCCTCTTATGTCGACGCCTCCAGGGTATAAAGGCATGAACCCTCTTCCTCCTCCTAGATAGCCTTCAAAGCGCATATTCTGAACATCTTCGTTGAACTCGATCTCATTCTAAATCTCAAAATTACCAGCCCCCAGGAGCTCCCCAAAACGTCCTGCGCATATAAGTGGTCTGGGGCGAGGAAAGCGTTCTGGTTAGCAAATGTATGGACCCAATTAGGGGTTATTATTAGAGGCTCTAGGTGGAGGCCCCTATAAGACCCGTCTAACTCGTGTCTGTCATAGCCCTCCGGGCTGGATATGGACGTTAAACTTGATTTAATAATAATAATAATAATATCTAAAGTTTAACACAGTCCTTGGATGTCAGAGATGGCGATATATACAACGCAGAGCATCAAGGAACAGAAAATTGCAGAAATTTACTTTACCGTGTGGTTGTGTAATGCTATGTATCTCTGAATTGTTGTAAAATTGAAACAGGTAAACCGATGAGCTTATGCTGTCTCACGTCAAGTACCATGAGTTGCCGCTAGATGCTGGCGAAGGATGCTCGACGAATGTTCCCATTCATCGTGATGGACGCAAAATGTCATCAAATCAATTGACTCCTGGGCTAGAGAAGAGTGTCTATTAGTAAAACTTCGAGGAAAGGCATGGTATTTGAGAGTTGGAGAGATTTACGCGACGGGCGTGACCCTCTACTACTGCCAGGGTCCCTCCCGTTTTTCCTGGTGAACTCCTGAATACGTTCAACGCGATCTTTACGACATTGCTCGTATAATCTCAATCTATCGAACACGTCTGACTTGGCAGTTCCAAGAGGAAAAAGTGCGGCAAGAGATGCACCGTCCTCAATGGCCATTGCACCCCCTTGAGCCATAACTGTGCGGAGAACATAAGCACCTGGAAGTTATCCTGCAGTTTTTAGAATACTCACAAGGCAAGAAAGGATGTGCAGCATCACCAATCAGTGTAACAAAGCCCCGGGTCCAGGTTGGGAGGGAGTCCATGTCCATGAGGGTCCAGATCTGGAGATTATCTTCTGACGCCTTGCTCAGGACGCGGCAGACTGAGGACCCGAAGCTTTCAAAACATTTCAGCAAAAGATCCTTACTGGCAGCGTTATCCCATGCTATCATATGGCACAGTTAGATTTGAAGGGGGGTTCTAATAATCGTTGCCTTTCACTTACTTTGTTCCGTTGTACCAACTTCATCAGCTGGAACAAAACCAGCATAATTTGCAATCGTGTGGTTGGAGCATGGATAGTAAATAACCCGGCGATCTGATCCTGTCCATTCACTCAGAAAGCCAGGTCTAGCATATCTTTTTGTCTCCGGGTCACTAGCAAGTTCCTCATATTGGCCCAACCAACGGAAACAAGCCTTCCCGTAGGGAAATGGTGCATAACCAGGCGCGATAAATGATCTTGACCATGACTTTATGAAGGTAGATGTACGTTAATATATGAACTGTAGGATTACTCAATCGACTTACATGGACCCCGTCAGCCCCGATTATCATATCTCCGCGGATAGTCTCTCCCGTGGCTAACTTCAGAGACGGTTCATTGACGTCGAGGTCGACCAGTTTACAATCCAGGAACAGCTTGGCCGGACTTCCTAGCCCCTCAGCGGAAGTAGCTAGACGTTTCAATTCCGAGTGAAGTTTCGCACGGTGGACAAGGTTCCATTCCTGTCACCATTTCCCTGTCAGCTCTACCTGATCAGATGACCCCAAAGAGCTCTCACGCACAGTTCCTGAAGTCTTGATGACTTCTGTCAAATCTCTCGTATAGGCAAGGTCTCCGGCCGACGTATACACGTTCATCTTTCGACGGAGTCAGGAAGTTAGTACATTTGATAGTAGAGTCCTGTGCAGAGATGTACTCACCCCTTGTAGTGGGGTTCCACCACATCGGCGATTGACAATCCCAACCGGGTCAACAGCCGGTTACAATTGGGAGCAATATGATTGCAGCTCCATCTCCGAGGAGATTTAGAGCGCTCAAACAACTAGAGAACTTCAGTCTAAGAGCTAGTTCAGAAATCAACGCTACATAGCTACCATTGTTTGGTGCCCTTGTCGCCGTAGTGCGAGTGCCACAGAAAGGCCACCTATTCCTGCCCCTACTATCAATATTTTCAACGGGCGGTCTTCACGAGATTTTAATACTCCCATTGCCATGGTTGGACCGGAACCGTAAGTAACGGCGTGTAATTGAGTGAAGACGATATAGCTGCTTTCAATTGACCGTCAACAGCCTGGACTAGGAGGCAAATAAAAATAGCTGAGACGATATTCTGACATGGGAAATGTGGCTTGTTTATAGGGACTACTTAGACAAAAACAACTAAGACTTTTGATCTGCTAAACATGGTCTCACCAATTAACTAATGTGATCCACCTAGGGAAAATACACCGCCATTGAACTAGCATACTCCTCATTTTCTAGTCTCTGCGGGCTTCACGTTACGACGGCTGGCATCAGAAGTGTAGTGTGGTGTGTATTGGCATGCATCACCCCAAATGGGTAAAGGCGAGGGAATCTTCGAATCAGAAGAAGCATCGTTAACGACGATCTCCGCTGTTCAATTCCGTATTCCCAAATCGGTGGTGCCCCCCCCTGACAAGTGCATAGTCCACGAAGTACTCCGTATACCAGATATAACTCGAGATAAGTTATTTTCACCGAGGCAGTATTTGGCTCCATGCGCCGACCTCTGAAGCCAACATTGCAGATATCCAAGACGATGTAGAACTATATGCCCTGTAGGCCATTCGGGAACGAATGATGAACAATCCTTACCAATTATTGTTGACAGGCCGAACTATTCCTCCTGTGGCTGCATTGGAACCCGTGTTGTCGTACTCCGTACTCCGTACAGAGTAGTGCCAGAGTCCACTTGACTGCCGTGAAAGGATAGTGATGATAGCGGCGGAGTCATTTCATTGGCAATGGTCATCTATCAGAGTGGGCCGCCGTGCTCTTGTGACCACCGAATTCGGTAACGGAATTAACTATCCGAGCCGAGTCGATAACGGAATCGACTATCCGAGCCGTTTAGGCAGCACATCACTGAAAGTTGATATAGTATTACATGATATACTGTCGCTCTATTCGGGTAGACACTTACTGGCTTGAAGGAACCAGGAACTCTGCTCAATCAAAGTAGATACCAGCTTTGATCAGACCTGAACCCACAAAATCAAAGACAACCAGCATCCGACACATGATCATCACTTACTAAAATAGGGTAGTCAGTCAATTAGTGCAAGGCGATGGAGGAAGACAGAAAAGGCGGTAGAAGCATCATTGCACGTACTAGAGAGTTCTTCCGCTTTCACCCCTTTTCTCCCGGTTCAGGATTCATTAATGGGAGCTACAGTATTCGAAATTGTGTCTTCCTCCAGGCTCATATATAACTACTTCAAGCATATCACTACCAGGTCAGGCGACCACCAAGTCTTGATATCCTTTTATCACTTCGCAGAAATAATCCGAGTGTCAAGATGGGCACTCTTACCACAGAAAGTCTTACACCAGCCGATACAATATGGCCACAAATCAGAAAACCTTTCTTGACGGCGGTTATGATAAATTTCATACTTTTGCAGTGTGATGGCCGCGATCTTGTTGGAACTCAGGATGAGCTAAGCCAGTTTGGGATAGGAATTGGGAATAGGACAAGATTTGCGTATCAAGAAATTTCGAGAATTGGCATCACATACCGACACGATATTGAGCATTACAAATCAACTTTACAGCCCATCTCTACTACGGTTGGGGCCGGTAATTTTGTTAGTACGATTTTTAGGCGGTCAGGCTCCGGGGCTCACCGCCTTTTAAATAGAATATTGACCATCCGTCTGCTTTCAGCCTTTCAAGCCTAGATATATGACATTTGACGATCAATATGGCCACCCCCGAGCCTACCAGCCCCCCTAGGGCAACAAGCGCAGCAGCTCTCGAGCCATCTGATTCCAGGCAGAATTCAGCACGGCTGAATAGGGATGAACGGATCCGAGTATTAACCCTTCGAGATGCTGGATTTACATATCTTCAAATCTCTCAGCAACTTCAAATTAGCTATCGCCAAGTCCAATATACGTGCCAAAGCCAGCAAGCAACCCCTAAAAAGGCCCGTGGCAACCCTCCGAAGCTCTCCGAGGCTGAAGTTGATCATATTATCGAATGGATTACTTCTTCGAAGCGTACGCGACGTATGCCTTATTATAAGGTTATACAAGAGCTTAACCTATCTATTGGAAAGCACGCCCTGGCTCGAGCCCTTAAAAAACGAGGTTATATACGATGCAAGGCTCTTAATAAACCTCCTCTATCAGATAAACATAAACAAGTACGTCTTGCCTGGGCCCTAGAGCATTTGAATTGGACGACTGAACAATGGAATCGTATCCTTTGGTCTGATGAAACATGGGTTACTTTAGGATTTCATACGAGAATCTGGGTAACTAGAAAGGCTGGTGAAGAGTTAGAAGAGACTTGCATACGATCCTCTCCTGCACGGAAACGTGGATGGATGTTCTGGGCTACTTTTCATGGGAATAACAAGGGTCCGTGTTTATTCTGGGAGAAGGAATGGGGAACTATTAACTCAGAGAGATATTGTCAACGGGTTATACCAATTATTGATGGCTATATTCGCTTATTACGAGACGATATCTGGCTTCAATTTATGCAGGATGGGCCACCTGGCCATGCGAGTAAGGAGACTCTCGAAGAGCTTCATTCTCGTGGGATATATCCAATTTATTGGCCAGCATTCTCACCTGATCTCAATCCAATTGAAGCAGTATGGAATTGGATGAAGGATTGGATTCAAGAACAATATCCAGATGATGAGCAACTTTCTTATGATCGACTCCGTGAGATTGTACGAGCTGCTTGGGATGCACTGCCTGAGCAGTTTTTGAAGGAGCTCATTGACTCTATGCACGCTAGATGCCAAGCTGTAATAGATGCTCGAGGTGGTCATACAAAATATTAGATTAGTAATCAGATATGACTGGCAGAATTCATTGGATTTCAACCCCTGTAAAAAAGTCGTGCTAACAAAATTACCGGCCCCAACCATAGTAGAAAGTTCGATTTGTCGACTTTTGGTGATATCACTTCTTTGGAATCTTGTATATAAAAACAGGTCAAGACTCCTAGATAGCTACTGAGAGAGGAGTGCCGGAGAATAGACCTAGTTCCTTATACGTATATATATTGTCTAAAGGTGCTCGCCTTCGCTTAGTCATTGCTCTAGTAAACCAACGTTCCAACAGTTATGAGCCCGGGATCCCTGTGAACATAAGCACAAGAATCGTCTTGGAGTATTGAACCGAGAGACTTGAGGCTATTTGCAGAATTGAACCCTAATTTATCGACAACTGTTGATTTTTGTATATATTTGACAAACGACTGCGTTTGAACCCTTGAAGCTATCCGTGCTTAGGAGGAACAAGTGAACTCATTAGCAATAGATAAGAATAAGGGAACTACCCGTCGCTTCACCTCCCCCCACCCTATTCGGACTGGGGGTCGGCCCGGGCTCAACGCGCACATGGGCTCAACGCTCAAAATATTCAAATTCTTCAAATTAATGCTTATAAGTCCACCAACGCCATGTAAATTATATAAAAAATCTAGACACATGAGAAATACATATATGATTTACCGATTACCCGTAGAATCAATGAAAAAACCCAAGTTTTGAGGCTCTCTTGGAGCCTCAGCATCCTCCGCCTCCGGCACCCCAAGTACGTGCTGTTTATGAATCCTCAATAAATCCCCGTCATGGCGGCGTTTTATGAGGCGATTCGCATCTTTTACATAGAGCGCGCCTGAGGCTTTTACCTGGCGCTTGGTTTTTTTGTTATTTTTGCGTTTTGCTGTGTCGCGCAGCCTTGCAAAATCCTCACGGTGAAGCTCACCTAATCCCGCCATGGCGAGGCTGCTTGAATTCACGACTTTTATACGCCGTACGAGGCCAGGTTTTGATTCCTCCAAAATATCCTTTATACCCTCAATTGATTTCTCTATCTTATTGATATATCGACGAAGCGCAGTGACCGTTGACGGCGGAGAAATTGATTTCGTTGTTGGTGAGCTGGGAATAGTGTCATCGACCTCGCCATAAATTTTTAATGTATTCCCATCATCAATAATTGCCTCATCAGGGTGAGGCAATTTGCTCAATACGATATCAGGATTATATGGCCAAATCCCTCGATCTTTCCAACCGTGGCGAATAATTCGCGGAGTAAAGGTTTGAATTCGAATATCCCGTAATTCCTCAAAAAAGTCATTTTTGTTGAAATCGAAGCCTCCGAGCCGAGCAACTTGATTTACCACTCTTCCATGAACGCGCTTATATTGCTGAAAAGGCACTCCATCGAGCGGTTGTAATAGATGCGTGGAATGCGGTGGAAATCTGAATAATCGAATGCGATTAATTTCACAGTATTGAACGAACTGTATAGTGAGATGGGTTGTATGGTTATCCATAATTAATAATCGCCATTCGAACGTATGTTCTGGCTTTGTATAGTGCTGAAAATGTTGAAGCCATTCAAATGCGATCTCATCCGTGATAAATCCATTTGAAGCAGGAGCAATAAGCCACTCCGGATCCTGTATATGTCGATACCATTCCTCCATATGTTTTCCCCTTTTGGGATAATTAACGGTGGAATGACTCTCCCTTCGGCATTTATACTCTCAACGACGGTAAGAGATTCTCGAGAAGACAAAGAGGAAACTCTTTTTGCTGTTTTTGGGTACTTTGTGACCACTGATTCGCTTTTTCCTTGTCCGACAATGAATCCGGTCTCGTCAAAGTTCCATAGATTTTTGGGTGTAATATGAAGCTTTTGCATCACGAGTTTTAAGTCGATAAACCAGCGCTCAATCTCGCCATAATGCTCGGCTCCTGTTCTATCAACTTCCTGCGGTTTTTGCTTGATTCTTTGATAACCCTCTGGCAAGCGAGTAAGGAATCGATCAACCCAGGTTTTACCAACGCCGCGAGGCTCTCCGGGACCGGTAAAATCTTCACGAAGCAAAAAATTGGCACTTTGCTCAATTTGTTGATTTGTTGGAGGTGCTCCTATGTTATCTAGATACTCAATCCATAGAAAAAGCGCTTTTTCTTGATCTAGCGATAATAGGCGGTTCGTAGGTGCCCTTTTGGAGCGAGAGGGTATCCCCTTGACGCGTCGGGACAGTCTATGGCGAGAGACCCCAAATTCACGCGCTAATCTCGAGATATTTTGATTTTGACCACTTTGATACGCGCTGACAGCCTTTGCAATTTGCTCTTCCTCTTTTTTGTATTCCTTAGGTGCCATTTTTGCGGTATTTTGGACGATTGTAAACGATGGCTTGAGAATTTGAATATTTTGAGCGTTGAGCCCATGTGCGCGTTGAGCCCGGGCCGACCCCCAGTCCGAATAGGGTGGGGGGAGGTGAAGCGACGGGTATTATCTTTGTTGGATGTGTGTGTGTGTGTGTGTGTGTGTGTGTGTCTATTTAATGGCCGTGGTTCGTGACTCGCACGCTTCCCACTAGGCCTCGGCATGACCCTCGGCATGACCCGCACTAGGTGAGGGCCCAAGGTGTGTTACCCTCACCCGACCCTCAACCCTCGTAGGGTCCTGTCAGATAATCCGGATTTCCAACGAGGTATAGAATCCAAGGCCATCCTCAAACATATAAAACTTCACCTGGTGCACCTGAAACTCGACTTGAGACGTCATGGCCGTATTCCTTGGAACAGTGAGAACCCCAAGTCTGTTAGTTGTTACACATCTTGGCAAAATATCTATATAAACCCGGCTTTGGAACCTGATGTACTCGGAGGAAAAGAGAACAGAAGATACACAATCTTGCTAGTCACTTCTTATTTTACCATCCTTGTAAACAATTTTTTCAGGATTGGACTGGAGTTGACCCATCAATCCGACAAGTCCGAGACATGACATGGCTCAACACGCTCTATATGGTAACACCAAGAAGCGTAGTGCATACTGCTCTCTCGAGAACATCTATCTTCGCGCAAATCAATTTTTTGAAATTACGCCACCAGGTCCGGCCGGAAACGGCTGTAACTCAAGCAGTTTATCGTCTGAGTCAAGAGCTATCAATCGAGCCTACTTTTACTAGGTAAGAGCGTAGTAATGGCTCAGGCGCGCATGTTGACACCCTCAACGGGTGAAAATCTGCATCCACAACGACGCGTCCTAATACGCGCCGGGGCTCAACAACCACCACCACCACCACCAATCACTAACCAACAACGACCAATCAAGACTTATACGAAAATGGAAGACCTTGCTAAGGCAGCGGAGCTGCTCGCTCAGTATATATACTTGAACCCTCGCGAAGGCCAGGATAATCCAATGATTAGAGGATTTATCAACGACGTACAAGACTTCACTACCGCTCACAAATCTGGTCCGGAAATCCTTACGGATCTCAAGCGGCTGCTTGTAGATGTCCAAAAGGACACCGCGGTGCTCCGGACACGATCCAATCAAGCATCTCAATCAAGCGCTACAACTGGATTGTTATCTGTATCTCTATGGAAAGCATGGAATACCCAGAATTGACAGGCCAGTCTTCGGAGCACAGCCGCACCCTCATCTCGAAGCGCCGGCTTCTCCACACCAGGTGTTAGCCATACAGAGCTAAGTATAGACTGTGAGATTGTCATTAAGATCCGCGATGAAGCTATCCATAAGGAGATACGTGAACTGCATCCTGTGGAGATCGTGAAGCGAGCTGAACGAGCCAGGGCCCACGCAGCGAAGGGCACTCCAAGCCTGCCTCTAGCCGGTCATGTATTCATTGCTGCTCGACCACTCCTATTGGGGGATGTTAGCCTACAGGCATTAAACGCAGCGGCAGCGGAGGTCCTCCGCAGGCATGCAAAGAATTAAGTTCATGAATTTAGGGAAACAGCGTACGTACGGGTACCCACATAGAGAATTGTAATTAATAGAATGCCTATCTAGAACATAGATCTAGGTGAGAAATTCAAATAGTGAATAGCTGCAGAAAATCACCATGCCTGGGGCTAGAATATAAAGATTGAGATTGCACACATTGACTAGCTTACCAATCCTAAAAGTAAGCATAAAGGATCTCTCATTGTTGAGTTTACAAATCTAATTATGACTAACAATGCAATCTCTATAGGGACAGTGTGGCAATCTTGGAGCCACACTAATAGGCCTTATTGTTGAGAAGGACAGTGTAAGATATGCAAGAAGTGCCAGAAATATAGGCACGTCCACGCGCAATGTCCAAATCTAAAATATATTTGTGGGATCTATGCAAAGGAGCATCCGACCTGGGAATGCCCTTCGCATTAGAGCCAGGGAATAGAATTCATACCAAAATGTGCCAATTGCAGTGGCTCACATAAGGCCATAAGTACCAAGTGTGGCTTACAACGTGAGGCCTTAGATAAGGCTAAGATTGCGCTAATCAATTGTGAACCATTTCATCAGGTGCCTCAGTACTTACAGCCCAAGCCGATGCAACAGAATACTACTGCAAATGAGGATCCTACTCCTTACGAAGCTGCGCAGATCCAAGCAACCACAAGGAAGCGCACCAATACGACTAAATCAATAACCACTAAAAGCATCTCAGGGGCGGTAAAGCGTACAAAGACATCAACTATAGCACCTATAATTCCTACTAAAATCAATAAGTCTATAGCATCAACAACACGCCCACAAACACCAGAGGCCCCTATAACCTCACGAATTATACCAATAGCTGAAAAAATTAAGGCAATCCCATTCACAGCTATTAAAAAACAGCCTCGCGATAGACCATCTAAATCTAAATCATCCAACAACAACGACGAGAACGAATCAGAGCCCACAGAACAGATCCAATTAGCTATAAATATCACTCAATTAAGCGCTCCTGTGGAGACTATTGACACAACACTACTCAGCAAGGATAATATGGCAAAATCAACAGCTCCAGTCACCAGATCAAGAGCCTACCTTGAACAGATACGCAGACAGCGTATCTAGGCCCACCGCCAAGTACGTACACGATCTCAAGATTCGGATGAGATACCACTACCCTGGATATCACAGCTTTCATAGATAAATATGACAATGGAAGACAACAACGTCATCCTAAGTAGCACAGCTAGCTATCATGAACTTAATGACAACACAACTATTGATTTAGAAGGCTATACAGAACTTTTGAATAGTTTCCATCCTAGTCAAGAACCACGCGCAGCCCCTATTGAGGAAGAAGAGGAGAAGGATAACCTACAAACTGTACAAGATATGAACACACGCTCGTCTCTAGATGTTCTCAACCAATGAGTGCAATATTTGAGATTATATAGTATAACATGCATAAATCCAAGGATGAGGTTATGGCTACATTCTTATGTAATCCCCAAGCTCTCCGCGCCTCTATGATTGCAATTTAAGAACCATAGAGAAACAAACTAAATAATATAACGCACCAGCCTGTGAGTCTTACACATTAACTCCTCTATCCCAAATCTAATGACAACAACAACAACACTAATAACAATAAGAGAGCCCATGTGGCCTTATTTATCAATAAAAGCATTGATCTAGCCAGCTGGTCTCACACTGTCATATCGCCTAACTATCAAATTCTATATATTTGCTATCAACGTTGCCTACATTTGAATTTAAATTCTGAACTGCATGATCTCTATATCCATAATATCTATAATAAACCACATTCGACAACCTTTACGCACATAGATTGAGAACTAACCCGACTAGGATGCTCACGAACCACAGCACATATAGTTCTTGGGGACATGAACGTCCACCATCCAGTCTGGAGTGGCCCTGGCACCAAAATCGACGAACAAGCCACAGAATTGCTTAAGATCATGGATCGCCATGGGATCAAGCTTGCTACTAAAGAAGGACTAGTCACCTAGGAACGTGGCCAATCACAATCCATAATCAATCTAACATTCTTATCTACAACCTTATTTCATCGTCTTGTATTACACGAGCGTGCAGATGAGATGTTGATATTTTCTTTGTATGCATCGGTGCCATATTGGGATACCGACTCCGTCATATGATTTTGTATGGAGACTTGTGTATACGTCATGTAGGGATATGGCTAGGTATAAATACAGCTCATATCCCCTGGCTAGATAGATTCCTCATGCTTAGTTTTCTTCGTCAACACCGCTACCCTCTCAATACAGATTGTTAGGCTTGAGCACTCGTTACAGTGTCTACAGGCTTAGGCACACACCTGGATAGCGGCTCTTTAGACCGTGGCTAGCTACAGCGGGTATATCAATTCCACTACTACTACTATATAGATGAGAGGTTCTTAGCTACTACTAGGGTTATTTTATTATTGTGTATTAAGGGAGTTCAGCTTCTACAACCATACTATTACAAGTTATCTATAACTAGGACTTTCTATTTATTCGGGCTGAAAACCTTCCGTGCCAGGTTTCACTGGAAATCATTCAAACACACTGCACCCGAATCTGACTATGTTCTATACACACAGCAGACTGTGGTTGAAACCCGCAATATTCGCAAGATACTCCTTCACGCGTATTTATACCGATTGACGGACGATGACGGAAAAATTTTATAGTATATTATTATATATCTCTCTTTTTTAAACCATGTTTTCTAAAAGAATTGTTGGTTTATGAGGCCTTGAAAAATGCTATTTTGCATGCGTATATGAATTGGCGGTTCGCTTACCGATTACGTTACATTGAACTCGAGTCCCAGAATGTATCCATGAACCAGAATCGGATTACAGTAAATGCGCTAGAGACCAACTGGAACATAGAGTATAGTGTACTGAACATGCGTACATGGTCCATTCTCAGTGTGGAACAGTTGCATCCGATCTAGCAAGTGCTAGTGCAGACCAAGCTAGTTTAATATCAGTCATGTATGTACAGGCCACTGCGAAACCTCTTTCTTCAGCCAGTTGAAACAGTCTCAGAATCCTTTGTCGATGCTGTATATCTTGTATTTCTAGGGATATACCCGAGAGTACTGGAAGATAGAACGCCGACTCAAGATGGACAATTTCAAATCGTCGCTCGATATGTGCTAGCGCAGCTAAACTGTGCGACTTGATCACATCCTCTGGAAATACAGGCAGGCTCTCACTGGCTAGGAGCCACAGAGGATCTATGAAGAGTCGGGAGACGCTTACAAGACCGCTGTAGTAGAAAGGCATGATCAGATCGACAGGCAAGTTGCATCTTAGATTACTGCTGGAGGATATAGCTGATATCAGGCCAAGAAACTCTGTACGAATAGCATATGCCTCCTCAACAATATGCGTTCCATCCAATAGATGCAGCGAGAAATCATTGCTGGTAGTGTGCTCTACAGATACCGCGTAGTGAGCTTGATAAGAATGGGAAACCATCATGTCACGGGTTTTAGTTAACCACCTCACACAACTAGAAGACATTTAGCGGCAGCCTCATGATAGGCAGGAAGTGAGCTCGTACCGGTTATTCAGTCTGCCTAAGAGAGCAATACAGCGGGAAAGATTCCACTCGGGTCTATCTATGCATAGATCTAGCGGAATGAGCGGCATAGTACTAGTATCTGTCGATAATGATAGTTCTCTCTGCCACCATTCACCAATTGCAGTATCTTCATCAAACGAGAGCGCACGCAGCCCTTCGCAGACCCAATATATATTGAGCAGAGATATTTCTAATGCCCCTGACAAGTTTTGGGGACCGCGTTGCTGTATCAGCTTCCGCAGTACATACTTCATAATTGAGTACCATCGAATACCTGAATCATCGACAGTCAACTAAATGCTTGCTGTGGTTAACTAAGTGTACTACTGAAATATTGGAATCAGAGACAGGAACCATAGGTATACGTCACCTCAAAAAAGCTCAGAAGCAAGGCACAGATTAAAGTTTTATTGTCAACGCGTGTTTCCGATCCTTCTATATGCGAACGCAGGTAGATGGAAGCACTCGTGTATGCTCGACTGGCATAGTCTATGTATTGACGTCTAATGTCTGGCCTGGATTTCCTATATGCCATGCTGGCAAAGGATGCCCCCACAGCAGATATTGCATGATGGATTGCTTCTGACTCTCGCATGGTTTGCCCGATTACGTCCGAAGAGAGTGCAGACACTAAGACCGATTCCGTTCCAATACATTCGAAAAACTTTTCAACAAAGATGGCAGACCTGCTTCTTGCCGTTGGTGTTGAACATATCGAAAATATACGCGGCGTCCGATTGAGTATTGCTAGAGGGCTTGAATTCCTTGTTGATGGATCTTCGCATTGCATACGGCGTGTTTCGCATCTTGAACATGGCCGACGCATATCGCACTAAAGCATCCTAGAGAATAAATAGTCTGTCATACTTCTATAATTGCCGATACAGCCACTGACCTTTGAATGGCTACGGCGACATTGATTGCATCTATAGACTTGGAGACGTTTATCTCGAGGTCCGCATGGCCGAGTTCGATGGCGATATTGAAACTCCATTAGTGAGCCAGCTACTCAACAGCCAGAATAATGTAGCTCCTATTCTCCGATCTGGTCGGAAGGGACGATACTCTTAAGAAAGAAGCGAGGGACGAGATGGGTTGAGGATAAGGTTCCCTCTAGAGAGATTGGAATTCGGTAATTATTGGGTTTTTTGATTGATTGATATTTATTACGCCCGGAGGCGCTAAGCCTATAGGGCACTAGTTAGTGCTCTTGATATATGCAATTCGTGTATTTCCGACCTGTCCTCCTTAATTATTGGGTCCTTGCTAAGCCCGCCCGAATACTTCCTTTCGGAGTCTAGTGTGGATGTGGCCTGCTTTTGGGGTGTTACGCTGGCACACCGGCAGGATTACTATGGTTGATTAGCTAGGAAACCCCTGGTCATTTTACGGCCTTTAGTTATAAATGAAACAATATAAATATTGTAATCAACATTTATTGCATGCTCGTAAACTAGATATTAGGCGGCTGCCTCTAAAGATGCCTAGGAGGAAAAGGAAAAGGGAGAAACGGCCGCCACAATACTATGTACAGAGTATAAGTAAAGACCGATAACGATGATGATGAGTAGAGGCTAAATTGATATTACCGTTATTTACGACTTACACTAGGCACGAAATATCCACTAATCAAAGACCATCAACCATTTGCTCTTGTCTGACAATGGGTCTACAGAGAGAAAAACAGAAAAATTCCTAATATCGTGGACTGCCAAAACGGACTCCGCATTCCCGTTTAGGCAGAAGCTGGACACAGTGTGTTTCATCGTGACCTTTGCCTAATCTAATTATATCCGAGTTTATCGTTGACCAAGAAAAAGAAGTAATTTTCCTGACCGACTCGGCCTCATTCCTGCCCGTTTCAAGCTTTTTGAGCTGCAGGGTGGATATACATAGTATTGTCTGAAACGCAGTTATTCATGCCGACAACCGTTCTTGCAACGCGGTATAATCCGTACCGAGTACGTTATCACACGATGGGTAATCCATAACTAATACTATGCACACATGGGTGGGCACTGGCCAACTCTCAGCTGACAGGATCCTCTTTCCGGATATAAAAAGGCAGTCAGAAGTACCATCACATTTCGATGATTGCTTTCCAAACACAGGGACTTTCTCTTACCCATCCACTCTTTTTTAAAACTTCATTCTCTTCCGTTCATTTCCTTAGCAAATTCTTTCTCGGGCCATTATGCGTTCTTTCATTACCCTCACCGGATTGGCCATTTTTTGTTCCTCAGTGGCGCTGGCCGCTCCTGCTCCTGCTCCAATAGCCGCAGCCAAGTTCGAAAACCGTGCTAGTGCTTGCACTTTCTCTGGCTCCAATGGTGCGGCTTTAGCCAGCAAGTCGAAAACTTCATGCTCAACCATTGTGTTGTCGAACGTTGCTGTGCCTGCGGGAACGACACTCGACCTGACTGGCCTCAATGAGGGAACCAAGGTGAGTAATCTGTTATCCTAGTCTGAATCGTATCTAATTATAAAAGGTCATCTTTGAGGGAACCACCACTTTTGGTTACAAAGAATGGGCCGGTCCTCTCGTCTCAGTCTCTGGTTCCGACGTCACTGTTGAAGGTGCCCCTGGCGCAGTTCTCAACGGTGATGGTGCACGTTGGTGGGACGGTAAGGGCAGCAACGGTGGCAAGAAAAAGCCCAAGTTCTTCTTTGCCCATAACCTCAAGTCATCGAATATCAGTAATATCAAGATTGAAAACTCTCCTGTGCAAGTCTTCAGCATTAACGGCGCTGAGACACTGATTTTGGACTCTATTACGATCGACAACTCCGTAGGTGACTCCACTGGGGCCCATAATACTGACGCGTTTGATGTCGGCGACTCCAATGGTGTCACTATCAGCAATGCCAATGTCCAGAATCAGGATGACTGTTTGGCCATTAACTCCGGCACTGTGAGTTCTCCCCTTGGAGTATGAGGCAACGATCCAATAAATACAGCAACTAATTATTTGGTTATAGAACATCATCTTCACCGGTGGTACTTGCTCTGGTGGTCATGGCCTGTCTATTGGTTCTGTTGGCGGCCGCTCCGATAACACTGTTAAGACCGTCCACATTGAAAATTCGACCATTAAGAACTCTCAAAATGGTATGCTGGCTCATAAATTCTCATTAACGCTTCATCTATTTTTACGGAATTTCTTTTTTCCTTTGGACGCTGACTAACTTTTGATTAGGCGTTCGTATCAAGACTGTCTCTGGTGCCACTGGCTCTGTGTCCGGTGTAACCTATAAGGACATTACTCTTTCCGGCATCACCAAGTACGGCATCGTCATCGAGCAGGACTATGAGAATGGCAGCCCTACAGGAAAACCTACAAGTGGTGTCCCTATCACTGGACTGGCCATCGATGGTGTAACTGGCAGCGTCAGCAACTCCGCCACTGGGGTCTATATTCTTTGCGGCAAAGGCAGCTGCTCTAACTGGACCTGGGAAGGTGTTAAAATCACTGGTGGAAAGAAGAGCAGCAAATGCGAAAACATTCCAAGCGCTGCAAGCTGTTAAAGGTCTGGGCAGGAATTTTTCTTCTTTATAAAGCTATCTGATTCTTCTGTTAAGAATAGGAGATACCTTGGTGTGTGTACGGGAATCCCCAGGTGTTGAGTATCAACACCGGAATATTAGTTATTCCGTTTCACCTACCTGGGGATATCCCCTTTACTTGCATGTAATTATCCTTCTCCCTTTTTGAGGGTCAGTCATAATATTCGAATAACATCAATATTATCAGGCTCATGGGCTCTTTGGAATAGCCGTACTGCGTAATCCTGTGCTTCGTGTTATCAGGACGTAGTTAAACCAACACTTGGCATCGCTGGGAGGTCAACAGAACACTCAGAAATTCATTAGACAGGATTAGCAACCTGTAATTACAAGTAACAACTCCACATTTGTATCGTACTAGGAAGGCGGTAGGTAGGGCTGACTAAGAGCTGACTAATATGGACTCCACATTTATGTAACGTAATTCACCACCGAAGCGGCACCACTACCGAGCCGGCATTTTTTCCCGAGCGCGTACACGATATTGATTTTATATTATTCAACACGTCAATATGCCACCAATTCGCAATAAAAACCGGAAAAATTTAGATGAGCAAGAGGGACGAATCTTATTAGCAATTTCCGATTTACAGAATGGCCGAATTCAACGTGTAGCTCAAGCTGCAAGGATTTACGAGATCCCCCGGACAACTTTACAAGATAGACTCAATGGTATTCAACAAAGATCTCTCGTACGCGCCAACAGCCATAAATTAACTCAATATGAACAGGAATCGCTTGTCAAATGGGTGCTTGATTTAGATCGACGTGGATTACCCCCCCGGCATTCTCTTGTACGAGAAATGGCTAATTATATACTTTCACAACATGGCAAACCACAAGTTGGAAAAAATTGGATAACTAAACTGATTAAACGCCGTCCAGAGATCGATTCCAAATTCGCAAGGAAATACAACTACGAACGTGCTAAATGCGAAGATCCAAAGATAATACAAGAACATTTTGATCGCGTACAAGCTGCTATATCTGAGTACGGCATCTTACCGGAAGATATATTCAACTTTGATGAGACTGGCTTTGCTATGGGACTCTGTGCAACTGCAAAGGTTATTACTGGAAGCGATCGATATGCTCAGCCGAAGCTTTTACAGCCTGGAAATCGAGAATGGGTGACTGCAATTGAAGCAACAAATTCAACTGGATGGGCTGTGCCTTCGTACGTGATTTTCAAAGCAAAGAAAAACGTACGAGAAGGCTGGTTTGATGATCTTCCAGATGATTGGCGAATCAATATTAGCGATAATGGCTGGACTACAGATCAGATAGGATTAGAATGGCTTAAAACCCATTTTATTCCCTATATTAATAGTCGTACGGTTGGAAAATATCGAATGTTGATTCTTGATGGCCATGGAAGCCATTTGACTCCAGAATTTGACCATATATGTACTGAGAATAATATTATTCCAGTCTGTATGCCACCTCATTCTTCGCATCTCTTACAGCCTCTTGATGTTGGCTGTTTTGCTGTTTTAAAGCGACATTATGGGCAGCTTGTTGAGCAACGAATGAGGCTTGGTTTCAATCATATTGATAAAATGGACTTCTTAACAGCATTTCCACAGGCTCGTACAGTGGCATATAAAGCTCAAACTATTCGGAATAGCTTCGCAGCCACTGGATTAGTGCCTTTCAATCCAGATCGAGTTATACAACAGCTTAATATTCGATTGAAGACACCAACCCCCCCTCCAAGTCGATCAAGCAATATGGCATCATCCTGCTTACAAACACCTCAAAATATACGCCAATTTATACGCCAGTCGACTACAATCAATAAACGTATAAATGAGCGTACAGAAAGCAACCAAAATCAAGAAATCAATCAGGCAGTTGTACGGTTGTCAAAAGCCTACGAAATGATAGCGAATGATGTTTTACTCGTACGGAAAGAGAACTACGATTTACGAGCTGCACATGAGAAAGAGAAGCAAAAGCGCCAAAAATCTAAAAAGCAAATATCTATTGAGCAAGCGGTTACTAAAGAAGAAGTGCAAGCGCTCGTACAAGGTCAGGTTGAGGCATCCCATGCTGTTACTACTACTCCGGCTGAGCCGGAGCTCCCAGCTTCTCAAGCAGTCGTACGCCGCCAATATCGCTGCAGTGGTTGTAACGTTATGGGGCATAGAATTAACCAATGCCCTAGTCGTATTAGTAGTTAGATTTTTGTATATAATTTGTATGTGGCTTTGAAAATTGGGATTTGAAATCAATATCGCGTACGCGCTCGGGAAAAAATGCCGGCTCGGTAGTGGTGCCGCTTCGGTGGTGAATTACGTTACCTCAAGTGACAACTGCTGTTCTGTCAGCGTGCTACACCCGTGGATCTCCCTCCGGCGCGGATCAACTATGCTCCGAGAGTCATGTGACCTCCGTAAAGGGGTCAGCGCAGCTGTAGTTGTCGGATTGGTCGGTTTATTCCAGGCCAATCCTGAAGAGTGTTTTACTAGGATCAAAGAAAAGAAGTGACTAGCAAGATTGTATGTATTGAGTTCTGTGTCTGTCTTTCAAGTTTTTAAAGCCGGGTCCTTTATAGACACCTTTGGCGGGGTGATTTGTGAGCTATCAGGAGGGGTAAATATTGGGCTGAAATCTAGGTGCCCAGATATATGCCTAAAGGTGCCTTTTAGACCTGTAAGATTGAACAGTCGATCTTTCTGCCTCGTTTGAAAGCCGGATTATCTGACAGTAGTTAGCTTAGATAACCAATAAAAACAACCAGCACATTAACATGTTCCATGAGGTGACAACTGTTTTAGGTAAGCGCACGGGCCCAAGAAACCTCGACACATGTTTTTTCTCAGGTACCTCAGCCCACACCTAATTATACAGGCAAATAAAGTGACGATGGAATGGCAAAGTCCAACGCCCTTACCAACTGTTTCTTCCCAAAACATCCCTCCATCTTCTCATGATTCAAGTACGAATAGTCCTGTTGGCAGCAATCTACGCATATCGGCAAGGGGTCTGAGGCCTAGTGACGAGGAGAAGCTTGTACTCTTCAATAGCTGCTTAGAGCTTCAACAACAGTGGCTTGAAGGTAGCAATAAAGAAAAATTCTGGCAAAGCGTTGCTCAAAGATTTGAGGCTTCAACTGGGCGTCAATATAGATGGGAATCATGCCGTCGAACTGTCAACAACGAGGTCAAGCGACGCCGTGAATATTTGAAGTCGTATGAGACTGGCAAAGCCAGTGAACCAAAGTCGGATCTACATGAGGCTATTGACATGTGGATTGAGATACTTGATCAACGGGATATGATAGTTTTAGCTTCACAAGCTAGTGCTGAACAGCGTCGACTTGATGCTGCTGTCGATGATGATTTCCGGCGCCAGTTTACAGAGAGATTGGGCCAATCACGCGTGAGAAACGAGTCAACTATAAGCTCAACTACAAGCGCTACCGAGGATACAGAGGATTCAGAACGTCCAAAACGGCGGCGACGTACAAGATTGAACGACGAGGAAGATGCTATGACAACTGCTCTAGTAGATTTAACTAAAGCGGTGTCTGAGAGTCTTCTAACTACTTCACAAGAAAGCAAGGACATGTCGACTGTGGTTGAAAATATTGAACGCCGTTTAGAACACTTAGAAGCAAATTATATACGTACAAATGAGCTTCTTGAGCGCTTGATCTCCAAGCTAAACTAGCAAATAGTCTTTCAATAAAGGAGGCTTTATATCATACCGATTCGAAACTACGTTCCCACGTAGACAGGTACGAATATTTGTTAAGAAGACAGAAATAGCATAATTGTTGGTGTCGGAATATCAATCTCATGATTCGGCGCTTCTGCACCCCGGTGCAGAAGCAAGCACGTACGTACGGGAGCGGGATAACGTTATCCCTAGCGCCCGTACGGCAACCTCGTATATAGCTACCATGACACCCCGGGGCCCCCTACTTTCTCTGAGTTAGGCTTTATAATATCGAATATCATATATATACAGCTTCACCCTTGACAGGCTTGTCGGACTAGCCTTGCTACCGTCTATGCTTCGTGATACGGACCGTAGTTAAACCGACACTGATCAGTGAGGCCCACAGATCAAGACCCTATTCTTATTACCCCGATACCCCTATATTGAGCCGTTCAGTCGACCTCAATTTATACCTATCTCCAACGCTCCGAACCACGCGCTGGAAACCCTGACAAGATGCCTCCAACTACAGATTACTCGAAAAGCTTCGATCCGACAGACAAGGACGCAAAAACCATTGAGAAGTGTATAATAGCCTGAATCAAGGACTACACCGACTTGTATGATGAAGATCTATGGAATACATTTTGTGAAGACTTCTCAACATGGACTGAAGGAGCTTTTAGAATTGCGCCTCTAAAGACTCTTATCAATCTATGTGACATCCTGCGAACAAATGGTGTATATATAGCGAAAGAATGACAACATGCAGCTACTACACTATCTGAGACAATTGCTGAATCAGAGCAGCATGAATAGACTGAAAGCGAAGTTATATACCATGTATAACGCTATGGAACGTTCAGCTCACCAAATATCGAGCTTACGTATGGACCTGTGATTTGAAGGCTCCAAGCTACGACCCCTAAGACACCTCAATAAGCTGTCCACTCTAAACTACAAGCAACAACTATATCATACAGAATGACACTATGATCTTAGCGTAATAAGGAGAGAGACACAATACTGACCCCAATCATATAATTAGTATAGCAACAGTACAATCCAATAACCCCTGCCGCAACTATGTTATATGAGCAGGCCATACTAGCTATGACGTATAGCCGCTAGACCGTCCATACAAACTATACTATGCAAGACATCTTGTACTATGGGGCGAATATCAGTCAGCTATGAAAGGCTTATTCAGAAGATCTCTGCTATGGTAATAATGAGGACACATTCAACTATTCGTATCAATATTTCTTAGAAATATACAGTCATATGGGAATCCACACCCAAGATGCACAAAGAAAGGCATTTTTCATGATGCTTAAAGGAGAAGCTCTTCGGTACTACTTTGATAACAAGGACGAATGGGTCCAGCGAGAAATCAACCCTATATCTGCTATGAAAAGCTACTTTGAGACTGAGGAGCACCTTTGATTCGTACAGAGTCAATGGGATGCTACAAATCTAGCCAGTACTATGAGTAAGAACCCTGATAAGCCAATTCTAGAATGCCTTGAAATTATGCTTTAGGACCTACAAAGACTCTATAGCAAGATTTGTCCAGAGCTACGAAACAACATCTATTACTATTCAAAGCTTGTATTAGCAACCCGTCTCGTTCCTGCGTGCCACACTATAACTAGAAAATCTTCACTGAATATCTCCAGCCTCATATAGGACCTACAATCAAGTATAAGCTAATAGGAAGACTCAAAATAAGTAGCAGCGCAACATCCTATGGATTTGTACTATATGGATTGCCACTACTATAGCTGACAGTCACGTTCGTCACATAGAAGATGTTTACTGTACAGATGAAGCTACTCACAAGGAAGGAGCAATCTACGCTATCCTAGCTATTTACCACGTTGCTACCAAAGCAAAGCACCGAAAACCTGCCACGTATACTATAAACCAGACTGCTGGTTAACTAACTATATAGAAGAGGAATGACAAGCTGCTAGACGCCCATATGAGGCTGCAATAGACAAATTTATCATAGAATCCAAAGGACAGCCTCCAATGCCAGGGAAACACTTCAAATCGTACTTGGCTGAGATTGACGAACCGAGCTAGTACGACCTCCCAGACCATATGAAAAGCGAGCCAACTATAGTAATAGGATACTTCACAGTTGCTACTACAGATTATGCCAAATTCTCACCTTTGCTAGCAAGCGAACTCACTAATTGTTCTGTAGCTCACTATCTTAGCTGCTTGCTAGGCAACAATCAAGAATGTACAGCTAAGCTTACCCCTAGCGACAAAGATGATACCGACGTACAGATTATACCAAGCTCTCATCATCTTACTATACCTGAATATGCATTTCTTGTAGAAGATTGATATTCATCAAACACATTTATAGGGCTATTTATTGATACCAGCACTGCAGTATTCTCAACAGCTGGATACACTCAATATCTTGCATTTTGGAAAGTTGCTAAGAATTGTACAATGGACACGTCAACTGCTAGATCTATAACTATACGATTTAGCGCTGGTAATGCGCTACAATCTCTAGGTTTGATTAATATAGAGACCCCGGTTGGCAACATATGATTCCATATTATTGAGGCCATGACACCGTTCCTATTCTCTATCAAAGATCTTGACCGCCTCAAGATTTACTACAATAATATGAAGGATCTCCTTATCCGCAGCAAACCGTACCTAACCGCGCCAATTGTACGCTGATTCGGCCATCCTTTCCTTATTTAGGACTATTCACTAGCAATGTATATCTTACAATCCTTTAACAACAAGCAATGCTTCCTTATAGATATAGAATTATGTTGATTATACTGCCACTTTGGACATCCTTCTGTCAGACGACTACATAAAACCCTACAACGCGTAGGCTATGATATGCACCCTGAAGCAATAGAAGAGATCAATAAATTCTATTACTATTGTCAAACCCACGGTAGATTGCCAGGCTATTTCTGCTTTACCCTACAGGACAACATTGAATTCAATCATTTAATCATTATGAACATTATATATATCAATGGCAAGCCTATACTCTATATTATGGACAAAGCAATGCATTTTAATGCCACATATTAGCTTACAAGTATATCCGCAAAAGCAACATGGGACGCACTATAAATGTTATAGATTGATACATACCTTGGACCCCCAGATTTCATCATTACCAATGCAGAAAAGAACTTTGTAAGTAAAGAATTCATATAACTTGCTTTATCTATTAGTATGATGATGGTTAGCATTCCTGTCGAAGTACATTAGTTAATTAGCATTATTGAATGTTATCATGCTGTACTATATCGCTTATATAAGATTATTTTAGAAGAAGTACTAGAGCTAGCACCCAAATTAGCGCTTCAAATGGCTGTCAAAGCTATCAATAATACTGCAGGCCTAGATAGTTACATGCCCACACTTCTTGTATTTAGAGTGTACCCCTAGATGACGGAATACAGTCCTCCTGCACCTATGGTTGCTTAACGCGCTGCCGCAGTCAAGAAAGCAATGACCAAAGTATAAAGGCTTTACACTGTACGCCAGATCAATAATGTGCTTAATACCTAAAATAGACTATCATCTACACTTATACACTGTCTTCCCCTCAATTTGGACGTGCTTGTATGGCACGAAGGAGGAACTAGATACCCTGGCAAATGGAAAGGACTGTATAAACTTATATCAATTGATGGAGAAACATGCATGATTGATCTCCTAAATGGCCCTATAAAGTTCAGATTAACTGTTGTCAAACTATATTATAAAGATGATGATCTGAAGCAAGAAAATACTAATAATAATAATAAGGCTGAACCATATAGCGCACCTATAGCACTATTAATAGAACCGTCAAATGTACTCTCACCTCCTCTAAAAGTTGCGATCCTACTATACGAACCAAATCACACCAAACCTCAATCATAACACCCACAACGCGAACGCTGCTTACCATCTCGATATAAGGATAATCTTACGTACTTACAAGAGCTAGATGCCCCAGATCTACACGCCATCGCGGAGATATTCACACAACTTCTTGCTCCAGGCACGTATGATGAATCTCGCAAAAAGGAAGTTAACAGACTACTAGAAAGAGGCGTATTTACAGCAGTCAATTGAGAAGACATCCCGCTAGAGGCCCGCATCTATGGCTTTAGATTTGTTGACGAGATCAAGAATAAAGGCACTAACAAAGCCTTCGAGAAATTACAACTTATTATCCAAGTATACAATGACAAGGACAAAGAATTCATACTTATGCAGTCACCTATAATTCAGTGCTCTAGTCAATATTTAATTCTCTGTATTAGAGCAAGCAAGGACAATGTACAATTTTGGATCTAAGATATCACGCAGGCCTATATTTAGTTAACAACGCACCTTAATCGTGATTTCTATATTTGAATCCCCTCTAATTTGCAACGCTTTTTCCCTAGATGCGAATTCTTGAAGGTTGAATGACTGTTATATGGAATCCCCGAAGCAGGCAATCACTGGTTCTATATATATCATAAATACCATGTGAAGCAGCTAGCTATAGAGACCTCAACCTACGATCTATGCCTCCTTCACTGCCGCAATCTGAAGCAAGGATTTGGCATCATTGGAATGTAAACAGATGATACGCTCATTGTCGCTGACAAAGCCTTTGCCATACAAGAGGAAGAGCAAATCAAATGTGCAAATATCCTTTGTAAGCCATGTGAACAGCTTATAACCAGCAAACCACTACAATTCAATGGTGCGGTAATTATAGAAGATGCCTAGGGTATTACTCTTACCCAAGAATGCACCTGCAAGAATATCTGACTCGTACAAGATCACCCTTCAGATATAGTCAACTCCCATGGCAAGATTCGTAAGAATGCATCTCTGTATGAGTAGTATGTTGCTCAACAAGCTCTTGGTGCATATATTGCTTCTGTATCCTAACCTGAAGCTTCATTTGATCTCTCTTTTGCAGCACAAGCCACACAACTAGATAAAGAGGATATAAAAGCGCTCAATAAACGACTCAAATGGCAGGCTGACAACCCCAACCACGGACTACGATTTGTCAAGATTGATCTACGGACCACACAATTATATGCATTTGTTGATGCTTCGTTCACCAACAATAAGGACTCATCTTCACAAATTGGCTATATTATTGTACTCGCTAACGCCTAAAATAATGCGAATATCCTCCACTGGTCCTCTACAAAGTATAAGAGGATTACCCGAAGCGTACTTGCTTCGGAGATGTACGGTATGGCCAATGGATTCGATGCGGCTATAGCAATCAAATCAACTCTCACCCAACTGCTACATCTTTTAGAGCCGCTCCCACTAGTTCTTTGCACTGATTCGAAGAGCCTTTACGAATGCCTCGTCAAGCTGGGTACGACACGTGAAAAACACCTTATGATCGATCTCATGTGCCTCCGTCAATCGTACGAACGTCAAGAGATCACGGAAGTGAGATGGATCAACGGTAACAGCAATCCTGCGGATGCCATGACAAAGAGCAAGCCCTGCCGCGCTCTACAAGAACTTATTGATATAAATAAGCTATGTATTGACATTGACGGATGGGTAGAAAAGCTGTTAATGAAGTGCAACTCTGAGTCAAAGAATATACAATTTGCAACACCTATTACTACACTGGCTCCATAGATTGTTATTCCTTACCCTGGTCTGCACCTATTACTTTTGCTTCATTCTTTTGATTTTTCCTTTACCATACCAGATTATATGTTATTCATTGATATTCCTTCTTTTCCATTCCTTTAGAGAGTTGCCAGTGTCGGAATATCAATCTCATGATTTGGCGCTTCTGCACCCTGGTGCAGAAGCAAGCATGTATGTATGGGAGCGGGATAACGTTATCCCTAGCGTCCGTACGGCAACCTTGTATATAGCTACCATGACATCCCAGGACCCCCTACTTTCTCTGAGTTAGGCTTTATAATATCGAATATCATATATATACAGCTTCACCCTTGACAGGCTTGTCGGACTAGCCTTGCTACCGTCTATGCTTCGTGATACGGACCGTAGTTAAACCGACA